GCTTTCAAACCATTTATCCTTAGCCAAGGAGGCCTACTGGGAAAGGAGACCTCGCAGACCTATAAGGAGCTGCAACAGTCCTTCTCTCCTAGTATAGCTGAATGGCTAGACAAGTACATCTCTACTTTACTTGTCCGACTCCGAGCCCGGAACTGGATGGGATACGGGATTAACTAACACTACACGATCTAAAGAAGGTAGACCACCTGTTTCCTTACCGCACCTAGGTTTCTAAGTTTAGGAGCATAATATAGCTTATATAGTATTGTATCGAAGTTCTGCAAACCCTAACCCTAACCCTAAACCCTAAACCCTAACCCTTTCTATCTCTTAAAGTAATAGCTATACTAATAGAGAGATCTTATACTAAAGGCTAGCAATATAGATTTAGAAGCCTATATAATATAATAGATACTATACCTTAAGCATATAGTCTATTAGGTACTAGAAGGTATTAGTATTAGGAACCTCTTTAAGAGAAGCTATATGCCTTATTAATTTTAGCTATTACTAGCTATATCATTATTACTATAGTAGGGAAAGCTAGAGTCTAAGGTAATAGAAGTAATACTAGGAGCTACCTAGTAAGGAATAGGGTTATACTAAGGACTTATCTAATTTAAGGTTAATTACTACTAGGTTCTTTTATAACTATTAATAAATTTTATTAGTTTCTTATAGATAACTATATAAAGACTACTTTACTTAATAATATAAGATAACTATTTATTAGATAAGTTAAATAGTATATAAAGGTTCTAGTAGTCTTAATTAAGTATAACTTTAGCCCTATTAAAGCCTCTAGACTAGTCTAGGTAAGCTAGTTTAATATCCTTCTAGAATATATTCTAATTAGTAGTAGTATTAAGCTTAATTAGAATAGGCAATATCTAGTATATAGTTAGAATAGCTAGTAATTATACCTACTTAACTAGCTAAGGTTATAGACTAATATAGAAGTAGTTAATAGTTACTAGACCTAAAGGCAAGGTTTAAGCTAAGGGTTGTATAGTTTAATATTACTTTTTAAGCTCTTTAATATACTACTAATAATAATAGATAATAAGGTATCTAATCTTATAAGAAGACTTTTTAAGAATACTATTACTAGCTCTAACTATACTATACTAGGTAGTAGTAATATTAAAAAGGACCTTATAGTAGTGCCTATAGTATATAAAATAAGTAAGACCTCTATAAGTAGCTACCTTATACTAGTTTAGTATAGAGTATACCTAATACTAAGTAATTTAGTCCTAAAAAAGTATATACTCTTTAAAATAAGAAGAGGTTTATTATTAAGAGTATATTAAGTAATAACTTTAAGATTAAGATAATAATACTTAAGCTAATAAGGGCACTATAGTATTATATAAAGGAGGTAGCTCTAGTACTAGCTTATAGCTATTATAAGTCTATATAGACTTAATTATAATAGAGGGTTTCTTTATACTACTATAAGAGTTATATCTAATAAGCTCTATAGCTCTTTCCTATTAATTACTAGCCTTTTTAAGTCTAGTAAGTATAACTACTTTAGTCTAATATAGGCTATAAGTACTAGTTAAAGCTATTAGAGCTTAGATTTTAAAGGGTAGTATATTATAGTTTTCTTAAGCTCGACCCTATAGTAAGATAGTAGTATCTATCTTTTTTAGTATCTCTATCTATAGTTTATTAGTATTAGTAAGGTTAGTATTACTATTAGAGATCTTTTAGTAGACCTAATAACTATTATATTAAAGCTTAAAGATAATAGGTTCTAGATAAGTAGGCATAGCGGATAATAAGATTATAGTAGCTAAATTTAATAATACTCTTACTATAAGGACTATTAGTTTAGTTCTTAAAAGGGTCTTATAAGGTTTAGTAACTTTATTTAAAGTAGTTATTAAATAATAGGTAGTTAGGATTAACTTAACTAATTTTATTAATTAAGGCCTAGGTAGCTTTATAACTAGTAAGGCCTATATCTTAGTCTTCTTAGAGGTATTTAATATATACTTTTTTTCTAATATATTTATAGTATTAGAAAGTGGTTTTTTACTAGAAGATACCTTTTTTAAAGGTAGTTATAGTAGTTAGGTAGTAGTATAGCATTTTATTATAACTTAATATATAGTGGATTTAGATAGTATTTATTAATTAGCAAGATAAACTAGTGCCTTACTATATGTAGAATAGTAAGAGGTAGCTAAAAGACTTTCTACTATATTGTCTTTAAAGTATATAAGCTTCTATCCGGTATATAGCAATACTAGTATAGGTAGTTAAGAGGATAGAGTATCTAAGAGCTTAGATTTGGCTTTAGGTATTTTATATACTTTAGACACTAAGTACAAGTATATATAAGGGCCGGAGTCGTCTATAGTATTGATAATGGCTTAAGCGGCTTAAGAGATTATTATATTAGGATTTATATTAGTATAATTTGATGTGGTTATAGTATTGCATAGCTAATTAGAAGCTAGAAGGCCTATCTAAGTGTTTAACTTTAAGGGAGGGGGTGGCAAAATGCCACGAATTCTGAGACTAAGAATAGGGTTATGACATTTTCTTATATAGCGTATGGTCTTGTCTTAACCCTGGGTTTCTACAATCACATCATATAGCTCACTTCATAAGTCTGGACCTGATTTGCATCGATATCCACACCACGACCATGTCGCACCTGAAGTATTATTGCTACGAAGGACTGGGTGTCAAGCAGCGCGAAAACTTCCACTACAGTCAAGCCGTTCGCGTTGGAGACAGAATCGAATGTGCCGGCCAGGGTCAGTCTTTTTCCTTGATCACCAGTCAGACAAAACAAAATTGTTGACAACTTCATTGTAGGCGGCTGGGACCCAACGACTGGCGAGTTCGCAAAGGAGATCAACGCACAGATTGACCTGGCTTTCCAAAATGTCGAATTGAACCTCAAAGATGCCGGCGGCAAAGGTTGGTCACAGGTCTTCCGTGTCAACTCATATCATGTTCCGATCAACAAAGAGGCTTTGGACGCCATGGTCCGCAACTTCAGAAAATACATGCCCGACCACCAGCCAATCTGGACCTGCGTAGGCGTACCGCGCCTTGGTGAAGATGATATGCGCGTGGAGATTGAGGTAGTTGCACACGACCCGAAATAATGCAGTGCATTCTAGAGAGATGGGAATTCGTGCTATAGGGTTGTTGAGTACAATTTCTCCGAGCTTCACGGAATGACCGCTTAGCCTTCTGGGACTAATCAAGATAACTCCATATGAAGTTGACTCGCATCTAGTCGAACGCCACCTTCTGAGCATAATTCCGGTTGTTGGCCTCTCGTCACATGCATCTATGGATGCAGGAATTTTACGCGATGGTGGAGTCATGTCTGTGGAGCTCATGAGCGATGATTCGACCGATCGACCGCCTCTTGGATTAGGGCATTATTTCCTGCAGAACCCACTGCGTCCTAGCTCGTCGGCGAGTTTGGCGTTTCAGTAATCCCCCGTGTAAATCAGCGGACAACATGTTTCACGCAAGCCATTAGGGAATCTTGAGAGAGAATACTCTCCCAAGCTTACAAGCTGGAGATGCCAGATATTGTAATAAGCAGAAGTATGAAGAACCACAAACTCGTGGCAAAACATACGGATGAGCCGAGCCGCTTCATAGCATGTTCGTCTCTCAAGGCGCAACAGTATCTCTCTGCCCGCCTTTGTGTATGTCCTCCGCCTCCTCTTTTGTCCTTCCGTGACGGGTGTGTAAGAGCATCTGCAAGACGTAGGTCCAGTAGCATACGCAACTGGACTGCTTGATGCAGGTGCCGAAATCACATTCTTTGGGCTAGGCAAAGGCTCTCAACTGTGGGTCCCTGAGCAACCTGAACATCACGTTTTTCTCAAGACACAAGCTAACGTCAAAAGCACCGCTATTACCAAAGTCCATGACTTGCACCAATCCGTCCATGCGTGGCATCACGCCTTGCACATATCGCGCTTGTCGTGTGGGTTCTGTACCACCAAAGTGAACCTCGTAAGCTTCCAATTGCGTCCATGAGGTGACCAGAGTATGCCGAGAGCCGAGAAACGCCTGCCACAGTCTCTGCGGACTGACTTCATGAGCTGCATCGTGTATATGAGCAGAGACTGATTCAGGCGTAAACTGTGTAAGGGTGGAGCGTATTTCTCCGGCAATGTGGCCTATCGGGCCTGCACTTGCGTCCGCGCCAGATTTGGCAACGTAGGCAAGTAGGAGCGGGGATCCTACAAAACCGCTGGCCAAAGGAGGTGACAATTGGCCCCGGAGCCCCAGGGTGATATTCAGGTAGACATTGTCCTCTTTACTGCCGCGAGCTCGATTGATGAGCATTCAGATATGACTCAGTAGCGAGTCGAGGCGTGAGATCCTCAGTTCAGACAATTGAGACGGTAGGGTACTTCTGGCAGCATCTTGCATTCGTCTCACCTCTTCGGAAGAGAATATAATCTGCACATGCTCTACAGGCAGAGACATATCCCATGTAGACCATGGAGGGTAAGTCGACGGGCTCAACTGCTGTGTCTTCAAGACATGGGACGCAGGCATGGTGGCTGCAGACGATGCCGAAGCCCAATCCGGATATCCAGGCGCATCAGTCGCCCACCAGTCGAAACGGTGCATGGGCAGACCTCGCGCCTTTGCGACCATTCCCGGATCAGGCCGTTCCAGAGCGCCAGCATGTCTGTTCAGCAATTCATGATCGAACACAAGTTGCGACAGGACCGACTCAGCCTCGCGCGATTGAGCTGCCCATGCGTGCATGGACGTCAGAAGACTTTGGGCATCAGAGAGACAGTGAGCGATTTTGATATGGACGCTCCAGCCACCGCACTTGAAAGCTGTCAGCTGTACAGAAACGCCAGGCAAACCCTCAAAGTCAGCGAGGTTAGAAAAGGCTAGCTTCGAGGCAGCTTGAAGTTCGTGAGGAAGATCGGTAGCCACCCAGACTTGGTCTGTTGTACTTCGAGCCTCCTTGCTTGGAACCATGAAGTCCAGCTCTGTGTCGCAAGTCGCAGTCGTCCAGTCAATGCCAACATCAGAGTTGTCTCCATACGTGATCACAGGACGCCCAAGGTATGGAGTAGAGAGGCTATCAGTATCTGCTGCCCACCGCAGCTGGCCAGACCAGTGCGGCCATCTGCTCAAAGTCTTCCGAAATGAGAGCTCCAGGTTGCAAAAGAGAGCCGGCTCGCGTGCATCGACAGAAGATTCGGCATCGAAGAACCAGATAGCCGAACAAGCGGCGAATCTTGCTACTGAAGCGTCGAGTATTGATAAAGGCACTGTTGTCTCATGTTTGTAGGAAGAAGTAGGAAACACCCTTCTTGGGTTCTGGATGCTAAACATTGGACTTCTGTTGTTGGCTGCCATGACCAGAAAGTAAAGGCGTGACGCGACAGAAGTTGAGAGTTCGAGGAGGAGAGCAGGTTTGATGAGAATTGATGTTCGCTCAGAAACCGGTGTCCGAATATGGTGGGGGCTATGCTTTGACCATGTTAGATTGCGGGGGTCTCATGAGTCATGCGGCCAGGCAAACTCACTACTTGTTTTTGGAGAAGATGAATTATGGAATACGTCGACTGTTCATTCAGTACCAAGACTACCTGCCATTGCGACAGAAGCAAGAGGATCTGATTGGCACATCTGCCTTTGCTACTGCTACGGCAAGCTGAGCTCCGATCGCCCTTGCCTCATCCACCTTACCCAGTTTGACAAGACACTCATGATAGCCATGCAAAGACCAGACATTCTTTGGGTGCTGTAAGGCACGAGGAAGAGTATCGTCAAAGCCAAGATCAGCTTTGAACAGCTTCTCGGCTTGTGATATTCTGCCTTGTTCCAGAAGCAAAGCACCAAGAGCATGTCTGGTAGGTTGCATCCATCCCCAAGGCTCGTCGTATGGCAGGGTATCGTCAAGTTCAACTGCTTTTCCCAACAATTCGAATGCCTTATCGAAGTTGCGGTCGCGGTATTCAACTTCTCCATATAACATTGTTTTGGCGACTTGGAGTATGTCAATGCAGCGGTTGTTGAACAGCATGCGTGATTCTGGAACCTTGAGCAAAGCTGCTTCGAACTTCTTCACCGCCTCCCTAGCGGCCTGAACTTGACCAGTGGCAGCAAATGCAATGCCTCTGCCATAGAATATGAAGGCTGTGGTGACACAAAACAGTTGCTCATCTGTCGGAAGGTCCAGGGCCAGTATGTTCTCCCACATGCCAAATCGAATCATGACGTGTATACGGACAGACAAGAATCCTTCGAGCCAATCAGCCATCGGAGGGGACCCCACCCGAAGCAGTTTTTCGGGCAACGATTTCTCAAGGCCTTCGACACTTTCCAGAGCAATCTTCGACTGACCCGCAAACATAGCTGCATAGATACGGAAGTGGTAGTCATGTGATCGATAAAGTGTGTAGAAGTTGACGGGGCCGGCGCGGTCCAAGAACTTTTGGTCCGCTTTGATAGCTTCGAGATTCCACTTGGCAGCAGATTCGTAGTCACCACATAGAATATCCAAGTGAGTAGGCATATGATGCAGATGGCCGGCATCAGGTACGAGACCTCTGAGGAGGTTGGCTTTCGGAAGCGCTACTTCGGGAGTGCTTGACATTTCCATCAGGTGAATGTACATGTGCAGGAGTCCTGGATGATGGTCGGAGTTTGGATCAGTCAAGGCGCGTTCTAATACAGCCTTGACTTCGAGAGTATGTGCATCAGGTGCGGGCTCGCCGGTCTTCAGATCCCAAAGACCCCAAGGAGTGACATTCATCAGAGCGTCGGCAAACAATGTTGCAATATCCAGATCGTCGGAGAATTGTATGTACACCTTTCTCATGGCATCTGCATACGACTGATTCCATGTCTTGAAGTCAGATTGGTCGTATTTTCGAGACAGATCAGATGGGTAGCGTGATTGTAGTGCCTGGATGAGAGCTTTTTCAATCGGCGAAGCGGTTTTGCCTCGGTCTCGCGCCTCGACAGCCGCATCGTCGGCTTTCTTCACAGTCGCGATGAAATCATGCTCGTCAAAGAATTCCCAAGGCTTGTTGTAGTTCGGTCCCGAAGCATACGCTAGGCCCCAGTACGCCAGTGCGCAGTCGGCATCTTCATCGACGGCGCGCCTGAAACATTCAATGGCTTCTTCGTGGTTGAAGCCGTAGGTCCAAACCAAACCCCGATCGAACCATCTCTGGGCGGCGTCGCTTGTCGTGGTTACGGGCTTGTGATACGTGCCCAGATCGTATGGGTAATTGTCCATCTCGATAGTCGCCAGACAATGAATGCTGATGAGAAATGTTGTAGAATATGTGTCTAATATCTGTTCCAGCAACGCAATCTCTCGTGTCCTGGAATGTTTTTGTTGATGTGTTCTGGACCGATAGCAGTGGATGACTCACATACGTGGCACGGACCTTTTGATATCAGATACTCCCTGAGACATGATCACGAGTGTCATTGGCTTATCTGTTTGTACGTTTTCCGGGGATGATCAAGAGTAATGTTGGGTTTTCCGGTTGATAACTTGACTGTATATTGGGCTGTGCTTCTGAACTCTTGTCAAGACTCATCTAACCAAAAACCGTCGCATATTGGTCGACAAAACTACTTGAATTTCCTGGTGATAGCCTTGAACTTCGGAAAATCACGCTGAACTGCAATCGTCGGCCAAGATGACCGACATCGTATTCGAGTCCGCAGCAACCGACTTGGCGAAGGACTGATACGAAACGCTATTTCGCCTTGATTCTCTTCCACCATCTCTCCATTCTCTAGGATCACTTGGCAGCGTACAAAACTTGCGATTCCCAGCTTTCAAATTTACTTTCTTCGCTGCCTGCATACTCCCAATCTGACTCCAGACCAAAGCCGGTGAACCGCAATTTGTGACCGGCATGGGGCCCACCCCAGTCACACTCTTTGTGTATAACCTTATGATATTGGTAGCGTTTTTCCATCGGTTTTCTGTCTACTTTCACATCAGACTCGATCTGGCATTCTGGCTTTATACGGTGCTGATGTTTGTACTCTTTGGCTCCTGTGGCTACGCCATGGCAGACATTGTCAGCGACCTTAGCGCTTGGATCTGCATTGAGCGAGGAGGAGATCCATATCTCTTTGAGCGATGGTGGTGGACCTGGATCCGTTGTATGACCGCAGGCATAGCAGCAGTAGGGGGAACGACGCATTTTGTGTATCGAGCTGCCGTGGGCTGGGAGGCGGCGAAACGCGATTTTCTGGTGAACTGCGAGGAGGTCCCGAGGAAGAAACAGTTATGGAAAGAGGTGCGAATAGCTGCAACACTGATCTATTCTGCCAGCTTCCTGTATGCGAGAGCGGCAATCGACTGCGTACTCTGGGTCAAGGAGATGCTCGAACAGGGCAAGATCGACCCATATATGGCGCCACCACTCTGGCATACCTTGGCACCTTACGCAGTTGTAGGAACTTTGGCGGTATGGAGGTCAGGCTTGGCTAAGAGAAAGACTGCTCGATTGCGCACAAGGGCCAGAACAGTAGAAGATGAAAAGACAACTACCGAGAAGGGTGGATCGATGGTATAGCGGATATCATTGGCCCCACAAGAGAAAGAAGGAACCGAGTTCCGCAAACCCACAGTTACTGGACCCGAAAACAGGATGCCCCGATTTTTCAAGACAGTAGCCATCAACATGAACCTTCCAAAGTCTTATCTTCATGTCAGCCGAAGCATATACCAAGGTTCCCCCATCTGGAGAAAGTGCAATTGCAGTTATGTGGTCCTGGTCATACACAATCTTCGGTCTTTTGATGGTATATTTCCGGGGATCAAAGAGTCCGATCAAGCCCTTGTCACCTGCAAAGGCTATCTCGTGTGTACCAGGTGAGCACCCCAGACAAGAGACCTTTTGTGAATTGGGTGAGGGGACAAGACTAAAAGCTTCTGTCACTCGTCTTTTACCCTGCCCTACAGACTGACAGTCGAAGAGTTTGATTCTACGGTCGGCATCCCATGTAACGAACATGCCATCATTCGTTCTAACCACGCGCCTAAGCATCCTGAGTATAGTCAAGTCGTAACTCGAGACGTTATTGCCGGCGGCATCCCATACTGTCACTCTACCGTCGTCAGAACAGCACAGCAACTGCGTTTCGAATTGAGACAGGGATCGAGGCAGCCCTTTGAGGCCTTCCAGCATTCGAAACTTGTGTCCGTCAGGTATGCTGTAGAACCCAATGGTGCTTTTGGCGTTCCGCAAAGATCTGCGACTTGTCTCACCACAAATCATGTGCTTGTCATCCAATCCGAACATGATAGCCCCAACCCTGGTCTTCGAAGATTGAATGATATCCAACGAGCAGATCGCTATACCCGTCCAGGAATTCCATACGCTGACAGCAGAGTTCGGATCTCGCGACTGATCATGCGTTGAAGCCAGCATCTTCCCATCATGAGAGAAAATCACTTCTGGATAAGAGTCTGCTTCAATGCTGCAACTGATCTTGGCCAACTCGTCACCAGTAGATATATTCCAGATCAGGATCTCGGTTCGCGTAGCAGCTGCTAGAAGATAGTTGCACGAGACGGCTACACTGATTACCTCTTCCTTGGTTTCAAATGTCGAGTCTTCCGTGGTCTGACCCAAATCCTCATGCGATGTCGAGATGACCCGATTTCCAGAGAAAAGATCATCTAGGAGAGTAGGGTCGGTATGTGGTGTTGCATGCCTCTGTGCCTCGAGGCTCCGGTGGAGACACGCCTCTGGTTCATGCTTGCTACTGGGCGTGTAGATGATCTCGCAAGGAGGTGATTGTGCGTCGACCACTTTCTTCACGTGGTCTGACGCATTAGTACTAGACGTCGTATTCGAGTCTGACGAGTCTGATGGGACTGCTGATGCTTTGGCGGGTGCTTCATTGTTGGAAGGACGAGTATGAGATGCGAAAACTTGTGTCGGAGAAGATGAACGAGATGCTGGGGGCACATGATCTTTTCTTGATATCACTTCGGTCTCTGTGCGTGTCTTATGCTGACTCTGCATGGAGCTGGATATCTCTTCTCCCTCGGTGACTGCTCCATTTGTCGCTTGGAGTGGATTGTATTGAATCGTAGATCTCTCCAAGGACTCCAGGAGATTTGTTTCGACGCCACGCCGGTTCATGCAATGCTTATAGACTGCAGTAGACTTGATGATCGAGTCGAAATCAAACGCAGTCAACGCGGTTCCGCTGGTAGTTGATGAAAGAATGCTTGCGGTATCAGTTTCCTTGTCGACGGGACCATGCTGTAGAAATCTGCGAAGCGAGGCCTGAGCTTCCAACATGCTTTCCAAGGTTTTTTCCTGGTTTGTCATCATGTCTATCATCCTGTTTTGGTTGTGGCTAGACAATAGTTAGCATGAGTCAAGGGTCCAAACAAACTATCATCTTACCTGAGCAATTGGTTCAGCATCGTATTCAGCAGTGCATTGTGATCTTTGAGCTGAGCAAAGAGCCTTTCCATCTCGTACTCGTTGTACAATGCTTTCAGCTTGTCTTTTCTCGACGTTTTCTGTGCCTTGAGCGGCATCTCGCTAGCAGCGGTATCAAGTAGATCCGATACATGCTTTTCGAGGAGGGAAAGAATTATGGTACATGCAATCTTGAGACCATCGAATTGTTCATAAAACTGGTCCTTTGCTATGCCAGAGTATTCTGTAAGAGTGAAGTCGACTTGACTCAAGGTCGAGCTTGTAGTGTTGCAGGTCAAGACAATGGACATCAAGGTCAAGGGCATAAAGTTGTAGCTTTGCCGAAGCTGGTTGATGCCTTTCACAATGCTGTAGCATCCCGATAGAATGGGCCCAAGAGCCAAATGCATGCCTGCGATCGTCTCAGCCATGGCAAAAGGATGCGAGTGGGGATCAATGATGGTGGGGAAGCGTGGGGGGTTGGTTTATTTTAAACCAAACACGACCAGGGTCAGTGGGCGCAGCCTTGTGGCGCTGCTGAGGCAGTACGAAGAGACTGTAAACAACGTAATTCTACTGGGAAATACTTGATGAACGCTGCCTGGACAGAATCAAGCATTGTTGTCAAACCTTGATGGTATTCTTAGGTCACTCAAGAAAGTCAACCAGTACAAGGCCGGCGCCGCGCAGCCCTCGACACAAAAGAAGTCGGGAATCAGATGGCTTTCAAGATCTATCGGCAACCTATGGAGCTGTAGCTCATCTTTCGGGTGGAGAACATAGCTTGGATAACTTTGGACAAGACCAAAAATGTAAGTGAAAATGAGTTGCCTGCGGCGTTCTTGGATCTTGAGTTGTATAGCTCAAAGGACCGTAGGATTTTCGACTGCAACCCGGCAGAGACCTGACAGCGACGTTCTGGAGCTTCCTTGTTTCGAACAGCAGACATGCACGAAATGGTGACATGAGAGTCAGTCGACAGAGCGAGTAGCAAAACCGAGTGATGTATGAAGAGTTGCATGTTGGACAAGATCGGGAAAAGTTTGCCTCAGGCAGCACCCTGGCTTTCTTGCGGCTTTCAACGCCGAAGCGTCTTGCTTTGGTTGATTCCATTGCTCTTCAACACAACCACTTCGAAACACCATCATGTCAACATTCGGCGGACCTGGCGGACGTCAAGTCATCGCAAAACCCACACCGTACGCTCAAGACTTCGTCACAACAATGCCTCTACACACCCACTGACTGCGCCTCGCAGACCCGAACGCGGCTCCTTCCCACTCGACCACGATGCCGAGTGTCAACACATCATGAAGTCGTACCTACGCTGCCTGCGCGCCCACCGCGGCATGAACGACGAAGAGTGCCGCATGCTGAGCAAGAGCTATCTCCAATGTCGCATGGACAAGAACCTCATGGCGCCCGATGAGATGAAGAATCTTGGTTTTGACAATACTCCACAAGCTCTGGCTGCCGCCGCCGCCGCTGGACATGCTCCGCCCACAGATACGACGAAAAAGTCGTCAGAAGGAGCCAAGAAATAGATGCATGCATGAAATAGGAAAGAGAGCGACTTGTAAGAATAGAAAGAGACGGCGCAAACACAGATACCCAGCGCAGACGACAAAAGACGGAAAGACTGTTGATACGCTACACAAATTACAATTGACCCATCTACAGCTTGTTTTTCAGCCCGTCCCATAGACCTTGCAGGAAAACCGAGGCGGCGTATGCACCGGGGTCCCTCGGAACATCCTTTTCACTGATCTTGTCGCCAACGTACGTCGCTCTTCCGTACACGGCAGGCATGCCCTCGGTCTTGTCTGCGCCTTTAACCGCTTCGATTACCGCCGCTTTCAAGTCGCCCAGCTGCGACAGCGTCTCACAGAAGGGAATCAGCGTGTCCATGACTGTTCGTCCGCCCACACGCGCCGGTGTATACGTCTGCAGGTTCTTCAATGCCTGCCCTGCACTGTGTCCTGCGACATGCTCGTCAAACTTCAGAGAAGGATCGGCGCGATACGTGTTCTTGAGGTCAGACGTCCACGAAGCGAGCAAGATGCTGATAATGGCTCCAAGCGTGCCTCCAATCTCTTCGATTCCGCTCTCGATTTCGTCCATGATGGGCAACAACGCTCCGTCATGTCGTGAGACGAGGCCTGACGAAAGCTGTGAGAGGACGCCCTTGCACATTCCCTCGACTGCTTCGCCACAGTCACCGTCGCCCATGACGATGTCCCATTTGGTGATGTCGGGCTCGGCTGCTACCGCTGCTTCGCATGCGCTTCTGAGGGCTCCCTCAAGAGTCGCCACATCCAGCTTTGGGCCAAATGAAGCCGTCTCGTGTCCGGCGAGCGAAGCTCTTCTTTGTGTTGGGCTGTCAACTCTGACTTGGCCGTACGAGTTCCTTGGCCAAGCTGGTGCATTGGTGTCTCTGTCCAACAAAGCATAAAGCGTTTCTTGTTTCATCTTTGTCTCTTTGGCGACACCACTCAAGTTCAGCAAAGAAATGCTGAAGCCCGGTGCATTAAGCGACGTCTCAAATGGTTGTGCATACACTCTTGTTGGCGAAATGTTCCAGTCCGACTTGAGATGACTGATAGTCAGAGCCGTCAAGGCTTCGAGCTCAAGGTTGGACAAGCCGCCGAAGTTGTTGATGAGCAGAGCAACCTCGTCGTTTGATGTGAAGTTGACGAAGGCACGGTCCTTGTCGTTTTCGTCGAGGAGGTAGCGCAGCAGCTCTTGGATGAGTTCGTCTGGTGGTGGGATCTCTTTCTCGTGAAGTCCCTACTCTACATCAGTTTTGTTCAATTTTCATGGTTTGACATACTCACGGCTTCGTTGTGAATACCTTGAGCCACGGAGAGAGTGTTGGCAGGTAGGGATTCGTGATGTGCTCGTCCAGGGATATGACAGTAATCAAGCGACGATCCAATGGTGACACAGTGACCATTGACGCTCTCGCCGATCGCAAAGCAAGTGTCGAAATCATAGTCCTCTTCGGCAGCGGCGCCGCAAAGTTTGAGTACTGTATTTAAGCATTCTCATCAGCATGTTTCTTCTTTTTCTCTTGTTTTCTCTGTCTCAACAGCGAAGGCAGAAACTCACCAAACATATTTCCAGCCAATCCTCTCCTTCCCAATTTGCTCGTCTTTTCCCTGCCTAAACCAACATCATCCGTCATCCTCAACATACCCACTTTTCTCCCCGATCCAGCCACTTTTTCTCTCGCCAAACCAAAATGCAAATTGTCTCCTGTGTAGTTTGTGATACACAATATCACACCCTTGTCACTGGGAACCTTTTCCACAGCAGCCATGATCTGCTTTGTGCTGGGAGAAGCAAATACCTCGCCACTGATGGCAGCGGAGAGTAGACCATTGCCAACGTAGCCGCACCATGCGGGTTCATGGCCTGCACCTCCACCAGACAGGACGGAAACTTTTTGGGTTGAGTGTGAGGGGAGGTACACGACTTTGTTGGCGGCATCGAGGGCGAGATGTGGGTTTTTGGCTACCAGAGACTCGAGACCACGCACGACGAGATTGTGAGTGTCGGGGAAGAAGTGTTTCGTCGCCATTGCCTTTTCCTGGTACTTTTTGCTCTTAGAATGATGAATGCGCCAACGAGCTTTTTTGAAAGGTGGTGGAAATGCACAGGTGTTATGGAAAGAGAGGGGTTTCCAAGATTGAAGGAGGAGCTGCCTGCTTACATAGCTCCTCCAACGACCAGTGTACCACCTCTGCCATCGGGAATTGAGCCTTGGTATTAGGCATGGTCTCGTCCCGGGTCAGCTCAGACGGGCAGGTCGCCGAGAAGACGGCGGGGCAGAAGAGCGGGGTGCATTGTGGGGTTGAAGGATCTGGGACTACCAATTCGGGAAAGCCGAGCGGATGAATTGTGTTTATGATGGCCTCGTAACGCAAAGAGGTCGCAACATTGTGACGAAAGCTGCATGATGGAGCACACGATATGCAACAAACAGACAAGCAAAACTTTTGTTGAAAGCAATGTGGCAAGAAAACCGATTCATCGGCCGGACATCGAGCTTGCAAGTCACAAGTCGCATGATTGTGTCATGGTGAATCGTGAATCGTTGGAAACAACCAAACTGTGCCTTTTGAAAGCCATCAACAAGCAGAGACAGGATGAGCAACATGAATGAGGCCTTTGACTTTCCTCTCAAAGTCACCTCTGTCAGGCTCAGCCTGCGCACCGCTCCATTCTAGGACCCCAACCTCAAACCTGACTTTATCGTCCAGTATCTTCAATGCATCCAAAACCTCTCTCTTATCCTCTATCGCTTCCTGGGTTGTTGAGTCCACCCAGCTGATTTGAAGAATCCTGAACTCTGGCGCTGTAGCCAGTATCTCACAAGCCCGTGTTGCCCGTTTCTTGATTTCTTGACAATAGGTTGTCGTCTTGAGAGAAGGATAACTCTTGAGTAAACTACCGTCGAACCAAAACACCAACTCGACTTTCTGGATCTTCTTGAGCAGTCGCGAACTGGCGAGATTTGAGAGTGTTGGGTCGATGCGGTAGAAATTGAAAGCGTGGGAGGCGATGAGTTTCCAGCTCGCGATATTGAAGAAGTAGGAAGTGATGTCGGCGGAGATGGCGTGGCAGCTCAGAAGCAGAGGTAAAGGCGGTGGACGATGCGACACGCTGGTGATGCCGACTGTGGGAATGGGATTGGAGATTGGTGAGGGCGGGCACAAGTAAGAGTAGATTTGTTGTCGGAGCTCGAGGGGTAGCTGGAGGACTTTTGGAAGGGTCTCGTGGTCTGTGGTGGATATCATGTCGAGTTCGTTAAGAGTACAAATATTTGTAGGTGATGTAGGAGTATATCGAATTGCGGCGAGCTTCAGCTCCTATGCTGGAGTTGAACAAGAGGAACAGGCAAGGTCTTTCCGCGCTGTAAGATGTAGATATTCTTCCAAGAACATGCGAATAGAATCGAAGGAGCTATAGGATACTCAGGAGTATACTCTATTGATGAGAGCAGGGGAAAAGATGGTTATGCGGCTCATGCATTCATGATCATGAGCGGCATCCATGACGTTGAAGACGATGCGGGGAAGAAAATAGACAGACAAGCTGTTTTTTGACCTTGATGGGCCTGCTATCTCACGCTTTGGACTTCCCAGATCGACCATAAAATGAGTCTGTTCCCGATTCATACGCTTATGCAATTGCACAATGCATTCGCTGATGTCTTTGAGATGGAATAACATGTGCTTCCCTTCTAGAATAGGAAGAGCGGAGGTTCGGTGGGCGGACCGAGGACGGAGGTCTGTGCTCGGAAAGCTGAAATCGCGACACGCGAAAAGACGCGCGGGGCGTGGCAGATGTGATGTTTTGGATGACGAAGTGAGATTGACTTGCATGTCACTCACAATGTTATTGCCATGTCAATTCTTAACCATGCCGACTATTCTTCACGGCTGAATACTGATACACCTACTCTCCCTGTCAACACCCTCGCCGACAAACTTCTCTCCAGAAAGCGAAAGCGAGACGGCGACACTCCTCCAACAACAGCGCCATCTCGTCTGACAAAAGGCCTACCGAGAGCCGACACTCCACTGTTCAAGTCCTTTTCTGACAGTCAAATCCCTCAAAAACAACAACCACCTCAATCAGCATCTTTACCTCAGTCCTTCGTCGTCAGAGTATGCTTCACACTCCCAGCTATCGTCAGAAGCCTTGCTGAACCATGTCCAGTCTGTCGACAATGACAAGCCGCTATCCTTCCGTATTCTTCACACGCTGCCTCGCGCTGCTCTGCCCTTGAGCTGCATCGACAACTCGTCCTCCCCCACTCGTCTCTTCTCTGCCCACCTACCACAACTTGATCATGACGAAACCACCTCCGCCCTCGTCCTCGTCGCTCGCTGCGAGACTGAGCCCCATCAGCCCTTGTACGCTGCAGAAAGAGTCGGAGAAAAGAGATATGCCCTGTCTAGACTGGCTGCCTGGTTGACCTCGGATCGAACTCATGCTCTCGTACCATCTGCTCCCATAACTGCGAAACTCCTGCCACAACCCTCTGCCGACACGTCTGCCGAGTCGTGGTGGCGCACTGCAGCCATCCAAATACCTTCGATACTGCCTGCAACTTCTCGCAAAGCTCCCCGTTTGTCTCTGTTCCGTCGCCATCCTTCACCAACTCAGTCTTTGCCCGTGTCCCAGCCTGCAGTCACTGAAGTATTGGCAGACCTACCTGTCCTTGCAGACGAGACATGCGAGACCCCTGAAGATTTCCTCGCCCGCTTCATCTCACAATACCTCGACACCCTCTATCTATCCAAGACTCCACTTGCCTTCTTCACCAAAGGCCCACTGTCACGTTTGCGAGCTGCCTTTACAACAGGCCAGCTCCCCGACACAACCCTCTCCGATCTGGTTCTGTTCTTGCGAAACCTCATTCTATCGTCTTCCACGGCCGACAAGAAGTATCGCGACAAGCTGCCTGAGATTCTGAAAGATCTGCCTCCACAGCATCCGGATCAAGATCATACACCCGCTGCCAAGAAGAAGAGACGGAAGAAGAAGCTCAAGCCAGACAAGTATGGTCTGCTTCCCGACGAGGACGACTTTTTCGCCAAGTGGTGGTATCAGGACGAAGCTTCTGCACCGTCTGATGAGACGGCCGAACAATCGCTGAAACGCAGAGGCCCGCAGCTAAGGACCCGTGAAACCTTCATGCAAGTGGTCCTGGCCCTCGAGATTATGAGTCTGGAAGCGCTCTCTGAGTTCAAGTCGACGCAGGAACAAGTGAGACAACCAAAGGGCAAGAAGGGTGATACAATCGTCACAAGTCTCGAATTACTCGTGGACAAACTCTGCATCTGGCACTCTCTCCATGCCGCTGACCTGCTGGGCGGTGCGCCAAAGCCCGACAAGACGACCAAGGATGGTGCCAACCAACTGCACAGCTTCTGCGTCGAGGTCATCATACCCTTCTACATGTCTCGCGCTCACGAGCATGCCTCGTTCGTCAACAAGAAGCTCGGCGGTCCGGGGTCTTCGACAACCACAAAACCCAAGCCTAGTCGCAAGCTTCCTGAAGCTGAAACCAAGGCTGCCACCGACAAGAAGAGTCGTCGTTCGCTTGCTCGCGTTGCCACAGAAAGCTTCTCTCAGCCTGCCAAACCTTCGCGCTCATTCAGTCGTTCGGCAACTGACTCGCAGATGATGCCTGTCAAGTCTGAGACACCAGAAGTTTCATTGTTCTCCATCCCAATTCGACGAGATAGTCAGTCCTCCATGGCACGTAAAAATGATGTATTGGAGAAGCATCGCTTGCGTCAAAGAGAAGTCGACTTTGGTGCAATTGCTGCTGCAAACGAGGTCAAGGCCAGGAAGAAACAAGAGGTCGAGCAGAAACTCAAGGATGCTATTTCTACTTTGAAGAGGCCGAGTCGCGCGGCTGTTTCTGGAGAATTCGTGGACGCTGTCGAACAGAGGAAGCGTATGGCAGAAGGCAGAGCAAGACCACCATTGCACAAGCGAAAGTCTTCAGCAATCGCTCAAGTCTCTGCCACTCCGAAGAATGGCCACAAGAACTCTGCTATTGCTGCGACGCCACACCACATTCCCGCTCCCTCTTTTGTTCGTCCATCAGTCCCTTCGTCTGGCCCGTCTCTGATTCCGTCTTCCAACATCAAGCAGAAGTCTTTGTCTTTCGCACACTTCCCTTCAGTGGATGAGGATTCCGATGATGAAGATGCAATCCCTGCTACTGACAATCGACCGCGCCACAGAGATGCGCTTGCCGAGACGCCTTCCAAGCCTCGGGTCGATTTTGCCTCGCTACGAGGCGCTTCTCCAGATGAAGATATGAAAGACTATGGCCACGTCGGACAGGACAGAGGTGACTCTTCACCTTTGCGTGAAAGTCCGACTTTGTTGAGGACACCAAGCAAGCCACAACGACCCAGGTTCAGCATCACTCCAAGTAAACCAACTCCGCCATTGTTACTTGTTAAAGCGAAAACAAGTCAGAGTGCGGCCGCAACACCGCTGAAAACCACCGCGACTGCGGCCTCCAAAGACATGCTTCGTGGATCCCCTGCATTGGCGGGACAGCAAAAAGCTCTTGAAGCTGGACCAAGTAATCCACCCGCGGATATATATGCCGCTCTCGGGTGGGATGATGACCTTGATGATGATTAGTTCTATGTATGATACTCACTTATGAATATTGATCTCTCTCAATCAGGCTTTTTTTATGTCACCATCACCAATTTCTACTGGACTTTCTTGGATGATCGACGTGTCCTGGTCTCGTAGAAATGACTTCAGCTTTGCATACTTAATTTGGTGAGCAGAAACTTGAAACCACATGGGTAGGTGCATGCGGAGCACTCGGTGATGCACTGAAGTCTCGCTTGGACGCCTTGTTGATCGATTGATCAACTCAAGTAGACGCGAACCTGGAAATAACTGTCCCCGCACAAGTTGATGATCCTTCCCTGCGGGTGCGAGAATTTATGGATATTGGCAAGTGTTGGTAGTCCGAGCTGACCTGTGAAGATGTAGTCCGAGGGAACCAATCATTTGCTTGCTAAGGGCCGCAGCACAGCTTCCTGCAGGATTTGATCCTCCGCAAATCTCCCATTTCTACACAGACTCAGCCTCACAACTTACTGGTGCATACCATAATGTCCAGGACCCGTCGGCGAGGATCCTTGGCTTCCTCAGAGGTACAAGTATGGCTTCCCAACCGCTCATGAGAACGGTAGTCATCGAGACTTTTCCGGAAATTGAGCATTCGCCATTGTCAATCTTACTGCGTGTGTCCCTATCTTTGTACCACTCCCCACAATGATACAATTCAAGTTCTATGTTACCTTGGCAGCTGCGACGACTCTGTTCTACAGAGACACCTCTGCTCAAGCTCCCCCAACTCCTGAGGGCTTGACGTACCTGAACTCGACAATCTACCCAGGAGCGTCCATCTCCTTCAAAGAGACCACGATCTGCGAGACCAATGATGGTGTCAGGGGCTGGAGTGGCTACGTCAATCTTCCATCTTCACCACAAGACGGTCGCGATTATCCAATTCACACTTGGTTTTGGTTCTTCGAGGCTCGTCATGGTCCAGAGAATGCACCGCTTTCGCTATGGATTCAAGGTGGACCTGGTGCACCAACGTCAATCTCTGCCGTCAATGAGAATGGTCCGTGCAACCTGCTGAACAACTCCAGAGATGCCGTCAACAACCCTTGGTCTTGGAACGACAGAGTCAACATGTTGTACATTGATCAGCCTGTGCAGACTGGTTTCTCTTACGACACTTTGGTCAATGGTACGATCTCTGAGGCTTTCTCTCCTTTCGCCGTCTTGCCTGCCCAAATTCCCAAGAATGACACTTCGCTTGGGGGTATCTTCTCGTCAGGCAACTCGAGCTTGGCACCCAACAGTACCATGGCCGTCGCGCCTCCTATGTGGGACTTTATGCAGATCTGGTTAAAAGAGTGAGCCAGACTGAACACCTTTTCTGTCAAAACTAGCTGACAAGAAGATAGTTTTCCTGGCTACTCAGGCGAAAAACAAAAGTTCAGCATCTGGGGAGAGTCTTATGGTGGTCATTGGGTTCCAACCTTTGCCGATTACTTCTACAAGCAGAACGATCGTATCAGCTCTGGCGGTCTCAATGCCACATCACTCACCATCGAATCGCTTGGTCTAATCAACGCTTGCATTGACGCAGAGACTCAGATACCCTTCTATCCTGTCATGGCGGCGAACAATACCTATGGAATCAAAGTCTTCAACGACACCACTTACGCCAGTTCTATGGCAGCCTTACCAAAATGCTTAAACATGACCAAAACCTGTAGAAGCCTCGCCTCGCGTCTTGATCCGGAAGGATGGGGCAACAATACTGATGTGAATAACGCCTGTGCAAGCGCGTATCTCTATTGCTTTGATGCAGTCGCTAGAGAGACCCAGCTGGGAAACATCGAAGGATATGATGTATGCACTCTGTCTATTTACTTCCACGACCCTATGTACTGACTTCGATCACCATCAGGCTTTCCACTTCGACATCGCATCACCACTCATCCACAACTTCCCACCACGTTGGGCTGCCGGCTACCTCAACAACGCCAGTGTCCAAGCAGATCTGGGGGTTCCTCTCAACTTCACCGGCTTCTCTTCCGTCATCGCTCAAGAATACGCAGCCTCAGGCGACTTCCTGAAGGGCAATAACCTTGCCGCTCTTGGTCAACTGCTTGATCGTGGAGTGAAGGTTTCGCTTCTATATGGCGATCGCGATTATCAATGCAACTGTAAGATCTGCTCCTCTCGCTTTATTGTACATCACTGAGCCTGGCTTCTAGGGTTCGGCGGCGAAGCTATCAGTCTTGCTATCAACTCAAGCATCTCGTCTTCATTCAGCAAGGCAGGCTACACCAAATTTGAGACCAATGCTTCGTACACCGGTGGCTTGACAAGACAATATGGTAACTTGTCTTTCACTCGGGTCTTCCAAGCTGGACACGAAGGTAAGTCCCTTTCTCTGTTCTCACAACTCAACTCATCCATGACAATGTTTTCACAGTATCATACTATCAACCTGAAACCACATACCAAATCTTCAACCGCGTGATATTCAATCGAGACGTCGCAACCGGGCAAGTCTCGACAGCTCCAGCTTCTAATTCTTCCACCTACGCCACGTCAGGCAATTCTTCTGCACTCGTCTCTATCGGTGCGCCTATCAAATTCGAGTCCTCGGTGCCTTCGTGCTACTTCTGGGATATCATGGAGACTTGTACGCCCGCTCAAGTACAAATTTTTGCAAATGGAAGTGCCATTACCGAGGACTTCATTCTTGTGGGCTATACGTTGAAGGACGGGACGAAAGTGTTTTACAATCAGACTGCTGCTGGTGCTGGAAATAGGTCGTCGCCACAGTCTTATGTTCCTGCAAGTGGAGCGTCGCCTGCATCCCCGCTGAGTATGAGTTTGGCTGCGATAGCCTTGGCTGTTGTTGCTCTTGTTTCATAGAAAGTTCGCGAAGATGTAGTCATGACTGGCTGACTTAGATGCAAAGATGCATGGAACAATATGGATGCAGGGTTCTGGTCAGGATCTAACTTTAGCCTCAGAACGCGTAGATCAGTCAGCATTTGTCAACGAACAGAATTCACTCCTGCTCTATAACATCAACATTTTTCCCAGCGGGCCGGGATAGCTAGGCTGAAGTACCATAATAATCGAGATGACTACCATTGATATTCCTGAGTCGGTTCAAGCTGTTGATGTCTTTGCTATCGATACGTAAGCTTTTTCACGGCTGCTCCTGTCTTTTATCCAGTCACTGAGCTTACACATGTTGTGTGCACATGCAGTGGCGCTATTCTCGATATTCCTACATCCACATTCGTCAAGCCTGTCTATGGAGGCTCGGAACGCCTCCAATGCCCAGCATATGTCTTTCTGATCAGACATACATCCGGAAGACAAGTCCTCTTCGACTTGGGTCTACGCCATGATTGGAATAATCTCCCGCCACAGAAAGTAAAAGCTATCAACAAGAACGGGTGGCGCATTACTGCTGGCAAGTCTCTGGAACAGGTTCTGGCAGCGGACGGCATCGATGTTGCAGAAGGCGCCGTGGATACAGTCATCTGGAGCCATCCCCACCTCGACCATGTAGGAGACATATCGGTCTTTCCTCAGACCACCACACTTGTCGTCGGCAAGGGATTCAAAACCGAGCATATGCCAGGCTACCCACTAAATCCAAGCTCAGGCGTGTGGAACAGCGACTTCGAGAGTCGCGATGTGCACCAGATTGATTTTGAAGACGGCTTGAGCATCGGCGGCTTTCCTGCTCACGACTACTTTGGCGATGGTAGCCTCTTCCTTCTCGACACGCCTGGCCATATGAAGTCACATGTGTGGTTTGGCTAGAGTTTCGGCCGACCCTCCCAGGTTTATCTTCATGGGTGGTGATATCGCACATCATCCGGGGCAGATCAGGCCATCCAGCTACCGTCCTCTACCAGTTTCCAGTCCTGTCCTTCATCTCGTAGCTTCCGATGAGATGGTCAAAGTTAGCGATGGTGATTTGAAAAAACCCTTCTACAAGCCTGCGCCCGGCATACATCACGATATGAACATACTGCAGGACTCGCTTGAAGCTGTGAGAAAGTTCGATGGCGATGATAGGGTTCTCATACTGTTAGCTCACGATAGCTCATTGCGCGAGCATCTCGAGTCATTCCGAAACAACATTGACAAGGCTTTTGATCTGAAAACACATGATCAAATGCGGTGGGAATTTCTGAATGGTTTGGGAAGCATCTCTTAGCTGAGACAACAGCGTTTGTCACAGCCATAATAGTCGATTTGTATCTCGGAGGGGTTCAGAATCCGGAGCCAGCTATATAGGAATCGCGTTATCGTTGATATGTTGGAGGATTCGCACTACTGCAGCCGTGGGGTGACTTGACGTTTGCAGACCTCCAGGTTTCGTGTCTCGTATAAAATTGGCTCCGGGCTCAGATGATGAAGGATGCCGCTGTCGGTCCACGTGCGTCGCAAACCGGGTAACGGCTTGATAAATCAACCAAAACTCCTATTACTGTTGAGCGAGAAGGCACTTTTTCTCGAAGGCACTGACAGAATCAATTCTGCACGATGGAAGAGTCATCAGTGCATCCCCCTCGGAAGATTCTTTTAGTGGTGACCACTGGCGGCTTCACTCATGCTGGTGAGTTCGACAATACTGCATCGAGACTTCGCAACTAAAGTAGCGAGGTTCTCAGCCCCTGTACTCGAGATTGGTAGAGCACTCGCCAGTCGTGGACACAAAATCGAGTTCGCTACACTAGAAGGACAGGAGCATTGGGTCGCGAAACACGAATACAGCTTTGTGACCGAGGTCCACTTTCTGGGGCCAAGTCCGACGAAGGAACAACTCGATGGCCATTACAGACGTATGCAGCAATGGGACATCTCAAAAGGCATCGGTCAGGCGATGGAATCGAAGTATCTATGGGATTCATGGTGGCCAAAGACTTATCATGGACTGAAGGCGATCATGAATGACTCTACAACTCGGCCGGACATGATGATTGCTGATTTCTTCGCCGAGGCTGTTACCGACATTCATGTTGAGTACAAGTTGCCTATTGCCATGGTGACGCCGAATATGCCTGCTTTCATGATGCCTTGTTCCTACATCCCTGGTCAGCCTGGATTCCAGCTTGAAGGAACTACTACCTCAGAACATGCCTCCCTCTGGTTGCGCATTCGCAATGAGCTATTCTTCTTACCAGACTTGCCAGCGATCCTCGAAATGTTCAGACGAACGAAAAAGATGCGCAACGAGAATGGCGTAACTCGCCCTCCTCATAAGCCAGTCAAGCCAGACTATCTCGTGTTTGTCAATTCGTTCTTCGGCCTGGAAATTCCACGAGATCTTCCGCCTACCTGTGCTCCTGTTGGACCTCTTTTATCTCCCACATATCCGCCTCTCGATATTTTGTACGAGACCTTTTTCGAATCCCACAAGAAAGTGCTGTACATCGCTTTAGGTACACACATTGTTCTTCAAACCAAAGACACTGTCAAAATTGTTGAAGGCGTCTTTCGTCTCATGGAAGAGGGGTTCATAGATGGTGCGATCTGGGCCATCGCCGAACACGGACGAAGAGACCTCAGTAGGGATCGGACATTCCATCGCGATTCAGGCTTCAGCCTTGGCCAACTGCTCGACAACAGCCACTCGCATTTCTTGTTCTCGACCTTTGCACCTCAACGAGCGATCCTTGACCACAAGTCGGTAGTCTTATACTTCACACATGGCGGCGGCTCCAGCGCCAACGAAGCACTCTACCATGGCATGCCCATGATCTCAATGGGCTTCTTCGCGGATCAGATCGCCAACACCGCACGACTCGTCGAAGCTGGAGTTGCAGAGTCTCTGAACAAATTCCGATTCACATCTGATGAGCTATATGCCAAGGCGAAACAGATACTCCAGGCAGGTGACAAAGGCTCATACCAGCGTAACGTTCTACGTCTCAAGCGCATTGCTCATGTTGCTGCTCGCAGAAAAGAACATGCTGCGGATCTGGTAGAGGAGGTTTTGTATGATAACGAGTTGAGACTTGATGATATGGGTACTTGCGAGCTGCGTCCTATGCACCTGCAGACGGCTGATATGCGCATGCCGGCTTACAAAGCCAAGAATTGGGACCTTTATGCTATTGGCGTGTTGTCTATAGTGGGCTTTGTAGGCTTGAGTGGGCTGACTGGAAGGTTGGTGTGGAGCCGACGAAATTGGATGAGTACAAACCTTCGAGCAACCGCCCCAGATAGCTGGTCCTGGTTGAAAGCCTGGTTTGAAATCCCTTAGACCAAGTGAGAACCATATATAACATAGTTCAGGAATCAGAATGGCTTGCACATCGACTTCGTTTCATGGCTGGATGGACTGGTCAAACTGCCTGGTTGTTGACAATCGTTGTCCTCCAACGACATCTCGAGAATATATGCAAACGATCAAACACACAATCTATGTTTGTAAACACCATGATCTTGTTTGTGACATTGAAGATCTGTCAGAGTGCTAAGGATGGGTTTGGAGAACATGTGACCCCTCAAGCTCGGCTAGCAATCCCCAATCAAGCGTATCTCACCATCCCAGCATCCACTTAGCATATACCCAGGGCAACCTCAAATCCAGAACCCAGCTCACCCTTTTCAGTCTCATCATGGGCTCACAGCCGCCAAACCGCTCAGGGCTCCGCAACCTGAGGCGGCTCCCGGTACTCCACAAACCACGAGCCTTGCGTACGAAAGTTGATGTACCAAGTGGGCATAAGATCTTGGTACGTGACTCGCATCCAACAACGATCTAGCTCCGTGTTGTCGGTCTCGAATTCAGCTCGCACACCTCCTAACATCTCCAGACAGACCAAGTTTACGTAGCCTCTGCCTAGTTCATCTCTTGGTGGAGATGGTCCGGAGATGATGGACTGCAATGCTTCTTCGTCGACGTGGACGCAAAAGTTGTATCGTTGAGACCGCATTGCCGGAACGCCTTGCTCGCGTTGTGGAGCATCTTGTACCCATTGCCTGAAGTGCTCGCGTACGGTGGCAGGCTCTGCAGCGTCGAACAGGGCTTTGTTCTCAAAAACCTGATAGTCCAGGCTTTCCATCATATCGAGCCCATTATGTTCTTGTAGCGACTGCTGGATGTAGAAGCTCAGGCGCGACATAAAATCTGCCCAGTCCCTGTCGCTTGAGTAGGTACAGCGGTAGATGACCCAGCCCCAGATCTTGTGTTTGTCTTCCTGGAGCTGTCGCTCTATCACGTCGGCTTTGTTATTCGCTGTGTCCATGTCAGGCTTTCGTGGCGAAGGATTCCGGACCCGTAGCGCTCGTGTTCGAATCCATGCTCGCAAATCGTCCATGGCGGATACAAGAGAACAATGAGAAACCAACGGGTATTGAGAAGAGGACAAGTGACAAGACAAGCTTGATGTCTGACAACAAATCACCGAAAGCCTTTTGTCGCTTGAGTTTCTGCGGGTCGGGCCGCAAGAATGGTGAAACACAAGTGCGATTTCGCGAAATCAGACTCTCGAACTCCTTCTAATTCCAACACTGTTTCTCACGCGTCCAGACTTCTACGGGCTGGCCTTGAATTATGGAGGCCCATGATATTTCCGTACGGGAGAGAATGTAACTGGTCTTCCATGTCATTCGCGGAGTCGACAGCAGAGATCCAGGTTCGTTGAGCCATTACTACCATGTGCACTTGCTTCGAGTCACAATCTGTTCGATGCCAGCATTCACATCCTTCGTCCTCATCCCCGAGAGTTGGTGGTTCGAGATGTTGCGACTTTTCAGTGTGATTTTTCAATAAGCAGTGGTCTGAGCTAAGAACGATGTCGCGCCTAAAGGTGTACCCTTGGAATTGCTAGGCTGCTATGAACAGGTTAGGCAACAACGCTTGCTTGACTCGCAAAAGGCTTCAGGCAGCACTCGGTGAAACGCACTCGTAATAAGCCACAGCTGTTTTTTTCGATCTCTTGAACTCTTCCATCGCTTCCTAGATTCTATCAAGGACAGCAGGAAACAGATCACAGATCGAATATAGCAGCAATGCCACGCACAAAGCAGACACCCCGACCACCAAAACCTGAGTTCCACCACGATGAGCTCACTACTCCCCTCACGAAGGCCCGTCGAACAAGCATACAAATGCCCAACCTTCGTCGTGACGAGGTTTACAGTGCCCTGTTCATACTCGACAAGACACCTAGAGCTGTAAGTCGCTGACGATGCGATACTCGGGCTCCTCGTAACATCCTTCACAGATCATCGACGAGGTCATTGTGAAGAACCGCAAACATACCGGTAACTACTTCTTCTGGCTGGCAGAGGAGAGCTTCGAAGCCCTTCTCCCTGATCATACGGATGAGTTGATCAAACCAACAATCCCAGCTGATTGGCTATCTCCTTTCGTAGGCAAGAAGACAGTGGAGGACGCCTTCAGATTCATTGCCACTCTTCCCCTCGAAGCACGTTTAGACAGGCAATTCATTGCCGTCTTGGACATTCGTCTCTACAAGGAAAAGGATTGGCTCGTGATCTACAGGATCGATGAACAAGGAGAAATTACATCGATTCCTTGTAAAGCTGAGCTTACCTGCATGCAAATGCGAAGTTATGGTAACCACAACTGGCCGACGTTCATGGATGACTGGCAGCGCACCGGCAAGCCAATTCTCCGGTAGTCAGAACCCTTTTTGAGCCAATCTCCTGTTCCTCCATCCAAGCCTCGGATCAAGTTAGGGCGGGCGAGGCTCCAAGCAGTAGTCCGGGCTTGACAAATCTTTCTTATTGAGCCGGGCAAACATTAATGGTTGAGGCATCGCGAGGAAACAAGAGAATCGAATGTCGGATGAACGTCGTTGCGGAAATCACACATGAGGTGTACAGGAAGGTTGTTAAATTGTTGCTTGCTCACAATCACTGCACATGAACTTTTTTAGACAAGATCGATGTGTCTTTTGAACAAGGATCACATGAAAAGATCCGAGAAGTATCCGTGTACACAGTGTACCAAAACAATTGATCAAGCAGGTTTTCTAGAACATATTGTATCGCTTGGACCAATCAGGCTCGTTTGTGAAATTGTTTGGGCAGAGATCTAAGAGATCGTATGTGAAGCTCTCCTCCCAGAACAAGCGCAACTCGATGATCGAAACTCTCATGAGCCCAGGGAAGAGTTTGCCCTCATCTGCATTCTGACCAGACCTTGCAGACGTTGCCGGTGGGAGCCTTGTCCCGTCCAGATGCTGAGCCGCGACAACTTTGACGTATGGCGCCATTCTTTCACTTGCTTTAGCCTGCCTACTGTCAGGACTTGGCGCGTCTTTGGTGCTCTGCAACACGCTGTTGTCGATGACAACGAAGTTCTTGAAGCGTTGTAGTGGGAGGTTTTTGCTTCCGTCTGGGTCATCAGTGTCCTGAGTCGCCAGCCAGGCCGCGAAGCGCGAACGCAATTGGTCGAAAGAAGCATTTTCCAGCGATGGGTCCTGTATGAGAACATTGTCGAGTTGTGCCATTACTTCCTCATGTTCATCCTCTTCACCGCATTTTCGCAGAGAGAGTCGGGTTTCATGGTCGAGCCAAGCATCGACGAGACGGATTGCAGCTGGCCATAGATCTTCAAATTCCGGCGTATAGCAGGTGCGAAAGATGACCCAGCCCCATGGGTTGGACTCCGATCTAGTTCTCCAGAAGACATATCAAGGTGAGTCCGAATGCGAGGTGATGGTTTTTGAAACAGCTTCGTGTCGGGTCAAAAGTCCACGTCACGAACCGAAAATTATCCGCTCCGGGTGTGATGATTACTGGAAATTCTTTGGTGCGCCGAGTGAAGTGGATGACTTTAGGCGCCGCATCCAAGTGTAAGACATGAGAGATAGCTACAGCAGTTTACATGAAGAACACTTCTCAAGCGTTATGACTTTCCAACACTCCAGACTGCACTCAAGCATGGATGAATCTGAGCGAGGGCCGGCACAGCGTGATGGATATCATGGCGGACACTGGTTGGGCGGACGGTATACATGAATATCTTTCTGCAAAACTACGTCTAGGTCTTTCGAACTAGGTCGATGAACCAAACCGGCCAACAATCTCATACTAGAGTTAGCAGGATGGGCGACCGGCTCTTAGTTGGTTGGTGATCAACACTGCAAGTGACTGTCGTTTAAGGTTGTCCGCGGAAGGATTTACTTTCCCTTGTGATAAAAGTGTCACCAACCCCACGAACTACTCCCCTCTTCTTTTCTATTAGTTTTAGTCTATGGAGTACTCGATGCTGTGACATATTCATACACAAAGCATGCGTTTCCCACAAAGTGCGTCACGGCAAGATTGCTCGATATATCAACTGACCACACTCAGAAAACTCCTCTCTTGTTATCTTTCTCGCTGCACTGAGTGTGCCGATGTCCTTTGCGAAAGATGTTCCGAAACAGGAGATACTAGGTATGGACCAGGATATGGAGATTGACCTCCAAAGCAAACCAACACTTGCTCGATTTCCTATTGAAGACCTGAGTCCCACGGAATGGCAAGCCGAACATGAGCGCGTGCGTGCTGAGCTTGGTGACGAGGCTTACCTCGCTCTTCGTCAATCTGAAATAGACAAGAAGTCAGAAAGTGTTCTCAGAATGATTGTGGCTGGTCAGTTGAAATTTCCTCCAATCAAGGGCAGTCATCAGCCCGACCGCATCGGTCTAGGAGATGGACGAGAGTTCCGTATCGGCGTGGCACAGGGTGTGCCCGAGGATATCACTGACGCCATGTACGCCTCATTCGGTGACGGCGTCGATGTCGAAATTCCCGAGGAATGGCTGGAATACGAAGTGTCTGCGGAGGAGTTGGAGAGGGAAGAAAGGCAGGCAAACGAGGAAAGAGAGCAGAGAGAACAGGCTCGGAAGCTTGACATCTTGGAAGGCAGACTATCTGTCAGAGACTACGGAATGGATTGTTTGTCACCAGCAAAAGGGGCATCCGATTTGGACAAGCGAAAAACCTGATCTGATCATTACGCTGATATTCGGAGTTTCATCTACATTCAATCAGTTCTTCCTATCATATCACCCACATCCCGAGCCAAAACGTTGCGACCATCGAGGCACTCGTGAAACCGGCCCCCAACACAGCACCTGCACCACTTGACACAAGACCGTAAGGCGGGTGATTATTCGGATTCTGCTTGAGATTGGCAGCGGCTTGCACACTGGTCTCGTTGATCGCTCGAGAGCCAGCCAGGACGGTGATGTTCTCGAAATGTCCTGGGGCACTCTCGAAAGATACGACTCTATCAGTCAGCACAGGATAACATGCGTCCACTTCGGTATCGTCGGTAATCGAGATGTTTGCCGGACAGCCCTGAACACGGCCAGTCACACAGCGGTAAGTTGGAGTGAAGACAACTAGACAAAATCAGACATCAGCAAGGCATGTTTGGCATGTTTTGGGTCTATTGTTGTGAATGGACTGTGCAATACAATAATGACTTACCATTTCCGCTGGTTTCATTCTCGAATGTCACTGTCTGGTTCTCGACAGCCGCGATTGTGGTCCCGTAGAGAGCCTTAAAATCGCCTGTAGCATTCCAGAGACCATACTCGACGGCATAACTGTCGCTCACTCTAGAGCCATTCGTATAGGTAATGGAGCTGCGGAGGTTGGGCCAGCCGCCGCTGAGCACACTGCATGGAGTTGAGAAGTTGCTTCCGCTGACATTGCAGATTACGCCCGTAGAGATGATAAGATTTTCAGACTCCAGCGGTCTAGTCTCGTTGGATGTGACACTGAAACCTTGGCAGGATGTGAAAGAAGGTTCGCGGGTAGCATAGCCTGCTGCATCGACCAGAACAGACGAAGCTAAGAGCAGCATGGAGGAAGTGAAAGGTGCTGGAAACATGACTTATAAGGACTCGAGTTCGTTGGCGGACTGTTCTTCTGACGCTCAATCCGAGGGTCGATACTTGAGACAATCAGACGTGGGATAACCAGCTTTTCTTATAGGCACATCTGCGTGGCACAGCAAAGAGCTGCTAAGCCATCACAGGATCAGGCAGCTAGAAAATATGTCATTGTAGGATCGATACGCATCCTAGTCACATCTTGGCTCATGACTCGAGCAAGACAGATGGTAGTAACAGGAATGCCAAGGGCGCGACCAACACCCTGCCAAGCTCTTCTGGTCCACGCCCGCGGGTGTAGACCGTGCCGTTATTTCCGAAGGATTCGTGGCTGACATCACTAACAGAGTCTTGTGCCAACATCGAACTAACATCCAACATCCGAGTTCTCATACACTCGATCAACATTTTCTTGGACTATTGCTTCGTGATCTCACGAAGGCTTCCCTTGATCAAGATGAACGCTGCAGGCCAAGCTTCTCATCAACCTCTTCTCCAGGATTCCATCGATGGCTTCTTCCAACTCATCACGGTTGTCTTTCTTGACAGTATCGTCTTCTTCCTGACACTCGGCTTCTGCATGCTGGCTCCAAGAATATTTGTCCTTGCCGTTAAGCTTCTCACGCGATGGACCATCAATGCCGAAAACCAGAAGGCTTTGTGCTTCATATCGGGTTTCTTTTTTGCACTCATGCATCTATTCATGACTATCCTGTTTAGTGTTCATGATGAGGAAGGCTCCACACCCGACGCGCCTTCTGTCTTTTGGGCGGTCATGTGGTCTACTGGGATCGTTGTTGGGGTAGAGGGAGGATTATTGGTTGCCACTGTGATTGTGCTGCTCGGGCTACAAGTCGTAGGAGTTTGAGCAGATGGCTCATGCGATGAAGCACTACACATTGTGACAATAGACATGCAAAAGGAGACTCTTGCGCTGCAAGGCGGGACACAACTCTTCTCAGTAGACACCTACACTGGACAGCTATCAAACTTCCTGGTTGTCATTAGTGTATGGATCATAGTGGAGCACCTTAGCACGAAGAGCTTAGAAGTGTTGTCAAGAAAGTTTTCATCAGGGATAGAATCAGAAGAGGAGCGCTGAGAATGAACTGGTGAAGTCAGAGCAGCATTGGCATCTCCAATGAGTGGCATTGCTCTTGTCTTCTCAGGTATCGGCGCGGTATTCGCAGCCCCAATGTTGGTTATGACATTGTCGTCAGGTATAGCGGGTGTTGCTTGAATCTGTTCGACAGCAGGAACAACGTCCGATATATTGTCTGTGTCTAGGCCTCCGCATCCATCACAGCATCGCACTCGATCTCAACAAGCATATCAGGATCCACAAATCCACCGACAACAACCATCGTAGCAGCAGTTCCATAATCAATTCCGTTCTGCTTTCCCAGGACCTCAGTGAATGCTTCCGCTACAGCCGCACAATCCTCTTGTCGCTGTACAAACATCTTTGTGCGCACAATGCTCTTCGCACCCTGACCTCCAAGCGCTTGTATGGCTTTGACAATCTCTCCAAATGCGATCAGAGCTTGGGCTTTTGCGTCACCTAGGTGAAGGACTTTCGGGCTGGTGATATTGTAGCTTGTGTCGACGGCTGTGGTGCCAGAGACGAAGATGAAGGGGCCGCGACGGACTGCACGATAGTAGCCGATCTTTTCTTCCCAAGGAGAATTGGTGGCATAGTATTGCTTCTTCGCGATTGTGGGATCCGAAGTAGCTTGAGGGAACATGGTGATAGGCTTTCCAGTAATCTTGACCCAGCAGCGGGGAGTCCGGTTTCGATAACTTGGTTTGAACTTCGTGCGTTCAGGTAACTCACAAGGCTAGGAAAAATTGAAGGACGGAAATAATTTCTATTACAGACGGTCTGGATGTGGTTGAGAGTCGACCTTTGGTCGTGAGTCATCGAACAGCCGCACCACAGAAACGCAGCCAAGACAAGGACATACGAGCGATTCTCTTCGATTTGACATCCAAGACGCCCGACAAGCCTTTCAGATTGATTCGGTCACTGGTGGGAAGAAAGTCTCGACTCTTTCAGACAGCGTGGTTCGGAGATGTAGCTCAAGATTTGGAAACCACGATATTTCACGATCATGCGCTCAAAGAATCTACCTTCGTGGCAGCCGATCGCGATCTAGTCTATCCAGAGTGAGCATAGAAGAAATCCATCACAATAGGCGTAGCGTCAATTGGTGCTCCAGCATTGATGCTGACCCAAGCATGACCCCATCCAGCGACCTTGTAATGTGTCACCAATCCCTGCACACCCTTCGAAGCACCAAACTCGTACTTTGTCACGTTACCACCCGCCAAAGATGTGGTGCTGTTTGAGCTGGACAGTCCATCTCTGATCGCCCAATCTGTGACCCAATGTGGTACAGCTGGCAAACAATAACCTCGACGGGGTCCACCAGGATAGGGAATTGTGCCGTCCGCATCGCCGTGAAACTCGAGCATTGGGAGGTTTGATCGACCTGGTGAGCAGATCGGTTGTGTGATAGTGTTTGTAAAAACGGTCGGGGGATTGCAGGTGCCTGTCGTGTTGGTGTACTCTGCTCCAGAATTTGCTGCGAAAGTGCTAAAGCGCTTAGAAAGTGTTGGATCGCAGGCCAGAGTACCGACAAATCCTCCACCATTGGAAAAGCCAGAAGCCAGTATGCGGCTTGTGTCGATACAGTAATTAGACGACATATAATCGAGCAAGTCGCTGGTAAAGCCCAGGTCGTCGTAGTTACCTCCTACAGTAGCTGGATCACCTTCCCATTGTTCCTGGTCCAAGTCAGCTTGGATCTCCCACCCACGAGAGCGCCGAAACTTACATTTATGCCTAGTGGATATACAGAGATAGCGTAAGGATTCCAAGTCTCGCTTGATAGCTGCGAGTCGCTTTCGACTGACAGTTGGTTGTTTGATCGCCCGTGGTAAGCAACAATGAGAGGTGCGGCCTTGTTGTTCTTATATGAGGTAGGTACGTGGACGTTGAAAGACCTGACTACGCCATTGGATGTGATGTTGAAAGTGGTAGAAGAGCCTCCCAACTGGATTCCGACTGGCAATGAAGATCCACAGCCCGAGCTCGCTTTAGTGTTCCCCGAGGCTGGGACGGGATAGTTCTGAGTGTTGATCATAAATGCGCTGCTTGCAGAGGGGTTAGTGATCAAGCTCGAGAAAGCTTTCTTGAAGTAGCATGCAGTGCCGATATACGTGACAGCTGCGCAGTTCGAGGTGGCTTCACAAGCTGCAAGACACGATGTGAAGCTAGATGCAGAGGTTGAACCGAAGGACCCGGGATTCGTGTCAAAACCGCACAAAATTTGCCAGTTGGTTCCATGAGCATCAACAAAAGTGGTGAAATTCGAGGACGGACATGATAAACCGGTCGAAGCAGAAGCGCTGACGACTGTGGCCGAAGTTGATGATAGTACAGAAGTGGTCAAAGTAAATGCGACACTGCTTTTTGACGACGAAATGACATTGGCTACCCTGATGGCGGAGATGTAGTTGGCAGGTGCTGAAGGATAATTGCCCATACTCTTCTTCAGCCAACATGTCCCTACGACTAATGTCAGCACTCAGCCCATTCCCTAGGTGTGTTGATCAATCATTACCAGATCCGACACCACCAGTACCGCCAACGTAGGTGAAACCTTGACATCCAGCAGATGCTGCGGCATCGCAAGCAGTCATGCAATCTAGATACGAGGAGCTCGCGCCAGTGTTTGTATAGGAGCCGACATCATTGTCTGCTGAGCAGGTGACGAGGTAAGTGCTCCCATTGCTGTCTGTTATTGTCTGGCCATTCGCGCTGGGACATTGACTTGCAGTCGGTATCGATTGTGCATGAGCAGATATTGTGAGGGCAAGCAAAACGAGAACAGCAATTTTGCGGGCCATTATGATCTTTTCAATTTGGGGTTTTAAGCACAAGGCAGTCCCTTGGGCAGGGGCAGGAGTGAGATTTATGCCTGATGATCCATTAAAACGATATCGAAAGCCTCAATTGAGTGAAGGTAAAGTTTGCGGTGGAGGAGCCTGGTGAAATATGTATCTCCGCTCGATCGAGAAAGCATTCCTGTGGCTGACCATGACTTGGCATGTTTCGAGAGAGATATGTGATTCGGCTTGGGTATGCATATCTGAAGCAAAAACAAATACTTCCTGACATGCAGCTGCAGCTCTAGGTAGACCAGTCAGAACCATGGACAGTGACATCTTGCTTTTAGGTTTGAATATACAGTTTCGGCTGGCAAGCCTTTTGGAAGATCCAGGCACAAAGATGATCGCGCTTCGCATGAAGGAGCACCCATGGAGTTGCGGCATGGCAAAAACGCTTTTCATTGCGCACTCGGTTGGCGCTTGAGCATTCTGGCATGAGAAGGTAATGTAATGTGTTTTCCCGTGGTTTGAGCAAGGTGGAAGAAGGATGCTGAATCGTCACTAATGATGATGGAGTAGGACTCCGGGAGGAAGATCATCGCCGGCTCCGCCTCGGGTATATGCTTTGGGCAAACCTTATTCGATCGCACGATGCACTACTTGCCGCTGTGCCTGAATGAACCTTCTTCCATGCGCTTGCCAAATTTTCCCCTCAACTCTCGACTTCCTGGTCATGATTTTGCGGAGAAATATAGTACGTGGATATCGGGCTCTTGGTCCTTTTTGGTTCTAGCATTCCCTTTCAATGCGAATTGACGATACGGGGATTGCTGTGGGCGTGGTAAGCATTGCGACACAGTCCAAAGGTTGCAGTATTGCATGTGTAAGCAGTGGCGCCCTTGGCTGCATTTCTTCGCCGATAGCCTCTTGACGTGAATCTGACGGCTAAAGTTGTAAAGCAGCAAGTCAGCCACCATTTCTGTCATCTTGAAGACACAAGCTGAACATGTCCGAGCCCAGCCGTCCTTGAGTTTCAGATTGAGTATCATGATCAACTATCTGGACCGCAAAACAGATCTACCAATGTCGCGGAGGTTGTCTTGACGAAGCTCCAGCATGCTAGCTGTATTTCTTCAATATTGCACGTCCAGATACCGCCACCTTGAGGGCCCGGATGTTCTTCTTCTTTGGCGCGAATACTTTCCTCGTTCCCCGCCACGATCGTGAACTGAAATAAGCTTTTGCGGTTGCAGCGTGTGAGCAACGTTCGACATAAACACGTGGTAGCTGCATCGTCTCTGTATTGCGAATAGTATCTGTCAGCTATCTTTCACAACCGTTCGTGGTCCACCAAACCCTAGAATGCTCTTACGAACACGAAGCTGCGGTCTGCATTGCTCTGGTGAGGTCTGGACTCACACGGTCCAGACGTAACATTTACTTATACTGATTGTCAAAATTCCTGTATTTATAGCACCTGGACAGACAGCCAGGAAGACTTAGCAAGAATGATCCGGTCAAGATGGTACGCAGATGGGATGTGCCTCCTTGCTGATCAATCAGAAGCGTAAAATTACACTATCTCGATTCCTTCCGGTCCATGACTCTTTCAGATCAACAACAATCAAAGCCTCGTTCCCACCGCTTGTATGTCTCAGGGAATCTAAATAGCTGGCACTTGGACTCAAACCCAGCTCTTCTCTCACCAGACAGGAAACTCCACTTGCAATGGTCAAGTCTAGAAACTTACGAGTCGGAAGGCAAAATTTGCCCTATCCATTCTGGGACCAGTTGCACACGTTCGAGCCCAGCCGTCTTCGTAACCCAGTTTTGCGGCAATCTGACAATTTTGTCTCTATCGCACTTGTCACCACATAACATGTTGATCGTTTCCTAGCATAATAATGATGGTTATAAATGTCGTAACTCTAGAAGCTGCAGTCTTCATGCATGGAGTGTTCTTGACACAAGAGCCTCCTATGCAACAGCTCTCCGGTACAACAGGTTCGCATTCCATCAATTAGCAAACAAGACATGTTGCAAATACTTTTCCTGTTTCCTATAATGACTACAAACGGTAAAAACGCTTATCTTACCACATCTTGAAACCACCTGCTGGCATCGGAAACCATCACGCTTGCTAAAGTGTTTCGGACATTCCATTCAAGCAGTGTCCAAATCAATGCTATCTTGCGAGTTGTGACCATCGAGTTTTTATTATAGCTGAGCAAGGTAGCCAATTTTCTATCGACCCCAGACACCAACTTTGCTCTTGCCGTTGCCTTTGACAGGTGTCGCATGTAAGAATCGCTGGACAACATCCTGGATCTCTACATCTGCCATAGGCTGGTTGTTCATCAGCCACTCGCCTTCGTCGAGCTTCGCTTGCTCAACTGCATTCCTCGCTTTGGTGTGCATGGCTGCATGTATACTCTTATACACACCTTGGCATGGGTATGCAATCAATCCCAGCGCTCCAGCACCCGTCTTCATGGTCAGGTTGACAAAGCCCATACTCAAGCCTTTGGCAACACCTTTTGCGCCTTCGTTCTTCTTGCCCGCATAGGTTTTGATGAATATGTCGGTCATGCCTTCGTGAATGCCATGGACGAATGATTTTGCTGCTACGCTGCCTCCGCTTTTCCAGTCTTTGACTGCAGTGTGCTGGTATCCGTTATCGTCATGCAGTCGAGGCAGTGCCCACATGCCTTCAACAGCTGCTAAGGGGATGTCCAGTACAATACCTTTTATCGGCGAGAAAAAGAACTTGCCAGCATTTTTCGCAGATACTTTCATGATCTCTCTTGTTCTGTTTGTTGAATCACTGGAATCTGACATGATAGCACGCTGATCTTCATTCTTGCGAGGTGCCGTTGCTGTTAGATGGGTCGATGGAACTTTCTTTTTGTCACTCGAAACAGTGTCGGCCTGCTCCGCGCTTGGCTGGGTCTCATTCTCAGCACGTTGTGTTGCTCTGCTTGGACCTGCATGAGCGTCAGACAGATCCGATCGAGCTTTCGTGCTCTTATAGAGCCGATAAGGCTCGAGTACGACGCCGGCGGCAGCTCGACCAATCGAGCCGGCGGTATGTAGCGAAGCTGACACAACAGCAGAGACAGGCTCCCATCGCTTGGCATCTATGATGATGGGCTTTGAGGCATAGCTTCAGTTATAAGTCAGAGAAGTGTAGTACACCTGTACGCCTCGATCTACTCACTGTGTAAGATTTTTTGGGTTAAGCATGGCCTGTCGTGTCAGAATGGCCGCTGCTCTCTTTGACAACTTGATCAAATTACTTCCGTCTTGATATTTCCACGCAGCTGGTTCGTCTTTGATCACATCACACTTCAGATCGACTCGAAGTTGCGCGTGAAAAGATTGCACAGCTGCGTGAACACCAGCTTCTGTGCTCATTTTGCCTGCTACCTCCATGGCGGCTTGCTTGGTGCCGGGCAATAAACAGGTGGTGATTCCTCGCGCAAGAACGAGAGCACTAAGCGACTGATGAGGGGCAGGTTCTGGACCAGCGCCCGAGGCTGCTACCATGGTTCCCCAGAACGGTTGGCTGTAGCGAAGTTAGTCTGGAAACCTTCGGGACTTGAAGATTCTACTCACTCTCCGAAGAATGGTACTAAGAATGAAGGAACGCCTTTGCTTAGGCCGCACGCAGTTGTTCCAGCACCGCCGTGATGAATCACTGCTGCAACATGATCAAATAGCCATTCATGTGGACAGTCGTCAACAAAAAACACGGTATCATCCGATTTGCGATCCTGCCCAAGGTTGCTCCAACCGCGGGAGATGAGAGCCCGAACTCCAGTCATGCGAACAGCTTCAAGTATCATCTTAGTCAACGCCTCTGAATCTTGTATCACAATACTGCCGAACCCGATATAAATTGGCTGAGAACCTGCTTCAAGGAATTGACGCAGATCTGGTGGAGGTCTGTATGGTGGAGTTTCTCGGAAGAAAAATCCGCTTACGTCTATCACGAATTAGTTCATGCCAATAACTAGAGGTTGGCTGCTTGTATACCAATATGCTCTGGCCAGTCAGAAGGCCTGGGTACTAGCGCCGGCGACCAGCAATAAGTGTGCGGTATATTCAAAGTTTCTAAAAGCAGAGGACCTTCTGAGCTGGGCAGAGGCTCGAGATCCAATATTCTGGTTCGCCAATCGTTGATTAGATCTCCGATTCTACTCGCTGTCAGTATGAATCATTTCACCATCGAGACTTCCTTACCCTTGCCATGTCATCCATTCTACCACGCCATACGACATCATATTGGCAACTCTTGGACTTGTATCGGGAGAATACTTGAGATTCGCCAACGGATGCGCAAATGCCCTCGTACTCGTCCATGGCATTGTGAACATGATGTGTAGCGGTATACCAAGTGCTTGCGCACAGTGCACATGCCCAAAGCTCGGCGGGTTGGCGATAATTGCATCCGCAACGAATGGTCGTTGCGTCTTTTCATCCGGCTTGTAACATGAGCTCCAACATCCTTCGAGGATCTCTGCCAACATGCGTCGTTTGCGACCAATATCTCCCGCTCTTAGACTTGCAACGCTTGGTATCAAGCCTGGATTCTTGACAATGTACGCCATAAGCTCTGCCGGATCGCCGCCTATAGGATAGAACTCGAGTCCGGATTCCCGTACAAAATCCTCAAAGACTGCATGTGTGGCTATTCGAACACGATGACCGTGTTGTTGATGAAGTTCGCAGGCTAGAGCAACAAATGGCTGCACATCGCCTCGACTACCAACGACTTGGATGCAGATGTCAAGTTTGGCTGGACATTTGACGATAGGGATAGTTTCTCGGATTGAAAGGGCTCCTCGGTGTGGTGACGATGTCGTTTCTTCTTCTTGAACCAGTGTTGTAAGTTGACGACCTAAGGCTTCGTCTATGTCCATGTCCATGCGACCGTCGTTACGCATACCAACGCTCAGTGCATCTGGTACATTTGGTGCCACGGACTCATATGGTGGGGAAGGATCTTCATGATCCAATGTGGAGTGATTCGCACTCGTCGCTTTCATGGTAAGATAGTACAAAATAGTAGCGGTGAGAAAGGAACGATAGGACAAGTACAGACATCGAAGTACAGGTGACCACGCTAGCTTTTATGGTGTCACCCAAGGATGACGCTTGCTGCTAGCCTGACTCGATCTGCAAGCACCCTGTACCAAGATAGAAACTTTTGCCTGTGCGAAACGTTATTTGTTCAACCATATATGACCATTTATGTCCCCGCAAACACAGCCCTCATTGTTTCCATTCTCACTCTTCTCGCACTTCATTGCTTGACCACCAAATTGTATTACAAAATCACCGCTGAGTTTTTGCGCATACCTGCCTGGCTATCATCCATTCGCAATCAACCATCTCCGACCAACGAGCAAGCTCAAAAACGGATCCTACTATGTCAAACAAACCAGTCAGCCAGAAGCGCCTCGCTATGTCACAATACTGGCATGAAACAGGCTTCACCGGCACAATCGCGCGCGCAACACTCCGTACTCTTCAATTCGTCACCTCCATCATCCTGCTCGGCATATACGGTAACGATCTGTCGCATTTCCCTCCATCTCGGGTTTCCAATACCGACTGGATATTTGCTATGGTTGTAGCCCTCCTCTCAGCTGCCACCTGTATATTGCACTGTTTCCTTACCATCAAGAGACTTGGTTGGATCCTCTGGGATTTTGTCTTGTGTGTGCTATATGCAGCACTTACGGGTGTATTTGGAAGAACTTACCTGGGTAAAGTGGAGTTTCAGGATGGAGAGGTGACGCAAAGTGTGGCTGCAATGAGAGCAGGAGTGGCGTTTGCGATAATTGGGATGGCGTTGTGGTTGATTACGTGGATCCAAGGAATCAGTTGGTGCTGCATCGTAAGAAGGATAACCAGGAGAACTGATAAACCAGATGGACCGGAGGATGTTGAGGTTGTAGAGTTGGACAAAGTTTCTGAGGCTCTCTAGATGATGTTTTGTTGGGATGGACTTGCGCTGAAGGCGTTATTAGGGCTTCTGTATGTGTGAGGGAAACTCAGCAAGAATATCTCACATTACGTATAAGTAGTTGTTGAATACTCGAACAAAGTACGTCATGCGATGCGGAAAGTCGTTAGGAAGTCCGTATGGTACCGTATACCCCAGAAGCGCTGAGTTTGCGTATGGTACCCGTATACTGAAAGCCGCGAACTTTGATTACCCTTCCTTCTGGCCTGATCATGACACTTCATAGTAAGATGAATGTTCGAGTCTGTCAAAAATCGACCGGTTAACCAGTAAATTCTAAGACAGCCGTTCAAGAGGACCTCGAGCTGCACGCGCATAATGTCCCTTGGCAGGCTATGCCAAGCCTCGATGAGCGAGGACCACGGTTCGACCCTGTTTGGAGCCGTGTCAGAGTCTTGCTACAGGCTCGTAAAATATTCTTCTAGATTTAGCTGACAAAAGCCTCAGCCTTACGAGCATAATAGTGTGGCGATTGATGCAACTAAGTTGTTTTTGCATGGCTCTAACTAAACTGGTTCCATTGGATCAATTCCAGTAGTCACATGCGACTTGGATTTATGAGATCAATTCGAGATAGAGCAGCAATCTACATTTGCTCATGTTCGTTTCGTAAGCAACTAAGCCAAAAGGACAAACATGGCCAACATGATTCCTCCTTACAGGCAAGCGGCATCTTCGCGGACTTTACTCAGCGCCCGAGAGGCAACGGAAAAGATCCTAGAGAGTCATCAAGGCCCATACTCGTCGCGAGGATCTGTAAGCGTACCACTATTAAAGATTTGTATGTGATGTGAAATTAGGAATCACAGTTCAGAGGATACTTCACATAGGAAGAGTCATTCATATAAATGATCCGTTGTTGGTAAAATAGAAGAGAATACAGCCCTGGCAGACAATCACCAGGGGTACCAGAATTCAAGCATCGAACATGATTATTTACAGCTTTGCCGTTCAGAATTGATCGCAGCGGATAAAGCTCGCGCCTCGACAAGGGTCTGCTCGGATGACAAGGACTAGATTCTGTGTATCTCTCAATTGAGAGTGCCGGAGCTTGGATCAACTTCAGGAGCAGCTCGAACATAAGCATAATCGAAAGCCTTTTTCTCAATTTTATCGCAACGCCCAGATGTAGCAATGCCGGAGAAGCGTTGTTCGATCCACTTCAACCAATCTACAGCACCCGTAGTGAGTACGCCAGAGTGATCTTGCTTAGCATATAGCATCAAATGAATCTCGCTTCCGGTTTGGCAAGCAGCGTTGTAGGAGGACACGGTCGTCTCGGCAAGAATTGCAGTATCGTTTATGCCTTGAACAACAAGGATTGGGTGATGAGCCTTGGTCCCTTGCGTCGGCGCAGTCTGGTTCTGAAATCTGTAGGCAATTTCCGCATCCAATTCTGACAAGCCGTTCAGATCTCCCACTTGAGTGAAGTTGAGATCTAGCGTCAATCCTAACATCGCGCTAGCGCAGAGCTGAGCGAGATCTGAAAGCTCTATGCGGGCTTTCATGGGATCGGCGAGAATGGAATGGTTGTATCGTGAATCGAAACGCTTCAATGCTATCGAGAGCAAGGGCAACAAACTGAAAGCAGAAGAGTCGTGGAAATCTGTAGATACAGCAAGCTGGGATGCTGCTGTGACAGCCATGTCGATGATCCTGGTCGCAGGTGCAAGAGCAACAGTCCCCAGATAATTCCGTGCCTCATGTGTCTGGTTGCAATCTGAGGACAGACTCTGAACATCCTCGGCTAGCTTCCAAACGGCACCACCACCTTGGGAGTGCCCAGCTGCCATCCAGTGCTTGGACAGTGTGCGACCAAAAGCCTTGCGCGCAGCAATTACGGAGAAAAAAACATCTTTTGCATGCAGAGGGAAGTTGCCATACTTGTGTGTGGTATAATCAACACCCAGTCCAGTATAGTCAGTGGCGACGATGGCATATCCCCTTTCACTCATTAGGGACCAGCTATCGTAATCCCATAAGTTTGGACTGTTTGATACCGCGCAGCCATTGTAAGCACCAATGGTACCGTGAGCCCAAGCCATCAAAGGAAAAACACCAGATCGGGGAAGAGCGAAAGGTAGAATAATGGCTCCACTGACCGGCACAGGTGCACCGTGCTCATCTTGGGAGACGTACTGCATTCGATAGACGGATACGCCAGAAATAGTGGTGAGATTGGTTGGATCGATTGGCTTCAGCTTGAGTAGATCTCCAGGTCTGGAAGTATCGCTAAAGTTCGTCGCGACACTGAAAAATTCGAAGTCGAAATCATACCCGAGCGTAGAAAGGTCCGCTTCATTGCCCATCTGAAGAGTTGCATAGCATTGCTCGGCACATCCGTATGATTCAGCTGTCTGGATAGACACATTGAAGTTGGAGCCCTGTGTAGCCGAAACTCGAGGCGCAGAGATGACAAGGGAGATCAAAGAGGAGAGAAGCATACTGGAAGTGAGGCAAAAAGTGCAACATGATGGTTTGCACCGTAGGGCGCATGTCTCCTTATGTGGTTCGTGATACGTCTTGGGCGTACTTGCCAATTCAATCAATCGTCCACCATTGCATTGTGTGGTGGAGCATCGAGAGCAGAGATTCCTAGGAACGTCACGACATCTCGCTTGGACTTCGAGCCTATTCGAATGATTGACGATCTCGCGGTTCTGTTCAATGAGGAGCGTATCCGAGCTAGAGGGCTGTTCCTGCTCGCTGAGCCCTTGTTGTAGTCTCCTCCTTTGTGGTGTGTATTACACACGACTGACCAATCAGACATTGATCCGAGAGATGCGTTGGGGTCTCAGTCTGAGGTCGGCTTGACACAGGTTAGGGCTTCGGACTCGCGATCGTGCAAATTGCTCTTGCCAGAAACTTAACGATATTAGTGGCGTACAAATCTATCGACGAAAAATTTCATAGATAGCTCTTCGCTAGTGACTGGTATACGTCATCGAAATGCTTGATATTGTGACACCATCTCAGGCAGCAATACTCACCTCATCCCGCTGACATGACTCTACGCCTGGACCACTTCGTCCGGCGAACGTTTCGTTGGGCAGCCACTCACTTCCGATGCTTATGAGCTTCTCTTCCACACATTCATTGCAGTACCCATGTCTGCAGTGCCACCTAGCGGTAGTCGAGGGAGTAGGAAGCTCAAAGTTCGCACTGGATGCATTACCTGCAAGGTCAAGAGCGTATAAATTATCGGCTTGTGGACAACCTACTAATACGATCAGTAGCTACGCAAGGTCAAGTGCGACGAGGGCAAGCCTTTTTGCAGGCGCTGTATTGATTATGGTCGCGAATGTGATGGTTATACTACACCGAAATGGATGCCACTTGACATTGTCACCGGTCGTCAGGTCATGTCGTTGGTGCAGCGGCGTCCTGTTATCAAGGCTCCGGCTCTTCGACCTCTAGCTCCAGCAGGACCAGATATAGATGTCGCTTTTCTATCACAGTCGCTTTCTGGTGAGGAACGTCAATGGCTTGAGTTCTTCAGTATCCGAACAGGGCCTGCACTTTCAAGCGATTCCAGTAGATCTTTCTGGTCGTATACTCTGCCCCAATTGAGTGTCTCAGAACCAGCCGTTCGTCATGCTCTGCTTGCGCTTGGTTCAGCTCATGCTCGGTTCGAAGCTGCGGCAGCAGATGAACGGTTGATCACCACTGTTGTTGGTCTTGACTTTGTTCTATGGCATTACAACAAGTCCATCATCTCCTTGCAAAAGCTTCTGAAGAAGAACAACATGGGAACTGATGTGGTCTTATTATGCTGTCTACTATTCATCTCCCTGGAATGTCTCGATGGCAACGGGAATGCCATAATAGGTCATCTACAGAACGGTTTGAATATACCACAATCGGCACAGTCTCCTGAGACATCGTCCAACGCGAGAATGTCATCAATAATGCATCAAGTTCGCCCTCTCTTCACCGGGTTGAACGCGCAAACAATACTTCTCGGACAACCAGCTCATTATGCAGCTGTTGACATGGACGTCATGCCATCGCTGTCCGTACTAACGCGTTTCGACAACTTCGAAGACGCCAGGATATCTCTTGACGTTCTCGTGACCTCAACTCTGGCCTTCGTCCATAATATCCACGACAATATTTATTGGACAGGATCGTGCCCCCGATCAGCGGGAGCTCATCAGAGATATCTTCAGGGACAATTTCTGGTCTGGAGCCGCAGTGTGGCCGCTCTTGTCAAGTCTTGCAAGCCTTTCACAGCTTACGACAACGAACGCGAGAAACTGCTCCGTGTACAGCACACGGCAGTCTCTGTCTGGCTATCTCGCAGCACCAGACTTGATGAGGTCAGCTGTGATGATTACATAAAGGAGTTTCACTCAATTGTCAAATGGTCGAACATCTTAGCCAGCCCGATCCTGACGAGGTCTCAGGGATCCTTTCTGGCAGGCAGGCTTGCATCCTTGACCGCCGGAGGATCAGCGAAGTTTTCACTCCACATGGCATACATTGCTCCTCTGTACTTTGTCGCGCTCAAATGTCGTGTTCCAGGCATCAGGCGAAATGCTGTTGCTATTTTGGAGAAAACCCACGGTAGAGAAGGCTTATGGGACGCGAAACTACATGCTCGAGTCGCTAGACGTGTCATCGAGATAGAAGAGAGCAGCACTTTGTTGTCCCGTGGAGCGATACAGGTGTCCATGGAGAATGGACCATTGATGCGAATGCAAGCAGATGGTGAATTTAAGATGCTGGATGAGCTCCCTCATGAACGTTTTCGAGTGCACGATGCGGAGATTCGAGGGGTTTCCAAGGGATTGCGCGCGATTTGTCGTGTGGTCTTTCACACGGCCCCATATGGACTCCTAGCAGGCTGGAAAGTATGGGAAGAAGTGATCCATCTCTAATTGCCACATATGGGTCAGATTTAAGGAGCTAGGATTCAGTGGGCGGCTCTAGCAGGATCGTGGGTCAATCTCCGTGCCGGTCAAACTAATGCTTGAGTTCAGTGTCAAGAAACAGGTCACTCTATATAGTACACCCTCTGAAGGTTTTGTGGATTATCATTAACTCAGCTAAGAAGGCAGTCACAAGGAAATCAGAAGGAAAGCTCATCAGTCCCGAAACATTAATGATTCTCTGGTCACATACCTTACTGCCATTAGTGATCGTCTGGTCGTCACTCGAACTAAAATTTCTTTCCACATGGGCGACCATCTCAATATGCTTATTAGTAGAGAAATGAAGAAGGTGAAGCTGCGATTAGGAACCTTGTTCGAGGCTATGAAAACATGGACACAAGATGACATAGAGAAGCGTATATATGTCCACTCCAGGCCCTTGAGCCTACACTTCTTGAGTACAAAGCATTTGAATCCCTGGCCTGCACGATTCAACTACGACCTCAAGGATGAGATTGGAGAGGACAAAGAATAATCATGATGAGCAACTCACAAATCCACCGACTGTTACCCTCTACAACTGTCTGCGCATGATGTGCTGCGAGCAACATCATATCCTGGCTTTCCCGTGCCATTTTACCAATCACTGTCTTCCGGATCTCTCACCGTCACACTTCCGGGGAATAGTGTGTTGCAAAGTGCAGCGGCTGAGAGTGAATCCGAGGAGATGTAGATCCTTGTCATGACGGGCATTAAAGACCGTAACATAGCTGCAAATGGCTCGGCTCGTTCAAGGGCCTCATTATATCTGCCATCTGGTCAGCACATTGTCACTTGTGGCTCTCTGGAATCTTACCTGCTAGCAGGGAACTCGCATATGCTACCTAGGCTAGGCCATTCCATTCGTGGAAATAGTGGATGCTTAAGTTTGTACCAGTCTTCGAGATTGTGATTCCACCTAAGTGTCATGTCTTTCAGCCTGGGACAGGACTTTGCAAGACCACCAATAGCGGCCTCAGTAAGTTGATCGCCCACGTCCCAGTGTAAAAGGAGCTGCTCGAGCAGGGGATAGCTTGCAACAAACTCCTCAAATAGGGAATCGGTCATCCAAGGTAGCTGCAGCTCTTCCAAAACTTGGCTATCATATGGCTTTGACATCCTCAGGCGCCGGAGCCTCCGAAGCATGCGAAGCTTTCCAAGGTCTTCTTGACCAACATTCTCGGAGGGTGGCAGAGTGAGGTCGAGTTTTGTCAGCTGAACCATATTGCCTATGGCTGTGTAAAAACTTTCGTTTGGATGTTGGACCTCTAGCTTCAAAACGGTAATCGAGCGAGAGCTTAGGAGTCGTGATAAGGCCTGTGCATCGCCATTCAAGTTAAGATCTCGGACGTTTCTGAAGGGCAAGATATTACACTGTTGTTGATCTAGGAAGGCGAGATGTTCAAACGTGATCCAGTGGCCAAGCGCTAACTCCTGTAGGGAGTCAAGATCACATAAAGCAGACAAAAGCTCGCTTATATCGGAAGGAAGATGGCTCACGCTGACCTTTCGAAGTACCCTTGTCGATTGAACGAATTGCAATAGATGGGATGGGTTGACATGATCCAACGGACCGTGAAGTCTGAGGTCCTCGAGCGTTTCTGAGATAGGCCCCACCAAACCTGCTAGGACATCGTCGACGATCCGTTGGTCGAGTTCGTACAGATCTAGCAATTTAAGACAACGACGGGTCTGCAGGAAGTTTACAAGCAGTGCGGAATTGGTGAGACTGGGGTCGTACACCCGGAGGGAGTGAAGATCAGGGCATCTTCGATGGACAAGACTGATTGACTTGTCAGTAAAGGTGTGGTCGCCCCAGTACCCAAGAGATCGCAGTGACGGTTGAATGAACGATGCAGGATTTACGTGATCCGATCCTACGAAACTCAGTGACCTGAGTGATCCGAACTTCACTTCTTGGAAACTAGGCTCGCTTCCCCGCAGGGATAGTTTCCGGACTTTGTTTGCAAGGACTCGACGTCTCGACTTGGGAACCATGGCAGCGATATGTGTCAATGCTTTTTCAGGAGGCTGTGCCCAAAGCTGATCGACAGCATATGCGTTCCACACTGTGTTGACTTGTGCCATGGCATACAGTGTAGGTGGATCGAGATAGCTCATCACCATGAGCTGTAACTCGCTAGGTAAGCGTTCGAAAATCATGGCGATGGTCTCTTATGAGGGACCGTAATCCAACGAAAATTAAGATATCGAGAGAGTAGCGCCAGAACAACAGAGGTTGAGAAAGAAGAGTCACGAAGGAAGCGCCAAGACGTACCGCAGTCGTGATATTAAGCACTATCCATGTTTGAGCCAAATTAAGCGAGATTTCAGCTCAGAATTTGGGATTTATTTTTGCCGATGTGTAGCTACGGCCGACTGTCGATAGAGGGTAGAACGCACTTTCCTCAGCTTTTGATTCAATTGCAGCACAATGTTGTTTCCAAAGATTGGATCTGTACATGATTTGTAAACAACGACTCGCGATCGTCAGTTCCTCTTGTATCATTCTCACTTGCCATCCTCCATTTCAGTCTCGACTTGCCCATTCAGTATGTAGCACTCCCCATCTGACCCACAAACTCTGTGACCTCTTGCTTGTACGACTGCTTATCCTTTCACTTCTTCTATGACTAAGTATCGACCAGCCAGATGCGTAGGACGCGACTAGTGTCTTTTATCATAGACATCACGAGTTCGGGCATTGCTGTTTCTCCACATCTTCACAAAGACACTCACACTTGAAGTAACCAGATACTGTGTAATACGAGAACCTACGAGTTCTGGTATTGTGGTGTTGTCATTTGATATAGAAGAGATACACCGAGGATCCAAGTCTTATGGCAAGTCTAAGAAGGGGCGCCATGCACCTCCAATTGCATTCAAGAGGAAAGATTCAAGGATCGAGAGCGACGTGCTGTATCCAGTGGCGCTAAAGTCAACGTTATCATATTGATGGGCAGCCGGCAGAACATTTCAGATTAGGCGTTCGAAACTGGTAAAGTGATCGAAAATGCAAGTGTCATTGGGACATTCACATCTCCATCTCATCGCTGATCCTGCTCGACTGCAACCCCAAGTCTTGCCTCAATGCGTTCAAAAGACTACTGGGCATCCTGTCTCCCTGTCTCACCCATACAGCCTCCCTACACTCTCTTGCCGTGGGTCTACTTGTGACGTCCTCTCTCAACATCCAATTGATGGTCTCTGTTGCCCACAAACCCAAAGCCTTGGTCTCTGTATGTGGATGAAGAAGAGCTTGCGTACACAAGTCCCTGCACACCATGCCCAGAGCCCAGACATCTGCTTTTGATAGTTGCTGTGGGTCGTGTCCTTGAAGAAGAAGCTCGGGAGCTGTGTAACGTGCTACCGGAGCAGGGACACATTCGTCCTCCAGAAAATGAGTAGCAAGACCAAAGTCAGCCAGTTTGAACAGAAAAGAAGATTTCGAAGTCCAAAAGACGAGAATGTTGGCTGGTTTTAAATCTCTGTGGACAAAGCCCTGGTCGTGGATATACGTCAATGCAAAGAGGAGTTGATGAGCGATTGTCTGTGCAAGCGCTTCATCCAATCGAGATATTCCCAGCGCAGAGTAGGCAGAGTAAAAGTTCAGCAGATTATAGTCTGCAAGTTCGGTCAAGATACACGCGTTCCAAATTCCAGTCATCGTGTCAGGCACACCACCTATATCTTCCAGAAGAGCGATGTTGGGATGCGACAAGGTTGTCAGAAGTGTTGCTTCTTCACGGAAACGCCGTAATTGAGCTGATGTCGAGGTCTGAAGCACTTTCATCGCAAAGAGTCTGTTGGATTGTGAATGAGTGACACGATACACAATCCCGTATATGCCGATGCCGAGCGTTGATTGGACGACATAGTTTCCATTACGGTTGTAGGATGTTGCGATCGTGTTTGCGGGTAGTGGTGTGGGTATCAAGTCGGAAATTGTATTGCCCATGACGCGGATCGAGGGCAGCTTCTTGGGTGGTCGCGATCTCAGTGGATTACCAGGCAGCAGTCTTTGACTATCTGTGACTGGAAAAGCATTTTATACGTGAGGGATTACGCCATACATGTTTCTCAAGTTCAAAGGACAAAGCTGAAACAATAAAGCTGTATCGATTAGCGCTGCAGACAGATGAGATCTGTTTTGCCGCCTTGTTTTGCCCTAAATGTTTGTCTTGGACATTTTTGCAACCCTTTGTCAAGCAAAAGAATTCTTCCCAAGTGGTTGACAATATAATGATTGCGTGCAGTTGTCTTTGTCGAAGAATGAGCGTTGCAGATTCATGCAGTGACAAGCAGTGTCCCGAGACATACTAATATTGAAACGATGCTGAAATATTGAGACGATGTTGAAGGAAACGCGATGGAAACAAGACAAGAAGGGTAGTATACGTTGAGGTGGTAGTATCGGTATGGGTGGTAGCTAAAAGGAAGGCAACAGTAACAGCAACGTTTCCTCAAGCTTGCCTGGCCCGCGCGCCCCACAACGCAGAGTCGCTCTTTCTTTGTTCGTCGGGTTTGATTCAATCAGATTGATGTTGGTCAGATCCATGTTAGTCCGCGCGTAACATATACGTCGTCCTGTTTGCATAACCAAGCGACTTTTTGATGTTGAATAATCATCATGTTGCACAAGCCTTTGGCTAGCTGTGCGCGAAAAATGGTTGGCAGGTCGTGACGACAGTCTCAAGAGGAGAAGTGAGATAACACTCGTGCTGAAGTTATACAGATGCATAAGAAGGTCTAGAGCTGGCGGAAGTTGCTGATCTCAAAGCCTAATAACGCCACAACGAATAGCATCAAGCGGCTCTGTGGATACGAGTCTCGCGGCTCAACGAATGTGAGCGTTGTAGGAGAGAGAGTCCGGTCGACTATGGCGGGAAGTGGCCGAACATTCTCCTTTGTACAGGCTAAAAGAGTTTTCCATAGTAAGTACGTCCATGCCGGTAGTGTTAGGAGTTGGCCAAGAGAAAGGAGCAACTCATCATGAGAAAAGATGGTGGTAAAGAAGGGTGAGGGCGGACTGGAAGCGGCCGATTGTTAGAGTTGCGGGAGCGACCCCAGATGAAAGCCATTCTGGGTAAGAGATCAACATGAGGGACAAAAGGATTCGAAAGGCAGAAGGTAAAAATGCAAGAGTCGGCTTAACGTTGCTCGCGGCAGGAGCAAGACATGTCGACGGGTGAGACGGTCCCATTTGCGAGCGACATGTCGCGCCTTTCAACTGACCTAGACATGTCCATATTGTTGCATCTTCGATCGAAATTCTCATGTCTTGATCGCGTCGACAGCAAACCATCGTGTCTAGACTGTTGATCGTCAAAGTCGCCCAAGATCCGCGGAGGCTTGTCCGCCGCCGTGAACATGTCGACAACATGTCAGAACCTGTCAAAGCAAGTCGCACCAAGACCAGTGAACGTCGGACGTCCTTCTAACAACATATGTTGCTACTCGTAGACACGTCAACGATACGCTGCTCACCGCACTCGCCCAGAATGCCGCCCTGCGCCTCGGCTGTGACTGGGCATTTGTGTCGCTCATGGACAATGGCCTACCGCACGTCGTCGCAGAGGCTGGCCAGTCGACCATGCTGTGCGCGACCACGACACAAGGCTCCTCCTCGCAACAAGCCTTCCTGAACCGCATACACTCCGAAGTCGTTTTCCAGAGTCCCACACCTTCGACCCATGACCCAACCAACGACATCGCCGACCAGTCCCGACACATTGTCAAAGACTTGCGTCTTCTCACAAAGGGCCGTTCCGCCGCCGAGTTCCCCACCACCTTGGCCTACGCTGCTGTGCCTATGAGGGCAGCCTCAGGCCGCCTCATCGGAATGTTCGCCGTCATCGATAGCACTCCACGAAACGATTTCGCAAACAGCCAAACATACTCCGTCCTCAGCGACATTGCTTCGGCCATCCTGAGCCATGTCGAATCTCAGATAGCCCAGTGCGACAACAACAACCACGACATGCAAGCAAAGTCGGACCTGTCCACATTCCTCGAACACAACAGACCCCAGCATCCAAGACACCTCGACTCGTCGAGATTACCCCCGACTGTCGTGCGCAGTCTTACCAGCGATGGCCGCCGCATCTCGACCTCAGCCACTTCTTCCTCGTCTGATGCCACTTCTCTTACCCAATCCCTCGACCAGATTGTCACTTCAGATGCTGGTACACCTCTCACCACCCCAGCAGACGACGCTTCCGCAAGTTACTTTGTCAAGCCGCCATCAATCCCTGCCTCAATTTCATTCTCGACAAACAAGGATCATGTAACCCAACCAGAAGATGCGTCAGCGAAGTCAGGCAGACATCGTGCTCAAAAAACACTGGCGTCCGCTGCTGGCTTGATTCGTGCCGCCCATCAGCTCGAGGGTCTGGTAATCCTGAGCACCGCCTCTATCAGCACAGACAACATTCATGATCCTTCCGACAACAGCATGCTTCATCCATCCTCGCTTTGTGACAAACTCGTCACTTCCATCGTTGCAAACACAAACACTCCGGCACGCATTGACACTTCAATGTCTGTCGAGCATGACTCTCTTCACTATCTCATTTCACAATTTCCTCAAGGATGTGTCTTGAAGACTGAGGACAAGGGTGTTTCGGCTTTGGTTAGCATGGGCATCTCCAGGACTGGGCCCGCTCGGTACGAAGAACTGGTTGAAGCCTCAGCAATCCCTTCAGACTTGCAGCCCCTGCTTGAAAAGGCTCAGTCACTAGTTTTCATCCCCTTGTGGGATTCGGCTCGACAAGCCTTTTATGCTGGTATGCTTGGTTGGCCCTCAAATCCAACGCGCGTCTTCACTGAACACGATCTACTGTCTATGTCCATTTACGGCAGAATCTTGACTGCAGAGGTCACACGTTTCGGTGAGTATTTCAGAAATTTCAGTTCATGACCACTGCGACTGACTTTTACAGATGCTACCGAGACAGAAGCTACAAAATCTGATTTCGTTTCGTCGCTTAGTCATGAGTTGCGTTCACCATTGCATGGGTGCTTGGCCGCTGTTGAAGTTTTGCGAGACACCAAGCTTGACAAGTCACAGACTGATCTGCTTGGAATGATTGAGAGTTGCGCGTCCACACTTCTCTACACCATGAATCATCTTTTGGATTTCTCCAAAGTCAACCATCTCGATCGTGCACAAAGTATGGGTCGTAGAGGATCTTCATTGAGCACAACGACACAGAATACACCTCGCGAGCGATTTGGTCAAACATCCGAGGACTATCTCTGTCGTGTTGTTCAAGACGTGGTCGAAGGTGTGGCATATGGGCATCACCGAGAGCAAGTAGCCCACCGGAAGGACGTGAACGCCCCGACCCAGGACGCTACCATGGCTTTCGGGATTGAGGATGAATTGAAGACCACTGATGATGTGGCCGTCTTCTTGTTCATGGAAAGTCATGCAGCCTGGTTCTCATTGTTTTCAGCTGGTGCTTGGAAACGATTGGTGATGAATCTGTTTGGCAATTCGCTCAAGTTCTGCTCGAGCGGCCACATCGAGGTGACGCTGAAACTTTTACCCGACCCTCAGAATCCGAAGCGAAGGATGTCGCATCTAATGGTTCGTGACACCGGCATTGGCATGAGTGAGGAGTTCATCAAGCACTCACTATACCGACCATTTTCACAGGCCAACTCCCTCACCATGGGAACCGGACTCGGACTCAGCATTGTCAAACAAATTGTTGACGACATGCAAGGAGTCATCCATGTCGATAGCTCTTTGGGTATTGGTACGCAATTCGATGTGTTTGTCCCTGTGGTCGAACGAGAATCGATCCCTGAAGGTCTTACACTGAATGGTGGTCAAGTACTGGATCCAGATGAACTTCTCCGTGGCCTTACCGTCTGCTTGCTGATACCTCATCGTGCTACGACCGAGAGCAACTTTTCTTCGCTCGAACGTACTCGTTTGGTACACTCGTATGTGAGCAGAATCGCGCAGAACTGGTTCAACATGAAGGTCGTCTACGCCAAAATGGAAGAAGAGGTTGATGCAGATCTCTATGTCGCTGAAGCTTTCAACCACGCCTTGGTCAGGAGAAATCGCACAATCTTGGTTGGCAACCAGCATCAGTTGGCACAAATTAGAAGCCAATCTCCGCACGACTTTGTCGAGTTGATGTATCCGCTTGGGCCACGGGCACTCGTCCGCGCTCTTCACACGGTTATAAAGAAGCCGAATGATCAAGTTTCCCGACTTCCTACTCTTGTCACTACCACAGATTCGCTGACGCAGGTATCCGAGAACGTGGCTGCTTCTGCGGATGTCGCAGCGGTGGAATGTGAGAAACAGATCGAACGTCCCAAGTCTTCTGACACAATAATTCACAAACAGCCTACCAAGACAGAGCATCTTCTACTGGTCGACGACAACTCGATCAACCTCAAACTGCTCTCAACTTTCATCAAGAAGATGGGCATGGATGCGTGTACAGCAGTTGATGGAGAAGATGCACTGTTGACATACAAAGCATATGCTCAACGCCGGCCCTTCACCACCATTCTGATGGATATCTCAATGCCAAAGATGAATGGCTTTGAGTCCACTCGCGCAATTCGCGACCATGAAGTCGAGCACAAGCTACCGCGGTCAAGGGTCATTGCATTAACTGCGTTGAGCTCCGAGGCCTCACGCCGTGAGGCCGAAGCAAGTGGACTGGATGAATTCTTGGTGAAGCCCGTCTCGCTGAAGACACTGAAAAGTCTCTTCAATCACGAGTCGTGATTGGTCAGACTCGGATCTTTTTCTTATGCACTGACATGCCTTTATGAATTTCACATCTAAGCGATTGAGTCTTGTTTTGGAACATAATGCTTTTTCTGTTTCGAGCAAAAGGAACATGACGGCACTTTTGTTCTTATAGCATATCTTGTTGGAACCACAGCATCATGCTTCGCTTTCACAAGGACAATCAAGGAGAAGATAACACTTTGTCTTGACGCCTCCATCTTTTTCTTGCTTTCTTACTCATGTATACCCTAAATTCTCAGTTGCATATATCAATAATTCCATCTCCTTGACTGCTGCCTGCTTCTTGGGTTTTCCGGGTGTTCCAGGGGAGGGAGTCATCTTTTGGGCATTTGTTCTTCCAAGAGGGCTCTCTTGATCTTATTTTTAGTATATATCGATGGTAAACATGATGTATGCCATCTCTTCATTGAGGTGTGTCCTGGCAAAAACCGCTTGGACACCACATTCTCCTAACGAGTATGGTATTATGCATCTCTTCGACGATACTAAACCAGAGAAAAGCAGGAGTTCGAGAACGACTAACGTGTCTCAGTTGTGAAATTTCTAGTTGTCGTGGGCGTAAAGGCTGTATCAGTGGAGTTTTTGTTTTTGTGGTGAGTGACTGCGGTATTCGAATAGGTAAGCGAAACCAGTGAAAAGATCCAGATGGTGATTTCAGGTGTTTGGGTTCTGAAATGTAGCAAAGCAAGTCATGCAAAGGGTGAAAAGGGTTTTCAGTCACTGCATATACTGGGGGCATGGATATGCCCGCCACTTGAGGGACTAATAGGAAGATGACGATACGGAGAAGGTCTGGCGAACATTTAACGAGCCACTGAAATTTTTTTTTCCCCCCAGAGGCACATGGACGGAAATGAGGACAAAAGGCAACATGACAGCATAGCACAAGCATAACTATGTTTCATTTTCTAATTATCTCTAACCCCTTTATCTTGCTGTTACTTTTTTCCTTTTCTCCTTGTCTACTCAAGCATTCTATAAACCTGCTCGCGAGTTCACTGGCGTAACATGCATGTGAACAAGTTTGTCCATCTGTGCATTCCAACTATCGCGGAACACTTCTTCGGAAAAGCGTTTGGCGCTTGTTCTTGCTCGTTTGCGCATGGCTAGTGTTTCTGAAGGTGACTGGTTTAGTGCTTTGGCAAAGCCATCAGCAAATTCTTCAGGTGACTTTGCATGGAAGCCTGTTGAGGGAAGTGTCAGTGAATAGGTTGCGAGCATGTCGGATGTAGAGACTCACCAGTTGGTTTTCCATCAATCGGGACCACGATATCGTATTTAGGGCCTCCGCTATCATCGACTACGGAGATGAGGCCAGCGGCTTGGTACTCGACAACACCGATGCCAAAGTGTTCGTTCCACATGCCATTGACACCGATCCAACTGGTTCTCAAGCGATTCAGGATTTGGGACCATTTTGCGTCAATGACAAAGTCGACGTGGTCAGCAATGTGTTGTTCGCGTGCTAGCACGCGGAGTTTATAGACTAGCATCTTGTCTTTTTCGTCGCGTACTGAGCCTACGAGGACTAATCTGGGAGTATCCTTGTCGGTGGTCTTTTGACGGCGCAAGAACTCGGCAAAGGCCGTGATGATGTTTTGGTGATCCTTCTCCGGGCGGAATTGTGCAATGTAGAGTATGTCCTTTCTCCTGCTCTTTTCAGACTCCTCGGAGACTTCAATCTCTTGTTCTAGTTCTTCAACGGCGACAGGAGGGAAAACGACACAGGTGTCGCGTGTCCAGCGTCTCTTTTGACGAGTGCGGCCCCAAAGGGCTTTGATGTGGTTTTGAGTCCAGGTCGAGTTTGTCATGACGACGTCAATGGAGCCGCCGATCCAACTGTATAGACGGGCAAAGAGGTGCCAGTATGCCTTTTTGGCTTTTCCTTTCCAACCACTTCCTGAGCCTGCGTTGACACCGCGGCCAGAGGCGTCGAGGCTTCCTAGCATATCGGTAGAGATGGTGGGGTAGTGGACGTAGGCGCCAGTAGGGACGTCGGGGAAAAGGAAGTGCGACATGGCGACAGTAAAGGCGTAGCCCATTGTATCGATGAAGATGTCAGGGACGACGAGGTGGAAGGCATCCCAGCCGACGATCAAGCTGCCGATGCTCTGGCCAAGGAGAGTAAAGTGAGGCCAGTGTTGAGCGAGGAGGAAGTCGCGAGTGCTGAGATAGAGGAAGGTGAGACGAGGGGCGTGGAGGGGAATGTTGAAGCGGTTCTTGACGTTGGCGATGATGGTGTCCTTGTCGACGTCGTGATCGCCCGTGTAGACGACGCAGAGGGCTTTGGGGTAGCGCTCTTGGGTTGCGCGGATGGCAGCCCAGAGGACTCGCTCGCCGCCTCCGCCTGCATTGCTGTGTCTGGTGTCAGTGATTTGTCGTCATGAGTGGTGGAGTGAGATTACCAGAAGGGGTGGAAGAAGCCAATGATGCCTTCCCATTCACATGCTAGCTTTCCGGCGTAGTCTCCCCTGGCTAGACGATCCTTGTTGGCTGTGGAAGGGGATATCTTCTCTTCATCGGCAGCCCTCTTGAGCAGCAGCTCTCTCCTTGTCTGTGACCTGGCGCGAACAGTGGATCCGATGTTCTGGGCAATGAATCGGAGAAAATATGGGAGGAACAGGTAGGTCAGACTGACGGTCAGGGCCGCCAGCGATATCAGCAGTGCTAGACCAGGCATGCTTGGACGAGTGTCATGTCATGATGGATTTGATTACCAGCTGTTGTTTCGCAATTGCGTAGGACGCGTATGACAGCACCGAAGCTGCAACTGACTCGCCATCGTCAGCCCACCCTGACCCTGACCCTGTGCCTGATCTCTTCCCCTGACCCTGAGCCGCTGCCGCAATCGTCGGCCCGCATCGTTCTTTAACCCCGGCTTGGCAATACCGCAAATAATCAATGTCTTTCTGCTCACCATCCGTCACATGTTCCAATCATACGTCGAGCAAACTTGTCCTGGAATATGGTCTTGCTAGCGAGGCCAACTGGCCGCTTGCTCTCTGCCCGCTCACCTGTCCTCCGGAGTCAACATGGCGCGCGACAATACAGTCTAAAAGCCGTGCTTGAAAGCGGATGTCACGATCTTACAGATTATATCGCCTTCTTGCCTGTCGCATGTATGGAATCTCTGAACGCCACTGGTCTGCCTTGGTTCGCTGCAATCCCGCTATCCGCCGTAGTCATCCGATCACTTGTCATCTATCCGGTATTTCAAAAGCCTCTGCGTGAAAGGCTCGTTGACCGCGCAGCAACCCAGCCTCTGGTAGATGCCCACATGAGCATCGTCAGACGTAAATTGGACAGAACATTTCGTAGGGACAGCCCTTGGCGCAGAATCAATCTGGCCATCAACGCTTTCCATCGAAGAGGTCATCTGGCAGTAACCATGTTTGATCGCAAGTTCAATTTTGGCCATAGAACCATGATGTTTATGACGACTATCCTGGCTTCCGATGGTTTGAGGAGGATCATGGGTGCTAAGGAGGGTTTGCTGAAGTTTATCTTGGGCCCTTTGGACTGGACTGTGAGCTGGCTCATTCCAGATGCCCCGAAGAATCAATCTTCTGGAGAGGCTGCCGAAGCTGTTTCGGCCAATTCTTCTTCTAATGAACTTCCGGATCAGGCGTCAATCGATGCCACTGGAGTACCAACGAGCGCTCCAGACGTGCTTTCGTCCACCGAACCAGCTCAGGATGCGGCGGCTGAATTGGCACAAGAAGCATCATCAGCAGTGGCAGGTCACGTCAATTCTGTCTGGTTCGATCCGACTCTTCTGACTGGAGGCTTCTCCTGGTGCTCCGACTTGACAGCCGCAGATCCTACTCTGATTCTTCCCGTCATATTCAGCAGCACCTTTTTCGCCAGCATCTACTTTGCACCGCGCGTACAAGGCACCGTCACCACAACGGGAAGCAAATCAGAAAGCGAACGTGCAAAACCTACAAATATGCAGAGGATCATGATGACCGTTGCAATGTTCTCTATCATTCCTGCTCTGCAAATGCCTGCTGGACTTTTGCTATACTTCATTTCAAACATGGTCACCAACAACTTGCAGTCGCGTTGGCTCACCTACACAAAGCCTATCTATCCTGCACCAACAGCCTGCAAGCGTCCTGTCAGGATGCAACGCACCAAGGAGATTGCAGAGGATGTGCTACCCAACAAGGGAAAGACAACTTTGACACGATAGAGTAGACCAGTCTCTTGCACGGATTAACATACGGAGTCGAGAACGAACTGATGGGGCCAATCTTTGGAGTATCCCCGATCATGTACACTACCGCATTGTATTTCTAGAGCACCATACTCATTCAGTATGCGAACAAAATTTCACGAATGTTATGACCCCTTTTTCACCAGTCTCTCTTTTGCGCGTGTCTGCTTGAGCTGTAGCCCTACTAGCCATCAATGCCAACCGTCGAGCTTTTCATGTCAACAGCAATCGAGGTTTTTGGGATTCTTCATCTGCGACAATAGAGCGAACTACCGAGAATCCCTGGACCGTTTAGAATCAAAAGCCGAATTGCATGTGCCGGCCGGAGATAGTTCTTTACAAAATGTTTCATGTCTCCGTGAGAGAGGATCGGAGTTTACAGTGCTGTCACGAGAAGTTAAATCCGTTTCTCGTGGATGGATTCGCTGTTTACGGATATTGTGTGGGGAGCTTGAGCTCCACAGAAAACACATATAAAGATGACGACATTCTCGTCTGCGGTTCAATCGCTCATATAGCAACCGCACTTCTCTTCGAGCTTTCTTCTGAATCTCATTTTCCAACTCGATTATTTCACATCAACATGTCTCCAATTCGCGTCGGTCTCATCGGTCTTTCCACCGGCTCAAAGAGCACCAGCTGGGCTAGCACAGCTCATCTGCCATACCTTCTTTCCGAGCAAGGCAAAGCCCACTACGAAATCAAGGCTCTGTGCAACTCATCCGTCGAAAGCGCAAAGAAATCCATTGAGCACTACAAGCTTCCCAAGGACACCAAGGCCTACGACTCCTCTGCAGACCTCGCCAATGACAAGGACATTGACTTGGTAGTCTGCATTGTTGGTGTTGAGGGACACTACAAGTTGCTCAAGCCTGTTGTCGAGGCTGGCAAGAATGTCTACACCGAATTGCCTCTGGCGTCCAACATGGATCAGATCAGAGAGCTGGTTACTCTTGCTGAGAAGAAGGGCGTCAAGACTATGTTTGGCTCACAAGGCCAATCTGCTCCTGTTGTTAAGGCCTTGCAGAAAGTCATTGCTGAGGGCAAGATTGGAAAGGTATTGAGTACACAGCTCAGTGGTTGCACTGGTATTGGTGGTGGCGCGGCTATCCCTGAGGGATTCAAGTATATTATTCAGAGAAAGGCTGGTGGTAAGTTAAGCTGAAGGTACAAACATCACGACTAGCGCCGGCGTTTTGTCTCAGTCTGTTCGCAAGGCCTGTACGGCGTTCATCAAAACACCGTCCGGGGCGGCGTCTGGCAGAAATGGGTACAATCATCTAGCAAAGTCGTGGTGTTTCCACCTCTCCTAAATTGCGAGACCATGCTAATCGTACCTACGCTTAGGTAACCATGCTACTATCTTCTTCCTGCACAGTAAGTTTCCACTCCAACCATGCGGGCTTGCTTGGCGTTTGCTCTGACCACACACTGCTTCCAGGTTTCACCTGCCTGCTCGAACTCTTCGGCGAACTCGAGTCCTTCGACGTCATCATGGGCGTCGAGCGTCCCAAAGTCAACCTGATCGATCCTTCCAACCAAGGCAAAGTCGTCGGCACAATCGACAGAGACACACCCGACAACATTGCCATGCAAGGTCGCTTCCAAAACGGCACACTGCTCAACTACGATCTTCGTGCTGCTGCTCCTTTCCCTGGCGAGCCTGGCTTGCGCTGGACCGTCATTGGCGAAAAGGGCGATATTCTTGTCACCTGCCCTGCTGCTATGTTTGATATCAACCATGAAGGTGTCAAGATTCAGTTGCATGAGCAAGGCAAGGATAAAGCCGAGCCTATCGAGTTGCCTGCCGATGACTTGGCAAACCTCAAGCATCCTGCGCAGAATGTGGGTAGACTTTACGATGCCTACGCTAAGGGTAACACTAAAGGCTACTGCGACTGGAACTTGGCACTTAAGCGCCACGAACTGATTGAAGAAATGTTCCAAAGAGGAGACAGCAACAAGCCTTTTGGCGAAAAGGCTGCTTACATCTCCAAGTTTGGCGGCAGCAAGTCGTCATTGTCTGGATCCATTCAAGGCAGTACTGCAGAAGTTGATGCCGATGCTCAAGGAACCATTCTTGCTGATAGAGAAGTCAAGCCCAAGGAGATCACTCGTGAGGCCGGTGCTGGAGGTGCTCAGACTACAGCTCAGAGTCTTGAAGCAGAGGGCTTTGGCGCTTCATCGGGTCCTAACGATTTGAGCAGAAATGGAGGTAATCGTGATCTTGCCTCGTAAAAGAGTCGAGATCTGGGTTCCATTGACGATGAATGCAAATATGAGTACATATGGATAATCGAAAAGCCTGAATTATACATGCAACCTTTCCAACTCCATCCACCACATGCCTCGCAAGCCTTTCTCAGACTTCGCCTTACCAACAAGAACTCAACATATGCTCCATTTCTCAGCGTGTGATGGACGGATAGAGAGTGATTGTTGTGTAGTTTTCATCGTGGGTCGGCGCTGAATATTTGAGGAGTTTCCACACAGCACACGCTACGGAGGACGACATGGGGAATTGTATTCCAAACATGCCGTTTTGTGAGTACATGTTTTTGAGAAGATATAATCATCTGCTCTGTGAACGGTTGTATCTATCTTAGATAACGAAAAGAGTCTACTTGCAATGATCTTGATCTGTTTTGTATATACGAGCAGGGTCACTCCACTAACAACCACCTTGCACAAAAATTATGCTATCCTTGTGCAACGGACCCAAGGGTTCCAGAGAACTGGGACAAGATCGTTAATCCATCATCGTCAAGCACCATCCATGCAGGCTGATGACAGCGACATTTTCTGACAATGACACTCTCGACACGAAACTCTGCTATGCAACATAATGTGCAAAGAAATAGATGAACCAGCGACGAAGCTCTGACATAGCTTACTCCGAAATAAATGTCATCGATGATGACGTTGCTCCCTCCCACTACAAGCCGGAGACCCCGCCGCGGTTGGTCATCTACAAGACCACTCTCTCATCCGCACAATTCATCTTCGCTGCACATTGACCACACCTTCAAACTCTCCTCCTCTTCACCCTCACAATGTCCGACAAAAAAATCACCCCCCGCGTCTTCATAATCCGCCACGGCGAAACCGAATGGTCGCTGAACGGCAGACACACAGGCACCTCCGACATCCCCTTAACCGCCAATGGCGAATCACGCATCCGCGCAACCGGGAAAGCGCTCGTAGGAGACGACCGCCTCATCGTGCCCCGCAATCTCGCACACATCTACGTATCGCCACGAACCCGCGCCCAACGAACCCTCGAACTGCTAAACCTGGGCTGTAAAGACCCCATGCCGTGGAAAGAGTCCAAAGAACACGATGACAGCAATGTGAAAACAAACGCAAAAGTCCAAGTCACGGAGAGTGTGCGCGAATGGGATTATGGCGATTACGAAGGCTTGACGAGCAAATACATTGCTTCCGAGCGCGAAAAAGCCGGCCTTCACAAATGGGATATCTGGAAAGATGGATGTCCGGGGGGAGAGAGCCCTGAGCAGATCACTGAAAGATTGGATGCGGTGATTGCGGAAATTAGAGAAAAATACCACAAGAATGCGATAGGGAAACCGCAGCCGCAAGCAGAGCCTTACGATGTGTTGATCGTGGCGCATGGTCATATCCTTAGAGCGTTTGCTGCTAGATGGATTAACAAGAATATTGCGGACAATCCGAGTATGTTGTTGGATGCTGGTGGTGTTGGTACTTTGAGGTATGTTGTTGCATTCTTTGTACAATGAAAGGTGTTGTGTTGGGTGCATTTGCTGACCTTTTGACGACAGCTACGAGCATCACAGCATTGATGAGCCGGCTATTCTACTGGGAGGTGGTTTCATGGTGGATGTGGTCGAAAACGCTCATGAAGATGGCAAGAAGAATTAGAGGGATATCAACAAGTTTGTTACCTTTTCCCGCATACTGAATGAGTATGATGGTCTAGATATACAATGTCGTAATGTACATGATCGGACAAGCTCTGAAGATTTGCTATGATGGATCCAACAGTTCAGTCTTCAGATTCCCATTTGTTGATCTAGACTTCACAGAAGGCCGAGCGAATCTTAATAAAGCCTGCGACTTTTGGTTGCACCACGCCATTTCTACCATGTCGATGCTCAACGTCAACAGCCTGCATTCTTTATCGAGCCGTCACAGCGCAGCAAACAGAAAGAGAGTTAATCTTAGGTTCGTGTCTCAACATTAAAGATAGACTACTTGGTAACGAATCAGACTATTCCCCCTGGGGACCACGCCTGCGAGATCGAATGTACTCCAACAATTCTGTGAATGAACCACGACGATTGCCGCTGTTGTTTCTTGGTGGCCATAAATCATGAGGGTCACCGCTGCTATTGCCTTCATTATGACCTCGCTCGCGGCCTTGAGCTGCAGTATTGTCCTCCGCTATCCATCTGTTCTCTGGTCCAGGAACCTCTGAGTGCTGAGATGGGCCTTGTTCGGTGGTGGACAGAGGTGGATCCGCACGCGAAGAGGGGCCTTGACCTTCCATCGAAAGTGTATTGCCGAGAGAAAGAAAGTCCGTGTCTGTTGCAAAGCGTTCATCGATCATCGCCGTCAGGTCGCGAATGTAAGGCTGCCGCTCCTCGAGCTGCTCTTGCTTGATTTGCCGCTCGTTACGCTGCCGTTCCTCCAGCTGCTCTTGCCAGGTTGGGCGCTCTCCACGCTGCCGTCTCGTTTCGATATCCCGCTCTCGTTGAATGCGAGCCCTCCTCCTGGCGTGGTGATTACGTGTGATTCTCGCGCGTCGTGTCGCCTCTGCATACCAAGGAACGTCTGAGACCCGTTGACTAGAGCAATCTTCCAGAATCTCTAAGACACGTTGACCAGACGGTCGTCTCAGAATTTCCTGGAAAACTACGTCAATGTTGTTTAGCGTATGCGCTCGAAGAGTTTCGTTCCATATTGGATCAGATGCCGCAGGAGCATCAAGCTCGACAAGGTCCCAGGTCGTCCCGGATTCATTGATTGGGTAGATGTGATCACTCTCTTCCTCATGGAAACCAACTTCTTCTTCATCGGAACCAGTTTCTTGCCGTGTACTGTAGACCACAAAGTCATTCCTGAAATCACGCTGTGCGGTGGGAGCGAGGATTGATGCACGACTTGGCCGAGCACGGAAAGACAGTTTGCTCCGATCATTGGCAGACTTGCAAGAACACAGAGCAGGTTTCTAGTCCCGATTGTGTCCATGGAGAGGGAAAAATGGTAACTCCAACTAGGAGAAATCAAAATCGTCACCACCCAGATCCATCTCAAGGCCAGCAAAGATATCATCCTCGTTGTTCATCTGCCCAGTGCCATGTTGCTGTGATGTACCGGTCAGGTCAAAATCCATATCCTGGCCAGCGAAGAGGTTGTTGGGCATGTCAAGAGGCATGGAGTTTGTGTCGTTCATGTTGGTAGTGTCCATCTGGAGGGATTGATCCATAGCAGCCGTGAAGTCTTGGTCTGTAACAGCAGCCGCAGCACCGGTTGTATCAGTCGTAGTATCTGCAGTCATTTGCATCTCTGCGCCTGTAATCTGCATGTCTGCACCTGTCAAATTCATATCGCCCAAATCAAGATTCGTCATAGGCATGTTAAGCTGTGCTGGAACAGACAGTTGTGCCTCGACGCGACGACCAAGCCTCACAATCGTTTCCACACGTTCGGTCTCCATTGCCAGCAATTCCTTGGGCTCGTCTAGTCTTGCTCGTAAGGCCTGACGTAATGTACGTCGTTGACTCACCGAGACTGGAGCAGATTGATCAAACTGCATGAGAGTATTGGCCTGAGATAGAGCAGGCAAAGGTGAAGGCGTACAAACAATAGCAGTAGCGACTTCAAGCGCTGCTGAACCGCATCCACTACGAGTCTGTGACCTAACTTCGTCCAGTATGATGGCCAAAACCTCATCTGCTCCAAGCATGTCCAAAGCTGTAGTGATGGCGCGGTGCGTGTATTGGTAGGGAATAGAACTGATGCTGCCTTGATTAGACCATTGAACCAAACCGCCGACAAGGTTTTTGACAACAGCCCGCAGTCCCCCGTCAGCAGTAACAGACCACTCTGTGAGCTCGGCCGAATTGCATTTGCCTGATCGCTGACTGTCTAGATGAGGCTGAAGCAGCTCGATGACCGGAGTAACATCTTTGCGCTTGGGCTGTCTTCGCTGCAGCTCTTGCAGAGATCTGGCCAGTGGTCTCGCGATCATCGCAAGTATTGTTTTATGCATCGCTTGAGCATCGCCAGAGATAGAGTCAGGCTGGATCAGCTTTCGCAACATCTGCATCAAAATATCGGTATCACCATGATCCTCCCAAGAGTGTTTGGTAACCCAACTGAGACCACCAATCAGTGATGGAAGCAGAAAAGGCTCGAGGAGAAACTCGAGACCGCCTTTCAATGTGTTGACAGCAAGAGTCATGAGTTTGCAAGCTTGCACACTCTGCTCGAATAACGTTGGAACCAATAGGTAAAACGATTGAGGCGGGCAGTGCGACATAGTCTCATCGCTGATACCATTCGTCTCACCGTGCTCATCTGTCGCATACAATCCTTGGACCCATTTGGTAAGCTGCTTCTGCTGATCATCATCGAGCGCTCTGATATCTATGCTCGTCGACATGTTCTTCAACAGTCTTATGATAAACGAGTCAGTGGAGAACGCTCCGATCTCAGCTTCCGTCAATTGGTACCGGTGAATGACGGCCAAAACCAGTAGCAAGACTGCAGCGAACTCTTCATAAGCTGGCTGGTACTCACTCTGGTCTTCGTCGTGGGTCCATTCGTTCAACAAATTGCAAAGTGGGGAGAGCACGTCTGAGGGTTGAGCGTATTGGAGTATGATGTCCATGAGCGGCAATCGTCGAGAGAAGATGTTGCACACCGTTCGCAGAGCCATCGTTTCTTTTGCAGTGTACAAGTGTTGTATTGTGTCGACCAGCGCTCCGGAAATTGCACCTGCATTACCATTCATGCCTTCGAGCTCGCGAGCCAATTCTTCGACACGGTGTATGTTGGCAGAACATTGCTGAGCCAGAGATTGTCTGTTGTATCTAACAACTCGAGGAGCGATTGGAGCAGGCGATTCGCCTATCACTGAGTGAAAAGCTTGTTCGTTTCCAAGCTGGAACAGGATGCAGGCTTGCACAAATTCGAGACGACTCTTTTTCAAGATTTCATTATTGGCAGTGTCGTTGTCAGAAGACAAGGGTGGGAATGGATGGACATCGACTCGTCTCAAAGCCATCTGAATATGGACCTGAGACGTCATAGGTGGAAAAGATGCCGATAAAGTTGTGATTAGAAGAGGCAGCTTGTTGGCAATGAACGAACGATAACAAAGTAGTTGATTTGGCGGCTGAAGTTGCTGCAAAGCATTTGCCAGGACATCGAAGGAAGCGACAATCAAGTCAGAGACCAGAGATTGTGTATCGTTCTGGTACTTGGCATGCAAGTAATTGAAAAGCGACATGTCGTCGGTCAGCGGTCTCGCACATAGTGCCGCATTCAGGTATATATAGAGGCCAACTCGCGAGTTTGTTACTGGAAGATCGTTGACGGTCGATGCAATCTCTGCAGTGCTGAAGTCGGGTTTGCCAAGCGGAGGAGTCTTAGCCAGCATTTGGAGCCCTGCACCGGTTTGTGAATGAGACCACGGACTTATGAGCTCTGCAAAGTCACTGCACGCGGATGCGATCTTGTCCTTCATAGTCTGTGGCCATCCATCGCTGATGTCGGCTTTAACCATGGGGTGATTCAAAACCGCGATTGCAAGTGTAGCCAATGTTTCGAAACATGTGACAACCTGCGGGTCCGGACTCTGCATCACATCAACGTTTTGCATGAGGAGTACCATCTCATGAGCGCGGCATGCGGTGAGGCACTCCCCCAAAGCTCGTACGACATTGCGGGCTTCGCGTGCAGTCTTGGGTCTTTCGCCAGCAGCAACCAGACGCACGAGGAGAGCCAATATATGTTCAAAGAAAGCATTACTCAATGAAGTACGAGTCGAGGCGTTTTTCTTGAGCGCATAGCGAGTGTGAGCAAGCAGAGCAACCAGAATATCACAAGTGTCGATGGTAGTGGCCCGTAGAATTTGTTCAAGATACTCGGTGATCAGAGGATCGATACCGGAAGCTCCAGAAGTGAATATGATACTAGCCAGTTGCGAACCAGGGATAGGTTGAGTGCTCCAGAGCTCAGAGAATGGCTTGTTAAGTTGGGAAGCAGGTATGCGATGAACGAAGCAAGTGCGGAACAATGTTGACCACTGTTCAGCGGCATGGGTGGCGGAGGCCGAATCCATCATAAGAATATCCGAGATTCCCACTCTCCTAAGAGGGTCACCGGCATGGAAATGAATTAAGCGATGCGACAATCATGAATGTCTATGTGGAGGTGGTGTTGATGAAATCAAACGGATGGATCGTCGGAAGTTTGAAAGCTCATGAACTTGTCTTGGCAGGGCAGGCTTGATGCACGGTCTCTCGACAGCCAGCACAAAAGCGGAAGTCACTTCATCGTCTTGAGAGACATTAAAAATTGAGATTCTTGTTTGCGAGACGTTCATGCCAATCTAATCGTGAAGAGTGGCATGTGCTGTTGTGTAGCTGTTCTGCATAAGCTTCTGTCGTAGAGCCTCTATAGGCAGAGAAATGTGACTCGCCAACATCTGACACGCCCAAGACAAGTTCGCGCTGTTGGTACATAAAATGCATGTCATGTGTATCTCGCTGGAAAACTGTAAGAAGTAGCGCTGTGCAAACCTCAAATGCCATCTGGAAGCCCCGAATCATATCCCGCCATACCCCCTGCACGCTCCCAAGGTCTCGATCGTTGGTTTGACTGGTCTTGCCCATTCTCCTCATCAGGCGCACGAGGACCGATCATCCAATCCTCCATAGCCAACCAAGAACTCCAACTCTTCTCCGCAGCCTCCAATTCTTCGTCACGAATGCTCTGCAACGGCTTCAAGAAAGGGACCGTTTCTTCAGGATTCATATCGTATTGCTTCTTGCAGGTCCGCCAACCGCCGTGCTTGGCGGCAAAGAGATAGTTGCGACGTTCGCAGTCTTGCATGGGTGTGATGCCCGCTTGGTACGCATCGCCGAAGAAGCCATGTAAGATTCCCGGCTTGTCAAATCCAGTGATGACTAGACGTCGAATGTAAGGAACTAGAGATACAAAAGCGGTCGCTTGCTGTGGACTACGACCGTTGGCTGAAGAGTTTGGTCGTGACCATTGATTAAAGTTGAATGATGGGCCTCCGCTGCCAGAGCTTGCTCCTGAGCTTGGGGGTGGATTTGATGACATGACAGGATTTTGAGGCCATTGGTAAGGTAGTCGGATGTTGATCAACGCGCATAATGCCTGAGTACCAGCTTCATGCTGTGCGTGGTCAAGGAAATAACGCTGGCAAGATTCATATGCTGGATGCCAATCCAGGATGTCAAAATTTGGTGAAGTCGTAAGCGGTGGGTCCTGAGGAAGCTGGCGGCTCTGCTGGGTTCCTTGCTGCTGTGGTTGCTGTTGCTGTTGCGGCGGATCTCGCTGACCGAAGCGCGAGGACGGATTGTTGTAGTTGCCGTTGTAAGACATGGTATCGTCGTCTGCCATTTGGTGCATTGGCATAATGAAGATGAGGTATTTCTTGGAGTTGGAGACTTACGTGTGGAAAAAAATTGCGGGTAGTGCTCGGTCTTTATAATTATAAATATCCTTTTGTGGTAAGTTGATACTAGGGCGAACCGAAGGCACAGAGGAACAACGGTAGCGGAGTTTGGTAGATAGCGGGGTCCGAAGGTGTATCGTGATACTAGTAGGCCAAAGTAAGTCTCTCGGATAAGAGGTTGACTGTCAGTTTTTTTGTTTCAGCAGAGACACACCTCACGCCATGTCATGACAAGGAAGAAGGAGGCGACCGAATCAAACTTAACATGCACAATGATGGATCCAGTCGCGGCAGTGTATCGTGGAATTGAGCCCTGCGAGGGTCTTCGCGCAAAAGAGACCCTGAAGATGCATCTCAGTGGCGTCCTTGGCGGGCCAGTGCTTGCTGCAATTCATAAACCACCAGATCCTCCATAGATTACTGATCTTGAGCCTCTCGACGACCGGAATAGCAGGCAAGAGAGTTGTTAGCTCAGGCTGGTCAGGACAATTGTCTGTTTGTGCAAATGTCCATGTCGAGAGCTTCAGACACAAAACGAGAGAAAGTGCGCAGGAAAGTCGAAACGCGCATCGCATAGCGTAAGACGTCATGTACGATGCGGCTCTGTGCTCAATGCGAAAGCGATGGAAGATCTGACGGAGATTGTTGTCATGCTCTGTCTCAAGTACATGCACTTCTTCCTTGTCAGCGAGCACTTCATAATCAGCTTTCTTGTATAAAGGGATACAAAAATCTTCACATAACACGAATATAATGATGGCACAAAAGACGTACAACCTCGCCAGCCGCGTCAAGGCACGTTCTTCGGTTGCGTCAACTCCAGGTCTAAGCTTACACTGAGCCGCAGCTTAACAATGGTTTGTCCATGCCGCAAATTCACCTCGGCGTATACTTGACATCTGGCAATGAGACGACAAAAGCTACAAAATGGGCACTCGAGGTCTGCAATTACCTATTACTGCTGCTTCTCTAATGCTGACGATGATGGTGCAAACAGGCCGGATACCTTGCTGTTGACAGCGCCCAGATGTACCACAACGAACGCGAGGTTGGCAATGCCATGACGGACTTCCTCAAGTCACCAAACAACATTGCGAATCTCAAGCGCGAGGACATTCACTACACATCAAAGCTTGCGAGCAACAGCGACTACAACACAGCAAGAAAGAGCATCAAGAAGAGCGTGCAAGAGTGTGGCCTGGGGTATATCGACCTCTTTCTCTTGCACAGCCCGTATGGAGGAAAGAAGGCCCGTCTGGAGAGCTGGCGCGCTGTTGAAGACGCCATAATGGATGGTGAGATCAAGATCGGTGGTGTCAGCAACTACGGTGTCCAGCACCTGCAGGAGCTCCTCGACTCGAAACCGCGCATCCCTCCAGCTGTGAACCAGATCGAGGTGCACCCGTTCAACACGCGCACCGACATCACCTCTTTCTGCCAGAAGAACGACATTATGGTCGAGGCATATGCTCCTCTGGCACGCGCTCTACGCATGAAGCACCCCGTCATTGTCGAACTCAGCAAGAAGTATAACTGCAACCCAGGCCAACTGCTGGTGAGATGGTCGGTACAGCATGGCTATGTGCCGCTGCCCAAGAGCGTCAAGAAGGAGCGTATCGTGCAAAACGGCGACATTGGAGGATTCGAGATTGATGAGAGCGACATGGCCAAGATGGACGGACTGGACGAGTATCTGGTGACAGCTAAGGATGAACTGAAGAGGAAAAGAGTCATCTGCCGGGATATTTCGCTGACTTGCCATTGTTTTCTCCAGACTGGGATCCGACGGATGCGCCGTAAATCCCCGCCTGGCACCGCTGTCGGAGTGTTGCTATCTCAAATGTGAGGGAGCCTTATCAGTTGTTGAGGTGCAGGCTTTACTCGATTTCAATTACGCAGCGCGCCGAAAGCCAAGCCGCAGATGCGGCGACATCGTCGCGTGTCAGATCCACGAAAGTGTGGGGGAAGCTTCTGCGGTAGAAATCCGGCTGTGATCGCCGGCCGAGGCATCTCGCCCGAATAAACAATTTCTTGATAGACAAGAGCATTCGCGGCTTGAATTGTCTCCTTCAGCAGATGGTAGTTGCCTATGACAGGATCTGTAGTCATGATCATTCCTTCAAGCCACTCAGATAGCAGTGGAACCCACACTTGAGACGAGAGTGGTGCGAGTTTCCTCGGAAATATGGCGGGCACGAATGCCCCTCCAACTAGGATCCGACATCGGGCAAGTCTGGAAGCGAACGAGAGTTTACCCTGTACAGCGCTAGCCATGTGAACGACAGTTGCTCAACGCGAATGAGAGGCCAGAGGTCGAGAGCCGTGGCGATTTCACCTGTTGCGCGAGCACTTCCGTCTCGTCTCCAAGGACCAAGGGTTCTGCTATGGTGACGCACAGTCCACGAGTGATGCTTTTTCGCCGTCGCGCTGCGTGGGGCTGCATTTGACGGTACACAATTACTTTTCTCAACCCTCGCCGGCCGCCCATAGTCTCCATACCCTGCGACTCTTTATCTATCCGACCTTGCCCTCGATTTATTCTTGACTTTTTTCCCATCCTCATCTCTCCCTCCTACTCTCCTTCACACCTATACTCACAGACCATACACAATGTCGAACCTTCCCTCTGAGCCCGAGTTCGAGCAGGCCTACAAGGGTATGTCTCACCCACCAAGCATTTCAATTGCTTCCCCATCAAGGTTGCCAGAACTGACTTGACTCGCACAGAGCTTGCCTCGACCCTTGAGAACTCGACTCTCTTCGAGAAGAACCCCGAGTACAAGCGTGCTCTCCAGATCGCTGCCGTCCCCGAGCGTGTCATTCAGTTCCGTGTCGTCTGGGAGAACGACAAGAACGAGGTCCAGGTCAACCGTGGTTACCGTGTCCAGTACAACTCTGCCCTCGGTCCTTACAAGGGTGGTCTCCGTCTTCACCCTTCCGTCAACCTTTCCATTCTCAAGTTCTTGGGTTTCGAGCAGATCTTCAAGAATGCTCTTACTGGCCGTGAGTAGTCTTCCAAGGCAAGCAGCAACAGTTTCCAGAGGCTAACAGTCGTCTCCAGTGAACATGGGTGGTGGTAAGGGTGGTGCCGACTTCGACCCCAAGGGCAAGTCTGACAACGAGATCCGTCGCTTCTGCTACGCCTTCATGAAGGAGTTGAGCAGACACATTGGTGCTGACACTGATGTTCCCGCCGGTGACATTGGTGTTGGTGGCCGTGAGGTCGGTTACATGTTCGGTGCCTACAAGTCCATCCGCAACCAGTGGGAGGGTATCCTCACTGGCAAGGGCGGCAACTGGGGTGGTTCTTTGATCCGTCCCGAGGCCACTGGTTACGGTCTCGTCTACTACGTTGAGCACATGATTCAGTACGCCTCTGGCGGCAAGGAGTCGTTCGCCGGCAAGCGCGTTGCCATCTCCGGTTCCGGTAACGTCGCTCAGTACGCCGCCCTCAAGGTCATTGAGCTCGGCGGTACCGTCACCTCGCTCTCCGACTCCAAGGGTGCCATCATCGCTACCAGCGAGAAGGGCTTCACCCCTGAGATCATCAACGTTATTGCCGACCTCAAGCTCAACCGCAAGGCTCTCACCGAGCTGTCCAGCAGCTCCGAGTACAGCAGCCAGTTCAAGTACATTGAGGGTGCCCGTCCCTGGAAGCACTGCGGTAAGGTCGACGTTGCTCTTCCTTCAGCTACCCAGAATGAGGTCTCTGCCGACGAGGCTGAGGCTCTCATCTCGCAGGGTGCCAAGTTCATCGCCGAGGGTTCCAACATGGGTTGCACCCAGGAGGCCATTGACATCTTCGAGGCCTCGAGAAAGGAGAAGAAGGGCTCTGCCATCTGGTACGCCCCTGGCAAGGCCGCCAACGCTGGTGGTGTCGCCGTCTCCGGTCTCGAAATGGCCCAGAACTCGCAGCGCCTGAAGTGGACCACCGAGGAGGTCGACGAGAAGCTCAAGCAGATCATGAAGAACTGCTTCGAGAACGGCCTCGAGACTGCCAAGGAGTACGTTACTCCTGCCGAGGGCGAGTTCCCTTCGCTGGTTGCCGGCAGCAACATCGCTGGCTTCAAGAAGGTCGCTCAGGCCATGCACGACCAGGGTGACTGGTGGTAAATGCATTGCGCATCCCTGCCATTAGTATCCTGTGCTGCTACGAACCAAAAAAAACAAGATTCCCCCTTTTGATACCTGTGTCCTGCACATCAAGCATGGCTTGTATGATTGCAGGACTCTTTTTAGAAACGAAATGTTATGATATCCCTTTTTCTATTACAACCTACCTCGTTTGACTTGGCTGTGTTCTCGTGTTCTTGATGACTGACTCTCGAAGGAGCCCTGAGTGTCTGAGACTGGGGCCTCTGGGGTTGTATATATGTGTGTAGAAAATGGTAAAGCCGAAGGTGGCCGCTGCCCCCAGAAATGAGCAGACGTGGGGAAAGCTGTTGCGCCCGCGGACATGGGTGCGGTGTGCCAGCATCGATCATTCCCTACCTCGGCTTGTGAGGCTTATTCGTCCAAGCTGCCCTCTAACATGTAATTCCCAATTCCGAGTAGCATCATTAACAACGTGATCACTTGCGCCACGTCCATCCATAGCTACGCCGGAGGGAGATGCGCCAGGACAGAGCAGCATACACAACTCTCGCGCGCTCAAGACAATCATCATGAGAGTCACAGCCGGAGGACGCCTCTTCCAGGCTTCGAGGGGAGGAAGATCAAGGACGCACACATCAACACATACGCCAACGCATACATCAACAAGGACATACACATCACGGCCGTCCCGACCGAGAACTGCCCTCTTCTTTCCCGGCCAGGGCGTCCAGCGTGTCGGCATGCTGGACCCCTGGCTGGAGGCCTTCCCATCTACCGTCAAACCAATCCTAGAGGAGATCGACCATACCCTCGCCATCTCTCCCTCTTTGACGTCTCTCATCTCTTCGGGCACTAATGCCGAGCTTACCGCCACTCAGAACGCCCAACCTGCCATCATGGCCACATCCGTCCTGGTCCTACGCATCCTTGAGAAAGAGTTTGGCTTCAACATAAAAGAAACAGTAGATGTGACGCTTGGCCACAGTCTAGGCGAGTTTGCAGCTCTGGTTGCAGCGGGAAACTTGCAATTTGCTTCTGCGCTCAAGATGGTGCGGCGAAGAGGCGAAGTTATGGCCGAATGCTCAGCCTCTACACAAGCTGAGATGGGAATGGTAGCGCTGGTTTGTGAGCCTGATCAACGCGATGCAACCCTTGATGCCATTACCCGCCATCTCGAAAAGAACCCAGACTTGCGCGCCAACGTTGCAAACATCAATTCCAAGACGCAATTTGTGTTGAGTGGAGACATTGCGCATATCAACACGGTGCTGAAACATATCAGCCAGTTTGACAGCCATGACCCTCGGGCAGTGCGGCTGAAGGCAGATAGCCCGTTCCATTCTCCGCTCATGCAGCCTACAGTCGAATTGATGCAGAAACTGCTACGAGAGCCCGGTGCCGTCACTTTCGATCCTCCTAACACCCTCTATTGTATCTCCAACGTAACAGCGAAGCCCTTTTCTTCCGCTGAAGAACTCATCGACCTTGTTGCCCGCTCAGCCGCCGAGCCAGTGCTATGGCACCAAAGCATTGTATTCTTGCATCAACAACACAAAGTCAAGAGGTGGATAGGCATCGGACCAGGCAAGGTAGGCAGAAACCTTGTAGGCAAAGAGGTGGGTATGAAGGGAATCGATGTGAAAGGAGGAGGTGTGTTAGCGCTCACAGACCCAAAGGAGATAGATGAGTTCATGAAGGCATTGGAGGATACCAATAAGGCTGTGGATGAGGATGTGGACTGAGGTTGTAGCTTGCTATTCTAGCAGCGTCGTAGTCTCGTCTATACATCGAGCATTCGAAGGGAATCAATCGCCTCCAGGGTTTGTTTCGTACAACGTCTATTTTATTGTCTGGTGGTCTAGAGTCTTGGCTTCTGTTCTACTGTTCTCTGAATATGCGCCCTACCCCGCCATCAGTCACTTCACCTCCTCCTGAAACTCATCCGCACTGGAGCGTTGCGAACTCAGTCGGATGTCCGAGGGCGGCAGTTCAGATGTGGTAAAAACGACATGGGAGATGCTATCGCAAGACAACATTCTACCACTACCAGCTGAGCCCTAAGTCTAGCACTGCAAGAGACCCAGGGATGTGACGCGCGTAGAAGCTTCATGACCATGGCTCGTCAATCCCGTCATCTCCAACATTTAGGTCAACAGATTGTCCATGCTTCGACAGCAGCTTTACCTTGGTCGCGGTTGCAGAGATGATCCATCAAGGTGTGGGTCATCAAGCTGGCCGTCGTTTCCCTTTACTTCCCTCGTCAGCCGATACATACTCTCTAACTCCATATCCTGAGCTCATCTTAGAGGCGGCAAGTACTAATCAGGAAGTGCCAAGACTGTCGTTTACAAGTGCATCAAGAACGGATCGTTCATCTTCCGGAAGCCACATGCTCTAACAAGGTTCCGTCAAGCATCAAGCCTTATACTTGCGCGAACATATTCGATGTTGTGACTTTGGCCAATCGACGACATATTGATGCTCAAGTCACTGGATCCCTGGGTTTATCGACGCCCCGATGACCCAACAACACTTCACATTATGGCCTTCAGATCCTCCTACAGGACCACGACCTTTCGAGCTCATTAGCTGGATACTAGATCAGCTACCCTGGGTCGTGACCTACGCCATTCACTGGCTATATCTAAACCTTCTTTCAACCTCGCCGCCGGCAGATGTGTTCTTCTCCAATACTTGCCTGGTTCAGTGAGATTCTGCAACTGCCGATCTTGGACTGCTGTTGCTGAAGACAAGTCTAGCCAACAACACGATTGGACACATCTCTGCCGATTTCTTCTTCCTCCAAGTGCCGTTGCATCTATGTCGTAAGGTTCGCGGGGTATAGTTCCAATGCTCGTCGCATGCATGTCAATACCATTCCTTTTCTGGAACTGCCGCCCGATATGATTTGATCGCTTGGTTTGGCTTGACGATCGCTCTGGCTGTGCTGGGAGGTACCCCACACTCGACTCCATGGGGTAGATATAGTCTTGTCAAGACCTCCTTTGACATGCTCACATTGATACTTCTAAACTTGAGCAGAATCAGCATTTGTTATTGATACTCCGTCAAGATGGCTCAAGTCGTATCTGGCGAAAGGCTGCGGGGGACAGCACAAGAGGTGCTGGGAGTTGTGGTCTATCCTGGAACAGAAATCATGACGGACGGTATGTTGAAGCTCGCCTATCTCCTGTGATGCTTGTCTTTGCTCATTGATGTTGTGATATAGTCGCCGATGTTCACTTGAAGCATGCAGGGAAGCACACGCTCGTGCCACAGCCCTCGAATGATCCTAACGATCCGCTGAACTGGAGTCGAGCGTGGAAGTGGCTCACCATGAGCTCCATGGCGCTTTGCACCTTCAACTATGGCGTCGGTCCGTTGTCTCTGGCTCCTCAGGTGCCTTACTATATGAAGGACTTTGATTCGTCGCTGCCAGCAGTCATCAACTTTGTTGGCGTCTCGATCCTGATCCTGGGATTCACGAACTTCATTTGGGTGCCATTGTCCCGTGGCCTGGGCAGGCGGCCAGTTGCAATCATAACCACGCTCATCACCATGGCTTCGTGCATTTGGAGAGCCAGAGCTACCACTTACAACTCGTTCCTCGGTGCCTCTATCCTTTGTGGTATTGGTGCTTCGCCTGGTGAAACTCTAGGCCCAATTATTATCGCTGACATCTCATTTCTCCACGAACGTGGGCGTTGGATGGGACTGTACCAGTGGTCCTTCTGGAGTGGGTTGATGGTCAGTCACTCCCAGTGCTTTTCCTTCGTAAGGTGAACTGACAAGAGATAGATTGGACCGATCCTGGCTGGCGTCACTTCCCAAGACTACGGCTGGCAGAGTTTCTGGTGGGTCACCACTGCCATCTCAGCCTTCACCATCGTATGGATCATGTTCTTCTTGCCTGAGACGAAGTGGGACCGGAGAGGTTCCTCCACGCCGAGCGGCGATGTACCAACCCCAACCAGCGATTCGTCCTTGAAGGAGGACACGATGGTCACCAAGACAGAGAAGATTGATGGAGTTGAGCAAGCCCGTTCAACAGCCCCATACAACGACGATCCCTATGAAGAATGCAGTTCGGGCAAGCCGAACAAAACCCAAATGCTGCCCCTCGTAGGATGGAAAGCGCATGAGCCTGTATTGGAGGCTCTCATCCTGCCCTTCAAGCTAGCACGATTCCCTATCGTTCTCTGGGGCGCCCTTCAGTTTATGCTTTCCGCATCCTGCTATCTCATGATCAACCTCATACAGTCACAAGCCCTTGGCGCTCCCCCATACAATTTCAGTCCTGCAAACGTCGGTTACACGAACCTGGCTTTCTTTGTCGGTGTTTGCATCTCGCTTCTCACGGCTGGTCCGCTCAGTGACTGGGTCTCTCAACGAGCGACCACCCGCAACAATGGCGTCCGAGAGCCTGAGATGCGTTTACCGGCTCTGTTGCCTTTCGCTGTTTGCACCATCATTGGGTCCGTTCTCCTCAGCGTCGGGTTCCAGCACGGATGGCCTTGGGAAGTAGTCGTTATAGTCGGCTTTACCCTCATTGGTATCCAGGTCGCCGCTGTGTCAGGCATCGCCATCACCTACGTTGTGAGTATCACCTCTTACCTTTTCTTTTCTTTCCACCTTACTAACCTTTTTCCTCTGCCAGGTCGATTGTTACAAACCCGCCGCGGGCGAATTTCTTGTCTGTGCCACCGTTTTCAAGAACGTGTGGGGTTATGGAATGAGTAAATTCCTCAATGACTGGATTGTGGAAATTGGTTATGTCGGTCCCCTTATGACTATCGCTGCTTTGAGTCTTGGCTGTATGCTTTTCGGCGCAGTGCCTTTGTACTTTTATGGAAAGAAGCTGAGGGGGTGGTCGGCAGGTAGTTCGGTTCATAATGCTTCTTGAGTGGATAGAGGGAGTTTCTATGGGATCTGATGAATAGATTGGATCTTTGCTTTGAAGTTTTGAGAGGTCTGGTTCATCGAATATTGTTGTGCCATGCTCAACTCCACACAGATTTGCAATATGCAACTCGTAGAGCGGGGTCTTCTGAAGGATTTCTGCTGACTGCATATTCATGCACCCATACACACAATCTCTTGCGAAGGATCATTGGCGCGAAGGATTCAACCATAATCCCAATAACCATCTTTCCAGAATTAGCATGTACCTGGACTTATACCGCGACACTGAAACTCGCTCGTGAAACGATGTAAATGGTATCACCCTGGTCTTGAACTCGTCTGGCGTATCAAGTAGATCGGTTCATCCTCGATATGACAATCCTTTGAGAATCTTCTCGAGCTCAAGAACACGGTCTCGGCTGCTGGAAGCAGAGCTGATGCAACTCGTCTTGTTTCAAGCGCATGGAGATGTGTGTTTCGGCCGACGACCAGACATCTGAACGATTTGAATTGGCTACGTCATCGGCGTTAACGATAAGGGCAAAGTCCACCTTATCATCATGATCAAATCTCTTAACTCCGCTGCAAAGCATCATGACCTTCCTCTACAAGACAATTCATGACCCGCAAGTGACATACTCCGTCGCAATCCGAGGCAAATCTGGACGGCCATAGACTAATCTCCGGCCATGAAAGCTCTAGATTTATGCTTCTGCAGATGAGATCACCAGCTGTTGAAGCTAGGGAAGCTGCGGAATACATAAGAAACAGGCCCCTTTGCTTCTCGAACTGCTCTTGCCCTTCAATTGCAACCAACACATACATCAAATTCATCGCAAATATGTCTGGAACCGATTACAAGTTTGAAGGCTGGCTCGGCCATGATGCCGAGTCCGTCAAGGGCAACATGAAGTGGGGTGAATTCGAGCCCAAGAAGTGGAGTGAGTGGATTGTGTTTGGTCTGGCGGGATTGCGACTGACTATGGCAAGGCGAGGACGACGTCGACATCAAGGTCTCCCACTGTGGTATTTGCGGTTCTGACCTTCACACATTGAAGAGTGGCTGGGGCGAGACACCTTACCGTAAGTTCCTGCTGGCTGCGACGCACGATCTTGGTCGCATTGGCTCACAATCTCCTCAGCTTGCTGTGTTGGCCACGAAATTGTCGGCAAGGCCGTAAAGGTCGGAAGCAACGTCAAGCACGTCAAGGTCGGCGACAGAGGTATGTTTTCCATGAACGACAGTGTCCTGCCAGTTCAATACTAAAATCTCCATAGTCGGTGTCGGCGCCCAATCCCACAGCTGCGGAAAATGCGAGGACTGCAAGAATGGCGAACAGAACCACTGCTTGTACGGCACCAACACATACGGCGACAAGTACAAGGATGGCAGCGGCAAGTCTTACGGTGGTTATGCTACCTACGCTCGTCACCCTGGAAACTTTGTCTTCAAGATTCCCGATGGGCTTGATAGTGCTGAGGCTGCTCCTATGCTTTGTGGTGGTGTCACTGTTTACTCGCCGCTGAAGAACTATGGTTGTGGACCTGGCAAGAAGGTGAGCTTCAAAAATCGGCAAAGATGAAAAGGCCCCTACTAAAACTCGACAGGTCGGTATTGTTGGTGTCGGTGGTCTCGGTCACTTCGGTGTTCTTTTCGCCAAGGCCCTTGGAGCCGACGAGGTTGTCGGTATCTCTCGCAAGGCAAGCAAGAAGGACGAGGTTCTCAAGCTTGGTGCCGACAGATACATCGCTACCGACGACGACAAGGACTGGGCACAAAACAACCGCCGCACTCTTGACTTGATTGTCAGTACCGTTTCCAGCGGAAAGATGCCTCTTGATGGCTACGTCTCCCTGCTGAAGACCAGAGGCACTCTTATCCAGGTCGGAGCTCCTGACGCTGGAGAGCTTCCCAACATCAACGCCTTCACTCTGATCATGAATGGTATCAAGGTCGGCGGTAGCGCTATTGGTCCCCCTGACGAGATCAACGAGATGTTGAAGTTGGCAGCTGACCAGAAGATCCACCCTTGGATTGAGAAGCGCTCCATGAAGGAAGCCAACAAGGCTATTGTCGACATGGAGGCAGGCAAGGCCCGTTACCGTTACGTCCTTTGCAACGACGAGTAAATGCTCGAAAATTAATGACTTGGGAAAGCCCCTTCGTTGGGAAGGAGGATACACCGTTGGAACTTCTGGACCTACATAGATAGATGTAGACGATACAATATGACATGCTTTGGATTATGATCTCTTCAAATGCGTCAATTTCTGGTAGACTCCCATCGATCGCTCACAGAACGTATCGGAAGTGGAGGTTCTCCTTGTCAGTGAGATCTCTGAATGCAAGTCGATCAGCATCTTCATCGAGATCAAGCCCATCTCTTCTCTTGTTCTCGCGCCACATAACGTAGTACAAAGCACAAGAGGCAGCAATGGTGATGCAGTAGAAGATAATCAGCCCAGTCCATAGCTCGGGATAGTGTTTGCGACGAGTCTGACTCTTGATCATCTGCGGGCCGACAATGTTGCCAACACAATAAGCAACAAAGATGGCAGCGGACATGAAACTCTTCTTTGTCGCGCCTGCCACATTCGACATTCCCAAGGCGATGATCAATGAGACGACGGGACCGAAGAAACCGATGATAGAGTAGCCGACCACTGGAGCGGCGGCATGATGTGTCCAGTCTGCTTTCCAGATCAATGCGCAACCGACGATGACTGGCAGACAGCAGAGGACCAGAATAATGACTCTGACGTTTCTGACGTAGAGTGGAATGAAACCAGCCAGCAAGATCCCTAACCAACTAATACCACCAACAGGAAATTGCAGCAGGATGGATTGCAGAGTGTTCCAGCCAAAGGTGCTGACGATCAAAGGTCCAAATCCAGCTACTGCGCCATTGACAGTGTATGCGCAACCCATCATGATGAAGATCAGGTAGACCTTGATATCCAGCAGAGCCTCTTTGATCTGGTACATCTTGATCTCCTTGCACCTCACTCCCGTCTGTCCTTTGCGCAACCTCTCCACAGCAACAATACGCTCTTCTGGCGTTAAGAACCAAGCACTAACCGGCGAATTCGGCACCAAGAAACACCAACCACCAAAGATGATTGTCAGAGCTCCAGCAAGCAGGTAAATATACTGCCAGCGTCTCAAATCACCTCCAGTAATCTGGCCAAAGCCATAATTCAACGCACTTCCAATGATGGTGAAGAGTCCTGTGCCAGAGAACCACCAGGCCTGTCGAAACGTCTGTTCGCGTTGGGTATAATAGCTGGAAACAATGCAAGAAAAGCCAGTAGGAATGATACTTTCCACAAACCCCAGGAAGAATCTTTGGATGAATAGACCACGCCAATCATGTACTGCAGCAGTACACATACAAATGCCGCCCCAGAGCACCACAATGGGACCAAGAATCCTTCCGATATTGAACTTTTGCAGTAAAAAACTCATAGGATACAAACCAGCAAGCATACCGAAATAGAACAACGAAGTCGCCCAACTCAAGCGGTCTGTATTAGTCGTCGGCGGCTTTGTCGAGTGATCGACAACAGTAAGGTGTAGATCTGTGGTCATGCCAAAGAGTACCGCACTACCCAAGATAGCTTTATCGTAGTAGACGAGGCCATAGCCGATGACCATTGCTGGCATAAGAAACAGGTCGATTTTCCTGAGGACGCGACGTTCGAGCGCTGGATCTATTGTTCGTGCTGTTTCGCCGGCGAGGGCGAGGGCTTCATCTTTGGATCCTGATGCATCGGTTGTCGATGTCTCGGCGGAGATTCTGGGTGGTGTTTTCTCCTGCGGTTGAGGTTCTGATGGTCGCGACATTGTTGTTTCGCACCGAGTGCCTGAGGCAAGAAATTCCTTCTTCTGGTGGTGGATGCACAGGTACTCACGACAGCTTAGAGTTACTTCTCAGGGTGGCATGTGATGTATATGTATGTTCACGTATCGTGACTCAAAAGCAGCATGCAAAAATTCTGTTGAATCCTACCTTGGTGGTTGCATGAGCCGTGTTTAGCCAAGCTGCATGAGTGACATCTCAGCCCTGCAAGCCAGCGTTGTCGGAGATGTTTGGAGCTTCGGCTGCTCGGCTAAATCAAGGATGACTCGTATGGCCTCAGGCATTTGGTACAATTGATATTATGCTATTGAACAGACTCGAGAAAAAAATCATATCTGCTCGCAACATGCTTCGATCTGTCACAGCGACGAACATTAGAATTTGTTTCAGTGAGGACTGCATGTGTTCACTAGAATGTCATGCCAAATTTTGGGTTCCGAAAGCATTAACTCCAGTCTAGTTAGACCTGTAGAAGTTGGTTTTCCTCGGATGCATGAACATCGCTGGTGCATAGATCTTGCCATCTCTTTCGACAAGCACTTTTGGCATGTTGTCGTCCGGTGGCTCCTCACCTTTCCAAGATGCCATGGTTCGATCCGGCATCGGACTCACCCAATCGAAGCTCTTTCCGCGCACGAAGAAGCCAAATGGTGCTTCCCTTGTATTCACAGGTCCATTCGCAAAGCCGTCCGGAAATTGTTCCATGTCTCGACCATTGAGTACAAAATTCAGCTCAACTCTGTTCCTCTCGGGATCCTGGAAGATTGGCAGAGGGAGACCGAAGAGCTTGAGACCATGCCAGAGAACGAATGAAGGCAGTGTGGTCTCCGAAGGTATTCGCCGTTCTTGTCTTGACTGAGCTGGTGTATTGCATTCAACAAGTTCCAGCTCGCTCGTCCTTGTGCAGGGGGAGTGTGCCAATAAGGGAGATCCGTGAAGCCGTAGTGCCAATGCTTAAACGGCCTGTCTTCCAACCTTCGCACATCCATCAGAGTGTTGGGGAGTAGCAGGTCTGCAGGCTCTCCGACACCCCACTTCGAGTGTCATCAGGCTTGGGCGATGGTGGCTTGGGATTAATGGGCGAAATCTCTTTCCCAATACACATGGGGCCCCAAGTACCTGTGTCGCTAGGCATTGCTAAGTCGACTTTTTGTGTGCAGTCCGCATACGTGCCCTGAAATTTTGGCATCTATGCCCAGCTAGCACGTTCATGAGATTGTTTTCGCGGCTGGTCTTCACCAAACTTGTCAAACGCATCCAAGATCTGTCCGACGTGCTGAGTTCCACGGACATCCATCTCCAGCTGCCAATAATGGTCAAATTCAGGATACAGTCGGGAGAAAAGCTGCAAAGGTTGCATCATCTGCCGGAACGGCGAGTGCTCGAAAATAGCTGAATACCAGCTATCAAGCATTGTAATATCGGACAAGACAGCCACGTCTCGAAACTCCAGCGGAACGGACTCTTCTGGTATCGATGCGTAGCCAGCATCATCAGAATGTATATGAGCGTCCAAACCCCTTGACGTCAACCAGTGGAAAGACATTTCGCAACCCCTTGATGTCTCCATATTGTGCCCGGGACCATGATTCAAGATCTGATTCCTTTTCAGGCAGAGGGGCTCCACTCGCCAAGTCGAAGGATTCGTCTATGGATTCATTCGTGTTGTGCCAAGTCCTCGGAGAAGAGATGTTAAGATGTCAATTGGTGATCCTCACCTTGGCTCTGTTTGTAGATTGAGATTAATTCTTGGCTCGGACGTGACTCCATCAAGGGTGCACCAGGCTGTCTTAAAGCATGTCAAACACGAAAGAGGAGTGGGGTTGGGAAAGAATGCATGTAACCTGGCAAGAACTACGCTTCAGAGACTGTCTGTACTTTCTCGTTGGCCAAAGGTGAAGGATGCAGGTATAGAAATTCAGCTTGTGCGGCGGTGGATGAATTCGTGTAGGATCAGACCGTCATCTTATCGAATCTCAGATCTACTCCTTCTGGCCAGGCCGCCAGCCAAGCCATCTCAGCCACGTTCTGTTCTTGTTTATTTCCGTCGTTGACTCGTCCTGCACGCGCAATCTCCAATGGCTCATCGTCATATCGGCATGCTTTCTGATCCTCAGATCTTGAGAGCGAGCAAGCGCTGAATAGTCGCATGGCCTGCCAGAACTCTCCGACCGAAAGCGCGTATAGTGGATTGGAACAGGGCCTTCCAGCCAAGAACACCAAACACTTGAACGCCATATTGGAGTGGAGTCGCGCTCAATGCAATATGCCTTCGAAAGACATGTACGATGACCGATTCCAGCGCGGACCAAGGAATCCTTCACTTGCGCCCCAGTGATTTGTCTAGGATAAGTTATGATGCATCCTGAAGGAGCTGCACTTCATGTAGGCTGGATCTTTCGTTCTTGCCTCTCCGACTGATCTCTCCTTCTTTTGTTCATAAGGCCCCATCATGAAATTACTCTCATGCTCAGTGAACGGCACTGTGAAGCGATACGCCATTGCCGTCTGCCTAGTATTTCTACTTGAGATCTGGTACCATGTGTCAAGTCTGTCAACAAAACAACCACAGATACATGTCAACAAGACCCCGTCATCGAATTGTCGCACAGATGAACACTCTATGGACAATGATGCGTTAATTGGTGGACAAAATGCAACGATACTCATGCTTGCCAGGAACAGTGACCTCGATGAAGCTGTGGAAGCACTAACATCGTTTGAGACACAATTCAATCATCGATATCATTATCCAGTTGTCTTCCTTAATGACGAGCCCTGGACTGAGGAGTTCATGCACGGGGTTTCGAGCGTCATTAGTGGGCAGGCCATCTTTGACACCATCTCCTCTGAGATGTGGGGCTATCCAGATCATATCGACCAAGATGCCGCTCGGATACAGATCAAGGAGCAGGGAGATCGGGGAATCGTTCATGCAGGACAAGAAAGCTACCACCATATGTGCCGCTTCTACTCTCTGTCAGATCTCTTACCTCTGGCCCCTCATACACACGACTGACACTCGTGTAGAAAATTCTACGATCACCCTGCGATACAACCATACAAATGGTACTGGCGCATTGAACCTGGTATCTCATTCACTTGTCCCATCAACTTCGATCCTTTCGCATACATGTCACGCGAAAAGAAACGATACGCCTATGCGATTGCACTGCAAGAAGTCGGCTCTACAGTCCGTAGTCTCTACAGAGTCGTCAGCGACTACAAAGACCGCATGAAAATAGCCCCTTCTCGATATTGGGACGCCTTAGTCGACCCATCATGGGCACCTCTTCCGATTCGCTGGCTGTTGCGTCTAGCACCCTATCGCGATGTGTATGGCGACGAATGGAATCTCTGCCACTTCTGGAACAATTTCGAAATTGCAGATTTGGATTTCTTCCGCGAAGACAGGTATAGGCATATGATGGAGCATCTCGACAAGCTTGGAGGCTTTTATTATGAGCGTTGGGGGGATGCTTCTGTGCGGTCTTTCGCAGCGACTTTGTTGTTGAAGGCAGAGGAGATAAATTACTTTGGTGACGATATATGTTATTGTCATGACGACTTTTGCTCACCAGGAACGAATCTGCTTGACGCGCAGACTAGTTGTCCTGTGGAGAAGCCGACCGAGGGAAAAGATTGGAAGGGCGTGTTCAATCGGATGTGTCATGAGAAGTTTAGGGAAGCTGATTTACTATGAGTCCACGCGGAAAGATCACAAGCAGTGACTATATCTGTCTCAATTCATTGCATAGAAGGACGACCAGTTACATTTCACTGCATTCTACCTGTCAGTCCTTAAAATTGGTTGTGTTAATGAGAATTCGCAACAAGCATTCATGAGAGCATAGTTACACTATTTAAGCGCCTTACTTCCTAATTCGAGAAGTTGCAGAAGCTTGGGCCAACCATGCCATGGTAGGTCTGTTCCAGTTCTGGGATCCTTAGAAGCATGAGGACATCAATTTGTAATTTCGCTTCGGCCAGATAAATCACCTCGAATACACATGCTTACGTGCAAGACAATGCTCAGTATGAGTCAAGCTGTTCGGTGGGTAACTGGGCAAGCGCGACGTGTATCTTTCACACCACGAGCCGTTGGATATCAAAACATCAGCGACGCGATCAAGTTTGAGGAGGAAGCAATGCCTGCATTCTCTCAGAAGTTGTACCTTCCCGTTCATCTTGGAGACATCTACCACAACCGCTATCAGATCGTCACAAAACTGGGATATGGCTCGAATTCTACTGTCTGGCTGTGCCTTGATCATGAGTAAGGTTTCGTTGCGTCAGTGGATTGTATCTGACCACAAGCAGGTGCAATTCTTTTGTTGCTCTCAAGATATACACATGTACTTCCTGGGCGTCGCGCGAGCCTCGAGTTCTTGCCGAGCTCGCCAAAGTCAGATCGCAACATCCAGGATCAAAGAAGATTCGTCTCATGCTTGATTCGTTTGAAGTCATAAGTAAAAGCGGCAGTAAACACGTCTGCCTGGTGCATGAGCCTCTCTTGATGAGTCTCCAAAGGTTTCAAGATCTGTTCAAATACAAAGTTCTGCCCACATCACTCTTCAAAATTGCAGTCCAAGATGTACTTTTTGCGCTCGATTTTCTGCATACAGAAGGCCACATGGTTCATACAGGTATATCAAAATTGATGTTCCTGTTGTGGTGTTCATACTGATAAAGACATAGACCTCCAAGCCAGTAACATAATGATGGCTAGCAAAGATTCCAGCATCTTTGAGAAACTCCTTGAAGAAGAGCGAAGCCGCCCAAGTGCACGAAAGATTACCGACGGCTACACAATATATCAGTCTCGGAGTTTCACCCTCGACGAGGTTGTCGCCAATGCTGGGCCACTCTTGTTGACTGACTTTGGAGAAACGCGAACACGAGCCGAGGATTGGCGTGGTCTGATACAACCAGATCCCTTTCGCGCACCCGAAGTCATTTTGAAGATGCCCTGGACAACAAAGACCGATATCTGGAATCTTGGAATCATGGTATGCAACTCTGCCAGATGCGGATCAAGCTCTTATCAATAATGTTTGACAGGCATGGCGTTTGTTCGAGGACCACCTCCTCTTCGAAGACTGTGATAGTGAGGGTAATCATTCCGAAGCCCAATTACTTGCTCACATCACTGCAATCCTTGGCCCAGCCCCTCTGAACTTCGTCAACAGAAGTCCTGACCGAGCTTTATATTGGGATGAAACAGGTAAGCGTCTGGCAATCGCACCTGCGATCAACAAAGGCTGATGCACTTCTATAGGAGAATGGATAGGCAAGGCAGATATCCCTGACGATTCTATCGAGGAATCTGATGAGAGGCTTCTCGACAAAGATTTGAAACAGTTTGCTGCTCTCATGCGAAAGATGCTACAATGGAATCCGGATCATCGCCAGAGCGCAGCAGAGCTGCTGAAAGATGAGTGGTTACTTGATATTTCTGACTAGCGTAGTCTGCAAGAGCCGCTTACGTCACTCAGTGTCTGCCTGGAGGACTTTCTGTTCTCGTCGTTGGAACAAACCACAGGAAGTGTTTCCAAAAGCGACCATTCCAGTCTTCTTAGGCTACATGTACATTCCCCTGAAAATAAGCTTGACAAGGACAACACACCATGGATCACAAACTACCCTACACATTTCACGAGGACGCCTACTGGGCCGCAGAGCCAGAAGAGATAAATCTGTTCGCCGACTTTGTAGTGGCCTGTGCAGAAGGACATATCAGTCCTCTTGCTGCCGCCCAAAGGATCACAAATACTCTAGCGAGTGTGGCGTGGAAGAACAAGGCCGATATCGATTCGACTAACAACTCCAATATTGATTCGCACAATGGAGACAGACCATATCACAATGATATTGAACTTGTTGCCGTTCTGATCGGCAGCTGTATCTCCGCCTTTCCTCCGCACAGTGTAGTGCATATCAGACTCTTCGAGATGGTCAAGAGTTTCTTGAAAGTCCAAAAGAGGGAGATACCAAATCCGCTTCTCAACCGTGCAGGAGAGGTAAGGTGTGAGAACTACCAGTCACTAGATCTAAGGCCATCAATTCCTCTATGGGAAGACCTGCGACGACTATCATTTTTGTCGAGTTGTGAGTGGCTAGCAGAATTCGGTAATCTCTGGACAGGGGTAGAGAAATGTGGCAGCCGAGAACAACAGCGTTGGCGAAACCTGTCGTACTTCTTTGCCCGGCTGGAAGTTGAGGGTATTGAACGTATGGACTGGCATAGTCCGTTGCAACGATTACTTCCAAAGTATTGGAGGATTGATGAGGAGACAGCTGGATGGTCTGGATATCTGGCAGGTCAAGTTCTGGCTGCGGCTCAGTGGTTCGTGCCCAAGGGCCATGCATCGTGGGTCTGGCGAAATTGCTGTAATTGCGAGCAGATGCTCAATAACCACTCACGGCTAAACACTGCCCGAAAAATGGAGGGGGACGCGGCGCTGGACGGTACAGAAGAAGGAACCACTGTGGATAACCAAAGCTTCGGACGGGCAGATGATGAAGCATCAATTGGCCTTGCGCAATCCGAAGGACTGCTGTGGAAGTTAGAGAACTGGAAAGTGTGGAAACTCGCCTTCCAACGGATCGAAGAAAGGGTCAACGACGTGAGGATTCACGCAGTCGTTCGTCGTGAGGCCTCCAAAGCACTGAAAATCATGGAAGACATTGAGGCACATCACAGATGATCTCTAGGTGTCTGGGCTCGTCCAAAAATGCCCAGTCTGTCTCGAAAAGGCTCCTCCTTTCAATATTGATGGATTGACTAATGGTATTCTTTCCAAGGATTTGGCCAGAGGGGTTCGAGCTCCTCGTATCCGGTGTCGCGCAAAAATCACGCCAACGGGGGATCATTGTTCGGTTTTCAGAACTCAGTCTGGCAGGATCCTGTGTTGTCAATCGCTAGATGGCCGAAGGACGACAAAGGAGAACGCTTTGGAGTGTTTGACGCGAAATGAGTCGTGAGGAGGCCAAGAGGGGGCGTTCGTAAACGCGGGGTTTCGGGATTGGTGGCGTCGATATCACTGAATCAGGCCACATCGCCGCGGCTGCCTTGCCATCAACACGCGCTGCCATTAACGAGACATTGACGCCTAGGCTAATTTCCGTGGATGAAGATGGTCCAGAGGACTGAGGCTGCAACAGCTGTGTGGTGCCTGTATGGCTTTCCGAAACCTGGAATCCTCTTTTCAAGCACGGACACGGAAGGATGCATAAGTACCTCGTTCCTTCCTCCTTTAATGTTCGATGTTTACAGCAAAACATCAAACTTTCTTTCATCAAATCGTTGACAACATCGATAATGGCACGAACTTCCATGATGAAAACAGCGGCGCCGGAAGGCGAACAGAATCAAATCGAAACACAACCACCTGCGCCTGTCAAACCTAAGTGGTCGTGGATCAGCGAAGACAAGCTCAACGAAACAACATGTTGCGTAGCAGAAGATGGCAGAATCGTCCTCCCTGGATTTGGCAGGCCCGTCAATGATATGCTCAAACAGAAAATTTATGGATTCGAACACCGAGGCGAGGGTAGTGTGTACAATCGCTGCCCCAATGCACTGCAGGAATGGGGCCCTGAGCCACTTACGGTCCGCGAGCGAAACATGATGCAAGTCATCAATGCGATTACCGACAAACCTGATTGGAGAACAAAGGTCTTTGATGAGACCATTATTGCCAAGTGGAGAGCTGAAGCAGTCACCGAAGAGGGACAAGGTTTTACCGAGAAGATGTTTGATTATGTGAGCTCTACCCATTCGAGTTCACTCTATCAAGATCGTTTACTGACAGAGACAGTGTGTTGCAGAACTTCAGGACAAGGCTGGTCAGCACAAAGAGAACGACTTGACTGCCGTACTGGACTCGGAGTGGGCTGTAGTCAAGTCTGACAGCATTATCTCTACCGAGCTGAAAGAAGAACTCAAGAACGCTGTTGCTCCTCTCGAAGATGTCCCGGCTAGCGCCAAAGACTGGCATCCAGGATCCAACGAACAGGTCCTTGATCTGGTTCATCCCTCTCTGTTTCCGTTGATTTATGGTCGATCAAGGATTCTCCCTACTGGCACTATCAGCCTTGATTATTGTGTTCAGGCGTCTGGCAAGGGCGAGGTTATTCCAAAACCCAGCGAGGACGATTGTAAACTGGGCCAGAAGACACATTGGTTGAGCTATTACGGCGCCGGAACAACCGATTACTGGTCCAACCGCTTTCAATGGCTGCCTAGCGATGTGGTCTTCTCTGAGGACGATGGTGTCAAGATCACGAGTTACATCAATAATCTTCACCCAGTACATCACAAATCTATCTATCCAGTCATCGAAAAATTCATCGCCAAGTCAGTTCCTGCGTGGGACCTCGTACTTTCGTCGTATGTCGATCGAAGTGTTCACGAACTTCGTATCCCTATGACGGGCACAGAATACGAGTTCCCCCTGGGTGAAGATGCCCCTGATCATGTGGGAAGCGAGTTTACCGAAGAGGATGACGAATTCTACGAAGTCAAAGAACAGTGGGTAAGTGCAGCCCTTGCTCTCTACCAAGGGAGATCGAGAAACACGAAGAAGATACAGAATACCCTTGTCCGATTGGGTTATTCCAGGCGTGGAATATGCGACTGGGTACGATAATTTACTTACGACAGCTCCCCCGCAGGCTAGGCCAAGCAATGCGTAGAGCTAAGAGAAAAGACCATGGGCTTCAGATATGTGGCTTCACCGAAAGGCTTCAACTGACTGCCTCTCCTTGGTCATACTCCCTCTCTGCAAACCTTTTTGCGTCTTTCAACCTTGCGATATGCTCACCTTAACAAAGTGAAGCTTGCAGTTGCAGAACTTAGCTTGCGGGAGTGTCGTGCTAGGCTTTTACGAACGCTATGAGAGGAATTTTGCTGACCAACTCTTCAATCAGGTCAGAGACAACCGCGTCCTCGTCAAGCCGGACGCTCTTACCTATAATCCAGTCACTCGTCCTGGAAAGAGCGCGGTGGAGCCTCTCAGTCTTCGCCAACATTTCAAGAAGTCCGGCATTCAAGTCATCGTCAAGCTAGCCAACATCCATCTAGCACCTTCAAATCCCGAATACTCTGGCGGCAGCTGGCACATTGAAGGCAAACTTAACGAGCATATCTGCGCGACAGCTCTCTACTACTACGACAACGAAAACATCACAGAGTCACATCTGGCATTCAGGTCCAAAGTCTCGGTCGACGAGATAACACAACGCGACTATGCCCAAGATGATAATGACGGTGTATGCTACCTCTTTGATGTTGAGCGAAATGGCCCAGGAATTCAAAGGATTGGACAAGTGGCTACAAATGAAGGGCGCCTGTTGGCCTTCCCAAACGTTCTGCAACATCAGGTCCAGCCCTTCAAACTTGTTGACCCCACGAAGGCCGGCCACCGCAAGATCCTCGCTCTTTTCTTGGTCGACCCATTCCATCGTGTCATCAGCACGGCGAATGTGCCACCCCAGCAACGAGAATGGTGGGCTGAAGCCGTTCAAGGACTTGAGTGCAAATTGGACGAGCTGCCTCCGGAGCTACGCAATCAGGTCATGACCGAGGTCGGAGACTTCCCCATCAGTCTAGACGAAGCGAAGAAGTTAAGAGAGGAATTGATGGACGAAAGAAGGGCGTTTGTGCGTGATGTCAATGACATGTATCACGAGGAGGATTTTAGCTTCTGTGAGCATTAAATAAGGAAGACTAAGTTTTCCTGACCTCAAAGTCAAGCGTATAGCGCGATTTGCTGTGGAGCGTCATCGCCGAAATGTGGATGCAGGAAGACGGCAGAATACGTATGCCCTTTGAAATTGCATTGAGCTGGTGTCGGCACAAGCTGCTGCATTTATCACTGATTGTTGCACACGAACATTTGATTACAGCACTTCGAGATGGACTGTAAAAGCTTTGTGCATATCGATTCTCTGTCCGCTCAGCTGGTCCTGCCAAAGTACTCCACTTAAGACAGCAACTCAAGTCACGAAGCTCATCATAAACTCCTCCATGCATTGCAAGAAAGCCTTAGCTTCTTCTGATGAGAAGCTACCGTCACTATAACTCAGCGACAGAGAAGTTGTGCCATTCCAACCCTCCATGCGCAGTAGACTATGATAGTCAGTAAATTTGATTCCAGGCAGAGGCGAGATACTCAAGGGAAAAGGTTGATGAACTTACATCCCTGGTTCATAGGTGTCTGTAAGAAAGATCACATCATCAACATCCAAGATTGGAGATCCATCCTGAGTCAGAACAGTACTGGGGATATAGAGATCGTTCAGACCATCACTGGCAATAATCTCAAACCCAAACCACGTCAGCAATCCTCCAATATCGATCTCCACACCATGAAGAACTTACCGGCACAGCTTTGCCATCAGGTATACTCTCGTTCCTGCATCAGAAATCAGCTCTCAACTTAGTCACAAGAAAAAAAAAGTACTCACGATTCCATGAGAGCCGAAAAAAAGTTATCCTTGGCAAGACCCAAGGGCAGTAGATATGGCTTATTGAGCCAATAATCGTAAGCAGTCTTGGTGACCTTCATAGCCTCAATCAGTGCTTCAACAACCGCATCTCTATCGCCAAAATCTATGGCGTACTGTGCGAGATTATCGAAAACGACCACTGCGCAAGCTTGACAACTGCCATATTGCATGTTCGCAACTTCTTCCCGCAAGTATCGTCGTCCATTGACTGGTAATGGCATTATCACCGATTTGTTTGTGAGAGCTTCTTTTGGCAGTGGACTGAGTTTTAGTAAAGTTAATAGTGTTGCTGCTTGGCCTAGATGAGTTATTGTGTATCCAGGACCTAGACGAGACTTTACTGCTTGAATGATTTTCTGGCATAAGGAAGGTGGTAATTGGAGTATTGCGGTTTCTGGTAGTCCTGGGTTTGTTCCTATGGGCATGGCATGACTTGACTGGAGAGCGCAAGGTCAGCAAATGTCATGCCGATGAAATGATGGAAAGGCTTCCAACATACACCAAATTCAAACATAGTCGATACAAATTCTTCAAGGCTGTCTTCGTAGTCTTCGCCCAAGGTTTGAGGGTCGATCTTCAATGAATCAAGGAGTGGTGCACTTAAGTTTTCGACTTCCTTGCCCCAGTTGTATTGTGCATGTTCTAGGTCTTGACCAACACTATTGAGAAGATGACCAACGAACAGTCGAGCACTAATACCATCCCAGTAGATATGATTGAAGTGGACCAAGAACTCAACCGGGGACCCTTGACTGATGATCGTATCCGTATCTGGTACGTCACTAAGAACGTAGAAAGTAAAAGAGTTCGATGATGTGTTCTGTGCCTTCCTTTTCGACACAATTTGCCGTCTTAACTCCAAACCAGTCTGACTTGTCGCACGAACTTCGATCCTTTGTCGCGCCCACAGAACCGCTTTATCATGATCAGAAGGAGGCGTATACCGAATTAAAGGACCAAACTGCTCATCCCAATATGCTTTACAAGCAACATTAGGATGCTCGAATCGTTCTTTGAGGAGACCATAGACAAGTTTCTGTTTAAGCGAGGCAAGAGACAAAGAGTGCTGTAAAGTTGCTTTGACAAGAATGTAACAGTCGTATTGACCTCTGGCATTTTCTTTGCGAAGGCCAACCCAGTTCTCGGTGCCGTTTCCTCGTCGTTGGACTGAGTTTGCTGTATCGCCGACTTTGTGCCAACGATATTTGGCTGGTTCGACTTTTTTCGATTCGATAATGGCCATGTTTTGAAGATGTTCAGAATGTTGTCGCATTACAATACGTTGGACAAAGATTGTTATACGATACGAAGGAGGATGCGATGACTGTTATCTGTGTTTACGCTAACCAAAATTGGAAGGCAAGATCACAGGGCGACCAATGGGAAGATGGCAAATCATTTTTCTACCATTCTTCTATACTGCATGTTTAGTTCGACTGCGAGTTTGCCTGGTGGGTCTCAACGGTCAAATATTGCAGTGCTCGAATGTCCTTCATCAGAAAAGCGGCACCCTTCCAACAACTGTCTGTTTTTCTTATTTCTGCCGGCGACCTTCCATCCTCTCAAAGCCAATTCTCGATCGCCTCGAGATCGCGAGCCATCTTTCTTTCCATTTCCTCCCTCATGGTCTTCTCGATCCAGTCAGGAATGAGACCAGCACGCTTGACCAGCATGTCTTCAATCTCGTGGGCCTTCCTGTTTTGAAGTTTATCGAGTAGCTTTTGCTTTGCCAGAGGGATTGGATGACGGTCGACGTGGTTGGCGGGTGGAAGATCAGGAACCATATCAGGTTCACACCTGAGACTTTCTTCGGAGTCAGATGCTGTCAAGTCGATGATAGAAGCAGTCTCAGTAAGTGAGAATCGGCTAGAAGTGGTGTGATCCTCCTCGTGGCTCTCATCGTTCAGGTGGTTTGACTCCGTACTCTCAACAGTCTTTGTGGCTTGGAGTCTTTGTCTCTGGTTTCTGTCCGCAGATTTGTTCTGGTTAGAATCAAAGGACTTGTTGTGGACATAACTCATCTCCTCCTCTTGTCTTCGAGTATGGACATGGTGTTCTTGTGTCCAAGCCGGTACAGAACTGTATGCCATGGTTTTGTTCCTGCTAGGAGTGCCTTTCTCCACCCTTGGGTAGACTGAAACTGACAGTTTCGTTCTGTTGGTGATGGTACGTTCAATTGATGGCGGACCAGGAGTGACCTGGATGTAGCGGATCACGGCGGTGAAATAAGCGTACAGCATGCGACGGCCTTCCGAATGATTTTCTGACCATGGCTTGCAAATGACCTCCAAAGACGGATGCCATTTATCACAGAGACGCGACTGCCTGTCAATGCTGCATTTAGAACCACGCGGTGCACCACACTCGGAGAATATCATGCTTTTGGGGCCTGGCTTGAACCAGATTTACTGCTCTGATCCGTCCGCTTGACGAGCCCATCCTACCAGTAATGTGTTCTTCTCGAAGACAACACTGCGTCTTTGCAAGAAGTATAGAAGGCCATACTGAAAATGCGACAAGACGGTTTTGCATGTGGCAGGCACACCTACTGCGTCTCTGATTTCTCGGAGTTCGGCTGCGGTTGGAGTGCTTTCGTGTTCCTGACATACTCGCTTGTAGTATTCCGTAGAGCTCTTACTCATTTTGAATCTGTCCGGAAGTTCTTGTGACATTCCTATAGCAGGTTGGAACAGAAGACACAATGGCAGATCATAGACATTCATGGAACGCACCTGTATCGGTAGTATCACTCTCCGCCTTCAGTCAAAACGCAGTCTCCTCAACGCAGCGTGATGTACTTCTCAAGAAGTGAGCGAAGCACGTTGAACAATGTACTTGTGGAGACGCGACGGGGAGTGGTGTAGTTGAAGTGGGTTGACGTGATGATTGTTGACGCGTTGTGTCCGGTGCACCCAAAGGCTTGGTATTATTAAACACTCACAACGCCTTCGATGGACCGAGGATTCGACTAAGGCAACAGAGTGAATCTTTCGGAGGCGCACTTGAAAGATGAGCGCAGGCTGGGTATCGGTCGAGTTGCGCAAGCGATTTGGAAAGAGAGAAGAAAAGTTTGGAGGAGGATGTGAAAGGGCGACTTTCTTGGTAGTGAAAGTGTAAACAAAGCTCTGAAATGGACGCGACTGCTTGTGGTTTTTCGAATCGCTCACGGAAAATCTTCTGTTATGATCTTGGTAGTCGAACGTCACAATAGAGTCCGATTCGGAGACGCGTCCAAGGCTAGCCAATAGAATCATTGTTTCCAGAGGACACAGCTTGATATCTGATAAGCCTGGTGCATTCTATAGCACATTCACAGTTCCTTGTCGTCTAGTGAGAGAGATGAATATGCATCCTGCTTAGAGAGACTCTCTGAGAGTTCAACAGCGATGTCGAAAGTTGTTCACTCCTCGTTGCCTCTTTCACCGTCATCACCAGATCCCTCTCCACCGCGGCCCAAGATCTTCTGGATAACCTCAAGAACCAAGCCACCAGCTGAGAAAGCACGAATGATACCCTATATCAGAGCAGCTCCCCATCCTCCCATAGCAGCGCTTTGAAGGACACGGAAGATTCAGGGTGTGCCGAATAAGCTTTGGAAGTCAGCAGCGAGAACTCCTGTTATCGACTTCTTAGTTACCATGAACTTGGGATGCTACAGAGGCTATTCGAGACGCGAGTACTAATTAGCAGCAGGACCAAGACCGCTGAAACCCAAAAGAGTCAGAAGAGGACCGGTAAGCAGAGCGGGACAGACGGTCAGAAGAGCGGTGACGAAAACAGAGGTCGACTGACGAGGGTTGTTTGCGATGGCAGCACGAAGGCGAGCGATCATGTTGGGGGAGATGGGTGGACCAGTGGGCTCGTCAGGAGCAGCCGCACCATTGTCGTGGTTCTTGTTGTTTTCCGCGTCGGCCATGACTTCGATTGAGAATTTGTGGTTGATGAGGGTGTAACACAGACTGAGGTGATGGGAAGCTTTTATACAACTTGTTGGTGCGCCTTTGTCGTGAAGTGTTGTGATGCCGGAAGGTTCTGCCACTCTCACGAACCCGTGTCACAGATCTGCTTGGCCAACACGACCATAATGTCGAAAGATTTGAGGAAGTCTGGTCAATCTCTGTACCTTGCAACCCCACAGCTCCTCTCAAGCTGCATATCATTTTCGTCTTCACTGATCTCGTCGTCTTCATGCTCGACCTCTTCACCAACATATGCAAGTCTTTCTTCCCAGTCATAAGTTTGTCTTCTCTTGTCCGACCTGCGAGCACAAAGGTTCGCAAAGAATCTTGTGCCGCGCACGAGAATGTTGTAAGCGGTTGTCAGAATGTTGGAGCTTGGCTGTTCCTGTGGCTGTTGCATGACCGGCATTCTCGCTGTGAAGAGTGATCGACTGGAGCGGTGATGCGCTCCAACTCGATTTTGACCAAGGTTAGTTGATCAGGTTTGCTTGTTGTCTCACTGCGATGTACGATAGTTTGCGACATACTTGTCAAACATGCCTGAAACCATTGTGTCTCGCCTGAATGAGTGGAGTCAAGGGACAATGAATTTATATCACTAGTGTATGTCTTTTGAGAATTGGGATTCGGTGAGCGAGTTTTGCTATCCAACAGACTGACGCTTCAATAGAGTTTGATCATGCTGAAGCTCATGCTGCTTGTCTTTTGCTTCTTCTCCGACTTTGGGACGAAGATCTTGATGCCTGTACAGAATATTAGTATTGTCTTCCTGATCTTGCGCGATGGCGGGTTTAAATGTCTCACGCTGTCGTTGCTCTTTCTAAGTCTTTCCCCTGCGTCTCCGATGGCTTTCGAAGCACGTTGCTTGACATTCCTTTTGTCGACCTCGTCTTGCACATCGTCCACAACATCGGCATCACCGGGGCAGCCAGTGCCGCAGATCCAGTCGAGCACACCCCAATTTCCATAGTTGCCTTTGCCACCGGTAGCATAGTGAGAGTCTGTTCTTCTGGCCATGCCGGCTAGCAGAATCTGGGACGGCAGTACAGAGTAGCCGGAGTAGATGAAGAATTGCTCTAGACTGATGATGGCAGTCAGGATGTACCACGTCAGCACGTGGAAGCGGAAGAACAGCGTGGATAGATACAAGGGTGCACAATCTGTGAGCAAGTGGCAGACTGGATGGTCGTAAGCAGATGCTAGAGAAAAGGTATGTCTCAGACCATGCGCCCAATCAGCGTGCCAGCGAGCCAGGATCGAGTCTCTCGGAGAAGCGTGAAGGATATCGCGATGTATGAAGTAGTGCAGCAATCCACGACACGCGAGACCGTACAGCACCTCTTTCACCATAGTCGGCCATGGTGCAGGAGGAATCTTGCTGACGCGAATAGCAGAGCGAATGTTCATGACTTCGGTCAGTACATAATCACAAAGTCCTTGAATCACAACCGAGAAGGCGACGTTGAACACAGATACGAAAATCACGTTTCGCAATCTGCGCGAACTCAGTTGGGTTGGTAATTGAGCAGCACCACGAGATTTTATGCTGGCAGAGAGACTTGGTATGAGCGAGTCGAAGCCCAGCACAGCCAAGCTGGGAAGCAGGAAGAAGATGACCTTGATTGTAAGAGTGCCGACAAGCTCCAGATACAGTGGATTATGAGTGGAGACCAGAGTTACCCAAGTCAAGAGGAAGAAGGCAAGGCTGATGGTGGTAGATGAGGAGCCGAAGAATGGTACAGCAAGGAAGGAGAGCAAGGGGAGCGGCAGGGTCATCAGAGAGGTCACTTGTGACAAAATCTTGTTGGATGTTCTCGAGAAGAGGTCACTGATGGAGAAGCCGCGACCTTGAGAGTAGCCATAGTAATAGACCAAGTCGTCGCGTAGTGCTTGGAGAGCCATGACTGCAAGGGATAGAGCTCGTCAGCTTCGACCAAAGTGTCGTATATGCGATACGGAATCTCGAAGAACACGGCAATGCTGCACTGCACAGTTGAATCGCAGTTGTCGGTCGAGACGCGGGTTCGGGATGCCGCGAACGCGTTTGCCGTGTTGATGGAGGTGGGTGGGGTTGATCTCAATCGTGTGGTCTCAAGCTCCCGAAACTGGCGGGAAACGATTCGCCTAGCGAAAGTCAATCGTGGCGCCACGTGAGAAGCTGAGACAGGCTGAAATGTTTCTTCTCAACGATTTCAAACGAGAATATCAAGGGAAAATGTCGCAGGCTTGCATGGATATGGTGGATATACTTGTACTTGTCGAGACGTCATAGAAGTCGGAGTCGTGTCAAAAGCAGGGTTTAGGTCAAATTAGAGTAGCTGCAAGATCAAGCACTTAGCTGATTGATGGTGGGGTGCGATGCAAGAGTGGATTCGCTTAGTTCGCTCCGGCCCCTGAAAGCTGAATGTTAATTTGCAGCGCGCCCATGGTTGATGGCCACCAGGGCATGCGACCCGAGCTGGCCAAGTCAAGATTGTACCCTCCCTCAGCCTCAGGCCATGTTTGAAGCCTCTTCTGTAGTTTCCTTGCCCTTGCCTTCGGTGCACAAGGGGATTGTCGCGACAACAGGGACGGCATGCATGCAAGAGCTGCGTGTGCGACGTCAAAGCACCTGCCTACATTCGAAACAATCCACACATAATAGCCTCTACACTCCCATGTCACAGCTACGAGGCAGCGCGTCAACCGCAGCCTGAGAAGCAAAACAACCCCCTTCAGCCATGCCATCGGCCCACTCATATCATCGTCCCTACGATGCCCGTCGCGACAAGCGACCCTCGACTGCCGACAATCTGAACAAACATGCGCCGAACGAGCCTCAGGTCATCTCCTCGCTGATTGCCTCTCTCGATTCAACCAACTCTCCAATCACCCATGCCTCGTACGCCTACATCTCGACTTCGGACAACTACGATCCCGATGGCGCTCTCTACGCAAGCCCCGACCTGCGCCCACCCTTGAAACACAGCCAGAGTTTTGGCATGGACTACGGCGCCTACCGTCAGCCAATCCAAGCTCATGACTACGATAGTGATGGCGCTGACTTTCCCGTCATCCGCACCTCAAGACGCCCTTCAGGAAAATCTACACACACTGCACCACCCTCGCCGAGCCTGAACGGCTTGCGAGAAAAATTGCGTACTGCCTCTAGGACATCTCTGTCTCTGAACGGCTTTGACAGACTCAGTCGCAGCAACAGTAGACTGAGCGCTGGAAGCAGCTCTAGGAAACAGTCACTGTCCTCTCCTACAAAGCTGTCCTTGGATGCACAATCGCCAACAGATAGACTTGGTCGCAGAACCTTACTCCGCCAGAACTCGCGCGAGACACTCAGATCTTACAAGGATCCTCAGCATTTGGCCGACCAGGCTCTGTTGAGTTCAAACCTAGGCTCTGAAGCCAAGGATTCTGGAAGAAAGAGCTCAAAGGGGAGACTATACTTGGAGGATGGGCAAGAAGACATGGCTACACCAAGTCCCACCATACCCGTGAGCCGACCATCATCCCACAATGCTCGTCCTTCGAGTAGTAGAGGTGGTTCGTTCAAGGCTTCAGCTGAAAGCCTGCCCGCAAGCAATTCGAGAAGTACCCTTCCAACCTCGTCTAGCAGCCCAATGGCTACAATCATCCCTCCACGATCTTCTTCGCTCAATAGACTTTCCAGCCCTACGAAACCCAAGGGCAAGAAACTCAGCAAAGGCAAACGCGCTTTGGCTGCCCTCAGAGAAGTCAAGGAGGAGCGCGGTCCTCGGCGCAAGTCAAAAGCAGATGCGCTCAAAGATATGTTCGACGGCCTGGATGAACAAGACGAGACTGTAATGCGCATCAAGCAACTGCGTCAGCAAAAGGCACAACGAGATCGTCTCCGCATGGAATCTGATGAGGCTCTGCGCACACAGAACGACAAAGGGCTCGTGCACGACTCGGGAAGGTCTTCGGCGTCCAATTTGCCGGATGCGCGAAAGCGAGCCGCCAATAGAGGCCCCGCCAGAGTCCCTGATTTGCGCAAGGCTCACCGTATGCTCGGCCTCGATGAACTATCTCAAAATGCTCCCGTGGTTCAATCCCACGACACCACAACGGCTTCCCCTTTTGACAGTAACGTTTGCACACCTCCTAGCGTCGCCCGTCACTGTCCCAACGTCTCTGCAAACCTGTCTTCCTTTCCTCCCGACTCTCCTACTATCGGAAATGCCTTCTCTACCTCGACCGACTATTACCGTCCTTTCCATACCCAGATTGCCAATGTAGCAGAGGAGCAACCATATGATTCATCTTCGGTCGGTAGACGCGCTGTGGCTCGGAAGTCAACTCACTCTCACCTTCTGAACGGTCTTGACATTGAGGGCCTCGACATGTCACCACCCAGTACTGCCCATTCTAATTCCACAATTTCGTCGCGTCCGAAATCAAGTCGACGATTGTCCTATGATCCTAGGTTCCGACGGAAGTCCATGAGCGATGCTCGTGAGAATCGCCTTCTTGAAGATGATATTCTGCAGGAGCGACACAGTAATGTCTCCATGTCGGTCAACGCCTTTTTGAACAACCCGCGATTGAATCAGAAGATTGCGCATCCTCAGACTGGTCGTATCATCTCATTTTCCGAGGTCGGCGACCCGAATGGACATGCAGTCATTGTCTGTGTGGGCATGGGTCTTACACGTTTCGTGAGCGTCTTCTATGACGACCTAGCATCTTCCTTGGGCCTACGGCTGATTACACCAGAGAGACCGGGTGTTGGTGCTAGTCAAGCATATCGAGACAGAGATCATATTGGACCTTTAGCCTGGCCAGATGATGTGATTACCATAACTCATCACCTTGGCATCTCTGAGTTTAGCTTGTTGGCACATTCTGCAGGTGCAATCTATGCTTTGGCAACTGCTTTGATGCTCCCTCAAAGTGTGCGTGGAAAGGTACAGCTTCTCGCACCGTGGATCCCGCCGTCTCAGTTTGAGAACATCAGCCAGAAAGACAGATCACCTGACGATGTGCCCATGGCTGGCTTGACGAGAGGTCAACGTTTCCTCCGGGTGTTACCCGTGCCTTTCTTGAAGGCCGCCAACGGCAATCTCTTCTCTCCCGCATCTCTGAAGCCAGCCAGTGTTACTAAAGACGATGGGTCACCTACATCCGGCCGAGAAAGTCCTCGCGGTGTTCCTCGCAGGAGGAACTCGAAAAAGCGACCGGACGGATCAAGACGAGAAAGTATGATCCTCATGGATCAAGTCATACCTGAGAAGCCTAGAGATACCATGTTCCCGTTGCCTGAACTGTGCGAGGACGAGACAGGTGACAAGAAGGTGCGCAAACCTTCGGAAGTCTCTCTCAAACTCTCTGCGACAGCCTCACCTATGGATCCAGGACTCATGTTCGCAGCCGAAGCCCTTAGCGCTGCTGAACACGCGGCAAAGGAACACCAAGCAGCATATTCTGCTATGTTGACGGAAAGGACCTGGACGTTGGCAACTCGCGACGCGAATCCTGCTACTGATCTGATCGTCTGTCTTGAGCGACACCGCAGCATTGGATTTAAATACGTGGATGTGCATAAGAAGGTGGTAATCACACACGGCAGCGAAGACAAACGCGTGCCTGTGGAAAACATCCGATGGATTGGCGAACAGATGAACAAACACAATACACTATACTGGAGTATACAAGACAAAGACGCGGAAGCAAACGATGGTGGTTGCGAAATCCGCGTCTTGCAAGGCGAAGGCCATGGACTCATGGCGCATCCTGGAGTGATGTCTGATGTTTTGTCGGACATATCGAACGAGTGGAGTCCGACACGATGGTTGATGCTATGATGAGTGAGGAAAAAAATGTTTGATTATCGTGTGATGCATGACAATTTTCTGACCTGTGTCGGAAGCATGCTATTTCCTTTTTCTTTATTGTCTCTTGTTTGGTTGAATAGTTTAGATACCCTCTTTCTTATGTGATACTCATAAAGACAGCTTTAAATCTTAGACATCAAATTCTTTTCGCCATAAGCAGATGATGATGGTGGTGAGACTGTATTTTCAAGAATGGTGTTTGTTCTTCGCGTCAACCCAGCAACGCGTCTTGTGTGAGGTTGAACATGGCGAACAGCAGGAGAAGTTGCGGCTGAGTGCGTCGGGAGCAATCTATGTTGCCGTGGCAGATGTAAACATAGCGCCAAGGCAGGATGGTCGAGCAGTCGCGATAAAATCGAAAAGACTCGACGGCATCATCTTTCTGCGGTCAGCACTTGTTTCAAGGCTAGAAACCAAGTTGTTGGATGGCATTGGTGATCGTCGTGGCGCAGAATCAATTGGTGATAATCGAATCGAGGTGGTTGGGCATATTCGGAGGCTGGTCGACTAGCTTGCACACTGGCTGCAGGCGCACACGATAAACCCAGCACACCACCCATCTGCACCTTCCCGCATCACTTTTTGCACTTTCCCATCTTACACCTTTTGGTCGTTGTTCGCTCACCGTCGCACCGTTCGACTTCAACTGTCGTTGCTGATAACCTTTCAACCGTCCAGCTAAACATTCAATCGTCGTCCTTTTATCGACAAGCATACTGTGGGGTTGCCAACGGCTATACCACAACGCGCGCATTCCATACCCCCACAGTGAGGCATTCCGCGCCTCGAGTCAGCCATGCCCTCATCACCCTCTCGCCTGAATCCCTACACACGACCCCTTCTGCGACTGGCAGTCGTCGCTCTCACACTCAGTCCGACACTAGCGAATCCGCTCATTCCAAAGGAAATCGGCATTGGTGGTTTGACCTTCAATTCTCTGTTTGGCAGAGGCAATTGTGAGAACCCTTGTGGTTGGTCTGGTCAATTATGCTGCACTGGGGGAGAGTCTTGCTATACCGACTCGAGTAATCAAGCACAATGTGCATCCACAACGGCGGCCGCTGCGGCCAGTGAGACGACTGGCTACTGGAAATACTGGACTAGCACATGGGTCGAGACACAAACAGAGACCGACCTTATCACTAAATACAGCACTGGAAGTTCCTGGTGCGGCGAAGCATCGACTACTGCCGCTGCAGGTGGAGGCGGTGGTGTAGCTACTTCCGTTTGGGTAGCTCCCTCCACCGCTGCTGCATCGCCAACTGCTTCAATCAGCTGCAACTGGGACAAGGGCGAGTCTTCTTGTGGAAGCATATGCTGTGCAAGCGACCAGTACTGCCTAACATCCGGACAATGTGCAGCTGCCGCAGGAGCAAGCACAACATCCAAACTCAGCTCAGGCAGCTCAACCGGTATTTCTCCCGCAATCCTACCAACAAGTAGCACCTTGGTAATCGTTACAGCAACCTCTTCCCCCACCACCACTGTCCCCTTTGTCGCTCCTGTCGCTACTGGCGCAAACATCACCCTCACTGGAGCAGAATCAAGCAACTCTCACGGTCTCTCTGGCGGTGCCATTGCTGGTATTGTCATCGGTGTCATCGCGGGTCTGATTTTGCTTTCCCTTCTCTGCCTCTTCTGCTGCGCAAGAACAATCTGGCTTGCCATCTTTGGTGGCCGCAAGAGAAGACGTACTGAGCGCACTGAGGTCATCGAGTCCCACCACCACAGGTCCTATAGCGGTGCTGGAGGAGCATACGCCGCCAGCCGTCCTGACGACAGAAGATGGTATGGTTCAGAAGCACCTCGTCGAGAAAAGGAACGCAGCAAGTTCACCGAGCTGCTGGGCATTGGTGCTGGTCTGGCCGCACTTGCAGGCATCCTGGGCTTGAAGAGGAGACATGATCGTCGTAGAGATGAGAAGAGCGAGTATAGCAGTGCTTATACGGACGCTTCGTATAGCGATTACTACACAAGTGAGAGTAAGTGATGTTTTCTGAAATTTGCTTATCTGAAGTTACTAACATTTTGAAATCAGGCAGTGCTAGCTCAGATGACAGACGGACAAGACACACGAGGCGCTCGTCACGTCACAGATGATGAGGAACTACTACGACAGAAACGAAGACTTGTGATACGAAGCAAAGAATGGGAAGAACGAAGACGGAATGAGGAGAAGGGAGCATACGACGTATGGCAAAGGAAGATTCATGTTGATTGTGCCACCACCATATGCTTTTCTTTGTAGGTCACGGGCCAGGAACCACACCTCGAAAGGTGCCAATACAAATCGCCTCATGCATTTCATGGTGTTTATCTTGCTTTTTCTTCTCTATAACCAAAGCTCACGGAAAGAGCTACTTGTGTAGCTTCCTAGCTTTCATACGCAGCCCAGGGCTTTTTTCTCTTTCCGGATGCAAGATGTATATAGCAGAGTTCAGACTACTGAGACAACTACATATAAGCCTTGGCCCTGCATCAAGCACCTCTATTCTTATCCTGTTATGAAGTCGTCTAGCTGAAGTGACTTTGAAAAGAATGACTTGGACAAAAAATCAGTCTCACTTGCTCTCACAAAGCTCGAAGAAAGCAGACTGGATGTCTTTGATATCTGTTCGTACTTCTTAAAACAAGCAATGTTCTTATTGCAGCAAGACAATGGTTATGAGTGGCTTTCTGGATTAGTATGTACATATGTCGATGTGTTGCTTCTTTCTGATTTTTTTTTTTCTCGATTCCAACATTTCACGAGGGTTCAAGCATACAAGCTCGCTATAGTCCGTTCCGGAAGAAACATCCACTTCGAGCGGAGCTACAAAATCATAGTTGGTGAATCCAAACTTAGGAACAGGCGTTAACTTGGACTGCTGGACAGCGATGTACTGAACAGAAAGTGTGGCTGGCGTCACGATCGACGCAATAGGTGCAGACCTAAGAGTCATGTCTAAGCAAAAGGAGTTTCTCTAGTGCCTCATTCATGGACTGACCAAGCGATGATTACTAGGAACAGGAGTAACGGATGCTTGACCCAAACATGAACTTTAGCAAACCCCAGCACATTACCTAGGATCGGAAATGTCGTTTCGAGAGTCGACAAGCGTTGCCCTCTTTTTGAGGCTTTGGCGGAATGCCAGAATGCCTGTACATAGGCTGTTGAAACAGCCAGTGCAAGCATAGCCTTGACCAAGAAAGCAAAGGTTGTGCCAATTGCTGTATTGAGTTCTTGCTTAGATATCTTGTTCCCGGCGATCGCGTGATAATATCCCGTTGGAGTATTGGTTCCAGCTAAACTCGAATAGAAGAGATGGTGGCCAAGAGATAGCATGCATCCGACAAGAAAAGCAGCGACCATAGTTGTTGGTGTGACCCAATGAATGGTCTTCTGCGGCTTCATAATGGCGTTTCTTAGTTCAACAGATAAATGGCAACAACGAGGGAGACGAGATACGTGAGCGAGGAAGGGTTAGCAGAAGCCAGCTGTTTATCAGTGCAGCCTCTGAGAAGGAAGGCGCCATGCAACTGCGCCTTTCAGCCTTGTACACCCCGCTCGATCCAGGCCGACCAGCTGCATGTACTTTTTCATGTTCTCTTCTGAACAAGGCGCACTTCTGAATCTGCATAGCCTGATATCGTAGCGAATTGAAAGTGTTTTCCAGGTCCGAAAAGGGTAGTCTGCAAGCCACACCGTAATCCATATCGGTGGGAGTGTTGCAGCGTGCAGAATTCGTTATATTCTGCTATTTCTAGCTACGGGGAAAAGTATTTGTCTCCGAACCTTCCTGTGGACAGACGTCTGGTCTCAATCACCATTGTGCGTATTGTAGCTGGAGACCCTCTGCATTAGCGAGAAATTCGCGGGTCAATGTGGTCATCGACTTTGCGATGGAGGTGTTAAGGATCTGAAGTTGTAGCAAAGCTGCGGTGTTTTATCGGGTCTATACATTCGTCAATAGATACTCTACAATATCTCCAAGCCCATCTTTCTAATGTGTTCGAATCATGTTCTCATCAACACCCACAATCATGCTCATGCTGTGCATCTAGACTTTAGATTTAAGCCGAGACTTGGTCTCTCACTCTTCTCAACAAAGGTGTGTTTTCGCTATCGTCATTGTCCGAGTTAGGGTACGGCATCTTCTTGAACTCGCCGTCCGAAACAGCACCGACTCTCCAAGTACCCGCCTTTTTGGCCTCTTCGAAGAACTTTTGGTTCTCTTCGAAGCTGCGGCCACCGGATTCGGGTTGGTAGAGATAGGTCCAGACTCCAGCGAACATGTTCGAGAAGCCGAAGACAAGGAAGAGCCAGTAGTCAAGGTTGTTGAAGAGGATGGGTGTCAGGAGTGTAACAGCAAAGTTAGCCAGACCCCAGACAATGACACTGACAGCTGTGCCTTGCGCACGAGCAGTAGTAGGGAAGATCTCAGTGGGAATAAGCTATGCTTTGTCAGTATGTTCAGCCGAATGATATATCTAACAAAACTTACCCAGATGGTTGCAAGCCAGCCAATACCGAAAGCTCCGGTCGCAACATAAAGAGCAACGATACCAGGAACAGCAACGGCCACATCTGGAATACCCAGCTCCTCAGAGTTGAAGGCCAAACCTCCGAACAAGGTGAGAAGGAAGAAGCAGACTGTCAGAACGATAGAACCACCAAGCAGTACAGCACGGCGACCCACAGCGTCAACCAAAAGCCAGGCAAATGTCATCAGGATGAAGTAAGACACATAATTGCCTTGTGTCAGATACTCGGACATGCGCGTATCAAATCCAAGCAGCTCAAAAATCTGTGGACCATAGACCGAAACAGCTCCATATCCAGTAAGAGCCTGGTTAATTTGTCCCATGACAGTGACCATAGTAGGGTGGAATTGAGCATGTCCTGGGGTAAGCATATCAGTGTACGTGACATTTTTGGAAGATTCGTTGTCGTTGGATTCGACGAGGCTGTCCAGAGACTCCTCAGCCTGGTCTTCTCCATAAATTGTGACAAGAGCTGCTTTGGCGTCGTCTTTACGGTCGTGAGACACGAGCCATCGGGGTGATTCGGGAAGGATGCCAATGAAGGCCATAAGGAGGACAGGAAAGATCTGCATGATAATGATGGGAAGCCTCCAAGCCCATTGGTTGGACTTGCCCAGTGCTACAGTCAAGCCAAGATTCACCGCGAATGCGAAATTTAGTCCAAAGATGTTCATCTGGAACTCTTGAGCAAGTGCCTTGCCACGAGCTTCGTCTTCGGATAGCTCAGAGCTGGTTAAAATATCAGTCCAATGCACCGTGCTGAAAGTCAGAGGACTCACCTATAGACTGGAACAACGGCATCAACACCACCTACGCCCAGTCCCATGACGATTCTACCGACAATCATAACGATCAGAGCTCCTTGAGAGAACTTCAGACCAGAGACAAACATGATCAAGTTTCCAAGCGAAGACATTGCAAGACACCCGAACAGAGCGGGCTTTCTTCCGAAGCGATCGGCCAGGAACGAGAAGATGACAGCTCCGACAGCAGTACCCAGGTAGTACAAAGCCACGATGAGACCGACCATGGGACTCTCCTCAGGAAGACCCATTGTACTGAGATAATCTTCATTGGTATTGATCAAACTCATCATACCTACCAGATTGTCAGTATTGCATGATTTAATTCAGAGGGTCAAGCTTCCTACCTTGATCGTAGCCATAAAGGGCGATGGCCGTCGACGAGAAGACGACAACTTGTGTGACCTTATCCATCTTGGTTGTCGTACTTTCTCCAACGTTACAGAATGTCAAGTCAAGCTTGTCAAAAAGACAAAGAAGGTATGAGGTTTGACTCGGGTGGACTGCCCAGCGATTTTGTTCAAGATTGAGAATAGAGTAGATGACGCAGCAGGTGCAGCCACAAAGCCCACCTGATCTGTCACTGCATCCTCTGTTGCGGGGCAGCGCGTATTTTGGGATCGAAGAGATGCTCGTCCATCTTGACTTTGCAGCTCCAACACGAGAAGGTTATATGCAACGGCTCGAGTCAAAGCAGGATCTAAATCGCCAGCAGAGTTGAGCATGCTGTGATGATAGCACCAGGCATTGGCTATGCAGGGACTCGCGATTTGCTGCAAGTTTGTTTATTCCCGTGTGTTTTGTACAACACAAAACGCTCAAAGGCTTCACGCGTCGCGAGTACGGTCCGCGCTATCCCGTTCTGTTTTGATTCACGACGACAAGTCAAAAGCCAGGTCGAGGAAACACGTTCCTCTTATCGCTCGCTCTTTCTGCCTAAAGTCGCTTACAAGAACCTGACAGGCTGACAGCCCATCGGAGTTACCGTTTTGGTACATTCTCCCGATCGGCTCACCTTCCTTGTTGGCTGCAATGACTTCGTTGAGACACTCCGCCCATCAAAAATTGTTATCGATGTCTTCAGATCTCGTGGGCGAATCCACAATGTAGCATCAAGTATGAAGGTAAGCCGACAGCAAGGTACTTATAAGAAAATCCATCAAAGCACCTTGAGACTGCGTGTACGGGATTAGACATATTATCTTCATCGCTACCTTTCAATCATCACATCCATCCTCAATTCTTATTTCATCCTATCTTTGACTTCGGATTTCGAGATGAAGGCGTTAGCTATGCGCCTTCCGGCGCCTTACGTTCTCTGCTCCATCCTCATCTCTGTCGGCGGCCTTCTCTTTGGTCTGGACACCGGATGTATCGGACCCATCACCACCATGCCAACTTTCCTCGACTACTTCGGACCACTTTCCTCAACAACTCACGGCATCCTAGTCTCATCGATCTTAATACCAGCCTCATTGACCTCCTTCTTCGCCGGCAATGTCGCGGAATACATGGGTCGAATCATTACCTGCTCTGCTGGTGGTCTGATCTTCTCAGCAGGTACTGCTCTAGAAGCTGGTGCTCAAAACCTCGCCATGTTGTTTGTCGGCCGCTGCATCACTGGTGTAGGAGAAGGCCTGTTTCTCAGCACGCTGGTGGTGTATGTGTGCGAGATTGCTCCTGCTAAGCAACGAGGTGTGCTTGCTAGTGTCCAACAACTGCTGGTTACCATGGGTATTGCAGTGGGCTACTTTATCTGCTACGGCACTGTACGAAGCTCTTCTTCAAGTTTCAGCTGGAGGTTCCCTTTTGCGTTGCAGAGTTTCCTGGCTTTCTCGTACGCAGTTTCGGCGTTCTTGTTTTTGCCTGAGTCGCCTAGGTGGCTTAAGAGTAAAGGTCGCATGGACGACTCGCATGATGCTTGGGAGAAACTGGGCATTGCCGATGTCGAGCGCGAGAAGGACGAACAAGAAGACCAAGCCCTGACAGTACAAGAACCGGAGAGTCTTGCATTGACACCAATTCGCTCGAGACAGAGTGTCCACGAAGCACCCCAGATCTCATGGCTCGCCGTGTTCGCAAAAGACACGCGCAAACGCACGTTCCTGGGCTGTTTCCTAATGGGCATGCAACAGCTCTCTGGCATCGATGGCGTTCTCTACTACGCTCCTCTGTTGTTCGAGCAGGCAGGCCTCAGCAGCAGCACCTCCTCTTTCCTAGCTTCCGGCGTGTCAGCCCTTCTCATGTTCCTCATCACCATCCCTGCCTTCATCCTCGCCGACAAATGGGGTCGCAGAACCTCCACACTCGTCGGCGGCATCCTCCTCAGCACCACAATGTTCATAATCGGCGCTTTATACGCGTCCAACAGCGTCCACGGTACCCACGGTGCTGCCCGCTGGGTCGTCATAGTCCTGATCTACATATTCGCCCTAACCTACTGCACCACCTGGGCCGTAGGTATAAAAATCTACGCGTCAGAGATTCAACCTCCAAAAACTAGGGCGCCGGCAACTTCGCTGGCGCAATCTTGTAACTGGGTTGTTAATTTTGTGGTTGCGTTTACTACGCCGGTGTTCTTGCAGCATTCGAGCAGTGGGATTTACTTTATGTTTGGTGCGGCGAGTTTGTTGACGGTTGTGGTGTGTGCGGTGAGCATGCCAGAGACGAAGGGGAAGACTTTGGAGGAGATTGATAGGGCGTTTGAGCAGAAGAGTAATGGTGACGATCGACAGGGTGCTGCAGAGTCCGGTGAGATTGAGGGTGGTGGTGCTCAAGTTGTTGAGGAAGTGGCAGTGAGGAAGTCTTGATCAGCGTAGAGCACCGCCAGCTGAAGAAGCATGGAGTGTGACGGGCTCACATGAGTAATGATACAGGATGGTGACATGATAGACTTAATTAGAAGGCAGAATTTGAATGGATTCACAATGGTCTACACTAGACGACCAAGACAGAGTCAACATCAAGCGCTATGAATAGTGGTTCCATGTGCAATCTGACAGAGTCACCGTAACTTCGTCCTCCTTTCGAATACCTGAACGAGTTGGTCACATTTGACAGTACAAAAAACAAATAGTCTCCCTTTCATGCTACCGCTCTACTTTTTCTGTTACGCCATAGCCTGTCTGAGTTTGCAAACCTCTTGTTTCACACCTAGACATGGTCGAAAAGGAGATATACACTTCACCCTCTACCTTACATGCTCCCTATTCAAGACCTCTACCATTGGTACCGTAACAAATCGCGGGTTATCTTGGGGCTAGCATATCTCGCGTCGTTCATCATCTCAAACATAGTCGCCAATCTTGTTCAAGCCCTTGAGTGAGCCGAGACTGAGTGCCAGTCCCTGTGATCTGCTTCTTATCCGTACGAAGCCGGTGACGTTTTCGCCTTCTTGCTCGACACTGAGGTTGGCCAAAGCATCCTCGCCTGTTTCTTGTTAGCTTAAGACACCAATGAGAGCAGAAAATATAGATTTGACTTACCGAAGACACTCCTAGCATATAAGTTGGCGCTCAAGAATTGACAGTCTCCGCTGAGACTGGCATCCGGTGTCAGACAGCTCATGTTTGTGACCTTCATCAATCCCTTCAAGAAGTCGCGCAGACCCTTGCCGGCTGGCATCTTTGTGTTGATGTTGACCTTGTTCTCCCACTCGAACTCGGTCCACATGGTTCTGAATTGTGTCTCTGAGCATTGAGCTGGTTGAATGTAGTCCATAATGTCAACGTGAACGTCGTTCAAGATGACGACATTTTGGTCTGTTGATGAGGCACCCTCATAGACGACGTTTCCGAAGATGACTCCAGTATCTGTGGAAGACACCTTGATAGTAGCCTGGACGTTGAGGAAGTCCAGTCCTGAGAGGTTTTGTGTAGTAGGTCTTTCGACAACCTTCAGGTCACCAAGAGTAGCGAACTCTACTGAGAGGTTCTGAAGAGTGTCCTGAGTCTGGTTAACAAGCAAGACGTCAAGGATAATGTCAAATTGGTGAACTTGGACGTATGCCTCTGCGTATACGGGATCCGAGAAACCAGTAAGCTGCACAACACGGCTGAGTTTTGAGCTGAGATCTTCTGTTGCAGAGTCACCACCAGTGGCCTTCTCAAGGTCAAGTTGAATTTCATCAGCGCCATCGACGGCATTCTTCTTGCTAAGTTGTCGGATGGAAACCACATCATCGACCTGGATTGCGTTCTTGGCCTTGGTGAGAGCATCCTTCTCGGCACGCTTCTTCTCTTCAACGTTGACCATGTCTCTGAACGCTTTCCTGGTGTCGTCAAGGAAGGCGTTCTCGAGCTCGCGCTTCTGCGCAAACTCTGCCAGTGATCTCACACAAGACATGATGCGGTCGATAGAGTCCTCGTCGATAGGGTGCTTGACGAATTGCGATTGTCCGACGCGGATGATAGAAATCATGATAAGCATAGCCTCAGCACGAAGAGCGTTTGTTCTGGCCTGATCGTCCGAGATTTCGCTGTGGCGCATAACAAGCTTGGTCAAAGTAGAGGCAAGAACGCTTGCAAGATAGTAGTCGCCGTCGAGGATGAGTTGTCTGAGCGGGGGCTTCTGAGCAGCCTTAACAGCCTCCAGCTTGGCCTTGACAGCGGACTGACTGGTCAGGGCGCTCTCAGTAGCGTATGTGCCGTCTGCAAGGACCTTTCGTGAACCACTTGGAGCAGCCTTTGTGTTTCCGTTGACCTGGTCATTCAAGTTGGGCTCGCCGTCAGGTTGCTCCTCGAGAAGGCGTTGTTCAGAAGCAAGGATAGGAATCTCTCCCAAGCTAGCGCGAATGTGCTTCCAAGCTTCACGAATGTCGTTGGCTTCCAAAGAGTATTCACCAATAATCCAAAGGGAACCGCGGTAGACCTTTCCGGCACGAACTTCACTAAGAGTAGAAACAAGGCGACCAACGATTGTCGCTCTGAGCTTGGGGAACTTCTCGACAACCTCCTTAACGAATTGGATGACATCGACGGCAGAGGCGTTGTTGAAATCGGCGATAAAGTCCATCAACAAGCCGACGACACTGGCTGCAACCTCGGAGAACTTGATGGCGCACTGGTGAATGGAGTGGATGAGCAGGGAACGGTACTCGTTGTTCTGTGGGATGTCAGTATTGAACAATTGAACACGTGAAGCAATCTTCCACTACAAACCTTCTCGTATTGCTCGTCGACAGTTTTGGACAGCTCTTTCTTGAGAAGCAGGACAACCTCCTCAACGTTCTTGCTTGAGACCATGTCCATGGCAATGCTGAGGGCTTTTCTACGGACATCTAGATCGGGGCTAGACAGAACGCGCAGAATCTCCATGGTCAAGTCATCCAGAATGCCTTCATTGACGCGACGCAGCTGGTTGACCTTTTCGAGGACAATCAGCTTGACGTTGTTATCCGACTCTTTGATGCTCAGTTCAATGAACTTGGCAGCGGCTGCCTTGACTGCGACAGGGTTGCTGGTGAGAGTTGTGAGCGAAGATGCAGCCTCGTAGACGACAGTGGATTCTTTGGCCTCGAGAAGGTCAAAAATCAGACGAAGATAGCGTGCCTGTTCGCGATTAGCGGAGGAAAGGAGCTAGTGAGTTTGGCGTACTGACCTTGTTTTGAGAGTTTGTGATGGCGTCCTTGCGAATGAATTCTAGTTCAACAAGCTGAAGCAGTTCATCCGCGTTGGGGATACCCTCGAAGACGGAGCTCAAGTACTCAAGAGCCTGGTCGTGGCTGATAGAGATCAAAGCGGCGAAAGCATTTCTCTTGCAAGTGGCGTCACTTTCGGACTCGAGGAACGCCTGGAGAAGCTCGGGAGCGTCAGGCATGAGAGCCTCGTTGTGTTGGTAGATGGAAGCAATGGCGAAGACAGCATTCTTGCGGACATATGAGTGACGGTGTTCGAGACATTGGCGTGCGGGTGCAAGAAGCGGTTCAATGAGTTCGGCGTCGCGGAGCTTGCAGAGGAAACGGAGAGTGTTGCCGCGGATGTACTCGTTGGCGTGCTGTAGATCCATACGGATACCATTACTGAGAAATGCGCAGTGAGTGGCCGAACTTGATCAATGAGGTAGAGAAGTAACCTTACCAGACCAGAATCATCTCTTGCTTTAGCTTGCCGCCAGCATCGTGCTTGGGACAGACCTCGTAGTACATGTATAACAGCTTCTTCAGAGGTTTGTTCTTGGAAGGCATGACAAAGCGGATGATGTGCATCAGTAGTTGGGGCATTGGGTCGCCGTTGAGCATGATGGTCAAGATGCGCTTCATGGTGTCTTGCTTGGACTCGTCGTTGCCCTTTTCCAGCTGGTTCTTGAGGTCCTGCACCGACGGCTGGTCGGCCGTGTTGTCTTGGTGCACCAAGCTGTATGCATTGTCTAGGAAAGTCGCCATTGTTGTGTATGTCTATTGATGGACCATGCACGCGGGGTGCGGAACAAGGAGAGTTGTCGTGGTGGTATTGCGGGTCCCCTGGCCTGCTTGTCCTGCGGGCAGACTTGAGCGGCGCAGGTGGAGCTGGATGTGCGAGAGAGAAGCCGGAGCGACAGCGATTGGGAGGGCGAGTATGAAGCTGCCGGCAATTGACGAGATGCACAGGGCGTCGAGTTGGGAGTCAGGTGTAAATTGTTGTCTTGTTGGCGGCTTAGTTGTTCAGGAGCTGCACCTGTCCTTGGGCTACGTTTACACACCCCCGACCCGACTAACCCGATCGAGCCATTTGCTCCATCGCCCGTCAACGCCGCAGCGCGTCAAGCACATTCGACACTACCACACTACGAACCATACACATATCATGGCAAACAACGAGCCATTCTACTTGCGCTACTAGTGAGTTGACATTTCTATTCTTCGCTGTCTTCAGAAAAAAAAACTCTCATCGCTTTCACCGCCCATGCTCGTCTCCATCGAGCACAAATGTCAATTATTTCCTGGGCCATCGCTGATACCATTACAGCTCAGGCCACTCCGGTAGATTCGGACATGAGTTTCTAGGTATTTCTTCTGACTTTGGTGAAGTCTCTAAAATGTACTGAACTGTATCAAGAGTTTGACTTCCGCGCCTTGGGCGATGGCCGCTCTGCTTCGGCGCGTTACGCCAACAACTCTAACTACCGCAACGACTCATTGATTCGCAAAGAGAGTAGGTCGTCAAAGATTGCCGCGTATCGACCTGACTGACAACTTCTCAGTGTGCGTGAGCTCGCTCATGATCGAAGAGATTAAGCGCATCATCAAGGAGAGTGAGATTTTGAAGTAAGTCTCGACGTCGGTATGACCAAGAAGCATGATTTGACAGTGTGATAGGGAAGACGACACCAAGTGGCCGCAAAAGAACAAAGACGGTAGACAAGAGCTTGAGATTCGTCTAGGCAACGAGCACATTTCATTCGAGGTCTTTACTTTCGGCTACTCTCCTACACTTGCGATACTGATGCATCCCACAGACAGCCAAGATTGGATCTCTTGTCGACGTCAACGAATCGGAAGACCCTGAAGGCCTCCGTGTCTTCTACTACCTTGTGCAAGATCTCAAGGCACTCGTCTTCTCGTTGATTGCGCTTCACTTCAAGGTAGGTTTACGAAGTCTTTCTCCATACCATGGAATATCGTTTCTCACAAATTCACAGATCAAGCCTATTTAAGCTCTACATTATGGTCCCAGGATGGATGGAGAAAGGGTCGGCGTTCAGGTACTCGAAGCGATCACTATCAAGATCGACTATTGCAGAGCATATTCGGTTGGGTTCCTTTCGGAAAACGACGGCCGACTCTTGCAAAGAATATGGCAGCCAGACAGGGTTATGGACTGCTTTGGCACGACTATGGGCAAAGGTACCAATCACGTTCAAGTGAGACGAGGATCAGAATTCAGCTCACGATGATAGCGAAGCCTCCGAGGAGTTTGACAAGCAAAATAGAAAAGTCATGTTGAGATGCGATTAGCAAGGCTGCGCACGGATGCGGAATATGCTAAAAGTTGAACCCTTGGACTCGGCCAGATGCCAGACCCACGAGACACTAAGGTTTTTCCGGGGGCGTCTTGGCGGTTGAAGTGTCGAAGGATGGTGACTTGTTTCTCGTTGCACACTTCTGCGAACCAAACACTGCCCTTCTTATGCATTAACCTTCCTATGTCCCTAATTGACTGACCCCGTGCTACCATTGTCCCTCTTGATACTTGAACTCTTTTTTTGGTCCGGTAGTATTTCTTCTGTTGCCTGGTCGCCATCGCGCAACATGCCCACGCCTCATGACGAAACACCCACGCTCGACATCTCCGCATCAAGTCCAACTCACGCGACTTGCCCACCCGACGACCGTATAACCCACACACAACAAGACAACAATGTCCTGCCCTCCCCTGAACCAAGTCGTAATACCATAGCCGATCCTGTTGTCCAGATGCCTACCCCTGTCGACGAAGGAGACGCAATTCCGACCATGTCCGAGCCACCTACGAAACCTATGGACCTCGACGAAGAATCTCTCACCAAAGAGGCGCGTCTGCCAACTCCTTCCAGCCCAGTAAATGATGATACGAAAGAGACGGATTCACGAGCCACACCTCTAACCGCGGTCCATTCTTCTCCTACTCATTCGAGTTACCCTCTTAGCAGAAAAAGGGTTCGTACTGCCGTTAGCATGCTGTGACATGTAGCCACTGACGTTGTGTCTGATCAGTTGATACCTTGTGTGACATCGTCTTTCTTTCAGTCGGGTAGCAAATTTCGAGGAACACAACAATCAGATCGTCAAACCTATGACGTTCAGGTCGAGATCAAGCATGTCGACATGGAAGAGTCTTTTGTCTGTGGCTACTTGCGCATTCAGGGTAAGGGTTGATCGATGGCTACTCTCGATTCACCTTGCTGACTTTCTACAGGGCTTACGGACGACCATCCGACGTTAACCACGTATTTCGAAGGTGAAATCATTGGCACCAAGCACTCTTTTCGCACCGCACATCCAGAATGGGGCTCTTCAGAAAAGGTCGACATGCAACATTGGGCGCGCTTCCCACCGTGGAAGCCTTTAGCTAAGCACGCCAAATCGCCCAACTTTGCATGTCACGATTATGCTCAGCGCGAACATCTCTTCATGAGATGGAAAGAATACTTTTTGGTGCCGGATCACAAGGTCAAGTCAATAACTGGAGCGAGCTTTGAAGGTTTCTACTATATCTGCTTCAATCAGCGCAATGGCTCGGTGTCAGGAATTTACTTCCACTCGCGAAGCGAAAAGTATGACAGTTTCCCTAAACATACAGAGACAACAGCACTAACATACATGACAGGTATCAACAGCTTGAGTTGGTGCATGTAGCAGATCGTGGCTGTGTCGGCGCTGTCGAATTTCGATAGCCCAGGCAAGGTCCCGGTTACGAAGAAATGACTTGAAGAAAGGTTATGGTTCATTGTATATGTCTGGTGTTGTGTGGTGTATTCATTCATGGTTATATAAGGGCTTATGGCATGTTCGATATAGCCACTATCTCCTTTCTGTTGTCTTGGCTTGTTGCTGAGAGGAACGAGTGTGGTATGTTGTTTCATTTATTGTAAATAGTTTTACCTTCTCTGCACATATTCAGAGTTGCTTGGTCTAGTTGTGGATTCTGCGCAAGCGCCTGCAAACGCAGGTCTGTCCATCTCGGAACACAAAAAAACGGCAATCCTTGTCCTTGATAGGCAAAATCTCGACAGAACAAGCGTGTCATCTGTCTGCAGCTCAATGTCAAGCATCGGCTTTGAAGTGCAATCTGATCCGTCTCGGCCTCGGCGAACTCGGGGGAGCTTAAACGCGGCCAGGCGTGGGGAATTCATGTTACAGCCGCTTCCAACCGACGCAAGCCGCGCAGACTATCGGTCATGGCATTGTCGCCAGATAAATAACTGGAGCTCTTCTTGACAGTGTCAGAGTCTGTCCTTGTCCCTCTTTCTCTTCATTGTATTCGTCGTCTGTCAGTCGTTCGTCACAATGGCCGCCAGAATCACTCTCCAGAGCTACCTCAAAGCTCCCAAGACAGCATCTCTTGCCAATGGCATCAAGAACACTCGCACTATTGCAACCTTCAAGGTGCCTGCTGTGAACAACGAGCCCAACGTATGTCAGGAAGTCTCGGAAAGGTGAAATACCAGGTCTGACATTTTGATACAGCCTACCTACTCCAGAGGTACCGTGGATCGTGAGAAGCTGGCAGCTGCCCTCAAGAGCTTCAGACAGCAAGCCCCCGTCGATGTTCCCGTTACTATTGCTGGCAAGACTGTAAGAAGGAGTTCTTTCGGGATAGTAGGAGCAAGGAAGACTAATACATAATGGCAGATCTCAAACCAAACCAAGCTCTCGCAATCCGATCCCTCAGCCCACGCCAACTCTGTTGCATCCTACTCCAACGCCTCTTCCCAGGATGTCTCGGCTGCCATCGATGCTGCTTTGGCTGCTAAGCCCGCATGGGAGAACCTTCCCTTTGCCGACCGTGCTGCTGTCTTCCTCAAGGCTGCAGATCTGATTGCTGGCAAGTACCGCTACGACATCATGGCAGCAACCATGGCTGGCCAGGGCAAGAACGCATACCAGGCCGAGATCGATGCTGCTGCTGAGTTGTGCGATTTCCTTCGTTTCAACGTTCAATATGCTCAGGACACATACGCCCACCAGCCTACTCATAATTCTCCTGGTGTCTGGAACCGTGTCGAGTACCGTCCTCTCGAGGGCTTCGTTTATGCTGTGTCTCCCTTCAACTTTACTGCTATTGGTGGTAACCTCGCTTGCGCCCCTGCTCTTATGGGCAATGTCGTTGTCTGGAAGCCTTCTCCTTCTGCCATGGCTTCCAACTACCTCCTCTACAAGATCCTTCTCGAGGCTGGCCTCCCTGAAGGTGTTATCCAGTTCCTTCCCGGTGACGCTGCTGAAGTGACCAAGGTCGTTCTCGCCCACCGTCAATTCGCTGCTCTCCACTTCACTGGCTCTACCTCTGTCTTCCGCAGTCTGTACGGCCAAATCGCCAATGGAGTTGCTGAGGGCCGCTACCAGGGCTACCCTCGCATCGTCGGTGAGACTGGTGGTAAGAACTTCCATCTTGTCCACCCCTCTGCCGATGTCAGCAACGCTGTCATCAACACCGTCCGTGGCGCTTTTGAGTACCAAGGCCAGAAGTGCTCTGCCACTTCTCGCGCATACATCCCTGCCTCACTCTGGAGCAGCGTCAAGGAAGGTCTGATCTCCGAGACCGAGAAGCTGAAGATCGGCGACCCAGAAGACTACTCCAACTTCATCGGCCCCGTCATCCACCAAGGCAGTTTCGACAAACTGAGCAAGGTCATTGACGACGCAAAGAACGACTCTGAGCTTGAGTTGCTGGTGGGAGGCAAGTACGACGGCTCAAAGGGCTACTACATCCACCCTACCATCTACGCGACCAAGAACCCTGCACACCCTCTCCTCAAGCAAGAACTCTTCGGTCCCATCCTCTGCGTCTACGTCTACGACGACGCTGCACCAAACGCCTTCGCCAGCATCTGCAAAGACATTGATGCATCTTCAGACTATGCCTTGACCGGTGCAGTGTTTGCCCAAGACCGCTATGCCATCCGTTACGCTGAAGAGGCTCTTCGCAACACCGCTGGTAACTTCTACATCAATGTCAAGAGCACTGGTGCTGTGGTTGGCCAACAGCCTTTCGGTGGTGCTAGAGCCAGTGGTACTAATGACAAGGCTGGTAGCGCCAACTTGTTGGCGAGATTTGTCAGTATGCGTGCTATCAAGGAGGACTTTGTTGGTAGCAACAAGGTCATTTACCCCAGCAATGAGGTCTAAGAAGGAGTATCTTTTCATGAAAAGAGTTGATGGGTAAAAAGAGCAGAAGGGCGCATTTTGGCGATGGGCGGCGTTTTTACATTTTGGTTTTGGTTGTTTTTACGAGATTACCCCCCTTTAGGAGCATATGATGAATAGTCGATTGTATCGATGATGATGAATCAAAAAGTAAAAGAGAGAGTTTGTTCATATGTACATCAAACACGTTTGAATGGGGACATATCGTTCTTTACGAACGAGTATGACAATGATGCGGCCAACACTGATGTTGCGTACAAGAGGGATGCTCTCGCAACACAAGCAAATACCTCGTCGTCTTCCTCTTCATCTTGCTCTTCCTACCCACTCAACCAACAACCCTCAAGAAGACGCCATATAACGCCTCGCTTTCTTGCGCGAAAAATGGCTCAAGCCCCCTCATGAGAACCAAACCCCTTTCACAATGGACAGACAGTATTGTTTTCGTTTTCGTGATTAACCAGGTCCCAACATGACCTCTTCTTTTCCTCAAAACCAACGCATTTCATAGCTGCAAAGAGAGATCACGGTGGGGCGTCTGGCTTCAGCTCATTTGTATCTCTTTGGCCTGCCTTTGCGCAGCCTCGACACCCTCTGGTGCTTGACGGTAAAGCACGATTTCGCTTTGTTTGAAGTAGCGGCGGGCATCTTCGTCAATCAGGACCAGGGAGAGGTAGTAGCGTGTCGAGTATTTCTTGTTTACTTCGCGGAAGGTGGGTGTTAGGTCGAAGCCGCCGAGGAAGAGGCGGATGGGGATTGTTTCGCCGCGGGAGGGTGAGCCGTCCATGATCTGTGTGGAGGGAAAGGGTTAGTGGGCGTTCTTAAGAGAGTGAGGGATTGAGGGACGAAGCATACCTCGAAGCGTACGAGTGTTTCGCTCTCGTTGTATTGATTTGGCGGTACACCGGTTGTCTCGCGACGGATGATACTAAGTTCCATGTGCTTGATCTTCAGACGCACCAGCAAGAAGTAGATACGTCCGACAATGACATCCTTCAAGTGGTACTTGCTCTTGCTGTATTCGAACTCAATGTGCAGACAATCCTCGATACCGACATCCATCTTGATGACGCTGTTGGTCTCTGGCGGCATGCGGTATGAGTAGACCCAGAGATCCTTTTCGCGCACAACATCCTGCATGCGGCGGCTCACAGTAACACGGACAAAGTAGCGTAGACGCACATTGATGCCCGAGTAACTCTCATACGGCTTCTCGACATTCTTGAAGGTGAAGGGGAAGGTCTGGGGATGTTGGAGGTCGCCAGGAGCAGCGAGTTCAGTTTGCATGGACAAGAACTCGTGGTGTGTGCCGCGGTCAAAGAACATTTCGATTGTGCCGATGAATTGGACCTTGATGCCGGTGTGTTCTAAACGCTTGCCGTCTTTGGGGCGGACGGTGACGGCGCCTTTGACGCTCTCGCCGTCGAGATATAAGGGAGCTTTTTCGCGACGGTTCTTGTCCAGCTTGACGTCGACCATGGCGCGTTCGTCGGCATCTTCGAGTACGATGTCTATATCTAGAGGGGTTGACCAGAATAGCGACATGGTGGGTGGTGGTGATGTGGGCGTCGACGGGTATCACAGGCTTCAGGGGGGTTCAAGAGATTCGTGCGCAATCGAGAGAGCTGAGTTAGGGGCGATTGGGGCGACGAGTTGAATGGTTATGGAAGGGTTGGGTGTCTGGGAGTACGAGGGGAATGCTGCTGGCTATGACCGACTGCGATTGCGACTGCTGGAGCTCATGGACGATGCGCGATGCGGAGCGCGGCTTGGCGGGCGCGGAGGCCGGCGTTTGCGTCTGCTCTTCTCCGCGTCTGGCCCATATATTTTTTTGAGCGGCCGACTTCTTCAAGGTTTCATTGCCTGCATACTCGACCACACACCATCCACAATGCCCAAGGTCGGAAAGCCCATCTCAAAGCGCACCTCGACGCGCCTGCGCAATAGCATCCAGAAAAAGTCTGCCGAGAAGCAAAGAAAGCTCCGCAAGCAAGCAAAAAACGTGTGTAAACTTTTCTCGAACATTCGTCTGAGACTCGAGTGCTAATGGTACTATGTGTAGAACCCAGAATGGAGATCCAAGATCAAGAAGGACCCCGGTATTCCCAACCTGTTCCCCTTCAAGCAAAAGGTTCTCGAGGAGATTGAAGAGTCAAAGAGGAGGAAGGAGGAGGAGAAGCAGAGAGCCCGCCTGTTGGCAAAGGCCCGTCGCGAGGGCATCGACGTCAAGGATGTTGACCAGGATGCTGCCGCCGAGGACGACGAGGATATCGAAATCAGCGACATGAGTGACGACGATGACGCTATGGACGAGGACGCATCAAACCCCATGGCTGCTCTGCTCGCCTCGGCACGCGCTCGCGCACAGGACTTTGATGGCGAAGCTGATGAAGACGAGGACGACATGGACGAGGACATGTCCGACGACGACATGGTTGCTGGCGAGGAACAAACAATGAATGCTCCTGCTATGCGCAAGGACTCTTCTCGTCGCGCTTTCGACAAGGTCTTCAAGAATGTCATCGAGCAGGCCGATGTTGTTCTGTATGTTCTGGACGCTCGCGACCCCAACGGAACACGATCAAAGGAGGTCGAGAGACAAATCATGGCTGCAGAGGCTGGTCACAACAAGCGTCTGATTCTTGTGCTCAACAAGATCGATCTCATCCCTCCTCAAGTTCTCAAGGATTGGCTCGTCCACCTCCGTCGCTCCTTCCCTACCCTCCCTCTTCGTGCCGCCAACTCCGCTGCCAACGCCCGTACTTTCGATCACAAGGCCCTGACTGTCAAGGGCACCTCCGAGACCCTCTTCCGCGCCCTCAAGACCTACGCCCACGCTTCCCAACTCAAGCGTGCCATCACTGTTGGTGTCATTGGCTACCCCAACGTTGGAAAGTCTTCCGTTATCAACGCTCTGACTTCTCAACTCGGCAAGAAGGGTAACTGCCCTACTGGTGCTGAGGCTGGCGTCACAACTAGCTTGCGCGAGGTCAAGATTGACAGCAAGTTGAAGCTCCTCGACTCGCCCGGTATCGTGTTCCCTTCATCTGCTGAGGGTGCAAAGGCCAACCGCGCAGAGGAGCAAGCACGTTTGATTCTGCTCAATGCCGTTCCACCAAAGGAGATTGATGACCCCGTTCCTGCTGTTACCCTACTACTCAAGCGTCTGAGTGGCAGCGCCGATGGCTTCCAGAAGTTGTTGGAAGTCTATGGTCTTCCTGCTATCATGACTGCCAATGGCGACCTTACCACAAACTTCCTTGTCCAAGTGGCTCGTAAGCGTGGTCGCCTTGGAAAGGGTGGTGTTCCCAACATTCACGCTGCTGCACAGACTGTCGTCACCGACTGGAGAGATGGCCGTATCCAAGGCTGGATGGACGCACCGACGCTTCAACTCGCCAAGGAAGGCAAGAAGACCCCTGGCAACAGTGACAGCACCGGTCTTGTTGGCGATCAGAAGGAGATTGTTACTGAATGGGCCAAGGAGTTCAAGCTCGAGGGTCTCTGGGGTGATGATAACGAGGACACGGCCATGGAGTCGTAAGAAGCATTGGGAAAAGTGATTTTCTACTGGTCTGGGTCTCTAGCGCGTACGGAGTTGTTTACATGATCACCTTTTTTATGTTGGTTGCATATACTTATTAACGAGATACCCGGCCTTGAATCAAGAATGGCTTGTCAAGACATCCTGGTGCTTGTTGCAGAACTTTCAATGTGTCGTCCACTATACAATGCTACTCGACCAAGGAAAGACTGAGTCTACCTACCAAGTGATTGTCGAGTACTAGAAGTATACCAAGTCTTGGCAAAGTAGCTTTGTAGGTTCACCCCGCATTGCTTCAAAAGTTGGAGGTTCTTTTTTTGACCAGCACCTTGCCATCAGATTGAGCAGCTCATCAATACATCGACACAACACACAAAAATGGTCGGACCCCCAACGAAGCGCCAGAAGCGTGGCGAAGTGCCAGAGGGAAAACTGCCACAAAAGAAATTCTTCCGCCAAAGAGCCCACGCAAACCCCTTCTCCGACCACAACCTGACTTATCCTGAATCACCCGCCGCTTTCGACTGGGCAGAGTTATACCCGGCATACGCAGTTCAAGATGACAAGGAGATGCAAGATGCGTCGTCTGCACAGGAAAAGAGCGTGGGAAAGATATCAAAACAGGTCGAGGTAGCAGATATTGGATGTGGCTTTGGAGGCTTGTTGTTCGCATTGGCTCCCAAAATGCCAGACACACTACTACTGGGTACGAAGACACGATAAGGGCTCTTTTGCTGTAAGCTTTTGGCTGACAAGCAACGTCACAGGCATGGAGATCCGCTCTGCAGTTACAGAATACGTCCAGACAAAGGCCAAGGCACTACGATCGCAGCATACCGAGACTCAGGCCTTCCAAAATGTCGCCTGCTTGCGCGCCAACACGATGAAGTTCCTGCCCAATTTCTTCACCAAAGGACAACTCAACAAGATCTTCCTGTGCTTTCCCGATCCGCATTTCAAGGCTCGCAAACACAAGGCTAGAATCGTAAGCACAACGCTAAACTCGTGAGTCTTCGACAAACCCTCCGTGGTCCAAGTCAGAGCGAGAGCTAATCGGCACCAACAGAGAGTATGCATACGTCCTAAGACCAGGCGGCATCGTCTACACCATTACCGATGTCGAGGACTTGCACAACTGGATGGTCGAGCATCTAGACGCCCATCCATCCTTCGAGCGTGTCTCTGAGGCTGAGCAAGAAGCCGACGAATGTGTGGCTGTCATGCGTCAAGAGACTGAAGAAGGCAAGAAGGTGACGAGGAATAACGGCAACAAATATGTTGCGCTTTTCAAGCGTCTCGAAGATCCCGCATGGCCTTGAAAAACAAAAAACTGGTTCCAATCATGATCCATCTGAGTCATCAGCATACTATCGTCGCTGCTACCATGCAGGGCGTCCGACGTCCTTGGACAATCACCGGCAATGAGCATATGCAAATGTCGCCCATTCTTAGCAATTGCGTATAACTCATGTACCACAAACAGCGCAAGCACTGGAGAGCATGCTAGAATCTTACGAGGACGTCACTCGATCACAAAGACGAGAGATGGCCATAGATCCAGATCGCTCAGTGAAACAGAGAGATGGCTTCAGCAGACAGGTAAGCTGTGCTCTTTATACTGGTTAAGCATTCTTCAAATACAGATACCGAAACCCTGAACGCCCTTCAGACCTGGTCTTTGGCCGTCTATAATCACAAGCTCTGTTTAAACTCTGATAATTCCCTTCCACGTCACCAATCTTCCCGGTCTCCGGTCAAACGAAGGCATGCTTCATAATTTCCTCATATCGTCTTCTGAGGACTCCGTTGTGCAACTCATTTCACTTCTGAGTCGACACGAAGAAGAGCGCGAACAGGGTGGCCAGCAGTGATGCGCTCAGCAGCAGTACCACAACCATGTATCTGGCTCTCGAACCAGTCAGAGCCCACTCCTGATGCCGCTTCTCATCGACCACGCCGGTTTTCGTTATCGTCGTGCTTGCAATATTCGTCGAGTCCTCCAACGCACCTTGCACAAGATCATGCAGTTCCTCCAGCCATCTTTTGAGCGCCTTCACCTCCTCGTCGAGCACTTCCAACAACGTTGCTTGTGCTTCAAAGGCCGTGTCGGGGCTGTTGTCGTATTCTTCCGTCACACGTGCGGTCATTTCGAGTCCGTCAAGTTCTCCAACCTCTCTCACAATTCTGTCGAGGGCTTGTCTGGCTTGGGACAAAATTGCGCCGATCTCATTGTAGTTTACTTGCGATGAGGGGTCTGGTCTCAAAGGTGTTGTGATGGTTGGCAGAGTTGAGTCCATCTCAGCAGTCGAGATACGCGAATTCCCTGCTGCCAGATGTGCTGACAACGCTCAATGACGGGATAGCGACAAAATTCGTGATGACACCGAACGCGGACGATGGATACCAATTGCAGGAGGATTTGTTGCCTCGGTCAGGGGTCAAGTTTGTGGCACCGCGAACTGACGTTCACTGCCTAGCCTTTTACTGACTCTGATGATTGATGAACAGATGTGCAGTGTTGGACTGGTTTGAAGAATATGTGACTATCCTTGGGATTGCAGAAGAGAAGGTTCATTCAACTAGAAAGATACTTAGATGGCAACCGCGACACGGTTGTAATTACCTGCTTCGACTGCGACAAGAGCAATCGACTCTCGAGCATCAAGGTCGCTCTTTCTTCCTTGTGCCTACGAGCAGCACTGACTTTTGTTGATACCTTGAGCAAACGTGTCTACTCGGCAACTACGCCGCATCAAAACCACAACTTTGACATCTTCTTGTCGAGATTTAATGACTGGCATTACAATCCGATGGTCAATGGCCCTGTCTTCAATCACAATGTCATCTCAACCTGGAATCAATAGTCTTCGTCAATCACCCGTCTATGACTTACAGGCTTGGAAATGCTGACCGAGCTCTCATGCTCTGATGCAATGTAGCGATTGCTTGCCATGCTTTCTGCTCCACAATCTCACTTCTCCTGAGACACTTCGCTCCGACTTGACCTTCGCTACTCTTCGACATACATAGCGTCTCATCGAAGAACCTTCAGAAAGAATTCTCCTCAACGCCGGCTACAAGACTCAACTATAATCTCCATTCGAACATCTCAAATTGAGCCTCAACATAACATGCAAGACTGAGACTGTCTTTCCCTACCATTTCTCTTACATCCAACCTGAATCATTCATTCAGTCTCCTGTCTCCGGGATAAAGGCATGACAAAGCCGGATACTGAGTCCGAAGTATAACTGAAGATTTTTTCGGTTTCGCAAACCTTGCGTATGATGGAATACAGCCAACAGCCACGGATCCATCATCCGCAGCGGAAACTATAACCTCGAGGATTAGGTAGTGGACACTGCACCCCCAAGATGTAAACAAACCGAGTCAGAAGAAACATATGAACGAGTTTTCAGCGTGCAAGGCCGTAGGATGTTTCACGGATACATGGGGCTTTCACGGATAGGGATTCTTTCCTGCAGCGACCGAGACAGCTATACAACGCTTTCTTCAACGAGTCGACTTGAACTTCGTTCGTAGAGCCTCATCCAAGAACCGAGACAGTATCACCGTTCAGATGTCCAGTCTGTTGGCTGAGATTGAAAAACTACAATGCAGAAGAGCAACAAATCAAGGAAGCAGAAATGTTGAGATTGCAATAACAAATCAAGTGGAAAGCATTCAAGCAGTATAGAACGCCACTCGGTAGTATGCCAGCATTGGCCTTTTGAATTGGCGAGAATCTTCAATTCCACTGACGCCTTGACAGAGCTCTCAGGATCAAGGTATCTCAGATGGCTCCAGGCTCTCCCTCCCGCCCGTCAAACGCACGTGGATCGCAAACTTCATCCAACATCCTATAGCCACAACGTCAGACCGAGCAACGTACGCCGAATTATGCTTATCGCGCGAGTCTAAAGAGAGTCCGAGAAAGCTCCCTCATGGACCGTGGACCTGCAATCGTCGTGGCTCTGTTTAGGCTTTCGCCAGTCATGTGTCATGATATCTTGACTTGATACGACCGACAAGCGAAGCATCGAGATGCCTTCCCAAAGCCAAGACATACTGCATAACTGTTCTATCGAAAATACAAGACATTGCACTGGTTAGTGCACACATTGTTTCGCAACCCGGTAGGGATTGCCTTTTCCTCTTCTCCCATCAAGGAAGATCATGATCCCATATCACACAGACTCCGGCGGAATGGAGAGTATACCATCAAATACCTTTAATTCTGCCAAACGAAAACTCGCTGCTGCCCGAAGGATATGGCGGCAGAGTCCGTCAATCAGGCACCGGTTCCCAACGGGCCGCCGCAAGGCGAATCTTGGTTGTACCTGCATCCGCCAGCAAAGCACACTCCACTACTCTAGTTAGCAAAGAGCCAAACACAATCTGGGGAATCGCGAGGGAAAGCATGCGAGAGAGAAAAGCTAGTACTGCGGAGCTTTGCTAGCTGGTTGGTCTGCCTGGTTCTGCCTGGGCCTCCCGTCCGCCTTCCATGCAAGTCATACAACGTTATGGGCTGATCCAAGGCACACACCTTCAAAGAAGAAAACCGCCTTGCAGCAAAAAGAAGGAAGCTAAGGCAGGCTGCCACGCACTTCCCAAGATCCCACCAAAGTCAAAAAGAAAAGAAAGATCAGGCACATTCGTCATGGCTGATCTTTTCTCGTGTCATTGCCAGTGACATAGCCGATCCTTGCCCTGAGGCGATATCTGTCATGTCAGCTGAGCCTTGTTCACGAGGTCAAATGGCATGATTGATAGGTCGTTAGCACACCTTACGACCCTCGCAATCGATAAGGCCGTATCGTATCGCAAACAGGAGTGCTCAGTCTCGAACGTAACAGTCGTAACGACCAAGGACGAAAGGCCTAGGTTCTTGGTTCTTCGTGTAAGAGAGTGGAAAGAGATCCCAAAAGCCATCGATAGACCACGACGACTTTGCCCAAAGCGGGTTATATCAGAAAAACGGTTTTTGGGCTCTAGGCTGTTGTGCAAAACCGTTGCACAGTCGCCATGCACACAATCCACCGTCGTCTGCGGCGGCAAGGCAACCTGTCGTCCAGATATGGTAACAGCAACACGGGAGCGGGCCGTTGAGTCTATTTGTTCCAACTACCTTGACCTACAACCGCGGGCCTTTTTTCGTTCCACTACTCACTCACTTGCTTTCGATCCCACGCGCTCACACCCAAGATTTAGACCTGAAACAAGCTTCGTGTTCTCTTGCCCTCTTGCAAGCCCTTGCCCTCTTTTCGCAACCGGATCCTCAAAGATGAGCGGACGGAGACGGACACGCCCGTCTTGCCGACGGTAGCAGACTTTAGATAGCCAGAAGTGACATATGTGGAAGGCTCTTTAGACCGAGCGTTTTTTTGCTCTCACGATGCTGTCAAAGGCTGTGTGTGCCAATAGCACCCGCGGACAGGACGTTGTTACGAACGTACCACGCTCGCCTCTTAGTCATGGGACTGGATTGGTCGTCAAGAAGCTCCAACATCGGGATGTCCAGACCTTGTGTGCTCGACATAGGATACCCACTGTGGATTGAAGGATGAACGCAGCGATCAAGGTGCGTATCAAACGGCGCGTCTCTTATCAACCTGCTGTGGATGTTACACGTTGGTCTGGACAAGAGTCATCAGCAGATGATCGGCATTCCAAGGTACCTTGCAGTAGAGAGTTGGCAAGGAAAGATGTCATGTACGTGTGAGAACGGAGCTCAAGCAAGTCAAATCTTGATTCGGAAAAGTTATTGTTGGCATCTAGATGTCGCCTTCTCTTTTTTCCCTGTCCATCCCGTTTGGACCTGAAGTCCCACCTTCCCTTCCTTATTGGGTATTCCCGTATGATACATCGCCATGTGTTGCTTGTTCGAAAAGAGTAAAAAAGAAAAAGAAAAGAAAAGAAAAGGCAGGCTGTCGCAATAGAAATTAGGTGATTAGAGAGAGTTGTGAACGTAAAAAGGTGTAAAGTGACTATCCATCGTGAAATAGAAAGGAAAGGGATGTTGAAGCTCACATCCAGTTTTGCCCGTAACGCGCATGCAAGTAACCAGACATTAAACGCCTCGCTTCGGGATATCCAGTGCTGAAACAGAGCCAAAAATTGGAAGAAAAAACATTATAGAAAAATGAAATCAAAGATAGTGTCGTCATCAGATGGAGAGATCAAGATCTGTCGTAGTATAGGCTTCATGCCACAGCCGATTCACAAGAGGAAGAGGCAGGACTGGAACTGCCCTTTTGTTTGGCGTGCTTTTCAAAATATTCCGGGCCATGGTTGGAGAAGGTGTAGTTTTTAGGTCCAGTCTCGACGGCTTTGCGAGGAGTGTTGGATTGCTTAACGTCACGCGGAGGTGAGTATTCGTGCACGAAAAAATCGGCTCCGGGGTTGACGTGCTTCGGGACCTGCGAAGAGCCAAGGACGTTGGGGCTCAGACTTGAGGATGGCAGAAAAGGTTGCTGCTGGTGAGGAGGAGTCGCTTGCATGTGGCCCTGAGCGAAAGGTGGCATAACGGGGTAACCAGAGATGACTTCGCCTGTGTTTGTCATGATGTACGACATCTGTGGATCCATGAATTGGCTTTGCTGTTGCTGAGCAGGAAACATGACATTGTGCATCTGAGGGTACTCGTTAGGCAACATGCCAAGGAAGGCTTGCGGATTAGCCTGAGACTGAACCATAGGCATTGCCGACATGTGAGGTGGGCTGAAAGCACCGCTGGGGAAACATTGCTGGGTTGCTGGAGCGGATTGAGGAGGGGTGTTGTCAGCAGGAACTGCCAGGCTGCCCATTCGGCTGCGGATGAACTGGCCGCCGTAAAGAGGCGTTGAGGGTGGGGAGAAGTTCATGCCAGAAACTATGTAGTTTTCATCGCCCTCAGGCAAGCTGGTCTGTCTGAGCATAGGTTGAGATTGCATCTGACGTAGAGTTCTTGCTGTCTTGGTAGGAGACAGTGGCGTAGGAGGAGCGAGACTAACAGACGATGCAGCAAGACTAGCATAAGCAGGAGTGAAGGCGGATGCGCGGCGGCCGAATCGAGCGTTGTTGGCCTCGGCAAAAGTGGTATAGCCAGAAGGCGAACGCTGAGCGGCACCAATGTTCTTCTGGATGCGACCACCAGCAATGCCGTTCATGGCTTGCGATGACTTGATACGACGAAGACTGTGACCTCCCACAGTATTGTTACCACCGACGGGACCCGGAGATGTGGGTAGTGTGCCACAGTAAGAAGTGCTACGTGTGCTCGAACCAGTGGTGCCCAAGGGAGCCGGGCGAGGGCGCTGTCGGCGGGCAGCGATGCTGGATGAGGGCATGGCTGAGCGTTGAGAAGCCATAGTGAAGCTTTGCATCGAACGAGCAAGCTGGACCGTTGAAGATTCGCGGCGGTTGTAGTCATCACCAGGGAAATCCATGGCTTGGTCAAGGTACTCGCTAGGATCAGGAATTGATTGGACAGAGAAGTCGCGGCGCATAGCAGCCTCTTGGAATTCCTTGCGGAGGTTGTCCATCTCCACAGGAACGGACTGTCCGGGCTGCCACTGAGGAGACGTCACTGTGGCTTGCGAAGGCTTGTTGTCGCTCGGCAAGTTCAAGTCGAATGTGTCTTCCTTGTCCTCTGCTGGTGAGATGGTTACCGAGGGAGCAGATCCATCCGAACTCGATGAAGGGTTGCGCAGCTGGTTATCGGACGGCTTGAAGTCGGGCACCACGTCGGGAGCAAAAGAATCAATGGTTTCGTTAGACTGCATAGGAGAAGTCAATGGGTCAACAGACTGAGGGTCGAACGAGAAGTCGCAGAACTCCGAGTAGAAGTCGCTGTTGGCGGTCGAGTTCAAGGAGTTGTTGCTGTCAGCAGTCGACATGTTGGCGAAGTTTGGCTGCGAATAAGCGTCGAACTGAGCCTGAGTCAGAGTATGCCTGTTGTTGGCTTCAGCGATCGATCCCGAACGCACTGAATGCTGAGAGGCTAGAGATTGTGTTGACGCCTGGTGACGCATAGGTTGTGATGTGATCTGGTCGAGCGAAGCAAAGGCGTTTTCAGGCTGGCTGATCCCCAGGCCGTTGGACATGGTGCCGTCGATGATGGAGTTGTCGCGGACGCCGTTGTACAGATTGGGCATGCAGAAGGGTTGTTCGCCAGGCATGTTGTTCATAGCACCCATTGGGTTGATGCCGACGAAGCTTTGCTGCTGCTGTTGGCCCTGCTGCTGCTGCTGTTGTTGTTGCTGTTGCTGCTGCGCTTGCAACATGTTGAAAGCACCAGCGGCCTTTTGGGCATCCTGCTTTGACTTTGCTCTGCGGTTCTGGAACCAGTTCTGTGTACAGCTTAGGTGGTTGGTCTGGAGTTATGGCATGTATGGCTACTTACGTTGACCTTGTCTAATGACACGCCCAAGACCTCGGCGAATCTCTTCTTTGTGTTTGTGTTGGGCTTTGCTTGTTTTCTGAATTCGTTCTCGAGTACATCGTGCTGTTCCTTTGTCAAGCGCGGCTTGACGTCGACGGCCAGACCAGCTAGGGCGGCAGGATTGAAGTGTGGCATCTGTCCCAGATGGTCCGAGAACATGTGTGTGTCCCGTCTGGTGAAGTGCCGCGCATGGAAGTCGGCTGCCAGGTCTGCATTGAGGCCTGGATAGTCGGCGAACTCCATGTTGGAATGCTATAGGGGTGTGTGGTGAGGGCTCGCACTAGGTGAGGTGCGTGATGGGTTGGCTAGAGGGCAAGGTTTAAGAAGAAGCAAGGCCTCGGCGGCAGTCCTCGGGAGAGTTTGTCAGAGGCGGCGTGGAGGCTGGTTGTGTCTCAGATGCGCACGGTGGGTAGGTAGGATCAACAAGCTTGCGGGTTGGCCGGTGGTTGAGGGGTATGATGATATTATGGCTGCGAAAGAGGGTATGATGTTGACGATAATGATGTTGATGGGTTGTAGCGAGTGACTGGCAGAAACGCAGATCAACAGGGCGAAGAGCGAGAAGCTGGAAAAAACGAACGTCGGGGCAGAAACAAGTGTTTGGACTTGGAGGGTGCGAGAGAAAAGGGCAGCAGCGACTCGACGATGAGATTAGGGCGGATCACGACTCGGAAGGTGCAAAGCTTGGGAGCGGCTGCACAGCGCAAAGCAAAGCACAGAGATCGCGGGTCCGGCTCGCAGAGACCGAGCGGGAGCTTGAAGATCGCTTCGATGTGCGCCAGACAAGACGTGCACCAAGACGACCACGCAGAAGAGCGTCTGAGCGTTCAGCGCCTCCGTCTCACAAACCAAATCACCACACGCGCCGTTGTCTGTCTGGCCAGCGACGTCCAAAACCAGTGCCAACATGTTATGCGCAGCCGCCGTCGCCGCACAAGCCTCCTATGCCCATGTCCACGCTTAGCTAACTTCCAACTGCTCCCAAGCCCAAGCATCACGACTCAACGTTCGTGACCCTCCGAATCGCGCCAGACCCTGTCTGCGATTGGCATGATGAATGCCTTGCCTAAACTGCCATTGGGCCGTCTGTCAGACCCATGTCCATGTCCATGATCATGATCTTTTCTTATTCTCTTCCTGAATCCTCGTGCGACGGCTTGCAACTTGCCGCTCACCACCATCATCTTGACCAGCACACCGCCTAAAAATAAAGCTCCGTCTTCACGACGCTGTCTGCTGCCCTGGTCCCTGCTTCTGGAATCATGTTTTCTTCCCGCTCCCCTCGGCTGGTATGCATGCCCGGTCATGAATTGTGTTTATTCTCCGCATCCTTCTTGTCCCTGTGCCATTCGCGATTGTTACTGCGGCATCATGATAAGTTGTTGCCAAATCGACCGTCGCCTCCCGCCCTACCTACCGGCGTAATCGTCTAGCAATCACGGTGCGAGAGGGGTCGTTGAGCCACGCGCCCACTCAAATCGAACGTATGGCCATCATCACTTTGCGCCACGTCCTGCTGCGCAGAGCAGAGCAGCCAAAGAGGATCCACTCGCATGTTTCGGAGCGGACCACGCTAGGCCGAGCGCCGGCGCCTTGAAAGTGTCGCTTAGTGGCCGCTGCTAAATTCCAATCCTTTCCTGTTCCTGCTTCGTTTCCGACGCATCACCCCGCCCGTTGGTTGTGGCCTGTGGGGTCGACTTGCCATGAGGTTTTGCGTGCGCTGCTAGGCGCTATGACAAAGGATTGTACTCATGGTCATGCACGACTCGCGCAAGCGAAAGTGGAAGACTGCACCCATCTCGTTCCGCTCGACGGAAGCAGTGCGGTGACTACGGGTCGAGTCTCAGCTGTGCTGAAGACGACGCATCCTCTTTGCGCCAAAAGGGTCCAGCTAGAAGCGGCTGATCGACCAAAAGAGGTGCTTATCATTCATCTATCCAATCGCTGATGCCATTTCCGAACTCTCAAGTCTTCCCAAAGGTTCACAGCAGGGTAGGATTAGACAAATGGCGTAATCTATTCTGCCCGATGCGCACTTGTCGGGACTCGAGAGCAGCTCTTGCTTCCATCTCACGGCCATCATGTTAAACCACATGCTGGGTATGGTCGGCCATGGCGTCCATCCTTGTCCCCGCATCCTTGATGCTTCTCGGCGCTTTGGTTGGTTGAGGATTGAAACTTCAACTTTAGCCGTACAAATCGCCGACACTGCAAGACAACCCCTTCTGTTACGGAGATAGCAGCCAAGAGGGCTTTCACATGGCGCTAAAGTCTTCCAGCATTTGGTACGACTGCTGTAGCCCCCTTTGCTGACAACTCTAGCAACAAATTTCCAGACGACGGCGGCGGCAGTGAAGCGAGCAGACGTTGCGGTGTGTAGTCATGTCGCCCGAGGGGATAAAGCAATCACGGTCGTAGCCGCTTGCTGCATGTCCTTGCGCGACAAACATGGCAGCACATCCCCCCTTTACAGCTCAAGAGAGAGAACGAAATTAGCCATCTTCAGCTGCAAGAAGTGACAGTCTGACACGTATGAACTCCGGCGAGAATCAAGATTGTGTGTGATGACGCAGATGGAAGGAACTGGTTACCAAGGACGTTCACGTCTTGCGCCTCACCTGATAGCGATTGGTAACCTCGTGAGCCGCCCAGCGGACTGACTTTCAGCCCTGGGTTCTGACCAAGCATGAGCGGTTTGGCAACAATCTCAACTGCCAGAACGATAAGACCTCTTTTCACAGGGCAACAAAGGCTATCGCAAAATTCACCAGTCGAAAAACGTCGGTGCGAGAAGTATTTGCGCAAAAGTGTATCAAAAAAATGTTTGAGTGTCGGTCTCAACGTCTTTTGTCACCATTACGACCACCGCGCGATCCCGTCTTCTCGTTGTGACCTCTATGCTGAGCAAGTGCCGTAAAATCACCAAGGTCAAAAAAGTGCGGCGGCTGTTGACACTTGAAACACTCGACTTTGGCCGATTCGCTGGCGCGATCTGTCAGCACTTTTTTTCTCCTCTTCCTTCTCTTCTCTTGTTTTACGAGCACCCCGCCTTGTTCTCTTGGAGTACGTTCCCCACTCGTCCAAAACTTGGCCATGAGTCGTTGACCTCTTCCTTGACTCCTCGGGCGCACGAGTATGGGTGAGGTGGCTCTTGAGCCGGGAAAACTCTCGGAGTCGTAATCCGGCATATACGATACGGCAGCTTACAGTCCGTCGACAAGTCTCGTGCTGTTCTGTCGCTGTCCGAAGGTGACTACAGCTATAGCTATGGAAAAGGTAAAACATCAACTCCTGTCCTTCCCATGCTCGAATCGCCTCGTGTCATGGTCGCGATCGCATGTGGATTTCCAGCGCGGGTACTGCTGGGTTCTGCAGTGTCACAAAAAGACTGCAAGAGGAGATTATCATGGGTACGTCCCGACGTTCCGAGCAAGTCCTCTTGGCCTGCATACACACGCGGCACGGAGCATGGAAAGTAGGCACAGGTGCAGGTGGTGCCAGTCAACCCTTGCCTTTGTGGTTTCTCCAAATAGCTGCCTTTTCTCTACCGGGTACCTGCAACAGAGGTCGCAAGGCTCCTTGCCTGTTCCTGTCCCGTCCTCGTGGACTCCACAACCAAACATGTGCACGCGAGTACGACAGGAAGCGTAAAAATAAAGAAAGAGTTTCGAAAGAGACTGTTGTACATGTCGCAGAACCAAACCTTGCATTGTTGTTCGACACACATACAAAAAAAGGTTCGCGTGGGAAGGTAGGTAATCAGGTACAGTACGACTGGTTTAGGTACACTGCACGATTTCCAAGATTTTCTTCTCATATGTTCCCCCTCACTTTTTTCTTACTCTGCGTTTGCATATCGTATGATGACCCTTCGCTTGGACAGGGTGCAAGTAGAGCTGGACCAAAAATAACATATCTGCAATCCTGCTCCTCGCACATGTCGGTCGTAAGTTCTTTTTTTTTGCATGCAATGCAAAGCCCTGGTCGAATGATTACTCTTTTCTTGATCGTTTCTGGGTCGAGAAGTACGTCTTCACCGCTACCAGAAGGATGTTGATCGTGCAGCAAAGCAGGAAGCAAGAGGCACGCACATGATGCATCAAGCAAGCACAGCAGAGAGACAATCAAGATCACTAATGCATGTTGTCCCGACAAAAGAGTCATACCCTCCAGCGATAGAGATACAGAGGAGACTCAATTCACAGCCTCGGTCACGATAATCGATTGGGCTGCTTCTAGAGCAATTACCATTTCAAATCTCACCATGCAGTTTATATTAACAGCTGAAAAGATTACAGTAATCTGTACTGCAACATGTCGCTCTATACTGCAACATGCCGCATCTAGCAGTTGAAGACCCGCTGGTTGGGCGTCGCTAACTCGCTGCACACATATCAGATCTCGGTTATCTGTCTGACTCTGCAGCAAAAAGTTGGGATTCCAATCGCGCCCCCCACGGTTTGGGTAGACATTAATATAATTCTTCCTCCCGATATCTCGGTGAAACCGATGATCAAGTACTGGATCGCTGGGATCTGGTTTCTGTACAGGGCGAGTTCGCATCCGTTCGGATAGTGCATGGCTTGTGGGCTGCTTATTTCGAACTTGATCACATTTGCGGAATGCTATCATTCTTATATATGCAGACGCATGGATGTACACGCTATCTAATAGCTGTCTTGCTACCCTATACACTACGATGCTACATGAAGATATGCCTAGATCTCGTCTATGTCTTCGCATGATGTGTGTCAATCAGGCGATCGGTTTCAAGGCAGGTTATTGCATTTGACTGCAGTTCCGCTCGATCTGTTAATCCGACCATCATAATACCATTCTGATGACAGAAGCGCTGACAACGACGTCACTTCCATCTCAGACCTGGTAACAGAACAACCATCCCACATGACTCTGTGCCAGGCAGATCAGGATAACAGCTACATCGTCATAAAAGAAGATCATTTTCTATGAATCGAGCATTGGACCCTTAGCAACGTGGTGGTTTCTGATCCAGAAGCGTTGCTATCACACAAAGCTTCACGAATCGACTATTTTTCGGCAGCATCGTCAAGCATCTCCACTTTTCGACTCACGGCAGAGAAGAAAGAAGACGATTCAAAAAACGAACGTGATTGCATCTGTGTCACTACAGAGATACGGTAATAATCGTCGTTGCGCGGCTTTTGCGATCTCTTTAATGATGCATGGGTCGCAGTTGTAACGGTTAAACTTGGGTTTGATTGTTGCTGCCCCTGCCTCTAAACGGCTTTGCTGCGTATGCTTTTATACAAACAACTTAAGCCACCCACCCCTTCATCAAACTCTGCCATAGCAACAAGGATATATCTCGCATGAAGAGAAGACGCAGGGGGAAATGTAAAAGAAGAAGCCGAGGGTAAGCAGTTCTAAACTTCTAATCTATGTGCCTTTTTCGCCGACCCGACCCTGATTCATCTATGCCGCCCTCCTGTTGTTTACCAACGAACGTCCTGCCAGAGCAACGAAAGGTGGTTACTCTGCTATCTACTGGACCAACGCATCTGTGATTGCTATCTCGACTTTACCAGTCTTCTTGTCAAAGCTCTTCATCGTTACGCTGCGCATGTCACGCACAATCCAAGTCGCACCGGCTTCTTGCAATTGCTGCACTGTATGCGTGGTTGCCAATGCGACTACCTTGTAGCCCGCCGCTATCCCCGCGCGTACACCCGCGGGGGCATCCTCGAGCACTAGAACATCATTGCTGGTGAGGTTCAATCGCTGCGCACCTAGCTTGTAGCATGCTGGGTCTGGTTTGCCTTTTGCGACTTGCTCGGCGCTGACTAGGTGCTTGGGTGTCGCGAGGCCCATCACCTCCAACCATCCGGAGACCAACGGTTGTGTGCCCGAAGTCACGATTGCCCAGGGAGCAGAGGCTTGCTCGAGCGATTCCAAGATAGATCGGCTGCCTGGTATTTCCACGGCGTCGTGGCCCCATTTCTTAGGAATGGCGCCTTCTGCCGCGCAGACGTCTAGCAAAAGCGAGAGTCATATTAGCTGTATGGAGATAACTAGGGCGAGACATGCATGTGGTGGAGTGAGAAAAGAAAAGATACATCGTGAATCGTGATTGTGGGTGTGCGGTAAGCATCGCGTACTTCGTGTCAGTTGATCTTTTCGACGTGACTGACGCGATGATTGGGAGTGTTTCTGCTTGAGGTCTCAGGTCTTGCCGTAGATCCTGAGACAAGAGCCGTTATAGGCAACGCTGAGTGTACGATGTGGGTGGGACTTTTCGCAAGCATCGAGAAACATGTATAACGCTCTGGTGGAGAGACGCGCTCTAGCTCCTCTATTTTACCCACAGGCGTATGACCCTGTGACAGCATGTCTGTACCGTGATGGCCAAGTAGTTGGTCGTCGGTTCCACACGTGTTTGAGCGATTTGAGAGTGAGCACTTGACTGATCGTCTTGAGCCCATTTTCCCCTTTGCAATAAGGGAACCACAGATAGGTAATGGTTGCAGGATTCCGAATCGGTGACTCCGAGAGGTGACAAGTGTAGGGTGGACAAAAGAAAGAAGGTTTACGTACACTCCCAGTTGGCGAGCTTCGGCTCCAAGATCTCCAGCACGTCGATTGAACGTCTTCCATGAGAGGTGGCAAGGATGACTTCAGGATCTACGCCGATTTCTTTTCCAATCTGATGCCAGTGTTTGACGATGGCGTTGGTGCTGTCGATGATCGTGCCATCCATATCAAAGAGCTGAGATGAGTCAGTGCATGTTGATGGACGCAGAAACATCCAGTGAAGGGATGCGAGCTCGATCTATCTGGTGATTCGATGATAACATCGGAGCAGGCTTGCTTATTTCCAGACGGGTGTCGAAAGAATTGAAGGGGGAAAGAAGCTCACTGACCAATGCTGAGAACGAATGCACCTCAGCAGGTGCTGAGAAGTTGTGCTCTTCAAGCGATGGCATGTTGACTATGTAGTTCCTCAAAGATCTCCGTGTGGTCCTGAATGAGATTCGGTTGGATGTTTCGTTTGCTTCATGCGATTTTTTGGCAGACAGGTATATATATTCGTGTTTGTAGATGGTTGTTGAGGGCAAAGTGAGGGCTTCTCGTTCCGCATATTCGCTGTCGGAGCTTCCTAATTAAGCGAACCTTCCGCCTATTTGCAGACGACCATTTCTTCTAAAGTAACCACTATACAGTCATGATGACGAGTTCCTAGGTAATTTTGATACGATGGATCAGACCTGTTGGCCACGTCATATGGACCAGACGACGCAGTATGGCCAGCAGACTTACTCGATCAAATCTCGAGATCGCCTTAGGTCACTTTTGAGACAGGGTTGCGCCCGTAACAAGCATTTTCATCCTTGATACTAATACAACAAACGACATCGTGAAATTTTTGGGCTCAAAGGGCATCTACTATGACCTTAAAGTGATTTTTATATCTGTTAGAGCTTTCAAGGAAGGTAGAGCACGGTATAGAGCTTGTGTGTCGAAATATGAAAGTTCGACACGCTTCTACCAGAAGACCAACGTAGCTTGCTTGGGATTTCACCGCACCTTCAACTTTGACCTTTGAGCTTAACCTGTCCAAAGAACATGCCCAAATCCCTTTGCAAGACGCCTGTGGCTATGTATCCCAGCACAAAATCTGCAAATATTTGGTTAATCCCGCGGACAAGAATTTCTTCTGGGTTAATCTTTACTACTGCTTTTCGAGAGTGACCCTGTCTCGTGGATTATCGAAGACATGGACTGTTCGCTCAGACGCAACATGGAATTGATTGTAGTGACAAGAGTCTATAATCTTTAATGAATCTACTCAATTGAACGGAAGAATCGAAACATCTATACTAACCGCCAGAGGGGGTATCTTGAAAACAGAGCAAACGCCAAATCAAAGGAACGCCTTATCCCAAGTCTCCTCACTTTGGGCCCTCAAACTCATATACGGCACCGTTACGGCTCAGCACAGTGCCCAGCCCTCCAACAACTTCGACCTGGAAGGGCTCAAATGGTACCTTTTCTCCATCAATGCTGATGTATCCAGTCTTCTGACCTGCTCTCAACTTTGGACTGATACGGTAGGCGCTGACCTTACGATAATTGACAATATCCATGTCAAACGTCTTGTTCTGCTCAACGCCTGTCATCATTTCTATAGCTTTATGACGCGAGATGGTTCCATCAACGTCGACCATGTCCATGTGGTTGTCGGAAGGCAGAGCAGCGGCAAAGAATGGCGTGTCGGCCGACATGTACGCCATGTTGCCGCAGTAAAAGTTCCCTAGTGTAGGCTTTGACGACTTTTCCCAGTCCGAAGGCACATCCTGGAGCACTGTGCCATATCGAAGGGCCGGAAGCGAATCATCTTTGTCCCCGTCTAGGTCTTGATGCGCTTCCCACTCTCTTTTACCAGAGATATCCTGACTTTTGCTTCTGTTATCTCTGTATGCAGATCTGATGGCTTCCTTGTTGCCAATGTCGACTTTTACGGCGAGCTCGGCCGGATAAACAGTCTTACCCAAGAGTCTGAGCAAGATACCGACGGTAAATCTGGCAGGCCCCATCCACCTCATGTTCTCAGTACCCAAGTCACAATCAGCAATGATGCCCACGGCCTGACTCAAGAAGCTCCAGTACATCTTTTCTCCCTGGGTTACGGCCATGAGATCCAGTGGTGTACGCACGCCTTTCACAATGGCAAGAGCAGCAAAAGAGGGTGAACCGGTACCGTTAAGGTTGAGAGACATAGCATTGCCCGATCCACAAGGGAGCTGGACAACGGCGATTTTACGCAGAGCACGCCTTGGCTTTGGCTGTTGGGCAAGACCATTGAAGACTTCGTGGGGCAGACCGTCGCCAGATGCACATGCTACGACATCGTAAGCGTCTACATCGAGTTGGCGAGCGATGTCGACGGCGTGACCAGAATGTTTTGTTTCTTCTGCATCGATGAGACAGCCGGCAGCTCTGAACAGAGGCTCGACTTCGCTGGCGTACAGCTTTTGTGCAGCGCCTTGACCACCAAAGGGATTGACCAAGACCTTTATCCTCTTGTGCCTCTGGGATTTTCCGTAGGCCAGCTCAAGTAATTTGCTTAGCCAGGACTTTGCGGCATCGATAGATGTTTTGTCGATAAGGGTATAGGAGATGGTGGCTGGACGACAAGATTTCTTGGAAGTTGGCAGAGCATGTTGAATGGTCAACTCGAGACCGTCGAGCGAAGCGTCAAGGATGTTGTAGTAAGGGATGGAGTGAGTAGTCTTGGATCCTGGGGTTTGTTAGGCAAGCGGAACTCGGTGGGCTGGGGAGTAAACCTACTGGTCGGCAGTAGTCCACAGCAATTGGCGGCCTCTCTATGTACGAAGCGGTCGTCTATGAAACGTGAGCGAGAGTGCTTGACTGGCGGACAAGGCACGAAGTGTACCCAGGATAATTGTCGCGTCGGCTCCCAGGGTTAGCGATGCATCCTCGGAGACGAACAGCGTAGCCTCGCCCTGGAGGGCCGAGGGAGTTTCGTGGAGGGACGGGTCAACGAATGGGTTATCGGCAGGCAACGACCCTTCCGACATGATGCCTCTCAAATTGAAAATTTGTAAACAATGACAATGACAGTGACAGGTGGGATGGAATAAAGTTGCGTTTCTCTTGCCTCGGAAGATGGGCATTTCATGTTCCCGCCAGGCACAGCCGCGTATTCAGGACGCTTGGCTCCCCCTTGTCGCAACTTACGAGTATTACGAGCACTCTGGGCTCGGAGGGCTAATTCATCTTCTACACCTGCATTCAGCATGAGATGTAGACGATTAGAACATGTCACAGCTTGAAAAGAATGAATCCTTCCTAGAAATGCTACTGCAGACGGAATGTTTGGGTCTTTGAAACCCTCCTGTAAATGACGTATTGTTTCCGTCTTATGTCCGCGTTTCTGGTGAGCGGTCTACCAAAAGTCTTCCTAGTGATTGCACATAGCTACTCTTCCAATTGACAACTTCTCAACATGTCTACCTCGCGCTCAATATCATTGCTGGGGCTTGCCCTGGTCTTCCTCAGTGCTCTGAAGGTCTCAGCTCATGGTGGTGGCCATGAACAAGCCCCTATAGCCGCCGACGCAGACTGGGCCACACGGCACATGGCTGGTTAGACTACTGTCGCTTTCTTCATGCATTGAGCATCGCTAACTTTCGTCATAGAGGAACATCACATCACCTCGTTCGATGCTGGCTCGTTCTTCAACCTTCACGACTACGACAGCAGTGGCACATGGACCCCTGACGACATTCGCAAGACCTATGGTCTCAAAGACGAAAGCACAAAGGACTTGGCAGATGAGAAGAAGGAAGAGGTCGTCCGCAAGATCTTGGAGCTTTTCGACAAGGACAGAAGTGGCTCCGTCTCGTACGCCGAGTTCCTTATTGCCGATGCTCACGGCGTCAAGCTACCTGACTTTGGCTACGGTCCTGGCCACCACGGTGACGATGAGTACGAGTATGAGATCCACCATTTCGAGAAATTCCACGGAGACGACACAACCGAGGAGGATTTGACGCACCCAGAAGACATTGCCCACTTCCGCAAACACGACATGATGGAACAAGAAGCAGAACGTCAGGCAAAGCTCGACCGCATGGAGATTGTCGAAGCAAACATCCCGCAAAAGTTCCGCCGTCACGGTCACTGATCGGCTTGTTGAATGTGTCGCAGAAGCTTTGCGTTTTGCTGGAAGCGGACGAGCATCAAGATAGTTGGGCGGTAGTCCTGCTGGCCTGGACTTTCGAATATTCGTTGTAGCAATAATTGGACCATGGAGCACATGGAATTGAAGACACGATGTATTGACTTCTTTTTAATGAGCAAGACCCAAATGGATTTGAAACATGTCTCGAGCTGCAGTTGCAAATTTCATACGACCTTGATGGAAAGCATGGCCGATAATCCCCATCGTTCGCGAGAGTCGAAGCTGCTTGGTGGGGCAGTCGAATTTGCCCTGTTTGATTGACGCCCGAGGGTGGCACTTGACCGACAAAAGTCCTGCGTCATGTCATCTTCCTCCTTCCCCCTCCATACATAAATCACTGGACGCCTCGCACTCTGCTGTGAGGTATACTGTGGAATCGTAGACACCGTCGCTGCCATTCGTAGGTTCCAGTTGTCTTACGTCTTTGCGTGCGTATAGGGTAGTGAGCGCTACCGATTCCTGACTGGCTCTCTTGACCGAGCAACTTGTATCTGCTTTCTTCTGCGATTCTTCTCACGGAAGGTGCGCTCATTGTCGCCTGTCACATTGTAGCTGCCGCTGCCGCCTTAGCCAGCCAGCACTTGCGAGGCCACTTTCACAACGACGAGAGTTGCACACTTTGTTTGGGTTTCGCTGTAGTCCAGACAGCTTTGCCAACACCTCCACTGATTACAGTATTCTTCCACACAAGGAATTCCCTTTGAGTGCTCTTCCGATCTCAACACAAAATGGTGCGCGCAGGTTCACGAGCCCCCTCAGTGGGGCAGAGTGCGGCAGCGAAGATCCGCGACAGACGCAAAAAGACCTATAAGGTCCAACTCGAACATGTTAGGACCAAGAAGAAGAAACTCAAGCTACACGTCTGTCGCCTTGCCACTATTCTGTCGAGCCCCTTTACTGAACCATCTTGACTCAGGACATTCAAGGCTCTGCAAGGCCGAAAGAAGGCTACACCTTTCTCCCTGTTGGCTACGCCGATCTAGCCGAGCGTTGTAAAGAAAAATCAAGACAACTAGGCGTCGACGTAGCTGTTGTCTCTGTGCGTATTTTCATCTCAAACCGGACTTCTCACAAAGCGCTTCTCCCTACTCCTAGCTCTCTTTCTAACCACATACTCAGGCTGGCACGAGACGCAATGGACCTACCGACCCTCAAAAGCTAACCCACCACGTACACCGCGTGGGTTACCATTTCCGTTCCGACATCTTTGACCAGGCCTGCAACTTCCTAGGCTACCGAGAGGTCAATGGTAAGCTGATACGCGATACTGGTTTTGACACCACTTCTCGATTTGAGCGCACAATTGCACGCTTTGCTCCTCGCCTTGAGCTCAACGCCAACAATCGATCGACCGAACAGAGTACCAAAGTCAAGGAATACATTCGTGAACTCTTCCCAAAAATCCCCGAAGAAGACCTCGAAGAAATCTACAAGCGCGCATGGGAGCAGGTTTGTGCTTTGATATCACCTTGTCACGAGTACACTAATCAACTGGGCTCAGGGCACCACGACCGTAGGTAATGCATCTGACCTATCGCTGTCTAGACAGGTACAGTTGGCCACGATAGCTCGCATCAGGCACACGTACACCGACTACGATAAGCTGCTTAAATTGGTTTCCTGGAAGGAAGCTCGCCAAATCGTCGAGCCCATGTCACTCACGAAGCTGATCGAGTGGCGTGGAGAGAACGACAATGACACCGAGGACTTTGAAGACATCCTTCGAGAGACCATTGTCATCGATGATGATGATGACGAGCTCGACGATGCTGATAGCGATACCGACAGCAATGCTGCTGGCTCGGGAGATGATGGTAGTGACACTAGCTTGGAGATCCTACAACAGACTTTGGCTCCCAAAGATCTGAACGTCGGAGTCGGTGAGAGAAAACGCAATGCTGTCACGTCTGTAGGCCGCGTGGCTGGCAGAGCTTTGCCCGCTGCAATTCAAACCCGCTGGCACAATGCTCGTTTGCAACAGCAGCGTGCCGACCAGGCTGTTATGCCTCACGGCCATGGTGGTCAGATCTCTGTTTCCCTCGATCAGCGAGGTAATGTCCCGCGTAAGATAGTCTCGCATGGGATCGAGTATGTGCGGGTAAGTTTATCTGATTTTCTTTTCATCATGTCATTGGATAGACCATATAACTTTGCGCCTAGATTTCGTCGAGTCCGGAGCCTGAGAAGCAGCAATATCCTCAGCGCAGCATGCCTGGTGCGTGGCCTAACAGTGGCAACTTGCCTGCATCTAACATTCGTCAAGTCCCAGTAATTCACGGTCATCATGTCACTCAATCGACCTCAGCCTCGAGAGTGCCCCAGCACGTTGCTTTGAGTCGTCCAACCAATGACTTGCCTATGTGGGATCGCCTGGAAAGACGACCGATGTATCCAACACTCGGAGCACCTGTTGTTGATTTGACAACCCCTTCCACTTTACGGGGAGGGTACGGAGATAGAATCTCCTACACAGGACCTCCAGAATTTGGTTACCGACCACATGAACAACCTGCGCGCGTTGCCGCCCCAAGAGAGGCGCTACCTCTCGACGTGTATAGACCAGGCATGGCTGATGATGACGTGATCTACGCTGGAGCACAAGTCAGACCTCAGGGTCGTCGCTATGAGCCATACAACTATGGCGGTGCGCGTGAACGGGTCGAGGTGGTCAAGCCGGAGGACTTCCCCATTCCTTCTCGCGAAGAGCCTCATCCTGGATATCCTATCTTGGACCCGTATTCTGAGACGAAGGAAGTGAATGCGAGAGCTCATGGAACTAACCTGCAGACAAGACCTGCCCAACACCAACCTATATTTGGCCAACCAGCATATCCTCAGATGAGATCGCGGACCATGGCAATGCAGGTTGTGCCTCGCCCAGTGCATGGTGCACCAGCTGCAGTACAGCCGAAGCCGACACAGGAGAGAGCCCCATCCGTAGGTCAGGCAGCACCGTCTTTTGGCGCGCCGTCTCCTCCGAGGTTCTTTGTGGGTAGCAGTCACCAGCCATACTATGTGCCTGACAGATGAGACCTGCTCTGTGGACATTTCTTACGGAAATCAGCAAGAAGAGTATAAGGAGCCTTTCAATGTCAAGGTTCTTCCAAGGGTGAGAAAGTCCATGGAGACTTTTGTCGCTTGTTACACATGAAGATCAGAAGATACAGGTTTGTCGGCACTCTCCTCAGACAAGACTTTATGCTAATCTGATGCAGTCATGAGCATTGTCGGATCAGCACACAATGGGTGTGCAAGACCACAGCTGTACGATTGCGCTACGAAGAGGAGGAAATACACTATCTGTGTTATGGGGAAGAGTTGAAGCTGAACATTGTCGAGGAGGAACGTTTGCCTGTATCAAAGGGTTGAGAAGGGTACTGAGTTATTGGTGAAGATCAAGTAAGAGATGCATGGTAGGCAAGGGGGATTCAGCATTCGCATTGTTGGCTGGCAGCATGGGGAGCATTCTAATCAGCATCGGGCGTCGGAGCATGAGCATTTGCATTTCTCCAAAGCAAGCATTGATATGATAAGATTATGGCTATCACACAAGCATTGACTTATGTCGACGTCTGACTACGTGTCTTTGTACAAACAGTACTGCTCTAGGTGTAGATGGAGGAACGAATAGCTTGAAACAACGAGAACAAAACATAAGTCATTCGCTGTACAGTACAATGGAGGTATCACAGCAGCCACACGCCCAAATACACAAGAGAAAAAGGCTCTTTTCCTTTTTTTGTTTTCTCATCCATCCACATACCCCATTTGACAATCCCAGCCCGACAAAGCCCAAAGCCATGGCGCCTCTTTGTAAGACCAGACCACTGATTCACCAGACCATACCAGATAAAGAGAAAGGGAGTATTCTAAGTGTGACGGTTGATATCGATGAGAAACATAGTTTCTCACGAGAACCAGGAATTGCCCTATCCAAGGGGTCAATCTACACATGAAGATGATTGCAATCATGCAGAAGGTTCAATGCCAGCCTCAGCTTCTGCCAAAGCAGCCTTGGCAGATCTGGGTGATACAGGCACTTCGAAGCCATAGACTTCGAGATGTTCTCTGTGGTATCTCTCGACATCCTTGGCAGCGAGGTCTACGTATTTCTAGAGTGGAAACGTCAGTAACCATGTGTGAATAATGTGTAAGATCGTCATGACGAACCTGTTTCTCGGTGGCAGACATAGCCTTGAACTCTGTGGCAACGGTCTTGGAGGCATCGGGAGCGGGGATTCCACGGAAATCACCAGAAGCGAGGCGCTCATTGTGGTATTGGAGGTATGAGCTGATTGGCCTCTTGACCAGACGATCGTCCTTGATAAGTGCGTACTTTGAACTGGTGCTGGCGAGCAGTTTGCGCAAGCGAGCACGGGCAACATTGGCCTCGTAGATCTGAGCAGGGGTGTGGTTGCTGAGCCATTCCTGGAACTCGCGTAGGGACTTTGCATTGAGTTCGTTGACAGAGTGATCGAGGCTTTCTTTCTCGATGGATGAAATGGTCTTGAATTGTTGAGCCAGGACCTTTGCGATTTCGCTCACGGGGCCAGCGACGGATTTGGCGTTCTCCTTGACGTAGACGGACCAGGGATTTAGCTGTCTGTATTTGGGAGGTGTAAGGATTTTGGTTTTAAGCAGCTTGACCTCCTCCTTTTTCTTTTCTTCTCCCCTCTTTGCGTCGATTACGGCCTTCTCTTCGGGGCTCAAGAGCTTGTAGGCAGCCTTAGCAGCGGCCTCCTTTTGGGCCTGCTTAGAGATTGGGGCGGCCTTCTTCTTCTTGGGAGTGGTAGTGGTGCCATCAGCTTTGGCGGCATATGACCTGGTTGCAGAGATAGAAGATGCGACTATCGGTGTTGCGACATGTGCATGAGAGAGAGCAGGGCGGGCGGCCAAGCGGAGCGGAAGACGGAGCACGAGCATTGTGATAGCTGCGGGATGCGCGCGTCAAAATGAAAAAGACCGGATAGTAGTAGCAACTGAATTGGATCGGGTCGTCAAAGCTGGGGCGAGATTGTGCGAAACGAAGGTGACCAGGCCAAGGAGAAGAACAGCGAGACAAAGGAGTTGTTGATGTTTGGAAACAGGAAAGCACGAGGTTGACACCAACCATCGCGACCACCGCAGGAGCTCCCGCCAAGCGCAGCGTCACGAAACTCTAAATCTCGCCCTCCCCGCGAACTTCTGGCTGGCCTCGTCTGACTTGCTAGAGTCCGTCAAGTAATATTTCTCTCGTCGACCCGCTATATATCAGCCATGTCCGGACGACCACGCTCTCCTCCCCGCCGAAGCGGTGACTCACGTCGTGATGACCGTTACCGCAGAGACGACCGCCGTGGCGATGATCGTCGAGACAGACGAGGAGACGATCGCTACTACAGACGCCGCTCTCCAGAGCCCGTAAGACTGCGCCCATTTCCGCCTTCGACATTCCACCGACTCACATATTCGCAGAGAGATCGCTATAGCCAGGATAGAGACCTCATTCCATCCCGTGGAGGTCGTGATCGCCGCTTTGAAGAACGCCCGCTCCGTGACCGCTCGCGCGACAGGAAACGATCCAGAGAAAGATCTCCCGTGAGAGACCGTAGAGACCGCAGTAGAGATAGACCTCGTGATTCGCGCAACTACCGTGACGACTCGCGCGACAGAAAGCGTCCCAGGCGCTCCGACTCAATTGAATCCAGAAGCCGAACTGCACGCGACGACACCAGAGCCTCCGCTTCTACCCTCAAACCTGATACACCGGCCTCCTCCCATGTCGTTGACAAGGCTGCAGAAGAGGAACGAAAGAAGCTCGAACGTCAGGCAAAGGTCGAGGCCTGGAAGAAGAAGCAGGAAGAGAAGAAGAAGCTGCCACAATCCCCCGCTACCCCTGCACATGCTGCCACCCCTACTGACACAGCTGCTTCTTCGCCTAAATCCGTGTCCCAAGACGAACCTCAAAAGGGCTTTGCTGGTGGAAAGTTTGATCCCAAGGCTATTGCAAAAAAGGCAGCGGCCGCCACGGCGAAGCTCTCAGCGCTGGGAAGTGATGTTTCTATACCCGGGAAGTCCAAGACTGCCGCTATTGCGGCTCCTCTTACTGCCAACAAAGCGGCTGACTTTAGCAAGAAATCCTCTACCAGTCATTCCAAAGGTAACTTGGCCACATCTTACCTTCCCATCCGTCGACACTCAACTAAACTGTTTACAGCCAATACAGCAACCACTTCGGAAGCCCTCAAAAAAGGCTTCGGTCTAACAGCGTCGCCAGCCGAAGAGAAATCGACCTCCCAGCCAGCACCTGCTATAGACATGGACGACGAACAAGTCGAACGTCGCAAGTTAGAGAAGCTTCCTACACCCGATCTTGAAGATGCTGGGGATGCTGCGCTTGCTAACCCGAATGACGCTCATGATGACGATGGTGATGTCGACATCGCTGATGCAGGTTCCGACCAAGACATTGACTCTGCTGCACGCCTTGCCGCAGAGAGACGTGCTGCCCAGGCCGCCGAGGCTTCTGTGGACGACGTCGACGCTATGGAGGGTGTTCAGACCACCCAGCCTGCTGATGTAGCCGAAGAAGACGAGATCGATCCGCTTGACGCTTTCATGAATGGTCTTGCTGAAGAAGCTCCCAAGCCTACTCGCAAGTTCACAAAGACCAAAATTCGCGAAGTCGAAGATGTTTTCGGTGACCAAGACGGTGCAGACTTGGACGCAATGGGAGAAGATGCTGATGACATTCTTGCCCAGGTGGCCCAGAAGAAAAAGAAGAAGGAGATCCCCAACCTTGACCACTCCAAAATCGACTACGAGCCGTTCCGCAAAGCCTTCTATACCGAACCCTTGGAGATTGCTCAGATGTCTGAAGAGGAAGTCAGAGACTTGCGCTTCAGACTCGACGATATCAAGGTACAAGGCTCAAAGGTACCTCGTCCCGCACTCAAATTTGCACAATTTGGTCTCGGTACCCAGGTTCTGGATGTCATTCGTGATCTTGGGTTCGATGCGCCCACTCCCATTCAATCTCAGACTATCCCTGCCATCATGTCCGGACGCGATGTCATTGGTGTAGCCAAGACGGGCTCGGGCAAAACTGTCGCATTCTTGCTGCCCATGTTCCGACACATCAAAGACCAACGCCCGCTGGAAAACATGGATGGTCCCGTTGGTCTGATCATGGCTCCAACTCGTGAGCTTGCAGTTCAAATTCACCGTGAGTGCAAGCCTTACCTCAAGGTCCTGAATCTACGCGCTGTGTGTTGTTATGGTGGTGCACCTATCAAGGACCAGATCGCAGAGCTCAAGAAGGGTGCTGAGATCATTGTTGCAACTCCTGGCCGCCTGGTTGATCTTCTCGCTGCCAACTCTGGAAGAGTTACCAATTTGCGCCGTGTCACCTATGTCGTGCTTGATGAAGCTGATCGCATGTTTGACATGGGATTCGAGCCTCAAGTTGTGAAGGTTCTCACCAACATTCGTCCTGATCACCAAACAGTCCTCTTTTCAGCCACCTTCCCACGTACTATGGAATCACTCGCTCGCAAAGTCGTCCACAAACCTGTCCAGATCACTGTTGGTGGTCGCAGCACAGTCGCCGATACCATCACTCAAAAGATTGAAGTGCGCCCTGAGTCTACCAAGATGTATCGTACTCTCGAGGCTCTGGGTGAGCTTTTCGAAAACGATGAAGATGCTCGTGCTCTGATCTTCGTTGAGCGTCAAGAATCGGCAGACGACATGATGATCCAACTACAGCAGAAAGGCTATCCCGCCGTTTCAATTCATGGTGGAAGAGAACAGATCGATCGTGATTCTGCCATTCAAGACTTCAAGAGTGGTGTCATCCCCGTCATGGTTGCAACATCTGTTGCTGCTCGTGGTCTAGACGTAAAGCAGCTCAAGCTAGTCATCAACTACGATTCACCTAACCATCTGGAGGATTATGTTCACCGCTCAGGACGCACTGGTCGTGCTGGTGAAAAGGGCACAGCCATCACCTTTGTCACCCCCGAGCAGTCCAAGTACTCCGTGGATCTGGTCAAGGCATTGAAGATGAGTAATCAGCCAGTACCAGAAGACTTGCAGAAAATGGCTTCAGACTTCCTCGAACGCGTCAAGGCAGGCAAAGAGAAGGGAGCCGCTATTGGTTTCGGTGGCAGAGGTATCGAGCGCTTTGAAGAACAGCGTGCAGCCGAACGCCAGCGCGAACGCAAGGCTCACAAGCTCGAAGGCGAAGACGATGAAGATGAAGAGGAAGATAAGAAGGCTCCTGAGGAGAAGATCAACGTCGTCAAGAACACCGGCTCGCCTGCTCCTACAAACGCGAACGTACCTGGTGTTCCAGCCCACATTGATCTCAATGCTGATATCAAGGTTCACAAGACTGAGACCCCTGCACCCACAAGCAACCGTCCTCTAGATCGTGTTGCTGCAGCTGCTGCAAACATTAACTCTCGTCTCGGTGCACGTAACGCGACTCGTCCTGGTGTTCCTATTGATAACAAAGGACCTGATGCTGGAGCCTACCACGCGACTCTTGAGATCAACGACTTCCCTCAAAAGGCACGTTGGGCCGTCACGAACCGCACCAATGTGGCCAAGATCCTCGAATCTACAGGAGTGTCCATCACTTCGAAGGGTAACTTCTATCCTGCCGGTAAAGATCCTGGTCCTACCGACGCCCCCAAGCTTTACATCCTTGTCGAAGGCGATACAGAGCTACAAGTCACTCAGGCTATGCGCGACTTGCAGCGTTTGCTCAAGGAAGGAACGATTGCAGCTGCTGACAGCGAGGCGCGCGCGCCTACCACTGGTCGATACACTGTCACTTGATTACGATGAAACTCAGAGATCGCGAATCTTTCAGTTCTCTACACAGGTAAGCACGGCGGATCCTTGTTTTTTGTTGCCGCCACCGCTCTCTGAGCATTTGACAAACCACGTACAAGATGTTCATAGCATTGCGAGAGTGCAGAACTGTAACCATAAGCTACTTGCCTAGCAAAATCCGCAGCTTCGTATTGTTTTACTCGTAGCCAGCCTGTAGATAGTAGAACAAATGAGAAACGAAAAATGATATGCCAAGATGCTCTTCGAACCTCTGGGGCTGTACGACGCGTAACAGGGTACGCCTTCGGGAAGGCACAACGGCGGCGGGATTCCGACGTCACTTGGCATGCCGCCGAGAACCTGATTATATCTCATCCTTGTCCTTGAGAAATACATAAGACGTGTCACGATCTGACATCTCTCGTACTTTTTGGTACTGTGCACCGCCATCATGGGTCCTCCACCACTTGCAATTCGCAACCTCAGCTCAACCCCTCTGGAGCTCAAGGTCATTGAACGCTTCGAGACCCCACACGTTGATGAGCCCAAAGGTTTCGCCAACATCACTCGCAATGTAACTCAGTTCGTCGTGTCGAACACCACTGGCAATGTTCCTCCAGAGGGTCCTGACTTTGCGCCGTTGACTGCCAATGCGCAAAGCTATGGTCAACAAGAAGTGTCAATCCGTATCGACCCTTTCACCACCAACAGGACGGATATCAACACTGCCGAAAGATCAGAGAAGGATGTTCTCAGACTGACTTTCGAGCACGATGGACAGCGCTATCGTGTCGACACACGCACGACTAGACAGTCTCAAGAATTGATTCCTCTGGATCCTGACCCGAGGAAGCAGTACACGGCCATCTGGATCGACAAGGAGAGTCATTTGGCCATCTACTCTTCTGCAAACATGCATTGCTGGATGAAGGAAATGGCAGATGCGACGCCACTTTCTGGTCTTTCTATCCCGGGCACGCATAACAGTCCTACGCACCACAAGGCACTGCCTTCAGTTCGTTGCCAAGCGGTATCTCCCAAAGAACAGTTACGCAATGGAGTGCGCTTCTTCGATATCCGTGTGCAGCCTGAGAAACCCGAGGATCCTAATAATGATGGTCTCGCCCTCGTCCACGGTGTCTTCCCCATTTCCTTGACTGGCACAAAACCCTTCCGCAAACTCGTCAATGACGTTTTCGACTTTTTGCGTGAGAACCCTTCGGAAACTTTGATCATGAGTTTGAAACGCGAAGGCCCGGGCGAACATACCGACGAACAACTGTCCAATATCCTCCACACCCACTACGCAAACGACCCAAACCTCTGGTTCACAGAACCGCGCATCCCCTCTCTAGGCGAAGCTCGTGGTAAAATCGTCCTCATGAGACGTTTCGCCCTCGCCGAACCTCTAACCCACGAACACGATGGAAAGGGTTGGTGCCTCGACGCCCAAAACTGGGCTTACAATACCCCCTGCGATAACCACGGCTCAGTATGCGTCCAAGACTTTTGCGAAGTCCTCGAAACCGAAAACATCAACCAGAAAATCGGGTTTTGCTGTGAGCATTTCGAGAGGGCGGGGGCACAGGTGTGTCCTGTTCCGGGGATTACTACTGATGCCGTCAATCCTGTTCCTCCTGGTCCATTGTACTTGAATTTCTTGTCGGCGAGTAATTTCTGGAAGGTCGGGTGTTGGCCGGAGAAGATTGCTGCTAAGCTCAATCCGGCGGTTACGGAGTTTTTGTGTGTTAAGCATGATACTGCAGAAGGTGATAACAAGGGAGATGGTGGTGTGGGTATTGTGGTCACGGATTGGGTGGGCAAGGACGGTGATTGGGATTTGATTAGGTGTATTGTTGGTATGAACTCGCGCTTGGAGCTTAGAGAGAAGGGGCAGTAGGGGGTGATCAACGAAAAGCATGAGATATACGAAGTGAATGGATATATGCTGTCTGTAGTAAAAACAACCCTTTTCCGTTTGTTCATACGTTCATGCTCATTGGCTTTTGCTTGTTCAGACTAGCAGATCCTGTGCTCTGGTGGTCTCCAGGGTACACCCAACGCCTCAAAGATCTTTCGCTCATCCTTTCCCTCCACGAGCGTGCCCTCGCTCAGTTTCTCCCTGCCATAATCCCTCAATACATCCTTGTAGAGTCCACGCTGGTTTAAGCGCATTCCTTTCTTGCTAGCCAGCAGCCTCATACTGCGGTTGAAGATGTCATTGCCGGTAAAGTAGAGCAAGGCTGCTCCGAGCTCTTCCTCCGGTACGAGGAGCAAGTCTATACGACGCCAGATACTGCTGTCAGGCAGACAGGAAGCGCCATGCCATTTGGTGCCGTCAGATTGTGAGGTTTGTGCCAATGCAGCAACCAGGAATTTCTGTTTCGTGAGCAATGGCACGAGTCGGTCCATAACCGTCTCGCGAATCTCGTCGATGGATGCTCCTGGTTTGGTGATGAGTAGATCGATATCGCCAGAGTCTTTGGCACCGCGGCGGTATGATCCCATAGTGTAGATTTTGTATCCTTTGTTTAAGCCTTCGAGTGCTTGTTTTACTGTTGCAGCGTGTTTCTCAACCTCAGCGCGAGGCACACGACTGTTGAAGTCATCGTAGTGAGCAATGCCGATGCGTTGGTTGTCTGTCAGCTCGGCCTTCTGAAGCAAATCATCGAGTGTTTTGTAACCTGCACTAGCCCATCGCTCTGCTGCATGCAAACCAACACCATATATCTTCAAGAATCTGTTGAGGATTTGTTGTCGCTCATCCATCTTTGTAGAGTCGAGCTTGCGCAGGTGACTTGTCCTGACAATTTCTTCGATCTTTTCTGCTATCGAGGTGCCAATGCCATAGACGCGCATTGCTTCCTCCTTGGTCGTCACCTTGGTTGGGTGCTTCCTCAATGCCGAAATGGCTTGGCGATATGATTTCGAACGCCACTGGTCGCGAGTTTGATCGTAGTAATCTGCCAGTTCTTGCAAGATGGACAAGGTTTGAGCATTGGGTCCTCGATCGCCACTGCCGCCAGTGTGTTTGTGCATGCATTGGAATTTGTCTTGCCAGTTGCTGGTTTTGCGTCTCTTATGACGTTGGTCATCTTCTTCGTCGTCAGATGCAAGGGGGTGTGACTCTTTGGCCTCCCTAATGGCTGAATCGAGTTCATCCTCGTCCTTGTTGACCTCTTGCTGCTCGTCGGCACCAGATGGTGCAGGAGGATTTGATGACGACGCGGCAGAGGAGACCATATCAGGACTCGCTTCTGGCTGAGGGGTTAGGTGGTAAGAGAGCGCTGCTGCCTTTCTTTTCGCAGGCTTGAGTTTCAGAGACACGTCAGACACTTGAGATGGACCCGACTGGGGTTGTGCCGTCGAAACAGGAGCAGGCATATCGTAGCCCTTGACTCTAAACTCAATACTCGATGAATCGACCAGCTTGTAGAACTCCATACATGATGGCGGGTAGTTCTCGTTGACTAGAATAACGCCAGCCTGTTTCTATCAGCCCAATCGATCCAACTGAGCGGAGACTGAAGTATGACTCACAGGCAGCTCGTTGATCTTGAGATATTTCAACAATTGTGGGTAGTCATATTCTTTATCAGTAATAATGTGAGTGACGGTGTCGTTGAACTCGCGCTGCCACGATGCGCCATACTCTATGGCTCTGATGATCCTCTGACTGCGACCAGGATGTGTATCGCTGTTGGGAAAGAAGTCTAGAAACTCAGTATCTTGTATAAGATGAATGTATGTGTGTCTTCGACTCACAGAAGTAAAGGTTGTTAAAGATGCGTTGATCCTCAGGTACAAGGTTGATCTCGGCCGGTTGCTTGCCCTTGCCTTTCTTGTTTTTGATCATGGGGATAGCGGAAGAGGCAGGTGGGGCAGAAGAAGAAGGCGGCATTGTGTTGTTCACAGGCCTTTCGAGTGAAGATACTCCGATAACAGTATGATGATGTTGTAATGGGGGAGTGTCTTTGACTATAGAATTAGAAGCGCTGAACTCGTCCAGAAGCTCGAGAGGTTTCTTAGTCCTCCTAGGATTTGGACGTTGCTGAGTCGACTGTGGAAGGGATAAGTGAATGTTTGAGACGGAGCGTGCGAGGCTGCCTGGAGGTCTGCCTGGCGTACGACGCGAGCGTGAAAGGGAAGTGGTTGGATCTCCGAGAGTTCTTCCCTTCACTTGTTGAAATGAAGCTGCAAGACCCTCATCTTGTACCTCGTCAGATTCCTCGTCTAGGGCATACAGTGCGTCAAAGGCAGCCCTCTTTCTGGTAGCGGCATTTTGACGATGCTGAGCTGCAATAATGTTGATTACAGCACTGCATGGTGAAGAAGACATTGATGTATATGTTAATTATTCTCGTCGAAAAACTATTCGAGTATAAAGAACTGTTATCCACCTGGAGTCATCTCAGATTCAGTAGTAATCACAGCAATTCCTGACATCGTGGCTGATGGTATAGTTGAAAAGAAGCAGAGAGAGAGCTGGGAGCCTTGCTGATCGGCTCGGAGGTCGTCGTCCACCCCACAGTTTGGGCGAACAAATCTCGAGACTGATCAACTTCTTGTTGTCTCCTACTCTAGACTCTGTCATAGATATATTTTTCACCGACCATGGCAATCAAAGCACCGTCATTATCGTGCTTGCGAGTCCTTCGGGCGTTGGTTACATCAGAGAGTAACCAAGTCTGCATCTCAGCAACTCGCAACTATGCCACCAAACCAACACCATCCACTGCAACACCCACCCAACCCTTGAAATATACACCACGCGAGAAAGAGAACCCCGAAGATGATCCCGTACCAAAACCTCTGGAAAGGCCCATCGGAATGCCGCATCCCCCTAGAGCTGGTGAGAACACTGGTATCGACACCCGCAGCTGGAAAGAACGCAGAGACGATTTCGTCGATTACGACAAGCACCTTGTGCGCCGCAAGAAGCTGAGCGACACTCTATACCGTCCTTATTTCCGCGACTTCAGCGCAATGCGTCACTTCAAGGGCAAGACGTTTCTCTCTCCACAATCTGTATTCAAGGCCGAACATGCCCTTTGGTTTCCCAACTTGCGTGGTCGCACTATAGAAAAGGACTCTACCAAGAACGCGGAAAAGAAAGACTTGGTAAATGCATTGAAGGGAAAGATCAGCGTCGTCAGTATCTTCTCATCTGGCTGGGCCGAGAACCAGGTTGCGACTTTCTGTTCCAAGGAGAAGAACCCTGCGTTACACGAAGTACTAGAGCAAGAGAAGGCAAGAGGCAAAGCAGGACTTGCTCAACTAGTCGAGATCAACCACGAACCCAATGCGCTCAAGTGGTGGATCTTGCGAGCCTTTGCAGGCAGGTTGAGAGCTATGCGACCCAAGGAGGACTGGTCCAAGTACTTTTTGATCAGACGCGGCATTGAAGATGACATTAGAGAGGCCATTGGTCTGTTGAACAGCAAAGTTGGCTACGTCTACTTGGTCGATGCTGAGTGCAAGATTCGTTGGGCAGGCAGCGCCATCGCCCACGAGCTCGAGCAGGAGAGTTTGGTCAGAAACCTGAAGAGAGTTTTGGCCGAGGCAAGAAAGAACAAGGAGTCTCCAAAGAGCGAGAGGACCGACAGCGTCGTCGAAGCCACTCCTCAACAGGTCTAATGATTTTTTGATAACAAAATTCAAGACATTCAAAAATGTTCTCCCCTCCCAGTACCAGCGCTTGCATGCCCCTGAACTCCTAAACTCCTTGCAGTGAAATGGTCTACGAAAAGTACAGGAAGATCAAGAAGCAGAAGGCAATGAAACTGCCCATAATTATACCATCCCGCCTCTTCTTGTTGCCTATCCTGCCAATCAAGCTGTTGATACCAGGCACTTGGCTGGCCGCTCCAACGATGCGACGGTTGATGCTGGTAAGCGTTTCCCTCTGGATGCCGAACTGCTCGTTGATGGCATATGCCTGTGTGAGAACGGTGTCGGTCATGTTGTGACTGTTGTCTATGCGACTGCGCTCGTCCAGCATGTAGTCTGCCTCTGCTTGCTCTGGATTCTGTGCACGGTATGCGTTGATGTCATTGCGAACGTTGGAGAGGAGGTTGGCGCGGTCTCTTTGGTGGCCGATGTTGGATTTGAGGCGATCAAGCTCTCTGTGGTGTTGCTGTAGAATTTCTCGATGACGGGCAAGATTTGTAGACTTCAAGGCGGAAGCGGTAGGTTCAGAGTCGAGCAGGCGCGAGAGTTGGGAGATGAGGGCTGAACGCTGTCAGGCATCAGTCTATTTGAGTTGAGGCGATGCATGTGGAGCTGAGATTACCCTCTCGAGTATGTCTTGTAGCTGAGCTTCTGTTCGTTGTTCATCTTCGTCGGGTTTGGCAGGAATGTTGCTCATCGATGCATATTGGGAATAGGTGTGGAACAAGGCGTCCGTCTAGGAAGTGTTAGCTTGCTAATGATTTACAGCAACAAAGTGACTACCTGAGTCTCGAGCGAGCGAGCCTGTTGTCGCAATTGCGCCCAGCTGCCAGAGCCAGAAGAAGCCATCTTGAAGGAGTTGTGTTTATTGTACAAGCATATGGTCCAAGGGCCAGGTCCAAAGCGACGCTTCACATGCGCGGACCAGAGTTGCGCATGCCGTTACGCAAGAGAAGCCAGGGTTGCCGGCTTGACGGATTGAGTACCCCAGATCCACGTGACTGTTGGTCGGCACGCCAAGCGCCTAGCGCGCCTTCCTTTCGAGACGCACACGGGCAATTTGGAGAAATTCTGTCGCTGTCGCTTCGTTCAATCTCTTGACCCTCTCGCACCGTCTCATCCTACTAACTCACAGCGAAAATGGTGCGCACCCTCAGCATACGTCCTATCTGTCATGTCGGAATGCTGACAGAATTTATCGCAGTCTTCCGCTAAGGTCAAGGCCAGCCAGCTCTGGAGCAAGAACAAGGATGAGCTCAAGACTCAGCTCGAGGAGTTGAAGGCCGAGTTGGTTCAGCTCCGCACCCAGAAGATCGCCGGTGGTGCCCAGAGCAAGCTCACCAGAATGTACGACTGAACTTCCCGCATCCCGAATCGAAACAGAAAGAGAAGGAATCAAAGGAAAACATCGAAAAGACATACGCACGCACACGATCCTCGACACGAACAAATTTTCTGACATGCCCTTGCCTATAGCCACGACGTCCGCAAGTCCATCGCTCGCGTCCTGACCGTCATCAACATCAACCAGCGCTCGCAGCTGCGCATCTTCTACAAGAACAAGAAGTACCTTCCCCTCGACCTCCGCGCAAAGCAGACCCGTGCCATCCGCAGAAGATTGAGCAAGGAGGATGCTTCGCGCGTCACCGAGAAGCAGAAGAAGAAGCAGATCCACTTCCCCCAGAGAAACTACGCCGTCAAGGTGCGATAAATCTTCTATCTGGACACAAACCGTCAGCCCTGTACTGACATTGTTCTTCTTCAGGCCCAATAAATGGTTTCGCCCAATCTCTTCCGACTTGCTACTCCTCTCCCACGTCCATAGTGGAGATTCCTTTTTTCTTGGTTCGGCGAACGGCTCTGCGAGGAACGGGTTATTATCGCGCTCAACACTTCTTAGCCACAATGTAGCCAGCATCAAGGAAGACCAACCAAAAAAGCAGCGCGCACTTTTTCGGCGTTAAAAGAAAATGACAAGCTGGGGTTACCAAACCAATGATCCAATGTTTTACGCACAACACAAAAACTTCTCTCATTGTTCGACCAAGTTGTTTTCGCATCGCACACCGTGAAGTCGATATTGCAGCAAAGACTGTTCTGGCTACCGCATCCATATCATGATCACCTGGGCTCTTCGAAATCTCTCGACAATATCTTTACCTAACCCGTGCTCGCAAAACGCAACCACTTATTCCAGTAATGCTCATGCCATCTTAACATCATTCGTAAATTCCTTTGGTAAGTTTTGAAGAATTGTTTTTCAGGTAGTCATAACGGAACCGACTCCGTCTCTTGTCAATTGTGAAATTGTTCTATGGTATCAAGATGGCAGAAAACCCACTACATGCCAGCCATCTCCTCGTCGGCATCGGCTGCTTCATCATCCTCGTCAATGCCTTCCCATTCGTCATCCTCTTCATCCTCCTTGCCCTCCTCTGGCGGAGGACCAAGAACTTGACATTGTGCCTCGACCAATTCCTCAGTGTGCTGCTTGAGTCTCTCGTCTTCATACTCCAAGACTCTGTACAGTTTGAGGGTATTGAGCAACCAACTCCTGCTTGCTCTCAACGTAGCCAACAACTCCTTTGCCTGTTCAGACTCAGGGTTGTTGACGGCATCGCCGAATTGTGCCTTCTTCTTGTCTGCCATGAGTTGTAGGCACCAACCACCAAGATAGCAAGCCTCGACACTTTGGTCGTCTTCCAGGGCCAGACGCTCCAAGACATCCATGGCTTCCTCTTCCATCTCGGCTTCCATCAACAGACGGGCCAGACTGACGCGGTTAGGGAAGTCGGGGACTGCAGGGTCTTCGGGCTCGAGGTCTTTCCACATGCTGATGCTGCGTGTCAAGGCGGCGCGGGCATCTTCGGGCTTGAGTTGCGATAGACGGACTGAGGCTAGTGTTTGCAGCACCTCGGGGCTATCGGGGTCGACCATCATGGCTTCTGTGATCAGGGCTTCGCATCGTTGTTCAGCGTCTGCTTCCCATCTGTGAAACCGATGTTAGCGACCGCACACTTTCTTCTCAGAGCATGACCAAGACTTACGAAAGATCGGTCATGTACACCTCGACAACACCACACAAGGCATTCGCCAACTTTCCTCTCTTCTCCTCCAACTGCACCTCAGCAGTCTCATCTCTATCCGTCAAAGCCTCCAATTCAGCAATCTCCCTCTTCAAAACGCTAGCTCCACGTTCAAACCAGCCAACACTAGCCGCACCACCCTCCTCACACAACTGCGCCATCCACAAGAACTTTTCCGCGCCACCGCCCACAGCCTCTGGAACAGTGCCTTGCGGATCCACCTCTACAGCTTGCATGAAGTAATCGCGAGCAGCGTCTGCATCGCCCAATTCAATGCAGATTTCTCCAAGCAGGTTCAACGCTGGCAAAACGGCATTGGGGGTTTGCAGGCGGCGGACCAGCACCAGCAGGTTTTGGGCGTGTTCGAGGGCTTGTTGGGGTTCGCTGGTTTCGACGCATTGGATGGCGAGGTCGTAGAGTTGTTCGGGGGATTCTTTGGGTTGGGAGGAGGAGCTCTTGGGGCTTTTTTTTGATTTTGTCTTTGCCATGGTGCTGGTTTCGACCTTCAAGGTTCTTTTTGTCTTTTTTTCCTTGTAGCTTCAGATGTTGGTGTTGATCAATCTAAGGTGGTGTTGATGGGCGTCGCTCGGTCGCACAGTCGTGTAGGAGCTTGAGACCAATCGTCCAGACCAGCTGATTGAGTGTCCTGAGATGGTAGAAAGTGAAAGGTATAAAGAAAGTCAGAAATGCCTTGTCCGCTACGCGCTTCAATCTTCGAGAAAATTTGGAGCACAGACCTCCATCTCGACGTCAATTGTTGCGAACCCGCGAACTGCCCGCTGTCAGAAGCTGAATTCCTCTGTTCGAAGAAATCAATAGTACAAATCATACACAACACACACACACGCCATGGGTAGAGAAGAACAAACAGAGGAGCGCGAAGTCCTCGACTCCATCTTCCCTGAAGAAATCACAGGTCCGTTGACTTCTGCACCTAGACCCCCACCAGCATTGCGCTGACAGAAACACAGACATCTCCGACACCGAATACCGCGTATCGATACAACTCGAAGTGACCGAAGACGACGAATCCACCGAAACACTCCCTCCAACCCTCATCCTCTCCGTCTCATATCCCGAGGACTATCCCGACGTAGCTCCACGACTAGATCTCTCCGCCCCGCCAAACGCTCCAAAGCACAAGTACCTAGATATCCAAGAAGACAAGGCGCGCTTGCTAGATGGCCTCACCGCAACAATCGAAGAAAACCTGGGTATGGCGATGGTGTTTACCCTGGTCACCACCCTCAAAGATGAAGCCGAGCTCTTGATCTCCGAACGCCAAAAAGCAGTCCAAGCAAAACGAGACATGGAAATTGCAGAAGCCGAAGCAGAGGAAAACCGTAAATTCGAGGGCACAAAAGTGACGAGAGAGGTATATCTGGAGTGGAGTCGCAAGTTCAAGGAGGAAATGGCCGAAGCGAAGAAGAAGGCCGAAGAGCAGAGAGAGGCCGAGGAAAAGAAGAAGAGGGGTGGTAAGGAAGAGAAGAAGATGACGGGGAGAGAACTGTGGGAGAGTGGTATTGCGACCAGAGCATTCGTTGACGAGGATGACGATGGCGCCGATGCTCTCGAGGCTATGAAGAAGCTCAAGGTCGAGGCATGAGCGCTGACCCCCTCGTCTTGGATCGAAACACGGAAAGGAGAAACAAAGGTCAAAAACTGTGCCGCCACTGTCTCTGAGCCAGATCTCTCAAAGGTGGCTGAAGCTGACAGAGGCTACTTGCTTGCCTGCTTCAAGATATGTTGAACAGATTCCGGCGTCATGTCGAAATCTAGATATCGGCTTGCGACGTAGCTCCCTTGTGTGGCTGTCTAGAAATCTGCTAATGTACATACAAACCATTGGACAGCACAGGACACCAAACATATTGACGATTATCATGATATCTTCCTCCCCCTTACGCTATCCGTACGTCTGCAAACAATCTTCTCCATGGCAGGGTCACCAACATATCTTAATTCATCATATCTCATTGAGTGTGCTCTGCTTGTTTGAAGCAATGAAGAGTCTTTCACAAGTCTTTCACGCCTTCAGGGGCAGGCCAGGGGATCATGCAGTAGTTGTGTCAAAAGCACATTCTTTCGGGTGTGCTTTGAATTTGGATCATTATCTAAAAGTACATCCATATCTCAGGCTACCTTGAGCCATCCATCAAAGCCACCAGTGCTCTGGATAAAAAGGTGTAGGTCATGCATCTCGTTCGTAACAAGGTAAACAATCATATCAGAAAAGAGAAACATCCATCAACTCTTTAAGCAGAGGTGTCCTTGAGGACATCAAACTGGCCATCGTTGGAGACACCCTGCTGCTTGGGGAGGGCAGCGTCGCCAGCAGACTGCTGGGCATTGCGCTGCATGTCATTCAAAGCAGAGCGGCCTGGGTCGTTCTTGCCGCCAATGTCGTTGTTGAAGGAAGCGTTGGGAGCATTGCTGTCAAAGCCGCCCTCGGAGATGTTCTTGCCGTGAGGGGCCTGGCCTGTGGTGCCCGAAGCGTTAGCGGTGGATCCGGCGAGGTAGGAAGATGTCGGTGCTGGAGGCGCGCCACTGTTGTTGCCGCTCAATCCACGTGCGGCGTTCAGCTGGGCTTCCTCGTTCCAGCCTTCCAATGCCTGGCGTGCTTCGGCATCGGCGGCGGCGTGGAGGGTGGTTGCGCCAGAGGTGTCCGTGTTGTTGGTTGTCGTCGAGCTGGAGGGTTGTGAAGAGGCGGCTGCGTGGCTGCCTTCGCCGAACGTGCCGCCCGCCTTCAATGACTCTCCAGCAAGAGAGTCCGACGTAACAGTGCCGGCCTTTTCGACCTTGGGGTTATTAATACCTTCGTTGGTGTTGGTGACCTGTTCATTGAAGTTAGCAATCTGCTTCGTCGGCGGATAGAAAACGGCTCAATGTACCTTGGTTCCGGAGGAAGACATGATGATTGATGTGTGAGAATTGGTTTATTGGATAGACTTGCTAAAGATTGGTTGTATTTGTGGATGAAAGGTGAGAAGAATAGCTTCCTCTGCTGCTTTTTGTTTGCTTCCTGAAGCTCTGCCTTCCTCATAAGCTCCACCTATTGCGTAGAGATACCTTGCCTTAGGTACATCATCTCGACGTAACAACTACATCTGCCCATCCAGAGAGGTGACCACGCGATTCGTACATCCGTTTTGCGACATGCGTGCATCGAGATCGTTACATCATCCGAGCTTAACCCCACCTAAATTTTGCTACTTGAGTAAAAGTGCCCCGCACCTGATAATGACGCCCATGGATCATGGTTCTTGGGCGAAAGGGAGATTGCTCAGCGGACTGACTCTCTCAGAGAAGCCTGATGTTAGAGGTGAAAGAAATTTGGTGACTTGATGGTATAGGCCTCAGGCACTGCTGGCTGTCCTGTTGGTTGTGGTTCGAATAGACAGTTGGAGGCTCAAAAAGTTGACCCACTCACATCCGAAATGTTAATTTCGCCGCAACTTGTCATAACCTTTTTGAGGCAATCCACTTCTCGTGGCAGAGATTTCGTATTTAGAAACGTTGAGCCTCAATATATTGTTGAGAAGAAAAGCTCGCTCTGCTGCTTGAAGCGGTATGCGCTCTACCTGAAGTCGCTCGATATTTTCCCAAGGTGGGAGCTTTGACAGGATGCATATTACACGAGCAGATAAACATAGGATGAAAGTTTGAGTACGTTGAAATTCATTTTCATTTCCCAAGCATTGTGAAATGCTCATTCGTGATTATTTGGATATATAATTGATAGTCCAATAGAATGCCTTGCGCGCTCATTCGCAAGGAGGTATAGTGTAAACAGAAAAATAATTCATTCCCTCATGCAAGCCATCGCCCTGAAGCGCCCTGCGCCAGGTACAACCAGATAAGCTGCGTTTTTGAAAAATGAGAAATCGTCAGAAAGCCATTTACGAGGCGTTGGAGGGGTCGTTCTTGGGGTAGCCGTAGTCCTGGCCGGTAGTGTCGGCAAGACCAGACTTGCCCTTGGCCTCACGGGTAACGGCATCGTTGGGGATACCAGAGAGGCCATCCTTGCCCTCACGGCCAACGCCCTGGCCAAGAGTGGCATCAGCGCTTCTGGCAGTGCTGTCGCCAGTGGCGGGCTCACGGAGAGCATCGTTGCCGTGGGAGAAAGTGTCGGAGACACCACCAGAGCCGACGTTGACGGTGCTGGCATCGGCGGAGTTGAAGTCGGACTTGGCAGGAGGCTGGTCGGGCAGGGGAAGGTTGCTGCGGCGCTCCTCGATAAGCTCAGCCTTGTTCTTGTCGGCCTGGTCAACGATGGACTGATACATGTTAGTTCATTGATATTCTTAGTTCTGATCCAAAGTGAAGTTACTGACCTGCATGGCAGCGGCGTTAGAGTCGGCAGCGACGTTACCGCCGTGGGCAGCAGAGTCACGCTGCTCCATCTTACGGACGTCCTCCTTGGTGTAGTGGAAAGTCTGCTCGGTACCGGACATTTTGATGATTTGTTGTGGTGGCAGGAAGGAGTTGGAAAGTGTAGATTGGTGGATGAGTTGAAGTATTGTTAATCGTTTGAGATTTGAGATGAATAGCAAAGGAAAACTTCAGAGCATGCAGACATGCTCATATTTGAACTCGTTGTCGAGTTCAATTGAGAAAATTGTTATGACGCTGACTTACATCATGTGGTGGGGCAATCCAGCATCAACACCATGCAATTTTCAGAAATCAGAAACTCGTAGAACACCGGATGCCCTGAGCGGACTGTGCGCACGACCTGCATCATCCGATTTGTTGTGAATAGCCAACTCTGTTGACGTTCGTGGCTCTACCAAGACGTTTGTAGCTCCACTGCGTCGGTGACGGCGGATTCGCGGAGTCGCAGCTTTTGCAAGCCTGCAAGAAACTCGATGAAGGATTCGATCTCTTTTGCAGCACAATATTACGATCAACGGTCTGCAGTCGGCTCTACTTGGTACCTGATGCGTTTGCGGAGTCTGTTTTCCTGAAGAGCCAAATGATGCAATTGCAGGACAGCCAATACTCACCTGAGTCGATTGGTATAGGGGAATCGCACACTCAGCAGCAATGACATCGTCAGCCCAAGAGATTGAGTTCTCTCGGGACCTGATGAGCGAAGAAGAGTAGTAAGCTAGATGATGCTACATCAAGGTGAGGTCCTGGAAATCAGTGTTGCAGACTCGCATGCTAGACCACTTCTTGTGAGCTAGGTCTTGTGACTGGAGCACTCGTCTCAGGGAGTATCGCGAAGGTTATGGAACATCGAGAACAGATTGGTTCTCCTGAGAGGCATGTAGTCCGGAGGCCATTTGATCAAGCTGGCCAATCATCCTGCACGCTGGCTTTTGTCGGCCATGAAGTCGATCAGGGTTCTGACACTTTTCGGTCGCTGATGCTCGTCAGGGACCGGAGCTGGGGCAGTTAGTGGATAACTCCGGGGCCTTGTGTGATTTCTTTTTCGTTGTAGATACCGCGTGGTATGTGTTTAGTTGAGTTGTGAATTTGCAAGTGAGCAGGGTTGCACCACCAACAAGTTTTTGAGCAGTAGAATTGGCGATAATCCATGGTACAATCAGGCGATACTTACCATATCTTCGTGACCGTCTTTGGTCTCTATTGGGAATCCAGAGAATCAGGCGGCTGTAAAATTGGTGTTGACAAACGTGGTTGGTGGTCACCTTTGTTTCACAAACAACAAAGCGGCCGTTAATGTACTCAGGTACATGGAGAAGATGATCCGAACGTGTCGACTTTGGTGAAATCCAATATGCCAAACTCAACAGTTGCATTGCGAGACACAGCAAATGCAACAAAGTTCCAAGCAAGGATGCAAGTTCGCAAGAACATATTGATATGTGGTCATGAAGGAGAGGTGTAGTTGTAAATAGAGCTTCGGCTGATTGGCCGAGTGCTCAACCGTTGAAAGTTGAAACAAAACGCAGGTCACGAGTTTTGGATCTTCTGTCGCGTTCTGGTAGAAAGCAAAATCCACGTCGCGCTGCCAAAAATCACGAGCGGAACGCACGAAAAGAAGGTAAGACCAAAGACGTTTGATGGACTTGTCGAAGGCAGACAAGCATTGTAAGACCTTTTTGAGCTCTCATGGTCAAGGCACTGTAGACCCATCCAGAAAATGAGTGATCGTCGGACGCGCTTTTTAGTAGTCTGGAGGACACGACTTGAAGTTGAGGATATTTATGCCTTCAGATAGCCATGCGCGAGCAAATAGTAAACTAGATGCGAGAAGAAATCTGGAAGAATGCCACTGTCGCTACGCGTAGATTAAGAAGATGTCATTGAAGTCAGAAAAGAGATGTCGTGTAGTCGAAATGCGCGGGATTGGTGGGCCGGGTGGCTTTCTCCAGTCGTGAATCGTGAATCGAGTCGCGTTCGGTCGCGTCCCTCACCGTTCAGCGTCAGCTCGTCGAGGGAGACTGTCCACTATCTTCGTCCAACATACCATGTCCGTGTCAGCAGTAATGGATGAGCATACTAATGAGGCCCCAGTCCACGGGGATTCGTCGCCATCAGAGTCTTCATATGCACCGCAGCCCGAGACCGAAGCATCCTTGGTCCTGAAGGCGACGGCTAACAGCTACCCTTTTCTGGTCCATTCGACTGATACTCTGGCCAACAATCGTCCTCCCAATGTCGACAACAAGCCTCTGGCCCGTCAAAAGCGAAGACGAACAAGGTAGGATGACCTCTTGTCTGCTCAGCTCGCGAAGCCCGCCTGACATAAAATAGTCCCGATGACCAGAAGATTCTCGAGGAGGCCTACGCAAAGAACTCGAAGCCTGACAAGGCCACTCGTATGGATATTGTGAGCCGTGTCGCTCTGGGTGAAAAGGAAGTCCAGGTATCGCATGCCCATCTCAAGCCTGCATAACGCGTCAAACTAAAACCACGTCTAGATTTGGTTCCAGAACCGTCGCCAAAGTTCTCGTAGAAAGTCCAAACCACTGGATCCTCGCGAGATGGCCAATTACCACTCATCATATTCCTCGCCGCTCGACGCCCAACCTGCTGATCACCGAGAAGACCCGTCCACAAGCCAGGACAATCCGACGCATACTGCCGACTCGACCTCGATATCCCAGGACAAGGTTGCTCCATCTGCCAGCCAGAATATCTCGACCTCTTTCGTTGAGGTTCCCAGTTCACAACCCGAACCAGCCTCCCAGGACTCGGTTTCGAAACCCGGCTACTTGTCTAACAGACGTAACAATGCTTCTTTCACTGCCAACGACTCGTTCGAGGCACCATCGAATAGTCAGGAGCCGTCGACAAAGCGTCTAAGGAAATCCGATTCCAAGATTCGCCTGTCCATGACGGCTGATGGTGTTGCCCGCGTCATGGAGGGTGATGATCTTACATCTTCCCCTCCTCGAAAGTTCCCTCCTCCTGTATCTGCCAGTACCGATCTCGATGAGCCTGCCAGTCAATCAAACGAACTATACCGTACTAACAGTCAGGTCAGTCTGTGTGATACACTCGGCAGCCAAGAAGGCGGTACCAGTCTTCGTCGAAAACCGAGTGGACGATCTCGCGACTCACGTGTGTGGTCTTTCTTTGCCGACCGTGGTGCACGTAGTGAATTGGAAGACCGCGCAAACCAGGAGACCAGCGGTGACGCAGCTGAAGCCATCTCTCTCTTGCGCCAGCAGGAGAAGGATCGCGCGAACCACCCTTTGACACGCGTGCCTTCTCTGAAACGTCTGAATCCTCAGACCATCTCTAGCGAGGATCGTGCTGTGAAACGTATGCGCCAAAGCCAGTCTTTCAACTTGCCTCCTCCTTCATCTGCTCCTTCGGCCGTAGCCGCAACTCCGTTTCGCCAACCTCTCATGCAACGCTCATCCTCAGCACGTAATTTGCAATCTACCAACAGAAGACCCGCTCACCAGGATCCTTTACTGTTGGCCAAGACGCCTAAACTCAAGCAGACACCTACTTTCGAGATCTCAGCAGATTCTGACAAGGAAAATTGGAGCCCTGGTGATCGCCCTTCAGCTTTCATGGACCGTCAGTTCCTGCACCAGATGGCAACCTCACCAGCCGCCATGCCGTCAACGATCAAGAGACCACGTGCACTTGCTGGCTTTCACGAAACGCCCGCGCCTCGCAATCGTGGCAAGCATAGTAGCAGAACTCAAGTCGAGCATCTCGATGACGACGAAGAGGATGAGGATGTCATGCAGTTCATGAATCAGCCCAGCAGTGGTGTCAGAAAAGACAAGACGCATCGTCCTCTTGAGAGAGACGAACGCCAAAGTTCAGAGGAGGAAGATCTGAACTGTGTTGAGGGTTTGCTCAAGTTGAGCCAGGGCAACTGGGGTGGTGCCAGGTGACGACCTGAATGACCTTTTCGCTGTTTCTGTTTCTCTTGTCTTAGTAATGTTTTTGCGTTGATGTGCATGGGAATCGGCAGAGGAGAGGCATTGATATGGGTGTTCTGTTCTAGTTTTTGTCCTTTCTCGCTTGGTTGCTGCTTTTGTTTGATCGGAGAGTGGGTAGTGACCGGATCTCAGTCGGCCACACGGTGTTTTCGGGTTGGAATCACTTGAGGGGAGGATGCATGTGAAGCGTAGCTAAGCAATACGATGATGTTTTTCACACAATCCACTTGCAACATGACGAGGACGGACTCTCGCCTTACAACACCATGCGATCTAGGCAGGAGTGTAGTATCAGTATGCCAATCTAGTATTGAAGTGGCAGGATCGATTGTCCAAAATCGTTATTATATCTGCAAGAAGACAACCAAGACCAAAACGATTGTCGTCATAATCGCGTCCCTCTCTTTCCCACACTTCTTAAGGCCTATTCAAAAGATATCCTGGAAGGCACCGAAGCAAAAGTCCTGCCCCAGCGGAGCCTGGTAGTAGCGTAGCTGGCAAAAGTGAATCTCTCCATCAGGGAATCGAACCCTGGTCTCCCGCGCTTGACGAGATTTTACTCTTGACAAGCGGAAATCATGACCACTAGACCAATGAAGATGAGCCAGCTAAGCTGGTATTGGTTGTAGAGGGTGAGAGCAACTAACAATATATACTCTCCAATTTATCCGTGGCTCTTCGGCGGCTGATGCGTGACCCAGGCACGAACCAAAGCCCCGAGGGCTCGCTATGACATCCCTGAACTCGCAGCTAGAGCCACGGTTGGTGCTGCAAGCTCTATGCTATCAACGTGCTCATGCGCAGATGCAGTGTGATAGCACCATAGTTGGCCATGTACTGGCCCATCGGGGCGCCCAAAACGTATGCTGCTTCTAAGCATGTAGTTCGCAGCACCAATTCACCCATTCCCGACCACAACGATCTTGACAAGCTCGCCGTCACTCCGCTCTCACCCGACGCTGGACAACTTACACCTCTGGTCTTGGAGCACGAGCAGACACCTTTCGAGCATGCGGTCTCGCCCACGCCTTTATCGGAGGACCACAATGGCACAGAAGAGCAGGAAATAGTGGATATCAAAACATCTCGCGCTGGCAACATATTTACCACCATCACCACCTCGTCGCTTAGTGTATGGCAGACCAAGCCCACCGCTCTGCTCGCTACAGTCATAAGATCGACTCATTCTCTGGAAACATATGGCCCGAATACATCTGTCCTGCTGCGTCCCGATGCCCTCATAGTCATTGTGCAGACTCAGAAAGGCTTTCTCATAACGTACTCCCTGGCCATCGATCCGGCTGCCCGAGTATACCAAACGTCCATCTTCACTCCCTCCGGATCTCATGTCCGACGGCCAAGCAATGAAGGGTACAGTAAGAGACCAAATCTAATCCCTGAAGGAGGACCTGCAGAAGGCGAAGGCATCAGGGAAGTCAGTGTACGCTTTCGTATGGTAATCCGGATAGACGCTGGTATTTCGCAAGCTCTCGTGCTTGATGACGAGCTTGTTGTAACCACCGTCAAGCCTGCAGCCGTTCAATGCATACGTTGGACACCAGATAATTCAGGCTCTTCTCACAGTACAGAACTTCTCAAGCGAATGAGCTGGCTCATTGGAAGATCTTCGGTCATCAACATGTCATACGACAGACCGATGAATCTTCATACTTGGGTAACAGATGACGGTAGAGCGTACGCAGTACAGCGTTTATCTGGAAGCAGCGCCGATCCTGCCAAAAGCAAAAGTCTCTTCAAAGGCTTCTGCTTCCATGCCCCGGATCAGCCAGGACTTTTTGCAACAAAGTCTGTGATCAATGCTCGCTTCTCCCTAATAGCCGTCGGTTGTTCAAACGGCACAATTCAAGTCTATTCTGCAAAGGACTACCTGGGTAATATACCACGATCCCACGAACTGAAGCTACCCGTGTCAGAAGCATCTTCTGGCAATCTGACTCTATTGAGCTGGTCACCAGATGGCTACTGTCTCTTTGCAGGATATGATCATGGCTGGGCAATGTGGAGTGTATATGGTAAGCTAGGTGCCAACACTTTCGGTGCGGATCGAACAATGTCGGAAGCAAACAACGAGGAGTGGCTGTGTGGCGTGCGCGCTGGTTTCTGGATCGGTGGTGGTGCAGAAATAATGCTCCTTGGGCCAAACCGAAACGAGCTACATGTTGTTGAGATGATGCGGAGCAGTGTGACAAGCTGCTTTGCAATGCCCAACATTTCTAGATCTCTGTTACAAGGAAGCACTAGCTTGATGCTGTACAAAGGATTTGAGACTCCGGATCACACAACCATATCTGGCGATATCTCCTTGTGGCAGACAGTGCAAGCCCCACAGGCCTATCTCGCATATCAATGGCCGCTGCGGCTTAGCGTTGTCTCTGCTGATGCAAGATATCTTGCTGTGGCTGGAAGACGAGGCCTCGCACACTACAGCGTTGGCAGTGGACGATGGAAGACGTTCGAGGATCCTATGGCTGAGAACAGCTTTACCGTACGAGGTGGTATGTGCTGGTGGCAACATATTCTTGTGGCTGCCGTGGAATCCGGAAATAGTTATGAGGTATGCTTTCTTAGCATGACTGACCCAACAAACTGCTAAACTTCAATAGGTCCGTCTGTATTCGCGCGAGAAGACTCTAGCCAATTCTCAAGTATTGCACTCTGAGATACTGCCATACCCAGTAGTCTGTATGGCCACATCTGGAGAAGACTCTCTATTGGTGTATACCTACGAGAACGTCCTACTCCATTACATCTTCGTCTCATCAAACAAGACGGTCAGACTAGCACAAGTTGGTCAGATTGCCTTCCATGGCATTATCAGGGCTCCACCACGTGTTCGTGCTATCAGTTGGATTCTTCCTGAGGAGCAACGTGGTATGTTATTATTCTCAGCCCGCCTTCAGATTGCTTGCTAACTTTCATCAGACAACGGCGATCCCTCGCAAGACGTTGCCACAGCTTCCGTGCTGTTCCTGGTTGATGCCAAGTTGGTACTCTTGCAGCCCTCAGCAAACGAGCTCGGGGAGCTGAAGTACGACATGCGGGTCATTGCTCATAACGTGGAGTTCTACACACTCTCGAGGGAACAGCCACCTTCCATTTCCCCACCAGGCCTTCTTGGAGATAGTTCTGACAACAAATATCTCTCTGCTGGTGCTCTGGGTCACAGCTTGCGCGACTCTTTGTGGTACTTTGATGGCACATCAATGCACGCATGGCCTGATGTCCTCGACGTGCTCTCCTCTGCTCTGACGGAGCATGGTCGTGAGGTGGCGCCCACTGTCGCTATCACCACCGACTTCTACCCACTGTCTGCGATTGTGGAAAAAGGACTTCTCACTGGTCTCGAGTCGGATCTGGTTCAACGTCGTGATATCAATTTTGCATTCTACCGTCTTAATCCCCGGACTCACCTGTCTATACCATCTCTTCTCCGACATCATCTAGCCCAGTACGACTCACCCGCTGCGCTCCATCTTTCACATTCTTACCAGAAACTACCTTACTTCGATCATGCCTTGGAAGTGCTCCTGCATGATGTCCTAGATGACGAGGTCGATGCTCCCCCCGAGTCATCGGAGGCAGCACTCCTTCCTGGTGTCTTGTCGTTCCTCTCCTCGTTCCCAACATATCTTGATATTGTTGCCGGATGCACGCGCAAGACTGAATTAAGAAGCTGGAAAACTTTGTTTCGCTACCTGCCTCCTGTTGCCGAATTGTTCGAAGAGTCCCTCCGGAAAGATATGCTCAAGACGGCAGGAAGTTATTTGTTGATTCTGCATGCTTTCGATGAAGGTAGCTTCAGTGCGCGTCAGACGTCTACTCTTTTCAAGAGAGCTAAGAACGAGGGTGATTGGGATCTCTGCAAGGAACTCGCTCGTTTCCTGGTAGGGATTGACGAGACCGGAAACCTTCTGAAAAGCGTGCTATCTCGGGCTGGGTTGAGGGATGCGGAGCCTGGTGATAGCTATGACTCCTCGGACGAGGCTGATAGCAAGCCATCTCACGAAGCTCATGGCTCCAATGGCGCGTCACTGCAGACACCTGACAGGTCCGAGGGCGATAGTAGTAACGGTAGCATCATCATTGCTGGCCGCAATCCTGGTTCATCTGCACAAGACTATTTCGCCGATTCGGCAAGATACTTGTGAGAGAGGTATCCCTGTCAGGTCACGAATGTCAATATCGTAACCTTATCGTATAGGGCTGCATGTCGCGTGGAATTGAATACATGTTTTCTTTTGATCGCTGTCTAGCGCGAAGGCGCACGTGTATGTTTATTCCTGTGGATGAGATCGCAAATGGTGGCTGGTCGACCATCAGCGCCAGCAGCGCCGTAAATGCCGTCGAGCAGGGAGGAGGGAAGCTTCACGCGGGGGCTGTCGCTGCTTTGGGAACAAACCACTATTTTCTACTTTGGGATGCAACACTGTCCATTAATCTCAATCTCAATCATAAGTCCTCCACACCAAACAACAATGAAATGCGATGCCTTTTGGAGCAATTATCTGTTGTTCTTAGGTGAGCTGTATCACTCGTCCGACATGGCGCAGTTGAATGTGGCAGTGACAAGTGTTGATCATCGACACACCGGCGAAGGGAGCTGTTCGCGCGTGGGCACCTCGTGCTTGCCAGCAGAGCCGAAAGCTTGGTATCCCGCTCCCTCCTGCATCTTACCGTTCCATCCCCTCTGGGGAAATGGAGAAGCTCTCGTTAATTCTTCCCTCTTGACACCTCACGATCACGACTCCGAAAGACCGTATTATGGTCATCGTCATCACGCATTGACCGGTGCACTCCATATACCGTTCTTGAGCCATTCTCTGCTTCGGGGTGCCTGGTGTCACGCAACCAGAAGAGTATGAGGCTACGTATGTGGCAGGGCTGTCATGCTAGGCCCCCTTCAATCGAGAAGTCACCTCACCGTAGTTTCGACACAGATCCTGAAGGTTAATTGTTAGCTTTATAAGGTGAGAAGGATGCTACGGTAGCCTGCGACCAGGAGTGTACGCCTCGTCATACGCTTTTTCGCACCCCAGTCTCAACTTATGAACTGCTGGGTGTGGCTCACAGATTAGGTCTCGGACAGTTGCATTCATCTTGGAAAAGTTAGTTCCGGCATTGCCGACAATTGGACAACGACCATTGCATATTACTGTGGTAGCCTGAGGTGCTTCATTTAACGCTTCGGGACACCTTTTTACTTTTACAATGGCTGCATTTATTTATACGTCCTGCAATGTCAAAAGGCTCTCACAGCCTCTCGACTGCGCCTGAGCTTACAAGGTTCGTGCCTTCCTCTTAAAATATCAACCTTTCTGCTTTCCTTGAATCTTGAATCTTGCATCTAATTTAGCATCTGTTAGCTTTCTGTCGATATCACTATTGACTCCAGGCTAATAAAGTGAATCAAACAAACAATACTACACACCATCACCGGCTACTACCATACTCTACAGACAACTCTACCAGTGCCATAGCAGACTCGACAACTTTTAAGACCGCCGATCACCTCCGTGCATCGACTACATCAACGACAAGCAACAGATGTTTATGCCTCCCTATGCAAAGATGAACAGTGGGATCGCCAGACGAACGCTATCACCGATGGACCACACTCCAAACCAAATGGATAACCAACAAGTGTCCGACCTCACATGGATCATGGTCACCAACCCGCAGCAGTCCAAGGATAAAGAGATGATGAGGAACGTTCGCATCAAGGTCATGAACGACTACCTGACCAAGGAGCGACGCAACCCAAATAGTACCGATGCTCGTGTACGACATACCGTCAGACGCTCCAAGCCTAGCACGTCGCCAGAGTCGAGGAAGAAGTCATATCCATCTAGCACGAGAAGTCAATCACCTCGTGCTAAAGACTCGGCGATGCAGTCTGCTCTCCCATCACCCGAGGCATCATGCATTCAAGCACATTTGGAAGCGAACATGGAGTCCCCAGACGATACAGACTCGACTGCACTGACATCACAAGCGGTCCCGAATGTACGACTGGCAGGTATCGGTGCGAAATTGGATGTCTTCGAAGCGAGTCCGCGATTTGACGGAGAGGTCATTGATGTCCTTATGCTAAAATACAACTGTATGTACTTACACTTCCCTCTGGGTAAGCATTCACTGACATAAGGAATGCAGGCACGACATATTTCGCAAGCCAGGCCATGTGCAAGAAATGGGTCCCGATGTTGTTCGCTGGTCGGGCATCATTCCTCAGCACATTGTGTATATCATCTGCGTATCTTGATATGATGCATATGGACTTCTCACACAGGCTGACAGTGAATTCAATCGAATCTGTACGAACTCTGGCGGTCAGGGAGCAGACCGTACAACTCATTAGCAAACGTCTGTCCGACCCAGAAACTTGCTGCAACGACGCAAACATAGTCTCGGTCGTGCACCTGCTGTTTGGTGAGATGATTGTGGCATGCCCGCTGGCCTTGCAATGGCACGAAGACGGGCTACACACAATGGTGGAACACAGAGGCGGTCTAGACAACTTGGGCGGTCACGGCCTCCTGGCTTCAATGGTCACCATGTGAGTTGCAGGAAGCCAGCCAACTGTCTAAACTTGACTGACCGAAAACAGCCAATTCTTCGAAGTTTCGGTGCTTCGCGAAAGCCGTCCTCGACAACAGTATCTCAACTATGCCCGCTTCATCACCGAGAACTCGACGCAGGGCCGTACGTCCGCAGTCCCAGAAACGCCTTTGTACCATGCCACAGGTGTACACCATACTCTAGCCCGAACGCGACGATGCGATGAAGATACATTGGACCTCATAAACCTCGTGCGAGATCTTACGCAAGCCGTCGTGCAGCTTTCGGACGCATCCGCCGAAGACTCCCCTTCCAGCGGACCTTTCGGGCCCAAAGCAGCGAGGAGGATATATACAGACCTAGAGGTTCAAGCATTGCAAGAGAAGAAACACAAAGCAATAGAGCAGATTGTCGCACTCGAGAGTCGACCCGATCCTGTCTACGAAGCATTGCGCCTCTGCGCTCTGCTGTACGCCACAGCCATCCACCTCAACATGCCTTTCTCGACTACTGCCCGTTGCTTCCCCAGTAATATTGTGATACAGATCAGAGACAACCTTCTCCGTACAGACCTCTCGGACTGCTGGAACAGCATGGTGGGAATGCTCTTCTGGTGTACGATCGTGACTGGAGCAGCGTGCAACGACGCAGACGACGAAGACGTTGAGGTGCTGGCAACTAAGAAATGGATGGTGGCTCACGCGATCAGAAGCTCGATCTTGCTGCTGTTCCAGCACACGCACGCTATGGTAAAGATGCTAAGGACAATATTGGTCGTGCAGAAGGTGTTGAGATGTTCAGCCGAGGAACCAGAGATCTGAGTATGCGTCAATGATGAACTATGACCCCTCAAAATGTACTCGTAATGAAAGTAGAAATCAGCGCGAAGCATAGACAGCGTTATGAACAATTGAATGATCATCTCTTACCAAATGAATCACGATATAGCATCACGCTAGGTGAACTGGCATGATCTGTCAAGGGGCAGACACAGGGCTAGGGTCACAAGGGCACTCAACATGCTCGACATTCACATGCAGCGTTAGACAACCTAACCTCAAGCATCACAATAGAATCACATCTAAGCAGAACAAGCTCAGACACACATCCCAAACGAAAGTCTTCATATTTTGATCGGGCAACCCGCTTCTCCAACCGCCCCGGATACACCCGTAAAGGAGCAAACATGCAAATCGGCCATGGTTAGGCGTCAACAGCAGAGTGAAGCCTAAACGGAGGTACTCGGGTCTCACAGTCCCCGTAAGGATTCTGAAGTAAGGGTGTCGCGTAGCTGCACCGTCGCTGATAGATAGCGCTGTGGCTTGATGGATGTGGTCTGGCGAGCGTTGTTCTACTTAGATGTCTCGTTGTAGGATCTTGAGGTACAAAATATGGTCTTTCGGCGTTTTGTGAGATAGGATTGGAGCCAGGACATGGAAGAGAAAGAAAAGAAAGTGGAAGCATTGAGCAATCTTGGGACGTTTCGATTTTTATGCAGACAGAAATTGATGATGAGAATTGGGGTATCATAGAAATGACCAGTGTAGTAGTGTACCGGTGGTTGAAAGTGGTGAGCAGTGAACAAAGCAATCATTACTTTTCACGAGGTTCTGTGGCAACGCCGTTGCGGTCTCGGAGGTCTTTGATGACAGTCTATGGCAGAGTGTCAGTGGGTCATATCCATGATCATAGCAAATTGCGAAGTGGATGATGAGATAGTTGTACTAGACAGGAAGACCTACAGCCAGGGCGTCTGGGTTTACACCATTTTCGATGAGCGAGACACAATAAGATAGCGACTGGCGGTCCAAATTTGTGTTCTGCGATACATAAATGTCAGCGTGGTCACTGATTAGGAAAACAGTAAAGATCATGAGGTTGACATCCGACGGCGAACAATCGCACGTCCGGCGCGTGTGCGTTGAATGATGAAGTGTGGTCACATACAAGCAAAGAAGAAATTTCGTAGAGGATATCGATTGTTTCGCGCGCGGCTTTTCGCTTGTCTTCAGTAGGAGGCATGATTATTGAGTTGTGATGACAGTGGTGCAGTTGATGGAGGACTGATGGAAACGGATGGGAATGTTTGGTTTCGGCCGGGCGTCGCTTTTGAAAACGAAAGCTTAGGCAACAACACATGAGGAAGGCGCGACACAAGAGTCGACCCACACTTTTGGGGTTTATGTTTTGGATGGAAAGAAATTCAACAGTATCATTAATCGTGACAAATATCATATCCTAAGACATCGAGTAGATCAGTGCCTGATAGAAGCAGTGAACAAGGCACGCATTGCCTTGAGGAAAGCAGCCAAATCCCTTGTCTCATTCAAACGCTCCACGACAGCATCGACAGCCTCATCATCCAACGCCGGCTCTACTGCCACAACTTGATAGTCCTTTGTCTCCATATTCAGTTCAAAAGCGCACTGACGGTCCCAGTCCCTCTCATCCACATGTGTATAGACGAACTTGATTCTGTCATCGATGCCCAGACCTTCGATACGCATGCAGAGATGAGACTCCCAAAAGTGCAGCTCTGGTCGGTTGTGACGTGCTTGATTGTCGAGTTGTCGCTGGTGGTGGTGTTGGGCCTGGCGGCGGGTGTTGATTGATTTTTGTAGCGACGAGATTTGAGAGCGAAGGTCGTCTCGGTGGGCTTCATGGTTCTGGCGTTGAATGTCGAGCTCTTCAATTTGTTGTTGCATCTCTTCATGCTCTTGTGCTTCCTTGGCTAGAGTGTTCTGGTGTGCGATCGACTTGTTAGACATGTCCTCGAGCTCTCTGCGTCGTGATCTTTGAGATTCTATCAAGAAGGGCATGTTAGTATACCGATGCGAGCAGTTGTTATGACATGGAACGACTGACCCTGGATCTCAGACATGTTGATGCGGAAATGATTGCGCTCCTCGAGAACGCGCTTGCGACCCTGCTCGATGAAGTCGTCGAATCTTTGAGTAAAGCGGGCCATGCGATCGCGCAAATCGTCGAAACCAAACTTGATACTAGGCAGCTGGTCGACCATTGAGGGCGGATCGGGAGTGAGATAGGGACCGCGTAGACCACCTGCTCCGAAGGAGGCGTCGAATCGCGCATGGCTGGGAGTGTTCATGACGGCAGCCATGATTGTGGAACTGCAAGTGCTTGAGCTGCGAAGCGGTATGGACGAAGTCTGAGGGTATGCGCAATTGAGTGTCGAGCTTGCCAGACGCGGAAGATTTGGAGTAAACACAAAGTCCGCCTGCGTTGCCAGGGACCCTGGGGCACGGACAACGTCAGGCTCTCGCGGGTTATGGAAGCCACCTGAGTCAGGCTCGTCAGGTTGTCGCTTCGGACATACCAAGCGCGAGATGAGCATACTCTTCGTCGTAGATGTCTCTTCAATAAGTGCATTGTGATAGTCAAACCTGAATACATGGATGTACAAGTGCCCAGGCAGAGGCCTCTTCTTGCAGAAAGTTGATGGTCAGATCGGTGGTCGGCACGCCCCCTGCTATAGAGCCGAGAGGCCGATCAAGTCCTGACGCGCTTCAGTCTCGACAAGTTTTTGACGATGAATTTCTCTTCCACTTTTCTACACTAACATATGCGACATTTGACATTCTCAACTACCATTTACTGCACACGACAACATATTTCTCAGCTACTACAATCAACAAAATTCCCCGACCACCTTCTTCACGGCAATGATTCAATCTGTCTCTGGCCAAATACCACGCATAGCTAGGAAGAAGCCGCATGGCTGACCAATCTACCACTGACCTGAAATATGGTCACTTTGGTCAAATCATTTACAACCCTGACGATCAAGTCTGGCTATTTCCCAGGATCCTCGAATCTTCGCCCACATTACTGCCCCTCGGCACATCGCAGCTCGTCTTCAAATCGCAGCATTCCCAAGCCCGAGTAGATCCTGTCACCACAGAGAAACCGAGCGTTCACCTCAATCGTCAGCTTTCTGAGCTCCTCCGTTTCGATCCTACCACTGCTCCGAGCGCCCATATCCTTGCTGAGCCTGCTGTTGCATCGCAAGAGATTCAGAAGACTGTACTTCGCCATGATCCCACCACTGGCCATCTGTTGGCTTTTGGTCGAGTACCCGATCATACTATAAAGCGCTCCACACCAATCGTTGCCTTCCCTGCTGCAGATCATGCCCACATCCTGCGCCTTGTGCAGATTCAGCCTCAGAAACACGGCTGGGAACGCAATAAATCTATTTGGATTGATGTACCGAGGCTTTCTGGTGAGTCCGGCACCTGGCATGCTCCCCATCCAATCCGTCAGATCTGTTTTGCAGACACCGACGAGGACTCGAATCTTGCCCGCACTCTGGCTGTTCGCACCACCATCGCCGTTCATGTCCTGCGAATTGCTGCGAGAAAACATGCCTCATCATGGAATTCTCTCGCTGGTACGCCGTCTCGCTTCCACACAGAACAATTGTGCACTCTGAGCCTGAATCTATTTGGAGGTCTAGCCCCCGCTCATGTGGCCTTCAACCATTGGTACCCTAAGCAATTCGTCACTGTCGACCAATATGGTACCTGGCATGTCTGGGACTCGAGTCTGAGACAGATTCCTTCTGAGCATGGCAAGCCAATCGAGCTCTGCCGCGGCGCTACCAATGACCAAGTCATACCCGATCATGAAACAACTGCTAGTTTATTGGACGACGGCTGGGGCAGAGCGATGTGGGCTGGCAACGTGCAGACTATTGTCACTGCTAGCAGGAGATGCTTGGGCATATATGACATCCAAGGAAAACCTGTCAGACTCCAGTCTCCCAATCTCGGCCTTGATGGGACTCCGCACTGGATCCTCGATATCATGCTAAATCCCCTGGACCCAACTCTTATATTCGTTTTGACCTCAACTTCCTTGTTCTGCTTACGTGTGCGTTGTCTGGACGAGTTTAATCCAGAGAGTTATGACACTGCTGGTGCCGAGGTAGTATTACAATGTAGGCACTTCAGAGACTCGGAGGATACGGGGCTTGGTCTCTCTAACTTTGTTGATGATATGGGTATGACATATGAATCAGCGACTTCGACGGCTAGATGCTGACTTTCCGCAGATGTCGTTGTGTTGATAAAATCTTCATTGAGCCCACTCGCAACGAGTCATCGCTTTACGGCAGACGAGTCTTCTCCTCAATTCTTGAGGATCGCCGATGCCACTCAACTTGTTCTGCCAGAACTCCCTTCTACTGCGACTGCTTCACCTGCAGCCCTGACTTTCCAGATTCAGCCTGTTCAGTATGGAGAGAGTGGCCACCACGAACAACCATCCGGCCCTGGAAAGACTTATCAAGATTCTTTTGTGAGATTTTTTGTTACGACCGCTATCACAAGCGATATGGCCGTTGTGCAGAAGCTATATTATGCGTTTCCAAGCACAGTTGACGGGTCGTCACTGCCGAAAGTCTTGCACCCCGATTGGCACGGAAGACTTATACACAGTCGCCCACGACTACAAGAGACTGGTTTTATTGAAAAATCGAAAGTCATTCAAGGGCTAACGAATACTAGAGAAGAGCAAGATGAAACGGTGTCTTCCCATCCTGATACCCTGAAGTCAACAAAAGACAACTGGACTATGGTATACGAGCTTGCCCATGCTCGAACAACTAGCGCAGCTTCACAAACAGAAGAATTCTCGCGTGCGCTCGCACGTGTGAATCGAGCACTCGAGGCTTCTGAGGCTTTTGAGAATGGCCATACACTCTTGTCGGAAATTTGCGATAACCAAACCTTAATACCTGACATAGATCAAGCTGCTACAGAGTTCAGCAATTTGGTTTCTTCTAGGTCGCAGCATGATGAAGACATGCAAGGGGTTGACCAGAAATTACAGCTTGCGCGCATTAGCAGCAACTCTGCCCTAAATCTTGGTCTCAACAGCGATCCGGATCTAACAGCCGTCTACGATACCATCATAGCGCATTGGCTGACCCCACTATCTCAGACGGTGCCTGGAAGGGTGCGACTTGTTAAGGAACAATTAGCGCGAAGAATTGCTGCTGAGATATGTCTCGCAAGCCATGTTATCAGACAGACACCAGTGAGGCCAAGTGAAGAGGAGACAGCAGCAGAGACGCAGGCTACAGAGGATGATTTTTCTTCGCAAACGAACTTTCCTCAATCGTCTCTCCCAACACCGTCACCAACAGCCACACCGTCGTTGACTACTGTCACCTCCTTGTCTAGTCACCCATCGACCTTGGTGTCTTCTGAATTTGCACGCCTCAGACGGTACACCACTTTCTCATCGGAAAAGCCTACTCCTGCACCCCTACCCAAGGGTCTTACTAATACGCTCGCGCATTGGACTCTTGACGGTAATCCCGATGACTATGATTGGCTTGCCGTTCAGCGAGAACAGGAGAAGAAGGCCGAGGAAGAGGATGAGGACCTGACACCGAAAGAGCGAGCGAGGTTGAAGCGCCGTGCCGAGAGAATGTTGCTGAAGCAGAGGCGCGAATCGCAGAAAGCATCTGCTATGGACTTTGCAAGTAGCCAAGTTCCTGGCATCGTAAGCGCGAGTCAGCCTGCATTCGCGACTCCTTCTAGAAGCGAAGCACCGAAGGTTCCTCAGTCTGCCAGAGCAGCAAGTCAGGGCACCCAGCTGCTAGCCAGCTCCCAAGCTCAGCCAAACATGTTCACAAGCCAAGTGCAGCCTGGGCGTTTTGGTGGAAAACCGGCAAAGAAAAAGCGCAAGGTTGGGTTTTAGAAGCGATCGGAATCCTCCCGCTCGCTGTATACTTCCATATCTGTACAGCCAAAAAGTGCCCGTCAGAGGTCATGTGCCATTTCATTATATGAATCCAGCTCCCTGGTTATGTGGATCTGGGATCAAACCCCTGTCGCGAATCCTTGGGGTGCCGTTATCCGTATTGAAAAGTAGCTAGGGTTGGCGCAGCAGAACAGCAGAGACAAGATGTGCTGTCATTGAGGCTTGGCCCGCAGTAAGACCATCATGTGCCAGGCCGGATGATGGCACGACACGGCAGATGCGTGCAGACTGCTTCTCGAATGATTGGACATCTTCTCGAATACTTGGTGCCAAGGCGGCGTCTTGATACGAATTATTACTTTGCACACCTTTGCGTCGTCTTTGAACTGCTCTCTTGAACCAGTATCGGGATTCTATCGTAGGTTTCGGGGGTGTCCGACAGCTGAGCGTGGGGCTGTGATGGGATTGTCCTTCTACTGGTTGCAGGAGCTAATCGCACCAAGAGCTTCCTTCCTTCGACACCCCGCGCTATGACATTATCCAGCAAGGCTTAGCCATGTAAACACAACCGTGTCAGAGACACATGTGTGAGGAAAGAACCACCTACAGTAGTTTGTAAATGTATTTATTACCGTGACCTGCCGCCACCATGTTCCCTCATGTTCTGATGAACCCGACTCCTGCAACGTATCATACCCATTTTGCTTACACCATTATATCCCTCAGCAAGAGGGAGGACCATATTATCGAATACGTAGGGTCATCACGATCCATTCACTGATATAAATACACCTTCCGTCCTCGAATGGCCTGGCAGAAATCCACAGATCAATACGTAAGTCGACATGCTCGCCTACAGAACCAGCAGGCTGACCACTCATCAGGAGTTTTTGGTTGATAGTCTGAATCAAGACTTCGAACTGTTCTCGTCGACGACACAGAAAGTCAACCAAAAACATGGTTTCAGCTCACCTTTGCCAATAGCTGGCGCAGCCTCCACGGACAAGAAGTCTCAAAATGATCAATATGGAGCACACATTATGATGCCGTCTACCAAAGACGAAGAAACATGGCTGGTTTGGCGTCATGATAGCAATGCCCAGGACATGCATACACTATCGGTGATGAAGGCCAAGACTAAGCTCTCGATCAGTGACAGCGGCTATGGCTCTATGGATCATGCTGGCAGCCATGGTGTTGAGGCCAGGCTGAGTGCTCAACCAGAGATGACCGGTTTATCAAACAACCAAGTCTCGGACTACTGCGAGATCTGCTCTGAAGAGTCAGACAAACGCCGCTACTTTAGTAACAATGCGGACAGAAGGTCAGTCCTCTGACCAATGTTTTTGACATAACGCTGACCACCCATAGGAAGCACATGCTGACACACACTCGTCCTTTCAAGTGTGATGTATCTGGATGCGACAATCAGAACGGCTTCGCGTCTCCCCATGACCTAGCACGACACCAGAAGACATGCCATAGTATGTTGACTGTGAAGACGTCCAAGTTTTACTACCGATGTGCTGCCCCTTCTTGCCAGAAGAAAGACAAGATCTGGCCCCGAAAGGACAATTTCAAGGCTCATCTCGAAGGAACGCATAGATACGATGAACCTCAGGTTGCCGAGCTGCTAGTGAAGTACATCCAACACCATAGTGACTTTTCAAACATTAGTTGCTGACTGCTAGATAGATCGGAATGTCCCCCTGAAGATGTGCAGCTTCTCCCTGATGTTGCAAGTCGGCGGAAGAAAGGCAAGAAGGTCAAGACCAATCGTCGCTCTCGCAAGGAGCGTTCATCAGAAGATGAGGACAGTAGCGTGGTTGAGAGCCCGGCTGGAGAGATCCACCATGGCTTTGAGCCTAGCATTTCTTTGCCTCTGTACCCTGCAAAGAGTCCAACGCTGCCGTCTTCTGCATCCTATCCTTCCGACTCCTTCTTGCAAACAGTACAGCAACTTCCTCTCCCTCAAGGGGCCATATATGCTCATCCTCCATCCATTGTGGTGTCTGATGACCATGAAGTTGATGCGCGGGAATGGAATTCACCTATCGAAATGATGGACACCACCGCAGATTTCATGGACAATCTACATTCCCCATATCTCATGGTCTGCGTGCCATCCTCTCCAGAAGATATGGCGCCATCACCAGCCCCTTACAGCTCAAGCTCATACGCAGACTCATTGTTCGAGTCTGACATGGACGACATGACCACAGATAACGACTTTGACATAGATTCAGGCGAATACGAGACCATTTTTCAGCCTCTCCTCAGACCGACAGTACACTATTTGTTGGCTGCTTACTACCGTCAGAACGCACCTGGCAATAGTGGACAACAATCCTCGAACTCCAGCTATTCGTCCAGCTTCGGCAGTCAAGTTGGTACCAGTGGATCAAGAGCGAGTAATGTACCCTATCCTCCGCTTGGAGGCAAGCGAAGACGTACTTTGGTGGATGATGATGACGGTAACGATGATGAACAACCGCCGAAGCGCAAGAGCAGAGTTACCCGATCAGACGATGAGCTCCCTCCCTTGGCATGTCCATTTGCCAAGTTCGATCCTTTTAAGCACGAAAAATGCTATACCTTTGTTCTGAGAGGTGTTTCTCGGGTCAAGTGAGTGAGCCGAAATCAATCTTAGACATGGCAACTGACCTTAAAAACCTAGACAACATCTTGAACGAGTGCATAGCATTCCTATTCACTGTCCTAAGTGTTACTCAATCTTCCGCAACAACACGGAAGCCAGAGACAAACACGTGAGAGAAGGCACCTGCCAAAATGCTCCAGAGCGTCGTCTCGAAGGCATCGATGAGTCAACCATGCGAAAGCTCAAGCGTCGTGTCACAAGCAGATCAGTCCCCGAAAGCTGGTACTCTATGTATGAACTGTTGTTCCCAGGGGCGAGAAGACCAGAGTCGCCTTGTGAGTTTACATCTGAACCACGAGAACACACCACGATGCTGATATATGATAGTCATGGATGCTACGCTCTCTGCCGAGCTCTCGGCCTTCCGAGACTTCTGTATACACGAAGGACGCGATATAGTGACGAGTGTCGTTAGCGCTGAGATGCCTTTTGCAGATGGCCAGCAACAAGACCAACTCGAAGACTTTACACGACAGGTTTTCCAGAGAAGCATTGAACAACTGTTCCTGCAGTGGCAGAGTAGGCCTCGTCCTGTCACTAGCCAGCCAGTCGTGGCCACTCAAGCCACGCTTCCTCCGACTCCTCCTTCCACCTTCATTCACGACTTGAATGATATGGCGATCAATGACGGCTTTACGATGACCGACGAGGAGCCTCTACTGCCGCCGTCGCAGCAATTTCCTGACCTCGACATGCCATGGATGACTCCTGAGCTTCAGCAGAACACCGAGGATCAACAGCAACAGCAGCAGTTACAACAGCAGTATATGTATTTTGGAGAGGTTCCCCCTGTGAACCAAATCCAGCAACAGTTCTGGAATGATTATGGAGTATTGGATGGGATGGGTGGTTGGTCTGGTTGAACAACGATAGAAGGCGCTTCAGACTTTATGATTTGCTGTTGATATAATGACTGACGACATTATGTATAGAAGGCCCTGTGTAGTTTACTGTTCAGATTATACTATAGGAACTTGTATGTCCATGTCTTCTAACTTTATGAGTTAAAATTGGCAAACATTCTTGTGTCTTAACATAGCGAACCTCTTAGGTCGTGGCAAGACAGAACGAATCACCCAAGTGTGGTTCAAGCAGGATTGTCTGCTTTCTTCTTGCGCTCCAACTTCCTCGACATCTTCAAAGCCCTCTTAGTGAAGTTTCCACCCGACACAAGAAGCCATGGTGATTCGGCTTCTTCTTCGACAAGTACCGCCGCAATATCCTCAACACGATAATCCAGCTCGATGAATTCGGTCAACCATTCAAAGTCGAAGGCTAGTTCGGTAGCCTTTTGTGTTAGAAGATTATTTACTAGTTCAGTGTCCGAATTGATGACTGCTCTAATTAGAGCGTCGTCTGAAGCTGTGAGAACAGTATGATGGAGTAGAGATGAGAAGCGCTGGTGTCTTATCTGGGGGTCTGCGGAGTCACACCGGCTCGGAGGACTCGCAGCATTGTGATTTTCGTGTCTATTTGTGGAGTCGATCGTAGCTGCAGAGGAGTCTTCTGATCGCCTGGGTTCGAGCCACAAAGGGCCCGTATCATGATCCGGACGCTCGACTCCATCGTCCGCCCAGGAGATCGCTTTCTTGTCTCCAGCTACGGCACGCCTTGTCCACGTCTTCCAGGTTTCGCATGTTTTAGAAGGGTATCTTTGTTTATTCACTTTTGCCAGCTCTGCCAGGCTAATCTCGTCAAAATGACTTGGCGATTCAAAGTCGATGACTTGAGCTGCATAGTTCGGTATTCTTCTATCTCGAAGCGGGAGTACAGATCCGATACCTTCGACTACTGTAGAAACCAAGGGCAGTCGAGTGATGACACGACCGAATGGGGCACAATTAAGTATTTTGGAAGATTCATACACATCCCCAGAACCAGTACTAGTGTTGATAGATCGCATCGATTTCTTCAGAAAGTTGATTTGCCAATGCAAGTCCCGGAAAACCGTCTGAGATGGAAATTTTCGAGCGACAGATTGAAGAACCCAGCACAGGACCGCATTACTGAGCACATGGTTTGGTTCCACTACACCACTGAATAGACTGGGGATAAAGTAAAGCCAGCCCTTTGGGAAAAACTGACAACGTTGCCGTCCAATGTCATAGTGGCAACCAGGAAACCAATTTTCGGATATCAGAGGGGTTTTGTTGTGGTCTCCCTTGGTTGAAAGGCATAGTTGAAGGAATGGCAGACGGTCGTGTATAGAGCAAGCATGAAAGACACTCTCCACAACATGAGGAATAACTTCATCGCAGAGTTTTGGACTCGTGGATCCAGTCACTGTGTTGGTACAGGTGTGGCCGATGCTGCCGATGGTATCTAGCAGAACCATGATCTTGATAGGTGTATCCACATCCCAGCTGACCCTTCGACGGAAATCCTCACAATTTTTCGAGGAGGGCCTGTCCGATTCGCGAGACGATGTATAAGTCTGATAGACCAGCTCACATAACTCGTCGCTTGGGGTTCTGGCGATGCCACAATTGTGGATCATACCAACTACGCAACGCAAGGCATAAGCTCCTCGACCCAGCCCAAAGAGCCATATCTCCGTTCCTTCTTGATACCATCGCGCGAGATAACGATATATCTCGAGACAGAGTTGTTCAAGGTTGTCTGGTGATGCGCCGAAGCCATAGGTCAAGTAGTTGCAAGATATACCGTTGAAGTACTTGGTTCTGAGACGCCGTGAGGCATCTATTAGTTCTCGCGAGCTTTTGGCTGTGTTCATGTCGATGCCAACCATCTCGGCCAGTAGCTGGATGTTAGTACGGGTGCCATGTTCCGGGCCACACCAAGTACCGTCGCAGAATATGACAAGCTTCTCCGGTGGTAGAGATGCCTTTGCTACAGGGTTCAAGGCCATCGTCGTTAGTTATGCATCGAGTCAAAAGAGAGTAAATGCATGACTTAATGATGTTTAAATGCTTGATTCAAGTCTGCCTCATCTTGTGGTCACTAAGGTACATGCACGACCGGTTACCTTAAGACTATGCCGCGTATTCCTACCTTTGTCGCCGTAGCACGAGCACAAGCAGCAGTCAGTGACCAGCGACTATGAGACGCGTGTGTCAGAACAGTGGTACAGATCTATAGTAGCCTGAAGCGGTCTCACTCTCTGCATATTGATTGTGTATCAAAAAGGTGAAAGCTAAGCTTGAGAAGTGATATTAGAGAAGGCAAGCGCAACCGACCGAAGAAGTCTCGGCTGGACCTACTTACCTTGTGCTCGGCATGACGTTTCTAGAAAGCTCCAAAAAGTTGACCCGCATCTCCAGCTTTGACGATCACCACCGATACTTGTATCCATTCTTTGAATACACATTCTGATCTTTCATCAATTGCAGTCAAGATGCCTGGAAAGTGTGTGCACAAGGGCTGTGGCAAGACTTTTGCCGACGACAATGAAGAATGCAACTATCATCCTGGTCCGGTAGGCAACTCAGTTCATCAAATGCATTGATTATACCAGCTAACTCTGTTCTAGCCAGAGTTTCACGAGGGCCAGAAAGGTATAGTCTTCCGTCCAAATAAGCCATACATATTCATGAATGGTCTTCTGACACAGAACCTCAACAGGATGGAAGTGTTGCAAGCCTCGCGTCTTAACCTTTGACGAATTCATGAACATCCCTCCTTGCACAACCGGCAAGCACAGTACTGTAGACGACACGCCCGCCGAAGAACCCAAGACCGCTCCTGCCGATGCTCCAACACTAGCTTCTGCACCCGCGCCTGCTTCTGAGCCAGCAGCACCTGCTCGCGCGCCTACAGCCCAGGCCCCACAACCACCTGCCTCGCCCGCACCGCCAGAGGACGAAGACGACGACCCAAACACTCCTGTCCCTGACAACGCAACCTGCAAGCGTAAGGCTTGTGGTGTAACACACAAAGGTGCTCCTCGCAGCGACGACGAAAACTGCCAACACCACCCGGGAGCCCCAATCTTCCACGAAGGCAGCAAAGGCTGGTCATGCTGCAAACGCCGCGTCTTGGAATTTGACGAGTTCCTGCGTATTCCTGGTTGCAAGACAAAGTCACGCCATTTGTTTGTGGGTGCAAAGAAAGACGATGGAGAGGAGAAGTTGGAGAGTGTGAGACACGACTTTTATCAGACACCCGACAAGGTCATGGCAAGTCTGTATCTGAAGAAGATCGACAAGGCCATCTCAAAGGTCGAGTTCCAAGACAAGGCTGTGGATTTGGACTTGAGGACGAGTGATCGTAAGAGGTTCCAGCAGGTCGTACCACTCTTTGGTGCTATCGACAAAACGAAGAGCGAGTTCAGCATTATGGGCACCAAGCTGGAGTTGAGAATTGTCAAGGCAGACGGTGCTTCATGGCCAGTCTTGCGTGGCGACGAGAAGCTTACTGGTGAGATCATCCAGATGGGCCGCGCTGGAAGGGCATGAGAAGAGTTTTTGGTGTAGTTTGGAGACACAAGGAGACATTGGAAAATAAGAAGCGTAGCATTATTGAAAGCAATACGATGACCCATTTATAGAGATGCTGCAAACTGAAGTACCGTAGTGATGTACCAGCAATTTCAGCCATGCAAAACAACACAAGAAAAAGCCTCCCAATCCTAGCGAGAACGACGCGCATCCAAGGGAAGGCTACGATGCCATGAAAAGAGAAGAAAGTGAATAATCAAGCCCGGTGCCTCTTCGCCTTCTACATCCGAGCCTGCCACGCGGCATACTGTTCAGCCGCATTGTTCTACTGCACGGTAGGAGCTGGGGCTTCAAACATGTCGTCAATGCCATCCTTGCTCTCGTCGCCCTCATCACTGTCCTCGTCCTCGAGCTCCTCGTCTTCCTCCTCGAAGCCAGTTTCCAGACCTCCCTTTCTGAGTCTGTCCTTCATCTCCTCCCTCTTCTCTTCTTGCCATCTCATCAACGCAGCAGCAGCATGAACCCTGAAGCCATAGATGCGAGGTTCATAGCGTCTCTGAGTCTTGGGTGGCAGCATAGCTGGGTAGACCTGGAAAAGGATGTTGTGAAAAGAAGTGCCGAAGTAGGCGCCGTCGATGGCGTTGTGACGCGATGACTTGGGGTTGTAGATATCCTCACATTTGGCACAGTAGAGTTTCACGGTAGAAGTGCCAGGAACGTCGTGCAGACCCATGGGTAGGAGGTGTTGTTGGTCGCAGATGACGCGAGGACATTTTCCAAAGGTGCCGGACTTGTACTTGTCAAGCTATTCGGACGAAGTGTTAGTGGGTGAATTTTTCTTTTAGCTTGCAAACGATATCTGATGAGAAAGGCGGTGAGAAGAGAGAAAAGGTCTTACCATCTTTGCGAGACCTCTAGTTGTGACAATGTAGCGCGCATGCACAAGACCGTAGAGGTGTCTGGCGCTCTTCTCAATTTGCTCACGCATGTCATCGTCGACCTCCATGTCAAAAACGTCGGTCACAAGATCGAGCGCATACTGATAGTATTGAACTTCCGTGTTAAGGCCAGTCAAGTTGAAGCGATCGGTCAGATAGTCTTCATCAATTTCGCAGTAGTACTCATTGCCGCGAGACGAGACGAACTGTTTCGAGACAAGTCAGCATTCTGAAATCTTCTCAAAAGAAAGTAACGCGATAAGAATGGTGCAAGAGAAGTGTCAAGAAGGAGTGCCACGTGTAGAGCATCCCAGCAGCTATCCCGCGCAACATGCGAAACAGCGCATCCTCTTGGAGAGCCATGGCGCAATGGTTTGTCTCGTCTTGACACTCTCTGATAGAGAAATTGATGTAGACTCAAGAATGTGACGTGCCCTGTCTGGCCAGCTTTTGTCGTAGGTCCACGTTATGCCGTCGAATTGGTATGTCATGTTGATGTATGTATGCAAGATTGCAGTCGCACAAACATTTCACCAACAACAAACATCCTTTGGTTTGGGGGCATCCACGACTTTTCTGCAGTCGTGAGCGCTGACCGTCCAGCGCTCACGCCAGACCACGGCACGCCGCATGTGCGAGTTTTCTTGGAGATGCATATCTCATCTTTTGCGCAAGCGACCAGGACAAGAACGAAATTTGATTACAATGAAAGTCACTCACCCAATCCCGCCAATAACTGGTATAGTCGCTGTCGGTCTCGCTGGCGAAGTTATCCATAGTTTCTTGGTCTTTCCCCGACCGCAGCCGTGAAAAGTATCAGTATGCGATGGTATCGGCGATCTGTAGTTCTCTCTGTTCAATCTCGCAATGAAAATTTGACCTTGGGCAATGCGCTCCTGAGCAGTGAGTTTGATGGTAGCTGCTTGTGGTTGGTGATGTTGCAAGGCGGGCTTGATGATGTGTGATGTTGTTTGGCTTTGGCTTTGGCTTTTCAGGAAAGAGATGAGAGTGGGTTGGGCGTTGCTGGAATGGGCTTTGACAGTGACGACCACTTGATTCTCACTCGACACATTTCTACAAGATTGTTCTTAAGGGGAAACACCTTTAGTTGCATAGAAATATAGGAGACCAATCTGCGACATAGTATTATTCTGAAAGTTGGATCGTGTGGTCTACTTAGGAATTCTTCTGCAAAGCTGTGCAGTAGTCTAGAGCGATCAACAAGGATGGCTCTCTGATCACACGATATCATATTTAGGAGAAATCATTGCTTCACGAGGTGGTCGTCATAGAGAAAGAGCTTGTCCAACACCAAGCCCGATGCTTTTCATGTCATGCAATTTTTAGCCTAGGTATCTTATGCAATCGTATCGAAAGAATGATGGCTATCTCACTTTAAAGAGACAGGTTCCACAGACCATCACCAAGATAGTGGCCGTTCTCAAGACCAACACCCTTCTTCTTCTCCTTCATTTCTTTGGTGCCCATTTTCAGAACGCCAACCAGGCAAGCATTCTCCTTGCCTTCGGCTTCAACAACAACAATGTCACCGGCTTGCAGCTCTTTTCCTCCGTAGCCATCGTTGGCTTCTTTGTCGTCCTCGGCAATCGAAGGATCAGGTAAGCGACCACCAGGAGACGTCAAGCCGGGCACCATGAGAGCAGCTCCAGAGAGAACGAAACGGATGGCGCCACGATCAATTCGTATCCTGTCAAAGCATTGAGGATACTTGTGAACGAGAGAGAGGTGGGGTATCAGAGGGTCGTCCATGTGTTGCCAGAAGAGGGGAGTAGAACCAAGGACATAGAGGGAGACGCGATCAGGTCTGTTGACAAGGTTGTTAGTACGAGTGATCACAGTGCTGGTATATTGAAGCTGAACGAGAAAAGGCATGCTCGGTAGTCCAAGGCTGGACATGGTATCTGCACAGGGCCAACTCTTTCTAAGATATCAACATACACTTTGACGAGATCGATCTGTTCTTTTTTGGGCATGATATCGTCCATGTAAGGCTCGAGGCGGGGATAGGTCTCAATGGCCTTTGCGCGGATGGCGCGCTGGGCCGACGACTTGACCTTGCTTTTGGCGCCGGGTGTCAAACTGGCTAGGGTCAGCTTTTGAATTTGAAAGTGCGATTCAAGACTTACTGACTCTTTTTTGAACATGGCGAGGTGGATGTGTATTGGTATCGCAAAGCCAAAGACGAACGACTTTAATTCAGCAGGGTCGTCACCGACTGGCGCTGCTGCCCCACCACGACTTCAACCCCGCGAATTGCCAAGGCAAGTGCGCATTGTTGCCGCCTGCGTCTTTCGAACCTTCTGGGCCATAGACGCAGTAGCCGTGCTGTCCTCGACATTATTCACGCCATCCTCCGCCGTCGCTCCCTATCCCTCAACACCTCACCAACATCATGTCCGACTCGAAGAAGAAGCTGGCTCTGGCCATCATCGATTTCCTCAACACCTCCCTCAAGGATGGTACCTTGCAGGCTGACGACTCCGAATCCATTGAGATCGCAACTTCATGCATTGCCGAAGCTTTCCACGTCGACCCTACTGACAAGACTGCCATGAACCAAGCTCTTGGTGGACAAAACTTGCTCAGCATCTACGGCGTATACGAGAAGCTCAAGGGCAAGAGCACAGCTAGCACCGAAGGTTCTAGCAGCGCTAACGAGGCTCGTCCTTCCACCCCCACTGGTTCCTCCAAGGGCGCCAACGAGAAGTCTAATGCTCCCACTCCCGAGTCTGAATCGCTCAAGGCTCAGGGCAATGCTGCCATGCAGAAGAAGGACTACGCTACCGCTATCGACTTCTACACCAAGGCCCTCGAGATCGCCCCCCTGAACACCATCTACCTCTCCAACCGCGCTGCCGCCTACTCGGGTGCTGGCCAACACGAACTAGCAAAGAACGATGCAGAGCTTGCCACTGCTGCCGACCCCAAGTACACTAAGGCCTGGAGCAGACTCGGTCTCGCACGTTTCGCTCTCGGAGACGCTCAGGGAAGCATGGAGGCATACAAGGCTGGTATCGATGCTGAGGGTAATGGAGGTAGCGACGCCATGAAGCGCGGTTACGAGACTGCCAGAAGAAGAGTTGAGGAGGAGGGTGGTCTGACCGGCGAATCTTCCCGCGGCGCCCCTGGCGGTGGTGCCGGAGGTATGCCCGACCTTTCATCCCTTGCTGGCATGTTCGGCGGCGGCGGTGCAGGTGGTGCAGGTGGTGCTGGCGGCCAGGGCGGCATGCCCGACTTTGCCAGTCTCATGCAGAACCCCATGATGCAGCAAATGGCTCAGAACCTCATGAAGGACCCCAACATGATGAACAACCTGATGAGCAACCCTCGCGTTAGAGAGATGGCTGAGAGATTCGGTGGTGGTGGTGCTGGCGGCGCTGGTGGCCAGGGCGGCATGCCCGACTTCTCCAGCTTGATGAACGACCCCAGCATTGCTGAGATGTGAGTAGAACTTCGAGCCCATCAGTCGAACCACATTACTGACAATATTCTCAGGGCAAAGAACTTCATGGGAGGTGCTGGTGGCGCTGGTGGCGCTGGCCGTGGTGGCAGATAAAAAAAACAGGGGTTATGGCATATTCATGAAAGCGAGCAATTGATTATACAGTGCGCGCTATGATAGACGCAAATGATACCAGTCCAGGCATGATTCTCATACGATGCATGCATGAGACACTCGGGGATGTGTAGTACAATAAGTTAATATACAAGAGGCGCAACAAAATCCTCCAACCAACGCCGTGCCGATCCTTTTGTGGCCATGAGAAATCTGTAAGGATGAAGAAGCCATATGCAGCAGCTCCAGGAGAAAGAAACGGAAGACATGACGAGATATGGCAATCAACCCAATCTTCTGGGCTTGGGACTTCTCGAACCACCAAACTTCAGTCTGGTTGCATCCTTGACCGAGCTGATCTTATTTCTGACCAAGTAGCCCTCTGAACCCAGAAGGGCCTTTGTGACAGCCTCTCTTCCCTTTCCGAAACCACGCAGCACAACTTCCAGACTGTGCAGGTCGCGCAGAAGACCACGTTCTTGAATTTGCTTCAGGACGAAAGCAGCGAGTTGATAACCAGCATCATAACTGCCGCGACCGGCCTTCTTGAAACCAATGTTACCAGCGGAGAGGGACATGAGAACGTCGACTTGCTTGCCAGGGTTTGCGGGATCTTTTCTCGGAGGTTGGGTGAAGGTGATGTGGGTGTTGTGCTTTGTCGCATAGACGTGCATGCGATGCGGTTGAGGAGGTCCGACGTCAAGGTCGACACCTGGGGGGCCACTGGACCTGTCACCCAAGCGACCGATCCAGTCGCCGAGTTCAAGTGCTCCTCCTCGCCTGGATGTTACAGGTGCGGCGGGAAGCGGTGTTGAAGAGATGGCGCGAGTGGAAGTTGACGACAGGATGGCGGAAGGGCGAGCGGCCAACCTGGCCAGTGGTCGGAAGACGTTCATGTCGAAAGTGTGATTGGCGACAGCGAAGGGATTGAATGGCTGGCAGAAGCTGTACTCGTATGCAGCACTCGAATCGGCAATCACGACCTGGAATTCTTTGGATTTGGCGGAGCGGAAGTCGGTGCTTGGCGGGCTTTTTTGAGCTTGCTCGAACATTCCCCCAGCGACAGCGGGCGGCGAGATCTTTCTGTGACTCTCTCGGTCTTTTGTCTGCCACAACCCATACACAACAGCATGAGCTCGTTAAGTCGACAAGTGCTCTCGCCTAGAGCTCCCACAAATGTCGCCCGCACTGCGTCTTTGTGCCATGGTCAAACGGCCACATACCGCCGGATATCCACACATGTCTTGAACCGCTCGCATGCCGCCAATTCGCCCTTGGTTGCCTCGGCCGCCTCTACACCCTCAAGACTGTCGTCGCCTTTCCTCCCTGCCTCTGTCGCCACCACTTTTGTGCGCTCCGTTTCCTTCAAAGAATTACAGGCTGAGCGCCGGCGTCAACGCGCTGCCCAAGGTTCTACCCCCAAGGAAGAGGCACCGAAGCCAGAGCCTGCTGCTCAGCAAGCAAAGGATGCAGAGCCAAAGGTTGAGCCTGCCCAAAAAGCAAAGAAGGCAGAGGAGCCTATGAGCGAAGCCGAGAGAATCTATCAAGCCACTACCCGCCGCGATGCCGGAGCCTACGTGCCTGATCCTGAGGATGATGCGCCCAAGAAAGAGAAGAAGGAAGGCGAAGAGGCCGATGGTGAAGCTGCTGAAGGCGAAGCTGAGGGTGCTGAAAAGAAGGAGAAGAAGGACAAGAAGCCCCCACCACCAAAGCACGGTAACAAGACCCCATGGCAGGTCTTCACCGAGACTCTGCAGACCGAGTTCAAGGAGAGCAAGGAGTGGAACGAAGGTACCAAGCAATTGTCTGGTAGCATCCACGACTTCACCGAGAACCCCAACGTGCAGAAGGCTCGCGCCGCTTACGAGAAGGGTACTGGTGCTATCTCGTCCGCTGCTGGAAGCACCATCAAGACTACCGCTGGGGCTATTGGCAAGAGTGCTGCCTGGACATGGGACACTAGTGTCGTCAAGGGTCTCAGAAAGGGTGCAGGTGTGGTCGGCTCGGGTCTCGAGAAGGCAACTCGCCCCGTGAGAGAGACTGAGGCTTACAAGAACGTCAAGGAGGTCATTGACGACGGCAGTTCCATGCGCTATGGTGGTTGGGTGGAGAAGGAGGAGCGCAGAAAGCGCAGAGAAGCAAGAGAAGCAAAAGATATTGCCGAGGGTCGCAGACCTGCTGAGCCTATGGTGGAAGATCCCAAGTAAGTGACTTTCCAGACGTACCTCAGTGAGCTTTACTAATTCCCTATTGCAGTGCCGGAGTCAACGTCACTGTCCACAAGGACGCAGCCTGGAAGGAGTCATGGCGCGAGTTCCGCGACAGCAGCAAGACTATGCAGCGCCTCTTTGCATTCAAGAACACCTATGCCGAGTCGGAGAACCCCTTGATCTCGACCGCCCGCAGCATCAGCGACCGCGTTGCTGGCTTCTTCGCTGAGAACGAGACAGCCAGAGTCATCAAGAAGTTCCGCGAGATCGATCCTAGCTTCCAGATGGAGCCTTGGTTGCAAGAGATGCGCGAGTACATTCTTCCTGAAGTTCTCGATGCCTACGTCAAGGGTGACACCGAGGTCCTGAAGCAGTGGTTGAGTGCCGCGCAGTACCAGGTTTACGCTGCTCTGATGCAGCAATACACACAACACGGTCTCGTTTCGGATGGTCGCATTCTGGATATTCGCAACGTCGAGGTCCTGAACGCACGCCTGCTCGAGCCTGGTGACATTCCTGTCTTCGTCATTATGTGCCGTACACAGGAGGTTCATGTGTACAAGAACAAGAAGACGGGTGTGCTCGCTTCTGGCATGGAAGACAAGGTTCAGCAAGTCACATACGCCATCGGAGTGACCAGACTTCCTGAGGATGTGCACAACCCCGAAACTCGCGGATGGAGACTGATCGAACTTCAAAAGAGCGCAAGAGAGTACATCTAAGCTCTCTTCGTAATCACTACCCTCTCATCTTTTCCTTCGCATAACGCACGACATTACCTTCAGCTTTTGCATATTCCTGGGTCGAGTCACATTTTCTGTACGAGCTCTTTGTCACGGCGTTGTTCCTGGATCACAATCTCCCATACTCAAAAGCGGTTTCTTGGGGAAAAGCTGTCGAATCTTGTTTCTGATCGAAGCAGAATATCCTCGTGTACTTTAGAGCATTTCTATGCCCCTACCCTGTATTATACATTTACGCTTCTGATGTATTCAAAGTTTTCCTTCGATGCCTTTTTAGCGCTCTGCTTAGACATGAAATGTACCGACTCGAAATCATAGACTGATCACAATACTCGTTTGGCACCAGTGCTGACAGGTTGGTTAATGTTCGGAGTTAAGTCCAGAGGGTAGGTGCAACCAAAGCAAACAGCTCGCTCGGGACCAGAAGCAGCCGAATCAATGACATCAAGCCTGTCAAAGGTTATCTCGCTTTCTGACGAGTCCATACCATAGCTTTGACAAGCAAGCGAAACGATTAACACGAAGAGCTGCGCCATGTTCCCGACGCCCTGAACAGCTCTCAGAACCATTCTTATCTGGAATTGTACAAATCAAACAAGGACATGACAAATGGCGGCCAGAAACACAAGTCGTCGGCGGGTAAGCTTCGAGTCATTGCCTGCAGTGTGCTTTGCATTTGGCACATTACCTTGCTTTAATATACACAGTGACTGATCATTCATCTGTAGCATTCCACTTCGCAGCCGGCTTGGGCTCCGGCGTGACGAGCGCTTTCCTCCTACAACCCGCCGACCTTCTCAAAACTCGCGTCCAACAATCCTCCAGCGCATCACTTTCCGTCGCCCTCAAGAGCATTCTCGCCGGCCCTTCTCCCTTACAACAACTATGGCGTGGCACAACACCATCTGTCATTCGAACAGGCGCAGGCTCGGCCCTCTACTTCGGCATGCTAAACCAATTGCGACGAGCAACTTCAACCACGACATTAGGAGCTGATGGGAAGTCAAAAACAAATCTAAGTAATACTGCAAATCTGGCTACGGGAGCCGCAGCAAGAGCATTGGCTGGCTTCGTCATGAGCCCAGTCACGGTCTTGAAAGTGAGGTACGAGAGCAGTCTTTATGCCTACACCTCACTATCCTCGGCCGCAAAAGACATCTTCAAGACAAATGGAGCTAAAGGCTTCTTCGCGGGCTTTGGTGCCACTGCTGTAAGAGATGCTCCGTATGCTGGCCTCTACGTCCTTTTCTACGAGCAAAGCAAGGCTTCATTATTCGGACACCTGGACATTGCCGCTCCATTGGCAAACTTTGGGTCTGGAGTCTTAGCTGCGGCCGCAGCGACGGCTGTCACGAATCCATTCGACGCTGTCAAAACACGGTTGCAGCTGCAGCCTGAGAAATACAGGAATGCAGTTAGTGCTGCAAAGAAGATGATAACAGAAGAAGGTGCCATGTGTTTGTTCGATGGATTGGGCATCAGAATGGCTAGGAAAGCCATCAGTTCTGCATTGGCCTGGACTGTATACGAAGAATTGATTCGCAGGGCCGAAAGTAAAATCGCTATGTAGAGCATACGACGATATCCCACTCTTCTCTCTACCAACTATTGTTGTGCGCGGATTAGTGCAATCGAATCTAACTTGCATCTGGTAAGCGCGAAAGTGGTCACTGCTACTCTCAAAGCCTCCTTGCAGGTATAAGCTCCGAAGTCGACAACTGCCAATCTCAAACTTCAATAATCCTCCAAAGTACCTTTCTGTATCACCTCTTTGAAAGAGTGCTCTACCGAACTACCATCTATCAACAACCTGCTCATCAAAAGCAGCGGGCAATCAACATGTTCTGTCTTCCACTAATCGAAAAGTCTCATCAACACTATGGGACCGCACATTCTTGTAGCCATGAACTGACATTGCTCATTTCAACGAACCACATCTTCATATACTCGCATGCCTTGTATATCTTAACAGGCAACAAGCTTTGTTGACAGAAACAATCTGCTGATCCAACTACCTCTACCCCACCAAGAGCCCCATGGCTTGAATAACTCATAACTTATCCTAGCGCCCCGTGTGTCAAAGTCTATGATTCCCAATTGAACCCATCACTTCGACTACGCAAAGAGCAGAGTATACTCTATGGAAAGACATAGGGAGGTAGTTCATCCTTTGAATACCATCTTGAACCTTGCCCCAGGAGTCAGGCGCCACCTCAACACAATTGGATTTATCATGCTGCAACATAAAGGATAGCAGACTGTGAGCAGGGTCTTTGACGGCCTTATCCACACAACGAATCTCCAAGAAACCTAGCTGAGTGTCAATTGAGCTCATTTCGCGCTTGCATGAGCTTCGGATTTTGCTCATCATCTTTTTTCACAAGTTGTCCCCAAGGGTCGTACTGCCGCCTGCATCTTTCTGTTTTTCATCTAGTCGTTCCTTCCATTGCTCAAGTAGTCGCTCCCTAATAGTGATGGTTGTATTTTCAGTGACGAGTAGTTGCAACTCTGACTTGACTCGCGATTTCAAGCCAAACAGAATCAGATCAGCCAGTACACATGACATGATCCGAGGAAGCAATGAAGTCGTCAATTACCAGAGGCTTACAGATAGTGTTGTCCGATCGTCGACGAAAGATCACGATGCTATGTGCCCAGGACGTCAGATGCTCCTTGCTGTCCAAAGCGCAAAATTTACGCTCTGTAATTGTTCACTTTTTGCGGTGCTTGACAGCAGTCGGACGTTCGAAAGTAAGGCCCTCATAACCAATCGGCATAAGATCGTCGCCAGCGTGCTTGAAAAAACATAACATGCAGTCGAACTGCTCCGTGTCAGTTATGGCTTCAGCAGATACAGGTTTTCTCTTCCACCACAGTTTCAAAGGTCGAAGGCGACGACAGGATGCGCAGTGCATTTCGACTTTTTCGTCAAAAAAGGTAGGTTGGTGTTTCCTCCATTCCAGATTTTGTTTGGGAAAGTTGCGTCGCAGCCATCCTATAAAACGGTGTTTGATGTACAACGCGTCGTCTCGTAGCCGCCTCTCTCGTAGGGCCTTGCGCATGTGCTCTCGGTCCCAAACAACTTTTGATGTCGCTCTAAGCAAGCGCTGGCGTTCTCTGGAAATCTTTCTTTTCTGCTCGGCAAAGTCGTGGTCTTGATACCTGATCAAGTGGTATTCTTCTCTCCTTTGCAAGATTTTGGTACGGAAATCTGCATCTTCTTCCATTCTCTTCTTGCATTGTTCGCGGTACTCTTGAAGATTTTTAAGCTTTGCAGCCCGGAATTTTGGGTCCTCCTCGAGCTTCTTCTTCGTCACTCGATGGTAGTATTCCCTAGCGTAGGCAAGACGTGCCGCGTCCGAGGCATCATGATGTGTGTCCTTGCCGTCTTTGGGTGCATCGAGGCCGGTTCGCGTGTAGGAAAACAATCGTATAGTCGTCCAGCTTCGAGTGGTCTGCCTGATAAACGGATCAAGCCTGGTCCAGAGGGACAACATTGTGACCCAGATTGAACTGTATCTCGCAGCAGGGGCAGAAAGTGCTTTCGAGGTTAGGCAGGTGCATACCACTGCCAAGACTCGACGTCGCGCTGAGCAAGGTCCCGAAGCAAATGATCGCTCTGACATTCAGATGCATCAATACATGAGCACTGTGTCTCGACGCCTAGCCATTCCGATCCAACAAAGAGAACGCCCTAATATCATGATTCTAACGTCCAGTCGACACAAAAGAAATCAGAATCGCGACCCATGTATTGCCAAACACTTGCTGTGACTTAGGTCAAATCATGCATTTCATCACCTATGTCCGCAGCCATCTCGCCCATGGAAGAAACGCAACAGCTTTCTGTACAGCCAGCGATATGAGTAGCAAAAAAACAAAACGTACAGCAGCAGGGATTCCCACGTGGTCACCCACCGTAGTACTAATCTGCCGTTCAACTGCTTATGTATGGCAGAGCGGACGGGATGCCCAGTTTTCAGCTGACTGTGGCCGTACGTACAAGTGTTATTGTTCTTCTACTACATAATGCTGCAATCGATAAAGATGATAGCACGGCCCGTCCTGTCTCGTCAAGTAGAGCTGAAGTCCATTCCTCTTCGACTTGTCTCAACACAATGTCTGATCCTTGTCAGCTTCTAGGCCATCGCGGAAGTCTCAACGTCCATCTCTCAAGTGCAAGCAAACAATGTCTGTTACTAATGTTGTTGATGGCGACTAGAGATATCAAAAGAATGCCCGTCGAGGCGAACTCCTTTTCCGCCGGTGTCCCGCATACCTTTGACATTACACCAACCTTGACTCGGTAGTCAGGTACAAACTCATGCGTTACAAAGACCACCTTCAGTATCTCGAGGGTATAGTCAGGAAAGACACCCTTGAGGGTGCTGGTTTGAATTGCAATTTACAGAAATTGCTAGCTAGACTTCATCTTGCATGAGGCTTAAGAAGCACTTTCCACGGAAAAGTCTGGCACTGTATAAGGAAACTTCGAACCCAGGGTAAGGATTGGATCTATCTGGATTGCAGGCGACGACAATCTAGAGAACTATAGCCTCCCAAGGCGAGTCTAGAGAAAGAATGGAGGGTATAACCTACACAAGAATCAGCAATTGTGCAAACGAAAGAGCACGGCACTTATCCTTACCAATGGCAAGGCCCATATACGGCGATGATAATCAGGTCGATCTCGCTTCGAGCTCTATGAGTTCTGGTCAACAGAAGATCTCGAACTACCGCTAGATATAGCACACCACTTCCCACATCAGATGCTTCGTGTGAGGTCGATGGTCTCATACATCGTTGGATGCAGTGCCACAGAATCAGGATTGTTGGTGGTAGCCCAACAAGGCCGACAAGGAGGGAGACGAGTGCAATAATGGTGTCAGTAGACATTGCCATTGTTTGGGTATGGTGTGAGTCGAGCTCAAAGAGGATCGTATGAATACAGTCGTTCTGGAGAGGAAACCGGGTTAAGTGAAGAAGCTGTAGATGCAACACGGTGTGACAGAGACACTTATATCGTCTGAGCATGGAAAGCACGTGTGACTGCGGCCCTACATAGGAATCTTGGCTGGTTGCTCGTCAGCCTGGAACTCCTGAGCATAGCATAGGGACCGACCAATCAAGTCATCTATCATTAAGAGCCTCACGGGAAAAAGAAGATGCAGCGGATTCGGTACCTGCGTCTGGGCATAGTCTTTAGGTCTCAACCAACGAGAAGCTATACTAATGATACTAGCTCATCCGATCTCCGGAGAGTAGGTTTTGATATGGTGCAATGACATCTACCTGAGCCCCAGTCGATCTCTAAAAACAACCAATAGACATGTAGACGATGCTAAAGACACGCCTCTGTGAGTTGAGCGCAGTTGCTTTACATCATCAAGACGATCTACATCGCTTCAAACGACACATATGTAAATAGAAAAGGCAAGAGTTGATCATTGCTGCTGGTTGCAAGAGATGTATCGTCTAAAGAAGAGAGGGAGAACATGCCGAACTATAGAAAAAGACTCGAACCCCAAAAAGCAGAACCCTTCATATGTCTTCTTACAGCTGCCCTCTCATGATCACTTCCACGATTGAACGCCCATATTCATACCAGCTACACTCTGGGACAGAGAATTCATAGCATCGTCAAACACACTCGTTGACTTGATAAAGGGAAGGCGGAAGGACTGAGGAGAACCTTGGGAGAACCCCCAGTTGTAGTTATGCGGTGCGTGAACGATGGGATGAGTGTTTACCTGCCCGCGATTGGGAGGAATCGTATGCGATGAGGCGGTTTGAGACCAATCAATCCAGTCAGGCGTACCATGACTGTCATAGTCTGTGTCCTTTGATTCTGATTTCTTATCATCGGCTGAGCTGGGCATTGAAATCGGTATCGTCGGCTTAGCCAGAAACGCGGGACTCTCGAAGGCAGAGTCTGACAATTCCACAACAGATTCCTTCAGCCGGTCTATTACAGCAGGCGCTGGTCTAGAGGATACTGGAAGTTCGGTCCACTGTTTGGGCAAAAGAGGTAATGCTAATTTCGTATCTTCGATGATGGGCTTTGCGATGGGCACAGCCGACTCGTCAAACATTGAATATGGTGAGTTGGCGATTGTCTTTGGCAAAGGTACCGACGAGCTCCATTGGTCAAGCATAGATGGCCGTGTATCGGTTGCGGCTTTCGAGCGCCTTTGGCTACACTCCTCCTTGTTCGTTCCAATTTTGGATATCGGAGTACAGATCATGCACATGTTTTTGTCTATAGCAGGGTGTAGAAGACAAATTTGGCAGCTCCAGCAGTGGTACTCAGCCTTTGTGCTATCATCGTCCCAGAATTTGCACATGGAACAATAGTAGTAGGCAGAGCGAATGCCACACCCTGTGCATGTGGGACCCGGGGGCTGAATCTTGGTGCAGAGCATACAACGCATCTTCTCTACCTTTTCAGGCTTGAGCCAAAACCGACAAAGTGACGAACAGTGGCAGAGTCCACATGGAGAAAATTGGAGGCAGTAAGGGCATTCCAGTTCGACATTTCTGCGGTGATGCTTGCATCCCAACTCGGTACGTTCAGTATCTCCAGTACACTTGAAGAACCGAATAGTATGGGGAAGAGGTCGTGAACCTGCACAGTAGCATCGAGTTAGTATTTTGCCTGCGTAAGGAAGTGCAAGGCATACATCGATATTGATTACGTTCCATTTGGTTCAGCCCGAACTCTCGTCTGCCTCTTGCAACTTGCCTGTGATCCAAAATCTGGGTATCCACCTGGACTGCGCATGTAAAGGGAATCTTCGCCTTCTCCAAATTCGATAGCGTGAAGTCAATATACTTCCAGACTTCCTTCTTGATGTTTTTGGCGGTCTCGCCGTTTTCGTTCTGCCTTCTCTTTCGAGAGCGTTTAGCAGGTGGCATGCTACACGTTTGTTAGCTTCTTCACCCCCCAATGTGTTCGTGATATGAATCGCGAACTTCAAGTCATCTCCCTCAGTATGGCCTTGCTGAGGGGGGCCACGTTTGGCCTGGACCTTCGTTGAAGACGGTTCCTCCGCTGAGGCTCTTGATGGCAAAGCTCTAGGTTGTCTAGGTATGGGCACTTTTGGCGGAATGATGCGATCTTGACAGTCAGTGCACATTCTGATGTTCCTGCCATGTGGGCATGTGGGATGTGATGTGTCTGGAGGCATGGCTTGTGATGTTAAGCTTTGATCGAGATAGAAGTAGAAAGTGCGTCTGTATATATATATCCCAGATTTCGAGCACTTGTTCGCTGTGAGGATCTGGTTATCTTTGGCAGTGGAGGACGAACACTTTATACCAACACACGGCTCAAGGTTGACGGCCGCCAAAACTACCTACAATTGTAGATACGGGTGTAGTGCGAGCAGGATAGTTTCGAGCCAATCACCATCACCGACCGCGCAGCCTCAGGGTCTTTCCACGCAAAGTGGTTAGCGTGCGGGCTGCAACTATTCGTTCTCGCGCTGGTCAAATGCTCAATTAGTCGACACTGTGGTTTCACAAGGGTGTAATCATGCGGACGAACCACCGAGCATAACTGTACTATAAATTGAGGATAACTTCCGAAGCTCGTTGCTTCGACGTCACTCGTTGACAGCGAGGGTAACGGCGATTGCAGACCTCGGGAAGCTGTACAACGCGAATTAGCATGGCATGCGAACAATAATTTCGCTTACCTCTTGCTTTCGAGGCAGTCTCCGGTATACGATCAAACAATATGAGTCGAAAATAAGGGGCGTCCACAAGCACGATTGAATGCGAGATCTTGTAGTGGCAGCGGCACGAACAACTAAGTGAGGACATTACCAGGCACGGCTCACATAGATTGTGAGCACCGTAGTTCGTGGCAGGACAGATACAGACTGATGGTTGTTGGCCAGGCTCTGCTAATGTGCGATTTGGCAGAACATAGAAGATACAGTTTGAGGACCACGGTCAATGGAAGGTTCTCTCAAAATGCACAATTCACAACTCGAAACATGAGACTGACCATGAAGATAGCCTTTGATAGCGCTCTGTGTTTGGAAGACAACATTTCTCACCGAAAGCATTGCGCATTTCTATAGCTACACTGTGATCGCCTTCAGCACACGGGGAGATATCTTATTGTCCCGATTATGAGGATGGTCATGGTAATACTGATATCGTTCATTGTATCTATCGTATCACTACCTTGATATGCCCGAGTTTCGGAAGCTCCATTACTCTGTTCTCTTGGCCTTGTTGGGCAGCCCATACCAACAGCCCACCATAACAACAAACAAGCCAATACAAATCGGATGCAAGACAAAAGTACCCACAGCCTGTGCCAACAATCCTGTCAAGAAAGGCGCAACCGCACCGCCACTGCTGCCAGCACTAGACACGAAGCTGATAGCCGTCATCTGAACATCCCTATCCATTAGCCTCGTAAAGATAGTTGTGGCACATGGATACACTGGTCCGAGCAGCAAGCCCAAAAGCGAGACAGCAACGGCCTCGCCTACAATGTTAGGGATAAGCCAGACCAGAAGCTGGAACGCAATGGACAAGACAGTGAGGATGTAGACGAAGCGCTTCTCGCCAATCCTGGGAGCGAGATGGGATAGCACAAATCTGCCTAGGGTAATGCCGCCCCAGAAGCCAGCAGTAACATAACCGACTTTTTTTGGGTCGCCGCCACGAGCTTCGATCAGGAAAGAGATGACCCAGCCAGACGTGCTGACTTCTGATCCTTGATAGGAAAAGATGAACAGCGCGGCGAACACGGTGACTTTGCTGTGGAGAGCTCGCTTCATTAGCTGCAGCTTGGTTGGCTGTATCTCACCAGCACCGAGAGGTACGCGGTTGCTCAACTTCAGGCTCGAGGGTTCCTTCTCGTAATTGTGGAAAGCCCAGCCGGTGAAGAAAAAGCAGACGACACGGAGCGCAAGCGTGATTGTGTAGAAACGCGACCATAAAATTCCTTTCGAGACAAGCGCGGTTGCTATGATTGGACCAACTACTCCTCCAAGGCCATAGCTGCCATGCGAGGCACCAAGAATGACGGTAGAGTTCGCAAGATTGGCGCAGAACACGTTGTTCAGTGCGAGATTCAAAGCTGCACCCAAGCCTAGAAGAAGGAAGCTTCAAAGGAGTCAGTTTTCTGTCTTGTTTCAATTGTGCCGTGTAACAACATGACTTACGCAACGACAACCACGGGGAACGGAGGTGTGCAAACCATGATCACGTATCCGGCAATCAACATGGCTTCTGATAGCATACACGCCTTAGCTCGACCCAGCTTCTCCAGTGTAAGATCTGTGAAAAAGGCAGCAGTGATGAAGCCAATGGCGTTTGTAATGAAGATCAGCGAGACGACCGCATAGCCGATGTGATACTGCTTCTCCATGTAGGGGATCAAAGCACCGGCAGCTAGTTCTCATGTCAGTTTGTATTCCCGAATGCCTCAAGACAACTCCAGCACTTCAGGTAACTCACAAGCATCATTCAAGCCATTACCAAAGTAAACCGTACAAACCGCAAGAACGCGATACTTATTCATATACGGAAAACTCCAACTCGGCACCACCTCAGCAGCTTGAGTAGGCGAAGGCGGCCGACTCATTTCAAGCTCGCTAGGTGTCGTCGTTGTCGGAACCTTTGCAGACGCTTGTGCAGCAGCAGCAGCTGTGGCGCCATTGGAAGACTGTGACTGCTGATTCTGTACCAGCTGGATATAGTCCTGAAGTTCAATAGCGGACTGGCGTTCTGCTGGCTCTTTTCTTCTAGCAGCAGGCGGCGATGTTAATTTGGGGGAGCTGGTCAGCTCAAGAGCAGCTCCGAATGTGTACGCAGACATGATGGCAAGTGATGGGAAACAAGCTGCTTCGAGAAGAAAGAGCGCATGTGAGTCTTTTCAAGTACTGCCCTATATCACATGAACAGAAAAGAAGCAACAAAAGAGCTTACAAATATACTCGTTAGGGCAAGTACGACCCTGATGGATACAAATTTCGTCGTTGCTCGATTTGAGCCAGCACAGCGACCTTAGCACCTGGAGTCTATTACCCGAACATGTACAAGCACGCATCACTCATACACAGATACACGGCACCGTCTGCGACTGCGGTTGGTGAAGCAAAGCAAGAAGTCGTTGAGTCACTGTATATGCTTCGGAGCCGCTGCCCCAATGGAGGTGCCCCGCACCAGACACCTCTGGAAAGCTATTTCCGTGAACAGAATCAGGAAGGTACAGCGAGTATCGTTAAAGCAGACAACGTACATGTGGCTGATGAGGTCTCCAATTGCTGACACACAAGTTGATTTAGGGCTTGTTTTGCATTACAATCATGGTCTGGTGATTGATAAGAAATGGTAGAAGCATTGGTTACGTACGAGCCTATTAAGCTACAGGTGGAAGCAAGTAATTCAAGCTGAACGAATCGCTAATGGCAATAGAAAAAGATCTATATGATACATGTTACTCGAGTTGTAAAGAAGACAAATATGACCATGTCCAGCATGACGGAAGAATACAGCACCAGCTCGCGGAACACTCGAAAAAGGTGGTGTGGAAGGAAGGGTCAACAAAATGTACCTCAAGCATCTCCATACATCCACTTCGAGATACTTTGCCGAAGAACAGAGGGTTCGGGCGTGGAGATTGCACTTCTGGCAAAGCTGAATAGCCCGCCAGAAGAAGCGTTGTTCGGTGTATACTTCTCCAAAGCCACAGCACTGACAAGACCCTCGAGCGCATCTTCAATGATCTTCTTGCTCTCATATTGTAGCTCAGTAAGACCTGATCCGCTGATTGAGCCAGAGCGACTGGGTGCACGGCTGTGCACAGAGTTGGTTCGAGAGTGAACGCGTGAACGCGTATCACTGGTGGCGAGCATTTGTTGCAAGAGGGTGACAACTGCAGGATCAGGCTTGCTGATCGTCTCTTCATCGAATTTCTCCGCGAGAGTCTGGCATTCTACGACTGCTGCTGCTTTGTCGCGTCGCTTCTCAACAAAGCTGGTCGGCAAGTCATTCACGCCGGGTTCATCAGGCTTGTTGGTAGAGACTTCTTTCCAGCCACTGATTTTGCCTTCCTTGTTGTGAATAGGCACTCTCTTTGTGGCTGTCACCACCGCCGTCGCTTCCTTAGCGGGGAAGCTGTTGGTCTTACGGTGTTCGATGAACGCAGATAAGTCATCGCCAACGACAATGGTGGTGGTTGGACGGTGGTCGAGAAGCGCAGATTGATCTTTGACCATCATAGGGGAATCGGCTCGACTTCCGTTAGTGCGCGAGGATTGGGAACCAGGGGAACTAGTTCCCGTGCCATCCATGTTTTTGGACAGGACGTTTCCAAGAGAGTCAACCGAATGACGGCCTGCGACATGGTTGTTGAGTCCACTCTCTCCATCGGGAAGGTCAGTCTTGACAATCCTCTTGTCGCGGAAGCCGGTCTTCTGTCCGTTGTCGTTTCGTTTGTATGTGCGTTGGATCGAATCCATATCGTCTGATTTGATGACCTTGATATGATTGTCCTGATCCGATCCACTGCCATTAGAAGAGCATGTTGACTGCCTTCGTCCATGTCCAGAAGCGGCGTGTCTCGGCAGGTTGGGCGAATCATCAGGCACAATCAACTTGTACCGAACACGTCTACGAAGAGTCAATTTCTTGACCGACATGGCCTCGGCATCCATTATAACAGTAGAGCAGACGTCAATCCATGTCTCTTGACTGAAAATTTTGAGATTCTCTGATGGCTCGACCATGGGCGATGGCTCAGCCCGCATCGCGCATTTGATCTCGCTGACAAGCTCAGCGTAAGGCCTGGTAGCTTGCAAAGCAAAGTCTGGATGGAATTTGCCGAGATATCCAGCGATTCTGTCATAGCGAGCGAGCCCATGCGCGTCATGGGGTTTCTTGTTTTCGCTACTTTCTTGTGCGACAGCCTTGTGGAGAGGGAAGTGATTCCTACCGCCTGGAACTTTGAACCTCGACACTTTGGGCGAAAGACTGCGTGTAGTGTTGGGGGAGGTCGAACATCCTGGAAAGTCAACATCGACGATGCCCTCATCCTGGTTGTAAGTATAGGCAATCCCAGCATATTCGGAGGTTGGTGGGTCGAATTGCAAAGCAGAGGTCCTGTGTGCCATGGTGATCGGTGATACGTGTGAGGTATTCTTCTTTCTTCTTGATGCGTGTGAATTATGGTCGGACTCTTCTACACCATGGGCCTCTTCAACCATGCGCACTAGCTTGTTCGAACTTTGACGGGCGGCAAAGCTTTTACTGGTCTTCAAGATACTTGCAGGCTGCTCGCGCTGGCCGCTGCTGGCGAAGCTATCACTTCTCTCAGTCAACGAGGATTCGCGACGAGGTCTGAGACTCCAAGTGCTGCTTCGGAAACTGTTCCACAGGCTCGTATTATCGGTGCTGCCGTTGCTCGTGGTCGTACTGCCTGCGCGTTGTAGGTGTCGCATCAGATCTCCCTGAGCGTTCAGACTACTACTGGGACGTGTCTCTGGGGAGCCTGAGGGTGTATTAAGGCTTGAAGTTGGCGCACTAATTGGCACGGCCATGGTCGCCTTGGCCAATATATCGATCTTACCCGAAGTACTGACGGTACTCGATTTTCGCGTGGACGATGCTGAGTTGTTCACGGACGGTGCCTTAGCTGGCGAAGTGCTAGGAGAGGCACTGACTAGAGGCTCGAAGATGGTCGGCGTACGAGGAGCCTCATTTACTCTATCTCCATTTGTCTGAGCTTTAGCGCTGTCAATGGCCAGGTCATGGTTCGGAGCATTCTCTGCGCTCTTCAGACCCTGCGTCAGTGCAGAGACTGATTTGTTGGAAGACGTCAGACTGCTCATAGAGGAGCGTCTGATGCCTTGGAATTGTGTTTCCGACGCCGGACAGGGGAACAGCTTCGCAAAGATGAACAATAAATTCCGAGCCTTGTTCTGGTCGATGCTCACGATCACAGTGCGACTTTGAGCCGCATCGAAGGTTGTTTGGGTCTTCTGGCGTTCTTCACGTAGACGGGCGTGATGCTGTGGAGGAGCAAATATGTTGAGCCAGCCGAGATCCACGGTCAAGGCTGCCGTTAAGGCAGCTTGCATGAAGTTGATTTTGTGCAAGTTGAAAAAGCCTCTCTTGGAATCAGCATCTTGCGAGACACGGGTATAGTCACGCAACTCGTCTCGCCAGATGCTCCAGTCACGTTGCGGTCCGGCCTGTAACACCTGGTAGCCACGCGTTATACGGTCCACAACCGCCGACGACATCTCGATGACTTGTGGAGTGTGTTCGAATGCACTGGGCTCGAGCTTGACCAAGCGAGGGACAGTAGGTGAAACAGCAACCTTTGAGCGTGCGAGAGCCTCGGCCTTTGCGCGAAGTCTTTGCTGAATGTGGATTAGAGCCGTCATTCTGAGAGCGTCCAGAGCTCTAGCATATATATGCCAGTCGTCGAGGATAGTCTGTATAGGATCGGTCTGATCCGGAAAATAGCTCTGCGATGAAGACGTGCCGCTTCTTGCGAGAGGTATGAGGATGGCTACACCAAACATGGGTGTGCTGAAACGCTTCTTTCGCGTGCAAGACTGCCGTGCTCCATGAACAGACGTCGGCTGTTGCAATTGCTCAGGAAGATCTTCGTCATGTATGTTGACCGCAAAGGTTGTGCACATGAGTAAAGCATCCTTCTTGCGCTTGATCGAGTTTTGAGAGCTAGGCCTGAGAGGAGAGCTCTCTTTTGCCGAGTAAGATCCGAATCCAGCACGTGGTGACTTTGGACGAAGGTCTTGCTTGTCATCTGGCGGTTGTCTTTGAACATGATGAAGTTTTGTGACAGGGCCTTTGTACCTCATCGGGGCTTTTCCAAACATACAATCTAACCACGAGTCCATCTCTTCTGCAGTGTTCTCAACGGGAGCATTGATGTCTTTGCGAGTGTCAGCAAGTGAGGCTGATGTAGATGTACGGCGGAATTGGGTGGAAGGAACGAAGGTCGAGTCGAGCCGAGGCATAGATGGGCGTGTCGGTGGAGAGCCATTGCGCTCTGGCACAACAGAAATGGTAGACCTATGTCCACGAGAGTGCTGAGTGCGTAGGAAGCCACTGCTGGTTGGGGATTGAGGCCCTGCAGAGGAGGAAGGCCTGAAAGAAAAACTCTTTGACGGGCTGTTCGAGTCTTCAGGTTTTTCTCTGTTGGTCATGCGGGACCATTGTGAGTCGAAGAGAAGTCGGTCGATTGAGACACCGGTGTCATCTTGTGCAATTATTATCCTAGGCTCATCGTCCAGCGAGAGCGGAAATGTGATGGTCGTGTCCTGATCGTACAGAGGCTCAGTTGGTGTTTGAGAAGTCTTTGTGCTCTTGTTGGCACGGTCATAGGACTCTCTAGGTGGGAAGAGGAGAGATAGACTACGTGTCGAGGGGGCGGGTGCTTCGTTGCGTTCAGGCTCTTGAGATTCTCCACGAGAACGCGAGAAGCGATGCATCTTGTTTGTGATGGCAATTTCTTGATCGACAAGGTGCTAGAGTTCAATTAAAGACGAGCATCTGAGGATCCAACCAGAATTTGATCGTTGACTGGAACTGGCGGGCGTAGAGGCACATGCTAGGCGACAGCGAGGTTGATGTCGCGTGATGGTTGTTGGGGAAGGGAAAGCCCAGACAAGACTGGTATACCCCAGGAAATTGTTGGCGTTGGCGACGGCCGTTGGTCTGGCTGACGGCTTGAGGAGAATGGGGTTGGGGGGTCCGAAGCTAGATGTAGAAACAAGAAACAACACTCTCAGTCTTCAGAGATAAGAGATGGTAAGGAGAAGGAACCCAGGCTTGAATTGACTTTAACCAATGCAACGATTTGAGCAGATCCTGTCGATATGTGGAGAGGATTGCAAAAGGGAGATCGCTCGCGTCGCGTTACTGCGTCGTGTTTATTTCTTTTCCTTAACCACTCCTCCTGCGCTTTGCGTCCCAGCTCCCCGGATGTGGCTTGACAGGGATGCCTCTTGATGCAGGATTGCGGTGTGCCTTCCTTTTGTCCAAACCGCCGACTGCTTGATCTCTGTACTTTCTGTTTGCTCCTTCCCTATGCAGCTACTTGTCGTTGAGCGCTGGATCTATGCAGCCGGCCTCGAATAGAAATCTCGTATCCTAAACGCAAACTCTGGCAGACGGGATGCTTAATCTAGCAACCAAATGTTTAACCGTCTTTGTGGGATTTTAGGCCGATCTTTGTTATCCGGCTGTTCGAGTTCCAACGATCCGATCAGTGATTTAGGTCGTCTTCGTTCGCGGCTGCCGATGTCGCTGACTCTGGGGAAGGTGACGTCGAGGGGTTGCTTTCCAACACCAAGGTTTCGCGGAACAGAGGAAGCATGCATGGAAGGACGTCGCTTTTCTCAAAACGAAACATGACAGATGCGCAAAGACTCCCGCACTCCGTCTCTTATCTTCCCCTGATCGCAAACTGCTGTTACGTCAAAGCTGGAAAAAGGCGCCGCCGAGGTAAGTAGGCATCAGCATCTTCAGACCGCAAGAATGCAGGGTCATACCTCTCAATCTTGCCGTGTGACGGGCACGTATCCCTCTCGCATGGCCACGCAGAACAGCACACCCATGCATGAGATTAGAGATTCGCTACAGACCTTTCGTATCCAAGGATGCTTCGCTTCCCCAAGCGCCCAAAAACAATTCGATCACATCCATATCTCCTCGGCCACGTTGCAGGCAAAAGAGTCACCTGCTCATCTTGCTGCTTCGCGCCCAGCTTATCCAGATATTCTTCCATTTTTGCGGGACAAGATTGGTTTGTACGACCAGCCTTGCTGCAAATTGCCGGTTTGATCTGCCTCCCAGATAATTTGCCAACTCTCCTTTGGCGTCAGACCCTGTATTTGCAAAGACGGGTTAAGCTCACCGCAAAAACAGGCAGGTATCTTGTGTCTCGAAATAGTCAGACGTGGTGTTACAGTGGCTGTTACCCACGATCAAGAGTTGTAAGCAGAAGCACCACCTTATCTGACATCAAGTACAGTACAGAATTCCTTACAGCCGGTCAAGTCTACGACTTGACTACAAGTACGCTCATGGGGACCGGAACCCCAGATCCTGTTCTCAGTAAACACATCTCCTCCCCTTCCAATCCTTCACCCCAATTCTCCGTCACCCATCTTGACAAGGAGGAGGAAGGAAGGGACGGGTCAAACAATTGCCGAGCCGAAGCCTCGATATTACTTGCTAACCGAACTCCTGGAGCCGAAACAAGATAAGTAGATCTCACGGCAGTCAAGTCGCCAATGAACTACGCTCCAGACATGCGAAGGAAGAGCTACTTCACGAGTCAAGTGTTTGTATCTCTGACATGTGAAAGATTTGATGAGGGAGTGCATGTGCTTCTGTGGTAGTTTAGTGTAGCAAACATTTCATGTGAGGCTTTCACATGCTCCATACGATTTGAGTAATAAGCCTATCGCACTTGATTGACTGGCAATCATTACTTTGATGCCTAGGAGTGAGATTGCCTAGCCACAAGCACAAATCCGCAACACCCCTTATTCCCCTCTTCCACGCAATATACTTCTTCGAAAATCCTGCAAACTCTCAGTTCAGATCACGATGACTCCCCGACTCGGCCAAAAAACTCTTGAACCCCTGCACGCTCGACCTCCTCGACTGACTCAACCCAATCCTCGGACTATGACTATGACTCCCCTCCACATAACTAGCATTCCTAAGACTAATACTCGGCGGCAATCCCAGATGCGGGATCGCACTGGTAGCCCCCAACACAGGCGTCTGTTTCGGCGTCTGTCTAGGAGTTAGATGCGGGCTAGGACTTGCAGTAGGCCTCAACGCATCTTCATAGAAAGCCCTCAGTTTTTCCGCATCCTTGCAAAAGGTTTCGAGCTTTTGTGCGACGACTTCGGGTTCTACGGATGCTTCGGTGAAGGAGTTTCTGGAGAGCACGCTTTGGGGTTCGCCGGGTTGCTTGAAGGCGCTGATAAAGGGAGAGGCATGTGGTGGCGGTGCCGGAGTCGAAAAGTTGCGCTTTTCGCGTCGGGCAGCTTCGTATTTTGAGACTTCGCGTGCAGCTCCTGAGCGATTGACGCAGAGCCTGTTGGCGGCAAGCATTAGATTGCCATCACCATCGATCTGGAGGAGTAGGCCGCCGGATCTGTGAATGAACTGTGTGTACTGGTAGTCTGGTTTGCCCCACGAATAGCTCACATCGACACCAGGGTCGAAAGTACTGGCTGCCTCGTAGTCGAGGACGAAATCAAATTTCCTGACCAGCGCTCTTTGGTATGGGTATGATTCTTCGTAGGCTGTTGTTCCTGCTTCCAGGTACTGCCTGGGTGTTCCCTTGGGAGGTTGTAATGCTAGCTTGATCATGTATGGTCTTCTGAAAGGATGCACGTTGAAGATGGCTTGACCTTCGGCGATAGGCAACTCAACCAGCTTCAATCCATAACGCTCAACGCTAGTTGCCCAAGACATCAGGGCATCCTCGACAAGCTTTGCCGTGACATTGATCCACTCGAGACGAATGTGGTAGCAGTTTTCAGGATTATGGATGCGGTCGTAATGCAATGTAATAATTTCGGGGCGGTATGACTTCTTGCGATGATCGACATCATATCGCAAACTGCGACTGAGCTCAAGCTTGGGTCTCTTGCTTGAGTCTATTTTTGGAATGCTTTTGTTCGACTCTTTGCTGTCGTTCGTATCAGAGCGAGAATGGTTGTTATCAGATGGTCCAATTGACGGCGACCGCATTTTGTCAACGGGTCCGATCCTCGGCGATTTTGTCTTGTCTATAGGCAAGAATTTTGGCGACGCCTTGGATCCTTCATGCAGTGGTGTTGGAGGGATTGATCGATTCGTCATACCGAACCATCCTGACTTGTTGTCTGGGTATGATGTGGTCCGATACTCAGGCGCGATCTGATAAAAGTAGTTTCCATCTCTAAATTGGTGCTTCTGCATTGCATGTGTAAACAAGCCTTTCTTCATGAGGGCGTTTCCAAGTTTAACTGCGTCTTCTCTCGTTTCGATGTCCTTGAAGTTGACGAGGAGGAAGCTAGTAAGATGATCACCTCGGAAGCATTTCCAGTGTGTTTTGAAGTGCCACCTGCGGTCAGCAACCGGTATGCCTTTTGGTGGATCTGCTTGCAGATGTTGTGCGAGCTTTTGCATGTCAAAATCATTAGTGTGATAGAGCTCGGATTCGGCAAACAGAGCATGACCTGGCTCATCTTGCGACAATGCTTCTGCTAAGACTGTTGCATGATTTCGCACAATGGTCGAAGGGTCATGCGTGTGGTACTCTATGGCCAACGGATTGGGATCTTTGCGCCTCTGCTGCAGGGATTGCTGGTGACGGCGTTCTTCCGGTGGGATGTAGCGATGTCTCTGCCATATTTGCGTGAGCTTCTGTATACCCTCCAAGCGAATCTCTTCTTCCGAGTTCTCGGATACGAAGCCTAGCTGTCCGCTTCTAATCTTGTGATCCACGGGAATCAGGACGAATCGAGCTCTCCAGAAGCGCATGTCCTGTGAACTATGCTCTTGCTTGTATCCCGCAAGGTAATGGTCGATTGCATTCCAGTTGTATGTTGGTCGCGGGTTCTTGAAGATGACAGATCGCATCTCGTAGCCTTTGCCAAGATAAGTGTGGATGTATGGGTGGTACGCCACTGTTGGGTCCACAGCGCCAGTGTAGTCAACTTCTGCCACGGGCTTTCTCCTGTACCTCCGCACCTCAATCTCGCCACTCTCGGTACAGACAAGTAGGTGAATATTATTCCCCACAGTCATCAATACTGTAGCACCATCTTCTGCCATATAGTTCTTGTCAAACACTTTGACCAAGGAAGCTGCTTTGGTACCAGCAAATTCCGTGGCCGCTGGGCCAACGACTATCTGAAAGCCGTGCGATAGTCTGCACGCAATGAGCTCTCTGATCAACGCTTCTCTAGTCTTGGGCGCTTCTGAGACCTCTTCATCATCCAGAGGTAAAATCTTGTAAGGTGACTCTGAGTACTCATTGCGCAACTGTTCGGCAGTAGGAAAGTACTCAGCAGTCAATGGCAGAGAAGCTGGTGAGCATAAAGATTTCCACTTCATCACAGAGGTGGGCACTGGCTTCGGAAAAATGTGCTGCCAACGACGAAACTGACTCGCTATGCTCATATTGTGCTTCTTCGGATTTGAGGGATTAAGCATTGTGAGCCACGGGGAGATGGCGGTCAGAGGTGACAGAACTCGATGGTAGTCGGCTTTGTCCGCAATAGTGTCGGGTGCAGAGTCGGACATGCTGGCAGTTTGGCGTCCAACCTTTGAGACGTCGCGGACTACGATGTCCTCAAGCATTTTCGTCGCGGGTGCACGATAAGTCTCTGCCTTCGTTGGCTCTTCGTCATCTTCTCTCTGCTCCGAAACCACCGAGTTGGATCTGATTGCGATTGGATTGCTACGTTGAGTCATGCTTGCTCTGTCCGAGTCTGCTCGATCACTAAGGTCGCTGATGTCGGTTCGTGCAAGGCTGGCCTGTGATGGCTTGCGCTGTAGCGTACTCAAAAGCTGTTGTGTCAAACTGGAGAACAGACCACCACCAGCAGTAGCTTTGGGAGCAATAGGTGTCGGAGGTGCTTCTGTTGTTGGAGTGCTATGTCCAGCACTTTCGTTGCTGACACTTATGCTAGCTGTCGATTTTGCGGCTCCTAGACCTCCAACCAAGCTGATCTGGCGTGGCATTGGAGCTCTTTTTGGTGTGGATTTCGTAGTACGAATCGATGGTGGTTTTGGCTGATCATTCTTGGGTGGTGGTACAGCACGTTTGGGTGGTGATCTAGTGGCAAGATAGCTAGCGTTTCGTGGGCTTTCTCCAGCTTTGAACTGATTAGGTGCAAAGCTGCCTCTTGACTTTGTGGGCGATGAGCTGAACCTTACAGTCGTGTCCAGACTGCCTCGAGAGGACTCGATCGGCGTCTGGTCCAAGATTGTCTTGACTGGAGGAGAGTCTTGCGTTCTGAAGGGGACTTGCTTGTCGTAAGCAGCCATCCAATCGATAAGTTCTTTACGGGTAGGCATATCCATGTTCGCATGTGTTTCGTCGTCGTTGTGTCGCGGCGAGCCGCCAATATACCCATGGAACGATCTTGTTGAGCCGTAGCTTCCTGGGAGCTCTTCATTTGGTGCAGGCTCGAGATAAAGACGTCCTTGGCGAGTCTTCTCGATGTTTGAATACCCAGGAAGCATCAATGGGATTGCAATATCGCTCATTTCGGTCTCCATTAGACCCATCATCTGCAGCTCGTACATTCGGCAGCTTGTAGTGAACGGGTCACTTTTCTTGGCGCCATTCTTTTTCTTGGAAGTCAGGCCGTATTGGGATCTGAGGTGCTCCTCGTCCGAGTGTCCCGTCCAGAACGACACATCAATCCAGTGTGGCAAAGCATAGCTCCACTGGACTCCAGATTCCATCAATGTGCCTGGGACTTCTTCTTTGTTGTGGCTACTGGCCCTCCGCATGAATCTGCCTGTGCTTCGGGGTGTGGCGGCCATGTGACTTTCCAAGTAGCCTGCCTGTCGAGGCGTGCTGCCGCCTTCGAACGTATAGATATCCGACACAACTGGAAGGCCAGGGAGTACATGAGGGCTCCTGTATCTAAACAAAGGGACAGAATGGAGAGGCATCCTAGCCAATGACACAAGATCAACACCCATGCCACTTGCAACAAGAGAGTCAGTTGTTAGTTTGAGCATATTGTAATCGACTTCGAATACGCCCGAGCCTGGAGTAACAATAACCAAGGAGATGCCTGTGTGTACAAGATCGCGATCAATGTAGTCCTTGGAAAATTGTGATGCAGCAAGGTTGATCGCTTCCAGTATATTACCTCGTGCCGCCGTAGTAGGTTGACCAGCGATCACAGATTCCGTCTCAGTACGGGCCTTTACTGATGCTAACGTTTCCGGAGGAGGACCATAAGCATCATGACCACCTACGACTGACACATTTTTCAGAAAGATTTTGAACTCTTTTTTGAGCTTGTAAAGAATGTCGACCCAGCGGCTGCTTGCTGCATCAGTTGTGACCACTCGGTAGTAATCTCGATATTCGCGTCCATTTCCAGGCGAGCGTCGTGGCATATCCGCGTCCTCGTCTCGGGGGATCAGCACACCTCGTTCATACTCCAGCCGAGTGAACATGATGATGCTGACAAGGTGATGCACATTGAGCCTTTGCCAACGCTTAAACAGATCAGGTAAGAAACCATTGATGACCTTGTTAAACATGATCTCACCGGACCCTTCCGCGTCAAAGTCCCACATCTCGCGAGACATCTGTACAAATATGATATACTTGGCAGACTCGCTGCGAAAGATGGGCTTGGTGGAGGACGAGAAGAAAGCCGAAGTCACCTTCTGCCCATCTACAAAGATATTCTTGACCGTGGCTTTGATGCTGCCGAGGAAGAGCAATTTTTGCCCTTTGTAGACAGACCTTTCGCTTAGTACTGCTACTGTTAGTCTCCACATATCTGAGCGCGCCAAATACTGGTCGCGGAACACAATCTCAACGTGAGATGCGGAGTGTACATCTTCGAATACCTGGAAAGGGATCAGTCATGGTCAAGTGCCTCTGGTGATTGGCCTGTGTTTACCGGAAGGACTATTGCCTGCATGTTGTTCCGGAAGCCAAAAGTTGACGCGGCATTACTATGAACAGAAATTTGAAGCCTAGGCTGTTTTCGTTTCTGCTCAGGAGTCATGTCGCGAGCCACAAATATCAGAGACTTTGCAGAATCTGCATGCTTTTCCATATCCGACACATGCTTGACCGACTTTTTGCTGCCATGACGAAGAGATGTCTTTCCTGGCGTGTTCTCGGGCCGTGTAGCACTCAGGGCTGGCGTGCTGATTGAGAAGTCATGGGTCGATATTCCATTTTTCAAGGCCGCAAGTTTATACAGAGAACCATCGTCAAGAGCCAAGCGATCCGAGTTGAAAACGACAGTCTCTTCCGAGAAACTATCATCGTGAATCCAGAGCAAGCAGAAGTGATGCTGCCCGGAGGACGGCATGATCATGGTTTGTAGCTAAATTCGGCTTGGCGCATATCATCTAGCCATGCGGATAACGAAACCTAGTCATCTCATCGAATATCAGAGCAAAGTTGAGTCGACTTCATGTCGTATTCAATACTGTTTGATGGATGTTTAATTGACAGAAGGTGCGTGGAGCACGCGATTGGAGGCTGTCAGTCAAACAAAGCAAACATCCAAAAGCTTGTACATAGGGTAACCCTGACTCTCTAACACCCCTTCCTTACGAGGCTACACATGAGCACTACGACCGACACCCTTTCAAACATGCAAATTTGGAGATGGATACAGGATGACCAAATTGTCTTGAGATATGTATTTGCCATCTACGACTTTGTTGGATGTTCTCAACGATTTGTATGTTTATTTGTGATAAATGGCCTAATCCTTGTTTATTGACAGATACTGCTCAGCAGACTGAGACTGTAACACCTGTCGGATCCAACCTATCGACACTCTATATTGCGATTCAAGGTGTCCAAAACCACTCTAGGCATCCAATGTAAGTTTATCTAGAAGGGTATCAATCTTGCCAAGGAGAATTTGGTAGTTGATAGCGTCTTGCGCGAACTCATCACCAGCGATCTCACCGTCCAGTGTGCGAATGACTAAGTTGTCGTGATCATGCAGATCTTGTGGTGGTGTTGTACCAGAGTGAACGTCGACGCCCTCGTCTTCTGCAAACATGACCTCGCTAGGATCAAAGACGTCCTTGCCAGGCAGTGCAGCAGGATCCAGTGTTTCTGTCTCATCTGTCATTTTCTCAAGGCCCGAGTCCTCCATTCTCAAACGGAATCTGTCAGACAAATAGTAGCGAATACTATAAGAAATTAGTAACTGTGCTTGTTGTACCAACCGTGTGGCGTATACTTACTCATCGATCAGTTCGACGGTATCAGTTTCTTGACGTCCCTGAATTCTCGAGGCACTCTCCTTGACCAGTTCCGCAAATTCTGGATCGTCGATGAAACGCTCTAATCGATAGGCAATAAATCGAGCACCAAACTCTTCGAGACGATGGACACGTGTGTCCCATCCGGCACGAATGACATCGTAAATATCGACTACGTCCTCGACCGCTGTTTCGCCACGAGGGTTCTCAGACTCAACAACAGAAGCACCGCCGTTACCGAGAGTGGATATAATAACGGCAGCACGCTGTTTCAGCTTCTCGATGAACAAGAGGTCAGCAGCGAAGAGAACATCGACCGCCACCTCTAGCGAGAAATCTGCCTTTTCTGTGTAGAGATACGTCAAAACGATCTCCAGGACTTGAGGTGAACAGTCGATTGGGATGATGTGTAGGTGCGGTGACTCCTGAGCCTCTCTGAAACTGGATGAGAACATGGCGCTGAAGAACTCGGATCGCAATAACATGGCTCGATGGGCAGGGAATAGTACGGACTTGCGTGGTGGGGCTGCTGTCGAGGCCTGCTCTGTCGAGAAGTGTCCAATTGGAATACCATTCAAGGGTCCCTCAGTATCGCGCACTTGCTTGTGCGACGACTGAGACTCTTCTGCTGCGTCTTCCTCTGGCTCGTCGGCTCTGAGCAGAACATCGGCAAAGATGGCATTGTCCCTGTCCCATTTGACTTGATCCGCCTTCTCAGTGTCGGTATGGACTTTGTGTCGTAACACATTCGCTTGGAACCAGATGGCGAACTGATCACGACCACGTGCCATCTCCTCTGTCCTGCGCTGCCTAGCCAAGCGCCTGTCGCCAGCATCAATGATGCTTTCAAACAGCGTGGGGACTTCAAGTTGTTTGCCCAGCTTGTCGATACCGGCAAGAATGGCCTTTTGCTCTTCCTCATCTTCGCTCAGCTCAGCAGATGCTTCTCCCAAGTACAAGTAACGAACGACAGAATTGAAGGACTGAGAAGGGATCTTCGGCGGCAGTTTCCAAGATGTGGTGTCCGGCTGATGGGCGAGCTTTTCGGCGAAGTAGGGAGAGCGAGCAGCAAGAATGAACTTGTGCAGGGCAAATTCGCGATCGTAAGTTGACACAGTGATATCGGCGGTCTTCGGGTCTGATCGTGAGAGCAAGGATGTGGTATGGGCAGCAAGTGGTTGCAATGGATCGGTCGACTTGGAATAGTCATACTGCAGTAGCAGATTACGGATGCGGTCGTTCAAGGCATTGTACAGACAGCGTTCACCTTGGAAGGTATCACGCTCGCACAGGGCGCCGGACTCGAGAAGGTGTTGGCAGACCTCGTAGTGGCCGCACAAACTGGCCTGTCGGTCAAGCCGATTAGTCGTCGGTGTCGAGGTCGGTCTGTGCAGCGGCTTGGTTCACGACATACCAGGATCAAGGGAGTGTAATCATATCTGTCTCTTGCGTTGATGTTGACACCAGCCGAGATCTGTTCCTGGCACACTTTCAAGTCACCCCTGAGCGCGCGTTAGTTTATGAACAAACACTAACCGGCATAACAGGAGATTTACCTTCTGCATGCTTCACAGAATATACGAAAGGCCTCGCTAGTATCGAGCGGATTGTCCTCTTTCAGGTGGCCGCTGTTGATTTGCTGCTTTTCAGCATGCAATGCGGCTTCAAGCTCATGCTTCTTGATGACCATGGCGACTGGAGTGATTTCACGCGACTCGGACTCGACCACAGACCATGGCGTCTCTGCCTTGGAAAGAAGTATATTTTCTTTTGGACGATGCCATCAGCAAGCGTGTATACGGGTGGCGGCGCCCCACTATGCAACGCGGAATGACGATGAGCAGCAAGCAGGACCCTGACAGCAGCAAGCCCGACACAGCACGAGCCTCGCAGGCCAAGTTCGGCAGCGTTGCCCGGTGGATGTTAGTTTGCAAACACGACCAGAAAGCCTCGTCTTTTGTCCCATGCCTTCCCGCTGCTGCTGCTGATCAAGGCTCGCTCAGCTCTCAGCTCTCTGTTCTCCCACATTGCTTCCCACTCTTCCAACTTCGACTGCCACTGGCCATGTTTAGCGCCTAGTCTTCTTGGTCATTTCTCATTCGTCGCTCTGTCGCTTCCACTGCATCTTCTGTTGATTCCTACACAACATCCCTCATCCACCTAGCACAATGGCCGAAACCGAGGCCGAGAAGTACGAAGTCCTGACCAAGATTGGTATGCCATCCTAAACACCAAATAAACTTCTGCACCATGCTGACACACCACAGGTCAAGGGTCATTCGGCATCATCAGAAAGGTCCGCAGGAAGAACGACGGCCTTGTATGTCCTACCACATCCTCCTCTCCCATACCTCACTGCTGACTCACCCAAAAGATTCTTTGCCGCAAAGAAATATGTTACACCCGCATGTCACAGAAGGAGCGCGAGCAGCTCTCGGCCGAACTCGACATCCTACGAGGCCTTCGCCATCCCAACATCGTCGCCTACTACGAGAAGGAGCACCTGAAGGCTTCGCATGACCTTCACCTTTACATGGAATACTGCGGCAATGGTGACTTGGGAATGATGATTAAGGATCTCAAGGCTCGCAACGAATACGCCGACGAGGAATTTGTTTGGACCATCTTTGCACAACTCGTCAGCGCTCTATACCGCTGCCACTACGGCGAGGATCCACCAGATGTCAACAGCAACGCCCTTGGCCTGACCAAGAACGCCCTCCCACTTAAGAGCAAGCAGGCACACAAGATGATTCTTCACCGTGACCTGAAGCCAGAAAATGGTACGTCTTGTGTTTCTTATCTCCTTGTTCATAAAACAGCTAACGCTCTTCTCAGTCTTCCTCGGTGAAGGCAACGCAGTCAAGCTCGGTGACTTCGGTCTCTCAAAGATCATTCTTTCGCACGACTTCGCCTCTACATACGTCGGCACTCCCTTCTACATGTCGCCCGAAATTTGCGCCGCCGAACGCTACTCTCTATATTCCGACATCTGGTCACTCGGCTGTATCGTTTACGAGCTCTGCACGAGAGAGCCTCCATTCAACGCCCGCACACATCTCGAACTCATCCAAAAGATCAAACTTGGCAAGGTTGCTCCGCTGCCACGCATATACTCGAAGGAGCTCTCAGATGTCATCTCTGCGTGTCTTCAGGTCAACCCCAACTCAAGACCTGACACAGCCAGTCTCCTGAACCTGCCGAGAGTCAAGCTCGTACGAAAGACACAAGAAGGCGTCATGATTCTACAACAACATATTACCGCAAAAGAAAACGCCATCGCCGCCTTGAAGGCCGCGCAAGAGAAGATTGCACGATTGGAAGCCGAGAAACAAACCATGCACGATCAAATCGACAAACAGCTCAGGCTGGAGTGGGAGACAAAGGCTCATCTTGAAATCAACCGACAGATGGATGTGGCGGGAGAAAGATTGAGGGAGCACTACAGACAACTCTTCGAGCAGCAAGTTGAGGAAGAAGTCGAGAGAAGACTTGCTTCGCTGCCATCCTCTCGCACCAGCTCGACCAACTCGGCCTCAGACAACATTGAGCCACCGAAGCGCTCCTCAACTCCCACACAAGAGGAACCCTCTTCACTCGTCACCATAGGAGAGGCCGATGAGGAAGGTCCTAGTCTCAACGCCCTATCGTTGGAAGACTCACCACTTATTCAGAGACACAAGCCTCTGAGATCATCTAACAGAACACCCTTCACACGCGCAAAGACTTTTGCCGGCACAAACGAGGTCGCTCCCAGCCCCATGGATATTCAGATGGTTGACCCTAGCCCAATGAGCATCGCTTCGCTCTCCTTGTCACCGCGTAGGAACGCACCTCTTGAAGGAAGCAAGCTTAGACAGCCTGCGTTCAAGGGACCCAACATGTTTGATCGTGCTACTCGCGAGACTAACCTCGCTCTCTTCCCCGAGGACAACGAGGATGAGGAATCTTTTGGCTCAGACGGTGGTTCGCCCATCAGATCAAGACCCAACAGCAGAGAGAACGATCCCTTCAAGGTCTTGGCTCAGCCCTCGAGACCTGGCGTTTCAAGACAAAAGACTATGCCCACTCAACTCCAATCACGCTTGAAGGCAGTACCTAATCTGGCCCCCAGCACTAGACGTGCCGCAGCATCACCTAACCGCTCTCCTATGAACAAGGGTCAAACCATCAGTCCTAGCAGAAGAGCACCCGCCATTCCATCTCAGCCTTCTAAGACCGCGCTGGCCACTAAGAAGGGCGCAAAGAGCGAAGACATGATCAAGACTGTTCACCGCAACAACCTGCAACAAGGCATCCAAGGCCGCACTCTGGTGGAGCTGGCACAAGCTAGAGGCATCGCCAGCCCTTCATCGAGTATCGAAGTGCCCAAGGTGTCGACAAAGGCAACTCTGGACAAAGAGCCTCTGTGGGATCCCGAACGTGATGAGATGCCTTCGCCTTTCCTGATCAAGACTCGCAGAGTTGGAATCATGCCTCGATGAGCGATTGCATCTTCTTGTTTCTGAAATTGTGGATAACGAAAAACTAGTGATACCAATTGTTTCGTTTGTTCGTTCAACGGGGTCTGGAACCGGTTTGGCGGCATAATATTGGGCATTGACATGGAGTTATGAACATCTCCTGGATCTTTTGTCTGCTTGGACTTTTTTCTTCGGAGTTTTGGTTCTCATGATGGTGTATCTGGTTTTGGGTTTTCTCATGGATGGAACTGGAAAGAGGCAGGCACGACAGCCTTTGATCTCTTTGGTTTTCTCCCCTTTCTCTATCTCTCTCCAACACACAATCGAGGCAAGACAGCCGTAGCATACGCACTTGCTCATTTCGTACTCATTTTCGTATCAAAGATTCTCATTTCAAAACATCGATTCATTTCATATGGTGCTAGTCTGTCTTTGCAATCTTCATGGCTTGGAGGAAAAGGTCGGCAGTGTTGGCGTCAATCTTCTTGAGTGCTTCTGCAATGTCGCCTAGGCCTTCGACCTCGAGCACACCATCACCAGGACCGCAGATACGCTTGTCAGCTGTTTCCTCGCCTCTGACTTGTAAGGCTTGCCAGCGCAGCTGTTTCAAGCGACGAACGAACTCGTCCACTTGGTCTTCATCGCCCTCGACAAAGATACTGCCGGGATGACCTGGACGACTGAAACCACTTAACGACAACTCCTTAGACCAAGCTTGGATATCTTTCCGTTTCGAGGTGGCTAGCAGATGGTGTGACCATATGACCACTCGCTTGATCTTCGAAGTGTGTTGCCGTTGATTACCCTCCTGGTCTTGATGTTGGTCTGTACGTGACTTGACTTCTGTCAACTCGGGAAGATAGTCGGTGAATAACGTCACAATCAAATCGAGCATCTCCATGCCTGTCTCTTGCTCCTCGACCACTTCTGCCAACTTTGCTCTTGCGCGTTTGCGAGTCGAGGTATCGACGTCACCGCCACAAGATAAATACACATGCGGTTTTTGGGTATCGGGATAGGTGTCTGGAAGAGAAAACTCGAGGGCATAACTGGCTGTATTTGTTGAAAATCAGCCAGGGGTTTGTTGGTGCAGGATATAGGTGGGTGTACGGTGGATGGACAAGCTAAAGTTTGGGTCGGTGGTTATGGTTGTCGGAGTTTCGAGATCGGGGGGTGGTGTTGTGCGCCAGGAGAACTCGGAGGGGTACATCGTTGTGAGGAGAGTTAGCTCTGCGGCTTGTCGTTCGCGGTTGCCTTCCATTATTTGATTGAGGTTTTGTGAGGATTGTGGTGTGCAAGAACAATGATAGATGGATGATGGAATAGTTAGTGCCAAGACTTGATGGTAGAAGCTCGGGCCTGGTGTTGGTTGGTTGCGGAGGTGACGCTTTTCCAACAGCGCGCATGTGAGAAAGTATCGACTGTTTTTATCACTTTGTCATTCACCTTTACACCACAGTTGCGTCTCAGTCACGACAGGAGAAGCTTTGGAGTCTACATCTGCGCCGCTATCGTTCTCGTTAATCACTTTTCTCGGCCCCAAATCACGTCTTCAACACAGCCATGAACTCGATGCGCGGGGGTATGCAAGTCCATGCTGTGCCCGAGAGTGAAAGAGCACTCGATGCATCTGGCAGACGTCTACCCTGGGGCTATGAGTTTGCCGAGTACGTCCAAGTCGACCTCGTACCCTAAATTAAACTAACTCTTCACAGCGCAGAGATAGGCCGCAGACGAGAACCCGAAGAAAAAGGCCCATTTGGACGCTCAGTACGCCGTCGTGGTTTCTCACGCAGCAAGACAGCAACACCAGCACGCAAAGAAGATGTCGTGCGACAAGAAAACATGCAGACCGAGGACTTCATCTTTGCTAAGTACAAGGACGAGCTCAAGGCAAAAGATCCAGTACAACCTACACAGAAGCCCTCCGAAGCTGCTGCATCACAAGTAGCTGCGGATGCTGCTTCAGCAAAGGAAGCTACTGAGGTTATCCTGTACGGCTTTGGCACAGACTCGCAATGGGCTGCTATCGAGTACTACGAACGCATCTCCAACGGCATCGTCTACGAGGACTACGATCGCCATCCGCCTCACCAACGCTACGACCACAGCTTGACATACAGCCGCGCAAAGCTAGCCCAACGCTCCCTTTCACAAGCCGCTCTTCGCAAACGCAACGCCTACCGTGGAGGAGATCACTGGATCAAAGTCACCTTCGACAGTCCCGAAGCCGCAGACCTGGCTTGTCACTGCTCTCCTCACCCCATCCACGGCTTCCTCGTCTATGCAGAGCCCTTCCGTGGTACTGGTCCTCCCAACGATGCTCCAATCCCATACTCAAATGCCGGCGCTCAAATCGACGGTCCAGCTCTCCCTCCCACCTTCAGCACTCGCGATACTCTAACACCAAGTGACTCGTCCAACACAATGTCCTCAGCAACAATAACCGCCCAACCTACCTCCTCTACAGCCCTCGCACCCACAACATCAACAACCACAACCTCCCTCTCGGCCCCCACACCCGCCCAAAACCGTCCCATGCGCATCCCAGGCGCCACGCGCGCTGTCCTGAAGCCCGCAGACATGGCCTTTGCCGAACCTTCAAAATCCGTATCTTCGTCATTGGCAACCTGGCCTGTGGTCAATCTGTTCGTCGGTACCAAGGGCGATGTGATAGGATCTGCCGTCCCTCGTACTGACGATGGAAACTTTGATTGGAAGAATGCAAGTCTTTACTGGCTCATTTTTGCTTGGTTGGATTATTGGTTAGGCACTGATATGTGTGGTTTAAGAGGAGATGATTAGAACCCCAAGAACAGGATGGGTTCTGTCTGTCTATTATGTGGATTGCTGGAAATAATGGGGGGAATGGGAGGTTTAGCATAGCGTTTGGCGTTTTTCCTGATACGGAGGAGTGTTTGCAAGGAAGGGGACGACAAGATAGAAGAGTAAAAGACACAGTCTCTTCAACGATACCCTTTCAAATCACATTTACGCTTTTCCTCAAGGGCAGGTGCTTTGGATACTTTGTTAGCAACGTATGTGCTTCAAGAGCACTCAGAGCATAATAGATGTTGGAGCGACACGCAACTTAGCAAGGAAGGCCCAGGGAGTCAAGGGCAGGAAGAACGATCAGTGATTTCATTGGTTGCTATTAAACATTAAAGCTACTCTTTTTCTCTGTCTGTCTCATTCTCATTCTCCTTTGACAAAGCCCAGTCTAGGTCATCTCCAACAGATTCCTTTACTTTCCTGGTCGCTTGCATCTTCAAAAGGAAGAAAGATGCTGGAGAAGAGACAGATTGTCGACCGAAACATTCTCCGTGCAAAGACGGAGGGAAGAGCTGGCTGTCTGCGATGAAGATGGGGAAGAAAGGAGGCATTAGCCATTGTCCATTATGCATTAGGTATTAGACATTGTCGATCGGCAGCCCATTGCGCCAGTCAGCCTCATATCACCCGCGACTAATAGAAGAATGGAAGGAGTGATAAACCAGGAAAAAGATGAGAACTCCAGAAGAAAACGCGATGTGGGTATCATGGAAAAGCAGCAGCGATATGCAAGAAAAGCAACAAAGAAAGCTGAAAGGGCTGCTGCCGCAGTTCCAGGAGCAAAGGGAGGCAGGGAGTTGAGGTCCATGCTGAGGTGTTTATCGTCGTGGAGACGGTGAATAAAATTCTCCAAATGCAGAGTTGCTAAGAACAACGCCCAAGCTACCTAGTCGAGGACGTAAAAGGCATGGCATGAGCTGAATCCATGCATAGGGGCAACATGATCCCAGCTAAAGTTCGCAGGGCGGCCTCCGCCATTTTTCTCAATCTTGTCGAGGAGCGTAGAAACATAGTTGTGGTTTTCGTGATACGGTTGTGGAGGTAGACGAAGACCAAGAGCCTGGCACGGAGATTGAGCGCGAGGAGATGGCGGCTTTGGGACACGACGATGTTGCCGGTGGTCCAGAAGAACTTTGGCCGTCTGATGAGAGCGAAGAAGTTGTGGTTGCGGTTTGCGGCTCTGAAGAGGTGGAGGTCTGCTAGTATCTTGCCCTCGAGGATGAGAAGTAAAGTCAGGATGCTCTGATTGCCGCTGTGGGAGGTGTGTACCAGCATGAGGAAGTCGATTCTGCCTGACTTGAAGAGGACTCGGGGCTAGACGCTTTGATGATGATAGAGGCGAGAGTCGTGCAGAATGCTGCGGCAAACGATCGCTTATCTTCACAGTTTCAGCAAGCTTGTTCAAGTTGACAAGGGTTGCAACACTACCAAGAGATGCCATGTCCTTAGTCCCATCAGCACAAACGGTTGAGCTCGTAGCACTGTCAATCTTCGTAGTCTCGCGACTCATCTGTCCTTCACCCTCATCCTCACTATCAGACACAACAGCGCCTGATGAGCTGGAGCCCGAGAAGAAGACAGAAGGACGTGCAGGAACTGGCATTCTTTTGTGTTGTTGCTGCTCATCTGGTTTGCGTAGCTTCTCCTGTACAGTTCCCTGAGATTGCGAAGAGGACGGACCAGAGAACAAAGCTGTAAGATGCGATACATTTCGTTGATGCAAGATTTCTTGTTTGCGAAAGCAGACCGGGACCCTTGCACCTTTTGTATTCCTGACGCTTGCCCTGAATGGCTCTTTGCGAGGTTCTTGCTTAGGTGTCGTGTGTTTGACATCACATGCTGAATCGCATCTGGGATGAGCAGTGTCTGTAGGAGAAAAGGTTATGGACGAGATGTCAAAGCCATGTTGGATAATGCAACCATCTTCAGTGATACTGATGCCATTGTCATCCTGTCCCTCGTCTGAGCCAGTGGGATCAGCATCTTGAGTCTCGGTTTTCTCCAGCCCAGTTGTAGATCGTGTGCTGCGCAGAGTCTCTTGACGGGGTGATTCGGGATAGGGCTGTTCGTCGCGGACGGCACAATCATTTGCGATGCGCACAGCGGTATCCCGTATCGCAATAATATCGTCATACGTCAAATTCTGTCGATGCAGTGTTGGATGCCGGCGAGGCGCGAAGCTGTTATTGTTTCGATTGTTATTAGAATCGTCATTCGAGAAGTCTTGGCCTGTGTGAACGTCCAAAGGATCCGAAGACAACACATGAGGCTGATGGGCTCGAGGCTCAAGTTTCGGCCTGAGATCAGCCCTGATTCGCTCAGCTCGGTGCCGGAGCTCATCCTCGTTGTATTGAAACGGGCATCGCTTGATTCTCTGAGGAATGTGCGCGGTTTCGTTCAGCGATTGAGGAGTCTGGAATCGAACATTCTTGTGTTGTGGAGAGTGTTGCGGTTGTGAATTAGGCGCACTGCTTGGTGTAGTACGCGGTGTGGGAGGGAAGCAATTGCCACGGTTCTGGTAGTTGTTGCAACTTCTTTCGAGCTCTTTTCGACATTTCTCCAAATTATATCTTCGAGCCGGTCCTGGTTATTGTGTTGGCATGAGTCGCGTTGGTTGGAACCTTGAAGACTCACCTTTGCCAGCAATCTTTTCGTAGACGTAGTCCATCTGGCAACCTCGAGATTACTCAACGATGATTTCGTGCAAAGAGACAAGAAGGGTCGTGGTTCTTTTTGCCAGATGGGTATACGATTGGACGCGTCGAAGTGATGTGATATTCAATGTGCGCGGCCGCCAATTGCGACAGAATGTGATGGTGAAGCGACTGCGCGTTGGTGCTGTAGATGAACGCGACAGCAATGTAGGCGAGCCGAAGGGATGCTTTGAGGAAAGATGTGAAGTAGATGCTGTCCAGAAAACATACGAGGTATCGCTAGGCTCTTCAAGCGACTGTTAACTGGAATTTTAGACGCGATGCAGGACTTGAAAGATGCATTGACTTGTGTTTGTTATGCGTTGCGAGCTCCTTCGCGCTTGCCGAGTCGATTTTCCGATCTTCTGATGACCAAAAGAAATACACGGAATAAGGATCTTGAGTGCGAGCGAGATATGTGAAGGAAAAGGAAAATGGGACGAGGTAGTGATAGGAAAAGACAGGTGAACAGTGCTGGAAGAATATAATATCTGTGTGTGATGTCTTCTCAGGAGTGAAGGGAAAGCATTTCCAGGCCCAGCTCTTTCTCACTTCGGATAACACCCAGATTCAGCCAAACTTGGCCCTCGAAACGCACGCATTTTGCATCGGTTCTTTTGCATCACTTACGATACACCGACTTCCCAATCACTTCTTACCGATGTCAGCCTGGCTAGAGCCCAGAACTGCTGCTGTTATTGATGCACCAAGTAGACCGCATATCGCCCATCTCACTACAGAACGTGTTTCCTTTACCTTGTTCGAAGAGCAGTGAATACCCAGATTCAATGAAATCAACATGTCGCGTTTATGTTTTGTCATGCGTCGCAAGGGAGAATCTTGGTCAAGCTGAAGGAGAGGTCCAGGATGGTTTCTTGCAAACGCCGCAAAGTCCGACGTGGATTCACCACGAGCGTTAGTCACACCAAGCAGACATAGAGTAGTAAACATCTCCTTCAAACTTTCACGACTCACGAACTCATCAAACCATTAACAAAACCTCAAAATGCGTCCGGACGGCCCTCGTGATACCATCGTCGGTCCCGACAGCGGCCCTGAGCCACCATTCCCTCTCAAGTTGAACGGCGAAGTTGTCAAAGGCTTTGGCCGCGGCAGTAAAGAGGTTAGTAGAGCGCCATTTCTGACAACCACAAGAACATAAGTTTTTTGGCCTCCTTCAATTCTCACAACACAAGAAAGAGAGCCAACACAAAGACAAAACACAAAACAAGACTCAATACTGACAACCATTTCTAGCTCGGCATCCCTACAGCCAACATCCCCCTCTCAGGCCTCACAATCGGTGGCCACGAAAAAATCGAGTCTGGCGTCTACTACGGCTACTGCTCTCTTTCCTCCACCTCCACCATCTACCCTCAAGTCATGTCCATCGGCTGGAACCCATTCTACAAAAACACAGTCCGCAGTGTCGAAGTCCATGTCCTCGAGAAGTTCGATGCTGATTTCTATGGTGCCCATATGAATCTTGTGATATTGGGATTCATAAGGCCGGAATATGATTACGTGAGTAAGGAGAGTTTGATTGAGGATATTGAGTTTGATGTGGGTGTTGCGAGGAGGTGTTTGGAGAGGGAGGGGTATGCTAAGTTCAAGGAGGATCCTTATTTGTTGGAGTTTGAGGGAAAGGGCAAGGTTGCTAGTTGAGAGGTGGATGGTGGAATGATGGAGAGGGAAGTGTAGAGGACGAGCTCGGCATAAAGATCGGCATTGGATGCTATCATGACAATACACGATAGATGCTGGCGAAAGAAAGTGAAGAATTTCAAGCATAAAAGATACGTTTACAATTGCTATCGACTTGTAAGGTGAACAGCCCACCGAGCTTGTACAGCTAATCCGATTCCTAATACAGGTCCTTTCCCTAGCACCGAGCCCATCCCACCAAGCCATGTATCGAGTCCTATGAGTTATCCAGCCAACGCCACGCTAAATCACAAAAGAAGCCATGAAGAAACACAAAAACTCTTCGCCCCAATGAGCCAGTCTAGCTCAAGTCCATCTCGTCATCTGCTGTGGATTGATGCTGCCCAGAACCACCAGCTGCACCACCAGTCTCATCTATGAGATTCATGAAGATATTATCATACTCATCGTCATCGCTACCGAAAGCTGACGAACGATCATCGTATGCTTCTTGACTGTTCGACTGCTGGTTTTGACGTTGTTCATCTTCTTGCATTAAAGCGACCAAGGCTTCCAGCTCTTCATTTTCTTGTTGTAGAATAGCATCGGCTTCGGGGTCTAGAGGATAGTCGAATCGCGATTGTGGATCCCATGCCGTCTGGCTGTTGTATGTTGGCAGGTCGTACTCAGAGGCTTCTTCTGCTTCTGCAAAGTCGGGATGTAGTTGTGGTGCGGATCGTACTTGTTCGGCTTCCCATCGTCGCTTCTCTTTCAGGTAGTCGAGTCTGGCCATCTAAAGGAAGTCAGCACAAAAGTTGACACTGGTGTGCTATCGGGATCATACGTCGTCTATCCTCGAGTCCCACTTATTGTCATCGCGAGACTGACGGACTTTGCGCAAGAACATGTCCCTCCGGCGTTCGCGCAATGCATCGGAGCGTGGTATAGGGGCTGTTTTCACCGGCCGAGACGAGAAGGGTACATGCGATTGCTGATTCTGTGCTTGCTGGGGTGCTGAGGTGGCCATTGATGTGTCGAAGGACCAAAAGGAAGTAGATGGACTTTTGACATTTGCACGTCGAGGAGAGAGTGGCGACGGCACGCTGGGCAAGAATTTGTGCGGCTGAGATGAAGCAGATCCGTAATTCGAAGTCGCCAGCATGTTTGAAATGCTTCTTGATCTTAAATTAATCGAGTATATCGTCCTTGGACAAAAATATGGTCGCTCTTTCCACGTCTCTGCCGCCGATGGTGAGAAGACGCGCCTGGTTCGCGACGGCGTAAGATTGTAAAGTCGAGCCGAGGGTCAATTGATACGACGTCAGCGTCTTGGCGTCGGGTTTGCTCCACCGCTCTTGGTTTCGTGCCCGCTTTTTCCTTTGTGTGCTGTAGCATCGTATTCCACTCCTCTCGGCCAATGTCAATCTTTGCTACAATTGACACATGTCCATCATGCATGTTACCGTAGCCTTTTGCTCGCTTCACTGCTCCTCATCAACTGAGGGCGGGGTCGTTGTTGTAGCACTCAGGATGCGACACTACGTATAATCAGTGATTGCCAGTGTTTGCTGGAAGTGCATCTGCTTCCATCACTTACTCGACAATATGGCTCATTTTTGGGTACTGTATGGCTTGCTGAGCTTTCAGCTCGGCTTTGCTCTGGCTCAAGAAGCTGACGTTCTTCACTACGTTGATCCACTCATAGGCACAGGCTTTGGAGGTTTGAACCAAGAGAAGAAGGGCGACACCCGCTCCTATGTTGACAATCGAGCAGGTCATGTCTTTGCTGGTGCTACTCTGCCTTTTGGTATGCCTTTCCAATTCCCGCGAGGTATTCAACTCTTGCTGACTTTCTCACAGGTATGGCCAAAGCTGTCGCAGATGTCAATGGTGAAAACCAGGGCGGTTATGCGAGCGACTACAGCAATATCACCGGCTTTTCACACATGCACGATAGCGGAACTGGAGGGTAAGTTCGACCCAGTCTTTCTCAATTCACGTTTAAAGGATGAACCACTTCTACCTTGTCATCAACCCCTCGATACCCCTTGAGACCACCTAGAATTCTGTCTGATTACAATCTTCAATACCCAACCTCACATCCACAATCTGTTTTGGGAATATATCTGACCAACGGGTAATACAGATCACCCTCGCTCGGCAACTTCCCTCTCTTTGCGCACCCTGGATGTCACAATGATGACCTCGATCAATGCCAATTCACGTCTGTCGATAGAGCTACTCCTCAGATCAATGGCTCTATTGTTGCAGAACCAGGATACTTTGCAATCACTCTTAACAATTCTGTCCGTGCCGAAATGACTGTGACGAACCGTACTGCACTCTATCGTTTTTCCTTTCCCAAAGGTACTGCAGACATGCCTCTGAGTCCGCTCATCCTGGCAGATCTGATTGATCTGCCCAAATCTAGAAGTAACGGATCAATTTCTGTGGACCCAGAAACCGGAAGAATAATCGGCAATGGAACCTTTAGTCCTAGCTTTGGCATCGGAACATATGATCTTCACTTCTGTACCGATTTTACTGGCGCAAGCATTCGCGATACTGGTGTCTTCATGAACAACAGGGCTGGCCCTGAACCCAAAAGCCTGAGTGTTGTACCTGATGGGGTCAACAACTCTCCTGACATACTCCCTGCTGGAGCTTGGGTGCGTTTCAATGCGCCTGAAAACAATGCTACTCATATCTTGGCTCGTGTTGGATTGAGTTTTATAAGCACTACCCAAGCATGCTCGAACGCAGAGAAAGAAATCTCTGGCTTTGATTTTGACAACATCCACTCTGCCGCACGTCAGGCTTGGACAGACAAGATGAGCGTAGTATCAGTCACACCAGGCAGTGTCAGCGATGAATTTCAGACCATTTTCTGGAGCGGGCTGTACCGTGCTTCTATCAGCCCGCAAGATTACACCGGCGAGAACCCTCTGTGGGACAGTACAGAGCCTTATTATGATTCATACTACTGTATCTGGGATTCATTCCGAAGCATACATCCCTTGATTACACTGTTCGACCCGAAATCGCAGGCTCTGATGATCAGAAGCTTGTTAGACATATACCGCCACGAAGGCAAACTTCCAGATTGCCGAATGTCGTTGTGCAAAGGATTCACCCAAGGTGGATCTAATGCCGATGTCGTGCTGGCTGATGCATATGTCAAGAACCTGACCCAAGATATCGACTGGGCACTTGCATATGAGGCTGTCGTATCAGATGCTGAAGACGAACCAAAGAATTGGGCTGTAGAAGGCCGAGGAGGCTTGGCTAGCTGGAAGTCGCTGGGCTATATCCCTGCCGATGACTATGATCCATATGGCGTTGGGCCATTTACACGCAGTATCTCTCGCACAGTTGAGTACGCATACAACGATTTCTGCATCGCAGAAATGGCACGTGGTCTTGGACATACCTCGGACCATGAGAAATACATCTCGCGCTCAGAGAACTGGAAGAATCTCATTAGAGAGGACCAAAACTCCACTATCAATGGCACACAAACTGGCTTTACTGGATTTTTGCAACCTAAATTCTTGAATGGTACTTGGGGTTTCCAAGACCCGATCTTTTGCTCGCCTCTGCTCAACTTCACTTCATGCTATCTCAACCCGGAAGGTCATGAAACGTATGAAGGGTCTGCATGGCTGTATACAACTTATGTTCCTCAAGACATGGCTTCTTTGATCAACACTCTCGACGGGCCAGATTCATTTGTCAACCGTCTCGACTACCTTCACGAGAGCGGCTTGCTCTACATCGGCGACGAGCAAGGCTTCCTCCCAGTCTTCCAATACCACTACGCCGGTCGTCCTGGCAAGAGCGCAGCAAGAGCACACTCTTACATCCCTTCCCAATTCAACACAAGCGTAAACGGCATTCCCGGCAACGACGACTCCGGCGCCATGGGCTCATTCATTGTCCTCGCCATGATGGGACTCTTTCCCGTCCCAGGCCAAAATGTCTACCTCATTACACCTCCCTTCTTCCCTGAGATCAGCATTACGAATCAGATCTCCGGTAATAAGGCTACTGTCCGCAATGTCAATCTCGACACTGAGTATAAGAATATCTATGTCCAGAGTGCAACGCTCAATGGGATGCCATACGCAAAGAATTGGATTGGACATGAGTTTTCTGTTGAAGGGGGTGTGCTTGAGTTGACCCTTGGGCCGGTGGAGAGTGCTTGGGGTACGAGGTATGAGGATTTGCCTCCCAGCTTCTCTACTGGCTGATCTACTGCGGGAAATTCTCAACCATGACATGCGTTTTTGTTTGTGTGTTGCAGGATCCCGAGAGATGTTGGGGACAATGTCGAATTTATCTGTGAGAAGAACGATGAGTAAAACAGTGGGAGGCTTAAGCACCTATAAAAATGTGTCAGCACTGAACGAAGAAAATGCGGTGCCGCTACGTTCCCTCGAGTGGTTTCTGATCTTGCCAGTTTTTTTTTTTTTGCAAATTGCCGATTAGTCCCATTCCCACATGCACTGCTCGAGATCAAGCTCATCAGACCAAACGTTGTCTCCAGCCTCGATACGACGAATACATTCTTGTCTGCTCATACCGCCCGACTGCTCATGCAGGTGGTAATGGCAAACAGACTCGAAGCATGCTTCGTACCTCTTGAAATTTCTCCGGAGAGACTGGCGTCTGAGGGAAATATCAATCAAAGCTGTTCTTGGTAGATCCCCTTCCACAAGCCGACGTCTGATCTCGGAAGTATCCTTGAGTTCTAGAACTAGATTGTCCACGAGGAGTTGATATAGCTTGCTGGTATGCGGAATGAGAGGGAACAGCCACGCTATGTCGTTCAGGCTGACACTTGTAACCGCCCATCGTGAAGCTAGCATTGTAATAGTGTCGTTCAGTAAAGTTATGATGCCACGTTTATCTGCGAAAACGTAAAGCTCAAGCATGTGCCTCTGAACAGCTTCCTTCTGAACACCAGAAGGCATTGTTCTCGTGTCTAGCCTCTCTTTATAGAGCCAAGCAACGTACGTGCGAAAGACCGCCGGGTCTTCGTCGTCCAGTGTGATTTTCTGATCGCGTGTTTCGGCGAATCCGTTGTTGAGAGCAGCCTTGAAGTATGTTGAAGAGTCGCAAAGGAGCTTCTTATGAATATTGAATCGTTGGACATTCCCTCCCTTACCCACAATGATCTGGGCAGTTGGACCAGTGATGGCATCTCTGTGTGAATTTGATCAGTGATCTACTGAGCCAAATGCATTGTTCTTCGAGAGCGCACGGCAGCAGGTCGGGATCATGCTAACTTACAGGAGCGACATGTTGGACGGATGTTGGTGAGTTGGGTTGATAGAAGATCGTCCTGTTGCAAGTGTGTAGAAGAAGAAAGAGAGATCGCGATGCCTTTGCGGCGGTGCGTGCAATAAGAAAAGTGCGCTTGCGGTGATGAGAGCTGAGGCAGTCGCGCTGTTGATTTGTTGTAGTGAGTCTGTCGGAGCTGCCGATGTTGCTCAGAGAACCTTTCAGAGATAACGAGTTGTGAGAGAGCTTTCAGCAGGCGCGAGAAAATCGTAAGTGAAACGACTATAGAGCCTAATCACCTGAGTTTCACTTGGTGAAGGCTGTGGCCAAATATAATGAGCAATGAAAGAAAGACGATGTCAGCCATTCATAGCAGGAGACGGCGCGACAAGAGTAATTGTGCATGACGAGGTATGGATATTGAGTAAAAAGAACACAGAAAATCACGTAGGGATACAAATTTGAGGCAAAGTAACATTGATACCATGAGTGGAGAGCTTTCACTCAGTATTGCTGAGATATCAGACCGGTTCCTCCCTCCTCTAATCTGTGGAAGCCGTCAACTTGTTTTGTTGTTCACCATTTCCACTTGACCTGTCGGAGTTCGTCAATTGTGTAATGCACCCATGTATTGCAGCCTCTTTCCACCCTGTCGGCACAATCCACTTGTTCACTCGCATTGCCGTTATGTTCATGATAGTGGCAGATTGACTTGATGCACTCGTCTAGCTCCTTAAAGGAATCGGGAAAGTGACGTTCCTTATGGAACAATTCCAGCATTACATCTTGCGAATGACTGCCGAACTCTTTCCATTCTTTCTGACTCCATGCAACAAGCCTAGATTGTAGGAGTAGGTTATCCAGTGTAAGTTGGTAGAGAGTTGATTGTGGTGATATTAAAGGGAGACAATCTCGAGTGACACTCATGTTAATAACTTCCTGATCCCAGTAAGAAGCCATCATGGTAACGACGTCATTTGCCAGATCCAGAATGCCTCTTTTGTCTGCGAAGATGTAGAGCTGGAATAGGTGTCGTTCCACCTGGGAAACTTCATCAAGGCATTCGCGCTTTAACTCCTCTTGAAGCAGCCGAACGGCGTAAGTCCTGAAAATGTCGGGATCATCGTCATCGAAAACGATTCGTTGCGTCGTAGTTTCGGAGAAGCCATTGTTCAGCGCGGCCTTAAAGTACGTGGACGATTTGCAGAGCAGCTCTTTCGGAAGGGTGAAGACGACGGCGGATCTTCCTGCTCCGACGATGATTTCGGCGAAGGGACCAGTGATGTTTGCGCTGTAAACAGCAGACGGTCAGCGCAAGTCAGTCACCAGTCTGTTGTAAATCGTGCTTACCGGACGGACATGGCAGGTAGCCGGATATCACAGCTAATCCGATAACGTACGAAAGTGTGAGGATGTGCTAATCTCGGCGCACGGTGTTGCTTGATACGAATGGTGATGTGCGTGTGTAGAGGGTTGGTCAAGGGTTCTGAATTGAGATGAAGTTGTTAGGCTGGCTGGTTTGATTGAATTGAGAAAAGGAACTGCTCTTCGGCCTTACCAACATGTTACTGCTGCTAATGATCTTGAGTTGTTGCACGTTCAGTTGTTGTAGATCATGGGTTTCACAAATGCACTAGCAAGACGGACATTGAGATGCGACAAGTCGTCAAGCTTCATGGATGAAGCTGCGCTCAACTCACTTGCCTGTCACTGGTTTACACATGTCTTGAGAAATCACTCAACTTTGTTCTCTCTTGTTGCTCACGCCCTGATTGTTGTATGGACTATTTAACCCTGGAGTCGTACCGACAACTATACCTGATAAGATCCTCATACTCACGAGTCATTTTGCTTGAAGCAATCAAGCTTGGAATGTCAGCACAAATTGGCGAGATGTTTATCTGTGATGAAAAGTGCGATAAAGTAGGATGCGAGGTGTTTTCGCTTGGCCATCTGACGTAATCAGGGTTGCATCTCCAGCTATTTGTGCGACATCCTGTTTTGATTCTCTTACCTTTTTCCCAAACAATCTCACATGTACCATTCATCATGGTGCGTCAGCAGAAGATTGCCAGGTCGATAGTTTACGCGATTCTTGAGAACAATGGAGCAAAGGCGCGCTCGCTGCTTGCTCGGATTTTGACGGCCATCGCGTATCTCTTTGCGCTCTACCAACTATCATTGACTAAACATCGCAATGATCTCTTTGAAAGACTACGCGAACAGTGGCAGGTGGATGAAGAATATTACAAGGACAGTTTTGGCCAGAGAAACGGCCTGAAGCCGAATGGCGACATGGGATTCTCGGGAAGCGTGAGTCGTTCGCCTTTACCATACAAGTAACAAACTAAGCAATACGCAGACCTTCTACACGACTGGAGACGGAGCATATCTGGTGAAAAGTGTTCCCCGGGGGTTTGAGCATTCGTTCTTCCGTGACGAGTTTCTGGAACCTTATTACAACCACATGATACAATACACCAAGTCATTGCTCATTCGAATTACTGACTTCCTCGAATGGTCACGCTTTGGTATTGGTGGTCTGCTTGGTACTGCACCAACACATCATATCATCATGGAGAACCTTCTGATTGGCAAGGAAAAGGATAGCACATCGAAATGGGAGACTTGGGACCTAAAGCCTACGTCGTATTTCTTCCCGGAGCGAGATATCGCGAATGGCAAGCTTACCTCTGACGCCACTAAAGACCGTTTAGCAGACAAGTTCGAGGACAAGATTGTTCTGACTCAGTCTCAGGCTGATGACCTCTTTGAACAACTCTCGGGAGATACCGCACTGCTCGAACAGTGCAACGCGGTCGACTATTCCCTGTTTCTGGTCAGGATCCCGCTTAGCAATGCTGACGACTCATCTGCATGTCAAAGCCAGGAGACAGCTATCGAACAATCAAAGAGACCTCCTTTTGTGCCACCAATGGATTCGTGGCGTACCGGTGTGTATTCTGCTGATCAGAAGTTCGTGTTTCGTGCTGCCATTCTCGACTTCTTCTGGGCTAAGCATAAGCTGCAACCAAGGGTCATGACATGGTTGATAAAAGCATGGAATCTGATTGACCGTCAAGGACATATGAGCATCACCACAACCCCTGCTGAATATCGCCAGAGATTCCTTTCAATGTGTCATGAGATGATTGAGATCAGGAACTCAAGCTAGTGTATATAAGTGCCTTATATTCTGCTCCGGTTATCCCTAGATACCCATTGGCTGTTAAAAGTTTGGGCCCACTTCGACTCAATTCATCAGTAAAGTGTTTAAGTGAGTACGCGTTAGTGTGTCATCGGCTCAGCGACGCTTACAATAGTTGTTGATGTTGGTACGGGCGAAATTTGGACATTTGAGGCAACGTAAAATACCGTATCAGCTTCCAAGGGTCGATTTGACAGCTTTCAAATCTGGTCAGTGCACGTATGTTGGGCAGAGCGTGATTGAATTGATCAGAAACTTGTAGGTATAGCAAGACTATGCATGGTTGGTCGCAGATGTCTGATTCTCATTCTGATCGGCAATTGACCAGTCGGGGTCTCAGATCAACTTCCGCCGGAGTCAACTCCTACTCGCTTTCAGCGTGTTCCACGTCTTTCGCGCTTTGTAGGCTCACATCGCGCTCTTGTGTGGACCCCTGTTCGAGTGTTGAGAGCCAGTCGGAGCCATGTGAAGCGTCTCTCTCAATCGTCGTTCCGACATGGCTAAGCCGAAGGCGGGCAGTCGCGTTGCAAGTCGTGTAGCAGGTCAGAGGATCATTGCTACCAAATCAGCCATCTGCATCCATGCGGGTGAATGGCTGTAGGCAGCCAACACACGAGGGCTGCACTGCGCACGTTTTCGAGGTTGCCATCGAGGTGCGCCTGTAAACAGAAAGACGCCGATGCTCGGGACGCTGTCGGCGGCTGGCTCAAACAATCAGCCGTCCTTGCATGCGCAGTTGAGAGCAGGAACCAATGTGTGTCGTCTACGAGCCACACGGACCACAAAATGTTCATGAAGGATTCAATCTGTGCCTTGTTGCATATTAGAGGCTTGAGATCCAGATCTGTGGTGGGCGCCATGCATAGAGCTTCGTAGAGAGGTCGTGCCGTGCCGATGTTCCTTCTCGGCCCATGTCCTCCTCCACTACATCAGATTGCGACGACGACAAGGGCAACAACAACAATCGACGACTGACCAGCGGAACCCAACAACGTTACCTCAACTGGAACCCTGTCACGGAGGAAAGCCCGAGTGGCCAGTGATGAATGTCTTCAGCTGCTAAATCGATTAGCTGCTAGCGATACTCCGAATAGGGACAAAGAAACAGAGTTGGAATAGGCGGCTAAAGACGCGTGAACGCCTCGCTAGCTACAGCAAGATATGCGAGCCGGCAAGCTATCTGGTCCCTGGACCCCTCTATATTATGCCGTTCGTGCCATTCTAAATTTGTTCAGCCTTGATGAGCCAGATGACACTTCCTAGTGGTGGTCATCTGGCGGTCAATCGGAGTAGCATTCGAGCAAACGGTGTACTAGAACGCGACTGAGGAAAGTTGGCTAGCTAAAGTCAAATAGCTATGCTTTGATCGCTTACTCAAACAGCTTGATTAAACCACTTTAGGGTAACAGTCTCAGGTCAAGTTGACACAGGCATGCAACCTCCGCAGCTGCCGATGGACCGCGCTTTTTGCAGGGCAACCTTGTGCTACATCAACGCATGCGTCCCACTACTCCAATGCCCAAAATGATAGGTTGCGCTCACGCGGGGATAAAGCTCGACTCAATGTTGGATCCGAGAGCCTCTAGAGCTCTCGGATCCTAGAGCTGTCGGATCCTGCACAGGAGGCGTATAAATATCCTCCTTCTTCTCGTCTCAGCCTCAACTCTTCAAGCTACAACTTTACCAACCTTCCTGCCTGCAACATCTTTAGTATACTTGGCGATATCTGTCTTGACACGACACCCTTCTAAAGCTGTTTGACCAAGATGGCTACTGCAGAGGTCCAACAGCCTGTTCAGGACAAGCCTCCTGAATCATCAATCCCTGACTATCTCGCCGATCCAGACGCTGTACTCAAGGACACCCAGTCAAAATGGCGGTACGGCAGAGCGCCCGACTATTCCAAGACAAGAAAGGTGTACGCAGAGAGTGAGTACTCGCCGCTTTCATTGTTTTTCACCCATGCGTCTTCGCCATGTACGACCACCGACCTGTCAGCAATGACCCTGAAGACATCAGCACGTGGACTCCGTAATGTACCCTACCCACGATCTATCACATTCGGGCATCTAGCGTATCGTTCTAGCAGTCTTGCGCCACACTTGGCGCTTGCAAGCTGGGTCCTCACTTGTGTAACGTCAAGCATACCACCTAGGCTAAGAGGCTAACATTCCGAAAGCTAAACAGGCGAATCACACGGCTGGCAGCCTCGAGTCCATGGTTGAGAACCTCGTCAAGAACTGGGAGGTCGAAGCCTCTTTCAAGCCCGAGCTCTCCGATTGGCGAACCATCGATCACGCCAAATACTCCTTTGCGATCAATGGAGGTCCTGGCCAGACAGGCGAACATATGCTCAAGGTCGGAACATACAACGCCATCATTGCGCCGAACGAATACTACAGTCCCATGTACTCGGACTTTGCAAGCAGCCACAAAACATTCAAGCGTATGATGCCAACCTTCGCATGGGAGGTCCTTGAAGTCTATAGCGGTCCTCCCAAGGTCGCCTTCAAGTGGAGACACTGGGGTACCATGAAGAATGACTATGTCGGTTTCAATGAGTAAGTCCAAGGGATGTATATCCAATGTGTATGACATATAGTTGACATATTGCAGCAAAGGAGAGAAGGTGACAGCCAAGGCTCATGGAGGAGCTATCGATATCACCGGCATCACCATCGCAACCGTAGATGATGCAGTAAGGCTGCAAGACGTCAACACATACTTCGATCCATTGGAGATGTTCCGCCAAATTGCGCCCAATGGCATTGTCAACAGACAGGTTGTTGACAGAAGAATTGACCCTTCGGCTGCTCTCGACATCGAAGTCCCGTCGCAAGATGGCTTGAAACTCGCAGAGACACACAGTTCAGATCGTCCAAACGAGAGCCAGCCTGCAGATGTCAACACGACATCGGATGACCAGTCTAACAGCACTTCGGCTAATGCTACATGCCCTGTGTCTGGCGCAAGCATGAGCGCCGCGCTTTCCGCAGGTTGTCCGGTGATGAGTGCTATGCAGCAGAACATGATCGGCGATCCAGCTTATGGATCTGAAGGCGACAGGGAAAACGAGCCTAGCAACACGGGAAATATTCCTCGCTCAGCATACTCGTCTTCCGTGACTGGCAAGGAGGAGCAGCGAATGTCAGACAGCAACGAGATCGACTACAGCCAAGACGCCGGTGTACACGATCACGTCGATGCGCACCTCGAGAAGACGGCCGCGGAAGTGCATCCTCATCCTCATACCATGGAGCAGTCAGTCAAGCCAGTAGTTGGCGATGCGGTCGTGACCGGCCCCCAGTCTGAAGAAACCAAGCTCACACATGATGAGATGAGCAGTATTGCGAAGAACGAGGAGCCGTTGCTCATGAACAGAGAGTGAACGTTGGCCTGATCTCGATTGCTTGTTTGCTTGTCTTTTCGACCATATTCTCATCTCGATTGAAATTTTCTTGTGTCGATTTTCTTGGTCACATAGGCTTCGTGAGCAGTTTTGCTTTATGTTGGTGTTCTCGGCAACTTGTTGCTTTGTTCCATCTTTTCTCTTTTGCTACCAGGTCAATAATGCCTTTGTTGTTGTTTAGATAATCAGCAGGTAGCAAAAGTTATCGGACTTTTCAGCCAAGCAATTTGTCAAGCGTGCGATTCATGCAGGGGTCTCGATTTGGTCGTCCGACGAAGTCGCCTTTGGCACCGACGAGTACCCCCAAGTAACGAGTTTTTCCTTTTCGATGCTCGAGCTTGTCTCCAGGCATGGTCTTTCGCTGATTGCTGGTCAGGTCATGACAATTGAGGTTTGCGATGCATAACTACAGGAGTTCTCGAGAAGTTGCCGGATGCGCGGGTCGCGAACATCGAAAATCCACCGGCCAGTATGACGTTGTCGGGCCCAGGCCCAAACCTTGTTTCCTCGTGCGTGTGCGTGGAGTACAACAGCGCTTTCTCCTTCTTTTCAAACAAAACAACGATACTGTGATACTCCCCACGTCAAGGAAACAAGCAATTATCTCGGTCTGGAACTGTGCGGGATGGTGTAAAATCTGCTGTCAGGAACAAGATTGCGCACCGGCTACACGAAGATGCCGACATTCGGCTGGCAAAGCATAGAAAGTCCACACGCTCAGTTCATCCGCAGTGTGGACTGGAGCGCCACCTCCTTAGGACCGCCGGAAACATGGCCACATCAATTAAATCAGATGATAGATCTGATTATGCTGGATCCGACACCCAGCGCCATCATGTGGGGGGACGACCTGACTATGATCTATAACGACGGTTTCGTTGAATTCGCCGGCGAAAAACATCCGAAACTCATGGGAGGAACTCCGATGGTCTCATATGCTGAAGTCTGGGAGCCTCAATTTGCTCCAATTGTCGCGCTTGGTAGGGAAAAGGGCCAGGCAACCCGCCACAAGGATGTGCCTCTATTCTTGAGGCGTCATGGATATAATGAGTACGTCTCCATACAATGCACTCATCCTGCGCCAGCATACTAACCAATAGCAGGGAAGTTTTTGTGGATTATACTTTCATACCTCTTACTGGAAACAACAAGGAAGTGGTAGGGTTCTATCACACTGCAGTCGAGACCACAGACCAAAATCTGGCTAAGCGAAGGACTCAAACCCTGATCGATATTGGGAATCACGCTGGTGGTGCTCGAGATATGGCACATTACTGGGATGCGGTGCTCAAAGGCTTCGAAGCTAACATCTGGGATATCCCGTACGCGATCGCTTATGAGTTTCACAACGATGATGCGGAGCGATCCTCAACAAATGGTTCCGAAACTCGTTCTGGCTCACGCTCCAGGTCAACCCGGTCTAGCTCATATTCTGATTCTGTATCCTCCTCTGGTCGGATCACTATTCCCAGAGCTTGCAGTCTGGCTGGTGTGATCGGAAAATCTATGACACAAGTCCCAATTGGTTTCGATGTTGCCCTCGAAGAGCCTGGTTTCCATCAGGTCGTCAAAAAGGCCATCAGCTCTGGTGAACCTGTCCTCCTGGAAATTGCTCACGAAAAGACACCGGACTGGCTCAAATCGGATACCCCAGGGAGGGCTTTCAGTGAACCAATCACACATGCCGTGGTGATGCCAATACGACCGACGACCAGAAATGATAGTGAGGGATTGAACGCGATTGGATTCGTGGTAATGGGTCTCAATCCACGCCGAACGTACGACACCGACTATCAACGCTATACACGACTCTGGAGTCAGCAGTTGGCCACTTCAGCCGCGTCGGTAGTCCTTCTCGAACAAGAGAACAAGCGACAGATGCAACTGAAAGCACAGCTTTCTATCAATGAGCTTCGTTTCGCTCGATTCGCCGAGATGTCCAATGTCGCTATGTGGATCTTGGAACCAAATGGAGATCTTGTTTATGGCAATCAAACATGGCACGATCAAATGGACCTCGGTGAAGTTTCAGGGTTGAATGCAGAGGGCCATCCTATCTGGTGGGACGGTATAACGGATGAAACGAAGCCAGCACTCGCAGAAGCATGGAAGTCATTGACCCAAGACCAAATCTCCACAAACATCGAGATATGTCTGAAACCGACCAGTAAAACAAAACAATTTCGTTGGGTTCTTTCGTCCGCATTTCCTGAGTCAGCAGAAGATGGCACACTCAAGGCGATCTGGGGATGTAATACTGACATCTCGCATCAGAAGTTGGCTGAGGAGTTGAAAGAGCAGAGACTTTTGGACGTCCTCGAAGCGAAGCGACAAAGCGAATCTTTCATCGACACTGTTTCTCACGAGATGCGAAACCCCCTATCAGCTATTCTGCAGTGCGCGGATGGTGTCAACACTTCTGTATTGGAAGCTCGAGGATCTTCTAGCAGCGGAAAGCACACGCAATTTGATCGTGAGGGAGTGGAATACATCTTGGAGTCCACTCAGACTATTATTCTGTGTGCACAACATCAGAAACGAATCATCAATGTAAGCATTACTAGGATGAAATCGCGATGAAACAAGAGCTGTGTGACAGTGTCGCGGTCATCATTGCGGTGTATCCAAATCTGAGCTTGTCAATGTACTGACCTTTTGCAGGATATTTTGACTCTGAGCAAGCTAGATGCTAGACTTCTAGAGGTTACACCAACAGAGGTAGATCCCGTTGAGACTGTCAAACACGCACTTAGACTCTATCAGCAAGAATGTCAAAACGCAGACATCGATAGTGCGATACGTGTGGATCAATCGTACAACTCACTCGCGGTTGATCGTGTATACGTGGATCCGTCCAGATTGCTTCAAGTTTTGATCAATCTGTTGGGTAAGATTGATCTAATGTCGAAATGGCACTGTTTGCTGAACTATTCTAGGTAACGCAATCAAATTCACTCAACATCAAGACCAGAGGAAGGTCACCGTCACCATCAGCGCATCTCTTGAGAGTCCGGCGATGAAAAGCGATGGTGAACAATACTTTTTCCCCAGAGTCTCAAAGCAAGACGCAGTTCTGGGAGCTGACTGGGGCACCGGCGAAGACCTGTTCCTCCACTTCTCGGTAAACGATACTGGAGTTGGTCTGACAAGTGACGAGATGAAGAACCTGTTTCTACGCTTCTCGCAGGCGTCTCCGAAAACTCACGTTACTTATGGCGGTAGCGGTCTAGGCTTGTTCATCTGTAAAGAGTTGGCCGAGCTCCAAGGCGGCCGCATTGGAGTTTCTTCCACGCCAGGGAAGGGAAGCGACTTCAAATTCTACGTGAAAGCACGTCGGGCTGCAACTACCGGCAGGCGAGAGACTCTTGATATCGAAGGGTCTGCTGCTAAGAGACCAAGACAGAGCAAATCTCCACAGAACGGCCAGGAGTCGCCACACGATGGCCAGAAATCCGATGATGAGACGGATAAGTTACGTGTCACTCACCCCAACTACATTGCACCTCTCAATAGATCTCACTCAGCATCTCAGAACCCAATTGTTGGTTCACCGAGCGATGCGAACACGCTACATGTTTTGATCGTTGAGGATAATCTGATCAATCAAAAGGTACGTCTTCAGGCGTCAAAGCATTTTTCTTGTACTAACTTTGTTGCAGGTAATGGCTCAACAGCTCAAGAAGGCCAAGTGCGAAGTACATGTCGCAAATCATGGTGCGGATGCTCTCTTGTTCTTGGAAAAGACATCATTTGCAAAAGACTGCGGGCCATATGCAACACCGCTATCGATCATTCTCATGGATCTTGAAATGCCAGGTGAGCCAAAACCAGATCGTCTTGACATACACATACTGAATTCTGCGCAGTAATGGACGGTTTGACTTGCATACGAAAAATCAGAGAGTGGCAAAAGCAAGGCAAACTTACAAGGCCAGTGCCGGTCATAGCAGTAGGTTGAATCACACCTGTTGATGCTCGCATCGACTGACACGTGCAACAGGTTACAGCGAACGCGCGTCACGAACAGATCACCATGGCACAAGAAGCAGGAATAGTAAGCTAATTCATTCTGCCATCATTGTAGTATTGTTTAGACTAACATATACGTAAGGACGATGTTGTCACGAAGCCCTTCAAGATCTCCGAATTGATACCCAAGATGCATACATTGATAGAGAAGATTTCGACTTGATGATCTAGCATACGGCATATATACGAAAGCACACCGTCGCACAAAATTTTTATACGACAATACCTTACATTTCACCACAACTGTCCAGCAAAACGAGGCATAGTTTGATATCGCAATGTCCTACGGTTGGGTAGTCAAGTCTTTGAGAAGGGTCCCCAACTCAAGCATTGTCATGGTCTCGTGTTCCAGAAGCGCCTTCTACACCAACAACAGACTCACGCGAGATTTTGCCATGTCTTAAGGTGACTCTTGAACTCGAAGCAAGAGCCACCCGGCGCATACATGTTCTGTACCTGCATCTGAGTGGCCTTGACCGAAATAGGAAGTCGCACCTTCCCTGGCGGCTGCTTCGGCAATATACCGAACCAAGCACGGCACTCGCATAGCAGCTGTGTAACAGCTTAGAGAAGCGGCTCTTCTCTGCCTATTTGGAGGAGCCGGATCCGTCACCGTTGATAGGGACGAACAGGCAACGCAAGTATAGCCGGGGTTAGCCTAAAATCCTAATTTCAGCCGCCATTTGTATCGTTGCACTATCCTTCGACCCCACCACTCACCCCGCATTCGAACACTACTTATGCTTTTGAGATAGAACGATGCTTCTCGATGCAAGTAATGCTTCGATTACTCTTTACTAACAATCCCCTGACCACTAAGTATTCTACAACATGATTTCAGCCATGCCACCGGACTATAGCTTGAGCGAAGAGCAGAAACAACATTTCCTCGAACATGGCTTCATCAAGCTCGAAGATTGCTTTTCGCCAGAGGATGAATTTTGTAAAGGACTGATGGATCGTGTGTGGGAGCGACTAGACATGGATCCCAACGACAAGGAAACTTGGAATCCATGGCGAGGTACCTGAATGCCCTTTTCGCCTGCTGTTGTCCGCTCTTGCATGTTTTGTGTATGCATGGCTAACTATTGGACATACATACAGTTCATCTTCCTCGTTACCATGATGCGATACCCATGCGCGACTTCTGCCCCAAAGCTTGGTCAGCAATTTGCGAGCTCTGTGGCGGCGAAGACCGCATCGACACTGGTTCCTCATCGACACCCGGTCTTGACTCTTCCGTCCAGGACATTGCCCTCTCTGTAATTAACGACGGCTTCATCGTAAACGTAGGAAGCAAAGCCGATGAAGCTAAATGGAAAGCTGCCGCACAACAAGGCCTTCCCTCCGGCCCCGACAACTTAACCCCCGCTCAGGAGAAATTGCTAGATCCACACGACAGAGACAACTGGCACGTAGACGGAGACTTTTTCCACCACTTTTTGGATAGTAAGGAACAAGCTCTGTTGCCGATTGTGCTGTTCAAGGATATCAAGGTTGGAGGTGGCGGCACGATGATTTGTCCTGATGCTATACCTACGATGGCTGAGCATTTGGCTGCTCATCCTGAGGGGCTGATGCCTGATATGACGTTCATTGAAGGCAGAGAAAAGCTGTATAAAGATTTTGACCATGGTTTCTTTGACGAGGCTGTGAAGCCGGTCCCAAAAGACAGATTCAGAACTGCAACAGGCAAAGCGGGTGATATATATCTCTTGCATCCATTGATGGTACATTCGGCGGCTCCTAACTATCTAAGAGGTACGTTTGGACGCTTAATTGAAGTCCTCCGCTTTTGTCTCCTCTCACACAACCATTTTCTCCTCAAAACAGCTTTGCTCAGCGCTAACATCCTGTTTTGCAGAACCTCGCTTCATCACCAATCCTCCAGTGGCCCTCAAACAACCCTTCAATTTTGACAGAACGGATGGTAGCGCATACAGTCTCGTAGAGCAGAAGACTCTAAACGCACTAGGCCACCCGGAGGGCCTCAAAGGCTGGAAGATTACAACGGAGAGAAAGCTCATCGTGCCCGAAAGAGTGAGGGAGCAGGCCCAGATGAAAAAGATCTGAGCAGAGGAGATCTTACTTCAATCTTGTACTAGCCTGACGTATGTCGAGTACAGTGCTGTGTAATAATCGACTATCTTTCATGACCCCTTGATGCAAAGCTCCTCGCAAGAATCCTGAAAAGTCCTGGAATTGGAATCAAAGTGGCAAGAGTTATCGAAGATGATCATGAAATCCAGGAGCAGGGTCGTCCCGACAGCATATTTTTTTCAACCAAATCGACGTCCATCAACCTCCCTGATTGGATGTAGGCATTCTCGGTCTCAGACATACATTGATATCAGAGTCATGAGCTTTGCATGGCTAGTTTCTAGAACTTACACTCGGTGTCGCACATCTTCTTACTCAATGATTGATTTCACATGACAGCTTACCTAATCAAAAACACAACATAGTCAAAGACAGATGAGCGGATTGAAACTCTCAAGAAGACAAGTTCTTTGATGAAATGAATAACATTGAGTACGGGTTAAAGCAAAGAATCTAAGATGCAAGATCACCTTGTTGATTTCATTATCGGTCAATGAAATCCATTAGTGCCATTGTGTCCATTCACACCATTGCTTCCGTTCGCTTGAAGCTTGTTGACATTGATCTTCGGCAGATCCGCGAACTGAACAGCAGCATGGATCTCCTTGTCTGCACCCTCGGCCAGAGGCCTGAGCGGCGAGCGTACAGTGGCGTGATTCAAGATACCTCTTGCGACAAGAGCGTGCTTCAAGGCCACTGTTCCCTCCATGTGACTTCCACGGTGATAAACTGCTCTGGTAAGGGGTAGAAGCTGGTCATGTAGTTGTCTAGCTCTAGCGTAGTCCTTGGCCTTGCCAGCCTCGATCATCTGGATCAAGAGCTCAGGGGCGATATTGCCATAACCGACAAGGAAGCCGTCGATGTCGAAGGCGGTGTGAAGGAGGTATTCATCGTGACAAGTCAAAATCTGGAGGTCGGGGCGCTGCTTGTGGATGATGGGGATCTCAACATCCCAGCGACGCATGTTGCGGACACCGTTCTTCATGGCAAACACACCAGGCTGGGCTGAGATGTCAAGCATGGTTTGCAGACTGTAGGTCGCTTTTGTGTTATCGGGGTATTGGAACAGGATGAGAGGAAGTCCGCTAGTCTCATAAACAACCTTGTAACGATCTTGGGGAGCGCCATCTTGGTAACCGAATCGCAGCCATCCGTGAGAAGGATAGAGGAGGCCAGCCTTTGCACCAGCAGCTTTGGCACGCTTGGCCTCGAGTGCAGCAACTTCGGTGCCTTCGCCTGTGATGCCAGCGATGATGGGGATTCTGTCATTCACGGATCGAACAAAGGCTCTGATGACTTCTTCTTGTTCATCCTGAGTTAAGAAAGTGCCTTCTCCAGCATGGCCCAGAACTACGAGACCTTTGACGCCCTCGATACTTCCAAGCCAAGAACCAAGACGTTGGATAGCATCATAGTCGACTCTTCCATCCTCAGTGAAGGGCGTGACGGGGGCAGGGGTTAGACCTCTGAGATCGATGTTGATTGAGTTGCTCATGATGATTAGGTGTGATGTGACGAAGGATGAAGATGATGATTGAATGTGTTGTGATGAGTGAAGAAGGCCTACCTGAACAGAAGCGTCAGTCGTATTTATGTATCTCTCAAGCGCTTGGCCCAGTTCTGTGAAGTATCATAGCATTGACCTCTCATACACTGCTCGGATGCTCACACATGCTTGTCTCCTCGGGGCTATGATTCAACTGTGGGGTCAGATCTGAGCAACGTTGGTACGCCCCGCACCAGATGGTCCACAATTCACTGGAGGATTGGTATAAGTGAAAATCCGAATGAATCGGATTCCTACCCCGCTCGGCGGATTTCCATCTTGCCAGCTCCGGATTTCTGGGATCCTGCGCGGATTGCTGCAGGCATATTGGTGGCGTCCGGATTTGAGCACAACCATACTCTTGGGCTAACCATGCGGACCATAAAGCCGTTTTGTGGAGTTGAGAAACTGGGGATGTGCGTGTGGAGCAGTTTGTGCAACAACCTTAATCAGATCATGACCTTGGTCTTCCAGGACCCGGGCTATATAACACAGTCAGTCGATCGACAAAGACAGAGAAGGGCCACGGGACTTTTGCCAACGCAATTTTACTGAGGGAGCAACCAACTTCTACCATGCCTCCAACCAGTTCAATCCATTCTTTGAAGGACATTGATGCCGAGAAACATGAGATGATCCCTACTGAAAAGATCGCTCATGGCCAGAACGAGCACATCTCAGCTGCGGATGCAGAGTTCCTCGCGGGCTTCACCGATGAGCAAAGAAAGCGAGTCTTGCGCAAGGTCGACTGGAGATTGGTACCGATGCTTCTAATTCTGTATTTGATCTCATTCATCGACCGGGCGAATATCGGTATGCTGCGTTTCATGCAATTGAGCCTCAGGCATGCTGACTAGCATAGGCAACGCCAAAATCGAGGGTTTGCTCAAGGACCTTCACATGACAGGCACCGAATACAACATTGCGTTGGCAATCTTCTTCATTCCATACACCCTTGCTGGTGAGACACGTCTTCTTCCAGATCTCGATGCTTTGGCTGACCTGAACTCAGAGATACCAAGTAACATGATCCTCGACAAATTCAACCGTCCCTCGGTATTCATGGGCTCCATCGTAACTGTCTGGGGTGTCGTCGTGATGTGCACTGGGTTCGTTCAAAACTTCGCCGGTCTATGCGTGACAAGAGTCTTTCTGGGTCTTTTCGAGTAAGCTAAGCGCGATGTGAATGATAAGCTTGAAGCCTTACTGAAGCAATGTTCTAGAGCAGGGTTCTTCCCAGGCGCCATTCTCACAATCAGCAAATGGTATCTGCCACATGAAAGTCAGACCAGGATTGCGATATTCTTCACTGCCAGCGCTTTGGCTGGTGCGTTTTCTGGCCTGCTTGCGTACGGCATTGTCAAGATGGATGGAGTTGCAGGATACGAAGGATGGAGATGGGTACAATCAGCAACAGGTCGGATGAAGACAAGATGACTGACCCTTGCTCACAGATTTTCATCCTCGAAGGTCTGGCTTCTGCAGTTGCAGGTCTGGCTTGCTTCTGGCTGCTGATCGATACTCCTGCCGCGTCGACAAGGTGGCTGACAGCTGAAGAGATCCGCTATCTTGAGCTGAGGCAGATCGCTATCGGAAGATTCAAGCCTGCTGGACACAAGGAGAAACACTTCGACATGCGTGTCTTCATGACGGTCCTGAAAGATTGGAAGATTTACCTCCTTATCCTTGCCTTTTGGTCTAATGTCACACCAAACTACGGGCTGAAGTTCACCATGCCTCAGATTATAAAGAACATGGGTTACACATCGGCGAATGCCCAGCTGTTGACAATTCCGGCATATACAGTAGGCGCAATCTCAGCCTACATCTTCTCAATCATCTCGGATCGTTTCAAATGGCGAATGCCAGCAATCGTCCTTCCGCAGGTAGCTGTGGTGATTGCTTACGCGATATTGTCCGCAAAAGCCGCGGAGATCAAGAAGAACATTGCCTTGTGTTACTTCGCTGTGTGCCTTGCTTGTTTTGGGTAAGAGAAGAAGTGACTGCCACGAAGCGTACCGCGCAAAGCTGACAGTATTTCAGGTTGTACCCAATCGGCCCTGGCGTTCAGGCATGGAATATGAACAACCTTGCAGGTCCTTCCAAAAGATCTATCGGAATTGGTTTTATGACCGGTATTGGCAACATGGGAGGTGAGTTAATAAAGTCTGCTCGCGTTGTTTTTTGCGTCACCTGACGACATTCTGTTTCTAGGTATTACCGGATCCTTCATATTCATAGACAAGGAGGCGCCAAAATACCCCACTGGTTTTGGTAGCTCATTGGCGTTTGCTGCGGCAGGTATCGTGGCTTGCCTTCTCCTTGAGTTCCTGCTGTGGAGAAGCAACAAGCAGAATGCAGATTTCACCGAAGACGAGATCAGAGAGCGATTTTCTGATGAAGAGCTGGACAAGATGGGTGACAAGAGTCCGCTGTTCAAATATACCTTGTGACAGGAGTGAATTGAACTGGGAACTCCTAGGCAATTGGAGTTAGAAGGAAGGCGCTTCTCGTGCCCAGGCCTGCCGAGGTCTTGGCATTCTGTTTTGAACTTCTCGAATCTCGAGGCGTTTGTCTCTTCAAACCTGTACATACATTAGAACATTGGCAACTCAAATGATTTTTCGGAAGCGACGAAAGCTTTGGGATCATCGCGACTTGGTGTCATTCCACACAATAATGAGTACCATTAACACAGCCGGTAAGGTTTCGTGGCAATCCTTCGACCAGGAAGACCCCGCCTTCCCCACTTCACTCCTTCCAAAGTAAACAGCAGCGTGTGCATTACGTTTCCTTGAGCGAATGTAGGTTGCATGCAGGAAGGAACCATCATGTCTGATGCAGCAGGGCTAGTAGTTGGGTCAATACCTCAAAGCAATGCCAAACGACCACGCATCGCATCGCCACATTCAGGACGTCGTGTATCCAAGATCACTCGAGCATGTGACGCTTGTAGAGTGAGTAATGTTCGCGAGCTCTCAATGCTCTAGGCAGAACTAAGTTGATGTACAGCTAAAGAAAGCGCGTTGCACAGGCACGAAGCCGTGTCCTGCTTGCGAAAAGCGCGGCGCGCTGTGCTCATACGATAGTCAATACATGCGCGGACGACCACCAACTCCTCCATCATCAGCCTTGGCCCCTGATCAGAACCCTGAAATGCTCTCTGAGGACCAGAGGTCACCTCGGTTTCTAGACTCAGAGGTCGCTCCAACATACACTGGGCTTAGTTCGAGGAACTCACCCGAGCTGCATTTGACTGACGTTCAGGGTCAGTACGTTGACCCTACTTCGGGTCTATCGTTTCTTGAACGAGCCCGAGATCGATTTTCCTCGCATCGCACGCCAAAGGGACATGTGATTCAGGACGAAGACTGGAGCTACAAACAACAACCTGTCCTTGACGCGGGTGACAAGCCTCTGGCGCTTACAGATGGAGATTCTAGCATGACGACAACACTTCCAGATGGAGATCATGCTACCGAATTGCTAGATATCTACTTCGATGTTTGTGTCGCCACTTACAAGCCGCTACATCGCCAGACGTTAGACGCATGGCATAGACAGACATTGCAGAACGCCGCAGCTGCGCGACCACGAATTCACAATCTAGGGCATGCGAAGCTGTCGACACTATTCGCCGTCTTCGCTGTAGCTACATATCATCGGCGGAAGACACTGGACTTCTCTCCGAACGAAAGCGATGCCCTGTTCAAAGCATCATTAGAGTTGACGAGAAACGAAACTGGCTTGCCACGTCTGGAGTCCGTCCAAGCAAGGCTCATTCAGGTGTTCTACCTCCTCATGACGTGTCGTATGAACCAGGCGTGGTTCACATTTGGAACAGTCTTGCAGTTGGTTTCGTCACTTGGCTTGCACAGAAGGGAGAGGCGGCCTCGACAAGATAGGGACTATGTGTATCGACAGTGTCAAAGACGTACATTCTGGACAACGTACATCCTCGACAAATACTTCGGAGTCCTAATGGGTCGTCCTCAGCATTTCCACGACGATGACATTGATCAGGATTATCCGGATTGTGTCAACGATGAGGACATGACTGCTACGGGATGCAAGATCTCCGACGATCCTGACGACTGCTTGATCGAGGCTTTTGTTGAGAATGCAAAGCTTGCCCGCTTAGTCGGAATCATCTCTCGGAAGTTGTATCCTACTCGACCTTTATCGACCAACAAGAGGCTGGAAGTGACGCACAAACTACAGCATGACATTGATGAGTGGTACAGCTCTTTGCCAGCATTCCTCAGCACTGTGAAACCGACGAGCTTGATACGTAGCTTACAACGACAATCGGTAGCCATGAAGATGGCACATTGTCATGCAATCATGCATCTGCACCGACCCTTCCTGTTGCGACCCGCTGCACAGGACGCTGAAGCCAGTATAAAACAATGTGTGACGGCTGCATTCACTGTGCTTCGCACTGCTGACAATATAGCGACCTCTGGAAGGATGTTTCATGCATTCTGGTGGACGCACTACGTGACCTTCTGTGCCTTAAGCATTACATACGTCTGGCAAATTCAGAGACCCCGATACGACTGCGGTCTAGACACTGAACACCTCTTCAAGCTTGCTGAAAGATGCCAAACGCACCTGGCACATGCGACGGCGTCAAATTCACCAAGTAGAAGATATAGTATCATCTTGGAAGAGTTGCGAGCTGAGGCTGGACTCAACTCTGGGTGTCATCCTGCTACCGGGATGAATGATGATGAAAATGCATCGACCTCGAACCTAGCTTTCGAGGCTAATCAAGGAGATTTTTCTGCCGCAGCTAACTTATTCGAGAGCTGGCAAATATCGGACTGGCTCGATCTTGATGCTCTTGTATGTTCTGCCTGCTGTGGTGATGCTGGAGATAAGCATGCTCACGTTGTCACAGGCATATGGTTATCCCAATGGTTCCAGTCCAGACCTCGGCGGCGTTGATGCTGTCTTCCATTGAATACGGATAACATCTTTCGTTTCTCTAAAGAGCACGACACTTGATCCCACTCTCAGTCAGACTATCGTCAGTGTCTATTGAATTGCTTGGTGGATCGTTATAGTCTTTGTTGTAGACACAGTAGCTATCAGTTGTGCCCAAGGCACTGACTTCGGACATCATCCCTTGTTGCGAAAGTCAACTTCCCACGCCGTAACAATGAGACGTTCATTACAATCACCTTCAGAAGCTCACATAGATCCAAGAAACACAGTGCATCGAGATGATCACCCTCGTGCACGCCAATCAGCAACCATGCCAAGAACCTCCACCCGAGGCAGCAACATAAAGTTTCCCAGAGCCACTTCCCCTCACTCTTCTAGCGATCTTATATCAACAACACGAACCGACCTTGTATATTCTCACACCCAAATTTTGTGTAATCCTCAAAAAAATGGCCGCAGTACAGTCACTCCTCAAACCAGTCTTCGCCCTCGTGGGCTGGACGTTCGCAATGGAAGGCTGGATGTACGCAACCCGCCTTCCCGCAATGACAAAATACAAAGTCAAGACGGATCCAAACTTTTCAAAAGAAAAGCTGAACAATCAGATTCCTCCTCATGTGAGATGGAAGGGTACTCATTCCCGCCTTAATACATGTCAAAGCAAATAGATAGCTAATTGGACCATGCAGCCGACAACTACGACCATCTCCACGAAGCACCTACGCGTTTCTACGCCGTAGCGCTTGGACTTGCATTGTATGCTAGCACTTCGCCTGCTGCGTTGACGACGGGGTTTATGGCTACAGAGGCGAAACTGGCTTGGGGGTATGTGGCTCTGAGAGTTGCGCATAGTATTGTGCAGGCGAGCGCAAATCCTATCATGGTGAGGTTTAGTCTGTTTGCTGCTAGTGAGCTTACTATGTTGGGATTGTTGCTCAAGGGGGTTAGTGCAGTGTATGCTGCTAAGGGTGTTGGCAGTTTGATCTGAAGACCCTGTTGATGGCAAGGAAGTTGAATAGGTCGGTGTTGATGTGTCTATGCTGGGTATCTCTGCTTTATGCTGTCTTTCGAAATTAATCCTGGCTACTCGCAATAGAATGTAGCACATTCGTGATTGGACTATCCTTGAATGTGCTACTATCCCCAGATACAAGCTCTCATAGTAGCGATCAAAGACAGTTCACTAGAATAACGACTACCACGGTGTAGGGTAGCAACAACGCAACAACAATGCTGCCATATAGCATTGCCTATGTCCGATTCATAGGTATAGCTCACCACCTCGCTCCCTTGACCTCAAAGTACCCTCCAAAGTCACCTCTATTCCACCTTGCCACATCCCCACCACAAAGCTTCCAGAGCTTTCTCTCCAACCTCTCATTCCGCACCTGAGTGTCAGACTTGCGAATCTTATCCTGCAAAGCTTCCACTGGCGCTAGAACCACGCTGCGATTCTCCTTCTCTGCAGATGGCAAAGCAACGAACGAAGAACTTGGTGGCGAGATTGGTCGCTGGGGTGTAGACTTCCTAGTCACAGGTGACGCTTTGCGAGATTTGGCTAGTCGAGGTACAGGGATGGGTAGTGGTGTTGATGCTTCTGGAATAACCATTTTCGGTTTCCGTCGTAGAGTGCGTGCGGCTTGTGTGGCTTGTGCGAGTTTTCTGTTTGCAGCAACTGCAGATCTGCGTTTTGGGAGTTCGAATGAGGCTTCGATTTCGGAAGTGTCTGGTTCGGTGTCATTTGCGAGTTCGAATGTTACATTGGATTCCAGTAGAGATGAGGAATCGAGAATGCTGGGTGTAGTCTGAGATTGTGCTGCTGTGAATTGAAGGCGTCTTGCCGCGCCTGTACGGCTGCTCTCTGCTCTGCTGGGCTCAGGCCTGGGAGGCTGTTTGAAGAGGGTGTCGAAGTCTTTCTTCTGTGGACTTTTTCGTGGTGAAGGCGGATATTCTATGCTGGCATTGCTGGTATCTCGGGCTTGTTTTTGAGGACTCTTCTTCGGCGAGGGTGGGTATTCGGCTTCGGAGTCTGTCATGGAGAAATCGCGCATTGGCGCTGGGGGTGCTTGTCGTCGTGGTGATAGTCGAGGAATTGGTGCCATAACTGGAGATATCCTTGAGTCGTTGTCTTGATCCATAGGTAGAAGCTCAGACGAATCATCCGGCATGATAGGTGTTGTGTGTGGCATAGGCAGACGGACGGCACCGAATACATCATCTCTCGCAGATTGACGCACAAACGGACGTGATGTTGCTGGTGCTCGAGTAGGCGGAAGCGGCGGTGTACCAGCTCTGTTCGCCTTTCTCCCGCCCTCGGTCGGAGTTTCCATCATTTCTCTGGGCAAAGGCGTTCCTCTCCTTCTCGTCCTTGTCGTCTCTCCCATATTCAAGGCCGAATCTTTTCGCTCCATCTCCTCACTCTCTTCACCTCTCCTCTGTGCCGCCAAAACAGCCTCCTTAAGGTGTTTCGGCACACCTGCCTGCAACCTCGTCATCATCCTCGCCCTCCTTTCAAACTGGCTCCAATCTCCCTGCTCCAGGAACATACCCGCCTCAGCATTCAATGCACTGCTCGCGTTGGGTTGAACCAGCAAACAGCATATCGTGACCAAAACATCTCTTAACGTCAATTTCTGATCCCAATCTCGTTTCAGTGTTTCCACACAAACAGCTCCTGTTCCATCGTCGACATTAGGATGGAAGATTTTGGTCCGGAAAAAGGCTTTCGGTGGTTCCTGAGGATATGTAGTAGGAATTGTGAGATGAAGTTTGAAAACACCAGTTTCGTAGGGTGTAGCGCGTGGACCTGCTAGCAGTATATCCAGGGCTGTGAGTTCTGAATCTGATGTTGATGTTGGGTCAAAGAGATAATTTGGTGGTAATGGATTGTTGTGTAGAGCCGCGTGATCACCAGCAAGACGTCGCAGATTCCGCGAGTTCTGTTTTGCAAATCAAACATGTCAGCAAGTTATTTATATCAATGATTTCAAAATTGCCTGATTGTGTTTACCATGGTTCAAATATTTTTGTCGTCGATGTCTCCCAACTCCGTTATCCCCGAGAGCAGACCCTCGTTATCTAAATATTACAGCGATACTCAAAACTGGGATGGAAGAATGATCCTGGTAGCAATCAATTTAGGTTTCTGCTTTGGTTGTTCAGAGTGCTGTACAAAATCTGCTGATGTGAGATTTGTTGTTATTGTTTGGTTCTAGGCTTGACGCGCGCCTGCGGAAGTCGCGATCCGTTCCAGCCAATTTGCCCCAGTTTAGAACGCCAAGAACATTAGAAAACAATGTTTGAACAAGTGAAAAGGCGTTCATTATTATGTCGTGTACATTAAGTATACACCGTGGATAATGGGAGTGTCCATTGTCCACTTTCGATTAAACATGAGTTGTTCAATCCTGTAAACCCAACACTCAGAAGATACCACTTCCTTTCGCCCACCCGAACGCCTGTAATAGTTGTAGCAAATAATTGATGCCCAATCCCACCCCAGCCTTGCCTTTCCCCTTAGGCTGCCTCAAGATAATGTGTCCCAAATTTGAAGAATTGAAGATAATAAAGATGAGTCGAATTTACTCGTCGTTCGACTTGTCGGTCATTGGCTTCAGCTCAGCGCCTTGTCCGCTCTGACCTCTCTTGCGACCACTGCCAAAGTGGAAGCCATGGTGACTTGATGTTGGTCTGGCATCCGGAGCGTCATCGTTGCTATCTGTCAAACGCGACAAGAAACCGCGCTTCTTTGGCTTAGGGTCATCAAGACCGACATCTTCGAAGCCTTCGTCCGCTGTTGGTAGAGGTCTGTTGAGAGCTAGCGAGCTGCGTGGGGGCTGGCGGTGGTACGAAGAGTCGAGAGATTGACGCGGGCGGCCCTCAGGTGCGATGACAGGCGAGCGGGCTGAAATGTCCTGTGCATGTGATGTTAGCCTTCGCGGCGGTGATTCTATTGACGATCGCAACGTACGAAAGAGCGCCTGTATGAGTCGAAGGATTCTCTAGAAATGTTGAATGGTTCTTCGCTGAGCATAGCGCGATGGTTGCTAGACGAGTTGGTCGAGCTGCTTGATTTGGTCGACCAGAAGTTCTTGCGCTCGGTTGGAGAAGGCTGCGAAAGCGTGCGTCAGAGGGGATTCAAACATGTAGATAGAGGAACTGCATACAGGAAGATAAACACCGCTGTCGTTGATTTCTACCAGGCATGTTAGTCAAATGGTCGCGACAAGCATGAAAGTGCGGGCGCATGCTCACCACTCAATTTGTATTCAGCAGGCTCCTTGATTTCGATTGAACGCGGGGCAGAGCCATTGCGACGGTCAGATTGGGGTTCTGCAGCACGCGCAGCGTCCTCGGTGCGACGGAAGGGATTCCTGATGATGGGCATGACAGGCGGCTCGTTCTATTTGTTGAGCAATATATTGCAGGCGGAGAGAGTTGCGGCGAAGGTGCGGGGGAGAATGTCACCGCGAGATAGTCGATGCTGGGGAAGATATCCAGATAGCGGTATGGGCGGTCAATTGGAAGAAGACTGATGGTTGAAGATGAGTTGAAGTTGGAAAGAAGATCAAGGTGCGCCTTGGCTTGCTGCGGAGAAAGGTACCTCGAATCATGATGTGGACCACGCCATGCACGAGTCCTTGATTGGCCGTATCTCGACTGTTGGCCGGCTGCGATTGCGCCCGAACCGTGTTTGCACACAGCGCGCCGCAGACGTTGACGGCCATCAGCCTTTCCGACCACCAAAAGATTGACTTTCCAAGCCTTTTCTTCTGCCAATCTGAAACCACTGATGAGTCTCTGTGTCAATCTTTACCCTTTGCTTGACCCTTGCCTCAAACAAGTTTCTCCAATCAGCTGACCGACTGAGAACACCCAGCAGCACGCAACTTTCTTTGTTCTGCCATGGCCAGTCACGGCAGTCACGTCGTCCAAGCCTCGGCACACGAGTGGGCGTCAACATGACAGACCACTACGGTACCGGCGGACCCTTACATATGGCCGTTCTCAAATCAATCTTGCATAAAACCGTTCGTTTGCGCTATTATCGTTTGGAATTCGCTCTTGCTCGTATACCAATGCTGTTCTCGATGCCCAATACGCAGTGAACTGTTTTACCAAAATTGCTGTCTCCTTAATCACTTCGTACACCAGACTCTCGCCTTACTCGGTAGCAAACACAGCCTTTGCAATGAGTACCGCATCAAAATCGCCCCCGATAACTACGCGCATGTCGCCGTCAACGCTACGCTTGCCTCAAGGTCCTTTTAGCAAGATAGTCTTCTATATCAACATGCCCTTGGCAATCGTGTGTTGGGCCACAACAATGCTGAGTGAGGGCGGCAACTCTATCCCACAGCTTCTCTCGCCATTCATCATGCCTACAGTCGGGGTTGCGACGACGTATTTTATGATATCCATGTTTTTGCTGCCAGCAATCGCTGGTTGGTATGATTTTTAAATGAAGCTCAGGTGTCAGATCAGAACTGTCAGTCGCTCATCTTCGAAAGCCGTTGTTGCTTACCCTTTCCAAGCATCTCCGTTATCCTAGTTTTCGGCATTGAAACGTTCTTTTACGCAATCGATTGATATCGCTTATATACAATTGTTTTGCTTAAATACATTAAAGAAGATTATCACAACGCTATATCGTTTCTATCGTATGATGCATGCTTTTTGATCCTCATCTTGTAGGCGAGATTAGATGTGCAAGTTGCCGGTGAGTTGAATGTCCAAAACACTCTTGCCGACATAGATGGGGTAGTCGCCTTGTTGGAGGCGCCATTTCTGGCTGACAACATCCCACTCGCTCAGATCACGTCTGGTGATGTCGAAGTGGAATTTGACGCTCTTGCCGGGCTGAATGCCTTGCTTGTTGAATCCACGGAGCACCTTGGCTGGACCCCCAGGGATGTGAACGTACAACTGTGCGACTTCCGAGGCAGTGACTGAGCCAGTGTTGGTGATGGTGCAGTCGACTGTGGCAATGACATCCCAAAGAGAGGCAATACCACCCTGGGCAATGGTGGTGTTGGGAGGGAATTCGGAGGTGCTGACGTTGCTAAGCACCTTGGTCTGCAGTGACGAGTAGTTGAAGGTTGTGTATGTCAGACCGTAACCAAACTCGAAGCGAGGGGTAATATTCTGAGCAATGAAGGCCTTGTAGTCAATGTAAACGCCCTCGGTGAAGTTGTCCTGGGTGTAGTAGTTGCTGGTGTTGTCAGGAGTAAGGTGGGACAGAAGGTTGCCGTAATCGGCGGGCTTCTTAGCTACGGTGTATGGCATACGCCCGCTAGGTGATTGCTTTCCGTAAAGGACTTCAACCAATGCCTTGCCTGAGTCCTGGCCTGGAAGATGGGCGTAGACAATGGCGGTGATGTTGGGGTTGGAGTACCATGCATCGACGGTGCGGATACCAGCGTTGTGGAGAACAACCATGGTGTTGTTACATTGGGCTGCGACATTCAAGACAAGGTCATCAGAGTACTGGTCCTGCAAGTAGGGGCGGTCATATGACTCTGAGGCAAAGGCGTTGATGAAGACAAGGCAAGCTTCTGATCCTCTCTGGACAACAGGGTTCTGGCTGTGAAAGTCCCACTGCAGCCAAGTGTCATCCTGCATTGCTTGCTCAGTAATGGCGCTGAAGGGGTCACTGATGTATGCAGGCTGAGCAGCACCAGAGCCACCTCCAGTCACCATAGTTCCGTTGATCGCAATACCGGGCAGGTTATCAGATGGAACGGAAGAAGGATTGACAAACAGCGAGAAGAGTTCACTGGCATTGACACCATTGACGGGAGAGAACCCGAAGTTAGACAGGGTGAATGCGGCTGCATTGTCGGGGGTGTAGACTGATGGAGCAATACCGTCGTACCCGAAGAGAGAAAGGAATCCTGGCTTCTTCAAGGGCAGAGCGTTGTTCACGTTCTTGACAAGGACATGACCTTCAACGGCAGTCTGGAATGTGCTCGCCTTCGAGGCGGGATCGCGAGCATTGACATACTCGTGAGGCAGGGTGAGGTTAAGAGGCATACCGTGTCCGGGGTTCTGCCACTCGGCAAGATGATACCAAGATGCGACAATGCGAGTTGCCATGTCATCAAGTCTAGTGGAAGAGAGCGAGCCGTTGTTGACAGCTTGACTGAGGTTGCCGTTTTGCCAATAAGTCGAACTAGGCATGGCCATATCAAGACCTGCCTCAGCACTAGCCACTCCAGAGTGTTGTGCTCCCCAATCACTCACAATAAAACCAGAAAACGAGAGCTCGCCCTTGAACAGTCCGTTCATAACCTTTGAGTTCTGGCAGCTGTAGGAGTTGTTGACCCTCTGGTATGAGCACATAGCAGATCCGACGCCTGCGTGAACGGCGTCCTGGAAAGGCCACATGTACAGCTCGTGCAGAGTCTTGTCGTCGATGTTTGCAGACATAGAAGCGTTGTTACCAGATGGGTTGCGGTCAAGTTCCTGTTCGTTTCCAATAAGATGCTTGATGCAAGCGATGACGCTGTTTTGCATGCCTTGGATGGTCTCGAAAGTCAGACTACCAGCAAGATAGGGATCGTTGCTGAAACCTTCCCAGTTGCGACCACCCTCGGCTACTCTTCCAAGGGGTCCAACAACGGGTCCAAGGAGAACGTTGACACCCTTGGCCTTGAACTCAGCACCCATGTAGTGAGCTCTCTGGTAAGCAAGGTTACGGTTCCATGTGGCACCAACGTGGACACCCGAAGCAAAGCCAGTGACACCATCAGTAGCACGGAGACCGTTTCCAGCATCGCTCAAACAAAGACCAGGGAAGCCAACTCTAGGTGCTGATCCACTGTTACCACCACATCCATTTGTCCTGCACATGCTGTTAGCAGACTGAATCTCGTTCCATTGATCTCAGTTGACTGACTTGGAGGTGTAACCGTATGTGATGTTGTTCTTCTCAAAATCGGTCATAGAAGCTACCAAAGCCCTAGCCTTCTCGTAGGCAGTAGCCCACTCACCTTTGCCTTCTCCTTGCGCTACGGGGAGTCAGCATATTATTAGAATGAAAGGACAGATGATACATACGAGAGGGGTAAACAGGAGGAGATCTTCCATAAGACCAGAACTTCTCAAGGTTGGCCAGCTCAGCCTTCAATTGAGCTTGAGCAGCAGCAGTAGCGTTGTATGTCGAATTCTGAGCGGAAGTAACATCTGCGAGGGCCAAGGCAACGGCCAGCAGCTCGGTAGTGAAACGCATGATGAGAAAGCCTTATCAGAGAGACTGGTACAATCTCTTGTCGATGTCAAAGGCGTTAGCTGTTGCTGATGGATATCAAGAGCGGGCATGCTGGGCTTTTATATTGCACAAAACTTGTAGCAAAATTGCCCTCTGGGGCCCTAAAAGCATAGTCCATCATCACGGCTGCCTGTGCCCTTGGTCAAGAACCCAAAGCGGGGTGCTCGTGTGCATACCAAGCCAATTGACTGGAATGATCTAACTGGTCTTGCCCATTTTTACGAGTGCTTGGACCGGGCATGAAGGTTCTGGGGCCGGGAATCAGACCGATGGCGGGTTGCTGCGTGATCAACCACTCGCGATTGGCACCGATGAGGAATCAAACCCATCTGCCACACGCCAACTGCCGTGGTGAGGACATGGAAGTGTCTGATGTTTAAGCCACTATAGTTTTTATTCTCCACTTGAGCAAGCCACTCCCACGCCGCGTGACATAAATGAGGAGTCCGTGAGGCTGGTAAAGACAACGGGAACTACACTTGGCACCATGCTGAATGCTTAGGGCACTACCGGCTGGCTTGGTCGAGGCGAGTTCAAGGTCAGTCTGTGGGGCATAGCGGGGATTTTCCGAGTCAAGCAATTCGACTCCAGGGCTTGATATTCGAAAAGCGGTTGTTAGGATGCTGGGCTTGTGCCACATCTTTACGAAATGACGAGTGGCCGGGCTTCTTCATTTCAAGGTTGTCAGAGGAAGCTCAGATGCGTCGAGTATCAGCAGCATGCTTGCTTTAATTGACTTCAAATGCTGCACCTAAGGTTCTAAAATCAACGAACTTACGTTCGTGCATCTCCATTGTTCAAAGTTGTTGACGTGAGGTCGATCTTGGAACGTGGAAAGCTGGAGACTCCACGTCGTGAACGCCCCGCCCTCCACATGAAGGTGGGGCCGTTTGGGAAGACTTCTTGCTTCGCTTCACCAAGCCAAATTCGTGCACGCTTTGACCTGCAGCATCTCGACGTGTCTTGACGACGAAGTGGCTTTGGTCATCGGAGTGTTGGCCTTCATATCTCACGCGCGGCACACTCCATGAATGTCACACTTGTTGGGCATTAGAGACACAACCTTTCGATTGCAAATGCTCTCACAACGGATTGATTGCGTTATGCTTCTCTGTACATCCAGGAATACGAGTCTCCAGCCTGGCCAGCGACAGTTTTCTCACTGTCTGTGCTTTGACAGTCTATTGCTGTGCCGCACGACCACGGTACTCCACCTCAACCACTGTGATGAGACTCCACAATAATGCACACTCCACCGGGGTCTCCACGCTCGTGTTAGTATACACCGAGGCAGTAATTCTTGCTGACGATAACTTACTGCAGCACAGTTGAGAGGATGCCGAGAAGCATGCCGTATGTCGGCCCGGCGGCCAACCTCATTCGAGGGCACGGGTATCCAAGTTTCCGTCGCTGACCTCCAGCAAATGACGGCCACTGTCATGCTTCAATGACTCGTCTCTTGTCTTCTTCTCGGCATTGGTCTTCGTGTACTGCCAGCTTCGCTTGGTCGGATCTCGTGTTTGTCTTGCCTTTTCATGGACGTGAATTGTCGCATCGCAAAGTACTACCCGAGAAATGACTTCCCCGATCTGCATAGCATACGAAACTCAAAAAGCTACCATTCAATTCTCATTCTAGGTCAACTTGGAACACCTTGCAACCACATCTACATCAACACGGCCAACTTCAACTTCGAGCTGTATGTCCCCACCCTGGGAGACCTCGACCTTCTTCTTTTGCTTGCCATCTATGAAAACATCCCAGCTTCCAGAAGACAGATTCCTCAAAGTTGCTTTGAGGATCTTACTACTTCCATCCCAGGTTCTCATGGTGATGATAACGAGTCCCCTCTCAGCATCCCAGAAACCTCGAGAGAAATTGATATCGTCAGCCAGACTTATACCATCGAGCCAAGGTTGCGAAGACACTTGCTGCTGCGTCCATGGATGATCCCAGATCTTCTTCATGCCATCCTCGATGTTTAGTCTGGCATAGCCGATGGCAGCATTACCTGTAAAAGAATCCATGTGCGTCCATTTCAGGTTCTCGTCCATTGCTTTGTCGTTGCGTGGGTAGTAAAGACCACCCTTCTCCCACGTTGGATGCAGATTCTTGTCGATGAAGTCGAGTAAGCCTGGCAACTCCTTTCTGCCTAGCTCAGATAACCATCCGACAGTGTAGCCAAGAATAGGCTTGGTCAGGAGGGAAAGAGGTTTGTTGACAGATCTCTGGGCTTGTTGCTCAAGAGAGGTGTGTTGTGCAATCTCTAGTGCTTCCTTCATGATCTCCTTTGGGTCTTTATCGCTGGCAGAGGCCTCAATTGCGACTTGACGATATGCGTACAAACTGACCATCAACAGCAGACGTCCACTACAAATTCTGTTCTCCCTGACAATAGGGTCAGCCCAGGTTTCCTCAACTCCTTGAGCGAAAGATCGGTGGTGACGCCTTCGCCAGCGGTAACAAGCAATATATCTATCATAAAAAGGCACAATCTTTTAGAAAGCAGAGGCAGGTCCACAGAGAGTCGACAACTTGCTGCCTCTCAGTGGATCGCATCTTGTCTCCTATCACTACTTCGCAATCCTATATACGCGTTACATACTTGAGCACACGGGGAGGCTGTACTCGGCGACAACCCAAACTATATGTTATACTCAACCCCGAGCCCATCAAAGTTATACTAGAATCCCAGTAAATATTTGTAGACTTGTCATCATGTTTGCTACCTCAATCGAGCTTATACGGTGTCAGACTTGCAAATTAGATGCTTGGAAATGCGGCCAGGGTCACTGATCCAACTGGATAATCGCTAAGAATACTGCGACCTCCAACACTCGTTCTGATGATTTTGGTGTTCTCTTTGCTGCGCAGTGATTGAGAATTGCATCAATTTGAAGCCTAGGTATGCATACAGAACTTTGCTCCAATATCACGTACTCCCTGACTCCTATTTCCGGCAGCATGCCCCTAACTCCAGCTGAACGCTTCGGTGCGTCAAGGACTATGCCTGCACTGGCTCCACGATCACAGCATCACTAGCCATAACCTGATTGACAACCTCCAAAGCCAGCCTTTGCACACTAGCAAAATCACCACTAACATCCACACTCATAACATCCCTCTCATCTTTCGTCGGCGGCTCCAAAGCATCAAACTGGCTCTTGACCATACTGTCCTTCATGTAATGACCAACTCTGCCATGTACTCTCTGCAGCAAAAGTTCTTGTGTCGCTGAGAGGTAGATAAAGTGGACTAGGACATTGTGGTCGTTGTAGGACGCGACTCGAATGACGTCACGGTATTTGCGCTTGAGGGCCGAGCAGGTAAGGACGACGCCTGAAGCGCCGGTGTTGAGGGCAGCGACGGCTTGATCGCGCAGCAGGATAAGCCAGTCCCAGCGGTCGGCATCGGTGAGAGGGATGTTGTTGGCCATTTTGTCAATGTTGGCTTGGGGGTGGAACTGCAGAGATCGAAAGTGTAAGCAAAAGAGTCGCCCAAGGACTCGAGTATTGACCGGAACTCACGCTGTCGCCTTCTAGGTAGGGCAATGCAAAGAATGTGGAGAGGTATTCTGCTACCGACGTCTTTCCGCATCCTGCTGGGCCTGTTATGATCCAGATGTGTCGGTGTTGCGGTACGGCAGCGGTTGTTGGTGCAGCTGTGGAGTTTGACGATGTGGAGTTGGCCATTGGCGCTGAAGAGGAAGGTGCAATGTGATCAGAAGGCATAACTGGCGTTTTCTCGTAATGGAGCATCGTCGCGGAAGGGGATTGTTCGTGTGCTTGTCGTGGGGAAGTCGATTCAGATGCGTGAAGCCTAAAGGATTTGGCAGGAACAATGGCGTCTAGTAAGTCGGTCGAGTGGAGCAGCAGGGACAGTGGTATAAGAATCAAGAAGGAAACAAGGAAAAAAACAAGACTCCTCGCCAGAGGCATGTAGAGGGCATGTTTATTAGATCGGCCGGAGACTGATAGGCCTTAGCCCTCATAGCCCAGATTTCTGGGAAAGTCGGGATCTCCACAACTGCATCGACGAGTCCTCCCGCATTTTCGTCTTTTCTGGTGTGATCGGCAAATGACGCACCTTTTTTGGGTTGCTTTCCGTTGCCGACCGGCTATTGCTCCATGAACTACATTTCAGAGTCTTCTTGAGATATATGCTCGATCAGAGGAATATAAACTGCTTGAGATCAGTCAGTCTGTAGAGAGGCTTCTTCTATTGCGTCTCCGATCCTTTGATGGATTCAGAGTCATGTCGATAGACGAATGCTACCTTAGAGGTTGCAATGTGGTCGACTGGCTGACTGTCACCCTTAACGCTTAAGCACGGCCGACACAATTGCCGCTCCGATTTTGGTCAAATTCTGGGGAATCAGCCTGCAGTTCAACTGCAATTTCACTGTCGCGCGACCACTCTCCTGTGCAAAAGACAGTCACAAGGTAGCTATAGAGATGCACAATAAGTTACGAAAGATTGAGGTCTCCACAGAGAAAACTTCATGAAGGTCATCTCAATGGAAAAGCCCACATTCGAGTCGTGACTGTGCATTGTGATAACCTATCATGACCTATGTACCTTGATGGAGAAGAGGTCAGTCACAGAACCGTGAATATGCCTGGTACATGGTGAGTTGAGACCAATCATTATATGGCATTTTGTATGACGTTCCATGTATGTATATACATCTCCCATGGCAGTTCTTGTACGACATCAATAACAGATGGGGGAGGGAGAAAGATAGGGAATCGGCAATGTGCAAACATAGAGGAACAGGTGAATCACAGTCCTTCAGCTCTCAATTCTCGGAAGTCTGACTAGTAACGATGCAATGCTTGTGGGAATGTTCATGTTCGCACAAGGTGCTTCATGTTGAGCAACAGCATTGAAACCAACAAGGCGTTGAGCGTCAAGGGACGCGATCCCAGCTTGCATCCACTTTATTGAGAGTGTTTCTCCTTGGTAATGAGTCTCATCTCTAATCTGGATCTGCCCAACTGTGATCTGGCGCGCCCGCATTTTTTTCTCTCAGCTCCAGGTCTTGAAGCTTTGCAAACTCTTTGAAAGCCTGATCGGTATCGAGGAGGGCATCCCAGATCTGAGAGCAGACCCAGATATGTCTGTGTCTGTAAAGAGCACTGGTGTTGTGGTATCAATGTCGGACAATTGACTCCTGTTCTGCCAGAAGAGCTTGATATCTCGATGAGGCTTCGCTCTCCTGCGTTTGGAACTCTCGAGGTCGTTCTTGAAAGTCCTCCTCGCGTTCTTCAGGTGGAGTCCCGTTCGACTTCCTCCAGAAAATTCTCTTCAGTCACTATATAGGCTATAGGCGTGGCAATTGACTGATCGGCCAGACGAGTATCAATGTTATCCAGTGTTGTCAGTCGTTCGTGCCCTTCAGGTCCGTGGTGGGAGAAGAAGTAGTCCTGGCGCTCGACATCTTGTTTATAACCATGAGCATTCATCTCATACTCATCTAAGCGCTTGAGTAAGCAGAGTAGAGATTATACTGTCGATAGGCTTCAAATCTGCTGATCTCATATCTCAACAATCGTCTGCAAAGTTAGATCCCTCGTATCCTCATGTATCTCTCAAAGGTGTCCGATACGTCCATGACCACTTCTTACAGCTGCCCGGGCACCTGAATCAGCCGATGTCTCTGGACAATCCTGTGTTTCTGATGTTCCTGACTCATGATCGACTGATATTCTTCGACCAAGATTTGATGTCTGGCAACAAGATCCCGAATTTCGATTCGAATGTCTTAAATCTCCTGCTCAACGCAATACATCATAACAACAGCTAACAACGCGTAGACACGTAGGATATGACATGGAAGGGGTACGTGACAATAGACAAATAGAATACTCATGTGGTATATGAGCACGTGGAGCAGCGTTCTGCTCCGTCAAGCATTCGTGACATTCCACGTGACGGTGTCTTGCATGGTTCGAGAACTCATAGCGAACAATGACGAACTGATGCGTGTCCTCCATTGCTGCCATCTTGTGGATCTGTGATAGCTGTATGAAGTCCTGGTCCAGCAGGTGTAATGGTCTGATCAGACAATGCCGGCGTCAGTGTTTAAGACTGCCCGCTGCCAAGTGAGGATAATGGCGTGGCTGCGCAATTCTCTCGCCCATTCGCACCTTGCCCAAACATACAAGTCCCGCAGTCTGTCTGCGTGAAGTTCGTTGTTATCTCTTCTTTGCGAGGCTTCCTCGATGGTCACATCGCTGCTGGTTATCTTGAGGCTCATGTCGATCTCGCAGGTGTCGATGTAGACTTTCCAGTTGTCAACAAGCTGATTGAACTTTGACAGAATCCCACACTTCAGGCACAGCATCAAGGAGTTAACGGTTCGGTCGGAGTTGAAGATTTGGCGTGCTTCCAGAAGGCCCATCCTGTTGGTCAGCTCTCCGTAATCCCTGATCAATCAGCTGTGTTCGTGTTCGTTCATTATGAACGCCGCTTCCAGATCATCACTGCTGAGAGATTCAAGGCCTTCCACTCTTGGAAAGATAGTGTCGTGATATATGTTAGGCATCCTTGTCAGATGTTTCTGTGAGTCTTAGTGAAGATGAAAGAGATTCCAATCCAAAGGGGAAAATGTTATATAGAACCTTGTAGCTTCTCCAGCGCAAAGCTAGCAACTGAAAATGTAGAGCCTTGCGTGTCATAACCGTAGCCGGAGTCATGAGGCAAGAATGTCCACGCATGTCACGCGGGTATTGAAAGAACGATCAGTCACATCAAATTGAATGACGTGGTCATAGTGCGAAGGATCGCGCATGATCAGGGACAAGGGAAAGAAACCGAACGCCAGGAGATGCATTGTGTCTAGGAAACTTCTGCGGAACAAAGAACAGTATGGTTATTTTGGGAGAGATAAAGTGAAAGAAGATCGTAGAGCTGAAGCATTTCTATGGCTGATAAGATATCATCGAGATGCCTGATCGGACAAGCTGGCCGTGAGTTGAGCGAAAGTTCTGAAAACGGTGTTGTGAGAGAGCAGCTTTGATCATACATCAGCCTTTGATTGGCTTGAATGAGCTGGCGAGAATGCGAGACATCTAGGGAGACTATTCGGTACAGGCTAATGTCAGACAATGTTTCAAGGCGCCGAAGCAAAAATAGGGTAGCAATTACCATGGCTTGAAGGTATTAACCACTCATAGGTTTGATATCATTGTTGATGAATCTTGCTTGGACGAGGATCTTGATAGGCTTGTAACAAGATGAGCATTTCTCATCAACCTCGACGTTGGCGCAGATGTCTCCTTTACGGCATGCTTGTTGTATCAAAGCTGCTTTCGAACAGTAGTTGGACAGGACGGTCTTGACATGTCCGCATTGGTATGTATGAGCGTAGAAGCGACACATGTCTATGCGGTGATGTCGTCTCCAATGTGGCCAGACGAATGGCCCAGAAGAAGGACCAGAGTGTTGCAGAGGGAAAAAGAATACGAGAGATGTGATGCTAGTCTGAAGACCGTTCTGGCAGTACTTATATCTTCTTCATTCTGATCCCTTGGCGTATCATAAACGATGGTGGAAAGCTAAACTCCGCTTCGAGGATTCGCATGATGACTTCGCACTTGCAGAGTGCGTGAGCTACTGCGAGTGAGTTGTGCACCCAGCATCACTCGGCCAGTGCAAGAGGCGACAGCAAACCAATCTGATTTCATTCCGGACTAAAGCAGAGTATGCGTCTCAGGCCAAAGAGCTCGTTATAGGCTTGACTTGGCCACAAGAAACAAGATCATCAGCTTTAGCCATGGAAGATCAGGCTTTGACGGCATGTGTTGCTTGGGTAGGTGGCATTACTTGCAGATGAAACTTAGGTACAACGACCGACACACTGCGATGGGATAATTAAGAGCAGAGCCATCCGTTCGGAAGCGCGTTGCGCTCACAAGGCGGCCAGGTGCATCTTTCTGTCTGATACCAGAGACCATCGCCGACCAAAGGAATGCGTCGGCAGCCAGATGCTGGTAAAATGTGATGCATGTTGCAGGCGTAGGCATGCAGCCGTGTTTCGTGGTTTGGATGCTGGGAACGCGAGAATATCGATATCCTCCATGACTGCTGATCAAATAGGCCGGAGACGAAGCGCCAACCTCAGCGGCGGGACAGCAGAAGTTTGCGATACGTTCTACCACAGCTAGATACTACTGTCGCTGGTACGAAAGTCCTGATCACCGCGTGATAGTCCTATTCGACCACGAGAGCTGTGGCTTGCGTAGGCTGGATAGCAACGCATGAGGATTCAGCTCAACAGTTGGCCAGTCCAGAGATCGACACTCTATTGCACCTTCCCAGCAAAAGGAGGAGTGCATCGTCATGCGAGCTTTCAAGTCTCGGGGAGCGTTCCTCCCTCAGTAGTCTTCCAGGAGGTTTCGGAGTCGAGCTGATCGTGCTTGCCCTATGCATGCCTCTGTATCACATGTCTGCCTCATCGTGACACCGCCTGGCAAAAAAAGATCCCGCTTGGCTCCGACTTTGACTTCTGGTCGGATGGTCGTTTCTGTTTGTGCCCAATACGCCATCAAGTAACAAGGTGCGGCAATGTTCAGGTGTTTGTCTGCTGCATGTCGGCAGAGTTTGGGCTACTTGTGTGGGCCACTTGAGTGGATCACTGCCCGACGCCGCCCGCCAATCACATCGTTGATGTCCCTTGTTGACCGCCTTTCTCCAGCACGCTACCACACCGCACAGTGCAGATGCTAGACAGCGATACGGATAGGGCCGCATTGGCGCTCTCTCGATCTCCTGTCAGAATGAAAGTTTGCTCTCGGTTCCTGCAGTACTGTTAACTGTCATGCAAACTATCTTCACTCCTAAGGTGGAAGCAAACCACATTCTGAAACTTCAACTCCTCGTCTGAATTCAGGCTCAAACCGGGTTTGACGATTCGTACAATCACCCAGATGTCGCTCATGACGGTATGATCTAGAGGCGGATCTTGGTTTCTTACCCAAAGAGGAATATCCTTGCCAACAAGCGAGGCCGACACGTAGCACCAATGCAATGCTTGCATGCAGGCTGCGCGATCCCGGCGCTCCATCGTCCCACTGCCCAACTTCTCTTTCATGCCTTTCATATCTCTCTTTTCTCATGTTCCACGTTCTGTTTTTGACATATCTTTGGGTGTGTTCTTTGCTGACTTGTGTTGCATCATTTCAATTCTGCGAATTCTGCGATCAGTTCTGGCATTGATACCTTAACACCAGTTTACAGGGCCAAGTTAGCCACGAGAAGACTTGCTGTCAGCTCCTCGACGGCTTGTTAATTTTGGTCCGTATACTTGTCAGGCTATTGGCAATCCAGAGAAAGGGTAGGGCACCTGCGTCATTGTATAAAGCAGTGCTAGTCTTTTTGTTCAGTAAGTGCTTATTGTTTCATCAGCAGCATACTTTTCCATTAGAGTCTGCTTGTCCCAGATGTTGAGCGCGACGCAAGGTTGTGTCAAGTTGACTTGGGAGATGGTCAGCGCTCGTGGCCCCGATTGAGCTGAAGAGAATCGGCCAATGAGGCGATCAATAGCAGACGGGGTGTTCGAACAGGACAGCCAGACTGACCGTGGTTAGGTTTCATAACTATAATAATACACCTCGAATGCTTCGATCCACCTTGAGTTATTGCCCAAGAACATACTCCTTCTGCCCCTTATATCCTGTCTGTTTGCACCCAATCTCTCCGCCTTCCTTGAGGCTCGCAAGCTACGCCGCGACACATTGTACGCCATCTTGCCCGCCCGCAAGAGCTTCGAGTCTGCATACCTAAACCCAACTGTGTAACAGAGCCAAGAAAGATCTCACTTGCTCTTCACACTCTCACACGGGAGTGCATACTGGACTCTGAGACTTCAGGCTTCCACATCTGACCAGCGCTTCGTTCAATCACAGACTCGAGCAACATCGCTTTTCACATCTTCGATCTCACGGTCTTACGACTCCAAGATCTGTCTCTCCACCACATTCTCGACCGTAAGTTGACGATCTATGCACATCGAACTTCAGCGCATCGAACTTCACAGGTACTGACGTTCTGGTCTCAAGTTCGTGACGATCTACTATAAGCTTCACGATCTCATTTGCTTGGACTGATACAAGACCCATCAGCCAGGGACTTTCTCACGTATTATCCGACGCAGTATGCTTATGCAACTGTGCTGACCTTCAACGATCTGTCAAGTGATAGCACAGCGTACACTGCGTGCTGACAAACAACTATGGCGCTGACCCAAATCGACCGCAAGGTCTTGGCCCATTCAATCAACTACTACGTCTCAAAGAACAACACCGTCGTTGAGAACCTCCGCACAGTCCTCGGCATTTCTGTCATGCTCGAGGAAAAACTTGCTTACGTCCACGACCTTCGCGTGTTGAACATTGACCTTGGCGTTAAATCGTTAGATCCCTACCGCGAGCTCATATTCCTTGCGAAGGAGGGACTGGCTCTCACTGAAGTTTTCATTGCGCCATACTGCGGAGAGAGTGCGGACGCAGTGTACCAGGTCATGGCATTGAAATTGCGCGCATCGTTCCACCATATCTTCTGCCAGTATCACAACACGCCTCCTGTCCGGCTACTACGCCAGAAGAAGGCGGAGGGACTCAGTGCTTTCAGTGCTTATTACATCGCTTCCAGACAAGACCAGGACTTCGACTTGGCTGCTTCGCCGGTTCCATCTGTGAAATCTTTCGTCACCAATCCTTATGCTGCCAACGGTCAGGCACCTCCGGTTCTGCCTCACGTCCCAGCCAACGAGCAATCTCAGCCTCGTACAGCCCCTGTACACCCTCCTGGATTCTACTTAAACACCGGGGTGGGGTACGAACCTCCTGTGTCCGCCAGTACCTTCCTGATGCCAGCTCTGGACTATACGCCTGAGACCAAGAGACTCTTTGAAGTCGCAGTCAAATGCGCAGAGGAGAAGCTACATCCAGCACATCCGTTAGTGCTATCGTTGGCTCTGGAGCAGGCCACATTTCTCATGGACTGTCTTGCAGACTATGACAAGTCGTTTAAGGTTGTCAAGAAGGCTGCTCGTGCAGCTTATCTTAGCAGAAGAGAGATCACTAAAGCAAACTGGGAGGATGTCGTCAGAATCTTGCACGACATGACTGCCATCATATCCAGATGCGAGCAAGTTCTGCAACCGGAGAAGCGTCTCATCCCGGTCCCACCAGTCACGTCTCCTCCCCTATACCCACCTCCTGATCGCGAGCTCCCTACTCCACCTCGTCAGCGCAATGGCTCCGCTCGCACAGATGACTACCCACGTCAACCCGACGCCTCTATTCGCAGTGACTCCGCTCATGGCGGAGCTGATCGCAGTGAGAAACATTCTTCGCCTCTCAAGCAGGTCCAGCAGTCCCCACCTGGAGGCGTCCCTATGAGCAAAGTGCAGAAGCTTGATATCTTGCAGCACCCACTCGCCGAAAATGCAACCATGGTCAAGGGCAATCCCAAAGGCACTGTCAACGAAGCGGCTTCACGCATCAGATCACCTGTCTCTCCCATGAACCTTGACAGCAAGATTGAGCAAATCAACAAGGAGCTTCTCGCACATAAGAAGTCAAAGAGATCTCGCAGCAGTGGCAGCAGCTCGAAGCCGAAGAGTGAGGGAAGACGTATGGAAGGAAGTGGCACGGAAAAGGAGCGCAAGAGACGTGCGATTGAGAGAGCGGAAGACGAATTGTTGAGAAGCCGTGCGACCAGCAAGGCAAGCGCCTCTGCTGGCTACCTTTGAAACTTAGTCATTATTGCGACCATGGGTGAGAAGAGCATTCACTGCTTGTACTAATATTGAATTGAAACGGAGGCTGGCATGGTGGTTCAGCTAGCGGTCCGAAGGTTGACGGCGAGGTGGACTTCTGGCTCATGTAGTCGAGACAAGGGAAGTGGCATCGCTCAATAAAATTCGTCTTTACAGAAAATGTATAATGTTGCTGGTCAATCAGAAGTGAATGGTGCAAACAACAAGAGTGTTGTAGATAAATTAGAAGGCCCGTGCTGATCAAGTGACAGCGTGACGCAGCTTGACGCGGGTTCCTGACCAACATTAACTCATCGATTCAGTCGCAGTTGCCAGACGAGCGAGTTAAAGAGGTATAACGCGTCTTTTTGGTCTCAAAACGCCCAGGAAACTGATTGAGATACCCAATTCGAACCACTCGGCTGCATGCACAGCGAGCAACAAATCTCGCTCTTCACACTCCCGGATTTACCCACGCGCTTTCAAGCTATGCAATAGACTATGGCAGGAGCTGAGGATCTTTTGTTTCATGACGTTGTATTCACCATCTTTAGTGGTCCAACGATCGGTCCAGATCAAGAGGAGCGAGTAAGAATAAAGTCACTGCATGGTCAAGACAGCTCAAAACACTGACGGGCTGCTCACAGTTGATCCACCTCTTGACCAACAACGGCGCCACTTACATCCCTCGCAAAGAAGATGGCGCAGTCGACCAACTCATCCGCCACACCCACATTGTCACCGGCGACATTGAATTCCCCGAATACTCCAGAGCCCTAGAATACAACGTCCACGTCGTGCGACCATCCTGGGTAGAGTCAAGTTACGAGAAGGGAAGACAGACACAACCGCGCCAGCACAGTCCAGACCCGTCTATGTTCTTTAGAGAAGTCATAGTCTCGTGTGCCGACTTGCCAGAGGGTGACAAGGATGCTATCATTGCTGGAACTCTGGCTCTGGGAGGCTTGTACAGCGCTCCCTTGACGAAGCTGGTTACCCATGTTGTGGCTATGGATACGAACAACGACAAATGTCGGACAGTGCAGGCGAAGAATCTGGCTTGCAAAATGGTCTTGCCTCACTGGTATGTATAAATCACTGGATTTGTCGTGTGTACTAACAAGACTCAGGTTCGACGACTGCTTGAAACTCGGCAAGCTGATTAACGAAGCCCCCTACCTCCTACCTGACCCCGAGATCCTTCGTCCGAACTTCGATGAACCTGTACGAGCAAGATCGACGCCTGGTCTTGATGGTGCTCTCTCGGCCGTGGCAGGAGCACCTCCAGCATACAATCCTCCCATCTCACCCTCAGACTCTCGCAAGCAACTTGTCGTCTTCAGGGATAAGAAGGTGCTCTTCTCCAAGGACCTGAACATCAACGATCATCTGGCGAAAACATTGCGACAGCTTGTAAGCCAGGCGGGTGGCTCCCTCACAACCAACGTCAAAGAGTGTGATGTATACATTGGTCATTACCGCGACGGCATGGACTATGTAGCAGCATCGCGCGACGATAAGGTTGTTGGAAACCTCGCTTGGTTCTACAACGTCATCAATCGTAACAAATGGACGAATCCCCAGGGTAAGCTTCTCCATTATCCAGTGCCTAGAGGCGGAATTCCCGGGTTCCAGGACATGAGAATCAGTCTGTCAAACTACAGTGGAGAAGCTCGCATCTACCTCGAGAATCTGTGCAAGGAAGCAGGAGCAGAGTTTACAAAGACCATGAAGCAAGACAACACACACCTGATCACCGCTCACACGCACTCTGAAAAATGCGATGCCGCTCAAGAATGGAACATCGCTATCATTAATCATCTCTGGCTGGAAGAAAGCTATGCAAAGTGTTCAGTACAAGCTCTAACTCACAAACGCTATACCCACTTCCCACCACGAACAAACCTCAGCGAGATTGTGGGTCAGACTCCAATCGACATCAGCAAAGTCCGCAAACTGTACTTTGCAAGTAATGAAAAGACAATCAAGGATGCAGAGCCAGGCCAAAAGACACCGCATCCCTTCCGCGGCGCAGTCAGAGCACCCGATACGTCTCCTAGAAGAGACATTGCAGCATCAAGTGCAGCAGGAGCTAGATCCTCCTTCGCTGCAACAGATGCCATGGATATTGATACTAACGAGGACAACGAAGCCAGCGAGTTCCTTCCACACGCACCACAAACAGCCAAGAAGAGGAAAGCTCGCGTTGGTTCTGATGCGGCTATCGCGACCCCTTCGATGTTGGACAAGCGCCAGGATAGAGAGAATAGTCCTCCCACTACCGGACGCGCATCCAAGGAAAAAGCACTCGGCAACTTGCATGCACTTAAGGATGACGTTCTGTTATATGAACGCGAGAGGAAACGAAAAGGTGGTGTCATTCATGGCGGAAGGAAGACCGCTGAACCTGAAGAAGCTCCTGCAGCCAAGACGACCAAGGCTACTACAAGGAACAAACGCAAAAGCGATGATATGGGTGACAGCCATGCTGAGATCAGCGAGACTGACATTGCTGGTGTCAAGGGCAACAAGGCCAAGAAAGCAAAGACAGATGCTGGACCCAAGGTTCTGTACACTATGATGGTAACAGGAGATGAGCGATGGTTGGGCAACATGAAGAAAGAAGCTGCAGAAACTGTGAGTTTGCTATGTTCATTCATCTCATACGAGAACTGTAATTGACAGGACAACAGGCCAAACTACGAGCTCTAGGCATAAAGTTGACTGCCGAGCCGGCAGAGTGTACTCTTCTGTGCGCACCACGCATCCTTCGCACCAAAAAGTTCATTGCCGCTCTTGCCAACAGTCCCGACGTAGTCACGATTTCATACCTCGACGCCGCGCTCTCAACCAATACACTCCCCGACATCAGTGAGCATAAACTCGTCGACCGAGAAGCCGAGGAACGACTTGGATTCCGCATGGACGAAGCGCGCGAACGTGGAGAGACCAACGAGAATCGTCTACTGCATGGCTGGACCATTTTCGTAACCGAGAAAGTCAGCGGCAAGTTCGAGACATATAAAGAGATTATCGCCATCAACGGAGGAACAGCAGTACCCTACAAAGGCCGCACAAATGTCATTGCCGGACCGCGGATCTCACCGTCTGAAGACCCTGACGCAGGACCGGAAGTAGAAAACCAGGGCGGCGAGGCGGAGCTGAACAGAGTGTACCTGATTTCCAGCACTAGTGATGAGGAAGTCAGGCTGTGGGACAAGTTTAGGGTTGAAGCGCAGAAGAAGGGTCTCGAGGCGAAGATTGTCAAGACGGATTGGTTGATCAATCTTGCCATGAGTCAACAGGTTGAATGGGATGAAAAGTGGGAGCTGTTGGAATCGCAGGTGCCTGGCTGGTCGAAGTAGATGTGGAGATGAGCTTCCTGATCCCCGATAGATGTGTATCCATCGTATCATCCAGTATTGCTCAAGACTTTTCTGTTGAGTTTGTTGCCTGAAGATCCGAACCTGGTACTGGGTGCTGAAGCTTGCTGTGTCGTGTCTCCGTCTGCTGTAAGGCTTGTGGTGTATCGTGAACCCTCATCAACCACTTCCCCAGCCATTTCAATCAAATCTTCGGCTCTCGCCATGAGCTTCCAGATGGCCATGAAGGAAGCAACTGCTTGGCCGTCTCAGAAAAACTTGACACCACTTCCATCGGCCTGGCCAAAGACCTGCGCTCTCCCCTTTTTGACCAAGACATCCAAGCACTTTCTCAACATATCCTCATCCATTCCCACCCACTCCTGCTTCTCCACCGCCTCTGATTCTCTCAACTCATAGATCGTCAACACCACACCCTTCTGACCCGTCTCATCCACCCACCTTGCAATCTCCTCGGCCCACTCAGCCGCGCTCTTCCACCAAATCCACGCCGTACTCTTATCTTTTCCCACGTATTCAGCACGATGTTCGCCTTCAGCCGACGCCATAAAATCTAGGACTTTTTTTATGGACAACGCGTCTAAACTCCTGTGAATTTTTGCGTTGGAGAATAGGGGAAGGGAGGCTGCGGAAGAGATGGAGAGTTTGAAGGTGTGGTGGTGGGAGCAGAAGGATTGGATTAGTTGGGACCAGAGGGAGAGTTGGCGGAGGAGGGTGGACTGGTTTGGTTGGAGGGTGTAGAAGGGAGGAAAGGAGTGGTGGGGTGGGTAGGGGAATGTGTCGCTCTGAGTTGTGAGGATTGTAGGTTGTGGTGAAGCCATTTTTTGATGGTTTGGATTATGATATGTGGTGGAGGAAGATGCAGAGGTTTGGATGGAAAGATGGAGGGTTTGCATGTGATTGTGAGGTACGCATGTCATTGCTTGTCTGTCCTTTGGTGAAAAAGTCTGGGGAAGTGGTTGGTAAATGACTCGCGGAAGTTTCCTCCGATGACGAAGGCCAGACAACAACTTGGACAACTTTCTCTCACCTGCAAGCTTGAAGAACCAGCAATCTCTAGTTATCCGAGGAAACAACAATGGCGACAGCATCAATGACAGAAAATATCTCGGTGGATCTGGACCAGCTCCTCACGCGACTGTCAGACACCCTGCTTTCACCGACCGCAGACGACACACATCTCCGCACTACACCTTATGAACGCAATCGCATTAGTGCCGTGAGTCCTACCTTCTCTGCCTTCCTCGGAACTGTCTTTACTTCTTCTTGTCTTCTGCCGTCTTCCACAGCACAAGAAGCTGACGCTCACGACCCTAACAGAATGTCGAATACGCACGAACACTCCTCCTCCGCCTCGAACACAATACCCAAGACATCAAGACACAAACCCAAAAGACCTCTGTTCAAAACGACCTAGCCTCAAAACGCGACCTCATAAAACGCTTAAACACACGTCTCCTCGAGCTAAACCAATTAGCTGCTCTCCACGACGACTCCTCATCCTCAGAAGACGAAGACTCAGACTCCGAATCCCAACGACCGCGAGAATTCGCCCCAGCAGTTGCAACATCAGATACACTAGACACAGACCCAAGTCTTACATCGCCACAACAAGCAGCACAAGACCTAGCTTCCACACTGCGCAACAGGACAAATGCCACAAACAGCTCCGCAGCACCTGATACAGCAACAACAACCGCCCTTTTCGGAAACCGCAGTCCCCAAAACCCTACTGCTTCAGGACAACCTCTATCTACTGAACAAGTCCTCGAATCTGCAACCCGGGATCAAGACATGCTCACCAGCTCTCTCGTCACACTAGCACAATCCCTCAAACAAAGCAGCTTGCAATTCGCCAGCTCGTTGGAAAACGAAAAAGAAGTCTTGAGGAGAGCAGAAACTGGACTGGATAAAAACAGTATGGGGATGGAGGCGGCAGGCAACAGAATGGGTGCTTTGAGGAGAATGACCGAGGGAAAAGGGTGGTGGGATAGGATTAAGTTGTATGCTATCATCGCGGGACTATGGATTGCGGCGTTTCTGTTGGTCTTCGCGGGACCGAAGTTGAGGTTTTAGAGGGAGAATAGAGGAAGTAGGTTATACGAAGAGGATGGGATGTGGACGGTGATACCATTTTGATGAGCGCACGCACAGATCAGAATCAGCTTGGTTGTCCACGGCAAAGATCAAACAGAGGACGATATCATGATGGAAGGCGATATAGATTCTATTGCACCACATGGACGAGCAGCAAACCAATAGAACACTCCTTTGTGAGGTCATGTATCCTACGGCAATGACAGATGAAAAATGTCTGGGCTGAGAAATGGCTAGAGAGGCTGAATCAAGGACATCATTTAGAAAGTCGGATTAATGCTTCTCGTAATCGAATTTCTTGGTGTTCTTCTGTTGTAAAGCTTTTGCACATGTAGAAGCCTCTTTTGAACCATGCCTGTCTTCCCACCCCAAAACGCCTATCTAACATGTGACCTTGTCTCTCAACGTTGATGCCATTCGAAAATTCAAGGCTCGAACTTGGGCTGGTACTTCTCGCAAGCAGCATCGAAAGCCTCCTTCTTAGCAGCCAAACCCTGCAAAAGTTCAGTCTCTTCACCACCCTTGGACTTTTGCAGTCTGCTCTTCATCTCAGCAGCTCTCTCAACGTCACCCTGTGCAGTGAACAACACAACCGCATTGGCCAAAGCAGTGACGTTCTCAGGCTCTACATCCAGCGCCTGCTGCAATGCCGTCTCAGCCTCTGGGTAGCGTCCCAAGTGTAACTCGGACACGGCCTGCGCAACCAACGACGGAACAGCAGAACTACCAGGCGCCTGCGCCAACTCCTCAAACACATAAAACGCTTGCTGATACTTTGCATCGCCCCCCTCTCTCAACGAAATCCACGACTCGGCAAGGTTGACAAGAAGTGCATCTTGTGCAAACGCACGCGCGGATTTGGCTTCCTTGTTTGCGAGATCAGTGCGGTTTTGCGAGAGGTGGATTTGGGTGGCCATGGCGACGGCGTCGAGGGAGCCTTGGTGGTTGCTTAGGAGTGCGAGAGCTTCGTCGGTTTTTCCAGCACGGGCGAGGACGGCGCCGCAGAGGAGTTGAACAGTCAAGTCGTCGCTGTGGCTTTGCGAGAGGGATTCTGCTTGCGAAACGGCGGAGTCGGAGGAGAAGCCTGAGGAGGCGTATGAAGCGTAGGCCTTTACGGCAGCTAGTGAAGGGTCGGAAGATGCGTCTGAAGAGGAAATGGCAGAGGCGACGGAGGAGTAGTCTTGAAGGGCGAGCTGGGCGCGGTATTTGAGGATTTGGGCTGAGGGCTGGTTGGGGGCGCTGAAGATTGATGTGTCAAAGTCGATGACTTGTTGGTATTGGCCTTGGATGAAGGCTGTGTGCATGTTGACCAGCTCTGGTTCTTGTCAGTTGCGGCTCAGGAGCTGTGTTTGGAGATCGAGGGGCTGTTGCGTACCTCCTTCTGCTGAGTAGGGATCCATGACTGCGTTTGTTGTTCCAAAAGTTCTGGTCTGTGTGTCGTATAGTTTCGCGATCGCTGTGCGGGCGAAAAGATGCTAATCTCTGGTCTGATGCGTGGTCAATGGCAGTATACGGTGATGTGTTGAAGGTAAACTTGTCCCTTGATGGCCAAAGCTGGGGGAGGAGTCTCCAAAGCAAACAGTGCAAACTCTCCACCTCCGTCAGGAACGCTTCCTCTCGCTGCTTCCGAACTTGTTTGCTGATGCCCATCTATATACAGGAATTTTTGGGCACTATTGCTACTGTCCACTGAGATGCTTCGCAACATCAAGCTTTCTCTGGGCGCTCCTGAAGATATGAAAAGTATTGTGCATTTTTATAGGCATGATATCTGCAACTTACAGACTTGGAATGATGATACCATGATCATGTAGTATCCTAGACCCGCTGATCCATTTTGCTAATAGCTATCGCAATGCCCAGTTCTCCCAGGTTACTCTTCATATCCAGTGAGAGGCTTGACCCTTGCAGCGCTCTTCGGACGGGACTCTGGATCAAGAAAGCACTGTGCCTTTTGATAAGACATACAGTAGTAATAGGTCAACCTCGAAGAGTCGAGATATATGGTCTTGCTGTGTTTGTGTGCACATACAGCTTTCCAGGACTCGATACACAATAGCGACAATGATCGCTGCTTTGCCACATCCTTGAATAGGCAGTGTTGGCTCACAGGATACACAAACAGGAAAGCAGATCTTCTACCAGATCTATCAGCGATTAGTACCGTCGCATGCCTCTTTGTGCCGTGCTGTAACTAGGACATGGAGAAGAACACCCACCGTTCAGGATCAAAGACACTTGCTTCAGCCTTTTCAGAAGACGGACGGGGAGACGAGATGTCTCTTTCCACACGCCAAGGTAGGCCTCAGGCGTCCGCATCGGTATAGGAGTTCATGAACCATCCAATTTGGCTAGACCGCCGAGTCTCGCGCTCAGTGCTCGCGCTCAGTGCTCACGCGCAGAATAATGAAAAATTCAGCGCGCCTGCCAGATGCGAGTGAGAGTGAAATCAGACAGTCGCAGCTCTGTGCTTCTTGTTCACAGGCACCGGCGTTGAAAGCTCGGCCAGATGGTTCTCCGACTCAACTTCAGACGCAGACCTGCACCTGCACCTACCTCTTGGGTGCCTCAGCCCGTTCCCTTCCACCGCACCCTCATTCCACCCACTGATCTCTATCACCATCCAGCTTGGGCTGCTCAACGCGCCATGGATGCAGGTCGCCCAATGCGCGCCCGCGCTTCAATCAGCTATGCTGAACCTACCGAACTCGACGACGACATTGCCGACGATGAATCGCTTGACGAATCTGCCATCACTGTCGTCTCAGAAGATCCTACCACCGACACTGAAGACGCCACTTCCGTTGTCTCCGATTCTGACTCTGGCTCCGACCTAGAGTTCACTACAGACAAGGTACTGCCTGAATGCACAGTAGTAAATCCTCATCTAACTCTGTTCAGAGAAAGCTCAAAGCCCAGATCAAGGCCCAGCAGAAGAAGAAGCAGGTTAAGAAGACCAAGAAGGCCAAGAAGATCAAAGAAGTCCCCTTCCGCTTCATGGACCTCCCACCCGAAATCCGCGTCATGATCTATAAGGCCTGTCTGGTCGAATCAGCCAAAGATCTCAGCTATATCAGCAAATCCAATGGCCGCGACATTGTCCGTGGCTCCATGAAGAGATCAACCAACAGCTGGGGCGGCTGGCGCTATAGGATCGAACGCGACAGATATGAGCGCACCCCTCTTCTACCTGTCATCCTGCGTATCAACAAAGCTATCAGAGACGAGGCTATCGGTTATCTATACGCTCAGCCAATCCACTTCGCCACGACCCACACCTTCCAACTCTTCTTTGGCCGCTTGAGCCCAGCCAACCGCATGTTGCTCAGAAACATCACTATTGATGGTTGGACCGACACCAAGCACGCCCGCGTCAAGGACGTTCAGATCATATTCTCGTTGCTCATCTCAGCTACCAACGTCAGATCTATCAATATCACCTGTCGTGCCTATCACTCCAATGATGGTCCAAGCTATTATCGTAGAAGTTCTGGCTTCACCGCCGACGGCTACAGCTTCTGGCGTGACATCGAGTATTGGGCCGATGCTATGGATGCCGCTCATGGAAGGGGTGCTGCTAAGGCTGCCTTAACCTTCACCAAGCTGTGCTTTGGCTCTCCTAGAGAGCTTGAAAACGAGGAAGAGGTTGTCGAGAAGCGCGAAAAGGAATTCTGGGCTCAACTCAAGTTCGCCGAGAAGGCAGAGTAGCTAGTTGCCAGTGAGACACGTTGTTCTTAGCTTATATTATCAAGAAGTCTTTTCGTTTTCGCCATCATAGAATAATTCTCATGTGACTTCTGCTGTGATGCACAATAGTATCCTCGACTTCACTGTATCCATTGAGATAGGTCAATTTACAGGCTCTCACCAGATCCTACTCAGTTTCCTATCGTTCTCTGCATCTTTATAAGCTGTTCTCTCTCTGAGCTTCGTGTTGGGGACAGACGCATTTGATGCCAGACACATCGATCATATCTCCCTCTGCTGTAACCTTAAAGGGACAATCTAGCATGTTAACACATGCTTACCATCAGGATCTCGAGAATCAGAAAAAGGCCCGAGCTAAGACAACACCCACGCAAGGCCAAGGCAAGACCGAGCGAGAGAGAGTGTGTGAGATATCTACAAGATGATCATCAGGCTCGAACGGAGAGTTTACTAGGCGTCTGTCATATCGATGTCCTTGAGGTAAGCTGATAAGATTGCACGTCCCGATCGAATAGTAGATATAAGCTTCTTGGTCTCGTGTACACCCGTGTGCTGTATGTCGATGCACTCCTTCATCAGAGCGTCGACTTGTGCAAGCAGAAAAGCCAAGATGGACGATTCCAGAATGCAAAATCGTCACGAATCTTTCTCCTCGCAAACATGGTCTCTTTTGGGGATGGCCGAGTCGTGGTAGGCATCCTGAGGCTAGCATGACATGCTCTCAGTATGGTCTGGTTTCTCATCGCACAAGTATATGGAGTCTTCTAGCAATAGCACATCCTTGAACTTCGAGCGACTCGATCGCGGGAGCTTTACCGAAGCGTCAGTCACATTTAGAGCAACATGTAAAGCTGTAGATGGCTCTACATCATCTGTGGTTTGCGTCGTGGTCGGTTTGGGCGTTTGTTAAGGTACAGCGTGACGCACCTTAGATCGTGAGAACTACAGTAAGGAGCGTTTTAAAAGGAATTAGAATAGAGAACAAGTTATTGCACCATTTGCAGCATCTCTAGCATGGGAAGGCGTATCTCAAATTGGAGTTTAGTTGAGATAAGTACTAACATCATATAGGTGTTCAGCAAGGTCAAGGGAGCAAAGCACTAAGCATTATACCTATAACTTGCGTTAGATTCCAGGATGGTTAACGAAGTAATGGGTTATGCTGCATAATATCCAGACATGGATTGTATTGCGGCAGTGACGTGTATTGTACTCAAGATGACAGAAGACTAGGTAGCTTCGCCCGTTCATGCACAACAAAATCAGGGTCCAGCGTCTCCAAGTACTCGTTCACTCGTCTGCTCACACTACCCGTAAGCAAATTCAAGAGAACGAGAACTCGTTCATGTGCTCCATGTAATATCATTGTGATGATGAGCGAACACTTTCTGAGCGTGCCAAAGTGGGCGGGTGCAATTATAACGCCGTGCAACACCAGCCTCTTTCCGGCTGCATCACTTTTTCTATCATCAGATTACACTGAACGCCGCAATGTCAAGACGAATGTTCCGCCCACTATTCTCAGCAACAAAGCCTCTGAAAACTCCTTCGGGCATCAATGCAGGAGAAGGCGGAGCAAGACCCAGCCACATGCTAACCCACACCGATCCACGAGCCGAACACAAAAAAATCATCAAAGAAGCTAGAAAAGACCCAGAACTTTACGTACGTAAACCTCTCGTTACCTACGCCCAACAATGCCAATCGCTTTGGCTTGGACAACTAACTCGCTGTTGCAGATCCTCTACGCCGTCACAGCAGGCGGTTTTGCCCTCGCAGGTTGGTTCGGCGGAGCTCACCTTGGCCGAGTCTACTACACGCGTGACCGCACTGAGAAAGACACTACCAAGATTAATGGCTCAGAGCCATGGAAAGAAGGTGGTGAAGGCAGTAAGGGAAAGTATCGCTATCATGATAGATTAGCTGGGAGGATCAGGGATGCACCTTCGGCTTTAAATTCGGTTATCGTGCCTAATGTCAATCTGCCTAGGGTGAGTATCTAAAGGGAAGGTAGAATCTTGAGGAGGTTGCTGATTTTGAGGATAGGAATTGCATGAGAAGTACAACAAGTGGGGTAAAGACGAGTATGATGAGTACTAAACTGAAAGGGTCTCGATCGTACTTTCTTCATTCATCGGCTTGAGTCCGAGTCTGCAATAAGTCTAGGAGCAAGTGGGACTATGGAAACAAGTTTATCGGAACGTTTAATTGACTAGATATACATTGAATTGTACTGATAAGTTATACTATTCCATAGTAGCATGTTGAGGATATGGCGTAACACACACACAATTCAGGTCAGAGACTTACTCAACTTGACAAAAGTGCGGGCCATGACCTTCGAACTCAACAAGTCGACCATCAGGAAACAAGACAACACCTTTTCTCTCTTCAGCATTTGGAACATGAGCTCCATTGCTTCCATGATGCCCTCCATTCTGCTTGGTGTCATCTTCTCCGATGACGCTGCGGACCTCGACACATCCCTCCACCATACCATCTTGCCATTTGAAGCCCACACTCCATCCACCCCTGCATGAGATACCCTTCACCTCACCATCACCCCACTCTTTAGGCCAGCAAGGTAAGATTCTCAAAACCCTCTGGCCGTGGCCAGTGAGCTCGAAACTCTGGACCAGACACTCGACGACTGCTGCCGCAGCGCCAAAATTGCCATCGATCTGGAATGGCGGATGGGAAGAGAAAAGATTCGGTAGAGTAGAGGTATCAAGCAGGGCATGAAAGGACTCAGCTACCTTATCTGGCATGCGAAGGCGACTGAATATGCACAGTAGGTGTGCACGACTCCAACCAGTATGTCCGCCTCCATTGGCTAGCCTGATCTCGAGTGAACGTAGCGCTGCGCGAGAAAGCTGAGGCGAAGCATCCATATCAATGCAATTGAACGGATAAACACCGAGAAGGTGCGAGACATGACGGTGCCCAGGCTCGACATCGGCGTGATTAGCAATTCCCCATTCTTGCAAACGGCCTGTCTTCTTGCAAATAGTGGGGGGAGGGAGTGCAAGCATTGCCTGGCCTACTTCGCGTAGGAGATGTGGCTTGAGTTGCAAAGTCTTGCAAGCATTCAGATAGTCTTCGAAAAGTGATGATATGATCGTTAGATCTGCTGTACTGCCTCGGCAGAACACTCCTTTCTCCCCACTTTGTTCATCGAGAAAAGTGTTCTCTGGCGACAGACTGGGATTCGTAACTCTGTACTCTTTACCATCTGTAAAAATCTCAGGGACGAGCCAATCGAGGCAAAACTCTACTGCTCCTTCGAGTACTGGAAAGTTCTTGCGCAAAGTCGAGAGGCAGGATGTGAAGAGATAATGTTCCCAGATGAAAGAGGACAACCATGCACCTCCTAGAGGCCAAAGTGTAGCAGGCATCCAGCGTTCGCAAGGTGAGCAATCGGCCCACAGATCTGTATTGTTGTGACAGCACCAGCCTCTTGCACCATACATCTGCTTTGCGACTCTGCCACCATTTTCTGGAAGGGCAAGTCGGTGGAGAAGAGAGAACAAAGGTTCCATACATGGTGCTAGAGACAATGGCAGGCACCCCCAGTAGTTCATCTGTAGGTTGATGTTGAGGGTGAACTTTGATCCCCATGCAGGATGGAACGATGGATTCCAGATTCCTTGCAGATTTGCTGGAAGATCCAGCCTTCTGTCGCTACCGTTACATGGTCGACTGCTAGATAGAAGAAGATACCGTGAGAAGTTGGCATACAGAGCTACCAAGGCTGGCGTTGTACCCTTCCCAATTCTTTGGTCTGTGGGAAGTGCATCCTCGGGCGAGGTTGGACCCAGTGTAAGTAGCATCTGGCGATAGAGTGATTGGTGTCGTTGAATATGGCAGTCCCAGATGTTTGCAGCGCCACGTTCGAACGCGGCAGAAACGTCTTCGGCCGCCAGAGTTTGAAAGTCGTGATGACGGAAGCTCGTTCTTGCAGAAACCACGACAAGTGCTTCTTTGGCAACGACGACCAATGAGCCGCCTTCAGCTTTTACAGTACCTTCCTGGTCTGCTGTGATGCCAAGAACGCAACAAGCTCTAACACTTTTATGTCCTCCTGGTGTTGCGAGCATTGTGATGCGATTTTCGTTCGTTTCCAAAGAGTCCAGATATTCATGGCTTTCGTAGTCGATTTCGCTCTCTCTTGTTAGTCTGACCGCACATTCCAGTTCCCTGCTACTCTGGATCCGCATACAGATGACCTGGTCAACAACACTGGCCAGTGTCTCGACATTGACTCTAGCACCTGCATGGCTGTATTCCGTTCTGTGGATAGCCGTATTCAAATCGAGTTCTCTGCAGTAGTCCGTCACTTTGTCAGCGTCGTGACCGAATTCGACCTTGACATTTCCCAGTGGCTCAAAATGTCACTGACCACTAGGTGAGCCACAAAAAGCTCGATTGACGAGCTTTTCAGCTTCAGCATGACGGCGTTCCCTTATATGCTCTCTCAACCTTGGGAGGTTTTTCAGGGCATCTTCTGGGACGCGATGTTGTGGTCCTCCATACCATACTGAATCTTCGCTGAGGCATAGCAGTTCAGTCCCAGTACGGCCATGAATCATGCAGCCCAGTCTACCATTTCCAACGGGAAGAGCTTCGTTCCATTCGTTAGCTGGCTTATCGTACCAGAGTTTCGACGATTCTGTCATGATCCCCAGTTCCAGGCTGAAAACTGGCTGTCCGGGAGGATTGCTGAGGCAAGAAACATGTCTCGGTGTACATTGTTGCGAAAGCTGTATGTGCAAAAGGTGAGGGGTAAGGGGCTTGTGGTCTGAGGTGGTGTGTTGTCAGTCGATCTGGCGGGGTCCCCATGGAACCAGACCGCTGGAACGCGGGGTCAGGGTTCGTCGATCCTACGAAGAAATTTCCGATCATGAGGTGCATTTTTGCCCTTGGAAGAAACTCATCTAATGGATGGAAAATAAACAGATTGGATCACATCGGTAAAGAACGTGCTGCCCCTCCAGTGCTGTTATGTGAACTCTAACCAGGTTGGTTACCTGAACGCGCCAACCAGGCTGTTGACCTGCGCACAGTACATGCATGACCCATGCCCTATACCCAACATAGTAAGACTGGGCGTAGTCCTGCTCTTCCAGTACGTGGAGATTATCGATGCCGTCGTATTGTGCTGTCTTTTGCCTATTGTGCTGCTGGCGACGCCCCACGAAGGAGCGAGATATCTACTGTACTGTAGATCTTGGTCTAACCAGCAGCAGGCTGAAGGCAACCTACACTAGCAGTGTACCTCATGACCAGATGAATAGGGCAGAGTACTGCAAAAGACGGTATTGAGAGTTTTGGGACAGGATTGGAGTATAGCAGGATGATAAAATCTTCCTCGAAGCCAACTCAGGCAATCCTTTTCGTAGCAGTAGAACCATATTGTCCTTTGAATCTAAGACCTGATTTGTCGAAATGGGTAACGCCGAAGAGGAAGTTCACGAGCTCGAAAATACAGATGTCCTCAAGCAAGCGACCGAATATACCGAAGAAGTTGCTATAGCTCGTCTCACAGAAGAAGATGTACATAGGCTTTCCCGAGATTCTCTGACTCTCAAGTCCAGGACTGGTTGGCGGCTTGCCATGATTCTCTTCGTTCAAGGCTGCAATCAAGCTGGCTATGGCGTTGATTGGGCTGTCATTGGAGGTATCAATGCCCTACCAGCTTTGCATGCCTATTTCGGTTTCGGGTACAGCGGTTCTACCATCGGTGTCATTAATGCGCTTATGACCATTGGCACCGTTTGTGGTGCTCCTTTCTTGGGTTTGGCAGATGTGATCGGACGTCGTGGTGTCAACTTCGCTGGTAATGCCATTGTCATCTTCGCGGCACTGTTGCAGGCTTGGGCAAAGAACACCGATATGTTCATGGCTGGACGGTGGGAACTTCATATCCTGGTCTGGGAGCTTTGCTGACATTCTGGACAGATTCTTCATGGGCTTTGGTACCGCTCTTATGAGCTCTAGTCAGTACATGGCTGAGATCTCGCCGATCCATCTCCGTGGTAGATTGGTAGGTGTCTTTGGCGCATGTTTCCAGGTCGGGTCTCTCGGTATGACTGGAGCCATGATCGGACTGACTACACTTGAAGGCAACTACTCCTGGCGTATCCCGTTGCTTCTCCAAGCAGGTCTTGCTCTGGTCGTTTGCATCACCATCTACCTCCTGACTCCAGAAAGTCCTCGATACTTGGTCAAAGTGGGAAAGAGAGACGCTGCAAAGCATGTTGTTGCCAAATACCATACCACTAGTGGAAACTTGGATGAGCCTCTGGTTAATGTGGTGATCAGCCAGATCGATGAGTCGCTCGAGAACGAGAAAGCATTGGCTGGCGCGTGGTGGGACTATCGAGTCTTCTTTACCAAGGCCGTCAGGTTTCGTATGTTGGTTTTGACTTTGTACTCGGTCTTCCAACAGTGGAACGGAGGTGGCATCATCACATACTATCTGACTCCAGCTTTGATTCTGGTTGGTATCAAGAAACCTATGGAGCAACTTGGAATGTAAGTCAAGTCCGAGATTTTGAGCGCGATGCATCCCTGCTGACTCAAAGTTAGTCAACTTGGATCGACAGCCATATACTTCGTCTTCACACTATTCGGTTCCTATATCATCGACAAGTTCAGCAGACGGTCTCTCATCTTTGCTGGTCTTATCAGTATAATTATCCTGCAGACCGCAACAACAATCACATCATGGCAGTATAGTATCAACCCTACGCACGCAGCGGCAGCTTTGACAATTCTTTGGGTTTACACCTTCCAAGTGTGCTCCGCCACTTTTATTGCGACCATGCACAACCTGTATCCAGTAGAGATACTATCGTTGGCTCTCCGAGCGCGTGGTATGGGCATCTACTCCTTCATACAGGGCGCCGCAGGTAGTGTCCAGAACTATGGCATCGCAGTCGGGATCGACAAGCTCGGATACAAGATCTGGGCCGTGTATGTCGCGTACAACACTCTGCAGCTCATTGCGTCATATTTTGTGTTTCCAGAGACCTATGGGCTAAGTCTCGAAGAGATTGATGTGGTTTTCGAGACGCCTGGTGTCAATCCGGTGAAGATCAGTCTTGATATCCAAAAGGCTAAGAAACAAAGAGCTGTGTTGGACAACGAGGTTGATGGGTTTGATGGAAAAGCATGAATGCGAAGGAAGGTGCTTTGTCAAGGGCATGTTTCCCGCAGATCAGCCGCGCATAGATGCTTCTACGTTGAATCAACCTTCAACCTTTCTCACTTTATCATCCTTTAGCGAAATGTGATGATCTCGCAACTGTTAATCATACATTGATCTGTATCCAGGGCATAGCCGTAAGGCAAAGGTCGCAAGGCCTGTAACCCGAGCAAATAATGCTGTACTCGGCACCCTGACGCCCCACCTGCCTGAAACAAGGAGATCATCATCATCAACTCCATGGAGAGTTCTCCTTGACTCTCACTAGTACACTACCGCAATGGACATTTTGCCTCTAGAATTGGTCACAAGAATCATCGACATCGTGTCTTATCCGGATCCAGATGATGAAAGATCACACAAAGCAAGACTTGCATCTCTGGCACTTGTCTCAAAACAATGGCGAGTCATCGTTGAAAGTCAAACCTTCTGTGCTATACGGGTGGAGAGCACGGAACTAGAAACATTTGATCAAGTCTATGGAGGTCTACTGGGTACGCAAAGACGGTCGTGTCTTTCTGACATCGTCCTAGCCTGGACCCCACCTGGCCAATGCAGAAAGAAATGGCGGGCTCGCTCTAGGCATGAACGAGCTGCTGAGAATCAACGTAACAATGAGAGCTTCACTGCAGCAATAAGGGATCTCTTTACCATTCTCGCCTCCTGGCCTTATGATGCTAAAAGAGACCGAGCCATCGCTTTGTCCATATATCAGAAAGGACCTCTACCAGAAAGCGTAAAGCTTCTGGCTCCAGAAACGATTCCTGAGGTTAAACGTATTGCTAGCTTCAGATGTGATGAGCAAGAGATTAGGATAGGAAGTCTACCCCTGGTTGCTTCCAGGCTCCCAAATCTGCAGACATGCCATTGGGAATACTTCAACAGTAACGAGCCCTTGAACTCAATCCGAACGCGACGGGATCGTTGTGGTATGTGACGAACGACTAGATTAACAAACGAGCCATTTGCTGACCGGTAGGACAGAGTTTGCGAGGCATTTGTCCCTGCTCACTGACTCTTCCATCCGTCAAGCACACTTTACTATCCGCACATATACTCCTGACAACGAGGACCCCGAGACATCGAGTCTTCTGCTTCCTGGCCACACAACCGACCATTTGAGCAAATCTCTCCATAGTTTCTCTCAGTCCGAAAATTTGTCTGTTCTAGACATCCACGAAGTGATCATATCGCCTGCACTATTCTGGCCAGCCGGGAATGGCGCCTCGACGCCTTATTGGCCAAATCTTACCATTTTGCGAGTAACTGTGAATCCAATGGCAGCTGATGGCGGCTGGTACTTTGAGCAAAATCCTCACGTTACACCAGACAATGACGACGATAGATCTTCGTTCAACCCGGACTGGGAAAGCATGCCACCAACACCTGAGCGACTCTATGCCGAAGAAGAAGCTCTCGCTAGGACTACCGACTTTTCTGATTCTGATGACTCTGTGTTGGACGCTACAGCCTCCGAGTCCGAGAGCCAACATGGAGCGATCTACAACACTACACATCGATTTCGCGCCTGGCCATCTCCGAAGATGGAAACTTTGCTGCACTCCATGGCCAAGGCAGTAACCCGAATGCCGGCCTTGAAGTTCTTCGCCGCTGGTTCTCAAATGCCATGGCCTCACTCCATTGACTTTGAGTTTTTCTACCTAACGCCTGGAGAAAAGCAAGATTTGGGTGAACCGGAAGAGGGGACAATATTTGATAGCAACGATATCACCAAACCAAGGCTGTTCTGGCGAGTTCCGAGATTCTGGCGTATGAACGAAAGCGTGGAGAAGCTCTGGAAAGACACTTTAGGCAGCGAGGGCATCATCGAATATCAAGAATGGGTGCTGGGCAAATCGTACAGAAGCGAGGTCTGCAAAGATTCGACACAACCTTCAGATTGAGCTCTGGCCGACCAAATAACGACAAGACACGACAAAGAAGTAAAATTGGAGGGCTCAAACGGTATCTCACACCACTTCACCTTCTCCTCTGGGATTCATCCCACGCCCCACCCATGGCTTGCCTTTACCTTTGCCTGGAGCACGAACCGGCCTAAGCAGGTTTGCGACCACCTGCGCAAACCTTGAAGATGCAGCATTTGGACCTTGCGTCACTGGAAGTATTCTTGATGGAAGCTGTACCGCCATAATGGCTGTTGGTGCCGGCCTGATATAGTGCACAACCTAGCATGGACGGCGAGTAAAGCTTAATCTGAATGCAAATTACAGCAGGATGCATGTAAAATGTTTTTCTTTTCTCCAGGAGGTGATCCACAACACACATAGAGTCCCCAGGTCTAATACCACAACGGACGGACTCTATACGCAACAGATGGGGTATATCATGAATGGAACTTGGAAGTATTAGATGAATATGTACAGACCGCGCGCTAAGCCAAATTATCGTATCGAGAGAATCAAAAGGGAGAATTCGTAAGTCGTGTTTCCAGATTAGTGGTGAATGCATCGCGACCAACCTGTGGTGTGTTAGCATAGCTGTATACCGAGGGATAGAAAGGTCGATTGGACATACCAGGCAGACCGCATCCAAAGCCGACCAGCAAGTAAACCAAGAAGACGATGACAAGAATAAGCAGAGCCATCAGTTTAACATTCTTCCACCACATCCTTCGCTTGAGACCTCTGCTTCGGACACGGAAGTCGTGAGCAGAACCACCCAGACGATCAGTCTTGTCAACCAACAAATCGATCCTCTCGCCTCTTTCCAGAACCTGCTCGATGTTCTTGCTCATGATATCTCGGACGTTGTCGATCTCGGCTTGAACGTTCTTGAAGGCATCGTCTTGACCAGCTTTTGTGGTTCCGTACTCGACCATCAGTTTCTTGAGGTCCGAGTTGAAGCTAGCGGCACCGTATGAAGGAAGAGAAGCGAAATCGGCATTAGGATGTTGGTTTAGGAAGCGCTTTTTGATCTCGACGAGGTAGCCAAAGGGAATGCGACGACCCAGGTCTTGCTTGGCGATGACGAGATAGGTGAGACCGGGAGCGTTACCCTCGGAAGCTGGAGCAGCGTCTGCGATGTAGTGGATATGGTTTGCGCCATGAGTATAGGTCAATTTCTGAGCGGACGAGTGGTCGATCTTAGGGAGAATCAGAGATGCTAGTGACGAGGTGGCCGAGGCAGCGGAAGTGGTGTGCTCGGTGAGGATGGTGTTGTGGTAGGCGATACACGAGTAAAGTAAGGGCGTCGCTGTGCTACTTGAGGAAGCCATGTTGATTGTGTGATTATTGAGTCGTGTCAAGAAGAGAGAAGATGGTCAAGAACAAACATCGCCGTGACCGCCTGGGCCTGGAACGCCTATTGCATCATCCCCACCGACGGTCACGTGCAGGGCTCTTCCCCGCAATCCATCTTCCTCGTCCTCATATTTGATATCGAACTTGACTTGCACGGGCATCTTCATAGAATAGCTGATTCGGCTGGACTAACAGTACATACTTGGACACACTCTTTCCACAGATTTTGACACCTAAGCGCTCTTCCCCTGGCTGCTAAGAAGACATGGCCAAAGAATGGAGGCGAGAAAGACATAGAAGAGAGTAGGGTATCTTTAACAGGGCCTCAAGACCACCCGCCGAATCAGTCTAACATGCACAACATGGCAGAATTGCTGGTATCCTGATTCGTACGGAGAGCTGAAGACGGCATCCATTGATCCATACTGTTTTGAGCTTCTGAATTGCCTGAGGGAAACAGATCGGGATACAATCGTTTCGACTTGCATTGGCGAAGATAATCCACGGTAGTTTGCGCCGACTGACGATCACTATCAAACAAGTCGATAACACACGCTGGCTTCCAAGAGTCTTGGCATGAAGGATCTCTGGAGGACAATGTTCTCGATAACGTACCCTCTGCGTGGCCATTTGCACGTTTTTCTACGTCTACTCTCGCCCTCGCATTGATAGTCACAACACGGCTTTTTCGCGATATGGGGTATACCGATTGCTTGTCGACATCCGTTGCTCTTCTGCCCGGATTTAGTCGCGACAAGGCAGCGGACATAACAGTCTACTGCCATGACCGGACCTTCAAAAGCGTTGATGTCCTTGATGACGCTTCCGGTGAAACCCTCTTCAAAGTCGATAGCAAAGGCGCAACATCTTTCAGCTGGCGTAGGGCGATCTACGACGGCTCTGGTCGCAAACTCTTCGAGCTCCGCCACATGGGCTATGCCATGAAGAATGACTGGGCAGTCGAAGATATCGAGGGCAAACGAATTTGCTCATTGAAGCATGTCAGTGGGATGGCTGCGCGAAACCGCTCGAATTTGAACGCTGTCATACATGGCCAGTCTGCTGCTGACGATGTGGGGAATACTGTTGAGATTAGACCAAGAGATCGGGGTGCGTTGTCGACGGTAGTACTGTATCAAGGTGCGGAGCTGGCGAACATTCTGAACACTGAAGCCAACGATGTCTTCTCGCTTGAGAAGAAGGGACTCGATCGTACTGTTTGGAAGGCTCGTATCAATAGTGGAGTCGACATCAGTTTCGTAAGTCTGGCCTCAAGTGTTCGAGCAAGTCTTGACATTGATTGGTGCTGATTCCATAAACAGATCCTCGTAGTTGTCCTGTGCCTTGCTGAGATGGAACACGTCTGGCGGCAATAACGGGACGCGGGTAGCAATCTGGAGTATTCATGCATCTTTTGTGTTATCTCGTAAAGTCGGTCGATCGCTGCGAAAGGTATCTGAATAATGCTTGTTGCGAGTCTTGCAGAACATTGGCTGCATGTCGTGAATCTCATCGGATGGCCGGCCCGTCTATCCTAGCACCAATCCTACATGCATGTTAACCCGCAGCTTCGGATAATCTCTAAGCGCCCCCTCTCAGCCTGAAACTTGATGATCTTCTGTGATATATAGACATGCCACAATCCAGTAAGTTCATGATGGTCTCATTGATTCTACCACGATTTTGAAAACATTATCACCATGGAAAATCCTCCGATCGCTTCTTCGCCAAAAAATGCTTCCGTGCTTCGGCCAGACTTTCACTGGGGTTTCGCAACAGCAGCTGCCCAAGTGGAAGGAGCATGGGATGCCGACGGCAAAGGCGAATCCATCTGGGACAAATTCTCTCGTATTCCTGGCAAAATCATCGATGGCAGTACTACTGCTGATGGCACTCGTGCCTACGATCTCTACAAGGAAGATGTTCAGTTGCTCAGGAAACTTGGCGTCAATTCCTATCGCTTTAGTCTTGCTTGGAGTCGTATCATCCCTCTGGGTGGTAAGGATGACCCTGTGAATGAAGCCGGACTTGAGTATTACAGCAATCTTGTGGATGAGCTGCTTGCCAGTGGTATTACTCCATTTGTTACTCTGTTCCATTGGGACACTCCTCAGGCACTGGAGGATCGTTATGGCGGTATGCTGGATCAAGCTCGTTATACGCCTGACTTTGAACGCTACGCACGCGTCTGCTTTTCTGCCTTGGGCGATCGTGTCAAGCACTGGATCACCTACAATGAGCCGGGCGTTTACACACTGGCTGGCTACGCTGCAGGCGTCCATGCTCCTGGTCGGTCGTCTCTATCTGATCGTGATGACCCTGGAGATAGCAGTACCGAGCCTTTCATCGTCGCACATACCGAGCTAGTCAGCCACGCTCACGCGGTGAAGATCTACCGCGAAGAGTTCAAGCCAACGCAGAAAGGTGTCATTGGAATTACTCTTCATGGCAACTTCAGCGCACCTTGGGATGAGAATGATCTCAAGGATGTTGAAGCCGCCGAGCGAGCCCTACAATTCGAGATTGGTTGGTTTGCCGATCCCGTATATGGATCTGGCGACTATCCAGCTTGCATGCGAGAGCAACTTGGAAACCGTCTTCCCCACTTTACACCCGAGGAAAAAGCACTTGTACAAGGATCTTCTGACTTCTACGGCATGAACAGCTATACCACATTCTATGTGCGTCACCGCGACGAACCAGCTGATATCAACGACCACGAGGGCAACATTACTTCCCACGACACCAACAAAGCTGGCGTCTCTCGTGGTGCGGAAACGCCAACAGCATGGCTGAGAAGCAATCCAGCGGGCTTCTTGAGCTTGTTACATTGGATCTGGACTCGTTACCAGACACCAATCTACATCACCGAAAACGGCACTACGGCCAAGGGCGAGTTTGAATGGGATCCTACCTCCGATGTTCAGCTGGACGACACTTTCCGTCAGGACTTTTTCGAAGGGTATATAGGTGCTGTGGCTGATGCAGTTCGCAATGGTGTTGATATCAGAAGTTATTTTGCGTGGACTTTCACTGATAATTGGGAGTGGGCTGCTGGATTCACCGATCGCTTTGGCAGCACCTGGGTTGATTATGAGAGTCCTGAGAAGACGAGATATCCCAAGAAGTCTGCTTTTGAGTTGGGTAGGATCTTTGAGCATTTGATTGGGAAGAAGGAGAAGAACAAAGAGAGCGGTGGTAAGTGTAGTTTGCAATGACTGATCTAGTCAACGTCATCTCACTTTCAGAGATTCTTCTCGTCTCAGTACCATCTACTCAAGCTATGACCCATCTTGCAAGTCCTGAATACGAACTTGCTGTGATGCGGCATAACCTGTGCTAATAGCTCTAACATGTCATCCCTCTCAGGCTTTTCTAATCTCATCCATGCCTCATCGTCCCAATCTTCTTCATCATTCCAGTCCTCATCATCTGGGGTCTCAGCGGCTAAGCGTTCACTTTGCAACAACTTGGTCAGCTCGAATGCATCCCAGTGATCGATGTACATCTCCAAGTCTCGCACTCTGCCTAGAATGCCTTTCAAAGCCATCAGCATATCTTTGCAAGGTTGATTCCTTCTTTCTTTGATCATCACGAAATACAAAGAAAGCGTTTGTAGATTTGTCAGAGTTTCCAGAAATGGCGCTAGATCTGAGGATGCATCGCAGAGACTACGGAGCTGCAACGACCTGATCTGCAGAGGCTTGAGTTGCGACAGGAACGGATACAAAGACAACGACTCAGGTCGCAGGCGCTCAAGCGGCCGGGTGGAGAGTTCCAGGGATTCGAGACAAGGCAGATCATTTATCATGGTGAACATATTCGGTTTCGAGAGATGAGAGGGAAACAGATGGTAGTCACGACGAGACACCGATAGACCTATTTCAATCTTCAGTCGATTCAGAAGTCTTAGGTCCTTGCCGAGATTGGGCGAAATCTGCAGTTTGTCAATTTGGATCTTGGAAAGAGTCAGACTTTTTAGTGGAGTGTCGGATGCTTCAATAGCGGAGAGTACGGCTTTAGTCATGCAGGTCACCATATCCATGGGTCCATCGTGTTCAAAAAAAAAGCGTAATCCCATGTACGTCTGAGTTTTGACTGAGGTTTCTCGAGTGGATCCCTGCCGGTGCGTTGTGTGAGTTGAGATCGTCCCAATACCAGGGGTAAAGACGTTTGCGGATAACTCATCTGCCAATATGTGTGTATCTCCATCGAAGTTATCCTGAGCAATTGCAAGGCGGTAGTAAGCTGTTTTTGGAAAGAGCCTCTGTGAACAAGATCGACAGCTTCGTTCGTTGCTTCCTCTTCCGCTGAAGTCGGTCTGGGATATGGGTTCTCATCCTCTTGTAACATGCGCGGCGACGAGATGGTGACGTTTGCTCTTGCAAATCGAGGATCCACTGGAGTAGTATATCGACTACCGTAGTCTTGATAGATTGAGCAGCAGATGTAGAGTTCTTTCACGAAGTGTTTGATCCTCTTATCTCTGGCGACCTCCAGCAGTAGTTGCAGCGAAAACTCCGTAGGCATCACATACAGCCGACTGAACACTTTATTGCCAAATTTATCAAGGAGAATAGCGTCCATATACCGGCAGGTCGATCGTAACATCACGAGTTCCTTGGTTCCAAGATAGGAAGCGACTTCCAGAAGGGAACGGCGTTAGGGTTCTGCCGATCTGAACCATACGAAGAGTTCAACGTAATAAGAGGTTTATCAGCGGTTTAGGCAAGCAATAATGGCCCTGATTTCCACAGGCCTCTTGATCTTCGGCAAAGTCAGACGACTTGGAGTATTACTTTTCACTTCCACGCTCGCCGTGTCGATTCATCACGGGGTCGGCGTATCCGGATTCCATTTGCGATCATACCAGGAGGTATGTGAGAGAGAAACTTGCGCTTCGAGACTGGGTAAAATCGGTCGTCCAGATATTCCAAGCCTAGGGTCTCGCGCAGATCAAACAATCTAGCACGCCAGAGAGATTCACTTATAACTGGTCGATGAGCTCATTTTCTAGACCCCATGACCATCCTAGTGTTATATCTCGGATTCCCTTGAGCTTGATTTGTCTCAGGATCGGCTCGATAGGAGTTCGATCTGAGCCAATGCCATTCGACAATGACAGATAGTCCAAACCAGGCCCTAGAGCGTTGACCACATTGCAAAAAGCGACCTGGACCTTCTGCTCAGTAAACAGCGACTTTTCTTCGTGCTAGCCGTGATGCGAAGCTGGATTATCCAGGTTGATTTGAAGGGATTTTAGATTCTCGAAACCCGTCAAGCGGGCGATCGTGTTGATACTTCTAAACAGCGAGGCAGTCTTGTGTGCAAATGAAGCGTCCCCGTCAACATTTCCAGATTCCACTTGGTGGGCCAATTGCACAAAGGCCAGTGCAGACGCTATGTAAATCCTTCTTACATGGCAACTTAAGCGCTTACTTTGTGACGCCTGCAACAGAACCTCTCTAAGGGTGCAGTGGCTCGTAGATCAAGGAACTCGAAGTATAGCCCATCGAACACCTCGAGGAGGATCTAATCCCAGTTCTTGTTGATGGCGCGGAAGTTCTTGATATCCTTCTTTGACAAGCGGGACGCCACTTGCAACCCAATCTCGACTGGAAGTGCAATGGGTTGTAGCTGCTGATGATCTTGTGGAGTTGGTTCTTCGATAGCTTTGGACAGAAGAAACCCCATTTCTGAACGCATTCGATCCAGAATTCAAGGTGTGAACTCAATGTAAAAAGATCGATGTCAAGTCAACATGGGAAGAAGAAGAAATGGCACTTGCGAACGAGCATGACAAGGTTGAGTCACATCCATGACGACACGTAAATACGGGTCTATGGATTGATCAGGCAGCTGCGACCCTTCCGAGCCTCCTTGCATGCACTGTTGACACAGGAAGATGCGAGAAGAGGCAGGTGCAGTCACGCACCTCCACATTCACCCGCACTTTTCCCGACTAATGCGCCATCGATCAACTATCAAGTGCAGGGCTATCGATCGACCGGAACAACAAGATGGATTACTCGCACAATTGATTGGATATGGAGAGTTGTCTATTGGTGCCATGTCAGGAGGATAAGCAAGGATGCAAAGAGCCAGTCTAGAAAAAGGGCAAGAAGTACATTGAAGAGTTCGCTGAAAAGAAAAGGAGAAACGTGTTTCCCATGCATACCATACATGCGTACAATGCTTCTAATGCAAAAACAAGAACCACTTCTTTTGTGCAACACCCAAAAGAAAAGAAGAAGAAGAGGGAGGAAAACAAAGGGGGGTTAGTTAGACATGAAAGAGAGTAAGATAAACAAAAAAAGAAGAACACCCCAACGCTATTCACGAGATCCCAACATGATACTTGTACTCCAGAATCAGAATCATCTCCTAGTTCTGTCCGATGTCCACCCAACTGATATCGCTAGCTTGTGTCTTTCGGGTTGCGTCACCATTGTTGTTGTTGTCCATCTGACGCTTCATCTCTCTCTCGGCTTGGAGGCGTTGTCTAAACGCTTCCTCGCGGTCTCGTTGCGACATGGCGCCAGTGGCAGAGGGCCAGATTGTTGCAGATGAGTCTCTGTTCTCGTCAGGGTTGTGGATGCCGAGACCAGCTTGTGGAGGCTTGGGTGCTTCGCGGTCGGGTGTGAAGCGAAGGGCAGCGAGAGTACCAGGGTGGAGGGCACCAAGCTTGCGAGCCTGGCCACCAAGAGCAGGATTGGGACGGTCATGCATGGCGCGTGTGCCACTGCCAGGGAAGAAACCACCGCCACTGTTACCGCGTGCGGCGGGACCAGGAATGGCGACTGCAGCTGGAGGACTTAAAGCGCGGCCAAGAGCGTTGGGAGCTTCAAACCCGTGCATGCGGCTGTCGCGATCCACATCTGCAGTGTAGGTACTTGATGGTGGACGAGGGAAGGCGGAGGCAGAAACAGCGGGTGAGGGAGGAATGTGGACTTCATTGACGGCGGGCGAGTTTGGTGCTTTTCTGTTGACGGCTTGAGCGGTATTCGTTGCGTGAGCGGTTGCAATTGTGGCGTCGCCGTGAACGGGTGTCCATTCATCGCCGTGTGAAAAGAATTGTGATGAGGCTACACTGCTGCCAGAGTGACGTCTTGCAGATTCGAACGACTCGCGAGCTCCATCGAGATAGCCCTGGCTTTCGAGACTCTGACCTGTGTGGAAGTCGGCACGTTGACCCTCAACCATGTCGAAGCTGGCACCTCTAGCAGAGAAGTCCTCAACGCTGTGGCTGAAGCTAGGTCTGCCCATGCCCACAGCTGACAGACGGTGATGTTGGGCGTCCGCAGGATGCAAGTGACTCTTAGGCTCCACGTCAAGAGGTGCAACCATAGCAGAAGGGTTACGAAGCGATGGTGTGTAGTCGGAAACACTCAGATTAGGAGATGCAGTGTGCGATGTACCCACACTTGGTGAGCTTTGTGCAGCAGGGTCGTATGCGCCACCGTCATTCTGTGCAAAGTACCTTGACCAGCCCGAGCTGCGCTTTGTCTGCATATCTTCGTCTCTGTTCGAATTCTGTACAACTCTGAGAGATGACATGACAGGTGAAGGACCACGAGCAGAGGCCAATTTAGGTGTCTGGCCATCCAAAGACTCCATCTCCATGTGATCATCGAAGCTTCCGGGGCTTGTGGGTGAGCGCACCAGCTTGGCGGTGCTTTCGAAACTGCCCTTCTCGCCATTGCCTCTGCTGTGCTTGTTCGCATAACTGCCGGAGATGATGGCCAACGAGCTTGATGAGTCATTTGCCTGGTGGTGGTATGCAGATTTGGGAGGCTGCAAGTCGGCGTAGGGGTTTGTGCTGCTATTCACGGGTGTCTTTTCAGATGCACCGTACTTACTGAAACGTTGGCTGAAACGATCAGCTCCAAGTTTTCCAGCCAGGATAGCGAACGAGCTGCGAGGATCGTAACCACCGATGACGGGCTTGGGCAACTGTGGTGGAGCATCGCTCACAGGGCCACCAGCTTCCCTCATGAAAGAAGCACCTCTGTCTTGGAAGCTCATTCTATCCGCCTTCTCATCGCTACCCTGAGTCTTTCTCTTTTGTTGCTTGCGACGTCTCACAAGAAGAAGTGCAATGACCAGTACCGCCAGCAGACCAAGCAGAAGACCCAACGTGATACCGAGGACCTTGCGGGTATGAGCACCAGAATCGTCATGGTCTTTTGATTTTGCGGCAGCAGATGAGGTTGCAGAGGGATGCGCACTAGTCGAAGTAGGAAGAGCAGATGAGCTTGAGGCTGATGTTGTGGTCAAAGGAACCTGATTACCACCGAACAAGACCTGGTTGTCAACCCATGAGTTGCTGGTTTGGTTGAAGACGTTTACAGGAGTGTCGTCATTTCCTCCACTGATAACAGCAAGAGTACCCTGGTCGTTTTGTGCGATTGAGTAATCTGATCTTTTCACTGAAGGCGCTGAACTGCTGTTGTACGTCGGCCAGTTGTCAAGAGTCAAATCACGCTTGCTTTTGCCCGAGGATGGTTGACTAGTCTGATTACCAAGTGTCTGACCAGTGCTTGCGGGTTGACCATTGGCATCCAACAATACAAGCTGTGTAACTTCATTCGGAGTCGCGTTCGCATTGTAGACAGTGAGAACTTTGCTACCATCGCTACCAGTGACCAATGAGCCTCTTGCACCATCCGACAATGCTGATGTAAGGTTAGTGTCCAATCTAGTCCAACTGCTACTCGTGCTGAATGTCCAGATGGCAGTGTTAGTCTGAGAGCCTCCCAGCAGAACGGCGGAGCTGTCGTCCCATGGTAGTAGAATAGGATCGGAGACAGTCGGGGCCTCCGATGTGAATGATTCGATGTTGAAAGGTTGTTCGGTTGAAATGACAAAGGTTTGCGACGACAACTCAACACCAGTTCGTGAACCGGCATATACCAGAATGGACGATGAGTCGTTGAGGTATGCTACACCATGATTTGTACGTCCCTTCATATCTTCTGTAGGTAGGTCGAGTGTCTCCCAAGTCTTGTTCGAGAAGCTATAGCGCTGTAATCCTCCATATGAGTCGTCGTCTGAGGTGCCACCGACTACGTATAGTGCAGATTGTGACTCGTCTCCATTTGGTACTGCACGAAGGCATGAGTGGCCAGTGACGGCCTTGCCCATATCCATTGAGGTCCATGTGGCATTCTCAACAAGCGGTAGAGCCTGGAACGAGTCTGGCGACAGGACGTATAAAGTGTTGTTGTCGACAACAGAGCAGTGCCCTGAGAGAGCCTTCTTAGGTAGTGGGGCTGCCATATCGAAGGGTCGGGATGTATTATGATATTAAGGCGAGGGTATGGTTATTTCTGTGGGTGGGTGGGTTGTAATGAACGAAAGGTCATGCGCTGGGAAGTGGTGAACAATCACAATGGCATCATGCGGTGGCTAACGAAGGTGGCGGATAGTCGGTAGTATCCAGATAACGAGCGTAAAGGACTGCGTGTGAGTAAAGAGCGACGTGTCGAAGGTGTGCGGCTTCCAAGGAAAGGGGAACAGGCACGACAACAGCGACGATTGTTGGTTAAAGCGATCGGATCAACGACAAAGGCGACAGGACGTAAGAGTCGTCAAGACTTCAATCCAGGAACCAGGGATTCTCTCCAAGCAAGTCGACCACACAAACAAGAGGTGGGCGTGAGGTAGAAGGAAAGAGATTGTGATGATTCGTCCTGTCAAAACACGCCAGGGGGCTTGAGGTTGCTGATTAGGTGAACCGGTCTGCGGGAAGGTCGTTGAAAAGAAACGGTCGCCGATAAAAGATGCGAACCGACAGAGGGGAGTTTTGGCTGAGTCGATGGATAGTTCTACTGAAAGAGAGACTTGTGGGTAATGAGACAAGAGCGAGTGGTGTGCTGACGAGTCGGAGCAAGGCAAGCGACGACAGGCAAAAGACAAAAAGAGAAAACCGACCAATGGCTAAACCAGGCACAAGACGAGGAAACCAAACGAAGGGGAGGGAGAGGCTTGTCTGGCCGTTGGTTGGCCGTTTGTTCGCGCGAAGCAGCACGTAGGAGAGACAGGAGGTGCCCAAGAGTCAGACTTGCAAAAGCGCACCCCCGTCTCTTCACGCCACGGCATTCAATTCATCCATAGATTGCGCCCCGATCCATTATTCGACAGATGCATGGACCAACGCTATCACTCAGCCCAATCCAGCGCTTCTATTTTCTGCCCTTTCTGCCATAAGATACAAGAAGAGAGGTGAGCCGGATGCTTTTGTCCTCGACTCCACTTCGAAACCCCCGACTCGCACATGGTCCAGAACTCTAAAAGCCGGTAGTACACTGTCCAGGCCATCTCACTTGCACCATAACAGCATTCTCACGGAACAACAATGACTTTGTCCAAAGACTTCAACTGACCGACCGCGCTGACATCTCACCATCATCATGCGTGAAGCATGCAAAAGGGTCGCAGAAAAGGCCAGGGCTTCATCCCTCGTGCGCTCTGTATGCATGGTAGATCCCCGTTCGCTTCCCCCTTCGCGAAAAACCCAAAAGGTGTCCGAGCGCTTTACCCCTTGCACAGCGGACGCCTTTCCTCTTTCGCATCTCTGAAACGCTGGAGTGATGACGGACGGACCCTGACCTTTACTTCCGACCATGATTCTTGTCATGTCCGTGGCGTTGTTTAATCACAATCACATCTCGTGGCTTTGTGAACTCGCCTTTTCGTATTCGAGTAAAGATGGATATCTAAACGCCTGCATCTTTATCGATATGTTGGTGATAGCATCGGGTGCCGTACGCGCGATCGACTGCTTATCCTTGAAAGCCCTTGTTTCAAGCCAGAACTCTCTTCTCATACGACAATAAGTACGAACCCGAGGTCTCATGATTTCGGTACACCATGGGTATCCGGTAACATGTAGCGTCGCAAGGCTTTGGATAGCCCTGTGTCTGTGCTTGAAAGCTGAGCAAAAGAGAATGGGGATCTACCAGACGAGCCGCAAAAGGTCTGTTCTTGATCGGATTTGATCTTCCGTTTTCTCTGTCAGAAAAGAGCTTCCCGAGTCGTTAGGCACGCACTCGAGTCAAGAGGGTAAGATCACGTATCTGAATGTCACATGCCGATATCACGCAAGATGTGGAGGAGATACGACTTTGCAATACTGGAAATGAGGACGGATGGAAGGACAAATGGATGCATACTGCTCGTTCGTTTGCATGTGTCGGATATACAAATATAAAGGCAGATGTAAGCGAGACACCATCTGTCTGCGACAGCAGAAGCCCTGATGTCTCTCTTAAGCATTCGCTTGCTCCTTCTTCCAAGCCTGCGCCATCTGCAACAACTTGGACATCTTGGCTGCACTCTCGTCGTCGGCTGGGAACACATAGTCCATGTATTCCTCGAACTCGTTTTCGGCCAACTTTCTTCTCTTCTTGACACGACGTGGCATTTGTTTCTCCACTTTCTCGAGGTCGGCTGCAGAGCCATGTGTCGTTTCGAAGGATTTCCATGCGTTGAGTAAAGCCACGCGCTGGGGTAAGTTAGTAAGATTGAAACGAGGCGAGTTTGGACCCAAGGTTACACTTACCTCTTCCTTGAGATCCTTTTGCTTCATGTCCTCGTATGCTCGTTGGAAGATCTTGCGCGCCCGCAGCTTTGCGTTCTCGGAAATCGGTTTCTCCTCTTCGTCGTCTTCGTCCGCTTCCTCCTCGTCTGGATCTGGCACGTTGATTTCGAAATGTGCGTAACTGATCCATACCTTGACATGGCCTGTTTTTTCCAACAGACGCTCGTACAAAGCCCTTGTCCTGTCCCATTCGCCCTCTTCTTCTTCAAAGTCGATATAGGCTTTCCAGAGCAGTTCTGGCATATCGAGAGACGGTTGGTCGACTGCCAGTTCGAAGATAGCGCGTGTGCGATCGAGATCCTCCAACCCTCGTTCCAATTCCGCGAACTTGATCCATGCTTGGCAGTTTGCCGGATTCCATTCAATGTGTTTCTCATATAATGTGCGGCAACGCATGAACTCGAATAGTTTGAGTTCCAGTTCGATGTACCCACGGAACAGCTTGTCCTTCGGGCACATGCCAATTGCGATGCCCAGCGACTTGCGGGCTGCTTGTAGTTGCATTTGTCTGATCTCAAATTGTGCTTTGAGCAGCCAGAACTTTGCGAAGGTGAACTTCTTGTGAGGGATGAGCTTTTGACACTCAGCGTATACCTGCCTGGCGCGTTCGATATCCTTGTTCTCCATCTCTTCCCAGAGTGCGTAAAAGATCCAGATGTAAATGTATCGTCGCCAGTGTCGTTTTTCTTGCGTTGGAGGCACTTGAGCAATTGCACGCTCGTACACGTCTCTTGTGCGCTCCACATCACCCAATGACTCTTCCAATCTCGCATAGTCGATCCATGCGTCGTAGTTTTTTGGGTTCTCCTTGACCTGCTCTTCGTACTGTACCCGTCGCTTGGACAAAACAACGTCCTCAACGCCTTCTTGGTCGCCATATTGCTTCTCGAAAGTTGTGTAGTGCTTGTGGAGGTTGGCAGACTGTGACCTAGGCATGCGATCCAGAGCGTACTTGTAGATGGCTCTTGCGCGCTCGTACTCCTTGAGCTTGGCTTCATAGCGAGCATATGCAATGAAGAGCTTCTCGTCCATGAAATCCTCGCCCATGGTCTCAATGGCCATGCCAAAGACCTCTCTAACATTATCGCTCGTTCCACTCTCTTCCTCGAAACGTGCCCATTTTATCCAATTCTTGGGTTCCGGGTGAACAATGGTAAACCTCTCGAAGATTGAGCGAGCGCGGTCGAATTCTCCATATCTCTTCTCCATCTTGATGTAGGCCCCCCAAGCATCTTCGCTAGGCTCCCAGCTCATCCATCTCTCAAAGACCTGACGAGTACCAGGAATATTGCCGAGGGTTTCCTCCATATAGACGTACTTGTACCATAGCTTGTCAATTCTGGGCAGGATTGTGACGGCTCGGTCGAGCAAGTTTCTGGCATGGTTGATGTTCCTCGTCTTCATCTCGGCTTCAATGTAGCGTAGCCATAGGGGAACGTTGGTGGGTTCGACATCGAGGGCGCGTTCGAAGACAGATCTCGCGCGGCGGTATTCCTTCTGCTCAAGTTCCCAGGCAGCATAGCGCATCCAATTGCCCATGTTAAGGCGGTTGCGGCGGACATAGTCTTCGAACTCCTTGCGCTTGCGGCCCTGGTATTCATGAAGCTCTTCCAAGTCGGCAAAGCGCTGGGTAGGGGCCTGAAGACCGGGTTCCTGGCGGTCGACAGCCTCGCGCAAGAGTTGTTCGGCGCTGATCTGGATAGGCGCAGCGGCCTTGTTCTTAACCCTCGGGGGCCCACGCGACGACTCCATGGTGACGGACGGAGTGAGATGACACCAGTTCGAACGGGGATACTAGGAGACAGCAGGCGCGAAGGCACGACAGGTCGGCCTGTGGTGGTGTGAACGAAGACCAAAAGTTGATTGCAGGCTAGAGATGGAAGGAAGCTTGACGCGATGGTGGAATTTGCCGACCAGCGAGCGTCACTTTGCATGTGAATCAGCGACTGCCTGCACTTTCTTCTGACAATAATTACAACCACATTAACAGCTCAACTACCGCAATTGCGCATCACGGGAAGACACCTAGCTTTATCTCTCTCAACTACCACATCTCGAGTACACGACATCTGCATTCTATCGATCCGAGCAACACACTTCCAAGATGGCGACCATCGCCGACGAGCTTCTGAACGACTTCGAGTCCGATGGCGAAGAAGAGAACCAGGAATCCTTTGAGGGTGATATTGCCACAGACTCCATCTTGCGCCCCTTGGACCACAGCGATGCGAATGGCGCTATGGAACTGGATGGTGACGAAGAAGGCGACGACGAGGATGGCCAGGATGGCGACGCAGCACCTACCGCCAACGTCCGAGAGACCGAGACCGAGGAAGAAGCAAAAGCAAGAGTTGAGAAGATGGACCTGGCTGCTGTCGGAGATGTGCGCAGTGTCGCCATTCTGATGAAGAAGCTACAACCAATTCTTGAGGTAAGCATACAACCATGTCCCAACGACAAACGTAATCATGATTTACATCCTTTGAACATAGCCCTGACCACTGCATCTTGTTCGCAGAAAATCAACCACTATCTGAATCTACCTCCCGACCAGCAAACAAAGAATATTGGCAACATCGAAGACAACCCCGAGTACAAGCTCATGACCGAGGCCAACACTTACTCCACCTCGATCGACGGCGAGATCATCCTCGTCCACAAATTCATCCGTGATCACTACTCGACACGCTTCCCCGAGCTCGAAAGACTGGTCCAGAACCCCCTCGATTATGCAAAGACTGTCGCAATCATTGGAAATGGCCCCATGGACGATGTCAAGAGCTTGTCAAATTCAACCGACAACCCCGTAGGTCAATCACTTCGTCAAGTTCTGGATGGTCCCACTATGATGGTCGTCACTGTTGAAGCAACCACTACAAGAGGTGTCGCACTGTCCGACTCAGAGCTACAAAGCATCCGATACGCCTGCGACATGACTCTGCAACTCGACAAGGCCAAGCGGATCATGACTGACTACGTACAATCTCGCATGAGCGTCTTTGCACCAAACCTCACAGTTCTGATCGGCTCGCTAACAGCTGCCCAACTCGTCAACTTTGCCGGTGGTATTAAGGGTCTGGCTAGCACACCTGCTTGCAACATTCCCCCGCTTGGCTCAAAGAAACAGACTCAAACCGGTTTTGCTACCAATGTAGGCGTCCGCCATCAGGGTTTCGTCTACAACTCTCCTCTGGTCAGAGAAGTTCCCAGCGATTTGAAGAAACAGGCCATGCGTATCGTGTCTGCTAAGTTGATTCTTGCCGCTAGAGTGGACAGCACTCACGGCTCTCCCAATGGTGCAGACGGCGAGAGATTCAGGGATGAATGTATCAACCGCCTGGATAAACTGGTAGCACCAGCACCAAATCGCGGCGCTCGTGCCCTGCCAGCCCCTGACGACAAACCAAGTCGCAAGCGTGGTGGACGCAGAGCGAGAAAGGCAAAGGAAGCAACCGCCATGACCGATCTCCGCAAGGCACAGAACCGCATGGAATTCGGCAAGGAAGAAGCAGAAGTAGGCTACGGCACTGGCGACGGTACCAAAGGTCTTGGTATGATTGGCGCCGCTCAAACAGGCTCGATCCGCACACAACAAATCGATCAACGCACACGTGCGAAATTGTCAAAGAAGAATCCAGGATGGGGCGGTGCTACACCAGCACCTTCAGGACTTGCATCTACCTTCCACGGCGGCTTTGGCTCTGGCACAGCATCAGTACTACGCAATTCAGGTCTCAGAACCTCAGGTGTAGGAATGGGATCAGGAACGTCTAGTATCGCATTCACACCCGTCCAAGGCCTTGAGTTGGTAGATCCCAAGGTTAGGGATGAGATGAACAGAAAACGAAAGGCGGATGAGGATAGATGGTTCAAGGGAGGTACTTTTACACAGATTGGCGGTACGTCGACGTCAACACCAGGAGCTGGTGCTGCTGCCAATGGAGGCTTCAAGGTTCCTGCTTTGCCGCCGCCCAAGAAGAGGGATACGGGCGCTACTAAGTAGGAGGCTAGATTGCTTTTGAAACCTATAGTGGCCGAATAGATCAGCTCAAAAGCGTTGTGAATGCAAAAAACAAAGCAATATTGTATTACTACTCGATTCGTCTCTTGTCTGGTGGTCTTCAATCGTGCTTCTTTTGTGTATCTGCCTGACTGGTGCATTCTCGCTGACATAGTGGTGTTTCACCACGTAAGATCTGTATGTCAAGATCTGGACAGCATATCGACATGAGATCGCTTTCATACACTCGAAACCATTCACACATTCAACACTAATCAAGCAAACAGGTTCAGGCAGGCTATCAAAGTGGTATACGTCGTTATTGATGCGTTGCAAAAGAGATGATTTGAAGGACAGGGTTCTACACAGGTCAAATCATTTTTCTCCTTTTATCTTCTTTTTCTTTTTTTCACTGTCAGACTGGTGTAGCAAGTATGTTTCATGTTTACAAAATAGGTAAACCGCATCAGATTCAAAGACGAATTCTCTGGATGAGAGGGCTGGTACATCAAACATTGGGTATATCAAATGCTTTTCGTGTCTATATTGATGCTTTTAATTTCAGCTCATTGCATGTAAATAGAGCGACTCACATTGGTAGCAAATGTGAATGCTGAAACGTCACGGAGATGATCATAGATTCTCTCGCAAAGATCCTATCCTCAGGTAAGGCGATTAGAGCTTGCGTCCCTGTTATTTTTGAGCGCCAAGCTCGCCGGTGACCTTGACGAATGCCTCCCACTGCTCTCTGGCAGCACCGCTGCTGATGCACCAGCGAGCGCGTCTGACACCCTCCTTCCAGCGCAAGCCACCAGGGCCGCGCTCGGTAATGACCTTGCCGTCGTCTCCAGGACCCATGTTGCTGCTGTCGGCCTCGCAGATACCAGAGGTGACCAAAAGAGCAGCAGTGTTGATGAGGACGAAAGTGAGGACGGGATCTTCGGGGTCGATTGTTCCGTCGAGAATGCTTTGAAGAATCACAGCATTCTCAGCAGGTGACTTTCCACCAGCGACGAGATGAAGGGGTGCAGACTTCAGGCCCAAATCCTCAGGTGAGACAGTGAAGGGCACAATGTCGACTGGGCCATTCTCGGCTTCGGAGTGAGGCTTCAGCATCCAGCAGTGTGAAGGTCCAGCACAGCTCAACTCGTCCAAATCCTCAGCACCACAGACGACCAATGCTTTTCTGGCGCCAGTCAAACGCAGTGACTCGGCGAATACAGGACCCATATCGCGCTTTGCGACACCCAAGATACGAGCCTCGATCAAGTCGCTGTTTTGTACGGGATTGGCCAGGGGACCGAGCAAGTTGAAGATTGTGCGGAAAGGCAACTCTTTACGGACAGCAGCGGCGTGCTTCATGCCAGGATGCCATTCGCGAGCATATAAGAAGGCGTAATTCGTGCGGGAGTAGATGTCGGGTAGCGTCTTCTCGGTGGTTGCAGCGATGATAGGTGCGGGAGAAGCGGCGAGCAGGAGATCGGCGGAACCAGATTTTGAGGTCGAAGCATTGTTGCCGTGTTTGGCCATCATAAGCAGGGCCGAGGCGAGGATACTCGAGGTTGTGCTGACATTGTATGTGTTGTGGCTGTCACCGCCAGTACCAACTATGTCGCACTATGGAAATGTAAGTGATTGCTTAGAGAGACAGAGTCGCTTGGGCATACCATACCAGACCTCCGTGGTATTTACCCTCCTTACGAGCACGGTGTGAGACAGCTTTTGCGAGAGCATCATGGTTGACTTGAGCAGCAGCATATCTCATAGAACTGGCGCATGCTGCGAGGATATCCGGACGACGATCCAATTGGGTTGTGTGGAGTGCATAGAGAAGACAGCCAGTTTGGACAGGTGAAATGGCGTCTGCGAAAATGTGGGAAATGGCAAGAGCAACTTCTTGGGCTGTGATGCTGAACAAGGTCGTGGTGGGGTCAGCCAGCCGGAGGAGGAGCGGTGATATCGAGATTGCTGCTTTGGCCTCGCTCATTGTGACGATTTTGTAATTTTGTGTAAGCAGTCGGACAGGAGGACGGTATACACCGCGAAACAAAGGCAATTGGAACGAGCGGAATTGGATGAGAAAGTCACTATTGAAGCACCGAACAGTATGACTGGAATGCGGCCTCGAGGTGCGGGTCTTGCCGAATGGAGAAAGAGCAACTCACCGAAATGTCCGTGCGCGAGATTTCCTGAAGATGCGGAAGTCGCGCTGAACGGCAAGACCAGAGAGCATTCGAATCCAGCAGTCGTCCTTTCCGCATATCACACTCTCGTCTGAGTGTCCGTCGCATGTTCTGACGTACCTTCCTTCTGACTATCTCCAGCCACTATCACAATGCCGCCGAGGTTACGACTCCACGCCAGCAAGCGCTTGCGCCTGAACACATCCCACGCCGCATACCCTTCATGTCAATGTCGATACGCCTCTTTGGCTGCTGCCACCACTCCAGCCCCTTCGATTGAGTCGACAATCCACGCATCATCTCCCATCTCGCGCCATCCTGCCACTCAACCACCTCCATACAAGCCTGCCGAGTTCCGCAAAACCCAACTTCACCGCATCTACACATCCCTGATCCGCTCTTCACCTTTGATGCTGGTCTTCCAACACAACAACCTTAAGGCTTCAGAGTTCGCTGGAATCAGAAGACAATTGAACTTTGCTCTGGAGAAGGTCGACGCTGAGCTGGGCACCGAGGCTTCACCTTCTGTCATTGGCAAATACACCGAGCTGCAGATTGTCCAAACTGGTATCTTTGCCTCTGCCGTCAAGGTCGCCGAAGGCTTCAATCCAGAGTCTTTCTCCGACGCTGCCAGGACGCATCATCCTCAAGACCCCACAACCAACACCTCTGCCACTCTCAACACAAAGCCTGCCAGCCCACAGTACACACACAGCCTGTCAAGGGAAGCATGGAAGGCCGCTAGAAGCTCAAAGGTCCAAACTGGTCTTGAGCCTTTGTTGTCCGGTCCCTTGGTCGTTCTCACATTCCCTCTGGTCTCACCTCAACACTTGAAGGCTGCCATGACCATCCTTTCTCCTTCAGAAGCTTTCCCAGCACCCAAGAGAAAGGCAAACCCTGGCCTCTACGACCCCACCATTCAGAGTGGTCTCCAAAAGCTCATGCTCCTCGGTGCCCGCGTCGAGGGTAAGGTCTTCGATCTTGACGGTACCAAATGGGTTGGTGGCATCTCTGGCGGTTTGGACGGACTCAGAGCCCAGCTCGTCTACATGCTCCAATCTCTGCCTGCCACTCTCACAAACACTCTTGAGGGTGCAGCAAAGAGCTTGTACGTCACTGTCGAGAGCAGACGCCAGGACATGGAGCCAAAGGAAGACAAGCCCGCAGAGGCAGAGAAGAAGGAGGCATAGATCATGTAGGTCTGGCCTGCTTTGTATTACCACCCACAAATCTGTACAGCTTTTTCATCTTCGCAAAAATGATATCCATTTCTATAATCATTACACATTGTTTCGTTCTGGATTAACAATTTCGTTGATTCTTCTGTGACGTTGTCATTGACACTCTAATCTGCGAGATCATCGATCAGGAGCGTACTTCTGTCCTCCATGATCTCCTCGACCTCAACACCAACTGTACCTCCTCCTACCCTCTCGAGATGCTCATCGCCTACCTTGTCGTATACGCATGGTCAGATGACCAGTTTTGCGGCTTCTCCTTTGCGCACAAGCCTGACACGATAGACATGTCAGATTTTGGGCCGATATTGGAAATTATCATGCTATGCACAAGACTAACTCTCATGATTTGCTCAAATCCCCGTGGCGCAATGATCTTTGCCACTATCATGCTCACGCTTCGTACTCCAAGATGAATTACCATTGGTGTGTCAAGAGACGCCAGAGATGAGCAGCCTCTGGTATTGCTGGCTCAATCAGAATTGGTCAGGGTGAGCTCGAACAGTATCCGACGGCACGGAACAGCTGGAATGGGAGTCAAGAAAAGGCAGAACATTGACGCTACTTGTAAGTAGTCGCTTTCTGATCACAAAGTCGAGCTGCGTAAATTTGATGTTCTTCATATCCAAACTTCTCTACCTATGCGAACGAATATAAGCACTGACTGTGCTGAAGTCTCACATATTGCTTCAGGTTCACATTGATCTGGTTTGGGATGAATGCCAGTATCACGACCAAGGGTATGATTCGTTAAGAGCTTGCGTGCTCCTGAGGTATTTGGCTTCTCACTTCTTTAACCAGTTCCGGTGCTCGTTAGGGTGCTGCTTGAAGAGTGAACCGCTCCACCAGAACACACCAAACAGCCTCGCAGCTCAAGAGAACCGTCACAACAAAAACTACTTTGGCATCACACGTAAACCCCTAGTCAGTTCCAGTGAAGTACTTATTACTTTTCTCTCCGTCAAAGTTACAACTTTTCTATCTTCTTCCACTTCTATTGAACCACAGCTGCTCGTACAACTTCCTTGCTTTTTTCAACATACATACCTGCATGCAAACATGCCTCACACAGCGTTTGTCAAAGCTGTAAAGGCTGCCTTCGAACTCATCAGTCCTCGATCGAGACTTCGACCGCCAACACTACAGCCTTCTAACCATTCTTTGGGGTGCTCCAATGATTGCACACCAGATACTCCGGAGCAACCGATCAGGTCCTCAGTCAAAAGACCAGCAGCAGGTGAAAATTATGATGATGATCCGCCAGCGAAGCGCCAGAGACTCGCACCGCAGAATCCTGAAAAGCCTATTTACAAGTGAGCCTCAAAGATCTTATATTTTTCAGAGCGTCATACTGATGTGCTCCTATAGACTGGCAACCGTTTTCCTCAAGTACGAAGGAATACCTATGGCCGAGATCCCTTCGAGAAGATTCCGGAAGCTCGCATCAGAGAAGGTCAAGGATCTGGAGAGAGAGATCTTCGAGAGCAACACGCATCGCTGGAAGTTGTATGCGTACAACGTTCCCAGGCTCTATGGACCATACGCCGAAGATCGCATCAAACGTTGGGTGAGCTGGCTGATTCATTCAGATCTCCGTGCTGTGGTAAGAGGAGAATCTTGGGATGACACAAGTATAGAGGCTGCTCTTGTTGACGCAAGAGATCTGGACGATGTTCGTTATCAAGATGCATTGCTCGATGCTTTGATAGCCTGGATCCGGAAAGAAGGATCGCCAGGCAGCATTGACGTCAAATGGCTTCGACGAAACAACGAGCGCTTCTTTCGGTACCATGACTGCTTGAAAGCTATTGGAATTGCTCTCATCTGGCATTATGATGGCAAACGTACTGGTTATTATGGCCCAGAGACTCGCTCTGACATTCGAGAGATCCACGACAGATATCTCGACGGTCTGGAAGCAGAGCCAGAAGATCCCCTGAACTTGTCCGCAGACGACTTCTGCAAGACTTATCATTCTCATCATGAAATGAAAATGCCATGCTACAGAATCAAGAAGTTGCCGGAAGATGTTTCATCTCCTTGAGAAATCTCGACTCTTTCAACTCCAGCGCTCGAGTAAGTATTTCAAACGATCCATGTTTGGCTCACACACTGACAAACTTTGCTAGGTTTTCCATACCATCAAGATCTGGCAATAACAGCAACGATTGTGCTCAAACTTCTGCAGCTCATCCTAGGAGTGCCTTTCCTTTGTTCATTGATTCCAGGAGCAGCCCTCTCATCTGATTTCCCAGTTCCTTGTTAAGACCCATCAAGCAAAATATATCAGATAGGCCATTTCAGATAATAAAATTGCATCGGTAGCATATCGCAACCGAGCATACTGGGTCTAGTTCCGAATCTTCTTATTTTGCTCTATCATGTCTGGAATTTGTGAAATTGTCAATGAGATTCAGAACATCAACCTGGTAGACGAATGCATAAACTTTTGCCCACAGGCAATCAAGCTCCAATTTCAGGCAAAAATGAATGTCCTATCTGTAGTAGAGATACCAGAAGTGAAGTTGTCAACGCAGCGTCAGTGTTATGCACCTAGGAAGTGACGACAAGACTCCTGTGTTGCGAGTACCTAGACAACTTCTCTCCAGCACTTCGAAACAATCACTGGCTCTAATCTGTTCCCAAACCCCTCCAGAGCATCACTTTCACTCTTATTGTATACTGCTTTATATCTACACCAACTCAAAGTCAATTTGACTACCACCTTCCACTAATACTTCTCACATCCATCTTCGCCGTGGTGAGACTCACGACCTCTCTTGATAACACTGTTCCATCAACTCGCACAAACGCCTTGGCTGCAAGATTTCACAGCTCACTCGTCTTCGGAAATCTCTGATCCTCACACCTCACGACTATTTAATCTTCCATCCGACAGCTCCAACTCATCTTCTTTTTATCTTCCCAACCAAACAAAGCAACGATCCCAACCGCAGCACCGATCTCCAGCCACGCTGCGGACACAACTGAAGACTGGTTCCTGATATTGCAGTCCGTCTTTGCAGTCGCGAACTGCACGATCTAATCAACATCTCAACGCAAGATCATCGCCGCTTCACATCACGATTGCGATATCTCGCCTCACACTGTGAAGTTTTGGTCCACCTATCGTCGTCTCCTCCATCGACGTCAAAACAACGACCGCAAACCGACTTCGCTCAATATCGCAATGTCATCTGACTCTTCTGTCACTGTCCGTGATGAATCGGGAGAGCCGCTTGCCAAACGCCAGAAGACTTTCGATTATGGGTATGTCCGGAGCGATAGACCTTCAAAGACAGCTGCTGAGCTCACTCCTCCCAGACCAGAAGCTCTTGTCCTAAGAGTTGACACCACGTGCGATGGCAGTGGCTCTGAGGAATACATTAAAACAGTTGCTGTCGTGAGCGCCGCCAAATTTCACAGAGCTACTAAAGGCCGGTTCAAGACCTCACCAGCAAGTATGACTCATAATGGAACGCAGTTGATGGATACCAAGATGAGTATTATCATCTTCCGCAAAGAATTAGAGTCAGTCATCAGAGCTCTAGCTCACTGGGTCCAAGAAGATGACATTGACGAGGCTGTCTTGAAAGCCTGCGATGCCGATGATGGTAGAAAGGCCCGTTGGGTTCAGCTTCTCTTCCATGTCATCGAATTCTGGCTCAGGAACAACCTTGATAAGTCGGTCCACGATCGACTAATCGACTGCTTCATTGAGTGGCTTAAGGAAGAGAACAATCAAGGATCCGATATGCAAGATGCCATCGAAAACATCGATCGTGCTGTTCAGAGCTTCCTTTGGGCACAAATCCCGGATTTCAAGGCTGACTCCCGCGTTATTCCACTTTTGGCATGTCTCACTCTATACTATGATCCGACAGCTCTCGGCCCCTGCGATCGTGAGGAACGATTTGAGGAGAACAGCTTGAGTCCGGACATCAACGACGAAGCATACACATACTTACTTGCTAAGTGGAACGATGGTGTAAATGTACCGGAGGATCCCTTGGAAGATGACTTCGATCAACACTGCCGTTACCACCTGCACGGTGACAAAGAAGCTTGTTACAAGCAAAAGCAGTCTTGGAGGGCTTGATATCGCCTATGCGGAGGCCCTTTACTCTGGCTCCTTTACTCAACCTCTGGTATCAAGATGGTCAAAGGACCGCTGCATCTTGAAAGAAGACAAGATATATCAGGAGAGAGGAAAAAGAAAGGAAGATGAGGACAGCAAAGATAAGAAAGAGAGCAGGATGAGAAGAATGCAGACAAGTCTGTGTCGAAGAAGAAAACAAAAATTGGGAAGGTTCTGATCTTGCGAGAGGCATCCTCGCACTTGAGGTAGTGTTTCTGGGGGCTCAGGGGTAATCTTGAGATGAGATTTCGGGGAGCAAAAGGGAGAAACAAGAAAGAAGCATGATTACCTTTTCATAGTACACATGCAGTAGGTAGTCCTCACATTCTTCGATGAATCATATTCTATCCTAATGTTTCTTCTTTATGCCTGCATATGGTCAAACAGTCCGCGATTGACCACCTTTAATGCATGGAGATACAAACGTCGAGATGCAAAGGACAACATCTCATGATCAGAGATCCTGACACGGTGAGGTAAATGTCTTTTTCCAGGTCCAGCGTGCCACAGGAACACTCAATGTTTGTTGATAAGCTCTTTCTCGCCATCGGCTTTCTTTAGACATGACCGCTGGTCGAGAAATGATCTTGCATTGCTATAGTTATCTTGAACCGGAGCTGACATAGAGATGAAGAAGCAGTTGCAGTTGGATATCATGCGTCTGATCAGCGTGAATCACGGTCAACAGTTTGATAAGAATGAGGATACTAGCAAAATTTATTGCCATAGAACACCAGTAGACAAAGATCTCTGGCTTGGAAGATACATCCGACCTCTGAAAGACACACTAGCCTGATAGACATAGCAAATGAGGGTATTGGAGTTCCGATAGAGAAGCAGTCTCTCAAGACTAGCTCTCGATTGTGGCAGGCCTCCTGTACTTCCATCAGTGCCAGAAACAATGTTGGGGTGGACAAATAGTATGCAAGCTGACATGATAGACTAGGCCGGAGGTCTTTGGATGTAGCAATACCTTATACGCAGCTTTGATATCATGCTAGGGGTAGGAAGGAGCTACTACGGTCAGACCACAGATAGGCTGAGTAGACTATATATGTAGCAAAGGATCCAACCCTACCAATTCCAGATGACGGAGTCGGTGCTGACGGCCGCAGTCACTTTCCTGATGGGAGTTTAGTTTAGGAGGATCGACTCCCCTTCACAGAACTCTTTTTGTTCAACACTCTCGGTTCGACCCTCCCGATGGACAGTTCCTCTTTTTGCACTCTAGTACTCTGCATCAGTCGTGATTGAGTGGGATACAATTTTTTATTGGCACCCCGCTTCTGTCAAGACCTTGCAGCGGACCAGCGGTAGGGTGTTGATGCATAACCATAATTTGTACTTCATGTCACCTATCGAATTGATACTTCTTTTGTTCCACACGTCTCTGCTCACAAAAAACCACGAATACGCCAAACTCCATATCCTTCAATCGATCTCATGATTTGACCGAGCTCCTCTCTGTTCAAACCAAGGTTGACAACTTTTGAATCTCTGAACTCATGTCAGCATCACATTTTAACAGACATATGAGGGCTACACTTACTCTCACGAATCTTTTGTTTGTAGCAGAGCTCTCCTTCAGCGTGATGGTGGTATGCACAATGTTGGTCGAAGGCAGGGTCCATCACGTCGCCCGGAATGGTGTCTCTTGCGCTCTGGTCGATGTGATCCATGAGCCAGAACTCAAAGGCACTGAAGTTCTTTGGAGTGAACAAGGTCTCGCCGTGATGAACTAGGACGTTTGCACACACGCGAATCAGTCCACCTTCCTCCAGTGTGTCGTTGAACTGGCAGATTCTGAAGACCTGGTTGAGGTTGACGTCGTCGCTTTTGATATATTCGATATACCAGTCGATCATGGAGTCGTACACAGCGCTGTTGTAGGTGTTCATGTTGGAGAAATGACTAATGACTCTGTGAAAGATTCCAAGAGTCTTGATCACTGGGGAAGAGTCTCGTTCTCCAAGGGATGAACCAAACTCCATGCTAACTCTCAAGGACTCAGCGACATCCATATCCTTGACCCATTGAGCAAGAAACTCCACCACACTCTTCTCGTCCTTAATGTTGTAGGTGACCAGTCTGTGGCCAAAGCATTGTAAGGGGCGGCTTTTGTTTTCCTTCAGAGCGGTCTGTAGATCCTTGCGCAAGACGAGAGCAAGACTGTCGCGTGGTATGGTGTTGGTGGCCACGTGATGCGATCTCAGAGAGATGGCCGACAATCTAGACCGTGTTCAGTAAAGGTCGACCATCCGATATGTTGACACTCACCCATGGTAGGACTGTTTAGTGACGCGTCTCTCGGCGTCAGGGGTAATGCCGGGGCTGGCGGTAGGCTTTTTGATAGCCATGACGGGCTTGATGGACGCCATGATTGCCTTTCGTTGGTGGTTTGTTGTTTGGCAGGCGCAAAAGATTGTGTTCCACGAAGAAAAGTTGGTAGCAGATTTTCCGTGGCGGGTGGTGTCAGGGCGACCAACCAGTGGAAACAATTTTTGTATGATGAGTGAAGCAGCCAAATTTTGACAGGAGTGATAGCCATTCTTCCTTATTTACTTTCTTGGACTCCATATCTTACCTCCTCATCGCAACTCTTCAAGACCATGAAGATCACCGACAACCACGACGGCTTGGAATCCGAGATGGACAACGACGACTACAACGCTGTGCAGTATTTCGACGGTGCTGACGACGAGCTCACGACGGATGTCGATCAGGACAAAGTCGACAAGGAAACTAGCCTCTTGCCCGGATCACCAGCTCGTGCGCTGGAGTTTCGTCCTAAGCGTGGCGGAGGCAACAATGGCCGTGTTGATGGACGTGGTGCAAGACGTGGAGGCAGAGGCGGTCGTGCTTTGGTCTCTTGGGCGCGCCGTGGACGTACTATTTCACAACACCAGGTTACCATTGAGCGTCCACTCGAGTTTGGGTCAGTCACTTGAGATTCGTGTGATGAAAATCTTCTGACAACTGTCCAGGACCGAAATTGTGGTCTTAAAGGCCAAGGGCGAAACAAACAGTCATGTGTCCAAGACTCAATTTGACCATGCAGTCAAGCTGATCGACCATGGAACTTACGACATCGTCAAGGACTGCGAGGGTGTCAGCATCAGACATTATAATTTCGAAGTTCATCGCTCCATCGTCCGCTTCTTCGACTATTGGATCCACTATCACGACAGCCAGGATGCCCACGCCGCTATCGAGTATGCTCTCGAGAGGAAGAAGAGAATCGACATCAACAACCTCAAGCCCAAGCTCAGTGCTGAAAGTGGATGGAGCTCCATTTGGAGCTCCATATGGATAATCCATAATTCCAAATGGAGTGGAAGGAGACCTTAACTCCATGGAGTTTGGAGCTCCAACGCAGGGTCATTTGGAGCTCCATGGATATTGCCAAGCATGCCTAGATAGGCATAGTTGGACTCTTGGCTTAAGGCCTAAGCTCAACTATGAGTCCGGATAAGCAAGATCCGAAGATAAGATATAGATCTATGACATATTCTAGCTGTGCTAGTAACCCTGTCCTAAGTTTCTGCCTGCCAAGATAACCCTTATTACCTATAATATTAATATTCTATTATTTGATAACTTAGAAAACAGCAGGATTTTTAAGATAAAACTAAGTTTAATTAGAAATTAAGTTATTATCATATATTAGAGTCTTTTTTATCATTTTAACAAAGCTTAAGTATTTCTCCATACAAATATACAAAACAATCCGGAGAAAACTTTGGAGCTCCAACAACTCCACATGGAGTATCCATGGATATCCAAATACTCCATGGAGATTGGAGCTCCAAAACTCCATGGATTATCCATGGAGCTTTTGGAGTTGGAAGAGGGGGTCCTTCCAAACTCCAAAAACTCCATGGAGTGGAGCTCCACTCCATCCACTTTCAGCACTGCCCAAGCTCGGCGCTGCAGTTGGCGACTACGTGATCTTCGTCGTTAAGCTCATCAAGTTCTTCGACGATGAGAAATTCTTCAATCCTCAGATCAAATAGTCTCTATTCGACTGTTTCGCAAACCTGATGAAGGCCCAGAATGACAAGGAGGACAAGACTGAGGTGGCCAAGATGTTCAACGATGCTTGCAACGATCGCTCCATCCAGCACAACATCGTCGATGTGCTTGTCGCTCTCTCTGAGTGAAGTGGATAGTACGAAAGAGTCGCTCACATGGTGGTGGAAGAAGGTTCGGACGCTTGGCCCTCCCACTCAATGTAATTATCTCTTTTATCGTTTGGGATCAGCCTACCAGTACAGCTTGTTTTCCTCAACTTTCAATGCACTTCTTTTGGTCCGCAAGGCTGTCAATAGATGGGCTATTCTGGATCACCTTCTCACTGCACACGATGTTCGACTGAAAAAACGCAGAAGGTCGGTGCTTTAGACTCAAAGGAACGACAAACCACATTGAGACAAAGAAAACACATTGTGCCTCAAAGTTGTTGAGGCCAAGTCTTCAGATCGGTTGTTCGTGTATAGAAACATGGCTGAGTTGCAGTAGCACCCTGTACGAGTAGCTATAGAGACACTTGGTAGCATTGCATAGATGGCCTTTTAATTTGGGAAGGATGCAACGATCAGTCAAGATGATTGAGCTGATGTCGAGCAAGTCGAGTTGCCGAGCTTGAGCCGAAATTTCGGCAACTTCTCAGTCCGTTGGTCTTCTGGACATACTCTCGCACATTCCTGAGACCACACAGTCACAAGTCAGTCGGAGTCACATATCAAGTAGACCAACGAATACACCTCTGTCTGGGAGAAGTTGACCGTCGGCTAGATCAGGTGTATCGCATAGAGATTGTAACCGATTGTCCGGATCGGTGGCCGCACCAAGACTGAGGATAGAGTGATGAGGCGCTTACACGCGCGCCATCCACGTCTGTTAGCGTATCTTGAAGCACCTCTTGAACAATAGCTGCGGTTGAGCATGGTAGCACCTTGGCGTAAACACAAGAATCTCAGCGGCACATTGCCAGTAGCCGCTTTCGACGCCGCACAACAATGGCCAACGCGATCATTCGCACTTCAGGTTCTCACGACCAACTCGAGCCAACGCACGAAGTTGCATAGTTGGTTGGAGTTGCTTCGCGAGACGTCCCGCGCGCTAGAATCGAGCAAAAATGCAATATATTCGATTCGGCCGGCGACTGTACAGAGCTGTCACTGAGCACTGACGCTCTATATATCTGGATATCTCCCCTGCTCGTTCAGACAGTCCATCATCTTTGTTCTGAATCTCTAAGACTTCATCATCTCATCGTTCTCCGATAGCCACCATGCATTACAGCTGCAGTGTTCTGGTCCTTTTGACCTTGCTCCTTGTATCTCAGCTGCAAGCTCAGACCGAGTAAATGCTTGTAGCAAATCCTGCACTGACAAACTCCCAATTCTAGATACAGCGATACAAATATGACCCTTACTTCCACAGCTCTTGATGCACATATTTGGGGAAACCACAGTCCTTCGTTCTCCATGTGGGAAAGGCCCAAGCCCCCATATCAGACCTGCTTCAATCTCGCCGATGTGTTTGGTAATGTCAGCAGCCCGTGGGACTACACAACCGAGAACGCGGCATATTACAACCTAAAAGGCAATTTTACATCCTTCACATACAAGCAGCTCAACAGAACCGATCCTGAAGTTGGTAAAACCGCTGCCAGACTTGTCAAGATCTGGCCGTTGGAGGATTGTCGCGAGAGTGACGGTCTTCCTTGGTATGGATTCAGCTGTCAGGACAACGGAACAGCATTCGGCATTCCTGGCGGGATCAAGAGTTTCTCCATCATGGATAGAGCCGCACCTAACAACGAAGATCAAGATCACTGTTGGACTTGGGCCAGGGATGGTCATTCGGCGGCATCGACAAACTTCAAGGGCTGCTTTGCTGCAATGACGGTTGCTGTGTTGTCTGCGATCATCTTGGTATTGTAGTATGAGAGTAGACAATACACTGGTGGATCTGTTGGTAAGTCAATTCGACGAACCTTTCAGAGCAACCACGGCGCGGAAGAGGATCAAGAGATTTGGTTATGGCTTGTGGAAATGCAAGAATGTTTGAAATGTTGTTTTTCATTCACCTCTTTCTGTGCCAGACTTTGTTTGCCATGAGCATTTTAAGATGCACATTGTGCATTTCTGCTGTTGGTTGTTCTGCTAAAGTTGACTTAGCAACTGTTATCAAGCAAGTCTAACCGAGGTTTAGCCGCTTGATACCCCCTTGATCAAGCACCTCCAAGCCTCCAACGAGTCAAGAAATCTCTGATCGCGCTCAGTGATAACGATGAGATCTCCTGGAGAACTTCACTCTCAGGATCACGAACGCTAGTCAGGGCGCTTGGAGAGGAACCAAACGCACCAAGGAGGCGCCCAGCCTTGGCAAACAATCCTTCAAAGTCCCCACCTAAGGCTAAGGCCGATGATCCCGTACATTTCGTCACTCCAACCTCCGTATCTGGACTCAGAGTGCTGCGATTCACGTGTTTACGGACGTACTGCCTCTCTCGGTAGCTCTCATGTTCTTTCCTTCCACCATATGTTCCTACCGCCACAACAAGATGGCCAGGAACCGTGGGTGGTGCTCAGGAGCTCGAAGCCGATGAGCTGTAACGCAATCAACCCTCACATTTGACAACTAATTTCAGCCCTTAGCCGATGTCGAGAGGCCTTAGACGTGGTCCAGGACTACAGTATCCCGGATCCTGGAGTTGGTGCGCTGAATGCTACAGTCTCTAATCCAAACAGGATACAGACGTGGATTCAGAATAGCAGACTGATTTACAACCCACTGACTTGAACGACGCTCTCTGTCACGCGTGTGTCGATCATTACACATGATTCACACTTCGATCTAGGCACTAGCAGCTAACACCAACATGCGACTTTCCACAACCGGTTCAACACCTGATCCTTTGCTTTAAAGGCTGTGCCTCAGGATCGACTGGATGTTTCAAGGAATCCTGACTTGGCCTACGAAATGTTGCAGGAAATTATCGCTCCATACTTAGACTGCTACTGATCGTCTCTAGTTATAATCCTGTCGTACTGACTCTTCCAAGCGTACTTATTCGAGCAACTGTCCTACATACCCACCCAAATATACCTCATCTAATCCTTGCCTCCTTACATCATGCAGTTTCACCAAAGCGCCTCAACTCTTATCTCCTTGCTTCTTGTATCGCAAGTCCAAGCCCAAAGCTCGTTCGTATGATGTCTGGAGTTGCAAGGACTGTCTTCTAATATCAGCAAAGCATTCAAAATTTGACCCTCGGCTTTTCAGCCAACGATGGAAAGGGGAACGTCACATTCTCCACCAGTGAAGCGCCCTCGAGCGTGACTTGCTTCAACCTTGCCGAGATCTTCGCCAGCAATGCGAGTAACGAACATCCGTACACCGTTTCCAATACCCAAGACTTTAACCCACAAACAAACTACACGTCACTCTTCTACCAGCAACTCAATGCGAGCATCAATGGAGATTCGAGCGGTGTTGGCACTGGCAAAGACGCTGCTCGAGTTGTCGAGGTTTTCCCTGGAGAGGATTGTCGTGAGTCGGATGGTCTGTCATGGTACGGATTAAGCTGTCAAAATGCCGGCGGCGAGACTTATGTCGTCCCTGGTGGTGTCAAGAGTTTCTCAGTCGTGAGTAGAGCCGATTCTGCCAATCAAGGCCACTGCTGGATTCTTGCGAAGCAGGGCGCAGCTTCGACAGTCTTCAAGGGTTGCTTTGCAGCAGTGATGGCTGCTGCATTCTCTGGACTGATCTTGGCCATGTGATGGACGTAAAATGTTTCGACCATCAGCGTATCTGAGGGAAGATTGGTAGAAGTGCAGATTCATGAAAACATGGGAGGAAATTCACAATCACCGCTCGGTCACGGGCTTTTTACAAGCATCTTATGTATTACATGAACAGATGTTCGTTTCATTGATACAGAAGATCTTGAGAATGTATGGGGAGGAGGAGATCCACGTCGATGATGCGTAACTACGCATAAGAGTGATGATATTTAACGTAAGTGTAGTCGTTCATCATCACAGAAGTCGAACTCACTTCCACGCGGTGGGGTGGTCCTCCCGGATTCGTTGTGGCTCAACCTTGCACTCGATTCGCATGTGCTTCTGCTTTCTTATCGCCCCTTCTTCTTTGTCTCGCAAATCAATCACACTCCTTTTTCGCACACAAGCTCACTACCATGCCTGTCGCGCAACCCATCAACGCGGCCAATGATGGTCCAGCCACCAAGAAACTGAAAACTGGCAATGAAGATGAATTTGCCTATGGGTAAGACAACACCACTCACATCATGCTACAGCACAAGCCATTGACTCCGAGCCATAGCAGTCATGTGGCTCTCCTCCAGTCATATGGAACAACCGTCTGCCACGTTCCACTTGTCGAGTTCCAGAAGATCAGCAACCTCGACCCAGTCAAGAAGTGTGGGACACTTGGAGCCATCTTCCATATCTACGATTACCCGGTCGAAACCCCCCTTGTCAGGTTCTTGGCTCATTGAATCCACCATCGAGACTCCGAAGAAGCAGTCAATGCCGCCATCGAGATTGACTCAATAAATGGCGTGCTCGACAGGAAATGGCTAGACTTCCTGGTCAAAGTCCTGAACTTTTGTGACGACAAAAGCAAGTTCCATAGCGATATCACCGATTCGCTGATCGACAACTTTTTCCTCTTCTTACGCTACGGCGGGATCGATCATATGGATCAAGTGTTCAAGATCTGTAAAGAGCACTGCAAGACTCATGCCCTGACCAGCGCTTTCGCCAATGTCTTCCTCTATCGTAAGAAGCAGTTCTTGAAACAAGCTCCTACATCCGACTATGATCGAGCTGTGCAGAGACACATGCATGGATGGCTGGCCGACGTTTGGATCAACGACCGTGATTGGCGCAAGCTTCCTCCAGTGTATTCAGAATCAATCGTGTTCGACAGCTGTTATCACCACGCTCACGAGCAAGACAAGGATTGCTATGTCTGGAGCAGAGTCAGCAATGCTGGCTATCTGTAGATGATTCATTGAGTCTCCAAGGACGACACTGCCTAGAGAGGCAAATGCAACAAGTTCACAGAAGACACGACACATTCTGAAGGGCTGCGTTGAGGAGCGCACATCAGGACATAGCTAATCCTGCATGCAGCGAGAGAGAGAAGAGTCCTAGCAGAATAAAGGTGAGGAACCTTTGTCGCATCAAGAGCCTTGATTGGCCCGTCTTTTCCAACATGTCATCATCCAAAATATTCAGAAATCGGAGAGTACTGCTTGATATGCTAGATTCGAAATGCACAAGAACACAGGTTGAACAGATACCAGACTTGAAGTGGTTATGCGGAGCGAGAATCAACTTGCAATAACGCAGATCCTCCAACCTCGCCTCTATATTCCCTGATCACACCATCACCCCAAGCAAGATGATGAGCGCACTGTACCAATGTGATGAGGTTGATGTCCAGAGTTGAAAGTCGAGATTGAGTTGAGGTTGGCGAGTCATAAAGTGAGAATTGGCAATTGTGGGGTAAAATTGAGGCTCTGCTGTTATCCGTCGTCGTCAGGAAGTGACGTATGCTCCTGCCGTTTCCCTCTCGTTCCTGGCAATCGGCTGGCGATCTGAACAGCGTGATGCAGGTGCTTTGTTTTGCGCGATATCCCTGCCTTTGCTCGCGTGTCCTTGATAACTTCGCATGCTTGCTCTGATCTTTCTTTCTTACCAACCCATCGGTGCACCAATCACAGTCTCAACGCCATCATGTCTGGAGTGAAGGAGAACTTTGTCGTTCCCTTCTTGGGAGCACTACAGGCTTCGCTCGCAGTTCTTCTAACCATCTTCTGGGGTGTCATTGCTGCACAGTTCGACCTTTTGAATGAGAAGTCGGCAAAGGACATCTCCAAAGCTTGCGTCAGGTTGTTCCTGCCTGCATTGTTGATTGTCAACGTTGGACAGCAGTTGAGTATCGAATCTGTAAGCATCAACCCTGCAAGAAACAGAAAGACAGGAGAGCTAATATGGCCATCACAGGGAACAAAATACCTGGCTGTCTTCATCTGGGCCATCATCTACAATGTGCTCAGCATGGTCTTTGGTCTCGCAGTGTAAGTCTCGTCGACCATTCCAAACTCTGTTGGCGACAGAGTTCCGCGAAGCTTCAATGACAGTTTGAGCCCTGTCGTATTACACGATCCTATTTTGACTCTTGCTGACCCTTTCTTTCGCAGGACTAAATTCCTGAAGTTGCCTCAATGGGTCACTCCCGCAATCGCCTTCAATAACACGACCTCGCTACCTCTCCTCCTCGTCCAGTCCCTCCAATCGACCGGTATCCTCGACTCTCTCGATGCATCCAGCGACACCATCGACCGTGCCAAGTCATACTTCTTGGTCAATGCCATGGTTTCCAATTCCTTGACCTTCGCTCTGGGACCTCGCCTCCTCAACGGTCAGAACGAAGACTCGCCCGATGAAGAGCCCGAGAAAGAGGATGAAGACGACGAAGCTGAAAGAGGCTCTATTCATGAACACCAGGAGGAAAATGAGGAGACCTCCCTTCTCCCCAACCGCGCTGTCCGTCCAGGAACAAAGGTCATCTACAAAACTCAGAAACGCCTGAGTAACTACTACTCCTCGCTGTCACCTCGCACACAGGCTGTATTGGATTTCCTCTACCAATTCTGGAACCCGCCTCTTATTGGCGCTGTAATTGGTGGCATTGTCGGTTTGGTTCCTGCTTTGCATACTCTCTTCTTTAGCAAACCTCAAGAAGGCGGCTACTTCAACGCCTGGTTGACTTCGTCTATCAAGAACATTGGCGACCTCTTCGCATCTCTCCAAGTTGTTGTTGTCGGTGTGAAGCTGTCACAGGCCATGCTTCGATACAAGAAGGGAGAGCAAAGTGGTAGCGTGCCGTGGAAGCCTTTCACTATCATCACCATCGTCCGTTTCATCATCTGGCCCATGATCAGTATCCCCCTGGTTTGGGTCCTGGCCAGCAAGACCAATATCCTTTCTGACGACCCTATCTTATGGTTTGCCATGATGTTGATGCCAACTGGACCACCTGCAATGAAGCTGACTGCACTTGCTGATGTCAGTGGTGCTGGCGATGAGGAGAAGATGAGTATCGCCAAGTTCTTGACGGTAAGTTCATTCATCTTCCTGACAATCGTTCGGCGCTACCTGAATGAATTGAGCTGACATTCTGCAATACAGATCTCCTACACCATCTCACCTTTGATCTGTTTCTCGGTCGTCGGTGCGCTGAAAGCTAGTCAGGCTATTACCAGTAGCTAAACTAGTCATCAAATTTTGAAAATGGTAACAACTGATGGTTGTTTTGATGCAAGTGCATGATGAGCACTTGCGCTGAAACATAGTTTTCCATCTAATCAAACCATATCTTGCCTCAATCCATAGACGAAGACCACGCAATCCATCTCATGCTTCCTCCCTTCGTTCCAGAACACTCAAGTCTCCCTCAATCGTTACAGCTCTCGTCGACTTTGTGGTATCCAGCGCTCGACATGCTCGAATATCCAGAGCTTTCGTTCTCTTGCATATGCTGCAAAATTCTGGACCCTAGATTTGGTTATCCGCCTGCTCAAAGGCCTTAAGCAGCTTTACTGGCGGCATGTCACCTCTATTGCCGTCAGAGAAGTGACGCAACATCTTGCTCGTCGGAATAACCTTGTCACTCGACTGAAAGTCATTTGTGAGCCAAAGAGGAAGGAAAGAAGAAAAGATTCAAGAAATCAAATGCCGATGGTGGCACCCGGTCTGGTAAATGCATTTGTTGTTCTACATGGGTTCGAACGATCTCATATTGCGAGTCTGAGATGACTACGCCTGTGTCGTAAAGATTGAGGGCAGATGTACGAGGAGCATTGGGCAGAAGTATCCATGGCTTAAGTTTTCCAAAGACATTTAGCATGGTATTGTTAACGATGATAGAAGTACTTGGGATTGGATTGTGTGGACTACACGCAAACACTTAAAATGCTTTTTGTACCAAGATAGCTAGCTAGCAAATTTACTGCTTGATATCTAATGCAATGCTGCTCATATAAGCACACCTCTCCCTCTGATCAGCAGGCACATTCTCCATAGCAGTGGCATTAGTAACAAAATGGATCCTCTGCTTCTCAGTAGCAGTCCAAGTCTCCCAAATCGGACTCCCTTTCAAACGGTAAGTGTTAGGGTTAAAAGAACGAACAAACGAAGTCCAGTATGCCTGAACAACAGGCACAATTTCCGCGTTGGTAGTCGAGTACGAAGCAGGAGCCGCGCCATTCACGTTCTCAGGACCCCAGATGGCGTTGGTTTCGACGGTGTGGGTAACGCCTCTGCCTGCTGCTGCGGCGACGGGGTCGACGACGTCCCAGTGGTAGTTGTAGATGTCTTTGCGGTTGAAGGTAGCGGCGTAGACGTCTGAGATGTTGATGCCGGGGCAGTTGTAGCGAAGCTCTCCGTATGCGTTGGAGGCTTGTCTCCACCAGGCGCCTGCGTTGGGGTATTGCCAGGAAGCATTGTTGGGGTACAAGGCATTGATGTGGCGAATCATGTCCAGTGTCAGGAGAGGGAACTGGTCTTTGAGGAAAGCATTGCCTTCACCGATGGAAGAAGTGTTCATTGGGACGAATACGGTGCCTTCGTTTGTGTCGTCACCGTAGATGGCAGGCAGCTTGATGAAGTTGCCCTTGCGGAAAGCAGCCGTGGTCAAATCACTGACCACACCGCCATCCAAGGTGGGACCATACATGTACAACGGAGGATCCTGAGCGCCAGGGAAAGGAGAGTTGATGTTCTTGGTTTGCAGATAGGTTGCGTTGAGGCTACGCAGGCAGGCCAAGGTGTCGTTTGAGCTTGCGCATCCAGTGCGAATGACCAGGTTGTCATACATGAACTGAGACTCATTGACACTACGGACAGCGGCGAAAGATTGAGATTCGGCAGCCGAAGCGTGGAAGAGACCATCATTGCGACCGCCGTATGCGGTGAGTAGAAGAGTGACAGAGGCAGCTCCTGCAGACGATCCTCCGATCACGACATGGTTGGGGTCACCACCAAACTTGCGGATGTTCTTCTGGAGCCACTGCAGGGCCTTGATCTGATCCTTGAGACCGTTGTTGGTGCTGCCTCCCTTCACAATCTCGTTTGATGCAAGGAAACCATAAGGACCAACGCGATAGTTGAAGTTCACAACGACAATGTTGTGGTTGCTGGCCTCGATCAAACCCGAACCGTTGTAGTTAGGGTTAGAATTTGAATTGAAACCACCGCCTTGAATATAGAAATAGACAGGCAGCGGGTTATCCGATGTCGCGTTGGTAGGAGCATAGATGTTCATGAACAGACAATCCTCAGAGGAAGAGTTGCTTGGTGCGGCGCCAGTGCCCAGACAGATGTTGCCGAACTGTACGAGAAGTCGTCAGCAAGTACAACTGGATTTCCAACCATGAATACTCACTTGATTGGCCAAGATGGTAGTCTTGTTCTCGATGGGATCAGCAGGTGCTGCAAATCTCAGGTTGCCGACTGGAGGGGCAGCATATCGCACACCCAACCACTGTGTAACGCCATTCGCGAGTGAGACACCTTCGTACTTGGAGTAACACACGTCTACCAAGGGCTGAACAGCGCCAACAGTAGACACGCCGACGAGTCCTGCGAACAGAGAGGAACGCATGATGAAGAGTGAGGCAAGAAGGAAGGAATGAGGGGTACACTTGCACTTGCATGGGGAAGGAGCCTGCCTTTTATAGAAGATGCAGCCTTACGACCTCACCTTCCAGATCAATCCGCCATATTTCACGTCGGCTGGTATAGCCTGACCCACGCTGCCACCCCATCATGCCCCACGAAAGCATGTACCATGTCGCGAACTCTGCGCGCTTCTGCCCTGATAGCATTCTCGCGAACGGCATGCCGACATCAACATCCTCAAAACTCGGCCGACTTTCATGTGGAGGCCGATGCCGAATGTAAAGTCAATCCAACCGCATTTCTTCCCGATCGCTTATCGGATGCCGTACCCGATGAGGATCTATCTTACATATGCTCTCTCAAAGAACCATGCCATGTTAGCACGGGGAACTGAAAATGTCCTCGGATGTTGGAGTCCGATAACCACCGAAGACATCCGACAGCCTCGCAATCCTTGGCCTGGGAGTCCAGCAGGAGCGACGACATGAAGGTCAAGATCGTGTTTGGAAAAAAAGCCACTGCATCGAACGACGTGAATAGGCGTGGAGGTAAAGATGCGGGCATTGTGGGGCCTCGGTCAACCTCCGCAACGAAGGTACGGGTAGAGTGGGGACTGGAGGCCTCGATGACCAACACGTGCAACCTTGTCGCCAATCTATACCAGGCGCACGGTGATGTTACATTGTTTAATTAGCACTATATTCAAATCAAGGAAAGAGAGTTTACAATGAATTGATTTTATACCATGGAATATCTAATGCTTGTAACCCGCTAAAAAGAAGTGAATTGACAGTCAGAAACTTGCCCATGCCGTCTGGCGTAAGTACAGCAGAGTGAGCAAGAGACGCAGAACACACAGACGTAAAGATTCCCTGACTCCTGCCTTCGCCATGTGACTCTTGTATATACAACAAGATGACGAGGTCCTTGCTCGCTTTGTCCCAGTCGACTTCTCCAGCATAACACCATGCGCCAGGCCATTGCGCAGAACTGTCAAATTTTTCGGAGTTTTGTGACCTTTGCGTGTCTCTCAATTGTGGTCCGCCTTTTTCTGTTCATGTCCGGAGGTGTTCGTTTGGCTTTTGTTGCAGAGAGATGCTGCTGACGTGACGGCGATGCACAACTCTACAGGCCATACATTTGCCAGCCATCCAAGCCATCATCTCCAACCACGTTGGGTTTTGCTTCTGCCGACACGATGAGGTCTCTCGGATCATGAGCTGTTCTAGTACCCAACTCGTGGTCAAGTCACAGCTCGTCATCATCGATCTCACTGGGCTTGAGCAGACCACCAACCTTCATGGCACGCTCTCTCTCCTGCACCTTGGCTTCTTGAGCAGCCTTCTCACGGTCCTCAATGAACAATTCGGCGTTGTCACCAGCGAACTCCTTGAGCTGAATCAAGAAGTCACGCAATGTGAGCTTGAAGCGGTTAATGTCATCGGCTTGTGAGAACAGGTCTGAGATGAACTTCTGGATCTGTGCGGGAGTGAGGTTGGGGAAAGCGTTGACAAGAAGGTTGCCGACGAAGTTTTGTAGGAACTCCTTGTTTGATGTGCCAGCAGGTGCCATGTCGGAGGTGTAGATGGGCGAGTTCAACTTGCCAGAGCCGACGAGGTAGAACATCTGTGCGAGGAGCATGGACTGGTACTTGAAGCCAGCCTTGTGATCCGAGTCGGTAAGAACGAAGAAGACATCCTGGAGGATGGTGGTGTAGAAGTTCTGGAAGAAAGGTCCGCTAATCTCGATGTCGGTCTCTGACATGTTTTGGACAAGCTCGTAGCACATGTTCAGACCTTCGCCCTCAACAAGACGGTTGTCGTGCTTGCTGGCCCACATGCATGAATCGATGACAAACTTGAATTGGCGCTGATCAAGCTGGAGAAGAGCAGGGAAACAACGCAGGTTGATCTCGCGGAGAAGCTTGAAGAATTCAACACGGTGTTCGGGGTATTCGGAAAAGTCCTTGTTGATCATGTCAAGAGTGCACTCGAAAACGGCACCGAGGATACCAGGTACGTCCTTGGTCATCAGACCCTGGGAAGTGTTAGCATGACATCTTGAAGTAGGAATGGCGACCAAGCCGACCGAGTGTCTGCTACGATTAGGGGTCCAACGTACCTGAAGCTTCTTGATGATGGTAGTCATGACGTTCAGGACCTCAGCCTCGCGAGCATCAGGGACGTTGTTCTGGTAGTCAAGAAGGACCGCTTGCAATAAGTCGGGCACAAGGCGCTCGTGAACCATCTCGAGATCATCAGCCTTGTCGACGTATGTGCTGATCAACTTGAGAATTTCCTTCTTGATAGTTCTAAGACCGCGGACCTTGGGCATCTTGGTGGCAATGTTACCTGTGGATAATTAGCAATGATGACGTGGAGTAGATAGGAAGAGTAAGCATACCATCTCTCTGCACAGCTTCGTCAATAAGCTGACTGCTGGCACGGTACATGGTGAGCATGTCGAGGTAAATCTTGCCAATCTGAGGGTAAAAGTAGCTTCCGATCGAAGAGCAAGCAGAGACGTTTGTCTTCATGATGTTGCCCACGACCTTGATGGTCTCGGAATCTTGGAGAATGTTGGGATCAACGTGTGCAGACTGAATGATTGCGTCCCAGGCTTGGTTAGGAAGAGCCATAAGCTCACCGATCAAACGTTCCTGCATAGCCTTCTGGCCCTGTGCACTGATCATGTAACCACAAGCCTCGTAGAAGGTGTGAACCTGCTGGGGAGACAAATCACAGGTGATCTTGCGCATGTTACGCACGATTTCGTCAATGAAAGGCTCCGACTCGCCAGGCTGGGTCAGAACGAAGTGACGCTTGCACTTGTTGGCAATCTTAATGAAAGTATCGCAAGCCATGTCCTGTACACCCTCATGGGTCTCGTGCATGAATTCGAAGAGCTTGTTGACGACTGTCTTGAGGAACTTCCAGTGAGCCTTGAGGAAACGAGGGTATTGACCGACAATGTACATGATGTTCGATGCGACAACAGCCTTGTTGTCCTTTCCACGTTTCTGTTCGGTCAAACCGAGAAGGTCCTTGATGACGGTGACCAAGAAGCGCTTCTCAGTCTCTTCGTTCATGGCACCAGAGATGGAGCCAATAGCCCAACAAAGAGTGTTGCAGTTTGCCCAAGACCACTCGGAGCCATCGACCTGCTTGGAGAGCTTGTCGGACATGATGGTCTCAGTGTCGACAACGTCCAAGTGAGTCAGAAAGACCAGACACTCTCTGGTGGTCTTGTAAAGCTGAATGGTGTCGCTCTCCTTGACGAATTCACGGACGATCTCACCTTCGTCGTTCTCAACAATCAAGACTTCTTCAGGACGAACCATCTTTTCGATCATGACTTGGCGCAAGTTTGTCAAAACTTCGCCGTACTTGTTCTTGCGTAGAGGGTAGCCCGCCATTGCCGAAGGGTGAGGAGCACCGCCATTGGAAAGACCGCTCATTGTCATGCTGACCAAAGGATTGATGTCGGTGAGGGGAAGTTGCTGCATCTCGTCGTAGAGGTCGCAGACCAGCTTGGTCCAGTATTCCAGACAGATCTTGAAAATTTCACGATCGTCGATCTGACTGATGCGAATGAGGTAGAAGTGTCCGTGAACCAGGAAGTCAGGGTTGGGCAGGTTCTCGATGATGCTGAGGTGGTTAGAAAAGAAGTTGGTCAGGAAGAGAGCGAGGTTTTGGACAAATTCTTGGTCACGGCTGTTGCTGGAGGCGTAAGTCTGCTTGAGATCCAGCGACAAGGGGATGATTGTAGAAATGGTTGTCATGGTGTCGGTGAACATGGCAATGAGCTTCTCGTTGTACTGCTGTTCAGTCTGAAGACCACCAACTTCGGTCAAACATTTGAGAGTGACGTTGCGGAATTCGGGGACCTCAAGGAAGCGACTGCGAAGAGTCTCAAGCAAGCTGATACCAGTAGGCGGTGTCTCGAAGATGAAACCCAGAGGAATCCAATTGAGGAAGCGCAGCAGAGTCTCAAGAGTGGCCTTGATCAGCGAGGGTTGTGTGGCAGTGCGCAAAATCTCGCTGCACAGGTTGTAAATGGAGGTGAACTCGTCACACATGCTCTGCTTGAGTTGGCGCGTCTTGGTGGAGGTCATCTGTTCGGCGGAGAAGTCGAAAACTTCTTCTGAAAGGAGACGCAGAATGGCCATGTTGTTCTCGCAAATGGGTAGACTGCTGTGGCAGGAAGAGATAATCTCGTTGATAAAGGTGGGCCAGTTGTGAGGCCATTCCTGCTTGAGGATGGAAACGAGGACCAGGTTGAGCTTGTTAATCAAAGCTCTTTCCTTGCGCAGGCTCTCGTCGGTGCTCGACATCTGGATGATGAACTGGACAACAAAGTTGCGGATACCCTGGCACTGCTCGCGGGGCAGAACCTTCCACCGCGTCATGATCACATTGTCAAGAACTTGTAGACCGAGGACTGTTGCGGGCGAGATCAGTATGTCTTAGGAAACATTGGGGAAGGATTTCGGGTAGATGGCGTACACTTGGTCTGAGGGTATTGGGCGTCTTGGAGAATCTTGTCGACCATGAGCCATGCGTCGGGGTTTTCCTTGAACTGCAACGAGATTAGCGGGGAAGAGGTTGCGTGTAAGAGCTTGCAACTTACCTGATTGAGGGTGGCTTGAGCTTGTGTTCGCTGAGGTGAAGACAGTTAGCTTGGGCATTGCTAGATTGAGGGCATTTATGGCGCACCTCTTGACCCTGACCGCTGTAGAAGGCCTGGACAGTGGCGTCCAGCTCCTGTATTGACGAAGCCATAGTGGGGGAGAGTTCGGCGCAGACGAGAGCTTGTTGTGGGCGACGTGTAGTATGGCGCGCTGCCTGGTGCAAGGAGAGTTTGTGTCTACTCTAGCATGCAGTTCCTGAAGGAGCCAGAGGGTGAGCGGGTTGGTAGAGGCCGGAGGAGGTGGGGCGGCGCGTGTAGAGAAGACGCTCTGGTCGGAGACAGAGAACGCGTCCGGAGTGAGAGAGCGGAGCTGAAGTGTTGGCGAGAGGTTGGCCAAGCAAGCGCACAGCTGTACAAGGGGAGTGTAAAAGTTTGCGGGAGTTGTGGTTGACAGAAAGCGGTGGAAAGCTGATGGTTGTCGAGCTCTGATGCTGTTTCGGCTTGCTTAACGCTCTCTGCTGCTGCTGCGGCTGCTTCTTGCCTTTGCTGGCTCCTGCGCCTGCCTTAAGGCTTGGCTGTTTGAACCTTGGGCGTCGCCTCTTGTTTCTAGAAGACCCTCGATGCTAGGCCCAACAAGGCAGTCACTACTCCCCTTCCGCCTTTCCATTGTGTTCGCTGCACGTCACACCCAAGTTCCTCTTTGCTTGTTCAAACATCCCAAGTCGCCTGTTCTTCGACCGTCACCGCTACAAACCTACAACAATTTCTCTACGCTCATGCCGTCGTCTTGATTTTGCCTACAGAGCCATGTCTTCCAACCAATCCAACGTGGCGTCCAACACGCACGGCAGTCTCACTCTCACCGCTTCCCAAGCGGGGCCTACTACTCTCCGTCTCAGGGCCGAGGCCGAACCTTCCGAACGCCGTCGCATTCAGTGGGCCGAAGATGTGATTGACAATGAAGGCATGGGAAAGAAGAGTTCAAAAGGTGTGTGACGCCGATTCTTGAATTCGTGTCTTTGTCTACTGACACGCGACAACAGTATGCTGCATCTACCACAAACCACGCGAGGCTGGTGAATCTTCTGATGAAGACTCGTCCTCGTCGTCTTCCTCCGACTCGGATAGCGAGCCCGATACCAGCAGGGCCCAGCCTGCAAACCGTCGTCGTAATCAGCACCATCACCACCCAGATGGCCCATGCGACCACGATCACGCCGACCCCTCCCATTCGCACGGTTCCAGCAAGGGCAAACAGAAGGCCCGCAGGCCTAGTCCAAATGCTTACGAGAGAGTTCCTAGAAGGAAGACACCCAAGAAGGATTGAGGGACCATGAAAAAAGTCATCCCTTTATTTCCAATCATTGTTGACATCCCACCCGCAAGACACCATGATCTTTGAGGGCTTATTTCTTGAAAGGCAAGAGGTGTCTCCTTTGGATATCGTCATGCGCGGAATATCTTGTATGCGAGAGCAGATTATGAGAATTGCTTCGTATACTGCATTTCAGGCGTTCGTCTGGGGTTGTCTGGGAAAGAATAGAGGATCATATCTTTCCGGCTTCTCATTTGACGGTTGAATCATCGCCATTCTCGGACTGAGTAGGTTCGGATTGATCGACATGCTGCATGGGTATTCTGACAAGGGTCTGGGGCAGAGGAAGGTCTGCGTCGGGTTCGTGTTCGGTGTCTTGCTGGGGCTTTGCAATGTGGGCTACATTCTTGTCAGCAAGGTGATAGGGGAAGAATCGGGTTAAAGCATACCAGAAGCCATGTGGATCGCTCTGAGCACGGTATGCCAGTTGGAGAGAACGGTTGCGATGGCTGCAAGGATCAGTTTCGGTATTTGGGAAGAGAAGAATGACGACACACCCTGAGTTCCATCTGAAAGCGTAGACAGCTTCTCCTCAAGCTGCTCCATTTGGCCAGCAAGACCAGCACTGAGTTCGCGGAGTTGTTTGAGGTTCTCGAGCTCGGCACGTTTCTCGTTGATGCGCTGCTGCAGGGCGGATGTTTGCGAATTCGAGGTTGATAGAGACGATTGGCGCAAATGCGACGGAAGGTTGCTTGTAGGTCGATACATGTCGCTGAGCTGGTGGATGTTTGTAACTACCAAAGAGAGTCGGTCAGGTCGCAACCTTCTTGAGGATTCAATGTTGACGGTTGGCCCTGAAAGTGTCTGTCTGAGTCGTGAAGACAGACTTGGCGTGGAAGCGCGAGTCGGCGTTGCCCACGGCGACGGCTGCAAACAAACAGCGGCGTCAGGCACTGACGCCGGCCAGCTTGTGCTTGTGCTTATGCTTCGAGACTTGCTCATACCAAATTTCATCTCTACGCCGCCATACACCCCTCGACAAATAGCTCGTCGCCCGCCTCATGGCCAGACTCAACGAAGCTCCTCTGCCAACAGAGAGCGTTGATGCTCGTATGTTTCTCTCCCACTCACCTTGTTGACAGCCATGCTGACAATACAAAGTAAAGCGCCGCTTCGTACGACAGAACCGCGAGCTCGCCAAGTATGCGCCCAAAAGTACAATGATCTTCGGTTTAATCCATCTGACCGTCTATCTTCCAGGAACAACTCGGCGCAATGTCTGCGCATCCGTGCTCTTGAATGCGAAGTCTCGCGATTGCTTGCCGAGAACCTCGACCTTCGCGAAGACATCGTCCACCTTCAGGCTCAACTGTCTGAAACTCGCCCTCGTTTAGACAACTCTGCTCTCGTCTCAGTCAAGGATCAACTACAGGCTAAGCTGCTCGAGTTCGGTGCTCTCGTCTCGGAGCTTGGCCAGATCCAAAACAACCATCCCTCGGTTCCTCAAGACAAATCTTACGACACTTCTTCATGGCGGCCTGAGGTCCCCGCTGCTATTCTTTCTGGGCAGGCCCCGAGAATGGATGGTATTGCCGAAGAAGCATCCTCTCCCGGCGGCTCTCTGCGGTACGTCCAAACATTGTTATGTCAATGTCTACCTCAACCTGACACCTCCAGATTCAGTCAGACAAACGCCGTCCGTCTCTCCAACCACAGCAATCCTTCGCCTGATATTGGCCCACCTCCAATCGTGCATTTCGACAATGAGGATCCGATAAAATTCGATCCTCTATCCACCGAGATCGACCAGCCCGATTACGATGAGCAAGATGATAATCCTACATCCGACCACGAGTCTCTGCCAGCCAACTTGTCAGTCAATCTGGAGACGAGAAGAAAGCGCAAAGATTCGAAATTACAGCTTCGACGAAGCTCATTACTTCCTCCCAACCTCGACGATGATGAACAACCACAACTCACACGAACGAGCGCTAAGAGAAAGCTCAGTATGCGCGATGTTGAAGATGAGGTTGAGAAGCGCGTTGTGAAAGATGATTTCAAGTTCAGCAGAAGATCCTCCATGGCAGCCGACTTCATGAACACCGAGCCAGTCACAACGCCAGCGGAGAGCCTGGAGGATACAGAGACGCCAGCTTTATTGCCTGAGCGCAAGGTCCTGGGCAACAAGAGCGTCAATGTTTCCCCACGGAAGCTGTCGAGAAACACGAAAGGAAAAGGAGATTTGAAGCAGGAAGATGCTCCACTCAAGCCTGCTGTCAAGGCGACTGATCGCAGAAAGTCAAAGAACCCGACCACCAAATCAGTCACAATCGCAGCCGGTGAACCAGAGACAATCATGAGAACAATCGAGATTGCTCTACCATCAGAACTGCCGGTTGAAGAGATAGAGGATCTGGCACCGAAAACACCACTACCCGAATTCTTTTCACCTACACCCTCGGAGCCTTCGACTGCAAGAGATGAAGGAAGAGATACACCACCACCATCAGGACTGAAATCGATGAGCTCGGGACCAGCTGCTCTGAATGGCGCTAGTAGGCCTTCGCGACGAGCCAGAGCAGCCGTCAACTATGCAGAACCGAACCTGGTGAGCAAGATGCGCCGACCTACAGCAGCGAAAGCAGATGCGGTGGATGCAAATGGTCGAAGAATCAGCAGCAACATTACCACATCGGAAAAGAAGACGATGAGAACAGTCGTAATCAAAGGAGATGATATGAACGGATCTTTGACACGGGATATGGGCTCTGAAGCACCAAGCCCGCTAGGTCAAAAGGTTGACAGAGAGCACGAACGAACATTCGAAACCAGCAAGGTACCTTCAGCATCTGGCAGGGCTATTTCAGCATTGATGGCAGGGTCCAAGAAGCAGAAGGAGAGTGGTGAGGATGCAGGAGTTTACAAGCTGAAAGACTCATCTGATGTGGAAGAGAGTGCTGCAAGCCGGAAACGAAACAGCAGGCGGCACTCATCTATGACAGATAGCAGTGAGCGATCAAGCAACGGCGCAGAAGTGGAGGTGGAAGCAGAAGAGAAGCAGGAGGAGGCAGAAGTTCGCAAGGCCCCTCGGTCAGCGCGAGTAGACCGCAGTGGAGCGCGCAGACGCAGCATGATGGTCTAAGATAGAGCATAAACGAAATCATAACGATGAATATCTCAGCCCACGAGTCATTTCGAACGTGGTTCACATGTCGAATCTCTTGATTGTGAAACGCGTGGAGGATTTTGCGGGGTTTGAAGATCAACAAAAACATTCGCGGTTGCGGCACAGCAACAACAGGGTCTCGTCGCAAGCTGAAACACTCCCCTGTGTAACATTGCGACTCTTCTCTTCTCTTGTCTCTTACGCGCCGGACGTCCATTCTTTTGCCAGTATCGCATCGGTCAATCATCTCTCATTGGCATTGGAGTTTATCAAAAACATCAATTCAAGATGCGCATGACTAGAGCTCAAGCAGCTGCTTTGGCGGCTGCTGAAGCCGAAGCAGAAGTAGCTGAGCCTGCAGCCACCACCCACGACAATAATGAACATACTTACGATGATACGAAGAACGGCTCTACGACGCCCATTGAAGAACCCCAGGAGCGTGAAGCATTGGCTGAATTGCCAACGAATCTGGATCCTGGCAAACAAAGCGATGAGGATCCTGTTGACAATCAAGAGCTCGAGGATGGAGAGATAGTAAAGGAGAAGAATGAAGAGCAGACAGATGGCCATGCGCAGAACAGCCAGCAGGACGAGCAAGAAGGTATGTCTGAAGCCATCCATGCCCACGCTCAAGAACCTCTTGCGAACTGCTCTCGTATAGCAACTCCTGCACCGACCCCTTCAACCAGCAACAACGACAAGCCAAACCACATCTCAATCCATCAGGACGAAACACTGCAACCACCTCACAAAGACGTCGATGCTGGATCGCCCACCACCGAGCTACCATTGCTCAATATCACTCCTCAACGTACACCAGCCAAGAACATCATCAAGAATGAGTTTGTCCACATGAGGAGCACTTCCAACAAGGAGAATATGGTTCCTGCTGGCGATGTTGTTGCTAGTCCTGTCGACAGGCTTCAGACGCATGTTGAATCGCTGGGTGCTGGACAAGAGCAGCAAGTGCAGACACCGCAACAGGACGAACAATCACAGCCTGAGCTGAAAATTGAGAATCATGACCCTGGAGTAAACGGAGAAGCGTCAGCAGCAAGACCTGAGAGCTCACAGGCAGAGGAGGGCCAAGACGACAGTCTGATTGATCACTTCCAAGCCCTCCAGGTCTCGCCCAAAAAGCAGAAGTTCAGTGAGCCGGAAGTTGCGCCTGGTGCAGAACAACCACTTTCTGAACAGCCGACCTTGGCCACTGAGAGCACTGGTCCACAGCAGGAAGTTGTTGAGCAGGCTGAGAAGCAGACAGCCAATGCTACAGAGCCCACGATCGACAGCACGGCCAAATCTCAACACAAGGAAAATAAATCTCCCGCCTCCTCGACCGCTAAAAATACCTCCTCTGCAACCTCCAAGTCTGAACCCTCGAAGCCTGTCCGAAAGTCCTCGGTGAGACAGTCGACGCTTGGTCGTCAGTCTTCTGTTGTCCGCAAGTCCATAGCTGCCCCTTCACGCCCAGAGCCATCAACGAGCGCAGCCATCAAGCGAACTACATCCGTCAAGCGCGCTTCAGTCCGTCCCAGCATGGCTCCTAGAGCAGGTTCTTCTCAGTCCACCGAGCGAGGAGCTCCCGCAAATATCCCTCACTCTAAACCTCGTCCTATGTCCATGTCGTTCCCCACGCCTCCACCCCCTCCTAAGTCTTCCAAGGCACCTACGCAATCGACCTTCCAACTGCCAGGCGAAGCCATAGCAGCAAAACTAAAAGCAGAAAAGGAAGAACGACTACGACGACAAGCAGAATCCGGCACCACGGCAAAACCAACCTACAAACCCCCTCCACCTCCCAAATCCACAAAAGCTCCTACCCGCTCAACCTTCCAACTCCCCGGCGAAGCCATCGCCGCAAAACTCAAAGCCGAGAAAGAAGAACGCCAAAAGCGACAAGAGGAAAACGGTGGTGTTGCCCAAAAGTCAACTTACATCCCGCCTGCAGCGCCAAAGTCTACGAAACCAGTCACAAAAGCTACGTTCCAGTTATCTAGTGATGCGTTTGCTGCCAAGATGAAAGCGCAAAAGGAAGCCAGACTGGCAAAACAAAAAGAAGAAGAGGAAAAAAGAGAAAAGGAGAGAGGAGTGTTTAAAGCAAGACCAGTGCCCAAAATGACCAAACCGGCGGAGGTGAGACAGACGAATGCGTCGAGGGCCCGTTTGCCTTCTGGTGATAACAGTGCATTGAAGAGGGCAAGCAGTGTTCGCGACCCTTCTTCCACCACTACGGCACAAAAACGCATGTCCTCTTTCCACCCTGCTGCCTCAACTTCTTCCACTCTTCCCCCTCGCGCAGCAACTTCCCTGACGAAACGGCAAAGCATGGCTCCTTCCTCTTCCTCTTCCTCGTCAAAAGGCAAACAAGTCTTTGCTCGCGCAGCAGAAGCAAAACAAAAAGAAGAAAAGGAGAAGAAAGAAAAAGAAGATGCGGCCAAGAAAGCTAGAGCTGAGGCTGCGGAAAAAGGAAGGCAAGCTAGTAGGGAGTGGGCTGCTAAGAAGAAGGAGAAGGAGGAGAGGAGAAAGACTGTTGCTGCTGCTGTGGTGTAGAAGGCTTGGTGGTGGTGATGCGTGAGATGAGAATGATTTGGATGGATGAGGGTTTGATCGAGCGGTCTAGAGATAGATGAGAGAGCCATAGAATAGTCTCTAGATCCATGAGATGATAATGTACTGTATGTGTCAGGATGTTGTCTCGATTCAAAGAGACTTGTCTGGAGCTATCACCCTGTCCTTGACTTGCGCTTGATGAACCTTCGTCGAGTTTCGAATTTTGAGATCGTAGAGGTCGGTGTTCCCTCATTTTGACATAGACGTGTTACCAGAGTTGCAGAAAGGGCAGTACAGGATGTGCGTGCTTCTAGGAACCTGTTGTGGTGTAGTGCCTGTTGGTGAATTGATTGACACTGCTTGCGGCCGAACCAGGTAAGCGACGCGAAGAGCGAAGCAATTGAGAAAATTCATGACCTTTTTTTCGAATGGTCCTTACTTATACATCCATATCTACTATTAGTACAGAAAAGGGGCGTCTGATCTATATCTCATCCCATATCTTCCATCAGCAGCATCCCTCTAATCAGCCTTAGCCATGCTGAAATCCTTCAACGAGCGTCCGTTCTCCACTTCCTTCTTCCAGCAAGTACGCTCCTCACTAGCAACACCAGGACCCTGATACACCGAGCCATAAAGACCAGTAGAATAACTCTCCTTGCTGTTCTTGCCGCTGTTTCTCTTCTTATACCACTTGCCATACGCAAGCAAATAGTACAATCTAAACGCCAACAGAGCAAATCTATCGCGCTCGAGGTCTTCAGGGTAGGTAGCTCCGAGATCCACAGCAGCGGCGATACCAGAAATACAAGCGACTTCGTGGGCGTTGACCATAGTCCACGCAGCAGCAAATCGTGTGTGGTTCTTGCCGTTGAGTGCCCACATCCAAGGAACCACAAAGAGATAGTGTGTGAAACTGTGACACAACTGATGCCACCAATCCTTGCGAATGATTTTGGACTCGTCGATTTCGTCGATAGACCAGAGATGCGAATCCCTATCCTTGTTCAGGAAAATAGTTTGGAAGACTGCATTGTCGAGCGGTGTGTCTGGAGGGAATTGCGACTGGTAGTTTGAGCAGTTGAAGCTCATTTCGAGCTTTGTGAGGTCCTTGGGGTACATCTTGATCAAATACATGGGCTTGAAGTTCTTGCGTGCAAATTCGACGCGCGAGGATTGGTCGACTCCGTTGAGTGAAGTGACGGCTTGCTCTTCGTTAAATTCCATTTCGTAATGTTTGCGCATGTAGTCTGCATCTGAATGCGTGATGGTGATGTCGTTGGCGAACTTTGCGGATCCGAGGACTTTGTTCTCGCGCCAGGTTGCGCAGGGCTTGAGGATGCGTTTGGCGGTGTCGGTCAACACGCAGAGCACGATTTCGTCGTAGTGTTCTTCGATTTCGGTGGCGTTGGGGTCACCGTTGGAGCCTTCGACTGTATTGGGCACCCAGGCGCTGTCTTGAGTGTGGCCGTCTGAGACGGGTGTTCGTTTGATGATCTTCACATCGACACCATCCTTGTTTCTGCGCACGACTTGGGTGACTTCGGTGGAGAGGCGAACGTGGACGCCCTTCTTCTCGAGACTGGTCTTCCAGTCGCTGTAGAACTCGCTGAAGTTGGGGAACACAACCATAGGGGGCATGTTGCTGGCTACACTGGCCTTGTCTGTTGGGAACCACATACCGTATGTGGGACTTGTGCACAGTCTTTCCAGAACCATACTCGGTACTTCGGGGGCGTAGTTTCCAGTACCCAGGAAGAGAGCGACCATGGGCAAAGCAACGACATTGGCGAATTCTTCAGAGAACATGAAGAGCTTGACCACATGCTTGATGGGGATGAGGGCGAAGAAGATCTCGAACCAACGGATCATCTTGATCATGTAGTAAAAGCGTCTGACCTCCTTTTCGTGCTTTTTGAGCATCATGGTCGAGTATACGTTGGTCCAAAACTGCTCGTCCTTTCCGAATGAGACGTGCAACTTGACGGGATCGGCGTGGTGTCCCTGGCGAGCGAACATGGTCATGGTGTGGTGGAAGATGTACGAGCCGCCTTGGACACCTTGGTTGAGCCAGCTGGCGCCGTACCTGTTCTTGTCGATGGGGATACTGTAGGCTTGACCACCGCAGTAGTCAACAGCATCCACGAGCGTGACGTCGAACTTGTCGGGCTGTTCGGCGAGGTGGTGAGCACAGCTCATACCTGTCTCGACGCGTCAATTCTGCTCTGTGGTACTCGTCTCAATTATGTCGAACTGACCTGCAGCTCCAGCACCGACAACCAACACCTTCTTTCTCTTCTGGTTCTCCATTTGTTGACCCATGTCGTACCGCGTCTGAGAGGGTTCACTTGTCAATAAAGGCCTTTCGTCTGGCATGTGTGCAAGGTCGAAGGGTCGCAGCTAGTCAATGTAGTTTTCTTGCTGCACGCGACAAAAGAAACGAACGGGTCATTCAATGGTCATGTATACCCACCCTTGCGCGTGAAAGAATGACATACGCACAACAAAAATCACATCATGACCGCCAGGAAATGGGAGACAACATCGTCATAGATCACGACCTGAGCAACGCCAAATCTGGGGTCTTTGCGGCCACCTTCCCTGATTGAGCACTAGTACCCAAGATTAAGTTCAATATATTCCTCCGAGCTCTCGATCTGCTTGAAGGGTGCGATGCGACCAATTTCGTTGATGAAGATGTGAACCACACAATTGCTTAAATAAAAGGGTATATCAAACTGCTTAGAGGACTTGGTAGGCGTCGTAGATGACCATGTCACCCACGCGTCCAGAGCTTGCGATAAAGACAGCCGAGTTGAGCCAGGTGTATCTCGGATCACCAGTTTCGAAGGTGAGGTTGAGACGCATTCTGAATTGATCAGGGCCGATGTTTCCCTCTCCCAGCTTTTCAAGGATTTCCTTCTTTCCAGTTCTCGTTCTGAGACTCACAACGTCAGTATGCCGTTTCGAATCTTCTGTTGCCAGCATTTTGCTTCAAAGGTTGCACTACTCACCCTGTCGTGCGCAAGAAAAGCACCGCGCCGTCATGTGTTTCCAAGTTGTATCTTGTATCCAAGAAGGCAGTCTGCTGATCTCCGTCATGGTCCCTCACAACCTCCCAATCTAAACAGCCATTGGTTAGGAAATCTGTTTCGACTGGGCACAGAAAAAGGTACTTTGTGCTCACCTCCACCTCCGGGAAGAATCTTGCCTCTTAAGCGTGGACCCTCGAATCGGCCGCCCTTGAATATCACAGTGGACCTGTCACCGTGGGGGCCAGGCCCAATGTGTCTAAAAGATTCCATATCACATTCAAGGTGGAACAGGAATTGTAGCGATGGGATGGGTAACTTGTATTCGGGCTTCGTCCAGTTACTGTTGGTCAATCGGTCGATGCTGACGGGCGGCTCAACCGTGCCTGGCTGCGGTGTCGAGGATGCCATGTTGGTTGTTTGACAAGTCGTGAGTCGTGTAATCCGTGGGGCGAACAAGCAGTATCACCTATCACTACATTGCGATGAGTTCTTTATAGCTTGAGGATTCAGAGCCTCCATATGACGTCGTTCTTTAACTTTCGCTAGCACAGCACATTGTTGGGCAACGGCAGTTGTTCATGGCAGACAAAAAAAAAAATTGGTATTCATCTCAAGCTGAATATCACGAATCTGTATGTCCTTGACCTACGAGGAACGAAGAAGAATTGCACACAAAATTGGCAAGGGCCAGTGCTGCTGGTGATCGCCATCGCTACTGCTGGATGGCACTGACCACCTCGGTCACGAACAGCTCACCTTGATGGACGATCACAAAAAGTGGAGCACTGCAAATGCTCGACGACTGCATCCTCTGCCCTCAGTGCTCTGATGCATACCATCAGCCAGCATTGCATGAAGGTATGGGGCGAAAACAGCTGTTATCAGGCGTATTGGGGTCGTCTGATTTTGCCGTCTTTTGTATCGCTCGTCCAAACACGGACACGACTATCATCCCGCGCTTTTAATCTATTCGACTTCAAGCGTAAAGCACTGCCAGTCCTTTAAGCATGGCGATAAGCAATTTCGAAAACGCATCATCGCAACTATCGTGAAAAGAGGGGTCGAGTTAAGCGCCACGCGGCCGACGATAACGAAATCTAGCAATGTCGTGCTTCCCGTCAACGAGGGTCCGCGATAGCCGTCTTGTATAGTGGCTGTATACAGTATCTCTCTAGCGTGGAAGAGATCGAGGAGGAATGACCTTGGCGTCTTGGTTGATATCAGTCTGCTTTTCGTTGGAAGCAATCGTTGACTACATGATGATCACGGGCAGCAGTAGTGCCATGGCAAGGCTGTACCTTGAAGACGACCTTGATGTCCAATGGCCACGGTCCATGATAGATCAGCGAAGAAGGGCAAGGGCCCGGACCGGCTCTAATCTTGACAGCTGTTAGCGCCAGCAGGTACCATCCCAAGCGGAAATACCACTGCTGCATGCAAATAACCATTGGCTCCAAGGAAATTCAAGATAACAGCCACAAGTGCACCTTTGCTTGGACACACCCTCGGCGGATAGTGGACGAGCGAAATCCACGAGAGCTCATAGGTTCCCACAGCCTCGCTTGATCGGTTATGCTCGTAAGACACAGCGCGTGCGTGCTCTGTGGTCGATCCTGGCAGTCCCTCCCGTTGCACAACTTCTTGGGGTCGACTTCTTGCAGCTAGTCTTCCTCAGGCTTGGTATGAGGGCCGAAGGAGTGGAGTGCATCTGCTTCAAATGTGCCACAACGCTGGGTCAGAGGCAGAATACACGGACGTCATGAAGCATTGATGCTGGTTGCTGCAGTTTGCAATTGCCGCATGCAATGCCTGGCAGTTTGAACTTGCCTGCTGTGCTTGAACCAGAAGCGTGAATTGCATATATTGTGATATGACGGGACCTTGACCACCTGGTGGCCTTTTTAGTTCTTGCGCCATATATTGAGAATCTTGTGGAGGATGAGATGATGAGCGTCAAATATGGCACACACAATATGCGCAATCAGTAGCGTGGGGGTTACTCTCCAGCCTCATTGGCACTTGATTAAGCAGGGCAAGCGAGGTACCGAAACAGCCCCTCAGAAAGCATGCAGCATGTCTGGACGCTGGAGCTAGCTTCAACTCGCCGTGGCGGTCCGACGAGGCATTTGGCGTCTCAGTTCGAGTGGATTATCCCATCCAAGACAAGCATTGTGTGAGATTTGTCTATCCGCGAGACCTTTGATTCGGGGGTTTACGAGGAGCATGAACCGGCAGGGAAGCAGCTCAAACAAACAAGTGAGCAGCAGTAAGCAAGGCAGTTACTACCGGGTGGTTTCAATGCATCGCTTGGAGCGAGCTTCTTGCACCTGCATGCAGGAAGAACTTGAAACCAAAGCAACGTAAGAGCGGAGAAATCGATGCATAGCATTTGTGCACAACTATGCCATTGGCTGCTGTGAGCTGTGGATATCAAGGTGGTTTCAGAAGTACTAGGATGGCCTCAATCAAGGTGAGAGAAGTGGCGGGCTGTGACGACGACGTCGACGACGACCACTGACTAGGACGAAGAAGAGGTGAAGCCTGAAGGCAACAGCCAAAGCGACAAGACAACAATCCAACCCAACACTAGAAGATCACTTCGGCTAGCCTGGCGCCGCCCGAAACCCGAACGGTGAGATCAACAAACACAAGACAATTGTTCACAACACTCTTCAGCAGACAGGCAATGATTGAGGAACTAAATTTGATTGAATTGCTCATCATTCCAGTGCCGTTCATGCCTCGTGAGCAGTGAGCTGGGGCTGCAGGCCAACCGTCCCCAAACGGAATGCTGCTGCTATTCGCGCATGACAAGGCGCTCCGGATGATTTTCACGCTAAGAAAACTCTGTCGAGCACGCACACACGCCATCCCTCGACAGGAGCCAAGACAAGGATACATGAAAATCTACGGAGCCAAACGGACATCACGCAAGCAACAGGACGTTTTGCCGATCGCGGCCGTACTGTGACAAGTGCAATGACTTTCTGCTGCGAAGTCGCTGGTGTGACTGTACTGTGCATCAGGAACAGACTGTCGAGAGCTGAAGGGGGATGATTTGTGAAAGTCGATAGTGAATGAACGGAAAAGGGTAAGAACAGATAAACGTTGTTAATCCTACCCGAACAACGAATCCTGCCAGAATCTCCGCTGTCCGAAACCCCCACGCAGAAGGTTTCGGGGTGGCTTTGAATTGGGCGCATGCAGGTGAGGGTCGAGAGCGCAAGAGCGGGAGAGGTCCAGCAGGGTGCATGCACAACAGCCCCATACGCCAATGTATCTGCTGATCCATGGCGTGGGCACGCCAGTGGTGTGCCTGAAGATGTTATATGTTGCCATGCCCGCCCTCTTCCCCTCCCCTACCCATATCATCTACCCCCAAGGCAACCATCTTCTTCCATCTTTCCAGCAATTTCTGTCGCAATCGCACATCATCGAAACATTCTGTGACAAGCTTCGACGCCGCTTACCAACTTCTTGCATCTTCGATCTCTTCGGTCTGAGTCACATCATACCTCTTACTCACACCATAAGGTCCGGGCGTTTTATATGATTCATTTCCCACATTGCTCATAACCATCAACGTCCTACCTTGATAATCTCTTGCAATACATAAGAGAGAAACATTTCTTCCAACATCCTTGGTCGTTTCATCAACACACTCACACCACAACTCAACACAACCATCATCATGGACTGCTTCCTTGACTTCTGCCTTGCTTGCGACAAGCAAACCAGCGAAGGTCTTTACTGCTCTCAAGCTTGCCGCTTGGCCGACCTTGAGAAGGCTGGCTCATCAACACCTTCATCACCCTTCACTCCTGCCATGGACTCAACCTCTCAGTCATATTTCCCTACTGGCCCAAATGGCTTCCAGCTTCCTGAGGCTTTCAGCTTCAAGCCTACCTTCACCGAGTCATCATCACCTCGTCGTGCCCTGTCACCATCATCATCACGAAGCTCGTTGTCATCCTCGGCAGGCAGCCAGACGATCACCACCACCATCTCAGAGCAAGCACGCACAGAGCTTCAGACCTACGTCAGTGCCTTTGATCAGACGCGAGAGATGAAGAGGCGTTCATTGAGCAGCCACTGATGCTCTTCCACACAACGGCTAGAGCTTTGACGCTGGCTGTTCTTTACGACGCTTTACGAATCCCGCACTGTCATCTCGACCAGAACAAATCTTCAGCACTTCACTCTGTACGACTCAACGAATCATCACTGGCTGGCATATCAGCCATTGTATCTGCTTTCTCCTACTTTACACAGCGACCAATCATTTTCGGACTCTCATCTCCTTGCATTTGTTGTATCACAAAAAAGTCAAAACATTTCGGACTATAAAGGCGCAATTGAAAACTTTACTAGCATGGTGGGAACAAGGATGGGATGTAGGAAAAGGGATCACAGGATGCATTCGCTTGTCATCAAAACATTTTCATCATTACATCGGTTGCATTTCTTTTCGAGAGGATACCCATTGCTATTACTTTTCTGTCAACAAATATCAAGGATGGCGGACTTTGTTTTCTCTTCTCATCTTTGCATACATAGCACATCATTGCTACACAGAAATTTCATCATCATCATCAATCACGAACCACAATCTCTTCCAAGTTTTCTCTGTAGATGCCACTGTGCACGCCCTCATTGCACGCCCTACCTCGCACAGCCTGGATGTCGTTGGTCCCTCTCATTTTTGGAAGCTACCCCCAGCGGCCAACGAACCCCGCACGTGTACCAAGTAGCAAAATACCTACGTACCTCTTGCTCATTGGCACACCAAGAAATCTGCCGCTCGTTGGAAAGCACGAACAGCGGTTCCCGCTTCCAAAATCCTTTCAACGAATGTTTCACCCCTAGAAAGCACCAACACTATCCAAGCGATAGCTCGCCAGAGCAACAGCAAAATCTTTCCATGCCATTCTGTCGCAAGGCTAGAAAAGGGTAGAGCTTTCGTTGCTCTGGCCAAGCGCCACTCACGAAAGGGGCTTTTTCGAATTTTTCTTCAGTCAAAAAGGTTCTCGGGTGCGTATGAACGCGTTTGAGGTTTTGATTTGACGAAAAACCAATTTCCATGAGTCGTGGCCGGCGGCAAGCGCTTGGTCCCGTCAGCGGTGACGCTCTCCGCGACTTTGTTTGAGTCGCGAATTCAAAAGAGGATGTGGAGAGTGGAGTCCATCTCCTGCGGCGTTGTCAAAAACTCAATTCTTGAGTCCATATCGGCGACTCCGTGACGGGTAAAGAGTCATTCGGGCCGTGGGTCGCAGCCACCGGCAAACGACAATGATGTCTCTGAGTGTTATCGACACGGGAGCGGTGCCGGTGCCGGCCGAGTCTTTCGCTCTATGGAGCCTCTACGTAGCAATTAAGGGTGACAGTCAGGAGAGATCTTTTGCCTAAATGAACAATTTTCTTGTGGTATACCGCTGGGTAGTCAGAGCTTTCGCTTCGTTGCAACGACTTTTTTTCTCTTCCATCGTGTCATGTCGGTAGACGGACCGTCCGCGCATGTCCGTTGAGATGATGGCAAGACTTTCACTCCACGTCCATGCCGTGCCTGGTGTGATTGGCCAATTGACATCGCCCTGCCGCTACAAGCGGTCCAAGATGCGGAGAAGGACAGTCCCTGGCAGACCCCACAGCAGAGCGCGTAGCTGCCCGTTGTCGCTTGATGCCCAGAGCTCTTCTTTGTACCTATATCGAGGTAACTATGGAGTGGGGGGCTTTATTGAGGACAATCGCAGCCAATGAGCGCACGCCAGACCAACACTCACTGGCATGCAAAAGGACAGACCAACAGCGACTAAGATCAGTGATCTTCGAGTCTTATCTCCCTTCATCCATCTTCCATCGCTGCGAAGGAAACGTCTGAATCGCAAACCACACGTGAACGACTGGCGGTGACCGCGAGTCTACGTGACAAGTCTTTGAGTCACAGATGAAGGCAAAAGACCCAAGTGATCAGCCCTCGGAGCCCGGAGAAACTCACAAACTCTCTTGCTGATTGTCTCTCCTCCCGCAAACCGCAAAAAGCATCGACGACTTTGCCTTTTGGTCGCGCTCGGCAGGCCCCCCTTTGTGCAACTCTGTTCTCCTCCCTAATCCTTGCACAAAATATGGAACTGCTGCTTCTGGGCAACAACCCCTGGCCATAGCTGTGCTTAACAAAGATCTCCGCGATACCCGCGGCAGATGGACGATCCGGAACATGGCACAGCCTTGTGATTGGCAATCTGGTTGACTTGAAAAGGATCTAGAGCACGAGACCTTGTGAGCATGAACAACGACAACTGAAGCCGAGGATCAGTGAGAGAATGTAACAGAGAAGAAGGCTAACGAGATTGGTATGGCCCTTTCTCTCGACCGAGCATATCCCTCTCAATCTTGCAATACACGGCTCGCTAGAAAGGTTAACTCAAGACGTAGTTCTGCAATTAGAGAGGTGATTACAGGAGATATTAAGTCCCTAGCCCTAGACCATTTCGGATCACTTGTGGTAGGTGTTCACTCACAATTTGTCTCTTTGTCTTTCCATAAACTGGCTCACCGACAATGCCTCCGTGAGCGCACGATCTTCGGGTAGAATCTGAGACTCCACAGATCTTGCAAGGGCCAAGGTTCTTTCAACTCCTCGGTTTGCTCAACGATTTCCTTCCTGACTTCAGCTCTTATCTGTTTCAGGGTCTCTTTGCGTCTAGATCTTCTCTTTCCTCCGCAGTAAGAGATATGCAGGAACGATCAACGCGTACATCTCAGCCACCCGTTTACGCAATATACTATAGGACCCGATGGGCTCGGAGAAATTTCATGTGTAGGTTCATCCCAAACCATTTGCAGAAGAGGGAACAGTTGCGAGCAGCGAGACCAGCAAGAATAGGAGAAAAAGACCTTTCCTCTTGCCGCTGCTTACTGCCGTAACTGCCTGCCGCGCAGGAAACGGACAACAAGCCACAACAAGGTCTCGACAACCAGGTACAAATTGTGACTCGGCCATGGTTCGTAGTTCGGAATTTTTCGAGTCTGCATTCCTGGGGTTGGCGCGACAAGGGAATGCTTGTATCTGGGACAAGGAAAGGCTTGTTTCTGGGATCTAGTCTGGGCTCTGGGGAGGTCTAGGGCTCATGACCGGACTGACCGCTATCATGAGAACCTCGTGTCATCGTTATCGTGCTGACAGCGATCTCGGCTTTGGTTTACCCCTGCTGACAGAGGTGAGGCTGAAAAAAACCTGCATGTTATTCAACATGATGATATCCTAAGGCAAGTAGCTTGGCTATTCTCTAGAGTGCGATTGTGTCTTCCTTTACTCAGAGCTTGAAGAGATGCATCAAAGGTAGATGACCTGCGTAGCAACAGTGATCTAATCATCGGGAACGGCACGACAGCCAAAGTTAGAGATGCTTGGCCGCTATCTTATGTAACAAGCTGTCTACATTGCTCAGCCATGGTGTTGAAACACTAGATGGCATATCTCATATCAGTAACATCAATGCAATCTCCTTGGTTTATCTTTAAACCAGGATAAAAAATGTGTTGGGCTAGATTCACTTGTGATATGATACCTTCATAAAGTCATTAGCTGATATAAGACGTGTGTGATGATCTACAGAATAGCCACAATGTGATCAGGTAACATCACAGGTACGACGTTGAGAAGTCATCCTAATATTCATGTGTGATATTCCTGCTTTGATCTAACCTCTTCGACCACTGTCACTGCCTTTGCTCACCAAAGGGGTAGAGCTTCTCACCCAGCCTACTCCAGCCTTGACGGGTCACAGTCTCGACGAATCGACATCGTCATGAAGGTTAAAATCGAGACGAATGTCAGATGCAGACGGGTCAAAGCCATCGTTCGATGTCTCGGATGGACTGACTGTTCTCATGAGAATCTTCATTCTCGTGCTCGCTAGCTGCCTAACGAAGAGCTTTACTGCTGGTTCATGTGTTTGGACTCAACTTCAGTAATTTTTTCACTCGCCACATCAGGTCATCCTTTGCGAGATTGAGCAGGACTGCATAGGTCTAAGCTCTTCAGCGGTCCAGGGAGCTTTTGTCAGAGCAATAGCCTCCAGGGCGGACTGCAGAGAGATTCTCGTAGATCTCGCAAGATTACTCATAATGCGACTCGCAAGTGACCATAGTAGCATATTCAGCCATATCGACTTCGATGAGATTTGACCGAACGTTGTCTTCGCATTGAAAGGGCGTGATCACAAATCACCTTATACCAAAGCCGAAGTCAGCACAGATCAGCAAACAAGAAAATCGCAATTACTCTCTTCGCATTTATTGCGATTGAGATGATCGTTGATTCTTGCACCGCTTCTCTCGAAGGTCTAAGCTCAGAACGGAGGATGTATACGCTGTGTTGTTCTTGAGGGGTCTTGATCACGTCTCTCAGAGTGGGCTGGATTGATTCATTGTCTTGCAGAACGTGTGTTCTGGTTCGGTGGTTGGGCAGGTCGCTCGGTTGTTATAAGCTAAAGCTCGTGTTGTAACATCGCGAATTGCTAAACTTGGCTCAGGCACGACTCTGTTAAAACGTCTTTTTGAGAGATGTCGAACAACGATTGAAAGCTACCACATGCTTTTCTACCGAGATCGAGCTGTCCATTGGCTTCACGAAGTAGTGAGTTTCCAGGAATTACTTGAACAGCAGCAGTGGTATGTTCCCATCTGCCAGTTGCTGTCAAAATGTCTCAAAGACTTGCCGGCGCTTTCCCCAGGGAAATACGGGCAGAAAGGCGAAGATCACGTGGAAAACTTTTAGCGTGATCTGGAAGCATTGGCAACGCCGCCATCCTTTGATATGCTTTCGTAAAAACCTCGCTACCACTACATAAGAGGTGGCACTTGCGAGGAGAATGCTGCTGTAGCTTTGCTGCCCTAAAGCGCTTTCTAGATCTGTCGCCGAAGAAGATATCTATGGCTAGGAGGTCGTCAAGCCGTCAAGGCAAGCTTCTTATGCCCTAAGTAAACACCTCGATATGTTCAAGTAAGGAAATCATCGGGGTCTACCACCCTGCGGTGAGTTGACCTGGTATCTCGATGGTCAAGTATATATACATTGTTCCTGCTTCGTTCAGATTCACACTCAGCATCTCATCTTCTCTGTTTCCTTTCGACCCGATATATCAATATAATGAGATTTTCTACTCTCCTTGTTGCTGCCTCTGGCTCTGCAGTCATTGCTGCTCCTACTCCCAGTTTGATCGGCGACATACTCAGCCTTACGAACAATGTCATCACCACTGTTACTTCCACTATTGCCAATGACCTGGCCTCGCAAGTCGCCGCTCTTGGCTGTGTCTTGCAAACCAACGCCAATCAGCACGGCCAAATCCTGAACTCTGCCGCTCTTACCATCAATGCCATCGAGGTCGCCGCTAAGAGATTCACCCAACTTTGCAACTGGTCGAAGCCTGGAAGGCAGTACATCAACTGGTCTACCTACAAAGCCAACGGTGTTAACCTCGGCGCTTGGTTGGAGATTGAGCAGAACTACGACACTGAATGGTGGGCTGCTAACGTAGGCTCATTCCCTGACGAGTGGACTTGGTGTTCGACCGTTGGTTTCTCAGTCTGCGGACCTATCCTTGAGAAGCGCTATGCTTCTTTCTTCACTATTGCCGACATTGACAAGATGGGTGCCAAGGGGATCAATACCCTCAGAATACCTAGCACTTATGCCGCTTGGACTAAGGTCCCTGGCAGCGGACTCTATTCTGGTAACCAGCAGGGCTACCTCAGAGCCCTTACCAACTACGCCATCGACAGATACAACATGCACGTTATCATCGGTCTGCACTCTCTGCCTGGTGGCGTCAACACCCTGGGCATCGGTGAAGCCTTTGGCCACGACGGTTGGTTCCAAAACAGCACCAATCTTAACTACAGCTTCAAGGCGATTGACTCCATCCTGAACTTCATCAAGACCTCTGGCCGCCAGTACGCTTTCACCATTGCTCCAATCAACGAGGCTAGCGACAATTTTGCGGGTTTCGCTACCCCTGCAGGCCTCACTGATGCCGGTGTCAATTGGATCAACACATACATCAATGGCGTCCTCTCTCGTATCGCCAAGGTCGACAAGAGGATCCCTCTGATGCTTCAGGACTCGTTCTTCAGCGAGATGTTCTGGTCTCCCTTCTACCCTGCTGGCACCAACCTCGTTATCGACTCGCATATCTACTTCTTCGCTGCTGCTGGCGCTTACTCCCAGTACGTCCCTGCTGCCGTGTGTGGCCAGGCCAAGTACATCGGCCAGGGCGACGGCAAGTTCCCTGTCTTCATCGGCGAATGGTCCCTCCAGACGCTTTACAACAACACTCTGAGCAACAGAAAGACTCTGTACGATACCCAGGTCTATGCTTACCAGAAGTACGCTTCTGGTGGTGCGTTCTGGAACGGCAAGATGCTGAACGCTGTTGATGGCGTTGATGGTGAGGGTAAACTCCAGGACTACTGGTCTTGGGAGGGTCTTGCTGACGCTGGTGTTGTTTCTAACACCATCGATCAGAGCTACTGCTAGATGTGTGGAGAGTGCGGATCACTTTAAAGATGCCAATTTGTCTATAGTTCACAGGTTTGAGAGTAGGAAACAGGAAACAGGCGCAAAGTTATTTGTACATATGCGAAAAATTCATGAAATCATTTCATCTACATCCATTACATATACTGAGCAAACGATATATCCATCTAGGCGTTCTACTTCTGGTCCATCTTGCCAGTCACGACTTCGGGCTCCCCAGCAATCTTTGCATCAAGTGCTTCTTGTCCCTCAAGAATAACATCTGCAGGAATGCGATCAGGAGTCTTGTTGGTCAACAAGATCATTGGAGCAGTCGCCAATGCCATAAGGCCAAAGCTGACACAGAAGCCGATAAGAGGGCTAGCTTCAGTCTGTGTGTTCATGCCGTAGCTGATAGCCTGTCCCACAGCTTCAAGACATCTAAAGGCAGCTCCGTTACGAACGTTTGCCTGGGCATCAGTCGCGAAAGACGAAATCAGCCAGTACATGTATGACTGTGAGAGAGGGCCAGTAGTCTGGACGAAGAAATAAGGCAAGAAGGCTGAGGGGTATAGTGAATCGTCCCAGTCAATTCTGCCAGGGTCGTGGGCGTTGAACTTGACTTGCATGATGATAGACCAGATGTAGACGCCAAGGTTAAGAATGACGACTACGAAGAGACCGACACGCGCTCTTTGGCGTTGACTAAGGCTCTTCATGTCGAGAATGAAGCCAAGACCAAAACATCCGACACTGTGATGGTCAGTATACAGAACAAATCCATGGGTCAATTGTACTCACATGCAGAAGAATGGTGAAATCAAGGAGGACAAGGCACGGGCGCGGACGGAGAAGTAGATTCCAAGGTAAGTGCTCCATGTACCCGAGTACTAGAAGAGTGTTAGCATGGTTCTCACGGGATGATAGGATATGGTGATTGCTCACGAAGAACGACCAAATAGCCCAGAATGCGGACAAGACGATCAAGCTAGAAGTTATAGTAGTCTTGATGAGCTTGAACTCCTGCTTAGTTCCAACCTTCTCAGAGACCAAGATACGAGTACCGTCTGATCGGACGACACGTTCGAGAGGAGAGATCATGAGGGCGAATGGAAGTCTAAGATTGTCAGTATGTCGATTATGTTAGTTCAAGGCTGAGAACACTTACGCAAGACATTCGATGATTAAGAAAGCGACGTATGTATCAGGAGTCACACCAGCTTCAGCACCCTTCAGGTGGTTCTTGGACAAGTTGATGGCACCTCCGACTAATTGGCCGAGGTTGCGGGCCACAATCCAGAATGCCAGGTACTTTCCACGAGCTCCTGAAGGCGCGAGCGACATGATAGTTCCCGATTCAGCAACGTACCACGCCTATTAAGGGCTCAGTTAGCATAGTTTCTCATTTGGACAATGGAGCACTGCAACTGCAACAACCGTCACATAGTAGAGTGCCGCTTGAATGGCCGGAGGCCTCTATCGAGAGCCTGCCCGTCCGCTGGCGACGACAGGCATTCAACAGATTCCTCCTCAACCTCAAATAGCATCTTGCAATGCAATGGAGGACTGATCTTCCGGACCGGAGTTTGAGACCACACGTAACGGTTGTTGACTTGAGCGTCGTATACTTACCCCTGTGCCGATGCCAGAGATGAAGCCACCAAAGATGATGTACTGCGAAGCATTAGTGCTGTTTCTCTTGTTGATTGAGTATAAGTCGTACCCATTGGTTGCCAAACTTGCTGTTGCAGTAGTACGATGAGCCTTGGATTGGGAACGACATGGCACCGATGACCAGAGCCCATTTGACACCGAGCTTGTTCACAAGAGGTCCACCCAGGAAGCAGACCAGTGCAAGCATAACGTAGTTTATAGCATTGCTAATATTGTTTGTCTTAGCCGAGGCAAGACCACCGCCACCGAGACCTATCGATGGTCAGTCCTGTATTGAAAAGCAGAGTATGGGAGGTCGCCTACCAGCGATGGCATCTGCCATGGCTGGGCCACAGAAACTCTGCATGGACAGAAGCATCATCTGTGTGAAACTGTCTTGGTATATCCTCTTCCACCATGGTACAGCATTCTTGTATTCCTCCATGTTCACCCTTTCATCGGCATAGACTGGCGGTTCGTTCATTGGGAGCGTTCCATGTGTTCTGAGAGCTTCGTCGTCTCCACCAGCATGTGTGTTAGGGGGAGCAGCAGCGAGTGATGCCATTGTGAGAGTGTAGTATGGCTACCAGTACAGTGATTGTGGAAAGACTGCAAGACAGAAGCTTGATTGAGGTTCGCTACGACATTTATAAGACATCGAACAGCATTAGGTTACCCCAGAATGATAGTCCCCATCGCTTTGACCTGTGCGTATTATCAGTGGAATCTGGGTTCAAGTGCCACGCGGGTCCATAGTTTGCCCCGGACTATCAAAGTCATGTTGAATGATGGGCAAAAGAAGGCCGTTTTCACCTTGGACCTTCCTCGAATTTTGGGCGGCTTGTAGCGGCAGTCTTCGGCGCAAAATCTCGAGGAAGGTACAAGCGTCAGACTGTGAGATAGGAGCCGCTCTTTCTGGCCGCGGCCACTTTTGCCTAAATGGCAGCGACCGGGAGATATCGCTGATGCCGGCAGCCAATAGGAGTTCCGCATGAGAGCGGAGGAGCTGACCAAATTGAGCCTAGTACATGCGGGGGATAAGCCAGCGACATTGATAGCACATGTCTTCCGACAGCCATTTGAGCGACAGCAATATGTTAGGTAACACCTTCCATGCTGTCGTGGAGTGCTCTTGTATATCTTCCTCATGACTTGACTGTGACTGTCCGGCATTGATGGAAGTGGTAGTGACTCACACCACACGTCGGTCCTCTGTGGCCGACCCTTACGACGCACTCGTTGTTCCATTGGCGTAAGCAAGAGCCCGACCGTAGCTCTTTCCCATACACAAACCGAATATCGAACGCCACAAAATACATCTACTTCTTTGAGTGTCTGTCGGCCCAGCAACACTGCTTTCAGGGTTCGCTGCGATATAAATCGCTAGATGTGTGTCAATGGGTAGCCCGCTCGACTAGTATACAAGGGAATTGCTCCGGTTGATGAAAGTGACATATGTATACAGAGCGGGTACCGCAAAAAATTCTCCAGAGACTGACGCCTAGCTCTACGATCGAGATCTTGTAGCTCAGAATGTTCCTGCTCGTTACCGAGAATCACGCTGATTCAAGCGATCATCAACCAGAAGTTGTACATTAGCCAAATGAATGTATCGATCGTTCTTGCGCGAACTGTCCTGTCCCATCTTGTTTTGAAGGATGCGGACATAGACATCTCGTGATTTTGGTGAGGCAGACAGAGACTCTAAAAGCGATCGGAGCGTCTCGTGGTGTTGAGGCGACTGGGTACCGTCAGAGAGTGTCAACGCGTCGAGCAGGGAGTAGGCAATCTCGAATTGCTTTTCGAACTGTTCGCAGAGTCAGTCAACGATTTCTTGGTCTCTTTTATGCTGGAGATTTCCACAATGCACAATACACTACAAGCCAGAGCGATTGACACCAGGAGCGTGTCATCTGACTGGATCTCGCAATTCGTGCATTGTTACAGCTACAATCTGACAACGCTTTGCTTGCGGAGAGTGTAAATGGAATTGATGACTTACAATACCCAGCCCGTGTACCTCAATGGCACTTGAGGAAAGCGTCTTCAAAACTTCATGTAGTGAAGAGGCAATTTGTATAGGATAGTCGTAAGAGTACGAGGGATTCATAGACGCTGAAGAAACCAGCCCGAGCCTGAGAGCAGTCTGCCAGACCATGAGTCGGAGCCACTGCTGCGTGATCAGGACGTCGGCTCGTTGTGTTTCAGATACGTTGGCTAGCTCCAGAACACGACAAAGCTGGTCCTGCAACATAGCAAGCTCAACGTACTCTCTGTCGGTACCTCCAGACAGAGAAAGCTTGCTTCTAGCCTGGATATAATTCAGGTCAAGCAAGGAGAATAGTTGGAATAACATGCTTAGACCAGTTGAGATTGAAGGATCCTCGCCTGGCAGTGTATCGCAGAGCAATTCTGGTGCGGAAAGTATACTGACAGGAAGTGTATCATGTATGAAAGCACCGCGTTCACTAACATATAACAGTGCATATATGCGTTGTCTGCGGAGTCTCTCGGATGGCTGCAACATCAGGTCTCCCCCAACGGTATCCATACCTGCTGCCTGAGCTAAGGTGATAGCTTCCCTGACATAGAACCAGGAGTTCTTGCGACACTTGAGATCGAAGTATGTGACCGCAATGAAGAGCGAGGTCAAAACATCTTCAACTGAAGCATTCTCGATATAAGACGAGGATATCCGATCTTGAAGACACTGTCGAATGTACCCTCGGGCAGCAAGGGTCCTCTTGTCCAGAGTCATTGTGGGCCAGGCATCCACGGCCATCAAGGTGAGGGCACATATGGACCATAAAAGCCTTTGCTCAGACCCCTGTAGAGATTGACGATTGTCCAAAAGTGATCGCAGGTACCCCTCGTCCACGACTGGATATACAGCATACATCTTGTCGAAAAAGAGGTTGACACCATGCTCGATCTCGTACCAGCTTGTGCCAGTGGAGAACATCTCGTGATCAACAACAGCTGCATCTTCGAGTCGGCTCCAGATTGAGGATAGGGAAGAATCTCCTGTCAATCTCTGACCTTGTAGCGGAAGCGTTGATGACAGCACGTTCTGAGCAAAGTCATTGAATGTGAAATATGCATCATCGATAAAGCTTTGTGGCGATGATTGATTATCATGAGAATTTAGTCCTGCATGTAAAGTCCGAATTTGTTCTGGTATACCGGTAGATATGTGATCTGTGCCAGCGACATGATTTGGACCAGCTGCGGTGGTAGATTGATGGCTCCCAAATATTTGCTCGGTGTTGTCTATTTGAGACGTATCCGAATTGTGAAGTGGTGCTGATTCTGTCGTCTGCGACAGAGACGAGTCTCGTAACTCATTGATAACCCTGCCTGTTCCTGGCCGCGGACCTCGTCGTTTTCTGATGGACTCAAACGCGCACGGTAGGTTATGACTCTTGCATCGATCGCATGGCTTAGCATAATTGCACCTGACCTTGCGCCGCCGACATTGATCGCATGGAAACTTTTTCTCCTTGGTGGAATCCTCGGTCGACATCTCACACTTTGATGTGCATCATGTCTGGCATGATGTTGTTAGTGTAGCAGAGAGAAAATGAGAGGTGGCACGGAGTCTTGGAAACGGCCCCCGAGTTTACGAGATTGATGTTGCAGGTACAACCCTGCTTACACAATTGACTCGTTCTCCCATGAGAAGGTACGAGGGTGAGATACTACCAGCATGCACAATTGCCATACCGATGGAGAAGGAGCATTGAGGTAGCCCGCAGTGAAATGCTCTCAGCCGATGCCATCATTTCCCGGAAGTAGTCATTCCTATGCTACACTGCAGTGTACCTGCTCACATTGTATGAGAAGCTCATATATAAGAAGTTATATGGGGTAGACTATGAATATCAACTACATGCTTTCCTCCATCTACCGGTCTCCTAAGCAAGCATATAGATACGCGCTTCCCATGGCTGCAAATACTGCGATGCATATCCAGCTCCTGTTTCGACAGGGGTATCATTTTGTTGCTGATCAAACACGTTATCAAGGACTACTTTGGCTGAGACTGTGTCTATGCCGTCAACACCAGGCAATCGATTTTCGACATCAGAGAAGTTGCAAACAACAAGAGCCTTCGTCTTGCCGTCCAGTGATGTCTTGACGAACGAGAAGACTTTCTCATTATCTTCGTCCACCAGCTGGAAATTGCCATGCACAAGCACCTCAGCGTGGGCCTTGCGGACCTTGAGCATGCGGCGCCAAAAGTTCAAGACACTTGAGGGGTCTTCGTGTTCCTCTTCGACATTGATGCCTTCTTGTGCGCTGGTGTTGACCCTCATCCATGGCTCAACATCTTTGTCAGTGAAGCCAGCGTTGAATTGTGGAGACCATTGCATTGGAGTTCGCGCATGGTCACGAGACAAGTGTTGCAATCCAGCTCTGGCTTTAGCATGTGCCGCCTCATCTCCAGGGTGTCGCTGAACCATCTCAGAGTAGAAGTTGATACTGTCGACATCTTTGTATTCTTCGATGGGCCAGTCCTTGGGCATGTTGATCATGCCAATTTCTTGGCCTTGATACACGAACAGTGTCCCCGACAGCGACGCAAAGAGAATGGCAAGCATCTTTCCAGAGCGTGTGCGCCAGAGAGGTGAGTCGTTGCCAAAGCGCGAGATACTGCGGGCTTGATCGTGGTTTTCGATGAAGCTTGTTGTCCATGCATCTGTGCCATCAAGCAGACTTTGAGTGCGACAGATGGCGCCCTTGACGTCTGCTAAGGTGTAGTTGAATGGAGCAGTGTCATATTTGGATGGCCTGCTCTGTCCGACATCAACCGAATCGAATTGGAACACCATGTTCAACTTCTTCGCTGCCTCTGAGACATAAGCGAGTACACGGGCCCGGTCAGGTGTCGCTGGACACTCTCCCACACTCATTGCGTTGTAACGAACCAAGATTGCGTTCATCTCGTCCAGATACTTATCCATGTTTGGTCCGTTGCAGAACAGAAGACTACCGTCTTGCCATGGGACGTTAGGATCTTGAACGGGAGCGTCTGGGAAGTCCATAGGCTTGCTGTACATGTTGACAGTGTCAATTCTGAAGCCATCAACTCCTCTATCGAGCCATGAGATCATGGCGGATTTGTAGATTGCCTGACGTGTTTCCTGATTTTCCCAGTTGACATCCGGTTGCTCAGTACAGAAGAGATGAAGATAGTATTCTTGAGTATGCTCATCCCATTGCCAGACCGAACCTCCGAAAAGACTACGCCAGTTGTTTGGAGGTTTACGGTTGCCGTTGCTGTCGTACACGGCAGGTCTCCAGATGTACCAATCGCGCTTCGGGTTGTCTTTGGATGATCGCGATTCTTGGAACCAGGCGTGTTGGTCTGATGTGTGGTTAATGACAAGATCAAGGATGATTTTCATGTTGCGACGATGAGTCTCTTTGATCAGAATCTCCATGTAGCCAACAGTGCCGTATGGAGGATAGACTGCCTCATAGTTGGAGATGTCATAGCCCATGTCGACTTGAGGGCTATCATACCTAGGATCTATTTTAGCAACGCGAGCAGAAAGAGATCTCAAAGAAGCTGCTTACATGGGGCAGACCCAAATGACTTCGACACCAAGAGACTGGATATAATCCAACTTTTGCACGATGCCGGGAATATCTCCGATGCCATCATTGTTGCTGTCGTTGAATGACGCAGGGTAGATCTGGTAGACTGTGGCGTCTTTCCACCATGGTCGAGGAACATTCGCCATTTTGCTTCTGGTAGAAAGTTGTGATGATTGTCCAATGTTTGTGGGCACAGGGTGGACGAAGTCAGTGAGTGACGATGGCAGATTCCAGGATCAAACGTTGTCAGCTGGAGAAGACAGCATCTTATATTGTCGGGAGTGGTAGGATCTGCAAATGCGGGTGGGCAGTTTGCTCCTTTCGAGCAACGTTACTTTGGGGCTACGGGGATTTGGTCTAGTTTGCGACGCGCGCATCTTCGCTCGCTCTCATCACGTTTGCAAATCACAGTTCAAGATCCGAACTATTCGAGACTACGATTTGGTTGTGTGATGCAGACTCAAGTGGTGAGGCCTGAAGGAGTAAAACGAGCCGCGGCACCAGCTTGGCCGAATCCCCGAACGTTCGCGTCCCTCAGCTTGGCACCCGTTCAGCTGGCATCCCTTGGTGTGCCTTTCCATTATCAGTCATACTTCGGCTCACTTTGCGAACTACATCAATCGACGCCTCTTTAACTGGCCAGCGTAATCGCCAATGGGCTTAGCATCACTGTTGTCGGGATGCTGGGAGATGAAACCTATGTGCCTGTCAAGTCGAACGCCAGTTCTTGGTTGAGACGCAGGTGTTCGATCCCTCTTCCTCTCCAGCCCAACTATTTCATCCAAACCACTCTATTTATCAGGAACACACCTTTCGGGGAATCTTTCGCAAAATCCTTCGCCCGGTAGACAGTACTGCCACCCACGACTCCGCATTGCTCACCAGCATGACCTTTGTTTACCAGTTTCTGGAGGACGATTAGTTCCTCACACACAAGCGAGCTTGCTCGTGTCTCGGAGAGAGACAGTCAAAGGCCACAGCTAGGCAACTCCTAGCAGCTCGCAGAGCCGAGATATAATCAGGGGACGAGAAGTGCTGTTCGCTCGGCTAAGATCTGTTCGGACATTGTCAATCTGATAACAAAAGCGGTTGGTGTTAGGCATCAAGGCTGGCTTGGCGTACATGCGCGCAGCAAGCTACATTCAATCCCGAATTTGTTTGTCGTCTTACTACTATTTCACAGCTGTTGTGCCCTTATCACGAAGGTCCCTTTCCTAGACAATTCACAACCTCACATTGATCATGCGTTCACAAGATTCTGCCGCGATACGGAAACAAATCTGTCAACAAGCATCGTTCGATCCGCCTGAAGACGCATGTTCATCCTGCGATTTTATACACGGAACCGAGGAGAAGCCTTACTCTGGCGGTCAATGCAACGTGTATGCTCTCAAAGACCATCTGGGTCGATGTGTCGCAATGCGCATATTCCGCCAACAAGACACTTCGTCAGTATTCATTCTGGTGAACGAACTGAAATACAGACGAGAGATCAAACGCTGTGGAATCAAATTTTTCCAAGATGTCATCTCGCACTGTGAGAACGGAAATCAGCTCATTCACAATCCGTTCATTTGCTTAAGCTGGGTTGAAGGAGAACCGTTAACCTGGTCGGATTCAGTTCCCAAAGCACGTTCTGTAAGAAACGATTTGATCAAGGAGATTGCCAACATTTGTCTTGACCTTTTAAGCATTCAGGAAGAAGGTAAAGAAATTGTTCTTCAACAGGATGACATGGGGTAATGTTTCACAGGCACTTCGGCAAAAGCGGAAGTAACGGTCAAGATACAGCGAAAGATCGAAAGAGCAGAGAAGGGAAGCTACATTGGTGGCAACGTAGAGAGCTGCAAAAGGCAGATGAGCCTACTGGAAAATTACTGGATCCCCCATCTTGATGAAGCGCCACGTGTGCTTGTTCATGGCGACTTGTCGGCCAACAATATCCTCGTGGACCAACATTCAAATCTCAGAAGGTTAGCACTTGTTTATACATAAATTCTGTACAATTTTGCTGACTTGAATAGCATAATCGATTTGGGCTGGACCGAGATGGTGCCCCTGCAATTCGCCGCAAAGTATCCTCGATTTCTAACCCATGAACCTCGACATAATTCTTTTGATTGGGCTGCTACTAATACAGACTGTATGCAAAGGGACAGGCTCGTCTTTCGGGAATGTGTCCGAGACAGGGCTATGCGTGAAGGTGGGTATTGTCAAGTGTATTACGACATTCTATGTAGAGAAGATGAGGTTAACCGCCACTGGTGGTTCACCGCGATATCTGAAGCGGACAAGCACATAGCGATGGAGTCGTGCGCCTGGTGTCCCGAGCCGAGTCTTCTCTGACCGTTGTTTTACAAGGTGTCTTTGTGTCGCAAAAAAATTAAATAACCTTTCCTGCACATTTATTCCATCTGTACTATGCTTCTGACAGTGCTGCTATCTCTTCTTTCCTAGGACACTTCTGCGATACACTCTCATGCAGTAGTTGCGGTTGTTCAGCCGATTTTCCCGTGTTACAACTCTTATTATACCATTTTGTGGAAGCAGGATGCAGCAGAATCAGCTTAGTTGAATGTATTATCGCAGACAAACAATGCTAACAAACATAAAGAAACTTCTCCCGCATTTGCGCTAAGGTATGTGGAAAACCCAGTGGGAAGAAAACCACAAACGAAGAGACAAAATTGTGTTGTCGTCAGGGATTTTGAGTTATGACATGGGACCTGTGTCCCTGGTGGCCCTTTCCATAGTCAGGACAGAGGCATCTGCAGCCATGTTTGATAAAGTGGTCATCAAAAAACTAAGCTGCTTCACGAGTTTTGCCTGGGACGAACTTCGCCTTCGAGTAGAACATCAGTGTGAGGCCGACAAAAGCGTTGGAACGTTCATTATACTCACTTGCGTAGGGGTCAGATTGACGTTGCAACGCCCAAGTGTGATCTCGAGACGACCTGGATATCCTATGCCAGGGTGGCGTACAAGTCCCAGGAGGCCTTGCAAATCGTGAGTTTGGAACGCGTTGTGCAGATCTCGAAGGAAACTTTCCAGATCAGAGAGAACCCCGGTGATGTTCTCTTGGGCATATGGCGATGCATGATCAACCTCTTCATCGCCGGTACCCACGCTATATTCAAGGGGTTGGAAAATCAAGTTGCCGTTCTCAACTTCCGATCCCCATATGGTGGGAAAGGCATGGAGTTCTTGATATTTATCGAGGTACATTGGCGTGGAGCTGCCGTTTATTTCAGTCAGGTATTCGCCATCGTTGAGAGCGAAAATGCTGATGTAGAAGTTGGAGTCCGAACAAATGTTCGACTGCATGCTTGCGGAAAAGTGGCTGTAGTTCAACATCGATAATCCTCTTTGCGTCGAGTTGGTCGAATCGAGAGCCGGCCTGCTCAAGAGTTGGAAGTGAATTAAAATTGTCACAGGAGAAAGGTTTGATGACAATAGCCATCTTGAACTCTTGAACTATAGGAAGAAATGTACACGAATGAGTGATATGGCAGCAAGGGATGGAAGTGCTCAATTTATACGCCTTCCTAGGAGGCCGGCTCATCAAATTTTGCCAGTGGTCGCTACTAAGTTCTTGGGACGCGACCGATGATGTCTCCACGAACCAGTATCTTTCCAATGCGTTCCTGATACGTAGTGAGCTATCTGAGCAGGCGGGATCTTGATGGTGACTACTCAAAGGCATGGCGGCTCCTCATTTGAACCCGAACTCTGATGCTTCAACCCTCGAACATCAGTTGAGTGGCCATGAGTCTCCTGATGGCCGCTCGACGGCTAGTCTTGAAGATGATGTTCACCTGCGATTTGCTATAATCCTTGAATATGCAGACGCATGGATGTGCGCGCTGTCCAACGAATGTGAGATCACCCTGTAGATGACTGCAAGATGTTTAAGCCTAGGTCAAGGAGACAATTGGCTACTGTTGAACAAGCAGGATAATGCGCGAAGATCACGCTCTGTCCAGTGGTTCAACGCCCTGCAATCTCGCGGATGAGAGGTCAGGCGGTATCGATTCGAGTTTAGCAAAAATCTGAAGACGCATGAGTCCAGTCATGTTGGTACAATTCTGGTAGGTATCGACGATGCAGAGGTCTCTCCATGAAAATAGCAGGGACGATTTCTATTTGGTCGGCGGTAAGAAGTGTGACGATAAAATCCCGACCAGATGGCGCCAGAATTGATTCGATCTTGCTGGATTTATAACAAGCGCCTCCATTATACCAGGATCAGCTCGTAGAGCCCGAACAACCACCAATACACTCGATCTAGATATGTTGTTCGATAAGCGCCATTCCACATCTTCCTTCCTTTGGATGAACGTTGCTAGGATATTTCACCAGCTCAAGAACGTTCAGCCCCTCACCGCCCCATTCATCTTTGAATGGCAGGTTGCCCGAAGTTGTTATGGAGGGACAACTTCGAGTAACCTGCCGTTTCTGCTTGACGGTATACTTTCGTCTTCGTGAAGAAAGTCGGCATGAAGCAGGATCACTCCTACCTCAGGCTTTGTTTTCTCCTGGCTTGCCTGTCACAATGACCCAGCAAGACTCAGGGTCAATATCGTCTGTAATCGATCGAGAAAAACTTTTGAGACCATAATCTGTCAAGATATTAAGAGATGAGTGTGTAAGACCAGATTCTCAAGTCGAAGCAACACAGCGTTGGTTCAACGTGCATCTTCGAATGTCTTGCTATCCAGCGTCACATGCGTCAGTGCCCACCTCGGGTGAGTTGACATTTGCGACCGGAGATCTGGGCTCGCTCTCCCAAACAACCGGGACCGATGTGCAGTAGTTTAGGCGCGCGCTTCAGGATCAATCAACTTCCGATGCCCAAAAGACTGGAAGATGACTCCGCCAACCATCTGCATGCTTTTGCTTATCAAGTTGCAATGCAGTAAGGAGTGGTTTGCGGCTGTGATTGCTTATAGTAGGCGACTCGATTCGACGACAGACATGCTGAGGCTCGCAGGACACCTGATGGATTTGCGTGTCAAACACGCTTGCGCGTGCATGCTGCATTCCAGCGTCTTCCTGAAAATCCCTTACAACTTCAGCTCGCCTCCATGTACCGGACCGGATGTTGCACTTTGCATTGACCTGCGATAGGTCGGTAGATGGGACAATTTAGGTCAAATTCTGCGTAAACAAAGCCATAGCAGGCGACGACAGATGGTTGGCGCACCAAGTTGGACGACAACCTTGGACGGGCACCGTGCCGAGGTCATTGATCTGCCAACTGACCACAAATTTAGTCAGAGCCGCTGTATGTATGCAACCTGCATGCATGATTGACTAGGTAGCAAAGGCAAGCGCGATAACGATGGCTACAAATTAGCGCTCCTGCACAAAACCTTGCGGTCCTTGCCCAGGTCTCGCACTCAAGAAGAGCAACGAACCACATCTGCATTCTGTAAAGTCACTCAATCTGTTAGTTGCCTCCCTACGATGGTGTTGGTCGACGTCATGTTCAATCCTCTACCGTGAGCCACTTAACTCTGACCATCGGTACGCGCGCTTATTACGTTCAGGAACAAATGTTTCACGCTCGATCGGACATCGATTGTCACTTTCCTGCTGCAGTGCACCTGCTCTAACGGATCCGGGCCACATCTAGCACACGACCTTCATGAGAATGGCGCATTCCGCAACTACTTCCACATTGCACATACCTGTCACTTTGGCCAAAACTCCGACCCTCCCTGCCGTTATGTGATAAATCAGAACCCATTAGACGCGCTTCTAATCACGCATGAGACTTTGCTCTATGCTAGGCTATACTCTAGCCAGCTTGTTTCAAACAAAATCGGCGATTTCGATTTTCAACACACGCACACGTATCGTGTCGAACCGGTGACCGCCTGGACTTGCAACGTAGGCTATTTGCAAAACAAAACTCCTTTATTCGCGCATACCTTGCACGATTGCTCAATGTGGCCCCTTGGAAATGGTTCGATCATTCACAGCCTGTTTTCCTCCAACAATGATGAAGTTCTGAGGATCCGTAAAGCTGGACAAAGCTCCAGTTGGCAAGACGATATCGCGTTCTTATACCATGAGATGGAACCGCAGCCACTTGTAAAGCATGTGTAAGTAGTAGAGTATGCATCCAGATGTAGACAGCCTGCTGACATGACTAAGTAAGATCACACTGCCGCTGAAGCTGCAATGCTTTTGCACAATGAATACATCACCACATCCCCCACACGACATAAAAGATCACGACTATCTTTGTATACCGAACGTAGCGCAAGATCAAGCACCATTGGACGGCTTCATAGCTATAGTTGGACAACAGCTGCACATAATGAAAGTCTCAGAGACTCGCCGTCTGCTTGTTGATCTGACAGACTGCCCTGTTACACAGACATGGTGGTGGCATGAAGTTCAGATCCAAGCACAACTTACTTTGGCATACGAAATGACTGGAATCCCACAGGAGGAGCCTGGCTACATACGGGAAAATTGGCCGCTGAAGGTTCTGGAACAGTTCAGCTGGAACCCGCGTCTGCTCAACTGGGAAGCGAATACATAGTCGTTGCTAGTAGCTTCGTGATCTAGCCCGTTACGAGACTTGACTTCCATCGCTGGGGTTTTTTTTTTAAAAAAAAAAAAAAAAAACTCTCAGCTCACCACAAAGCCATCCACTGGTGACTGATCTACTGCATTCTTACAGGTATGCTAGTACATGATACCAAAAGAACAAAACGTACAGCAGCAGGGATTCCCACGTGGTCACCCACCGTAGTACTAATCTGCCGTTCAACTGCTTATGTATGGCAGAGCGGACGGGATGCCCAGTTTTCAGCTGACTGTGGCCGTACGTGCTGGATTCCAAAATCTGCCAAACCATGAATGCTGCTGTCATTTGCGTATGCTTGTTCGATGGACTTACTTTCAGATGGTTTCCCTTTCCGCATGAGGAGCGCCATCCATAACAATGGTTGCTTGTCGCAAGCAACGTTTGATGTGATCTTCTTATGAGAGAACGCTGTTGCTTGGTCTTCTTTGGCTCTATATCCGTATAGTTTAGTCGTAAAAGTCGTTACATCTTCTCTTCTGCTTCTGGGTATCATTGTTATTTCCTTGCTCTTTGCCCCTTCATTTTCACTTCTGCTCTCATCCCTAGCTCTTTCTCTTTTTCAGCGGCTGTCACTTCTCCTGCGCACCGGTGTGGGCTTGGGTATGTCCTTCTTCCTCTGGGGATTGCTGTTGCTGTTGTTGCGCCATGACGTTTTCGAACATTGACCATAGGCCTTCGACTTGGCCGAATTCATTGCCGACCTGTTAGTGCGAGTGTGTCAGCGGATGGTTTCTCTTTCGCATCTCTTTGAGGTTTTTGGGGATGTGGAGGGGCTGTGGTGTCTGGCGAGTCGTCGCGATCAAATGAGGTATGCGGGCAGCGATTGGGGAACGTACGGCAATGACGCTCTCTAGACTTCGATTCAAGGTGTTCATGTTTTGTAGCACTTGCTCTAGATTCTAGCTGTCGTCAGTATGCTATCTGTTGCATTCGCAAGGGAGAGTCGCTCTTACTGTCGCAACATCTTGAAGCACGAGTTCGCGTTGTTGTTCGAAATATGTTTTTTCGCCTTGGGATCTATTGTTGGTCGACATCTCGACAAGTTTTGTCCAAGTAGTGTGACTCGCGACAAGAGGAACGAGGTCAAAGAATTGCTACCAACAATTACTGTTCAATGTTTACTTTGCACGAGGACCTGGATGGGCTGCTTGGACCGTGCAGCCCTTCCGCCAAGACTCAATCCTCCACCTCTTTTCCTTGCACGCTTCGCGCCTTCTTCCTTTTCTTTGCAACGACTAGCAGATGTGATTTTTTTCGTCTGCTGAGTCCCATCGAACCAGTAAGTCCACCATCTTCTTGTTTTGAGTTTTTCTTCGGTACCTTTATGATGCACAAAGAATTCTGCAATTCGGACTTTTATAGCGGGCTCTTTCGGGAGTTCGCTGGGCAGGCTTCTTTGGAGGTTCTGCCAGGACGACAAAACTATTCACAATCACTTTTTCTCTGATCTTTCTCATTCATATATACTCTTGACTTGTCACAATTGAGGCTTGAATGTGTACTGACGAGTCACTCAAGGTTCAACTATGGAATTTGATTCTGGATAGGATGTTGGGCTTTGGGTAGGGAGTGGTAGGTTTTGTTGGACTTGGACTTTTTTTTTTTTTTAACCTCAAATGATCAATATCAGATATGTTGCCTGATTTGTGTTGCTCCTTTTCTCATTCAAAGCCGTGAAACCCCGTTCCCGCACTCTGTTCTGTCTCTGAAATGATGTCGCTGTGCCTTGATTGCTCCTCGAAACCAGGTCGTCATTGTTCAATAAGTACCGAAGGCTTTCCATGTGCTGCCGTCGTTCCCCCAAGCTAGTTCATGCCGTCACATCCATCAACAAGCTCCGTCACTAATCCAGACCGCTTTTGGCTCTGCGATCGTCGTGATGAGTCGGGATGGATCGAGGTAATCTCGCCGGTTTCACTTTCCGCGCTTGAGACGACGGTAGAACCGAGAATTATATGTGTACTTAGTATACGCTGGCCATGATCACAGGAATGGTGGACGGCTTTGGATAAGTTGATAGACAAGGACGTGGCAGAGTTGACATCAAATCATCAGATATCTCTTACCTCTTTTTCATGAGAGTGTAATTCAAACCTGTGAAAGCGAGGTCACGAAAAAGATGATCTGTTCAAACTATCGACTTGCATCCTCGGCAGATATCACTGGTGTCCGGGGCTTTTGGAAGCAACAGATATCTTAATATTTGGACAAAAAAGACAAGAAATAGACAAACAAAAGCTCCTGCCTAGTTGATAGACTCATGCATCGAAAGCGATCCATGCTCGGCTGTATCAGCAGATAGAACCAGAACTCAGATACCAGCGAATTGCAGACACTTTAAAGCACATAAAAACAGGCACCCTTTTGTTCCCAAACTCAGCGACACATAAACTCGTTGCTGACGAGCGCGAGGTAGATTCAACTTAGTACGTCGACATCGTTGTATCACCCTCGCGCTTGACAACCTCGTTCCTAGGTGCAGCTGACGGGAATGGCATCGTAAAGAGCCATCAAATCGGCCACATCTGGGTCAGACATGTCGTCCTTGACGACACTCTTGTCAGTTTTATGCTGCTGCGTGGAATCGTCGACCTCGTTCAAGACTTCCGTGAATCCGATGGCAGTCATGGCTTTCCTCACAGCGCCCACATCGCGGCCCGAGTCAAGATAGACAGCACCGATGATGGCCTCCAGGAGGTTTGCAGGCTTCTTGCCGCCACAACAGGAGCACTCTGTGCATGAAACAAGCTTAGCTTGGGAAGCCATCTTGTTGAAATACTTGTTGCTCAGCTTTGCAGTGGAAAGGTCGCCCCAGTCACCTTATTCTAGGTCAATTACGTGGAGTGGAAGCCAATGTAGGAGATTTGGACTGACCCGCAACACTATCCTTCATACTGAACCAGTACTCCGCAACAGCGACAGCCATCACAACATCTCCTATGATGGCGAGTTTCAGGTTGTTGCTAGTGAAGAATCGCCCATTGATAGACGTAACAGAAGGCTGGCTCGGTGCGACATATTGCAAGGCTTCCCAAAGGTATGCGTTCTCATGATCTTGGAAACGATACTTGATGATGCGTTCAACTCGATCGACCTGGTCTGACTTGAGCACAGGCACTTCGCCGCCGGAGCTGGCCATCATGAAGAAGTTGCGATGCTGCGCTGCTCACAAGATGTCAAGATGCGTTGCAGCTGCATGATATATACGGAGTCTCGTGCCTAGTCCCATCACAAGAAGATGCGCAACTTTTCTCAGTGTAGACTGACCGAAGGTTGTTCTGCGAATGCGTTATTTACTTGAATTGGGTTTGCCTTCAAGACAGCCCACAATGAACGATCTCATGTCAGAGGCTAGCTTTTGCTGTCAATCGCCTTGTGAATCTTGTTGAGTCGCCAAGGTCAAGAACAAGATTGTCCAAACAGATGATGGATTGGAGGAGCGTCTGATGTCGTGAAGGAAACTTAGCATTCCAACTCGACAAGCTTAAAACAGCCACACACCAGTCGTGACTTCCTCAGATGATGACCAACGGGCACCTAGTAAAATGCAAACAATAATATTAATGCTCGTAAGGGGGTATCCAGAAATTATCTAATTAAGCAAACATATCAATCAAGATATCAGCCAAACATGAATAAACGCACTTTGCAATATGCGAGAATATCCTTCTCTTCTTTTTGATGACGTCCGAAGATGGTTTTCAAGCTTTGGTAATGCAAATGTCACATTTACCATGTGGTGCCCTGACCCTTGTATGCATGAGCTTCGAGGCCGGGAATGGAGAACCCGTAACCTTGAGTATGTCCTTCACGATCGCTGGGTGAGATTTCAACCTTGATGCAGACATCGAGACCATCAGGACCACAGAGGCCAGTATTTTGCAAGCCCTCAGCAGCAGGGTGAGTAGTACCAGCCTTTTGCTCACCTGCATGCAATGCCTCGCGAGGATTACCTCCAGCCGGGAACTGAGTGGCTGTGAGTGTCGAAGCGCCATTGGTGTGACCATTGGTATGGCCATTAGTTTGTGCGTCGACGTGACCATTGGTGTAGCCGTTGGTTGCGCCATCGACAGCAGCACCAACTGAAGATCCAATTCCGTTGTGTGACTCTGCGATGATTGCGTAGTTGCGACTGGGCATAGTGCAGTGATTCTTGTCTTTGGTCTTGTTCTTGACATCGTTGCGTCCATGGCCCGGATCCTTGTCGAACAGATTGAGCAACGTCTCGTCAGTATCGTGATCGAGGTGATGAATCTTGTTACGACTGGCGAGAAGGTTGGCCACGGCTGACGGAGGAGGCTTGTTGGTGATAGCGGAAGATATGACGTTGGCCATGTAGCGCCAATCCTTCTCGACAGGAATGTTAAGATTGGGGTTGCTGTAGAATCTACCCATTGCCGCAAGATGAACATCACCACCAAGGATCGTGACGCGAACACTGTGTCTCTTGGCCAAATCTTGCAGGCGCTGAATCAGTTCTCTGCGCTCAGTCTTGTGTTGATGAGCCGTGTAGTGGTCGTCCAGATCATCGAGAAGATCAACTTGTCCGTCGAATTGGTTGAAGAGACCACCAGCGACTCCGAATCTCTTGTTAAGGAAACGGATGGGGCCCATGATAGGCGATTGGAAGATGTTTTCGAGCCATTGCAGACGAGGGTATGCAATCGGCACTCCCAAGAGCAGAATCAGATGCTTCAAGGCAGGGTTTGCCTGAAGCTCAGCAGAAGTACGCCGGAAAATCTGGTCGTATGTCTCATTGTAGTTTATCTGATGTCTTGTGCGCTCGGTTCTGGCGTCGATACCAACGAAAGCAATGCGTGCACCAAGCTGGCAGTACATGGATCGACTGCGTTCTTCGACATAAGGTCCTGGTTTGGAACCAATGATGTACGACGGTTCGTGCTCATCTCCAGTCTTGACAAATGTGTCGTTCAACTGGACTGCATCAGCACCAGCTGTACCATTTGCATTGGCATGGACTGTTTGCGGAGCGTCGGTGGTGAATGTGCTCTTCGGTGGAGCAAGATGGTGTTGGAACAGCAAATAGTACTTGTGCGCCACACCACCAATACCCCTGAAGACAGCACATTTCATGAAATGATCGGTGTAACTGCCAAAGCCATCGATAATATCGTGGTCATCCCAAATGTTGAGTTGGGGAATTTGACCATTGGCGAAGGAGAAGGGCTCAGTTCCGTACCAGCGCACGTAGTTGTTGAAGTAGTACTCGTCACATTTGGCACGCAGTTCTTCGTTGAAAGGGAAATTTCTTCTCTTGTGAGGCGAACCAATGTCAGTCCATGGCCTCAGAGGACCATCCACTCTGACACCGTCGTTGTAGATTTGATCGCCACCACCGATCATGACGTGGAAAGGCTTCTGCTCGTGCATACGCAAAACATCGTTCCAGAGAGCGCAACCAGACCAGGCATCAGTATCGGTACCAACAGAGAAACCATTGCAAGAGTGGAACATGATCCTCATGGACTGAGTCTTGGAAGGAATGTAGAATGACTTGGGGCCAGGACTCGTCTTCTTGGAATCAACATATTTTGCGCCGGGAATTTCGTAGTCCCATCGGGACTCCTGGGCAAGGAATGGTATCTGGATGTCGAATCGCCAGAATGCGCTCTTAGGGTCCTCGTACAACTTGACACCGTCAACTTGTCTACTGAAATCAACGGCAGCACCACGAATGACAAGCTGAGGTTGTTTCTGACCAGGAGTGGTGACAATCAGGACACTGCCATGCCACGAAGGATTGTCCGATGACTGTCCACTCATGTATCTGTAGTTGAGCAGAGGACCGCACAGCGTCTCGACCTGGTTTGAGGTGCTGAGAACCTGGGGCCCTTCGCCGACTCCAACAGCGCCATCCTCTCTCTTTTGCGATACAGGTCGCTCGGTAGTTTGGGGGTCTACGGTGTGATCGGGGCGGAAGGTAGGGTCTTGGTGGCGGCCGAGGGCATGTTGAATAGCATCACCGGTAGGTCCAGTCTCAGCAGTGGTATGCGCAGAGTTGTGGCCAGTGCCCCAGGCATCATTCGCGTGTTGGCGATCGGAATCAGTGGGTTCGTTCTGCTGGTGGTCGAACTGATCTTCGAGACGGCGAGCCGAGTCGGAGTTCATGCTTGCAACGGTCCGGGACGTGCGACCGAATGTCCAGGTCTGTCGCGCAACCAGAGGAGTGTATGGATAAAAGCAAGGAGGTCGCTCAGCTCTCAGGTGAGCGCCGGCCACCGCAATTTTATCTACATTGTTCGCATCCTGCCAACCCTGCCATTTGCCTTGATTGTCAGCAACGGCCTCTTGGCGGTGATGACGAGGTGCATTGACTTGTTGGTTCCGATCTCATTCAAGAGTGGTAGCCAAGAAGACCTCCCGAGGGCCAAGACTACGCGATGTTTGAAGCTTCCGGCGCGTTCGCATTTCGGATCGATTTCTCTCTGGGATATACGACATAATATTTGGTTGAACAGCTTGTTCGCTGTGAATCACTCGATGGCTCTTAAGATTCTTGTGCTACCAAGCAAGATAGGATAGAATCCATTGATGCGAAATTTGGCCTCCTCGGCGTCTTCAGAAAATGCAGCTGCGACCATCTGGAGATCGGACCCTGCTTCATCAACGCCCTGCATCCCTGGCGCTCCAATCGGATCGACCCAAGTTCCCACTTCCTTCCCTCGCGATGCGCTGCTCCATCCAAACCCGGCACTCCTCGGAGCCTCCTCCCAGTCGCTGCTGGTCACTTGCTTACCTTCGCTTTGCAGCTCATCGCTGTCAATGCCATGGCTCATCCTTGTTCCTTTAGATCCTGATCGACCAGGATGACTTGACGGCTCTGCTTCCCGTGCTTTGTCACGTTGACTCCGTCGCTCTCACTCGATCAGGACGATTGGAATCTCCTGCTTCCTGTTCCTTGACACATCTAGATTGTTGCTGATGGTGCCCTCCTCGTCGATGTTGTTTGGAACCGTACGCTTCATGCCCTTGCCTGCAAGCGCCGAAGCTATTCTCTGTTCACCTTCTAAGGTGGCCAGATCCTCATCGACAGTCGATAACCGTCTACGCTCGGTTTGTGGCGTAGACGTGGATGAAGGAACAGATTCCCAGATAGACCTGTCAATTGTCTTCGGCACAACGACTTGGACAATATGTTGGCTCAGGCTTCTTCTTTGGGCATCGTCCTTTGTTACCCATGCTGTCTTCCTGGCCGCTCTCCAGCGTGGAATTGGCTTTCTCGCCGACGTATTAATGGTCATGGATCTCGTGATGCGGCGAGATGCCTGGTGTTCCTCTGCCTCATCAGTCTCCAAATCCGAATCCTCGACGATAGAAGCATCTTTCCTAGACAGGGGAGCTTTGTCGTAGTTATTCTGCTGCTGACGTGGACGCAGATCATATCTGGCCTTTTTCTTTGCCACTTCTCGTTCTTCCTTCTCTCTGGCCCTCTCTCTCACCAGATCACGCAGTCTGCGTGGAGGTTCTTCATCGCTGAGTTCAGCTTCAACCTCAATGCTAGGACTCGGTCTTGATGCAAACAAGCCAAACCGTCTCTTCTTCGTGCGACTGGAATTTTCTTCGCGCTCTAGCGACGTTGAAGGATCATGAGTTTCAAGGTCGAGTTTGTAAGGTTTGGAAGAGAAGATTCTCTCGATTGACGGCTCTTCGCTAGAATTTCGAATCGGCGAGATCAGATCAATGACTTCCTGGGTATCGTCGTTATCGTCTTCAGAGCCACTAGACAGATCGATTCGGGTCCTAACGAGCTCTGCTGTTTCATCACCCGATTCTCTCTGAACTTCGCTGCGAAGGTGCTGTTCGTCGAGGGTGTCATTCCGAATCTCGTTTATTCCAGCGTCGTCGGTATGAGACTCTTCGTCTTCGTCACCGGCGTCAGGGATGCTGTTGTCAAGGCCTCCGCCTTGTAAATTGGCGTGCGAAAGCCCATCATCGGCTTCTTCATCCGAATAGACATAGTCGGACCCCTGGCTGGGGTCCCAGCTGTGCTCTCTAATCGCATTGGTGGTTGAAGTCCTGCCAGTAGCCAGCACAGCTACACTATCAATAGCTCCGATATCAATAGCATCGTCAGGCTCTTCCACTGATGGCCTGTCGGTCGGCTCATCAGACGTTTCTCTGTCACGTCCGTCGCCAGGTTGTTCGATTGACGGAACTGCGGATGCGGCATCTGATGTTGGTTCGAAGGTTTTCAAAGGACCTAGCGGGCTTTGATTGGCAAATTCCTGAGCTGTGTCTCCGTCAGCACGATACTCTGCCTCTAGGAGATCCATTAGATTTTCACCTCGTCCGTTGATTTTGTCGAGCAACTCATCGTTGCTTTGATTGTTGATAGGTGGTGGTGCGGCTGCTGATCAACGTCAGCAAGTAGCTGACCAACACTTCACGACTTTAGCATACCATATTTCTTGATCTCTGCCAGAAATGCTGCATCTATCTGATTTTGGTTGTTTCCTGAGCCTCCGATGCCGTCTTCGTTATTTTTGTTGTCGGGACCTTGAGCTACGCGATATCAGTAATGTCCAAACAATCGCGAAAGACAGTCATACCATGTTTACGCAGATCGACGATAAATTGCTCTTCAAGGTCACTATCATCGTCGTCGATCGTGACGACTAAACGTTTGTCAGTAAGCATTTCCTCGTCTGACTTTGGCTCGGCAGTTCTTGTACCAGTACTTCTGTCGACTCTTGGAGCCACGATCTCATCACCGTCGGCAGTGCCCCTCTTGTCTCCTCTGTCGGACTGATTCTTGTTGTTGTTCCGAAGAGTAGTTTTGGTCTTCTCACGAGGTTGACGTTTTACTCTACGGCTGAAAACCCCTGGATCAGAATCACTGTCAGAGCCAAGGATGTGCACGCCTTCCAGATCTTCTTCTGGATTCTTTTCGCCAAATATGTCTTCGTAGTAGGACTTTCGGCTGGCGCGTAAAGGTTTCCTTGATTTAAACCAGCCTTGAATTGGTGGCATGTTGAGGCAAGAGTCAAGAAGTGTTGTTCAAGATCTTACAAAAAAACCGACGCGCGCGGCTGTGTATAGGTGGGAATATGTTCCAAAAGAGGTCTTGTCGTGTAAGAAAGAAGCAAGAAAAGAAGTGAATGTTGAAGCCAAGGAGACAAAAAGGCAAAGAGCTCAAGAAGAGAAAGAGAGGTAAAGAGGTGAATGTACCGAGAAGAAAGTCGTGGATCAAGGTAGGTTTTGATCTTGACCCTCAGGCAACAATAGGAGCTGCCTAGAACTCTGCACGGTGTGTCGGGTGAAGTACTACTGTGAGAACACTTTCACTCAACCCACGACTGTGAAGCATCAGTGAGTGTCTTGTTATCTTGAAGGAGAAAGGCAATGAGGAGGAGCTAAGTCCCTGCAGTATATTTGGGAAGGCCCGAAGTGAATGAGATCAAAAGAGCTCAACGCAAGGCCCAAGTATTCACACGACGTGTATATGCTGGCAAGCTTCTCACAGAGATGGCCAGAGGTAACATTGCTTCATTTTGGTTTTGCATCCAAGCTGGATTGGGTTGTGCTTTCACAGCCATGATGTGTTCTTGCCCACCAAACGGCTAGCCTCCCTCATTTTCATATAAGCATGTCCCTCAGGTCCTGCTGCCTGTCGATGCTCACTTGATGTATCTCGCCAACGGAAAGCTTTCGATGCTCACAGCTCTGATATTTGGGACTGATCGCATACCTGATGGATGGCTCAAGGCAATCCCACAGCTTCGACATGCATTCATTCAAAGTCTCGGCTGTGTTGTCACCCTCAAGGATGAAAGACACCTACCGACATGCAAAAAACACGGTAGCGTTGATCAGAGGTAATCATAATCATCCACGTACACTATATGGTATATACATTCATCGACTAAACTAGCAAAGCCTCCAAGGCAGCACTGATTCCATGTCCTACGTTTCTTTCATCTGCTTTGCATCGACATGCCTACTCAGCAGCATACCTCTCATGATCACTCTTCTTCTGCTTCGAATGCTTATCGCTCCTATCATGTCCCTTATCCAACGGGTTGTTGGCTCCAAAATGCAAATTCTTGCTTTCCACTGCCGCGGGCAATTGATCGCCAGTACCGGTCACCACCTCTCCTGTAGCACCAATGTCTTTGGATGCTTTGGGCATATCGGTAGTATTGGAGGCAGCGCTTGCTAGAGAGGAAGAGCCTAGACCGCCTGTGGTGGGTTGGCTGGCTTGTTCTGGGTTGGGTACTGAAGGGAGGATGTTTTGGGTTCCGGCGTCGTTGGGGATTGTCGTGCCTGTGGCGGCCATGGAGGAGAGGTCGCCTCCTTGGTGGGGGTCGGTAGGCATGATGGAGATATTGATCTTCTCTGGGGATTCTTTATGGTTTCGGCCGAAATATGTCTCTAAGGTTGGTGTGGTGCGACTTGTATTTGCTTCGTTGTGTTTTGTCGAGACTTTGAGAATTGATTCTCGAATACGGATAGAAGGAAGAGATGGTTATCTTGCAGATGTCCGTCTATTATAATTTGCTTGATGCTTTTTTTGTGGATGCATGACGTTTTTGATATTTACGTTGGCACAACGTCATGGACCACCCTAGTGGAACGTAGCAGAAAGTGTGGGATGGAAAATGTGTTGTTGTAGCATCATTGAATCCACTCAATCTGTTCAACAGATTAGATAAGGAAGATATAAGAGTCTGTTTGATCAGATATCGGAATATTAGTCCTCTTTCCTGTGTTCTGCCCGATTAACGGAAAGATTCCTTGCGCGTTGCGAAGTTCGCCAATCCTGCATAACCTAATGACTCGTGGTCGTGATCAAGAATTGAGGGAAAGAATTCTCTTGCATCTTGATTCAAGAGTAGATTGTTTTGTTGGCCCTGGCTGACATTAGAAGCTTCTTCAACATTCGAGATGCTGAATACTTGATGTCTATGTAGGGTGACCGTTAATTCATCCTGAGCATGGTTCGCGAACACTGATCTAATCTATGTGAATCGATTTTGCTGGGAAAATAGGTGATCTCTAGGTACCCTGATGAACGATCAAGGAGCTATGATGGACCATAAATGGTATTGAGATAGAGTATGACAGCGAACACAAAGAGGTATCATGGGCAGATTGGAGGAATAGGCGTTGTCCATTAAGTTGTGATGTCTAATATGTATATTGCGAAAGTCTGATCCAGCAGATAACATATATCCTGTCCCGTCCCTTCATCCTGCATCCCCTTTGCAGTTTCAATGTTAACGAGTCCTTCCAAATTTGTCTTGGTTTTCTGTCCAGCAGTGGTGCGTGCAAAAAATTCTGGTGTCTTGTGCCAGCTTCAGCCGTATCTGGCTATCGTTCTACCATTCCCGATTTGCATCCTCGTGGTCCAAGCCTGCTGACTCTGCATGTGTCATCAAGCCAGAGTAGATGTAGAAGACCAGTCGTCCTCATCGTGGGTTCCTGAACCACGCTCTTCATGTTTGTCTCCACCATCAGCCTCCACATCCTCATCTTGTTCTTCACCCTTCCACAAGATCATGTCTTTCTTGGTCTCATGGGTGAGATAGCCTTTGCTCAGCACCTGTCTGGCAAAGGTCTTCTTTCCCTCCATTGCAGCTCTCTGTCGCTCGACGGCATCGTTCGTGTTTGACCAATGGCTGAAAAGGAGACGTTCAATTGCATGAGCCAGCTCGGGACTCATATCGTAGGTTTGGAGCAGATGGTCTAAAGCGTTGCAGTGACCGTGTGCCTCGGCCAGCCGGGTCTCAATGTCAATGGATATCTTCTTGCACTGTAGAGGAAAGAAGGAGATTAGTGTTTAGCAGAGAGAAACGGGGTGACAGAAAGAGATTCATACCTCTTCATCGCGAATCTGGCGTTCGCGTCTCTTGACAATCTTGTTCAGGTTCTGCTTGATGGACTCTTTGAGGCTGCGAGGGATCTTGTAGGTGTTCTTGAACTGCTTGCGGTTGATCTTGGCCATTGTTGTTGGATTTGCTCGCGAAAATATCCTGGAAATAGAGTTGATTTATTGGTTGGATAGAGAGATCGTTGATCTCGAGATCGTGAGAGGGTCGAGTGTCAAGTAAGTTTGTCAGTGGTGGTGAGGCTGGTAATTTGACTAATAAGAAGAAAGGATGGATGATTGTCAATTGATAAAGAGGGAGGAGTGGCGTTGAGTAACAATGAGGAAGTAGCCAATGGATGGAAGTCCCTTCTTCAATAGGTAGCTGTGAACGACTCTATTGTAGTATAGGGTGCTCCGTGCTTACCAGAATTATCCTGGGAAGGTGTGAATGACTACAGTGACGAGTATTGAGCTGACTGGAAAGGAGTAGTGAAGCTTCAATTCAAGCTCGAATTCAAGCTCAATAGTGAGGTTTACCAAGTACCGTAGGTGAGTGGAACGGACCTCCTGATCCAGAGCTCTTGGGAGATTGCAACGAGAAGAAAGAATGAAAAAGACCTTCTGATACGGCCTTACAAGAAAATGCTAGAATTTTTGCTGTCAATGCTCATGAAATCCACCCCTTCTGTCCTCCAATTATACACAAAAAAGATAAATCTTATCTACAACAGGCAGTAAAATACCGAGATGAAACTTTTTTTTCATCGTAGCTCGTTAAATGCTTTTGCTCCTTCTTTCAGCTCAAGCCATGCTGGGAGCAACACTGGCTGTGCGGCTTCGAACCTGCTTTTTTCTAGTGTACTCGCTCCATTTGTGGGCGTCGCTGTATAGAGCCATGCCGTGGCCAGTATCGCGGCAATGGCGCTCGAGACGCTGAGCGCGTGAGTCTCTGTACTCGCAGCCGGGATGTGGGCATGGAATGGCGGTCTTGTCATCTTCGTGAACGGTCTTGCGATGCTTTGATAGGTTCGAGCTGTCTGAGTAGCTGTCACCACACCAGCGGCATGAGAAGGGCTTCTCGTTGGTATGAGTGCGCTTATGGGTGGACAGAGCAGTCTTGACACCGAAAACTTTGCCGCAGCCTGGGTAGTCACACTTGAACTTCTTTTCTCGCGAGTGTGTTGTCAAGTGGTTGTTTAATTGTTGTTGAGTAACACAGCGGTGGCCACAGATATTGCAGGCAAACGGCTTGACTGGAATGGACATAAGCTTCACGTTCCTAGGTATTCCATGTTGAAGTACTTACATCGAGTGTGGTTCTGCATATGACGATCGAGGTGGTTTTTGGTACCAAAAGGCGCATCCTTCTCACATCCTTCCCAACGACAAATGAAGGTGCGGTTAGGTGTTTTTGAAGGAACAAGGGTGCAGGTATGATCCTTGACATGGTTGTGCAAGTCCTCGATGGTAGCAAAAACACGATTGCATGGTCTGAACGATTCTTTATCAGCAATTGAAGTCATAGACGCAGGAAAAGATCTCACCCAGTGACTTCGTCATTCCATCTGCATATAGCAACATCGTCCAAATCTTTTGAAGCCTTGTCTTGGCGCGCTTTGGTCTTGATGGCTGGCGAGGCGCTGGCAGTGATCGGCTGGCTGGTCGAAGAGAATTGCGCTGACGAGAAGCTGTGTGAAAGGTCCTGAGGCCAGTACTCGTTGGAAGAATAGTAAGGTGTATGCAGGTCATTGAAGGAGGAGCTTGACTCGTCGAGGCGCATGCGTTTTCGTGGTGGGTAAGTACTGCAAAGCTCAGCTAAACAAGCCTCGGGGATAGTGATGGCAAAGAAGACTTACGTTGTGGTATTGAAAGTGTAGCCGACATGTGGCATCAACGAGGCAGCCTCTATCAGAGATTGAAAATTGTCTGGCGTGGGCATAGAATCTGTGGTAGGAGTGCTGATGGTGCTAGTCGACATGGTATCCTGGCTGGCAGTGGCTGTTGATGGGACCTTGTAGCCATATGGTTGTGTGCAGGCGGCTGCAGGACCAGGATGGCAGATGGTGGTGGCAGGATGCATGTGTTGGTCGTGACATAGAGCTTGAGGGCATACGGTGCCGGGAGGATGTGGGCGAGGACAGACGTCTGAGAGACAGCAGTAGAGGTGCTCATCACTGCAGGTTGGGTTGGAACAAGGGACGGCGGTAGCGGCGCAGGCTGGACTGCATTCTCGAGCGTGATCCTGATCGCAGCCGGGTTCGTTGCAGGTTATGTCGGTGCAAACCCAATCGGCGGCATGGCAGTTGGTTTCTGCACAGTCGAAAGCCTCTGTACAGTTGAAGGCGTCCTGAGAGCAGTGGAGGTCGGCATAATGCGGCAGAGAATAGTCGTAGCAAATGGTGGCCTCATCGCAGTCGGGCTTGTCGCACGGGGCCGACAGAAAACATGTTCCGTGGTCGAGTGCGCCAGAGGAAGAAGCAGGACCCTTTGATAGTTGACCATGAGCCGACGCCGACGACAATGGTCCGGGCGGCGGGAGCTGCTGGCGCGCCATGTGGTCGACGGCGTGGTGGTGGAAGGCCTTCTTGTTCCTTGGGCTGACGTTTTCGTCTGGTGTGAATGGCTGTTGGCGAAACTTGTTGTGCGTGGGGTCCTCCCGCGCCTCGTTTGCTGCTCCTTCTGCACTGAACAAATGCTCCATGGACGGATACATACCGTTCAAAGACTCGGTCCAAGCGTAGGGGATGTGCGACATGACGGCTACTTGATTTCTCTGCTTCAATTGGACAGCAACCGATCGAAAGGCCATGCTCCTGTCTGGTTGGTGTGCGAAAACACCTTGATGAAGCCTTGGCATTGACATTACCAATGCCCCTTCTCTACTCCTTCTTCTTTTCAGCACTGTTGCAGTATGCATTACTAGTACTCAGAAGTAAATGAGTACCCACTAGAACACTCAATTTACTCCAGAACTTTCCATGACCTGAACATGGCTTTGTGCATCCCTGTAGCTACAAAACATGAAACTCATCAAGGTAGTCACGTGGATGTAGAAGGTTTTTTCGCGATGCTCGAGTATGGAGTATGTCACCACGCATCTTGACTGATTGTCTCTGCACTCAAAACTTTTGACACATGAAAATCATCTGGTAATGTCTACAAATTATTCATAGGATAGTCACAGACTTGGACAGGACTTGTAAGTTGGACGGTGGAATCTGTCGTTTACAGGGGGTGTTCGCAACTGCTCTCATTGCACAGAATCAACAAACCACGAGCATCATCAAACTCCATGTTACAGAGCCATGCAGCAAGCGAAATGTTTCTGATAAATATCTCAAGGTGATGTCTTCCCATCTATACACCTTCGCTGTAAATAGTAGTCATTGTTTTCTGCAAACCAATCCCTCCACTTCTGAGACCCCCCACAGCCCCCCACCAGCCACGACCTTCTTATCCGCCGAGCTCCCAAGCCCATCTCGGCATCCCACCACCCACCACCACAATGCACCTCTTCCCTCTCCCTTCCTGCTCTCCCTCCTAATACCTACCTTCCCCTCATTCTTCCACAATGGGCAACTGCTTCGGCAAACAAAAATCCTCCAACTTCTCCGGCGCAGGCCAGACCCTCGGCAGCAACGAAGCCCCAAAGCCCGTCGCAACAACACCGCAAAAGCCCATTTCTGCTACTTATTCGCCCACGCCGAAGCAAGGGAGGACAGTAGGTGGAAGTAGTGCATCGCCGAATAGTGACCCGCGCGCTGCTGCTGCTTTGGCCGCTGAGGTATGTTCTTCGCCCAACTTGCGACAACGCGCAAAGATAGCTAACTGAAGGAATCAGGAACGCAATAAACCCAAACCAGCAAAAGGAAAATTGGGAAAACAACTGGAGGTACAAAAGGCTCAGACACACAATGCGACTATGAATGAAGCGAGCAGAGAAGCACTGCTGGCTAGAAACGCAGACGCCAATGCTGAGACTAGAGCATACAACTGAGAAAAGAGCTGGGCCATGCACGAATACCACGAATCAAATAACGATGGAAGGCGTTTGAGAGAGATTTTGCATTGCATACGATGCAATTTTGCGTTGCTTGGGTTCTCGCGATCGGTATACCCTTCTCTTGCACTGCGCTGGGGGTTTTGGATGTCTATATTTTGCAATGCATAGCAAGTTGTCATTTGGACAAGGGTTTGGTCTTCATTGTGCCTTTCTGGTCCATCTTCTTCGTGAAAGCAATGGCTGTGATCCTCCTTCTGATACCCCTTTGGCACCTTTGTCTGCCCAGTTGTCCCAAACCTTGACGACATATACTGTACTGCCTAGCACAATAGCCACAGAGCGATAGCCAAGTTGACATGCTGGGCCAGCTCTGGTCGCATACAGCTGGTTCTCTCCAGACATGTCGATGGGCAGCGTATGTAGCTCACCAGACGCCGAGAACAGATAAGCTTCCCACTGCTCATTCTCATCCCCTGATGACGAGCTAGCCCCAGTACCCCTGCGCCTTCTGCGCAAAAGACTGCCACTATCCTTCGGCAAAATGACAGGTGATGAAGGTGGGCTTTGTGGCTTTCGACGCAATCCCACTACAGCTTCTGTTGTAGACTCCCAAGACCCTGCATCAGACAATTTGTGTTCGTTCTTCTCCCAGTGGAATTTGGCTGCGCAGTTGCAGACGAGGTCTTCTGTGAAGAGACCAAGGGGTTTGAACGGCTCGCCTTGAGCTGCATAAGTACGGACTACGCACTCTCTTGTCTCGATGTCGGTAAAGACGAGGGAGAGGCTTTCGGCTGTCATGCCGCCGCAGCTGAGGCACTGATTTCTGCCTGTATGTAACACGCGCACACTGTTAGACTTGACATTCGGAATGTTGAATGAGCCAGATTGTCGTACACTGGGCGTGTGTAGTAACGTAATGGTGTTGGTTGTGCAGATCAACGATGCCTCCACCTCGTCGATGGTGTGGAGGCATGCACTTGCACTGGCTGCTCTATCGGATAATGGGCGAGGATAACCCAATGGCATCTCCTTGAAGCTCCAGATGCCTGATGCTTTCTGTAACGCCGAGATATGTCCATCCGGATGCAACAGTATGATCTTGGGAAGATGGCGTTGTGCCAAACTGAGAGAAGCAGCCAGTAGCTCTCCTTCCGAAACGCGGAATGTCTGTATCGAGTTATTGTGAGTGTGATATTCCGTCAAGCGTCCGTCGGCAGAAACGACAGCAAAGGAGACACCTTGACCGTTAGGTGTTGACGGGGAAGGCACAAACTCGAACAAAAGTGGCAGCTTTTCTTCGCTGTCGATCTCAAAGTCATGCGTGAACTCGCCCCTCGACAAGCTCCCAAGCAAGACTCGACCATCGTCGCCTAGAACTGCCATCCAATCGCCTTTGTCGCTGATGCTACATGCATGTATGGGCCATTTGATCTCCCTGCACTGGGCTGGAGGTGGATGTATCGTCGTGTAAGAGTTGCTGACTGGCTTGAACAAGAGGATCGAGATCGTACGATCCAGTCCCACGGACAGCATATGACCTTGTCGACTTCCAGTGATCTTAACAACGTCTAGCATGTGGCCAGTCTCAATCGCATGTACCGTCAAGGGAAGATTATCTCCTCCATTCTCATACTCTGCATCTTCAGCTCTGTCGTCCCACAAGAGAAAGTTCATGAGGACAGTGACAAAAGCAACGACAAAAACGACTGCGATGGCGGTAGGATAGAAGTGTTGTATCGCAACTCCACGAAGTGAATGCAGCCATGTCTCCTTGCGTAGAAGGATACCACTTCTATCAGCACCCCCAAGAGTGATGATCAGCGGGTCATATATTTTGGCAACAAAACCATAACCTCCAGGCCTGACTACTTTCATAAAGTGCACGGCGTTTTCATAGTCTTGTGTGCGGAGCCAAGTTGCAGGGTGCCGACTTTGATTTGCAGGCGGCGGTAACGTCCCATCAAACGCAGTGATCGGCAAAGCTTGCTTCTCGAAGAGACCGGGAAATACACCAGACGCTGATCTGCGTGGGCCATGAGCCGTAAGATGCCAGTTCAATGCCATGACAAAGCTGACGGTCACCGCAGATCCTGCCATCCGCGTCGAAAAAGGTACCCGGCCATGAATTAGAGCATCAATCCATGTATGCTTCTCGGCTCGGTGAGCATGATGATAACTATGAGCGCGATAGTGTTTGGGTCTTGCTTTTTGCTTCGGTTGAGTACTGCTTCTGGTGATGGAATCTTGAAGCTCCAATCTTCGGATATCGACACTGAGGACAGCAAGGAAGAATGTGAGCAGGAAGAAGTAGTCGAAAAGAAGTGCTACAGCAGCAAAAGCGCAGAATGCTGCTACACCTGGGGATACGACAAGGGAAAGCAACCATAGGATAAGCAGATTCTGTGCTGCTGAAGCCAGCGAAGAGTGCCCAATGTCAGCCATTCCATTAGCAATACGCTGTGTATTCATCATTTCTGGTGGGTATGCCACAACGGCATTGATCAATCTGAAGATGTTTTCGAGTCCAATGACAAGTACAACGAATGGGTAGGCTTCCTGAGGAATCTGAGCAAGGTTGATCTGAAGTAATCCGCAGATGGTAAAACTCGCAAGAATCGAGGTTGTCATTTGTGTGATGGCGGTAACCACCAGACCAAAACGGCTGTGGAAGGCTTTCAATCTTCGTAAGCTCAAGCCGACATAGATGAAAATGATGCCGTATGCTATAGCCAGGAGCGAATTCTGACGGAAGCTGAGTGGCTGGATGCGGTACTCGAACAATTGGCTGTGATCAGGAGTGCCAGTTCGTTCGTATTGGATAGGCAGACCAGATGCTTGGCTAGCGACGATCTTGATATTTCTCTGCCAGATTTCTCCTTTCGGGTCGTCATTGCGATTGAAGAGAGAGATGACTAGTGCATCCGCTGCCTCGAGTTGTGAACCAGAAAAGGCTTTGCCTGCGAACACCGACAACGGACGAAGGGTAAAATTCAGGAAAGAAGGTTGACACGAGTCTTCGTTGACTGTTTGCAAGATATCTGGATCCGCCTCCAGACGAGCGAGAGAATTGTTCCAATATGTCAATGGTGAATGGTAACCCCAGCCCGGATGTGTGTTTCCAAGTGCGTCAGGAACATGAGCCTCAGAGGTCTCACCAAGAATGGCATTCTGCAATACGAAGACATCCCGAAGCAGATCTTTCTCGAGTGCTTTCATATAGCTTCCATGTATCCAAATTTGACGCATCTCAAGATCATGAGGCTTGTCGGCATCTCCAGGAAATGCTCTCGTCGAAGCCCAGACATGATGCGGCAGCCCGCTCAGACCAGCAGCAGGAAAATCTGATTGGAAGACCGTAGGGTATATCAACGAGACACCTACTGAAACTGACACAAGCATACAAAGAAGCCAGTACCGAGCCGTAATGAGTCCATGACGATAGAAAGCCCTCCTGATAGGATGATCTGACCTTAGACGAGGGGGATCACTTGTCCTTAAGAGGCAAGTTCCATTAACACAGACTGATTCTGAACACTTCTTACTGTAAGACTTACCCTCTAATTGGGAAAAGCAGATACCATAGCATTGTTGATGAGTTTCAGGGTCTAGCTGGTCGGGAGAGTTTCGAGACAAGCCGTTTCTGTACCGTCCGGCAATTTGTGGTAGACCGTCAACCCAGTGGCATCTTTGTGCATTCAAGTTATCCTTCTGAAGCTCTTCACAAAGCTGTTTGAATAGACAACGACATGATTTAATAAGATGGTTGAGATATGCAGCTAGGGGTTCAGTAGCGAGGGACGAAGTTTTGATTGGACGCGCCGAAAGTGATGTGGAAGGCTTGGCTTGTAGTGCACGTACCACCTGGTTGATCTCGTATTCCGACCTCAGGCTTGAACATCTTGAGTCTCTCATCAATTCCCGGTCGCAGCACCGGCTCAGAACAGTATCTCACTGGCTTCCATGTTTTCTGTAAGCCATGAGACATTTATGGGTGACTGACGGGTTCCAATCTCCGAATCGCTGTATTTATCAATGTCTGCGTGGCATGGTGCCTTTCTGTCAGTATTGCTCATGAATTTAGCTGCGGGATTCCCGTGTCTCGAAGTTTTAGGGACATTCCATGTGTAAGGATGTCCTCCACGTATGGAGTCAGTTCGTCTTGATCACTTACTTGGCTCATTGTATTCCAATTTCTCTTTAGTCCTGGTTCCAATCTCTCTTTAGTCCTGATTCCTACCTCTCTTTTTCCTGATTTCTGTCCTCTAGCTTTCCATTTTCGAGGGAAAAAAGCCTCAATATGTCTTCCATAGATTGGGGTCTTTCGGAAGTAAATCGTAGGGTATGAGGGGAAGAACAAGAATCAGCACTGCTAGGAAGCACCCTTCGTTAAGATCCTTAAAGTATGTCGCCTCAAGATCGGCCATCCTCATTTGAATGAGCAGCCCAAGGTTGCAGTGGCATCTTGAAATTTCTAGCTCTTCTCGACATCGAACCACGCTGGAAGTATCAAAATCCGTCCATTCTGGTGCAAAGGGACATGTTAGGGTGTAAGCAATACACTGGCAGCTTATACTTCTCTTGATAAAGGAACTTGTGGTCCGCTTTTCGACTCATGTCGGTTGTCGTGTTGGTTTTGTTGTTCACGTTCATCCGCCTTCGAACGCGTCGTTCCCAATCACCGAGACAACACACCAAATCCACATCAAGACTGCCTTACACGCTCTCAATCCACGCCTCACCTTGCCAAAGTAAGCGAACTTTCTTCGACCACTTGTCCACAATTGACGTTACTGCAGATGGCGCTCCAGCAAAGTCCGCAATATCGCGTCAATTCCCACGCTCAAGCACAGTATGACCGATTGTGCGAGAAGTACGGTCTTAGCCCAACCGCAGACGATATCACAGCAATCGAACGTGTCATCAGTCCCATCAACACTCACAATCCCATTGGCCGTCGATTCGAACCGGGCTTACTATTCTTCCTCTCAAGATCAGACGTTCGATTCGAGCAAGACGCTCTGTTGATCGGATGGGTCCTAAAAACCCATAAACCGAAGCAGGAAGTTTGGTTCAAGCTTTCCACTGGCGTTAAAGGTTTCTTGTATCATCTTCCTGATGGTTCGTCGGGCTCTCGGTACTATCCAGGTGGAAGCATCTGCGACGAATGGCACCCCAACATACTCGACATTGTTGGTTGGGACAACAACGCACATCGCCTTTTACAGTATGCCTATCTTCGCTCCTGCGTCAGAATCCTTCAAGCCGCTGTCCCGCCGCCCTCCATTGAGAGCTCACAACCGGCTATTCAAAGCTCTGCATCAACGAATTCGACTACAATCAGCCTAACTAGTCCTAGTGAAGAGGTCGAACCCCAGCTTGAACCGACCATCGCTCCTATTGGTCCTACAGCCTCACTTATAATCGACCTGACGGGCTCTGAAGAGGAGGCTACCACTAAGCTTGAAGTCAATCCTCCACCAGCATCCATCGACCACGGAAGAACCCACCGTGCACAAGTCGAAGCCAGAATCCTGGCGTTCCGTGAGAAGCTCGGCAGCAAGGAGGTTGAAGAGCTCGAGAAAATGTTAGAGAAGCAGCTTCCACCCTGGATCAAGAAGCTGGCCGAAGAAGTCCTACAAAAGAAGATGCTTGAGGAACTGGACCTGGCTGAAAGCATGCTCCTGTGACCTGCCGATGGTAACGTACGACATGTTTAAGGTTCTGCCATTCGTGGACAACTAACTCATACTGAGCAAGTAGAAGTCCTTGGCATGTAAACAGAAGAAACTCGATATCATTCGCGCATTCCTGCTGTCCTGATGTTGAACGCGTCCTCCAATCTTTCCTCCATCGCTTCGTTCATCACACACAATGGGTCATCGCCTAAGCAAAGTAGCGCGAAAGAATCGAACGAAATGCCAGTTTTGCTCTTCCGGACGCCCACCATCATACAAAGATATTGAACATTCTGAGAAGGCTCCTGTCGAAAAATACGACAAGACCTCGATCAAACAAAACGAAAAGCCTTCCGTCAAACAAATTACGTACCAAGAAGGCATCTTTGAACATCACCCAGACGCACACCTTCTCTTCGGTTCAACAATGCGCAAGATGAAACTCGCTACCGACGATCTCGAAATCGCACGCCGTCTTATCACTGGTCTAGAAAATAGAGATGTCAAAACCCTGTATGACGCGCTTGAAGATGCGCATTTCATTCAAGGAACAGAAAACATCACGGCTATTGAGGTTGACATGGAATCCAGGGAAAGCAAAGAGGATCTTGAACTCCTTGTTTCTATTGAGTTTGATTATGACTCAGACAAACGCAAGGAGATAATCCTGACGCGATATGGGCATGATACTATTGCAAGTACTCGTGGGAGCTATTAGGGGGAATCTGAGTCTTTTGCGTCATCCAGTCCATAAACCAAACTGAAGCTTTTCGTCTCCCTTTGTCTCGTATTGCTTTTACGATTCGGTATTTGTTTTGTTTTATGTGTATACCAGTCAAAAGCTGAGAATCATCAGAAGCGGCCACGTGAAAAACAAACGCAAAGTCCGCAAGGTGAGTTGTGGCCAAGCAATGATGCTAGAAGAGCGTTCGTCTTTCTAGTATCGCACCTTTCAACTTTCATTTGTTGCCTGCTACTTCTGAGAGCTCGTCCACAACTCAAACTCGAAATATCCCGACATCAACCACAATGGGCCATAATCACAGCAAATCAAGACAACAACACCAGACTACTTTGTCTTCTCTTCAGAATGACCCCGCAGATCTTCCTCCCACGTACACAGAAGTCTTTGAAGACACTCCGAAACTCCACCAGAGTGACAAAGTGGCATCGACTTCCAAGACCACAGGTACGGGCTATGAAACCAAACGCGATGAACTGCTGCTCGCAGTAAAAGACCGAGAGCGAGAGCTGGTCCAAACAATCAATCAAGTGCGTGCAGGAAAACGATACACCGAGTCCGTAATTGCATCCTTAGAACAAGAAGTCAGAACCCTCAAGCAAAGTCTCAGGCAAAAGACCAAAGATATAACTTCTCTAGAGGAACAACTTGAAGAAACCGAGAAACTGGTCGAGGACAGGAATTCTCGTATCAAGGTCCTATTGGAGAAATGCTACTCAGAATCCGTCAAAGACTGTCAGGGCTGCAAGGATCTAGAACAGCAGCTCCGAGCTACCAAATTGGAAACGATTGCGGAGAAAGAGGACCTCACAACCGAAGTATACGCCTCTGGCTGTCTGGTCGACTTCGACAACCGCTATATCGAGACGTTGTACCAAAGGTTGCAGACCTGCAGAATTGCCAGCATGCTGGTGCCACCGCACCTCGACACTGAAGAAACGAAGATAGAATGCCTGCAAAAGGCCTGTGAGAGTCTTCCCAGACCGTTTCTAGCGCAAGAACCTCACAACAAAGCCAACTTATCTAGAGAGCAGCAAGAGATAACACACTTGTCAACCGCAGCAGCCATTGAACATCGACGTCAGCTCGTCGGGCTACATATCCAAGAGGTTTATACCGAGCTACGGCTCGCCAGAGACGAACTCAAGTCCAGAAATGATGATCCGTCATTCGCGGGTGACGATTACCATGCTACCATAGATCAAGAGTTTCGTGGTATTGTAAGGTTATTGATTGACTGCCATAAATTGAGTGACAGCTACGATTTCAGAAAGCAGCACAATCAAGTTCGAACAGACGAACCCTAACGGATGGTATTAATGTGAGGAAGTCTGATGGAGCATGAGTACCTTGATGGCAGGGTCACTTGTAGACAACCTCGGCACCCCGCAAGCGACCCCAGATTATCTTCTCATTGTCACATGCCAACAACAGGTGCTCTTTGCAAGGAGTAGACTCCCTTCGACCGTCATTCAACCCCTTCCACCTATCCTCACATCCAACCAATACAAGTCATGGCTCAAACAACACCCATTCCGTTCTCAGAACCACCCTACCTCTCCGGCCTGCCGTCACCATACTACACGGCCTCTCACCTCGAATGGCAGAAGAAATGCCGCGCCTTCATAACAAAACACCTAACCTCTCACGCCATGGAATGGGAAACCGCCGAAACCGTCCCCGAACACGTCTGGCATGACTTCTGTGCAGCCAACATGCTACTGCCCAGCCTTCCCGCGCCTCTTCCCGTAGAAAGATTAAAGAGCTTGGGTATTCACGATATCTTGGGTTTGCCAGTAGAAGAGTTTGATTACTTCCACAATGCGATTTACACGGACGAGATGTTGAGGTCGGGGTTGGCTGGTCCTAGTGGTAGTTTGACGACGGGTATGGCGTTTGGTGTGCCGCCGTTGTATAAGTTTGGAAGCAAGCAGTTGCAGGATAGATTCTTGCCTGATCTGTTATCGGGAAAGAAAAGAGCTTGTATAGCCATCACGGAGCCTGGTGCGGGAAGTGATGTTGCCAACATCGAGACCACGGCTGTTAAGAGCAAGGATGGTAAGACGTATACGATTAATGGAACCAAGAAGTGGATCACGAATGGTATCTGGAGCGAGTTGTCTTGCATGGCTGTCAGGACTGGTGGATCTGGGCCAGGCGGTCTGTCTTTGATGGTCGTGCCCTTGAAGGGGCACAAGGGCGTTGAGATGAGACGACTCAAGGTTAGTGGTCAGATCAGTGCTGGCACCACATACATCGAGTTGGATGATGTAGTCGTGCCAGCAGAGAATCTGATTGGAGAGGAAGGTATGGGCATGAAGTACATCATGACCAACTTCAACCACGAACGCTTGACCATCGCTATTGGGTGTGCAAGACAAGCAAGAGTTGCTCTAAGCGCAGGTACGTTCTCTTTCTCACCACGAACAAGAACAGTAAGACTTACTATCCACCACTAGCATTCGAATACTGTCTCAAGAGAGAAGCCTTTGGCAAATCTCTCATGGACCAACCCGTCGTTCGTCACCGGCTCGCAAAATGCGGCGCAGCTCTCGAAGCACAATGGGCATGGACAGAAAGTTTCGTCTACTCCATGATCAAACTACCCAAGAAAGAAGCCGATGTCGAACTCGGTGGTCTCACAGCTGCTGCCAAAGCTCAAGCTGGTGTTGTATTGATGGAGTGTGCTCAATGTGCTGTGTTGCTCTTTGGCGGCAATGGCTTCACCAGATCTGGCCAGGGCGAGATTGCTGAGAGTAAGTCACTGATCTAGACGACTTTGGGGCTACAGAGGCTAACAGTGAACAGAAATGTGGAGAGAAGTTCCTGGCAACCGGATTCCTGGTGGAAGCGAAGATGTCTTGTTCGACTTGTCTATCAGACAGTTGGTCAAAAACTACCAGAACAAGACGAAAATGCTCGAGAGACCTCGTGGATCCTCGAAGTTGTAGAAAAAGTGCAAGCTCAGGGTTTGGATATATGTAATTCTACAGGTTGTTGTGAACAAAATCCAATACTCTTGAATCGAACCTCAAACATGAAAACTATTGGTACAACTGAATTTGGGGTATCTCGTCTTCGTTCGTTCGTGTTCAACATGACAACACTTTTCTTCTGAACTCCCTTGATGTTCACGCGGCGAGTGGCCATAGAGATAGTCCTTAGTGTTTAAACAGCTCACTAATGGCCTCTCGGAGAGCTCAAGAAGCACGTCTTCCAACACCACGAATACGATGCACCATCCTCGAGCCAGCGGTCTGACCATCGCGTACATGATGAGCCAAGATCTCCTGTGATGCCTTCAGTGAAGACGCAGGCGCAAACGAAGAATTCGGCGACGAGGAAGGTATCTCTTGTTCAGCTGTGTCCACATCGACAACAGCAGATGCCGTGTGACTGATTAGCGGCTCATCACTAGCGCGTTGGTCACGAGCATATTCCTCATCAGCCTACAAACACAGGTTATTCCATCTGTTCTCAAAGACTTATCAATGCGGATCACATACCAGCGTCTCAATCTCTCCATCAGCAATATCAGCCAGATCTTCGATTTCCGTCTCAGCCAGAACAGCAGATAATTCATCTTCATAGTCTGGCGGCATGGTCTTCTGTTGTTCTGTTTTGAGTTCATCTAGTGATTCTCGCAATTCTGCTAGTACGGTATCTGTGGTGGTGTTTTGGCCTTCAGGATGCAGTCTTCGAGATTCGGTCCAGGTGTGTTCGGCACGTAGACGCAAGCTCTGGCACTTAATTATCAGAAGGCTGTTTTTTTTTTTTTTTTTACAAGACTTTGGTAGTGTGAGTACCTCTTTCTGGCGCCATTCTTTGGTTGCTGAAGCTAGAAGAATAAGCGTCTTGATGCGATAGTAGCGAGGTAGGTCAGGATCTGTGAGTAGACTTTCGCAGGCAGCAAGACCGTCAGTCATGTTCCCAGCATCGATGGCGGTTTTGGCGTTTTGGTAGTCCGTTTCGTATTGCGAATGCTTCATTTTGGTTGTGAAATTCTTCGTTGTGGAAGTTCGAAGATGGGATGAATTATTGCAGATCGTCGTGGCGATGTCACTTACGGCGCGTTTGAGCTTCACACGCGATTGTCTCTGTTGCCTAGATGCTTAATTGATTGGTTTCGCGAGACGTCTTCTGGTCGACAAACGCTGCAGCTGCCAATTTCACAACGTGAGAGTCTGATGATTGTTTGATGACGCCCAACAGACATCTCAAAGGTCGATCAATACTTCGAACACTTCAGTTTTACATCGCAGCATTGTATATATGAACACGGCCTAATCTAAACGTCGACCCTCGCTATTTTGTGTCTCTGGAATATCCAAGTCACAGATCCTAGTCATGCCAAGATGCTTGTGGTCTTCATCGACATCCCTAGACACGATGTTGTGAGGATCCCGTTTCTATTCCAAAACCCCACATTGCGATGTGCGAAAAGACGGCTCGCTGTGGATAACATGCGCAGGAGCGAATTCTCTGGGTTTCAATAGCGTCGTATGCGATCTCAACCATCGAGAGGCGCAAGCACAAGTCGCTGCAGAGCTCCTCCAACAAGTCTGTGAGCTGGTCTCCTGCAGCAGTGCTTGACCGCTATATACTCTGCCGTTGCTCGACTCATACCAGTCAGGGAGATAGGAGGATCAAACACGAGTCTGAAACCTGACAGGCTCCTGGTGACGTGCATGATGTTGTCGATCAAATTTGCCCTGGATCAGTTGCTCAGCTTGTCAGCATGAACTCTGACGGGCTGAAACGACAAATTTCCAGATCCATCGCCCGGACAAACAAGATGCTCTGACGGGTCAACCAAAGGCCGAGACAAAACTCCTGCATTGTGGAGCCCGCCAAGGGTGAGAGGGGCTGGCTGGCGACAGAAAACGCTGCCCGCCCCGAGGGGAGCTGAACGCGTCGCGCGATATGCGAGAGTAATGTGCATGAGATGCAAGACTGTTGCAAGAGTAGGTTTGTCTGTATAGTATCTATGTCATATCGAAGGAAATGACGGTGGACGGAATGACGGTAGAAGTACTCTATCTGCAGGCAGGAGAGATCCAAGCAATTCCTTTTGAACGGCATTCACGGAGCGAGCATCGAGGATACGGGCCACGCGCGGGCCGACAAGGATCATACTTGTAGGCGGGGCACGATGGTTCGGACGAAAGTTGGATGAGCATCCGCAACTGCCATTTACGTCTTTTGTTGGTTGTTTGCTCGATGCTTGTCTCGAGACAAGGCTGTGTTGCATGTTGCATGTTGGATTCTCCTTGCTGCCACGCTTTCCTACAACACCCCTTATCGTAGCGCCATCATCTTTCTTTTGTAAGACCTCCTTGCCATCTTTGCGGCTATTTTGTGTTCAGCCACGAATCGAATTTCGCGCAGTTGACCTCCGCATTCCGCCAACGTTTGTAGCCGCGAGAGCCACATCGGGGCGTGGAAACGAGTCTGGAGCATATCGACTTGGCTAGCTTGGCCTCATTCCCAGAATAGAGCGCGTCCTCGCTCGACGTCGCCCTTCGATACGAGAGGTCGCTCCTCCTCTCACTCTCGTCAAACCGCGAAGGCTCTGAATTGCCTTGATCGTCTCTACTCGACACTGTTCCGGCACGGCAGGGCAGAGCAGAGTATTTTCAACACTAGCAGACGTCATCCGTAGACCACGCCATTCCACCCCTAACAGCCTTGACCATCCATACCGCCCATTCTACCCGACCACCAACCCCGACTCACGGCACTGGCTGCTGGAGAACAATGCATTTCTTGACAACGACTCTTTTTTCGTAGATCCACGCTTGCATTCAACGAAGCATGGCTCTCCATCGTGGCATCCAATCCGCCATATTCTACTACCTATCATGTGCCCCTTGTACTGGCTACTCATATCGCAAGAAGAGAAGAAAGGAAGCCGACCGTGATCGCGTCGCCAAACATGCTCTCGAGATGGAACAGCCTGGCCTCTATCGCCATCCCAGCCCCTTTGCGACGAATGTCCACTGGCAGACCGAGATTGATCTTGGTCCCACACCGGCGCCTGCAAAGCGTCGAGGTCAAAAGAAGGGTCGTGTACGGACGAGCGACGAGAACGCTAGCAACGTCGCAAGCAGTGTCAATCTTGGTCTGACCCAGAACGAGAGCAACGACAGCACATGGAATCTGCGCAATTGGCAACGAGACGATGAAGAGGATGACAACTACTGGGGATCCAACTATCCCTACAGGAACAGCCGTCGGCCCTCGACCAATGGTGCTAGCACTATTAGTCGTCCACTTACTGCCCGTACCACTACCACGAATCGATCAGCTGCGACCAGTTATTATTCCGCCTCAAACCCTCCCATCAACGAACTACATCCCCCAATCGTCACACGCATGGACACCAGCGCCGATGTTATGTGGATGCTGCAACCTCCGCCTCCTGCTCGCACGACCAGAGGTGGGTCAAGGACTACCCTTGCAAGGAGCGATAGCGGCGCTAGCAGACCCAGCACAAGGCGTGCCACAAATGAGAATCTTTCGCGACAAGTCAGTCAACGCATCGTCGATGAAAAACTACGGAACGGCCTATCACCTTCGGTAGACAGCCTGAACCCATCATCATCGACAGACTCCTTGAAGACGCCACGGCGACGCAGGCCGCCGCCCATCAACATCCAGGAAGACCCGATAACCTCTCGCACTCTCGTACCTGTGGGACCTACTTCAATAGACACACGACTCAACAATTCACCAAACAATCATCTCCTACCTCCGCAACCACTATCTCCTGTCGCATCTGCCAGGTCCTCTGAGCGTTCTCGCAGTAGAAGTCGAAGTCGCAAACGCAATTCCTCTGCTGAGGATCGTAAATCGCAATCGAACGGCCTCAAGCGTCAGGATAGTTCCCTGAATGTTCTGCAAGAGCTTGTGCCGGCCAATTCATTGCTCAATGCTCAGAAATTAAGTAAAGCTCCTTCCTTTGAGGCCCGCATAGAACTGCCTACAGCCGACCAATACGAAGAGATGATGTTGCTGGGCAGTGGCAAGGCAGGCTTTGATTCTTGGTACGAAAGCAAAGATGCTGGTACATTCAACCAATGGGCTGCCGAAAGAGTGCGCCGAGACGTGACTGCCCGCTGGAGCGTGGACTTCTAACTGACGGCTCATTTATCTTCATCGACCTTTCAACCTTTCGACTTTGACATTCGTGTCCATACCCACGTTTTGCAAGATTGAAGCTTGCATGTCCATCGTACACTACGGCGTTAACTCCAGGAGCGAGACCCTATCACGACCCAATCAGCAGTGCTGAGACTTTACGACCTGTTCTCCTTTTTGACCCACTCGTTGTCCTCTTTCTCACTATCTCGTTTTTCCTTTTTGTCTTGTCTTTCTTGGGTTGTTGTCATCATCTTGCGCGGCGTTCCGGAAGAGAAAATCTGCCATTCTAGGTGCATTTCTAGCCAGTCCACAATGCATTTGGACAATTTCGCACATTGCATGGCGTCTCGTTGTTGTTTTCCGTTGATGCCTTAGAGGAGGCTGCGCAATCAATCGTTTAGTTCTCTGTACTTTCTGGAGTGGCTTGATTAAGCACTCGAAACCTTTGGACAAGATGAACACATGAAAAAATCCTTGTTCGCCTCAAGCACCATCACTAGTCTATAGTCGTCCAAGACCTGTCCAAAACCTATAGACTTAGAGACGTCTCTTTTCGTTGTACATCGCGCACTAGTTGTGTTGCTTGTGAACATGTTTGTCGAAGTATCTTCGAGGGATCATACATGTGTAGCTACACCCATCTCACGGCTTCCCAGCCAACTCAACAACTCTCTGGGCAGCTTCATGAAAGCCATCAAAGGCCTCAAGCGGCAACCCACTCTCAGCGATCTTCTTCTGGCCCACCTCCTCATTAGTGCCTCTTAACCTCACAACCACCGGTTTGCCTTGCATATCCACCTGTTCAAACGCCATAATAACCCCATCGGCAATCATACCACAATCCGTCAATCCACCAAAGATATTCACGAAGATCACTTTGACGCGCGGATCCCTGAGGATGAGTTCAAAACTTGTTTTTACGGTTTCCGAAGTTGCTTTTCCGCCTGTGTCGAGGAAGTTTGCACATTTGCCGTTGTGAGGGGGGAGGGCGAGGGCGTCGACTGTGTTCATGGCTAGTCCTGCTCCGTTTACCAATGTCCCGATGTTTGCTTCGGAGTCGTCTGGGTGCAGTTTCACGAATACGATGCCGGACTTTTCGGCTTCGACTTCGACGGCGGGTTCGCTGGATATATCGCGTAGAGCGTGGAGCTCGGGATGTCTCTTGTTGGATTTGAAGGCTGCGTCGTCGTAGAAGAGTTGAGGTTGGGAGAGGTTCAAGGTTCCTGAAGGGGAGATTGAGAGGTTGACGGCTAGACTCACGGCTTCTTGCTCGCGATACAAGTCTGCGAGTTTGGAGATTAGTTTTGCGGTTTGGGCGTGAGCGGCTGGTGGTGCAGCGTCGAGTTGGAGATGTCGGATGGCTGCGAGAATGGTTTCCTGGTCCGGACCCTCGAGATAGGAGAAGGGGAAGCGACGTAGACGATGGTGGAGTTTACGAGGGTTTGTAGATGGAGAGGCGATGATGCAAGGTGAGCGGTCAGAGCGGTCTACCGAGATACTCAAGTACACGCTGTCTGCATTGTTGGGAGTCTCTTCGAAGATGTTGAAGCCCTCTAATGACTTGTTAAGGTGATCAACCGCTTTTTGATTGCGAAGGTGCAAGTTTCGCTGCTGATTCAGGCCGGACCTTGAAGCTTGCGTGGTAATGCTTGGTCGCAGCTGTCTCATGGTGTGCATGCCTCTTCGCTGGTTAGCAGCAGCGGATTGTTGGATCTTGCTCACGTCCTTTCCAGCTTGCTTCAACAAGCCTTTCATGACGTTGCCGAACTTCTCGGGGTGGTCGACCATGGCGACACCTGCATCTTGCAAGATCTTGTACTTCTCCTCAGCGGTGGGCTCGCCAACACCAGCCCAAGCACCAGCATGACCCATTACTCGACCAGGAGGGGCCGTTCTGCCTCCAACAACGGCAGCTATGGGTCTTGATGTTTGTTAGCATCATGCTACTCAGACAACACTGATGAACTCACTTTGGGTTCTTTTCGCGACGGTGGTAGTCCTTGATCCAGTCTGCAGCCTCCAACTCAGCAGTACCTCCAACTTCTCCAACAAGAACTATGGCTTGGGTATCAGGATCGGTCTCGAAAACTCGCAAAGCATCCACAAAGTTTGTGCCTGCTACGACGTCGCCGCCCATGCCGATACACAGACTCTGACCGAGACCAGCACGAGTTATCGAGGCGACAGTTTCGTAGCTTAAAGTGCCTGACTTTGCTACAATTCCGACATGGCCAGGGGAGAATGTTGGAAGCGGTTGGAAGCCTATCCTGCAATGGCCAATTGCTGATATGATACCTGGAGCATTTGCGCCGACTAATCGACTTTTGGATTGTGTTTTCAGCATCGACATGATCTGTCACACATCAGCATGCGTATTCTCTCGTCCTTCTCTCTGCTTCATACCCGTAAGATATCATGGAGAGGGATATGCTCGGCTACGGCAACAATCAGAGGAATCTCTGCCTCGATGGCTTCCTCGATAGCTTTTCCCGCATGAGGAGCAGCCACGTAGATCGCAGTAGCATCAGGCTTCAGCTGTTCCTTTGCCTCTCTGACAGTAGGAAGAACCGGTAAGCCCAGGTGTTCTCCACTGCCTCCTGGTTTTACACCACCAACGATATTAGTACCGTACTCGAGTGATTCCTTGGCATTCTGTGTTGCGACTCTTCCAGTAAATCCTTGGTATAAGACTCTGGTATGTTTGCCAATCTTCAGGTTTTGGACTGTGTCTTCATATGAATGCCTTGATATCGAGGTTGAGAAGCATCTCGATCGTAAGAGTTTTGTGGTTAGACGAGGCACAGGCATGTTGGACTGTCCTCAAGCAATTGGCGTACAAGTACAACCAGATCACGGCGTGGAAGGGATGGTCAGTATATGAAGCAACGGCACAACGAGGTGGAGGCTCGGCATCAGGTACATCTTACCGGCCGAGGCCGGAAGGAGCATACATCTGAGTTTATATCGTTAATCATATTGTCTCTTGTATACTTATTCCAGAACAAGCATCGGAAATGTCGAGATCTGTTTCCATAGCTATTTGGACTCATCAATCTATCATAGAGTATAAGATATTCTGTAAAGGAGCCGAGCAGATTGTAGGTCTAGCAAACAGAGGTGATGTCAGTGATGCCAAGACTATTGTTATCCCCGCAGATGTGGTCCAAACGTGGGGTTCGATTTTGGGTTTGCGGTTTCACTTTCTGACTTGGGCTCCGGGTCGCATACCATTTTTTGTGACTCGAACATTTTTCTTCGATCCCATTGTGTACTTGCTTGCTGCCAACCTGTATTGCTCTGGTCTTCACTTCTCCCACGCTGCTGCTTACGTCTGCCATTGTCTCATTCCGAATATTACCTAGTACCTCACCGCAGCAACAAGATTCATCATGGCAAGCTCCCAATCGACCAATGGACTCTCGCAGCAGATGGAGAAGATGTCTGTTAGTGGCAAGCGTCATGCCGATACCCCTCGCTATACTCCGCCGCACCGAAAATATGCTCAAGAGAACAAGTCTGGTCAAACTAGCACTGCTGCACCGGCCAAGGACACAAACAACAGGCCCGCAGTCTCGCGCACTACATCCGAGAAGTCTGTCAAGTCAGGCGCTATCGCTCCTGCTGAAGTCAAGGCCTCAACTGAGACAAAGACGACACCCGCAGCCGCACCATCAAAAGAGTCGGCTTCAGAACCTAAGCCAAAGACCACAACCAGAAACATGGCTCCACACCGCAAATACAGCAAACCCGCTGCCGAAGTCGCCGACTCATGGGAAGAAGCAGCATCATTAGATCAAGAACCTTCAAGCACAACCACCGAGCAAACCGCCAAACCAACCCCAGAGTCACAATCAACCTACCTCCCTCCTCACCTGAAGTACCGCTCTGCTGCACCCTCACCACCCAGCAGAAGTCTTACTCCACCTTCGCGCAGCACAACACCCTCTTCGAGCACTTCTTCCGAACGTCGTCCTGAAAAGACAAATGCCGTAGCGCATCGATTGATCGCTGGTGCTCTGGGCGTCAAGGTACCAAGGAGAACGGAAGAGCAGAGAGCCTACGACAAAGCGATGAGAGAGCAGGAGAAGAGAAGGAGAGACAAGGAGAGGGAAGCCAAGAAGAAGGCAGAGGAAGATGCTGCGAAGGCCAAAGCTGCGATCTGGGAGGATTGACGCAGTCGTGGAGAAATATGGAACACTAAGAATTTGGCATCTGGATGCTTGAGATCTGCCTATCATGAAATTCAAGACTATGGCAGGGTCCAGGGATACTTGAGCTCGATGAGCATACATAAGACACTCAGAGCGCAGAACAAACGAAGGAAACGCTTGCGGATGTTGCATCGTCAGCGCTGAAAACCAGGGAGCGCAAGAGGATGCCTCCGACTTGAAATCACCACAGGACCATCGACAGATATGCAGCATATCAGGCGAGCATCTAAAGGAGAGAAGGCATATAAGGACAATCAGGAGCATTTGGCGGAGCAAGCATAGTAAGGAGTGATGAGCCTCGAGGAAATTCATTGACAATCAAATTTTCTGTTGATACCTTGATCGTTCTGTGCAAGTCTTTCGTCTGAAAAGAAAAGAAGCAAGATACGGGGCAGCAAGGCAGCGCTACGCTCTTCCGACGGCAAGAAAAGCAGTTGCAGAAAACGCATGCCCCGATTCGGACTGGTATAGATAGACCGCCCTGATTCATTATGACTCCAGCTGGGAAACAAACGCCAAGTTGCATCGTCTAGGGTGCACGCATTCTACCTCCCAATATCCGTGCTTGCAGACGCATGTCTCCCGAGTATCGCTTGTGGTAGTGATTCGTGGTGTGAAAAGGTAATTAGCAGCCACCAATCTGCTCTTGGTGGACCTCGAGGGTATCGCCGTCTTGCATGTCAAGCTGTGAGGTCGATGTCAGTCACAGATACAGAGTGCGAATGCGAACGCAAGAGCGTAAAAGGATAGAGCGACTCACAGTCTCGGGGTTGTCGGTGGGGTTGACTCTCTGGCCGTCGAAGAGGAATCGCACACTGGTAGGGGCCTTTCCTTGACGCTCGCAGAAAGCATCCATGAGCTTCTTGAGCTGGGTGGTGCGCTTGATCTTGAAGTACACTTCGTTGTTGTTGTCGGTCACCTTGATGTTGAGGTGCTCGCCGCCCTCGGGCTTTTGAGGTGGTGATCCAGTGTCAGACATTTTGTGATGTTCTGTCGCGCAGCGGTCGTGTTAGACGAGACTGTTGTAGAGAAGCGTGAGGTGAGGCGTGGAAGGAAGAAAGTACCTTGCGAAGGTGGGTCTTTGCTGTTGCAGTCGTTGTCGGCTCACGTGGTGGCGCGGGTTGAGAGTGTTAAGTTGGTGGAAGCTGCGACAAGCTGCGACGACTTGGTAAGTTGTGTGATAGACTGGATGATGAGATGTGTTGGACAGAGCGATTACCTGATGGATCTTTGCGACGTAAATAAGAGAGGTGTGAAAGACTTGAGCAGCTGAAAATGAGAGGGCAGCAGTGACGCCAGTTCGCGCTCGATTGAAGCAGGCACACGCGGGGTCTTTTGGTGAGGCGCCTTCCTCAAAGTCCAACAATCACTGAAGCGTCTGGAAGTTGCACACAACACGAGAACAAGGACTCGACGTTTCACAGAAGCTGCTAGAACTATTTGACGATTCTTTTGAGCTCTCTAGCTCTTCTCTCCAATTTCACTTTCCACTTCTACAAGGCTCTCACAACTGCTTCAATTTCCAATCATGGTATGAGGTCATGACAAAGACGCTTTTCAATTCGATCTTTGAAAGCATTGAAGCTAATCATAAGATGCAGGGTGTGGAACAAGACCTCAAGACCGACCCTCCGTGTCATCCTCGTGCATGTGCGATTCAAGGTATGAGGTTGGGTTGATGTACTAAGGGAAGAAAGCCTATTCACGCAGCGGCAGATTGCATACAGAAGAATGGCTACGACGAGAGCAAATGCCAAAAGCAGGTACGCTATCAAGCCCCAATCCATGCACATGATAAGAATGTTGATCGTGCTCAGATCGATGCTCTCTACGAGTGCTGCAACGCGTTTTACGAGAAGAATGGTGATAGCGCCTCGACCGTGAGTTGCCCGAAGGCTGGCCTCTTGAGGTAAGAACAATCCATCACTTGTCTCTCTCACAGACTCGATTGTTGACATGCTCTTCTCTCTCCAGACTGAAGATGAGACAACGCGCGCAAGGAATCAAATAGACTATGGTGACACGCCGATGGCCACAACTCACGCGAAAAATGTATAAGTTCTAGGATAGAGATTTCACACCCGTGTCCATGCTGCATTCCCATCTCTTCCCGAAAGAAGATAGATACAATTAGACAGAAGGCGTATTTGATTCTGCGACCACCGGAGCACGCTATGGAGGCCTCATGGACCTGTACAAACATTGAAATGTCGTACCGAGACTCTAAGGGTGGGCGACTAGACATTGTTGACGGAAGAAAGAGGGTTTGGGAAAGCAGACTTTTTATACAGTGTGAATGGTCCGTGCACTCATGAATCCGCGTTGTTAAGACAGCCACCCTGTTCTCTGTCTCCCCTCGAGATATCATCCTCTGCAAAAGTCGCAACCGATCGCAAGCAAGAACATCTTCTCGATATTGAGACTCGGAAAATATACGAGTTTCTTGACTACACGACTATGCTGGTTTCAAGCACTTGCACGGAGAGAACAAAAGTCATGAAGCTGTGTCAAAAAAGCGGGTAGCAACGTCAACCTTTCTGGCACGAAGCATCCACTACTCTCACAAGAACACATATCAAGATAACGTCGTCCAAACTTCTCAGAACAGGTCTAAGAATTGTCAACTACATAAATTCACCACAAAACCTTTCAAAAGTCTATCAAATTATCATGGCACCAAAGCAAAAGATCATCATCGACTCCGACCCAGTACGTCTATCACCATGTCACCACTCCATATCTCAACATCATGGCCAATATATCTCCTAGGGTGTCGACGATATCCTGGCCATGCTCTTGGCATTCTCCGGTACACCCGAGGAAATTGAAGTCCTTCTGATCTCCTTGACCTTTGGCAACATTGATGTGCAGAACTGTCTTAGGAATGCAGTGTCGCTGTTCCACCACATTGAAAGAGAGATTGAGTGGAGAAGCAAGAATGGCAAAGATCTAGGCTTTGAGACATTGAGAGCTTCGAAGCCTCTTGTTGCTGTTGGAGCTGAAGAGCCTTTGGCAGAGCAGCGTATGATGGCTGACTTCTTCCGTAAGTATTTTGAACAGTCGATGTGAATACAATGCTGATGTGAACAGATGGTACCGATGGCCTTGGTGGCATTCATTCCAGTGTATGTGTTGTTGTCGTTGATGACACGAGAAATTTAAATGGCTGACATCGTTTAAGCACCCGCATCTCACACCTCAAGAGACTTGGAAGATGCTCTTCGATGCGGCTGAAGGAGCGCCTCTCTCACCAGAGGGGACCGTCACCTCTCAGCAGGTCCGTGAGGCTTCCATGTTCAAACCCTCTCAGCGACGCTCCCATGAAGAGATCCTGCGTCTGCTGAAGGAGAATGAGCCAGACACTATCACCATTGTTGCGATCGGACCTCTGACCAACCTGGCCATCGCTGCAGCTCAGGATCCTGAGACGTTCTTGCGCGTGAAGGAAGTGGTCGTCATGGGAAACACCATCGAAATGGCAGGAAATGTACGTCAACCGCCTCCCCCTATCTATCCCTCCGCCTCAATCCCAGAGCCACCATTCCGCCTGATCAAGGCTCCACAAACACCTTTGCGCACGAGTCTAAACATCCGTAACCAGGTGACCCCGGTGGCCGAGTTCAACACATATGCCGATAGCATTGCCACAGCCCGTGTGTATGCACTTACTTCGCCTACTCCAAACTCGACCATCCCTCCTTCGCCTCCTGCACTGCCTGGTTCGCAGTCACTGCCTCACTTGGCACTGTACCCAGCAAAACTGTCGAGACAGCTCAAGCTCACCGTGTTTCCTCTTGACATTACAACCCCTCATAAGATCACCAGGGGCCAGGTCAAACAGACGATCCAGCCCTTGATTGAGGCTGGTTCACCCTTGGCAGAGTGGACCGCAGCATTCCTGAACTCGACGTTCGATAAAGTTGAATCGTTGATGGAAGGCATTAGTGGTGATTCTGTTGGACTTGAATTGCACGACCCTCTGTGTATCTGGTACGCGCTCACTCATGATGATGCAGAATGGAAGATCAAGAAAGACGAGGATATTAGAATCGAGACCACGGGGCAATGGACACGAGGCATGACGGTTGTTGATAGACGTGGCAGAAAGAAGCGAGCCCCGGATGACGGCGAGGGTGAGATCCCAGGCGATGCAGGCAACTGGCTCAGCCCCAATGCGGGCAACCGAGTCGGAAGATGCGTACAGTCGCCCGGTTTCGACATCTTTGCTCCGTACTTGCTTCGTAGGGTGTTTGGCGCATGATGATGGACATGGCTGATGTCTGGCCAACCGCAGTTTGTAATATACCTAAGCTTATAGCAAATCTCTCACCTACTTCGTGGATGATCGAAACGTGGATGATAATCAGTCGATAGGATACATCTTACCAATCAATACAAAGCATGATACATCATGAGCAGGGCGTACAAGTGAGTATAGGCCGCAGCATCCGCTGACCTCACTCTGCGGTGTGCATGTTGACCTTGGCGGGGGCTGTGTTCGTTGATGCTACGGCTCGGCGTATCGAAGCTTCGAAAAGCATGTCCTCATCGAGAAGGTCGGTGACCATGAGAGAAATATTGGACTCACGCCATCGAGTAGTACAGGACTTGAGGCCGTAAGCAGATTTGCCCGATGACAGATGAGCAAGCAGAGCATTTGGGAGGAGATGCAGAGTCCAGAAGGCAAACATGCATCAAAACAGTTAACAAAGAGAGCAATAATGCCTGTATCTTTTTTTTTGATCCGTCAAAGATAGGTTGTGTCGAGATAGCGCACACAAAGCCAAGAGAATTGGTTGGTAGAGTCGCACCAGAGCGCCACCACTGTCGAGTGGATGTTTTGCTGATAGCCATGGCATTACAACAGACATAATCTACCATATCTGCTCGGTTGCAGGGTGTTGAAATGAGAGTGTTTGTGCGTTGAATGAGAAGGGACCAAGGCTTCGGTTGTTGCAATTTATCGTTTACTTTAGGCCCAAGATTTCTGTGGCATTCGCTCGCGATTGCTATACTTCCCGCATGTCATGTATTCAAACAAGCAGTCTTGGTCGTGCGAAAGCTGTATGGTTCGGCAAAAGATGCAGACGGCGAAGGCAGGTCGCATAAAGAGCGAACAGACCTGAGCAAGAGTCAGGCTCAACGGCCAATGGAAAGCAGCGTCGATGAGGCTCTTTGACAGGGGCCGGCCGAGGCGGTTCAAGAAACTAGGGACGATCGCGCTAGTGCTTTCATCTTTGGGGCAGTGCAATCTTGGCGTACACCACTAACACAACCACCATGCGACATGGACGTGAGGAGAAGACTAGTTAGTTACTACAGAGCTGTGTCTTCTGACAGCTGCTTGCCGACTTTTGCTGTCAGGCGGCAGTCGAAGCAAAGACCTGATTTTACAGCACAATTGAATCTTTGTTGCTGCTACTCCTCCTTCCCTGCGTTCTGTTGGCTGTAAAGCTGTTTATCGAAACGAGCAGTCGCATAACCGCGCAAAAACGACCATTTGACTCAGCACAGCCTGCCTATCGCTGCAGCGCCCAGGATCTTTCTACCCTCGAACCCACAGTCAGTCAGCCGCCGGTGAAGAAGAGCGTTGGCAGACTGAAGATAGTCGGCAACGGGCAGTGTCGATGGTAAAGTGTAATAAAGCCTCTTTCCACTTTCTTCTACCGCATAGCAACCAGCAAAACGAGTCCAAGAGATTCTTGGCTCTTGGACGTCTATCGCTGCGCCCCCTGCCTTATGACATTTGTATATGGTCGAAGCCATATCAGATTGCTGATACTTTTGTCATGTGCCTAGTACTATTGAGCATTTACCATCTCTTAAACGACACTACTGGACTTCACTGCCACCATCCTGGCCTTGACCTAAGCTAGATACAAGCCAGCACAGCCTCTCTATTCGCCTCACTTCAGTGCATGAAAGGTCAAGCCACACCTTCTACGGATGACCATTGTTCAGTCAACCTCGACATAACTACGGTGTTCTGCATCTCTGCGGCGCAACACCAGCCACAACCATGTCGAACTCGAATCCTTTCAACCAAAGCCAGGACTCGCCTGCGCAAGGTCGCCGCAGAGCACCCACCATCACCATAGACACATCAGCAGTGCGTAGCCCCTCGATCCTCCAGGACATAGCCATGGACACCCTTTCTGACAATAGCTTTGCTGTGCAGGGCAACGACCAACCCTCAACAGGGCTGCACCCCTACCAGACTTCGCCCACCGAACTGCGCCCATCCAACTCCTTTGACAACGAGAACAGTCGACCAACCTCTCCTCACAATGTCTCCTCACCGACGTTTAACAGTCCCCAAAACTTTCTCTCAGTCCCTCCCGCACGCTCACGTGCCGGTTCCTTTGATACCCTCGGCGCCGAATCGTCATCGACAGGGACATACGTCAACTCATCGCCAGAACACGGTATGCCCAAGGCCTTTGGCCCACAAGACAGTCATGGCGGCCCTGAAGTCCTCAGCGATAGCGAAGCATTACATCCCGACCCTGGTACCGAGGACGAGTTTAAAAGAGAGAACAACCCTTTCGCTTTCACCCCTGGCCAGATGGGCAAGATGTTCAATCCCAAGAGTCTGGGTGCATTCCATGCCCTAGGAGGTATTTCAGGTATCGAAAAGGGATTAAGATCCGATCGCAAGTCTGGTTTGAGTTTGGAGGAGCAACACCTTGATGGTCAGGTCTCGTTCGAAGAGGCTACCGACCACGAAAACCCCAACGCAGAATACGTCACGAATGGTGGCAACAGCACTGCGTCCAGCGGTCCCTTCTCTGATCGTGTGCGCATCTTCGGCGACAATCGTCTTCCTGAGAAGAAGGCAAAACCGTTATGGCGTCTTGCTTGGGAAGCCTACAAAGACAAGATCCTTCTTCTGCTGACTGGTGCTGCTGTCATCTCGCTCGCCCTTGGTCTGTACCAAACCTTCGGTACCCCTGCGAAACCTGGAGAACCCCACGTTGAATGGGTCGAAGGTGTTGCCATCGTTGTTGCCATTGTCATTGTCGTTGGAGTCGGAGCTCTTAACGACTGGCAGAAGGAGCGTCAATTTGTCAAACTCAACAAGAAAAAGGACAACCGCGAGGTTAAGGTTGTACGCTCAGGCAAGACCCAGGAGATCTCTGTTCACGACGTCCTCGCTGGTGACGTCTTGCTTCTTGAACCTGGTGACATGGTCCCTGTCGATGGTGTTCTCATCGAGGGCCACGGCATCAAGTGCGATGAATCTTCTGCAACCGGTGAATCTGACATCATCAAGAAGACTGCTTCCGAGGAGGTCTGGCGTGCCATGGAGGCTAACGAGCCGCTTAAGAAGATGGATCCTTTCATCCTGTCCGGCGCAAAGGTCACTGAAGGTGTTGGCAAATTCCTTGTCGTCGCTACTGGTGTCAACTCGAGCTACGGCAAGACCATGATGTCCCTTCGCGAGGACAGCGAGGTCACTCCACTGCAATCAAAGCTGAACACTTTGGCCGAGTACATTGCCAAACTTGGTGGAGCCGCTGCACTGCTGCTCTTCGTTGTACTCTTCATCAAGTTCTGTGCAAAGCTCCCTGGAGATCATAGAAGTCCCTCCGAAAAGGCACAAAACTTCCTCAACATTTTGATTGTTGCTGTCACCATTGTTGTCGTCGCAGTCCCTGAAGGTCTGCCTCTGGCTGTCACACTCGCTCTAGCTTTCGCTACTAAGCGCATGACCAAAGACAACAATCTTGTCCGTGTGCTCAGATCTTGCGAGACCATGGGAAATGCCACCACGGTTTGCTCTGACAAGACTGGTACACTCACCCAGAACGTCATGACTGTTGTAGCCGGAACCTTTGGAACAACTTCACGCTTCAGCAGCAAGGCTAGCAAGGACCAAGACGCCCAAGGAGTTAATGTCGATAGCGTGGACACCAACGAGCTCATTGGCACTCTTGGTGATAGCGTCAAGACCCTCATGAAAGACTCAATCGCATTGAACTCTACTGCTTTCGAAGGCGAAGAGAACGGTAAGACCACTTTCATCGGTTCAAAGACAGAGACGGCTCTTTTGGCTTTCGCTCGCGACTTCTTAGGAATGGACGCTATTAGCACCGAGCGCTCAAATGCCGAGCTTGTTCAATTCATGCCATTTGATTCTGGCCGCAAATGCATGGGTGTTGTTCAGAAGATTGGCAACAAGTACAGACTTTATGTCAAGGGTGCTTCCGAGATCATGCTGAGACATGCTACAATGATCATCAGAGACCCCAGCAAAGGTATCGATGGTGTGTCCATCTCCAATGACAATGTTACAACGCTCAACAAGCTCATCGAGACTTACGCGTCCAACTCTCTCCGCACTATTGGCTTCCTGTACCGCGACTTTGAACAGTGGCCCCCTAAGAATGCGCGCAGATCTGAAGACGACAAGACCCAGGCCATCTTCGAAGATGTGTTGAAAGACATGACCTTCCTCGGAGTCATTGGTATCCAGGATCCCCTCCGTGATGGTGTCACAGATGCTGTCATGGACTGCTTGACTGCCGGCGTCTTCCCTCGTATGGTTACTGGTGACAACATTATGACCGCAAAGGCCATCGCCAGCGAGTGTGGTATCTTCACTCCTGGAGGTGTCGCTTTGGAGGGACCCGTCTTCAGAAAGATGTCCAAGCAAGAGCAACTGGCTGTCATCCCTAAGCTGCAAGTCCTGGCAAGATCGTCTCCAGACGACAAGCGCGTTCTGGTGAAGCGTCTGAAAGAGATGGGCGAGACTGTCGCCGTGACTGGTGACGGCACCAACGATGCACCCGCTCTCAAGGCTGCTGATGTTGGTTTCTCCATGGGTATCGCTGGCACTGAGGTTGCGAAAGAAGCCTCCGACATTATTCTCATGGACGACAACTTTGCTTCCATCATCAAGGCTCTCATGTGGGGTCGTGCTGTCAACGACGCCGTCCAGAAGTTTCTGCAGTTCCAGATTACCGTCAACATCACGGCTGTATTGTTGGCCTTTGTGTCAGCTGTGGCCAGTGACGATGAATCTTCTGTCCTCACTGCAGTTCAACTTCTCTGGGTCAATCTCATCATGGATACATTCGCTGCTCTCGCTCTGGCTACTGATCCGCCCACTCGCACCATTATCGATCGCAAGCCCGCTCCCAAATCTGCCCCTCTTATTACAGTGAACATGTGGAAGATGATCATTGGCCAAGCAATCTATCAGCTCATTATCACTTACGTTCTGTACTTCGGTCAGAAGCGAGGAGGCAACAGTCTACTGAGCTACGCCAACGATAAGGAACATGATCGTCTTAACGCAATGGTCTTCAACTGCTTCGTCTGGATGCAGATTTTCAACATGTTCAACAATAGACGTCTCGACAACAAGTTCAACATCTTCGAAGGTGTTCAACGCAACGTGTTCTTCATCGGTATTGCGCTTATTATGATCGGCGGCCAGGTGATGATCATGTTCGTCGGCGGTCGCGCTTTCAGCGTCGAGAGACTGACAGGAGAACAATGGGGTTACTCAGTCGGCCTTGGTGCCATCTCCATTCCAGTCGGCGTCATCATCCGTCTGATTCCTGATGAGCTCCTTGTTCGCCTGGTACCTTCATGGCTCAAGCGTAAGGCTGCACCTAAGCTTGTCGTCGAAGATGAGGAGCGACCATTTGAGTACAGCCAGGCGCTTCTTGACATTCGTGATGAACTGGCATTCATCAAGAGAATCAAGGGTGGCCGTCTTAACCAAATCAAATTCACCCTCAAGCATCCTCGTGAAGCTCTTCTTCACTCTCGCTCGGCATCCAGATCGCGTAGTAGCATGTCTCTGCCGCAAACACCCAACGGTGAGCACAGTGAGGGAGAAGCCCAGTCGCTGGCACCGCCTACACCCGACTCTCGCCGTCGCTCGCGTGGACGCTCAAGATCCAATTCGGCATTCGCCGGCGCTGCTATGGCTGGTATTGTTGCAGGCAGTATTGGAGCTGCATGGTCTCCGATAGAACGCGGCCATGGTGACGCAGACAGCATGAAGTGGTCACGCGCCAGATCACGAAGCGACTTGAGCCGCGAGAGCGGGCTTGAAATTCATCCTGAGACCAAGTCCCAGGACCCTGTCGTGGTTCAGCAGCAGATCGATGGTCACCACCCACCGAGCCAGTCCAATGACACGACTCCTGCCTTCGGATCGGGACCATTTGCAGGTCACCCCGATGTCAAGGTTGACGATGGCACCAAGCAGTAAACTCTGATTGTTATGATGCGATTGAGGGAATGGTTCATTTCTCTTTGTTGTTGTTATTTTTGCGTATGGGTATCACTGGATGAGTGGCGTTCAAGGCACAATAGATATCCTCTCCGTTTTGTTTGCTTGTGAATGAGGTCCTACATTTTATGCCTCAGTTATCTTTTCTTTCGGCTTGTAGCCCTGTCTCTGTACATAGCCAACTCGCAGCTTCCTCACCGCTGTTAGTGAGAAAAAGCCAGTCTTTGATTCAAGTATGTCATTCATTTGCGAAGCCGATCAATGCTGAAAAAGGAAGGCCGAGAAGCATGAACGTCAGTTTGCGAGGGCAAGTGTGTATGCACAATGAGTCTCGTGGACTTTCACATGCGAACATGGTTTATTGGCCAGTCACATGGGAATAGGAAGTTGCGGAAGGAGCGCGTCATATGGCGGCCGAGCTTGGATGAGGAATCGATTGGACGGGCGGGTAATCTCAAGCGAAAGGAAGTGAAGCAATTTCGACTTTTGAATAGGGAGCGAAAAGGCGCCCCGCGAGAGCGTTGCAGAATTTTGGACAGGTGAGTAGCAGGGAACAGAAGTGTTGGATGAAACTCGAGTTCAGGAGGTTTCGAGGCCCCCTATCTCGAAGCGTTCTTTGGTGCAAGAGAATGGACCTCAGGCAGAAATGTACTCGTACGAACAGGGGAAAGGGTCTCCGCCTTGGCCCTGCTTGCACTTGCAGCGTCGCGGCCAGGCCATCAAAGTGGACTCGCACTGACCCCCACTGTCTCTCATCCAATTCCCGAGCCCCTCTCAACTCACACGATCACCACTTTTGCTGCAGCCCGCCCTGACATTGTTCTGTCTCCCTCTCTGCATGGCTTGATAGACAATTCGTCCACCCTAACCGAATCTCGTCTTCTTCCAACTCCGCTTGGTCGCTGCTTCCTGTACTGCCTGCCCGCGTGCCTACTCTCCGCTCTAATCAAAGTTACACCTTCTAACATGGACTTGCACCTGCTCAGAGCAGACTCTCCCATGGCCGTCCGACACATCGACCTCTGCTACGACCACACCGATTCCGAGCGCTCGGCTTTGCGCCTGATATACACACTATGTCCAGACTGGGAACACGATGAAGGCCCCGTTGAATTGATTCCCTTTACTGAAGGCATCACAAACACTGTACGTTAAGGCAAGCCTTTCTTGTCCGCCCCTCCTCGATTGCAACTGACACACCCTGCCGCAGCTTATGAAAGCCGTCAAGAAGCGACCAGGATATACACAACAAGACATTGACTCCGATGCAATTCTCCTGAGAGCATATGGCAAGGGCACAGATGTCCTCATAGACCGCGAGAGTATGCCTCTCCCACACGACAAGACTGCGACGCTCAATTGACCACCACAACAGGAGAAACCAGATCGCACTCTTTGCTTGCCGGCCGCGGACTAGCCCCTCCTCTATTCGCACGCTTCGAGAACGGCCTACTGTACAAATACATCGCAGGCGACGTATGCAGCCCAGAAGACCTTCGTAGACCCGACGTATACCGCGCAGTTGCGAGAAGACTTGGCCAATGGCACAGCACACTACCAATTGCTGCTATCAGTTCGCTCCAGACACTACAAGAGCAGAATGACGTAGCAGAGGACTCTCACATTCAGCACCATACCGACGAAGCCGGCAACAAGAGGCCGAAACCTAGTCTATGGACTGTAATGCAGGAATGGATCAATGCGCTACCAGTAGCCACCCAAAAAGAGAAGGAACGAAGGGACATGCTGCAACGGGAATTGACACACCTTTCGAACGAACTCGGAAGGACACCTGGTTTGGATGGTTACGACTACATTTTTGCTCATTGCGATCTTTTGTCTGGTAATGTCATTGTACATCCTGGTCAAAGAGAAGGCGCGAAAGGCCTCACAGTGAGCTTCATCGACTACGAATATGCGACTCCAGCACCCGCCGCATTCGATATTGCCAACCACTTTGCCGAGTGGGGTGGTTTCGACTGCGATTACACTGCTCTACCGACACGCAGTCAACGCGCCGACTTCATCGCTCAATATCTCGCATCATACCGTAACTTCGCTCCCGTATCCGACTCCGAAACCATCGAACGCGAGAAACAGCAGCTCATCAGCCAAGTCGACACTTTCCGTGGTCTGCCAGGCTTCTATTGGGGTATTTGGTCACTCATTCAAGCGGAGATTTCGCAAATCGACTTTGACTACGCTTCATATGCAGACATCCGTCTGGGCGAATACTGGGCTTGGAAAGCCGAGCAAGATGGGTCTAGACAACGAGAAGGCCGCGAACCCACATTGCGAGAGAAGAGATGGGCCGAGGAGTAATTTTTTTTTTTGGCCATGCGTGGCACAGCGATCAAATCGACTACAGACGTCAGAAATAATGTTCAAGACTACAGCAAACCAGGAGATAGTATAGCCTGGAGGACTACCGACTCAAAAAGTTCGACGTTTTTCGTTTCGAGCGCATTTTTGCATAGAACCTCTTTCTAATAATTTTTTTCTCTTTGCTTTATTTGGTCCTGTATTCTCCATTCTCACTTGGTGCTTTCCCACTTGTTCCTTTCTTTATTATCTTTTTTTCTTGTCACATCAGATTCCACATCTTGGTTTTTTTCTTTGTGTGATGATGTTTTTGTACAGATCCAGAGCGCTCTCAAGTCTTCAACGACGATACCCATCTCATTTCTTCTGTTCCCATTTTGACTTGCTTCATACAAGAAATCAGATCAACAGCTACGTTGCATGCACACTCACTGGAAATACTTCCGAGCTACAAAGACAGTGTCTTGCCATAACCTCCGACTCTGGTCACACTAACAATTCAACGATGTGTTGTTAATACAAAAAGCTATCCTCGGTGTACAGCAAACATCAGTAAGGAGAATTCGAGGAAACGATTCTGCTCGCACCCTGCTTGACACCCTGCAATGCCGCGTGACCCCAAGATCCCTTTGCTCGGCTCAAAGCGGTACTCACGCCTTGTCCCAGTGCCAATGAGTCTGTCATGGCGCTGATCATGGTGAAACCTCTGTCTGCATAGTGTCTCGCTTGATCACCATCGGTACAGTAAATGCCTGAATGCTTGCCAGCCTTCTTTGCCGCAGTGTGGATCTTTTCGATGGCAGCTTTTAGTTCATCGTGCATGCCATCAGCAAGAATAGGATATCCAATGCTATTTCCCAGATCATAAGGACCAACGAAAAGGACATCGACACCTGGCACTGCAGCAATTGCATCCACATTGTCCAAAGCTGACTGAGTCTCGATCTGGATGATAGTGACCAAAGCATCATTGGCCTGTTGCAAGTACTCAGCCGCAGAGACCGGTTCGCCGCCTTTGGGCGCAAATCTCTCCATAGCGAAGGGACTTCCAAACCCCCTTATCCCCTGCGGAGGAAACTTCGCTGCACGAACCACACTTCTCGCTTCCTCAGCATTATTGAGTTGAGGGATCACAATGCCATGAGCACCGGCATCCAATGCACGCTTGATCATCCAGCCTTCATTCGAGACTGTGCGGACAATGGGAGAAACGCCGCAAGCTGCAATGGCAGCTACTGATTCGTGCATGGCTGTATCGCTGATGTTTCCGTGTTCGGTGTCGACGCAGATCCAGTCTGGGTTTGTGCGGGCGAGGATGCGGGAGAGATTTGAGCCGGGGAGCATTTGCCAGGCGCCTAGGGCGAGGGCATTGCTGTGGAGAGTCTTGTGGAGGTGGTTGGCTGCTTGCATCGTTGATGAGTTGTGACTGTTATCCAGTGATATCGAGCAGTGATGTGTGGGGTTTGGTTTGGATCGCCGAGAGGGCAGTGTGATTTGTTTCGAAAAGCGATGAGAAGTATGATGCGGACAATCGTTGGATGGTTCTGGATGTTCGATGTAGGTGATATGAAGAAGTTCTCCTGGGTCGTATCGTGGTGGAAGAAGTTGATGCCTTGATTCGAGCTAGAAAGGAGTGAAGTCAGATGCCCCGCACCTCATCGGCAGTAGCTCTTTCCCTTCTGATCCGGCAAAGGTGCATATCCACACAACGAGGACAGAAATTAGGTTATGCGGATGAGGAGGAAGAAGGCTCATCAAGCATTGCTTGATCCATGAGCTTTTCAACTTCATGCTCCTTGAACCTGTGCATGAGTTTCCTGGCCTCGCCCGTTGTGCTGAACTCTTTGCCCTCTTTCGCTTTGTCTACGTGTATCTACGAAGACTGTCAGTCCAAGAGCCATAAGAATAGGAGAAGAGACTTACCACCGGGGTATCAAACTCATACATATTCTTCCACTTTTGATCAGAATGCTCCATCACATTGATCTCGTCATACTCAAAAGGTCGCTTGTCCCAGACGTTGGAAAGGACTTCCTTCGCATCCGAGCATAGCTTACAGTTTGAGCGTGTGAACAGAGTGATGCGACAGGCGAAGTTTCGGAGGGCGAGCGTGGGAAACATGGTTGTAGATGTGCAAATGCGAATGAGTGTTTCAAAGAATCGTCAAGAGATTTGACCTGGAGTGTTGACAACGCTGGTTGGCAACACCTCTGCCTCCTTTATCACAACCTCGATGATCAATTTGATATAGGTCATAAGTCAATAGTACACCAGTATGTGATTGATCATCGAGATTATTTGTTTGCATTGCTACGAGAGCACACGCACGTGCTATAGTTGAGTCAACAAACCTAGGTAGTAACATCATACCCATATCTACCCCGCTCCGCTCAACTGGAGCTTCCAAAGATAAAAGCTGCTCTGGAGCAACGCTAGCATTGACCATAAGCGAGCAGCTTTCTGACAACACCAAAAAACAAGTAGTTCGGACTTTATCAACCATGCCAGCATACGAGGTCGAGCACGTCTGCAAACTAAGCGACGACCAGAAAGATCAACTTGCCGAGGCAATCACCAAGATTCATAGTCAGCAGTTCTCGACACCGAGACTCTTTGTCAATGTCCGCATAACAGATATTTCAGAACAGAGAACTTATGTGGCAGGAAAGCAGGTAAGCAGAAGCTACGAGATTTCTTCATCGCCGGACCAGGTACAGAGCGTTGATATTCGCTTAGTTCAAGAGCAACCGCATCTTTGGCTACGTGAGACATGGCCCATCAAGAACACAATCCGACTATGATGCTGTAAGCAAGGCACTAGAGGACGAATGGGCGAGAATAGTGCCAGGCACAGAGCTTCGGCTAGTCATGTTTTATGGAGCTATCGTTGCGGGCATGGAAGCTGGATTGTACTTGCCTCCTGCTGGACAGGATGCCGCATGGATCAAAGAGAACTGGCAAACATTTGTCAAGAAGGCTGAAGGTGGTGATGAACACTTTGCCGGGTTGATAAAGCAGTATAGTTGATCAGAGAAATTGATGCTATGACCTGCGATACTGCCTGGTCTGGACGAGTCGAGTCTCTTTACCAGGCATCTGTATCTTTAGTCTGCCAGAAACTGTAGCAGCCATGCAATTATCAAGACTTTCTGATACCCCAAAGCGATCTTGTTTCCAAGAGCGGTGTGGTTGTAGGCCAAATGTAGTCATGGTTGCGAGGACTCGAGTGGGAACGGCGGATGACACAAGTACGAGATACGGCCCGCGTCATCCAAGCTCCGACATCCGATGATCAACGCGGGGCAGTATCATACCGCCCGCCGTCAACACCGCCATGTTCGAGCCTAAACTCCACGTTTGTGTAGTTCAGGGCCTCGGATCGTGGGGCATGGATGCAACGGCTGGCAATGTACCCGAGGTCAATTGCAGACTATAAGAAGCAGCAAGAGGCTGCTTCGCAGCTTGACATTCCTTGAGAACCATAACAACCATCACTTTACATACGGCTATTGTACTAGATCGCCACGATGAGGACCAAGGAAGAAGTCGCGAAGCTCGCAGAGATGGATCCAGAGCTCGCAGAGGTAGGCATCGGTCTCTCTCTCCTTCAACAACGAACGATTTTTGACCCCATACAGTGGATGAAGACAAACCCTATCCCTAAGGGCAACTGGAACAACATCAAAGAATTCCGCGCAATGCGCGACAAGATGGGAAAACAGAGTCTCGCAGCTTTGGGTCCAGCAGCTCCACACGTTGAGGAAAGCTTCCAAAACATCACTATGAGAGATGGTTTCGAGAGCCAGATCAAGATTCACAAGCCGACAGGCAAGACTGGAGGGCCTCTGGTTGTCTTGGTCTTTGGTGGAGGGTTCGTGGTTGGTGATAACCAACAACTCACTGCGTACTCAAGAGGACTTGCCAGAGCTTTCGATGCAGTCGTCGTGAACATTGCCTACAGGCTGGCTCCCGAGCACAAGTTCCCCACCGCACCACACGATACCGAAGACACTCTGTTGTGGATTGCGAAGAATGCAGAGTCATTAGGTGCAGACCCTTCCAAGGGCTTCATCTTGGGAGGCGTTAGTGCAGGCGGTTCGTAACGTCGCCGAAACCCCCGAAAAGTCAAGCGTGCCTAACATTTCACAGGTAACTTGACTGCATGCATTGCGCAGAAGACGCTGGAGGACAAGAGCCTAGCTCATCCTCTCACAGGTCTTTGGCTGTGCGTTCCTCTTGTCTTCCCCAACAGAGACCTAGTGCCAGACAAGTACAAAGAGGTCTGGATCTCGCATGAACAGAACGCCCAAGCGCCAATTCTTGACAAAGACGCTATTGATGCCATTGGTGGTCATCTTGAGCCGGACCAGAAGTCACCGCTTTACTCGCCCTTCAACAGCAAGAATCCTCACAAGGGCTTGCCCCCCACGTATTTTCAAGTCGACGGACTGGACCCTCTGCGCGACGATGGGTTGATCTACGAGCAAGTGTTGAGTGAGAACGGTGTCAAGACAAAACTCGACATCTGGCCTGGACTGCCCCATGCACATTTCGCTTTCCTGCCGTTCTTGAGCGGCAGCAAGAAGGCCGTTGTTGACACATTCGTTGGGTTTGCGTGGCTGCTGAAGACCGAGGTTTCACTCGCAAAGATACAAGAAGTTATGGCCGCACCCGCAAGCGGCTAGACTGGGAGTCGTCTGTATTGGTGAATCGAAATTATGGTCGAAGATTCGTGTTTCATCCGGCCAAAATCCAAACTGTGTTCGCGTCGGATCGATGCATGAAAGTGTGTATCATCTGCCCTGATGCGGCGTGATATAGGTGTACTCTAGGCCCATGTATGACAGGTAAGAAGGTGAGATACCAATTTCTTGATGGCTACGTCAGAGCAAAATAGGGAGTAGATGGTGCGCGGTGGGGTATGTGCAGTCAACACGGCTGAGCCCTGTTGCCGCTTAGCCACGAGGACTAATTGCCAGGGACCGACCTCGAGGGCGTGTATATGTTTCTTTTGTCGTGACTCTTATTGCTACGTTTTAACCAGCAGGGAGAGCTGTATTCAAGACAGTTCAGAACTTCTGGCGCGCCCAGGATGAATGGGCGCTGACGGTTGGTGTTTCCTGTTGCTTCCTTCTCTTCCTGAACTCAATCCACGGCCACACGTCTAAGACGATGCTGAAGTCAAGTTCCTTCGATGTTTCTTGTGTGTTGTGGGAGGGAAAGAGGATCGCGGCGTCGAAGTAGCCTAGCAAGGTAGGTAGGCCAGCATGAGTCGTCTTGGAGAAATGGGTGTATCTGGTCGTCGAGATGGTGTACATGCGGACGGATGAATGAATGGTCTAGCTGTACTGATGAGTAGAGTAGACGGGAAGTCAACTAGAGGCCCTTTGAACGAACTCTTCACTGACTGTCGTGAACAGGATCATACTTGAGTGCGCCGGATCCAGGAGTATAGTTCCTGTTGGAAGAAGCGCTTCGAGGATTCTGACTTTGTGTATGCTTTTCAGGAACAGTCGTCTGAGCCATAAGCAAGTCGGCGGTGGTGACATGGCGCAAGACTTCAAGTGGATCTTGAGTGCTTCGAACGCGACGGAAGATCTCCTCGGCCTCAACTAGGGGTCGTTTCTGTAGGAAGTCGTACAGTGTTCGGAGCTGTGTGTTCTCCTTTGCAAGCTCCTCGTTCTTGCGCTTGAGCGCGTTCGATCGTGTCGTGTTGGCCTCGACATCGTACACACAGTCTTCATATCTTCTGGCGCATGGTTGGCAAGTCGGTCGTACTCCGTCGCACTAGCTCCCAGTCATCAAGAGAGTCCTCTAGCCGAGAAGATGCTACTCTCACCTTGATACGAAGTCGCCTGCAGCAAGCACATGCAACATGAACCACACTGCGTTTCGGCTTGGTGACCTTTGTGTCCGCAGGTCGCTGTGATGCTGGCCCTGGGACCGTCTTGCTGCTTGTTGGAGCCGATTCGCTCGCAGGTGTCGAGCTGGCTGGGGTCCGCTCGCCATCCATGTCGCTAGACCAGGATTGTCAGAGGGAAAAGACGTCTAAACGACGACAGAGCGATGTGCGGCGACTTCTGACAGGAGGGTGCAACTCACCACTCTCAATCTTCAAGTCAGAAAAGCCGGAGTAACTTCCGACGAGTGAAATAGATCGAAGGAACGAAGAATAGGCAAGCACTGTTTAGTGAAAGCGATCCTATCTTGCACAAATCACCTCTACATTTGACCCGGACCAGACACTATCAGTATCAGGGATCAGGCCAGGATCCTTGTGAGGCATGAGCCTGTGAAATGCCAGAACGGGAGGTTGTTTTCGGCGTCTTGACCGACGCCCCGACTTGGTTCGCGTTTGGGCGCATTGCATGACCGAACTGGCCTGGACCCTCTACAGTGGTTACACGATCGATGAGCATTCGGAACACCAATACTTCTATATAGCGGCTAACAGCTATCTCTTACACGAACAGATCCATGTCCTAGTCTATCAACAAAGGAAAACATGAAATTTTTCAAGAACTCTTGACCCAGACTTGTAGCTGACTGCCTTGGCCGCTTATGAGAGCTGTGAACATCGCGCGTCCACCGTTCCAGTTTGCATGGAACACAGAATGGTTGCCATTGATAGCCATATTCAGACCGCCTGGAGCTGTGAGTCCATATGTTCCAGTCTGTATGAGCCCACCGTATTTCTTGTAAGGACCTCTAATGTTCTTCGACGTCGCGTAGGACACGTCGTACAAAGGGGTGACATAGCAGTTTGAACTGTAGTAGAGGACATATGTACCGTCAGGCATCCTGGTAAGGGAAGGCGCCTCAACATATGGACCATCAGCAGGGTCGTTAACTATGAGCACTGTTGGAAGACCAATCTTCGTAAATCCATTGTCGACCGAAACCTGCTGAAGCATGATAGGCGTACTGACGATTGGCTGGACTGTATTACCGCAGCTACCGCCGTGTCCGATAGAATTCCCGTCTATCTTATATACAACCCAACGTGTATTGTCTGATGGATCATAATAACCGGCAGGATCTATCGCTCCGCCCTGAGCCGTTGGACAAGCCCAGGGCGCAGTACCTATAGGTGTATAAGGACCGGTGACTGTAGAAGCCGAAGCAATGCCCAAACAGTGAGTCTGCGGACTAGTTTTGAGTGCGGCGCTAAAGTACATGATGAAGCGTCCAGGAGCGAGATGCACAACATCAGGCGCCCATACTGCAGGCGCGTCGGGATTGACCCAACTCGGTAGGTTGGGAAGTGCATCTTGCTCACCGAAACTCGTCCACGTGCTGAAATCGCCAGTATAAGCCATTGGGACGTGGACGCGCTTTCCATTGTAATGTGACATAGTTGAGAAGGCCCACCATTCATTACCAATCCGTATGACTGAAGGATCCGGGAAGTTTATGCCGTTCATGGCAGGACTCAGTGTGATGCCTCGCTTTACAGTCGTGGTATTGTCAGCAATTAAAAAGTTGTCAGTAGCCACGGCATGAGCGAGAAGTATTAGTCCAGCTGCCAGCATGGACATGAATTTGAAACTATAGTATGCCATTGTTCGAAGTAGGACGACTGTTTTTGTCGTATTCTCAGATCTTTATAATATGCCGTAGAAGGTTGTAGATAATATCGTAAGGGCAAGTAGTTGCAAGATCAAAAGGTCATTCACCTACCGTGGTTCAACTGCTTACCTTTTGTCATATAGCTGGGGGCATCGGATAAAAGAACATATTCATGACACTTCTTTGACAAAGCATCGAGGCCTGTAGGTGATGCTTCCTCGAAAGCTCATGTTGCCCTCGAATTCTTTGCTGCAAATGGCCATCAATCCGCTTTTGGCGTCGGGTCATCCTTTGTATCCGCTTGCAGCAAATTTTTGCTTTGTGTTTAATATTGCTTGTTTTTAATCAGACTGGTCTAGAGCTGTTCTTTGCAGAATCTGACCGGCAGTCTGATTTCGGTGTTGAATAATAACATGAGAAGCGTGCTCTGATCGGAGCTGTGCAGGACGACCATAGTATCAAGGAGTCAATTCGCTGCACTAGCGGACTCGAAAGGAATTACAGTATTACGTTCACCGTAAGAACAGCCGGGACATAATGACAGATCTGAAGTGAGATGTCGGAAGGAAAGTAGATACTGGGAGGAGGTGTCTTTGAACGGCAAGACCCGTCGTGCGAAATGTTGGGGGTAAAGATTGAGTTCATGATATTGCAGATGTGTCCACAAACATCCAATGCGTATGTCGGCAGAGAGCCATCGAAATTCGAATCAATGTATGATATTATGAAGCGTCTGCGAACACTTCAACGTGTTATGTGGTGCAGATGATGCGCCAGGTATGAGGGAGTCCTCTGCGGTGAACGCCAAGCCTCACGGCAGCTTTTTTCAAGTCTACTCGAGCGTAAGTGACCTTTAACGAGTACAAAACAGCAAACAACCTTCAGGAGCAATCTAGTCATGGTCGGGAAAAATGGTACCGCTGAACAAGCGATCGACGTGCCTAGTATATTCAGCCCGCGCGCTCCCTCGCAACGGCTATTCGATTCAGATGCGGTAGAAGGACAATGGCAGCCGATGCTTGAAAGTGCTTGCACCTTCGAACCCGAGATGTTTCTCAAGGTCATGCATAATCTCATCAAGAACCCTAATATTATGTCCACTCATCTTTTCCGAGCGGATATCTTGTATGACAGCGAGAGCGATCATTCTATCATTGACGGGCCATCGACCACACAGTTCAGCGATTTTACAAAGCATCTCAAGCAAGAATACCGCCCGAGATACACTGAGCTTGCCGGATACAAGTGGGAGAGGACGTATGTTCGACAACTTGTTCCACGCAATCGTCAGCTAGATCGTGATCTTCCCCAAACTTGTCACTTCTATACATGCCAGGAAGAAAATTCTACAAGAAACCTCATCCTTTACATTCCGCATGTCGAAAAACCAGAGGATATGCCATGGTATCATCCCAAGGTCCGCGCAGTAGCCTTCTCCCACGACTGGACGGCTGCATCCAAAACTGGCCTCGTCGCGGTTCACTACTCTCTGTTTCCTGACGTGCCTCTCGACTCGAGACTTGAGCGCACAGCATTGCAGCTACTTACTAAGATTCACAAACATAGTAAAGGCCAGCAAGCAGGCTATCAGAAGAGGGTCCACCATGATCAAGTTGTCCCACAAAAGACTTTCCAAGAAACATATGCCAGGCTCAAGAGCGCATATGCTAAGTCCCTGATTGAAGGATGGGCGGAAGTGACTGATCCCGCCAAGCATGTCTTTGAAGACCTTGGGATCGCTTCATTCCTGATTGAGCTTTGGAAGGTCATGTATGACTGCGATACAACTACAGCGGGCAATGAACATACCGACCAGCCAGCTGGAAATGGCCACAAACCCCCGTTCCCAGGGTTCGTTGACATCGGATGCGGTAATGGTCTACTTGTCAACATTCTGACAAAAGAGGGCTTTCCAGGTTGGGGCTTTGACGCACGGCATCGAAAGTCATGGGAAACATTCGCACCTGAGGTTCAGAAAAGGCTCGCGGAAGGCATTTTGGTGCCCCAGGTACTGAACTCTCAAAGTTCAGCCGACACAGATGACGTGACCGAAAATCTGGTGGAAAAGATGGAAGCAGTCGATCTGCTGAGAGAGCAAGACTTTCACAATGGTTTGTTCAAAGAAGGAACGTTCATCGTGTCAAATCATGCGGACGAGCTTACGCCTTGGACTCCTCTGCTCGCCTACCTCAACAACTCACCATTCATCGCTATACCATGCTGCAGCCACAACTTGGCTGGTGCTCGATGGCGAGCGCCCATATCGAAAGCTGCAAAAGAGAAAGCCGCGGCGCAGCGACGTCAAGAGTCTGCGGCGAACGAGGTCAATGACAAGGATCAGCTACGCGAGAAACAAGCTGCAGAGACAGGTTCCTTGAACAAACCAGCTGGGACAAAGAACGTCCAGTCGGCATATGCATCTCTCTGCGATTATGTTTCAGGACTAGCGGATGATGTGGGCTTCGTTGTCGAGACCGAGATCTTGCGCATACCTTCCACTCGCAACACTTGTATCTTGGGCAGAAAAACTAAGGATCTGCAGGATGATACAGAGATGTCCAAAGAGGAGCACGTTCGGCATATCATCGCAAGGGAGCTCAGTGCTCCCATAGGAGACATCCATACTGAATTTGTAAGGTGTGCTCAAAAACTGGTTGGGAAGAAAGGCGAAAGTCATTGAAAGGACTGCGTCTTGCCATGTTTCGTTCCGTGCAGGTCAGATTCACTGCAGCTGTCTCTGTGTCTCCAGAGTCAGGATATCATGTTCATGGTCGAATTCCCCAAGGCGTTCAGCGGAAGCTTGTTTCATCAGGCGGCTAAACAATGAGCACCCGACCTCGAAACTTTTCTACCTTGATCAGAGGTTCAAACGATCTATAACTCGGAACAACTGATACAGAGATGGATGAAACATTCAGAATTCAGGCATCAAGCAGTTTCGCAAAAATTGTGGCAGTCTCATAGATGAGAATGCCTCAGTTTCGTGTGCCACACCTAACCTCACAACCATATTCAGCATTACTCAGCAGCAACCTTCTAAGCCCTGGCTCATATGCAAGTCTCGGCGCGGCACATTAATCTCTCAAGCACATTCATTCTTCGCTTCCGGACCTTGACGGAAGATACTATGTGTACTTTGTGAATCCTTTAACACACTTCTATTATCGTGTCACTGCGCCACGTGCTTCGGGCTCGTTCAACTTTATGCCCGTCACCAAAGCATTCCATGACATCTCTAAGAACTTTGAAATTCACGATGCAGGGATCTTCACGTTCCTTCAGGGTAAGGCACGTTGCTGGATACGACTCAGCATACTGTGACGATTTACCATTCTGGAGTAGAGTAAAAGCAAGCAAACTGAGCTGCCGTATCATGGACTGTTCTCCGCGGCTGGAGCCAGGGCACACTCGTCAATCCGGTCTCTCCAGGGCGGGATTCACAAAGAGATCATAGAGGCCTTATCGAACCTACACGTTGAGTTGGCACAAGCTAAGTCTGTCTTAGTGGCTGGAGGAGGACCAAGTGGAGTCGAACTCTCTAGAGATTGGCGAGTCCTTGAACGGCGCCACTCACTGGTTCAACAAGAAGTCAACGATACCGAAAATGAATGTCATCTTGCTTTGTGGATTGGAGAAGCTGCTTCCTGTGTTACGACTAGCGCTCGCCAAACGGGCTGAAGCCTACTTGGCACGTGTTGGTGTTCGCGTAAAATACATCTCCAGGGTCGAGTCGACAGAAAAGCTGGGAAACGGGCACACCAAGTTGAGCCTTAGCAACGGCGAAACCCTTGTTTGTGACCTTTACCTACCAGCAACAGGCGTGACGCCTGCGACAGGATACATCCCGTACGAATTCCACGATGATCAAGGTTATGTCAAGAGCAACCCCGAGACTCTTCGGCAGGTACTGGGGTGTATGCCGTTGGAGACGTTGGTAATACTTCCGCGGTGGAATCATGAATATCTATGATGTGATCCCAGTCTTGATGACCAATATCCAACGCGACCTTCTCGCTGTGCACAAGGACGTCAATGCCAAGCCCTCTGGAGTTGACCACATATACAAAAAGAACACTTCAGAGACACAGCTTGATCCAATGGGCCGTCGAAAGGAGTAGGCGCCTTGAATGGTAGCAGATTGCCAAGTCTGATGGTGTATATGATAAAAGGCAGAGATTATCTTTCTGGCGCGGCGGTCGAAATTGTCACAGGAGGCAAGTGGAACAAGCAAGTTAGATGGAAGGCAACAGATGATTGATGCAAGACATACATCAATTTGCCTGAAGTAAGGGCGAACAGGAGCTGCTCACAAGCGGAGTTGACCGAGCGAATCAATTCATTCATGAATACAGTCCGGCCATCGACCGAGATAAACCCCTACCTTGCTGATTTTGTTTGTCTTTTCCATACCACCACATTTGACGACCCTTCATCGACAAGTCACTAGGCATATGTAGTAATCAATGAGGCGAATTTTGTTACGTCTATAATTTTCTACAGGCTCGTGCAGGTCACGCTACGCTTCTGAGTGACGTGGTGCTTGAAGATTGGGCTTCAGTGCATCCGTCCGTCATATGAAGCAAAGATTCCGTATTTGCTACTAGCTGTAGGGCCGACAGACTCGCAGGGTTTTATGTATGCTCTCGTGCTCTAGCCTGTAAGAAAAGAAAAGAAGGGGCTGGGAGATTGTGTACAAATGGCTGGAACAGCGCATGCCAGCCGACGTCATAGCCTCGCGTACCACCATCTTTTGTTCACCGATCTTTTGTACCACTTCTAATTTTTTCTTGATATACTTCACCATTGCATGTTCTTGGAGTTCTGTTACTCGATTTACTTTAAATTTGTCAAGATTCTCACACTGCACTCTCTGACGCTGCTACTATAGGTACCATGCGTGAAAATAACCTTCCACACCTCTATACCCCTAGATTGCTAACGAGTGGCAATAGATATATCTGTTTCGTATATAATATAGACGTGTACCATCGATAGTTTTTCAGCTGGTTATCTACTTACACCATTTGGACAAGCCCGGGAACTCAAACAAGTCGAATTTGCAGAGCGTCTGGTCGCGACTTCCCTACTCGTTCGTTCTTGCCAAAACAGCCCCTTCACCATGGCAGGCTTAGGACTCAAATCGTACGTTGTCTCTTTCTTCTTCAAACTTCAGCCTCTCAATTGCTATCTCGTGTCTTTCTGTTCCACTGTTCTTATCCTCGGTCATCACCAAAGCACATCGTCCTCTACCGCGCACCTTTTTTTTTTTCTGAATCTACCGCACCTGCCTACCTGTCGTGAATAAAAGAGACCGGCACCAATCATGACGGAGAGATTCATGACCGGTGCATTGTATGAAGCATGTTATGTGGTGTAAGTTTGGCTTTGTGCGGCTATTAGCCCCAGAACGGATCTTTGCAGCAGGATCTATCTGGGTCGCCGGAATTTGTTCTTGAGGTATCGACAACAAGCATAATGGCAAGATTCGGAGTTTGGTCATGCACGGAGTTCCTACGTCGTTTGTTAGCTGGGCGCAAACAGCATTCTTCACTCAGTGACCATCGCTTCTGAGTCTCTCACACCTCGCTTTGCTTCTGTGCGCACTCCTACCACCTCTTTCAACACATTACTACCCACATTCATTGGATACGAATCTTGACACCCAAGATGCCGTCGTTGACTAACATCTTGCTTCACAGCATTGCCTATATGGCAGAGAAGTTCCCTGACAGATGGATGGAGAAGATCCCATACTATCGCGAAAGAGAAGAAGAGATAGAGCAAGAGGAGCGTGAGGCACGTCGTGCTCGCAAGGAAAAGGAAAGGCGCAGACGCTCTCACTCTCACAAACGCTCTAGCAGCCACCGCAGAGCCCGCCACTACGATGACGATGAACATTCTGAAAGCTACGACGAAGAAGACTACGATCGTCGTGATCGCAGAAGACACCAGAGTCTTGATGGACGTCGTCAGCATGCTGAGGATAGATCCTCGTACCGCAGATCCTACAACCCTGCCGACTATGCTCCCGTCGACAGATACGGCTTCGCTGTTCAGGCTCCTGGCATCTCTCGTCCCGTCGTGGTCAGTCAATTTCATTGGAAGCTCGAAGTATCATGCTGACTGGTTTGCAGAATGGACCCATGCCTGGTGCAGCTCCTGCTCAGACTCCCTCCAAGAATGGCTCTCGTCCCACCTCCAGATCTGGACCAATTCCTGGCTACGTTCCTTATGCCAATGTCTACAACACAACCGCTCAGTCACAGCACTATTCTCGCGGTTATGAATCTCACGACTCTCCTCGTGGATCGATGGATCGCCTTGATCGCAGAGACTACCGTCCTGATCAACGTGGTGGAAGGTGCGAACATGCTTTGCGTTAAAGTTGTGGGATCACAATTAACAACAACCAGATACCATGATACCCACAACTCTGGCAGTGATGAAGATACCAGATATCGCCGCCGTAACAGTCGCTTCGACTAGACGTCCTTCAGTGACATCAATACGCAAATCAACTTGCCCACATTAAACACCTTGCCCCAAACAGAATTACGAATGGAATGACATGAACGATACGTAGACAACGAAAAGCAAAGCATACGGCATTGGGCGGTGAAAAGCATTTGCATCAAGAGACATTGGCGTTTGCTTATTTTCTTTGCTATTCTTCTCTCTTGCTTTTGATGATTCGAACATGATGAGCAAACTCATTGCATTGCGTCTTCCTTTTTTGCACAATGAAATACAAGCATGTTATTTTACTCAGACACTTGCATACCTATCAAATAACAATGCCGGTGTTGATTCTTGTGATGAGGAGCTTACTGTAGTTCGTGACTTTCGGATCCAGTCATCCAACTCTTGGAGGACGATCGCACCTCTCTCTCACAGGTATGCCTTGTCAACATACCAAGCACTGGCATACCCACTGCCCAAAACATCAGTGATAGCAACAGCCTTACTCAGCTTCGTCTCGAAACTTCTAGTTCCAGCAGCACCGTCCCCAGTATTGCCATACTCGCCAAAAGTAACATGATCAGTGTTGGGCTCCGAAGTGCTCCAAACATGCCAGCCAGCTGCATTGACAACATTCGAAATGGAAGTATACTGCACGGCAACCCTCGCATAGTCACCCCAAGGCCTGCCTAGGTAGTATGCACCCTTGGGCACGGAAGCTCCGCTCTTAGCAGCAATGGAACAGTGATCCAAAACATAGTATCCAGCTTCATTGGAAGCACGTCCTGAAGCAGTGATGAATCCTAGACTTGCAGCCAACACACGGATGTCGCAGTAAGAGAACCAGGCTAAGCCGTGTTGGCCGAAGATAAAGTCTGTAGCGCCTTCGATGTAGCTTTTTGCGAAAAGCTGGGTGCCGGTTTGAGCGAGAATGGTATCTTGGTACCCTAAGAATTTACATGCATAGTAGCCTTGGTTCTGTTGTTTGACCGGATTAGTAGGCCGAATGGAAATGTAAGTTGAGAGTGCAGAGGGTTCATCATACAGCAGCTGAGGCGCTCAGAGCAAGAGCTTGCTTGCCTTGTCCATAAGTGTTTGCAAGATTGACATTGTAGAGCTTGAAGTTTGTAGACCATGCTCGCAGAGTAGCAGTCAAGTCATCAGTAGCAACCTCATTGAGCGACAATTTCTGAGTGATGGTAACGACGTTCTGATTATAGTCGGCCGTGTTCTCCGAGTAGCCATAGATAGTAAGTGCAGCTTTGCGAGGTGCAATGTAGACTTGTTCGTTGTAGGTGCCGGCTTCAATAAAGATGGATTGGGCTGTAGTAGAAGAGGTTGAGAGAGCGTTTACTGCATCCTGGATCTTGGAGTATTGGCCTTTGGTAGGGGCTTTGGAGACGACAAGGGCACCACTAGGAGCGGAAGTTCTGCTGGCGGCCAGCGCCAAACAGAAATTGAAGCACAAGGCCAAAAGGTATGGAATCATTGTTGATGGAAGGTTTTGCAGAGCGAAGGATGGATCTGCTGCTCGTGTGTCATGCTAGAATATGGGATATCCCCCTTTTATATTGTTCTTTGCGAATTACAACACCATCGCTTGTATCGCCCAGGCCATCTTCTGCAGCCTCTACTAGGGCTTTTCGAGCAAGGCCTAGATGTCGGCTACGACATGAAACAAGCCCTGAGTGTAGTAAGTTTTTCCACAAATGCTAGACGTTGGAAACTATCTTCGCCGCGTCTCCAAATAGATTGTGGTCAGCTGTCACTTCTTTGAGGGGTAGCCAAGATTACCGATATACAATAGTCTCAGCAATTTGTCGTGAAGTCGAAACCAGAGATGGCTGAGCTCAAGGGAGGACTGGCCCAGCTGACCCGGCCTGCTATATTAATCAAGTCTGCCATTGTTGGAACGAACTTGAGAGTACTGGTCGCTACACATTGGAAGCACAAGAACAGGTACGACGACGGTGCATGGCAATCTGAGCACCAGGTATTGCTTCCGAAGAGGGCAGAATAAAGGGCAAGGTTTCAATCTGAAACACCTCCGCAAATTTGGCGGATTGGGGTCAAGAAAGCTTGGTGTGCTTGGTCATCTACTTTAAATATTCCACGAGTAGAACTTCTGCTACGATAACAAGGTCCGAAGGCATCTAGTCCTGCATTCACACTTTCTATAGGAAGACTGGTTTACGCCCGCAAGGTGCGGGGAACAATGCTCTAGACCAGATACGCGCGAGGGCTCCGGTCTGCTATGAAGTACAAGAAACTGCCCTGATCATCGATGATGTTTCGATCATTGTTCCGATAAGTTTGTCCAGCTGAGATCGAATCTACTTTTGAATGTCTGTTCAAGTCAAAGAGAAAACCACGACTGCTTGGAAGAGAGAAAATTTTCCCAGATGCTTAGAGTTTGAGGTAAGATGCAAAGCTGAGTGCTCCTGCCTTCTCCCTCTTGCTTCCAGGTTATGCTTACAACAGTAAGATGCTCTGTCCCAGATCAGTGTTTACCTGGCGTTTCTTGTGACATTGAGTCTTGAACATCAGGGTGCGAGAGCCTCTATTCAGGCGCCAGGGTGCGCGAGCTCCTGTTCAGGGGCTAGGCGGCGATCAACAAATCCTTGAAGAGAGGCACAGTATACACAAAAGCGGAACATTCAGTCAGAAGAAGAGAAAGAATGATTGAGGGAGGTGAAGACTAGGAGTTTTGAAGGGCTCGGTGAGATACGCTTTTTGTCATGTCTGCAGGCCTGATGCTTAGAACAATATCGCTTAGCTAAGGTCAATCTGAAGACCCAGTGTAGCGTTCAGGATGCTGTTGCCATAGAAATACTCAGTTCCAGCGTTGCCAACATTGACGTAAGTAGACTCCTTGAAAGTGCCATGCTGCACAAGAGCCTCCAACCACTCCTTGAGATCACCACTAAAGCTGCCTTCGAACTGCTTGTCAGGCATCATGGTGTGGACAGTAATGCCAGTATCGTCATTCTTGCCCTCGTACAACTTCCAAGATGTGCCGAAGAGATTGTCGATGGTAGCTTTTGCTCCATCAGTCCAGCCGATAGGGAGTTGACCGCCTTCGTACTGGAGCCATAGCATAAGCTCTTGTGCATTGGAGGAAGTAGAGTCGCCTTTTGTGTCGCTGGTCATGAAGTCGTAGCAAACATTGCCTTTGAAAGCAGTGCTGTTGGTACGTGTCCAATTATACGTGGTTGGGATAGAGTTGATGCCAGAGATAGTTGTCTCGAGGTTTTGCGTCAAGCCGACAAAAGCATAACCCTTGGGCACGTTATCACTACTCAATTCTTTAGTAGGGGGTCACGGCAGTCACGCATTATTGAAGAAAAGCTCACGTTGCCTTCACATATTCAATATCGGTCTCACTGCTCCAGACGATCTTCTTGTTTCCAGTGGCAGGGGTCTCAACGTGATCATAACGTGTGCACTGTGTGCCAACCGACCCAGCAGCGTCATAGAACATGTTGTACACAATCCAAGGAGTGTCGTAGAGAACGAGAGTATCAGAAGTCCCGCAAAGGTCGATTGCAGCTTGCTTGGCAGAAGTGCTGATGATCTGAGATTTCTTGACCAAAGGACTGGGAGCGGCAAGAGCAGGCGCGGCCAGAGCGCCAATGGTCAAGACCTTTGCAAAGAAGGACGACATCCTGGGTGGGCAGAACAAGAGGGAAAGGAGAGGAAGAGGACGAACAAAACGAATACGCATGCAGTGTTGCAGTGCTTTTTGAATAAAATAGGGCTATAGGGCTCGAATGATTCTTAGGGCTGGGCTCCATTCGAAACGAAAGCCAGGCAGCCTCGTCAAGCTGAAACACCACCCATCCCGCGCATCGTTGCCCTCGGGCGCAGGTCTAAATTCTGGGAACATTCATACCAATCTTGAAGATTGTTCATTTGCAGTATCAGAATGCATCCCTACTGGATACTTTGAATTGTGCATAGCCGTAATCTCGATCGGCATACCTGTCCAGTAGGGCTTGCGACGATGTGTGATCCTCCCGAACGGCATGAGATCGCGTCTAATAACAGCCAGATGTTGGAAGGATCCAAATGTGATGCGATAACCCAAGGTAAGCTCTGTTACAAGCATGAGCGACGCTCGATGCGAGATTATGAACGTATAAGATGCGCATGGCTAGCTGCTATGATGCGAACTGTTGGCGGGGGTGCTTGAAGCTGCCACGCAGCCTTGTGATTTGATACTTGATAACACAGAGCTGGCTGTACCATGTTCAATCCTGCTGGTGTGGCTTAGCATCAACGGTCGAGCGGAGCGCACAATCTGAGTGTTCAGATGCTGTCCGTGTCCTGGCTTACGGCACAGTTATAAGGTCCAGAAAGATGGTTGTTCTCTATGTCGCAATGACCAGCGAAAAGGCTCATGGACTCGATTTGCCGCCACGAGGAGCAAAGCCGAAGCCACCGCGTCCTTCAGGACCTCTAGGCTGACGGACAGGCTGCTCGTCTCTAGAGGCAGCAGGTCTTGGGCTAGCAATACTACGCGGCTTTTGCTCGTAGGTGGGATCGAAAAGCTGGTTTGGTTGATAGATAGTCCTGGCAGGTGACTGGTCGGCGGGAGAATTGGACTGGCTGTCTCTTGGGGTACCGTTGCGGCCTCCTCTACCTCGATTACCCCTGCGCGAAGTCCTGTCCCCTCTAGTGGAAGGAGTGCGAGAGGCTGACGGATCTCTTGATGAATCTGGGGAGCCAAATAGACGTTCGCGGACTTCAGCGTATTTACGTTCCTTCTCCTTGCGCTCCTCAGCAGCTTTGCGCTGTCTCTCGGCAAGCGAAGCCTCTTGTCTCTTTCTCTCCTCTTCTTCGCTATCATCTTCGTCTTCCAGATTGAGGCCAGCCATACGGTTTGCGATTTGTGGAGTTGGTCTACGGGTCAGAAGCTTGACTTGAGGTTTGAAGTCGGAATTGAGAGGAGCGGCGCCTTTTGATTCGAGGAAATAAGAACGCTCTGGTTGCTCGGCAGCATCCCATAACTGCTTATTCATTTCCTGATGCTGAGCTTTGCGTTCGGCACGCGATAACTTGACGGTGGGTTGGACTGGTGCGGACTTGGCCGAGGACTTGGACTTGGTTAGCAGTGGTCATGAGATAAGGCGGGTCTTCTTTTGCGTACATCAGCGACCTTGTCCCAGTCGTCATCCCAGGCATCGGGCATTATGGTGATAGTAGTTCTCGAGAAGGGTAGATGAGGTGGTGCTCAGCGGCATGTAAGAACAGAGATAGTTCAGACTCGGGTCAATATAGGTATGCAGAGTGCACTAGGGTGGAAGCGTTAGTTGTCAGAGGTGATGGCATGAAGGTTCACGAATGGTCAGGTGAATTAGCTGACGGTGTGTCAGGACAGGGTGGGTTAATTCGGATTCGGATAATTGGCGACGTGCGGGCCGACGCGCTCTGGCCGTTGCTGCACCCCGCCTTCGTCATGTCCAAGCTCTCTGTCTCTCTGTCTGGCAATTGCATCCTTGTTGCTCTCAGCTGTTTCATCTGCATGTACAAGATTGGATTCGTGACGCTGCTTGTCCAGCTTGCTTGATCTGTTACAGCTCCCACTTGAATCGCAATTCCGTGTCAACCTTCAATATGACAGGTAACCAATGCCCTTGCCGGCGGCTGCCTGCCTACACGAGATTCATGACTAATCCGCTTCGTCCAAACACCAGGCGCCAACTCTCCCTTCGACCAAGACGGCGACAGTCTTATGCAGTCTGGCAACTCGTCTCCTAAGCCGAGCACTCCGAACGCTCAGATCCGCTCCATCGCCATCTCTGACCTCTCGCCTCCAAACTCTCAAGGCGTTCCTCTGCCTGTCGACATGCCCACTGTCGCTGCTTCTGCTTCCGGCGCAAACATGAACGGCAAACGTCCCATTTCTTCCATCGACCAGTCGCAAGATTCACAGGGTGGTGTGCCTCTCGGTGCCGCCATTCCCACCGATGCTTCGGTCAAGGCTGCCGCTGCCTACCGCTACACGCAACCAGAGGATGCTCCCGGCTATGCTTGGAACAACAAAAAGGCTCAGGATGACTTTAGCCGTGCTTGGGACACGCTCGTCGACAAGAACCGTAGAATCGGCAGTATGTTTCCACTATCACCAAAAGCGGTACTCTGTTTGGCTAACACGACTCAGACAAGTACGGCGATCCGTTCGCCATGGCCGACCGCGAGCTTGCCATGATGAACTCGCGCCAACAGTAGTCGAACTCAACTCTGCGACTCTGATGAGATCACGTCTCTTTGTTTTACAAGCATGGCGCACGGCGTTGAAACACCACATATTCTTTGGTGAATGGTCTGCATTAGCGTGGGATGGTCAAAAGGACATGGGCTATCATGGGAAATTGCAAAGCATGGCGAAAATACTGGATGCTACAGACAGCATCAGAATCTCGAACTATTTTTCTTTTCGTCTGTCTCCATTACAAAATGATATGATGTCGCTGAGTGGTTCAATCCCGATTCCCAAACTCTGCTCCTGATCATTGGAGACGCGTAGCAATACATATATCAGAGACCAACGCATCTCATGTGAGATTTGTGTCTGATTAATGCTTGCTGAGTGCCATCAACCGTTGACACAGGAGGTGCTCATCTCTGCCATCTGCTGCCAGGCACCTGCAGTGTCTAGTCACTGTCTTCGCTAGCATCATCCAACGCTTCATCCCTCATGCCATCACCTACCCTCTCTTCCTCTTCGTCAACTCCATCATCCACCTGCTCCTCATCATCGTCTTCCTCATCGCCCTCTTCGTCAACCTCTTCATCCCCTTCGCCTTCTACCACCTCATCATCCTCACCTTCCAAAGCATCATGGAATTCCTCATCCTCGCCCTCCTCCTCGTCATCCTCACCGGCTTCGCGTCTCAGCTTCTTTGACGGCGGCTCTTCGCCATCGTTTTTGCTATGACCATTCACAGCAGAAATCTCAGTGGCATCCATCATCGAAGCGTCTGCATCTCCATTTTCAGCTCCACTGTCTGTGGGCTTGCCGTCTTCACCTAGTTTTGACGCTTTTTCCTCGCGAATCTTGCGACGGTATGAGTTGCGTTTGTCGCATTGAACTGTGTTGTATTCTGTAGAAACATGTTAGAATGCTAAACTTTTGGACAAGGATACGAGAGTATTACTCTTGAGTTCTGCTTCGAGCCGGGGAATGAAGTGTTCGAATTCGTTTTCTTTGAGCGCGGCTATCACGTCTGCGGGCTGGATTGTCTTCTTGCCGCCAAGTTGAGCGTATTCATTTGAGCTGGAGAAGTAGATCTTGTTAGTCTGCTAATAGAAAGGCGAAGGATTTTGTGAGGCTTTGAAGGACCATAAACCTTAATAAAAGAAAAACATCGAAATCGACTTACTTAGATGCCAGGAAATTCACAAATACTGTACAGCTCTTGCTCAATGCCAGCAGAGCATCCTTGTGGATTGATGTGTTTGGTGGTAGGACACCCTTTGCTAACCGCGAAATCATCGTTCGTGGCAGGGCTAGATCCTGTTCCAAAGCATTCAGAATCTACTATAAAATATTGTACATCAGGAACAGTCCTCGTACCTCTACACTTGATCCTTCGCGGGCTGCGCGGCCAGTAGGAGCAGGTGATTCCTCATCGCCATTCGTGACGGTCGAAAGGTTTGATTTTCTGCCGGGCATTGTTGCGATCAAGGATGCGATCTTTTTGCAGAGCTCGAAATTCTGATTTGGGCGTCTTCGTATACTCTGAGCTGAGAGACAGAAGGGAGATAGGAATCAACAGTATTGGATAAAGTTGCTTCTTCTCGATATTCTCAGATGCCGTTTGTCGTCGGCGCAAGGAGATGGGGAGCGCGAAAGTTTCGCGGAAGAACGCGTAAAGTGGTGTTTGAGTGGGTGAAGCCCTCGAAATCCTGACCAGGCGTGTATGTAATGAACTCCAGGAAGCAAGACGAGAACTGTGATATGGACGCGTAGATACTCTTCGCCGAAGGAAAAGCAGGTGTTGGGGTGTGTTTGGTGTCGACGAGGTGCAGTCAATTCTCTCTCCTCTCCAGCACCCGCATCTCGGCCCGAGCACAGACCATTTCAAGATGGACTCCTCTTGATCACACATTTCGACCACACTCACAAACATCTTTATGTCGTCTTTTTACCCCGGCAAACGCCTTTCCACAAAAGGTGAACGCTGTACAGTACGCTATGTCGGCGAAGTCAAGGGGAAACAAGGCCAATGGCTAGGTGTAGAATGGGATGATCCCACCCGAGGAAAGCATTCTGGAACTCATGATGGAATTGAGTACTTCAAGTGTAGGTTATCTTTGGCATCGTTTGTCTCTTGGAAACAGGTCTGATGCCATTCCAAGGTAGGAGCTCACACCCCACGGCTGGTTCTTTTCTTCGTCCCTCGGCAGCGTGGGATCAACCAAGGACTTTTCTCGAAGCATTAAGAACAAAATATGCACCTATCGAAACTGGAGACAACGCATTCAATCAAAATGTCATCAGAATCAGCGGCAAAGAAGCTGAAGAAGTTGGTTTCGAGAAAATTGCACGGCAGCAAGCTCAGCTGCAAAACCTTCGCATCGTAGTCTTGGATGACTTGCTTGTCAAGGCCTACGACGAAAACAACACAAACTCCGAAGACAGCCCAAAATGCATATCAGAGACCTGTCCAAACATCACCGATCTCGATCTAGGAAGGAATCTGTTTGAAACCCTATCCGAGATTTCAGAAATATGCGATCGTCTGCCAAAGCTGAAGTTCTTGAGACTAGAGTAAGGAAGAACGAGATTTTTTCTGCTTGATTTTGGCTAACTTGCAGCAGTGCAAATCGTCTGCGAGATGTTTCTGAGCGAAAAGAGGACTTCAATGAGACCAATTCTGGCCTGGCGCAACTTACTTCTGCGAGTGTTGATCATATGCTCTGTAAAGGCAAAGAGGTCGGTTGTGACTTTGCACCCAGTGCGAAGCATTATGCTGATTGTTCTCTAGCTCGAAACCCTGCTACGCTCAATGTCAAATGTCAAAGAGCTGTCGGCATCGAGCAATCAACTGGGTTCGCTGGATGAATGCAGCTTACCAAACACGTTACACTCGATCACTCTGGAAGACAACGACTTCTCAAGTCTCGAAAATGTGCGTCACCTGAAAGACTGCTGTCCACAACTTCGCACCTTGAACCTCAAGAACAATCAAATCTCCAGCACTTTCAAGGACCCGCAACATAAGAGCACCTTCAAGCTACCGGAAACTATTACCGATCTGGATCTTTCATATAACAACATAACTTCCTGGACCATCATCAATGAACTACCGACAGTCTTTCCAGGATTGAAGCATTTACGTATAGCTCATAATCCTTTACTCTCTTCTTTACGCTCAGCCGATGGCAAGCCCTTGACCTCTGCTGACGGCTATATGCTCACCATCGCTCGTCTGCCTCAGCTCGAGACACTGAACTACTCCAAAATCACCGAGAAGGAGCGACTGAACTCTGAAACATACTACCTTTCCCAAATTGGCAGAGAGTTGTCTCTGTCACCTCAGGAAAAGGAAAAGGATATTCTAGCATCTCATCCAAGGTGGACGCAGCTATGTGAGGAGTATGGCGAGCCCAAAGTTGAGCGTCAAGCTGAAAGCAAAATTGATCCCAATTCTCTGGCAGCCAGGCTACTAGAGTGTACAGTGTACTCGCCTGCTGCAGCCGCAATCCGTGATTTGCCAAATGAACACGATCCGCTTGTGGTTGAGATACCCAAATCCTGCAGCATTTACAAGGTTCACGGAATCATCGGTAGGCGTCTGAGTGTCGAGCCCACCCAACTTCGTTTGATCTTAGAGACTGGTGAGAAAGATCGCGTGGACATGGCTACATGGAATGGGGTAGAAGAATGGGATTCTGACGAAGAAGACGCGGAAGAGGTTGGTGAAGAGTGGAAAGAAAGAGAAGAGGAGCTTATTCCTGGTACGAGACCATTGGGCACTTTTGTTGATGGAATGGTGGCAAGGATCAGAGTCGAGCTTAGACGGAGTCGAGAGTAATAATACAATAGACTCGAGAAAAGCTTTTGTAGATGCTTACCAATTCTTGCAGATGAGGAAAGAACGAAGTCATTGTGTCACCCTGGCCCCTTCTCCACGTTTGTCCTGTTCGCAACTTCTCCCCGGTAAACCTTGACAATTCATCACCATAATCTCTCGACATCGTCAGAAGATGTTTGTTGGCTCGTTGTTTGTTTCTCCCTCGGGAGCGCTTGGCGTTGGTCGTGTTATGTCGCGTTTGTCTGTGGTTGCCTGGCGCTGCCTGAAGAAGATTGGATGCCAACCTCTCCGAAACCTTGGTGTCGCTTCCTTCGCGCGGTTAGTCACAACATCCCATGTCCCGTGACTCGAGCACCAGATGGGATTGTCAAAGATATAAGTAGCTGATCACGTCCTCAGCTAACCCTCACTCAAGAAAACAGCTACACTCAAGGCCTAATTCCTCCCAATCATGTCCGCTCCAGGCGCGAGTCCCCAAACGAAAGCCCCGGACAATATCAAATGCCACCACTTTTTCGACGATGCCGGACGAGAAGTATTCCCTGGTCTGGGTATGGAATTGAACGATCCACGACTTCATCCAAACAAATGTCCCCATCATCGACTGGTGGACGTTAATCCAACTGAATGGAAGGGTATGGTCCTTGCACTCCGCGAGACCAACATGATCCTGGTTATGCAAAGACTCATGGAGAAGCCTGAATGGTATCGCAAGATCTTCGATGATACCATCTGCGACAAGTGGATGGCCGAGGTCGTGAGTCAAGTCGAAGACTTTAGTGAACTGATGTGGCAATATTGTGTTGCGGAGCTTCGCGACAAAGCCAAAACAATGGAAGAAACTGGAGTTGTTGCACCCATCGATGTCGACGTTCAAGTCGTGTATTCAGACACTACTGTCCCTGAGGATCTAAGACGAGACCTAGATAGAGCGGTCGCATCCCTGGAGAACGTACCCACCAAGGACAAGGACTGGCATCCTAGAACCCGAGAAAGAGTTCTCGACCTTGTTCACCCTTCCCTGTTTCCTCTGATCTATGGTCGCTCCAAAGTCTTGAGGGAAGGCGTGGTCGAGCTCGAAAACTGCACTTCGTACTGTGGACAAGGGGCGGTCATCGAACGACCTGAAAGTACCTCGAATACCTCTACCTATCATTCACTGCAGTTTCAATGGCTGCCCTGTGACGTCCACTTCCAAGGTGAGGATGACGTGAAAATCGTCGATGAGGACTTTGCACATGCCTGAACCAAAGCCTTTCACACCTCGCTTGGTCCCAGAAGAGCCTCCCCTTGATCTTCGCCGGGAGTACGCCGACAGCGGATTACAGATCATTGTCAAGCTGGCCAATACCTATTTGACGCCTAATGACCCACAGTGGGATGGTGGTAGCTGGCATGTTGAAGGCAAGTCTCTCAAACCAATCTGATAGCCTGACACTGACTGAGCATCAAGGCCTGTCGAACGAACACATTATCGCAACAGCCATTTACTACTTCTCAAACGACAACATCACACCCTCGCACTTGAAATTCCGCCACAACTGCAGCGATGAGGCTCATTTGGACCTAGAGTACGACCAAGGCGATTGGGACCATCTTGAGAAGATCACCGGCTTCAAAGACCAAACAGATGCCCTGATCCAGAAACTCGGTAGCGTTCTCTGTAAAGAGGGTCGTTTACTTGCTTTCCCAAACGTCTTGCAGCACAATGTCGGATCCTTTCAGCTCGAAGATGATACACGAGGCGGCGAGAGAAAGATTTTAGCACTCTTCCTGGTAGACCCGCACGTCCGCATTCTGTCCACCTCGAAGGTCCCTCCGCAAAGAAAAGACTGGTGGCAAAGTGAGCTACGCAAGCAGCGCGAGGATATCCACAGACTGAAGACACTGCCAAACGAATTGATGGAACAGGTCTTTGGAGATGTCATGGATTTTCCTATCTCCATGGATGAGGCCAAGAATGTTAGAGAGGCGTTGATGGAGGAGCGTGGGCCGATCAGCGAAGACATGATCGAGTGCGAAGCCTCATTCTACTTCTGCGAGCACTGAAAGCCTGCGCAGTTTCTGCACACTCTCAAACTCGCTGGTAGAGGAGGAAATGCCGAGGTGCCATCTCGATGACTTGGCAAGGCAACATAATGGAAACTGTTCTCTCTCGCAGGATCGTCCCTCTGCTCAAAACAAATCGTGTATTGCCAGATATGTAAAACTACTGCAACGCAAGTCTAGAATCTACACGAACCATTCTCACGGGGCGCGGGCATCTGCACAAACGGGTGAACCTCCTAGGGGATTGAAACAAAGCGTCAAGGACCGGATTCGCGTGGTCTATTGTCGGTGGCAGGTACTTTTGAAGAGAAGGAGACGTTGACAGCTGTCTGAGATGTCATGTCGCTGGTCATGACGCCTATGAGATTGGTAGGGTCGCTCGGATGATGGAGCCAGGATTGTATAGTGGTAAATCGCCCATATCTGGTAGATTAGTTCGTCAGCGTGGTGAGTTTAAGCGCTGCAGCTGTCCTCCGATTTGCACTGCACTCTTTCGCTCACAAATGTAAGGATGCAGAATTCATAAAAGTGATGTTTGTGCTCTTGTGGAGAGAGGGGTATCATTTTGAAGTAAAGAAGATCCAAGGAAAGTAGAACAGACTAATCAAAGGGCAATCTCCTCAAAGTCTCACCACCTTGGCGCTTCTTCATCTCTTGCATGGCACCAATAGCAGAAGGGACCTTGATACCACAGCAATCATCCCAAGTCTTGCCGCTATGGTCATGAACGTGCTTCATACCGCCATTGGGGGCAACCTGACCTTGTCCACCTTCAGTCTCTTCCATTTCGCCAGCAACATGTGTCTCGTCCTCTGTACTCATACCGTCAACAGCAGGTACGAGACCTCCAAACAAGAAATGCTGCATGACAGGAAGCTTTCCCAGGACTTCAGCGACAAACATTTTTTTCATGCCTGCTTCAACTTTTTCCCAGTTCTTTGCGCTGCTAATGTCGTCGAGCATGGGGGAATGCCAGCGGAGGCCGTCGACGTTTTTGACGCTGTTGACGTAGGTGACTTGTTCGAGGTAGAGGTAGTCTTTGGAGCACTCTTCGAGGATGAGGGGTTTGTGAATTGACATGGGACGGATGTGAGGGTGGTGGACGAGCTGGGCGCTGCCGAAGAGGAAGGGGGCGAATTGGTAGTCGTCGAGACCCCAGACGCCATGTGAACCGGCGGGTTCGAGATAGTATGTAGATTGAACGACACGCATGACGCGAAGGTAGCGAGGGAAGACTATGAGGGCGATTTGTTGGAAGGAGGACTGGGGGAGGAGGTCTAGGCGATTCAAGCACAGCAACCAGATGAGGAAGTTGAGCTCGTGACCAGAGCCGTAGTCGATTCGAGTCTTGTTGCCAAAGGAGTGGAAGATGTATGTCGATACTTCATCTCGAGCGGCGGCATCTGTTATACCAAGCTTGTCGTGCCATGATTTGAGAAGTGTCTCGATCTTGTCAAGGTATGTGATGAAAGCCTTGTTACCGAAGCGAGAGCCACCAGCATCTTCGGCAGGGCATTCTGCAACTGTTTGCTCTGCCTCTTCTAATATGCCTGTAATTGTATCGATGATAGGGATTCTTTGGGCCTTTTGGACAGAAGTGACGGTTGTTTGACGAACAGAGTCGGAAAGACCAAAGACAAAGGCGGTAATCAAGTCATATGCGGGTGAATTCAGGAACAGGTCATGATCTTCCTTGGACAGAATACGACGTGTGGGGTGTTGGAAGTTGACGTCTTTCTTGTTTGGCGGCGCAGGAAGGGCAGGAGTCGGTGGTGGAGGATTTAATGGAGGCTCATTTGACTTGTCTTGCTTGCGTCGAGGCACGAGTTTAGGAAGCTTGTTGGAGAGGTCTGGTGGCGGACTAGGGATTTGGGCATCAGGAATGGGCTCGGCGGAAGGCATCGTGTCGTGTATATGTCTAGGTGCAGGAAAGTGTCAAGGACATGAATGGTCAAGGTCTAATTGTAGCAGGTCGGCCTTGGCAACGATGCTGCATGAAATGGCGGCTGCTGTTTGCGGAGGTCGTGTTGATCCCTTGATCGTTTCATCCTTCTTGAACATCCATTTCTTATCGCCGGCTCGACAAGACTCGACAAGTCTCTTGCGCATCCTTCGCCGTTTCGGAGCGCCATCTCATCAATATCAAACCCGCACCGCCGCGACTTCTTCCGCCCACCGCCAGCGACCTTTCCGCCTCGGCCGCCAAGGCACTCCCGCTGAAACGTCATCAGGCCGGCTTGATATGATGATTAGCTGCAAAATTATCGACACTCAACTGCCATAACAATCGCGACTGCATGCCATAGTCTTATCCTCGCCTGAGCCTGAGGGCATGTCCTGCCCCCGATGGTCAAGCGCCCGCGACTTCCCTTTCGCATTCCTTTCTTCCGCATCTTCTACAGCACCACTTATACCACCCTCTTCCTCGTCATCCTCATCTTACTGGCCATCACTCCCGCAACCCTCATCTATACCGCTATCGAAGCCAACGCCTATCAGTATGTCTTCGAGGTCGGTGGCGTCTATGCCCTGGTCGTCATCCTTACTCTCTTCATCTACTCGAGTCGACTTTACACCAATCGCTCCGTTCTTGCCGCCGTTGGCAAATCTTGGATTCCCGTACAGCCCGGCGAGGTCAGCAAAAATGTCCGCAAGGAAGTCGTCAAGGCCGCAAATAGAAGCGCGAGGATTGCCTTTGAGACCAAGCCAAGAAACCTTCAGCCTGAACTTGCGCGCATCAAGAAGCATTCCCATGAGTCCGACGAAGACGAGCCAACCACCGTTGGCAACATAATTCACATTGATCCGCACAATCCTCCTTGGGGTCATGTCTCCCATGCTGGCTGGTCTTCGCCTTCTCAACTCGACGCCCATCTGGCCCCTCACATTCACTTCCGCACTGTTGTCATGGAGCTGCCCAATCTCGTTGAAGCCCGTGCTGTCTCACTAGCCCCTCCCGACTCATCTTCCAACCCTCAGTCGCAAGATGCGACTACCCTAGCTGATCCGAGAATCGTCGACTTGCTTTCAAGAAAGCCTGCCGCTGACATGCGCTCATATCTGGCACAGCTTTCCGGTCTTGGTCTAGTTCCACCCGACGTTGGGCAAGATTTTGTTCAACGTTACGAGCATGCTCGTTTCTCCCCTATACCCATCCAAGAGGATGAATTCGAACATCTCATGTCCGTCTTTGCCACTTTACTTGCCAGCATGAACCAGCTACCACCTCGGATCTTGGAAATGGCTCAGCTCGGCTCGGACGCCTCATCTGAGACTTCGAGCTTATCTTCTATTACTTCTCGAAGTGATAGCATTTCCTCTTCCATCGCTGGCTCCGTCTTCCACGCTCGCAAGCCTGCTTCAAGACTACCATCTTTCTACACTCCACGCGCATCAATGTCTGTCGCACGCACACCTTCGCCAGACACCCGTCGTGGTGCTCTACTCTCCACACCTCGACCACCCACTTCACAAACCACCAACACTGTCTACCGCACGCCTTCTCAACAAACAATCTCGACCATAAACTCGGTTCGTAGAACGGCACCGAGAGAGCGACAAGATATGCTCGATGGCAATGGCTCGCCCGCTGCCAGTCTTCATCGACTAGAGAGCTATGCAAGCGGACAGAGTGTTATTCATACACCCCTCGCTTCTAGCTCTGGAACATCCTACTATGGATGAGCTGGAAGACAAGGGATTATTTACTTCGATTCTCTGTTGATATCATTATTCTCATACTATACCCCTGTTTATATGTTAACGAAATAGAATGTTTAATGCCATAGTCTCGGCTTCTCTCATAAATGTATGGCCTATTGTCCGATTATTGTAGTAGTACAACTTTTCACCATATCGTTTTGATCTATAGGAGACATGCAGCGATTTGGAAAGGGCTACGGACGTCATTTACGTGTGCGGTCGTTAGGCAAATGAAGACCTGATCTTAAGATCAAGGGATATCTCGTGCACTACCGCAACTTCCTAACCTATCATGTCGACCATAGGAGATATGGAGTAGTTTCTATACGGTTGCAGACGAGGGTGTCGTGTGTTGTCATGCGGGCAGGAAGATCGATAATTTGGATGAGTGGGTGGCGATGTAGCAATGGATGGCTCTTCAGGAGGCGCTCCTGGTGATGGAGCGGCGAATGGATGAGAAGGAAAAAGAAAGGATGCAATGACAAGGTCGCTAGTTATAGACTTTGGAAGGCAGAGTCAGGTTTGCTGAAGTGAGTGACGATTATTTGAGTTTCAGATCCCGGATCGTGAGTTGTGTTTAGCGATTGCATACCGAATCGATGTGTCAAAGGGTGCCATCAAAATGCACAATTGTTTCCCAGACCAGAGCTCTGTCCAGAGAAAGTTTGACCAGATGATGGCTCTCAGTGGATGAATCTCCAACTCCTGATGCCACTGTGCGTTTTGACGGTGATGAATATCATGACCGTTTCCTTTGCATCGTGCTCCTTGGACTTCTCTTCATACACCACCTTCCACACCATCACCCTCCTCAACCCCATCACTGACAATCCTAATCCCCTTGCCCTTTCCCTTTGCATCCTTAGCAGCAACAACCTCTACACTACTCATTCCATCACTAGTACTTTCCCTCAATCCTGAAAAGCTAGACATGGATTTCAACCCTTCTAGCCACTTTGCGATATATCCTTGTTTGTTGTTGCCGTTTGCCACAATGACTTCGTTGCCATTGGTATGATGCTGATTTTGTGGCTTGTTGGGCGAAGAGATGCGCAGGTTTTCGCGATGAGCAGTACTCAAGTCAATGAGTCGCGAGCGAAACCCTTTGGTGTGGGTGAAGTGCCGAGCATGTTCTGTGGTGACTTGGTTTTGGAGGTTGGAGAGGTTGAGGGAGTGGCGAGTATCTTCCTTTTCGATACGTTTGCGAAGGGCGATGATTTGGTTTGCTGGGGGTTGGTCTTGGGGTTCTTGTGTTGTGGTTTCTTGGGTGGTAATGGTGGTGGTAGTGTTGGGTTGCTGATAACGATGATAGTTTCTCTGGATGGATCTATGAGCACAAACGTATGGATGTTAGTGCTTTGATGGATACATACAGATGAGGAGTGCGATCGACGACGAGAATGATGTCTTCTATCCGCTCTTGGACTTTCTCTCTGCCGTTCTCTTGCAGAAGGTCGCTCTCTGTTCGTAGAGTGGCGGTGGGAGATACGTCGACCTTCTTGTATCGTTTTCGAAGTGGATTTAGGTCTTGCTGGAGACCCATGCTGGTCGTCGGAGATCTCAAAGTGGCAGCAGATGTACAGACAAGGCGGCATGTTGACTGCTGGTTCATAGATTCTGGATTTATTCGATTTGCGAAGAGCATATTCCTTACTTGAAGATGATAGCAGATCTGGCTGACGTTTGTGAAAATTGAGACATGAGTGCCTGCAACGCATGAGACATACACAACACGTCGGCTTCCAGGTAGTGTCTCGTGAACCTGCATGCTGACAGGCTTCAGATCCGAGACTGCAATCGAGGTAAGACACGCACTCATAGATAATTTGGAATCGTTCATTCTTCGTGACTATGTGAGATAGATCGGTAGCAGATTGCTAGTGCATTACAATGAGGGGCCGTAAGTATACGCTCAAACACGATCGTCAAAAGTGTCATCATCATCCGCAAGGTTATATCCGGGCTCCTTGACGTAGGGAGGGCTGTGATTAAAAACAGTCAGACATCAATGCCACTTCCCAGAAAAGGTCGCAGGGATGTTTTCTCCTACATAAAGTAGTTTCTCAGACCAACAATGCCGGCGGTCATGACGGCAAATCCACCGAGCATCTTGCTCCAATCGGGGTTGTTCAAGGTGGCCTGGCCAACGCTCAGGGCAACCAGGTCGTAGACGAGGCATCCGCCGAAGATCCAGTCACTGCAGGCGGCGAGACCAGCAAAGCCAGCTCCAGTCACGGCCTTGATGGCTGTGGAAGGAAGAGCATCCTTGAAGTATGCAACACTCATGTTGTGGAGGAAGTCGAGGACGCCAATACCGGCAAAGGTCTTTGCGTTGATGTGTGTGAGGATGGACGAAGTCGAGGAAGTGTTCATGGGGCCGAGCTTGGTGAAGACGAAGTAAAGCTGGCTGAGAGAGTTGACGACAACGAACAAGTTGGAGATCTTGAGCTGCTCGCTGTTCCACCAATACATCCAGGCTTCGGCTAATTAGCGTGTGTGTCTATAGAAGAAAAAGAGTACAACTTACTGCCAATGCAAAAGTTACCGAGGGCGTAGTAGGGGACAAAGTTCACAATTTGGTCGAGTTCGGAGCGCTCCTTGGGCTTGCTGGGATCAAGCTTGTACAAACGGTACAGCCAGGCCAACTGTACGATCTGCTGAGGTGCAAAGAAGGCTCCAATGAAGTAAGGCTGGGGGCTCCAGAAAGATGTGTTTCTGTCGTTGATGTCCTTCATCGAAGGAGTGCTGTTGAGCCCATACTGCTGCAGCGCAAAGTCGTAGACGAACGACACAGGTGCGAGCCACTTGGCGGTGCTGTATTCAATGCCCATGATTGCGGTAGGATTGACGAGGAGAAATTGTATTGATGTTGAAAAGTTGTTGATATTCAGAGAAAGAAGGAGCACCTACCCAAGAAATTCTCTACAAATGCAGGAAGGAATGCTGTCAAAAAGTCATGAACTCATCAAGCTCCTCAATGAGCGATGACGTGGGGTCTGACCACGACGGTGTTTGTTTTTACCCCGGTTCCGATCATATGATCCGCAACCTTGCTCTTGAGCCTCAGTGTCACAAGAGCCTCAGGAGTTTCTCTCCGAGACTCGTTATGGCACGACCAAGATTCCACGAAAGCAAGAGATAGAGAATTGAGCACATGAAGGTTGACGGCAGCTTACCAGATGATGCGTCTCTGGACCATCACAGCTTCGTCATGCCAAGCCTTGTCACTAGTCTGCAAACAAGACCTGCAGCGGTTCATACAAGAATGCACAATATCATGTGTACCCTGCAGCGGAAGGACGACATGATGTTAAGGTGGTAGACAGTCTGGAACCTTTCGTGGCGGACGTGAAGAAGAAAGATGCCAATCTTTTCAACATGCTCAACCATGAATCGCATTCTCGCCAGCACCGACACCAGAATCGGAAAATGAAAGCCAGGCCTCCCGTTTCAACGATCCTTCATCTTTTGCATCGCAATAATTTCGAGCCCTGATAGAACCGCCAGAAACATCTAGACTGAGCTGACACGCGAGATGGCAGTAATTTCACCGATGCAATCGCGAAACGCCCAGCCTTGCAAGTCGTGTCTTGATATTCTGCCGTGCAATCGATCGAGCCCTTCGAATCGTGTCGTGATAGTAACAGGATTTAGATCATAACAGAGTGGAGAGTCGTGTGCCGTTCGAGAATTCGCTCGCTCCAATTTACCAGCACTGACACTCGGTCTTGGTATGGTCTAGAAAAAAGGAGGATCAACAATGTGGGTGTGTTTGCCAAGTTGTGGGTTCTGATATCAGAATACCTTAGCAATGCACAGTTAAGGACGGGAGCAGTCGACTCGGTCCGAGATGAGAGGGATCGATCTGATGTTCATGCCAGTAGAGACTCAAGACAGCAGTGAATTCTGTACAGGAAAAGAAGACTTCATATACACACACACACGTACATTCTAGAACAGAAAGCTTGAAATGATAAGTTGTAGAATATTGAAAGTCATAACAATTCGGGTATGTACATTAAAAAATCTCAGTGAGAATAAACCTCCCGATTACGTTAAAAATTGCAAACAAGGAATATGCGCCTTTTTGCCCACCCATACACCAATGCTATGCCATAAGAGTTGAAACTTTTTGTCAAAAGACTTCCTGAAGTCTGTAGGTTATTGTTTACTTCTCCTCCTCAGCCTTGGAGGCAACGCGAGAAACAGGAATGTTTCCCTGCTCGGCAACACCAGAGGCGTAGGCATCCTCGGGAACCTTGGAACCGTCCCACTTGGAGGAGGTGATGGGGTTGACGTGGAGGACGTACATGGTGTCGATCTCCTCGAGGGAACGGTCCTTGGACTCGATGACGAAGAAGTAGACAATAGCGGCAAGACCAAGACAGCAGCCACCGAAGACAAGACCGAAGAACCAGTGAATGTCGTCGACGATAACAGTACTGAAAAGTGAGATAAGGAAGTTCCAGATCCAGTTGGAGGCAGTGGCGAGACCCATGCAGGTGGCACGGTAGCGGGCAGGGTACAGCTCAGCAACGACGGCCCAGACGAGGGGTCCCCAGGTGGTGGCGAAGGCGACGATGAACAAGCAGGTGAAGACGATGAGGACACTTCCGGCAGCCTGGCTGTTCTCCTTGGCGAAAGGAGGGAGCTTGAAGTGACCGACAAAGGCGTAGATCATGAAGCAGACGAAAGCCCAAAGAGCACCGGCAATGAGAGCCTTGCGGCGACCACACTTGGCAACAACGTAGAGACCACCGAAAGTGCAGACAACGTTGACGGTACCGAGAATGATCTGAGTGACGTAGGAGTCGCTGAGACCAGTGGCCTGGAAGATGGTCGTACCGTAGTAGAAGAAGAAGTTGGCACCGGTAAGCTGCTGACCAGCCTGGAGGGTCATACCGAGGATAGTACGGTAAGCCATGCGGGGACCGGTGAAGCACTCGTACCACTTGGCACCGACGGCGGCTCTCTCCTCGTCAAGCTTGACACGGATGTCGTTGATCTGGTCGGTGACCTCCTTGTGGTCGGCGTCGATACCAGCGTAGCGGGCGATGGTGTTGCGAGCCTCGTCCTCACGACCCTGGCGGTAGGCGTAACGAGGAGACTCGGGGAGGAAGAGGATACCAACACCGAGGATGAAGGCCCAGAGGAAAGAGATACCCTCAGGGATTCTCCACTGAGCGCTGTTGGAGTAGGCATCGTGGGTACCGAAGTCGATCATGTAAGAGGTCCAGATACCGAGAGTGACGAAGAGCTGGTAGCAAGCAATGAGGACACCACGAATGACACGAGGAGCGGACTCTCCCTGGTACATAGGGACGACGACAGACAAGGCACCGATACCGATACCGTCAACGAAGCGACCGGCAGCGAACTGGCCCCAAGAGCTGACGGAGGAGATTTCGATAATGACACCGACGGCAGTCCAGAAAGCGAAGAGCGAGATACAGAACTTGCGACCAATGACATCGGCGAGTCTACCAGCGATAAGAGAACCGACGGCGGCACCACCACAGAGAAGGGCGGTGATAGCACCCTGGCGGTAGGCACTGAAGTAGTAGGTACCATCGGCTCTCTGCTGACCGAAACGTTGAAGGAAGTCGGACATTTGCCAGTAACCTTGGGAGACGTTAGCATCTAGCTTCGGGAGCTTGGTTAGGTAGCTTGCAACATACCAGAGATTTGACCAGAAGCATAACCGAACATGAAACCACCAATAGAGGCAACGAGACCCATGAAGACGGCCATGAAAGTGACCTTGCCAGCAGGGGCAGGAAGCTCATGGTTGTTGGCGGTCGACTCGACCTGACCAGCGGTCATGGCCTCAGTCTCAGTACGCTTGGAGAAGAGACCCATGGTGAGGATGGATTAAGATGTTGTACTGGTTGTTGAAGGGTGAAGGATGCAGAAGGGGAACCAGCTCAAGGGCGAAAGGGGAGGTCTTATGACAGCCAGGTGAGGTCTGCTGAGGGGATCGAGAGGAAAAATGAGGAGAATCGAGTTTATAAAGGATAGAGCAAGACAATGGGACGGTAATAGATCGGGGTTGCTCTGGAGTGCTCCGGATGCAAAGACGGCACTCAACGCGGGCGGCGTGTGAGCGTGGATAGAGAGTCGGTTGGAAATGATAGAGCACGAGACACTTTGGGGTCTGTTGATGGATGTTTGGTTTCGATGTTCTACGCTCTGCACGGAGGATATATATGGGTCCAGGGAAAGTTCGAGCCACTAGCTGGATCATTATAGCCGAGCAGCGACGTCAAACTATGGCCACGGTCCGGTGATTGTTCAGGTCACCTGCAACCAGCAGCTTCGAGCCCTGAGTTGGACGAGAAGCTCTCGGGACGAATTGTATGCGCAAAAATTTGCTTCGCGTGCCGAAGCCGACTGAACCATCACGAATCAGACGACGTTAACGACGGAGGTAGCATCCAACATCTCGCTCAAACGCCTAGCAAAAGTGCATCAGCCCATTGAAAATGACGTCGGGTCTCGCGAGCTAGTTAATTGGATATCCACGCAACGGGAACACAAGAGCGATTTTTTTCCTTGGAGCAGGAGGGTTAGCCCGGGGCCCATTGGGGTTTGATTGCTCCAGGATCATGCAACGAGCAGTCGCTTCACAAGTCAGTGGGAGCAAGTCTGGGACAGCTCCGGGGCCTGATGCAAGCTTGCGAGAGCGTGATGTGGGTCGTGGAAGGCGGCCAGAAAATGCATCGAAGAGCGACGGCCGTAGGATGCCAAGTCGGATCTGTATGTATCGGCCCTTTGATGGCTTTTCTCGGCCCGTCTCGCAGAAGCCTCTTTTCAAGCCACCCGTGAAAGTCTCTTTCAACGTCTGTCGAGAGGGCAGATGACGTCCTATTCGAGATCTGGAAGTCCATACTACACGACTCGACATTTGACATCTGATCAGATCCGAAGAAGAATCGCTTTTGAGGTCTCGAAGAGAGGATTTACGTGTTCTTGCCCTCTCGCTAGAAAATGGCGGGCCTTGTGGACCGCAATATCCCCCAGCGACCGGCGAAGGACCGACCTCGGTGGGCATACAAAGTAGGCAGTGGTCTTACTTCGGTTCTCCTCTGTTCAACAGGATCTTCTTCGGGACATGTTGGGAAGACGAGTTATCGTACACGGATAGCCAATAGCACAAGACCGGCAAATGGAAGAGACACGTCAAACACGCTGTAGCACGCGTTTCATCACGAATTTGGACATGATACCTGATGATCCCCGAGACGTGCAGCCACGCGCATACGATGGTACCTGTCTTACAGACCCACAGTTGCATTTCAAGGTGGGATGAAGCCTGAGGGTGATAGAGTCGTTACGGGGTGAAATGTGGTGGAAATGCGGATGGCGCGGAGGGTGATTGTGGTGATGGTGTCGGGTTCGCTGTATGCATCACCCATGGGCGGGAGAAATAGGAGCGAGGTGGAGGATGTGGCGCCCCATGGAGCGAAGGGCAAAATCTGCATGTCACGGTAGTAGGATCAAGTGATCGGCACTTCATCAGGAGGCATTGCGCTTCTAGTGAATACTCTTTGGGAGAGTGTTCAGTCCATGCTCTTTCTGAGCTGGTGTAGAATGTGTTGCTCTTAGAGCAGCTATCCGTGCCTAATTTCAGGGACAATAGATGGTTCTGATCTTATCAACGGATCTATCCTGTCGAAGCTCGGACCATGTAGTCCTCTTGTAGGTTTGTCACTGTAGCTGCGCGTCGCGAGTTGTCGTCTGGCAAACTACACCATCATCATGGCAGACTCACAATCACCGGCTCCAATAGCTGAGGCACATCGTCTGATGCAAGAGAATGCGCCAACGATTTCGTCGCCGCTGAATCCCGAGGTTAGGGCGCGTTCACAGCGCGAGCGCAAAGAGACAGCCAAGAAGCGCGAGGCCACACGCGGTACCACTCCAACAGTGCCATCCAAACGCAAGGCTCCTGGCCCCTCAAATGGCCGCCATGCTGTTGCTCAAACCGCTCCATCTCCTATGCGCTACCAGATCCCCCCGCCAAAGACATCCGACTACGATCCACCCAGACCGCCCATCTTCACTTCGCACGAACCTCTACCCTATATCACACCTGATGGCAAGACGGAGCTCAAGAAAGTGACAGACCAAGCCGAGAACAAGCGCGCATACCGATACACCCTAGCCGTGGCAGACCCTAACTTCCGACACAAGCAGTTCTATCGCCAGTCAGATGGCTTGCCTTATGGAGCCCGCATGTCCTTCGAAGATGCCGACCGTTCAATACACTACGATACTAGCGGCCACATCGTGACAAATGGCAAAGGATGGCGCATGGCGAGAGCCAACGTCTGCGCCCGTGAGGGTTCGCTCTACTACGAAGTGCGTGTCGTGCGTGGTGTGCCCACTGTCCAGTCAGAAGACGCCAAGGGACCCCAGCCACATGTACGAGTTGGATGGGCACGTCGAGAAGCTCCTCTAGATGCCCCAGTCGGATTCGATGGCTACAGCTACGGCATCAGCGATCTGCGTTTCGAGCCTATGCACCGTAGCAGGCCATCCAAGTTCTTTCACCCCAAGACATCAAAGAACAAGACCAACACGCCAATCCAGCTCGACGACAGCATCCGCGAAGGTGACGTTGTCGGTCTTGAGATCACTCTCCCCTCACTGGGCCTGCATCAAAAGGTTGTCGAGGGTCACTACAACCCTGCTGTCGATCTCGGCGACGGCTTTGAAGAACAACCACCGGCTCCCGATCCTTCTGTTGAACCTCATCATATCATCCGTGATCGGATTCCGGTACCTTACAAAGGCAATGTTTACTTTGAGATTATGGATTATGTCTCAACCAAACCTGTCGAGGCATATGCAGACCGCACCTTGTCTTTGACCTCTTTATCTACACCTGCCCCTGGCGCCCCGACCTCCATCAAATCACAACCTGGCCCTCATCACCAAGACCCTCCACTCCGTACTCTGCCCCACAGCAACATCCGTGTCTACAAGAATGGTCAACTGATCGGCACTGCCTTTGAGAATCTTTTGGCTTTCCTGCCCCCAGCTAGTCAGGTCAGCAAAGCTCAGGGCGCACGCGAAGGTTTCGATGATGGCATGCTTGGATACTTCCCTGCTGTCGCCTGTTTCAGTGGCGGTATTGCCGAGCTCAACTTTGGCGAGAATGGCTTCTGGAACCCTCCACCTCACATCAAACCTGCTCCCGCGCTTGCCGACCCTTCAGACTCGAATAACAGATTCTACCCTGGTCGTTCTCTGAGACCTATCTCTGAAAGGTTCAAGGAACAGATAGCTGAAGATATTGTTTGGGACGTGCTCGACGAAGTCGACTTCTTCAGTCAAGATGGTGGGTTTGATCGTAAAGTCGGCGCTGGTGCAAATGCTGTCAAGAAGGGCGTTGCCAGCTTGAAGGAGGAGATGGACTAGGATTCTACTTCGCCACGAAAGTTCCGTCCTTCGCGAGGCATTGCTGCAGAGACGCCTCTTCGCCAGATTATGTGGCCAGAGCCTTCGATTACTTCGCCAACTTTGCCACCGGACGGCTCTGATCTGGCTGTTCCTGGCATCAGGTTGAAGTTGAAACTTCGCCAATCGAGCTGAGGGATTGCCCCAGCGCGATTTCATTGATTCTGGCTGGAAAGCTTGACGAAGTTCGTGTATACATACAGGCAGGTTCCGCGATGGCCTAGTCAGAGCATAGGCTAGGAAGAGTCTCTGGCTCGGATATGGATGCATGTGACCATGTCGGCAGAGACAGTCAGATCGAGTTATCAGCAAGGTATCCCTTGATATGATCAAAAAGCACGTCATCTTACTTGTTCCCAAGTGAAGAGCTCGTTATGCTCTCTTCAGCAGCTCCTCCATGACCCATCAGTGCCACTCTCATTTTGTGCAAAGTGGCAACCAAAGGTCAACAACAGCAATAGCAACAGAAACTTTCCAAGCCAGTCCAATACCCTACCCTTTTATACACGTCTTCATTCATGTTCTGATTGTAAAAATCAAAAGTGGATTTTCACAGGGTGGAGAGCAGGAAAGGTTGACCAACCCATCAGCGTACCAAAGTCAGGGTGATACCATCATCCATAATTTTCTGGGATATAAATGCACCACATCCCACCATAGTTTGGACGAATGGTGCCACGAAGCTCTTTACGGCTTATAGATACCTTCTCGAGTTAGATCGGTACCGTTTGAGACCATAAAGTCGATTTTGCGGAAGTTAGAGCTTGAAATCTACGATTTGCAACTACGCGCATTAAGTACCATAGCACTATGCAACGCCATCGTCAAAGATGTTGAACGTAACGAGCAATGAAAAAGAGTTGGAACCATAGGAATACTGAGAGCAGTGTCTAGATGAGAGCAGCGTCGAAGGTGTGGATGATTTTGATATTAGTCTTATGCAAAAGGAGGATGTTCTAAAAGACCATCAAGGAGCGGTTGAAAATGAAGGCAAGGACGACCAAGGGTAGCAAAGTAAGCATCAAGCAATTCAAATAGCAGTGAGCGACGATCTGTCACCTAGAGCGGATACACTCGAACAAGCTGAAAAGGACTATCCGCAGTACTTTTGCTCTACCTAGGTGAGTACACGTTCTACTGAGGGGCAATCGCAACAATTCTCAAGATAACGTCGTTCAATCATCAATACTCATCAATCGTCGGTCAGATCTTCGTCCTCGTTTAAACTAATAACCCTCAATCTTACCCTCCCACTCTGGTCTTCCTGATCTCCATTCAGAGAACTCAACCTCACCTGGCATCTCTTCTCCGTTCGCGAGTCTCAGACGTGGGAAAGAGTCTTTTGCCCAGACATAGGCACGGCCATCCTCAGCAACGGCACCATGGTTCTGCGGATTGACAAAGGCGTCGGGATCGTTGGGGTCACGGAAGTCGGGTCCTGTGGTATCTGTACGAGGTGAGCCATTGAGCCACCGTACAAGGTCGCCTGCGTAGCCGAGAGCGCGATTGAGTAACCCACGATTGTCAGTTTGATCTTCCTGCGTACTATTCTCTTCTCTAGCCACAGCATCGTGCTTGGGTTCATCTTCCGTGGCTTCGAGACAGGCTTCGCTGATTCTCTTCGCCTTCTCCTCGTTAACGAGGACCAGGGCACCAGAGTGCCAACCAGCTGCTGTGACACTGAGTGCGAAGTAGTTCCGGAGATCATCATCGCTTTGTGTGTTGTCTGGTCCTCCATACTTCTGCTCCCAAGCATTGCCTTCTTGCTCGATCCATTCGCTAACCTCTCCCTGAACATTGAGCTCCGAGAGCATGCGCATGCGCTCTCTGGCCTCTTCGGGATCTCTACCGCCGCTTGTCAGGAAAGTGATCCATTTTTGTTTCTCCTTCTCAAACCAGATCCTGCGGCCATGCAGGTTGGCATGAGGTACGAGACGACCATCTCCACCTATGCCCTGGTAACGAAGTCCACGGATTCGACCTTCAGGGTCTCCATGCCCACCGAGACCAAGGCAGCCACAGCTCTGAGGCTCTGTGCCGTACGATGTGATGTAGCCAGGCGCGTGCAGAGCATGGAAGTGGTAATCGCCGAAAGCTATTGAGATGACCTGAGAGTGTTGGAGAGCCGGAATACGATTAAGGGATAATCTTGTGTCTGTAGGAAGGGGACGGAACAGACGATGCAAATGATCATCCTGGTTGCCTGTATACACAGTGCCATCATCGGTGAAAATTGCGAACGATCGGAACGATCCTTGAACGTCCGTAGCGAATTTTGTCTCCCCTTCCGCTCCGAGCGGCAGCTCTCTGACATCGTCTAATGCCTTACTCTGTGCGTTCCAAACAATTTTGGCCGCATAAACTTTACCAAGATGGGTGTTGAACACGATGTAATCCTCGAGACAGATGAAGTTGTGTACCTCTCCAATGGTCAAGCTTGCAGACGAAGGCTCGAACGATTTGGCATGCATCTGAAAATCGGTACCAGGGCAGACTGCGGTTTCCAATACCAATACAGTATCATTTTCATCACAGTCTGGCTGTCTCGGGCCACGAGTCAAGGGTTCCCACATAACGATACCGGTACCCACTACCAAAGCAGCGCTTTTTGCCCAGCCCGCAACGACTTTTTTGACATATCCACGAGTTGAAGAACCAGCGTTCTCTCTGATTACGGTGTCAACGTTCAGAAATTTGACTTGCAGTGCAGGCATATTGATATGACTCCAGGACCATATATATCCAGCATCCGATAGGGCGAGGACATGTCGGCGTCCGGCGGAGAACTGCTTGATAGCGGTTGCTGGTTCATACCGTTCGTTCGGGTGAGGGAGTCCTGCAGGATAGCGAAGCTTTTCAGGGTGCGGTTTGGCAGGTTGGCCCACGAATATACCGTCCATGACACCGACACTGTACAAGCCACCCTTCGACGTCAAAAGATTTGTAGACCAGCCGCCGCATTGCATGTCGGCAATGATGCCCAAATGCTCCACGCTATCCATCTCGGTAGGCCATGATACGTGTTGACGGGTCCGCACCATAGGTCTACGGCGTCCAGCTGGTCCGATACCACCACGACCGAAAGGAGCTCCCATATGCTGCTGCTGACTATGACCGAGACAAGTTCTATCGTTGTTGCCCCAGGTAAAGCAGCGAGACTCAGTCAAGAGTCGACGATACATTCTTTGCCATCTCCGACCATCATTCTCGACAACTGGTTGATTTGGCACACGGAAGGTGTGGCGCGCGGCTGAGCTCCAGTAGGGAGCATATTGTGCGATGTCAGGTTGATGCAATGCTGTGCAAGTGGATGTCAAGGCCACGAAGCTGGGGACATCGAGGTAGGGAAATATCAGATACAGAATATCTACTGGAAGATCCAGCAGTCGCGTTGGTTCTGGCATGATGACCGTGATGATATCTGATAGTTGCACCGAGTTTAGGTGTGAAGATGGACAGAGTTGACCATCAAGGCAGGGCGAGGCAGCAACAGCACAGCCTCAAGCTTGGACCACCAATTCGACCAGGCAGGTCCGCAGCAGGATAGCTCGTGACTGCCAGTGATGCAAGTTTGTGCTCAGTAACCTGTTGCAACTGGCAAGCGAGGATTGATAGCCAGTTTTCGAGGCTGTGTCAACTCCCAGCAACTTCACTTGATTCTGCGTGAATGCATGACAACAAACGTCATAGGGGCATACCAATGCTGTTGTTACTAACATTTGTGCCAACACCGGTTCGGCGCGCACAACCGGTGAACTTAAGAAGAGTGCTTGGCAAGAATTATTCCCGACTACCATGGACCAAGCTGTAGGGAGACTTCTCGCAACACAGTCAAAGAATATATACAATCTGTGTTGGGTACCAATAGCAAAGCCTTGATCTGAGTAGGTCATGATTGATTTTAGCATAGCCTCCAACATCAGCCATGGGCTGTGCTACCTGTGTATCAGGCGCGCTCAATCTTGCTCAGCGCTATTACTCTAAGTTATGCCAAGGCGAATCCTTCGAACCATGTTCCGGTATGGCACGGGTATGGCTCATGACACATGCTGAACGATAGCTATATAAGCAGCGTGCACCTCCATGCGCTTCGCTAGGACATAATCACACCAGCCAGAATGAGCAACTACTCCTCCGAGGATATCAACATCGTTGTGGACAGCGCTCCACAAGGAATTCTTGGCACATTCGTACCAGGTCAAACAGTCTCCGGCAAGGTCATCTACACTCCACGAGGTCAAGTCGACATAAACCACGTCGTCATAATCTGCAAAGGAATCAATTACACGAAAATCACGGAAAGCAATGGCAATACCTCAAGTACCTATAGAGAAAAGATCATCTTATTCAGGGATCTGGATACGATATTTAGAGGTCCTCATACCATCCCTGCAGGGACATACGAATGGCCTTTTCGGTTCGAGCTGCCTGTCCGGACTGACTACAGTCGAAAGCCTCGACGGAAAGATGAGCAGTACCAATTAGGCGATCAAGATCTACCTCCCACTTTCAAGTTAGCCAGCTCGAATCCAGAAGCGGATGTCACCTACAAACTCAAAGTAAAGGTCAACCCGGGAAACTTCATACATACGACTACGCGCACGAAAGAACTCCCGGTCTGGTGTCTATCTCGGATCCCTTTGAAACCGCCAGTACCACTAGACAGTTTCAGTGAAGGCAATGGACGCTTCAAGAGCAACTCTCTACGACCAACTCAGCACACCTTCAAGGAGAAGATGAGACATGCTTTCACCAGCGATGCGACGTTGAGGACTCCAGAGATAAATATTAGCGTGCGATTCAAGATGCCTCGGTGTGTGAGCGCAACACAGTACATGCCAATAGAGCTCGCTTGTAAACACACCATATCGGGCCAGAATGATCCCGAATGTCCGGAGCTCGTCCTCGATGGCTGCACTTTCTCACTTAACACCTACACGAACGTCAGAGCGAAAGGCACTGGCTGCGATCATCACAAAAGTAAGAAGAATACGGTTGTCGGCCATTCAATACGTGGCAGCCAGACGCTCTTGCCACTTGACGGTTCTTTCGTACCTATCTGGGAACCTATCCGTCTAGCAGACATGACATCGCACCCCCATAATCTCGTCCCCAGTTTCAGAACATGGACAATTGCGATGTGCTACAAGATGGTTGTCAAGATCAGGATTCGTCATGTCCAGACAGGACATATCTGGAAGCTCGAGAGCAAGTTTCCATTTGAGATCTTACCAGGAGAAGTGGAAGTGCCTGCATATAGCAAGCAGCCAACATCTTCTGTTGAAGCTGGACCATCAGCACTCTACCCGCCACAACTCTCAAGCGAGAACCAGGCATCATCAAGCTCTGCAGCCCCACCAGAGTTCCGCGAGGACCTCGCTCCGCCGTCATACAATTCTGGAGACGTCTGGAGGACTGAGCCTAGTTCCAAGAGGGCATACTGAGTGTTGACATGCTCACACGCATTCGTGTATGATGTTACGAAATCTGTTGCCCGACGCAACCACTTATGTAGACCTGATTTGTCTTTATTGTTTTGAGATACCAGATAGCATGCGAGAATGTTGACCAGTGTTGAACTTAGAAACGAGTCCGCAAGGTGACAGAGCTCATTAAAGAGCAAATATGTAACAATGACACTGTGCATGCTGCGCTTCGCCTTCCAGGCTTCAACGCCATGTATTTCAAATCCCTCTTTGATCCGTGACCTCACCTTGACAGTGTATGTGCTAACAGTGAAGACACCTCGAGTCATTGAACTGTCAACAAGCCATCATGGATAAAGTGTACATCTTCTTTCCTGCAATGATCAAGCCATCATACAGAGTCTTGGTAGAGGGAATTCTGCGATGAGCAACCATACATCGCAGTGAATATAAGAAAGTGTTTAATATAGACTCAAAGCTGGCAGCGCCTAGCTCAATATATATGATTACTTATTCAAGTCGGCAAATTTGCCCACTTACGGTGCACTTACCAAATTATGATATCGAGATGAAAGGTTCGGGAGTGTCCGGATAGGTGATCACAGATACACTTCAGATCTGGGAATAATAAGCATGCAAATGGACCCTTGATCAGCCACACATCCCAAAAGAAGCACTGACAGTTCTGTTGATCTGAATCTCTTGGGTTTCTGCCTGAGATATCTTGAGCCATACCGCGAAAGCTGTTCGAAAGCCATAGTCATGGAGTTTGAATATGCCAGTAACATCCAAAATCTGCAGATACCCGCTATTCGAATCTGTCTGGGCTGTTCAGAAGAAAAACAAATAGAGATCGAGAGAAGATCGAGCAAGGTCTTGGCGATAGACAAATCTTGGTCTAGGCACCCGCAAACGCTGTCGGCGGCGGAGGGCCCGTCCCCGAATAGCAACAAAAGTTGGGAGTCATCTGGTAAAAATGACGAGCACATTTGGCTCGGTAGTAAAAATCAACTTATTAAGCTGCTGTCGACACCACCCACGCCTTCATGACTTTTTGCCTCCTGCAATACAACAAAACCACATTCTTGGAACTCGCTTTCTGCATCGATAATACCTTTTCTGGAACCTGGACTGATGTTTCTTTTGGATCAACACTAGATCTTTTTGGAGTTGATGTGATGTCGTCGGGTTGCGACGATGGCAAAATACTGGAGAGCAACAACAGAAAAGCAGGGTGTTCGAAGTAATACATAGACGAGCACCCATCGCAGTCTATCAGAAGAATCAACAATACTGTCTGGACCAATACCACCACGCCGGGACATCGACTTTTCAATCTTGTTCCTCAGAAGACCAAACAACAAATGACCTGGCCCTTATATGGTACACCTGGCCATCACTAATTTTTCTTGTTCGACATGACAACTTGGTCAACTTGCTCAAATCGCCATCGGTTATCAGCCCGATTCCGCCGTGGGGCACAGCCAAAAGAAAAACAATAACATCACATCAGCCTCATGGTGACGAAAACATCTACCACGAGGACAGGAAGGCCCGGCACGCTGCATCTCATGCCGCACGAGACCACAATTCTTTGAAGTCCTTTCAACATCCTCTTTACGACATCTTTGTCACCGACCTCGACACCTTGCATCCCACATGGACACTGTTTCCCACATGGACACCTTTCGACGCCAATATCACTACCATCGAGGATAATTTCCTGTCGCTCGGCGTTCACACTGATGGAAACAAACACACAGAGCAAAATCAGAACATGTATGATGAGCTAAAAAAAAAGGTTTGATTTTGATGTTGTCTTGTTGCTTTGCAGACTAACACGGCCTCCGGAAAAAGGTTGCAGCAAACGCGAAAAAACTAATTGTACAGAAAGAAATGAAGAAAGCCATGGCCGTCCCGATCGTGTGTGCTTTATTCCGCCAACTCCTACTGCTGACCCCCTACCGCCACCCACCCAAAACACCATCCGGTCAAAATGACTCGGATCAAAAAGAAAAGAGTATCGTGTTGCAACCCGATGCAGAGGTTGCTCCTGTTTGAACCATGCAAAGGCATACCCTGGATTATCATTGCCTGGCTACTTCCGACAGGGAAGCCACTGAAGGTGTTTTGCCATTACCGTCGCTCATTGAGGGAGAAGCGATGGCAGCCGAGGACGACCGAGCGTGGTTGTGACTGAAAGAAGCCGAACGGCCATCTCCTACGATTGGGGAAGATGCTGTGCCGTAATTGCCACCGAACGCCATGCTCTGAGCTTTCCTCATGTTGTAGTCCTGTATGGGGTGGCAATTGCAGAATGTGTGCTGTAATGCCTGCGTGCGCCAGTACGACAACTCATCACGCAGAGACTTCTCGGTTTGCTTCAGTGCGCTGTTCATTGCGCTCTGAGTACGGTATGTGTCTTCGAGCTGGTCGGTGTGTTCCTTCTTCTTTGCACGACACTTGGCGGCAGCGACGCGATTCTTCTCTCGGTATTTGTCCTTCTTGTCGCCGCCCAGACCATCTTCTGATGTCCGACTCTCTTTCCGGCTCTTTTGGGACGACCTCACTGAAGGTCGCTTGCTTGATGACATGGAACTGCGAGGAGACATGCTTGAGGCGTCATTGACTTCCATGCCGGAAGCTCCGGAGTCAACTCTCTTGCCGAATGACTTTGTCATGTCGTGCATGTTCGCATCGTCTGGCGGTGTCACTTGGCCGTATCGCTCTGTCGATGGTCCATAATTGTTGAGGAGTTTTTCCAAGCCACCATCTAGAGCAGGTTGTGACAGGCTACTCCACATGTTGCTGGAACCGCCATGTAGTTGTGAGGACATGTCATGGTCGGGGAACATGGGGTTCGGCTCTAGGGCGGTCGGGCTGATGGGGTGGAAATCGTAAGTTGGAGCCATTGAGTTCATGTCGTTATCTTGAGGTGAGGCTTGGTCGAAGTGAAAAAGATTCATGTCAAAAGAGTTTTGGAAGAAGGAAAAGGGACGTAGGCGAAGAAAGGGGTGCCTAGGTCTGTGGAAGGTTGGCGAATGTTGATGCGGCAAGCTCTGCGAGCTTTGCTGGGGTGTGGCGCGTTCTCAAGACGCAAAACACTTGAATGAAGCTACTAACAAGCACTTGGTGCTCAGCTGCATAAAGAGAGTGTGACAGGTAAGCTCTGACGCAGTGCGAGTGAGGGTTTGCGAGTAAACGACGAATGGGTATCGAGTTGTGTGTTAGTCGACGATATTGTGTTTTCGAGCCTGACAGCTTGAGCCTCACAGACGGCGTCGCGAATCAAGGCAGTATGCGATGAGATCTGGTAGGTAATGTTCAATTGTGGTCGAAGGAGAAACGTAAAGGTGATGTTGATGAAAGAGCTTGGGCTGAGCAGTAAAAAACCAAGTCAATCGCTTGATTAAAGGGAGATGGGATTGTGCTGTGGCGAGAAGAAACAGAGCCGCAAACGAGGAAGCTGGGGACGAGGATTGGAATGGGATGAGGCTCTGCGGAAACACCGACGTATGTGACCGATCGGCGGGGTAGGCTAAACCGAAAGGAAAGAGCTTGGGCTGAGGCTGCCGTCGATGATCGAGTTTTCTCGAGGAACAACAGTCTTTCGACCGGCGAGAATGTAGAACCTTTTGTTTGCTCGTCAGGCCACATGAACGAATATCGGAGTGGACACCGTATCTAACATGCGATCTACTGCTGTTCTCTCGCTTTTGCTATCAAACACGGCGAGCGAATTCAAGACCGACGCCCACCAGGGGTGGTCTCCAGAAGCGACGTCAGAAGCAGCTCGTGTCGTGGTCGGCTCGCAGCCCGCTCCTGCGAAAAACCTGCATCATAATTACTTCTGAGGCTCGCTCCCGATGATCGATGCAGCCGCGCTTCTGATCTTTACCACAAGTAGAATTATACAGCGGGGCCCACCACCCGTTCGTGGTGACGGAACGGTGGCAGACTCCGCGAACTTCATGCGAATTCTCAAGCTGGCGTGGTCGCTGACGATCTCCTGGTATTTACCCTTTTATGATCTGGCGATTGTTCGCCTGTAACCAATATTTACCATGAACCTCTGTTCAAGGACCATGACATTTCCTCTCAAAACTTGACACGCATTCAGCCACAGTAAGAGTGGGGGAAAGCGGGGCCATAGAGCCGCCGTTCCTCCAACGAAAAGTGCCATGTTCCTATCCAAAAACTGGGCGAACGTCATATCCCAAAGGCATTGTATGAACAACGGACCTGGCCCCGAGGGATGTACACTCCGCAGGATGCGATTTATGTAGGTTTCTGTTCCAGCTCCCTGGCTTGCGCTTCTCCACGAATATGCCAAAGTATGAGAAGTGCGCCGTGGCCGTGTAGGCGTTTAGTTTGGAGACATGGATCACCTGTTCGTTCTGATCTCCTCGTTTCCCTTGCACAGACTAAAACAGGAACAGGTGAACCATTGGCAGGATATCAGTCCGTTGTCTAATGAGGCCACCACAGGTTACATCGATTGGGATTGCGATTAAACGGTGTCATGTCACTTGTGGAGTCCGAGCACCACCTATTTTTCTCTATCGCAATTAGAATAGGTGGGTGCCCTACACCACAACTCGCTAGTTTCCTATTTCTCACCTTCACTCTAAAGCATCCTTGCAATGCTCGAAAAGAGACCATACGAACAGCACTCGTGGCGAACGTGTCATTGATGCAACGATGGCACACCGCACACGCCGAGGTTCCCACCCTACGCAAAAGCAGTGAGCAGAGCAGACAGCGAAAACGTGCGGGTTTTTGCCGAGCTACTAGAATGCCATGAGCTTAGAGCAGATCCCCATGTTGCGTGCTAACTACCTTGACGTTAGCACCTTCCCTTGGCCGCGGCTCCCTGTCCTATTCGCCGAGGCCCCGTCCGCCGTTTACGGCTCGAGCTTCCCTTGCCTGGCTTGCCAGATGCCATTCACCTAACTGTATCATCTACAATCTATTGGTCGATCAGTCAAAGATGCGATTCCCATCGATCGAAAAATGGTTTCGCGATGGACGGGAGAGTCTCAATGGTCGTACTCGCTGGCCGCAAAGTGTTGGGAAACAGATCATCTATCCGTTGTTGCAAACATCATCCTTGGTGGTCGACAAACACAGGCAGTGAGATGGATAACTCGTTGCGCCACGCACGCATCACGCACGAGTTTGCATGGTTCTCAGTGACAGGGTTTTTCGGAGTAGGACTCATGTCCTTCGGAATAGAGTCCGCGATATATACGTCCTACATGGCGATCGGGTGAATGCTTAAGCGGGTCCTCTCACAACCCCTCTTCTCAAACCCTCGAGAAAGCAATCGAGGTTGCACCATGCATGCTTGCACCTCGGTGTCGACTCCGTTGAGATCATCGCATGCTATCGAAAGTGGGCTCATACTTGTTCCCGGGTGGTAGCTTCAGCTCTCAACATTCGTTGACTAAGCCCTAACAAAAAGAAACAGATGAAATTCTCCCTCTTCTGTGGACCTGCGCACGAGGAGCGTCATAAAGGAGCGGGGCAAGGGCAGAATTCGCGACTCGAACAATCTGAAAGGCCTCACCAATTCATTCGTCATAATTTTGATACCCAAATCCTAGCAGAATCCCTCGAATGAATGCCCATCAATAAGCAACACATTTTAACATGCCCTCACTCGCCTCGCATCACCCTTGTGAAGCCTCAAAAATGCCTGGTCTGGCCTGCCCCGTTCATGCTTGAAGCGATCAAGCATTGTAGAACCCCTTCCGGTATCGTACACGTATTCGTGTTCGACGGTAATTGGCTGCTGGTATTTGCATATAGACCTGCATGCTGGCTCCATCCCGATTCTGCATACTGTTCATCGGTCCCAGTACTTGCATGATTGCAACCTTCGGCACGTCTCTGGTTGCTGGCACGCATTTCCAAGAGCTACCACCAGACAATTCCAAGTAAGACCTAAAGACCCTTGCAAGGATAGGCTGAGGTGCGTATCGGAAGGATCTGGTTGTTGCGGAATCTCATCTGAACCAGGCTTAGTTGCCGATGATTGGACGCATTGAAGCGATTGGTTCGCTTTGAATTGTATTAACGTTAATACATCTAGAATCCATTGTTATCCATATAATAAGGAGGATATTCTTGATAGACCGGCCATGGCCATTCCAGAGCAAGGTCTGTTGGGAGTTGGATGGCGCCGCCGTTGCCGTTAGTTTCTGACACAGTCTGAGGCATTCCCATAGACATTGGTGGTTGGGCGACGGCAGACTGTTGCAGGTGCTGTGGTGGCACGGATTGAGGAACATTCCTTTGGGACTGCATGTACTGGTCGATTTTCTCGACTTGAGCTAGAAGACCTTGGCTCGTTCCAGCAGAGCGATGCAAATTGGCCTCTAGCATCTCAAGCAAATCTGCCATGAGCAACAGCGAACTGCGCACACGCTCGTAAACCTGTTGCTGCAGAGGCTGCTCAAACACAGAGCCAAGCACACCACCAATGCTTGATAGTTGGTAGATCATAGGAGTGCTTATGGCTCTCAAGTATCTTTGAGGGATTGTCCGGAAAACAGTCAGGACTTCGTTAGCCACGTCGCATTTCCTATCAACGCTCGGACCGTCCTCTGTGGAAAAGAGCATCATACGAAGCAGCTGGAGTGTTGCCTGTATGTTCGCAGCTTGGAAGGCATAAATGTCTTGAGTTGGGTCGCCAGTCATGGGTGGCGTAGATTTGAATTGTGGAGGCAGAGCGTAATACATGTTAAGCATGGTAGCCATGACACTCTTCTCGGAGAAGGCGTCGCCAAAGACGAGACTGTCGACACTGCGACGGTCGTCGTGATTGAAACGCTTGGCACGAGCCTTGTTGACGACGTGTTCCAGGACTCGGTATAAATCAATGGTGAAGTTCCAGCCTACGAGCCAGCTGACTCGATGCTGACCAGGAGGAGCTTCAATCTTGGTGCTCGCAATGGTTCCATCATCGTACTCGTTGGGGTATCGCACATTCAAGTGTACCTCTTGAGTGCGTATGAAGCAGTTCCAGACTACAGCGGTGAAGACCTCTAGAGTATAGGAGCCCCAATACAGGCGTCTGTATGTTTCTTTCTGATGCTCTTCCAAGCCAGTAGGCCAATACTTCTCGTCGTAGAAGCGTTGCATGGAGATAAGAGTGCTCCCGATGCCCGAGTATTGTTGCACATTTAGAGACTGACCATACTGAATGCTAGTCAGTGAAAGAAGCGCGCAAGCTCTGATATAGTCGAAACCGCGCAGTTTGTCAAGATCAGCCGTGAAGACGGACTTTGCAGCAGAGAAGAAGACCTCGGACGAGGCCTCAGGGTTCTTAACAGCTTCTGGTATTCTGCTTGGAATAGCACCATCGCGGATACGAGCCGAAGAGAGAGCACACATGGCCATGACAGAAGCAAAGAAGCCTTTGTCAGTCAAGTGATCCCTGTTCTTGATCTTTGCGCGGTCGGTGGCTTCGTGGAAGAAGGGATAGAGAGGATAGACGACCTCCATGTAGACATCGAACAGGTCGAGGATGATGGACTCGCTCGAGAGGGCAAAGACCTTCCATGGCAGATCGAGTTCGGTAGGGTCTTGACGGGAAGTGAGAGCAGGTGCAATGGCAGCAAAGTCGTTCGCCTTGCCGACGGAGTCGTTGCGAGTGGAATTGGACGTGGACGTGGCGGTAGGGGCCGAGTGCAGGTCCGAGGCTAGGGTGTTGCGTGATTGGGAGGATCGCGCTGAGGGTTGCGAGGGTTGGGCAGGAGCAGCGGGCGCTTGTGGATGCTTCTTGCGTTTTGAAGGTCTTTCATAGGTACAGGCGACATCGAAGTCATAGCAGTTTTGGCAGCGGTCGGCGTCTTCATTGCTGGGTCTGCAACGGATGCTTCGTCGATGACAAAGATCGCATGCTTGCGAGATGCGCTGCAACTTGCGCGGACGATCTTGTTGCATCGGAAGCGGCTTCTGCGGTTGCAAGGCCAAGGGCTAGGGCGCTCAATGACAGGCAGATGCGATCAATGACAAGTTAACTTGGCTACGTGAATGTCATGAGAGGATAAAAGGCAGTATCAACAGACGGCCGACGATGGTGCGAAAGAATATAGAGTGTCGTGTCCTGTGCTGGCTTGCGTGTTTTGTTTGGCCTTGGGTTTGAGTTGACATCCAAAAGGTCAAAGACAACTGCTCAGGCTCAGGTCCAGTCTCTACAGGCTACATGTCGACCGGTCGCGACAGCAGAAACTCAAATAGCACTTTGAGCCCGCCACCACGAGCGCCATCACATCATTCGCTGCCTCAATCCTCTGTCGGACCCTAGGCCGCTACCGAAATCCATCGAGATCCGACAGTGATGCATCGCGCATACGCTACCCCGTCATCCCCACGTATCGTCCCCCTTCTCCAATTCTATTACCTCCCTTCACACGCATTGCACTTTACATAACAATGCTTGCGCTCGCTGTCTTGTCTACTTTAGCTTCTTCTTCTCCTCCTCCTTTGTTCCACTGCGCAGTCGTGTCTTCTGCACGCCAAATGCAAGTGTATGACTGTGACCTTAGACTTCGCTAGCCGCATGCCAACCTCTCCTCTTCTCCAAACACCATCACCAACGCTCTCGGCATGAGCTGCTGCTCCACTTGCTCTCTCGCGCTGCCATTCGTTGCTGCGTACAGACAAAATTCACAGGTTTCAGCTTTATAAATCAGGGATGCGCTGCTTCATGCGACACGTTCGATTTCTGCTCTACTTCTCTCGACCTCCGGCCACATATCCAATCAGCGCACCTATAGCTCCACCATCCAACCTGTTCGAACGCCTTCTCCTGCAGAGAATGCACGCATGTGCATCTTCAGAGTCCACAAGCTGACATGAGGGGAAATAAATACCGCTCGAACAAAGACGCTACGTACGTAGCCTTTGCTCATTCCAACCATGTCACCCACAACCTAAACAACGACACCAGCCCGGAAAAAAAAAAATCGTGGCCCAACACTGTAAACCTGCTCAGGAGCTTGATCTAGTGGAATGACCCAAGAACGCTCAAGTAAGTGTCTAGCCAACGCCTTCGTCGGGACAAACTTTTCAACATCTGTTCCAAACCCACTACACGTCCTGAGGTTGGACGGTCAACCTATGTCTTGACCACACTAGATGGTATCACAGTGCTACTTCAGTCAGAGACGTAAAGACTACCTTCTTTGTCCTAGAAGAAATGACCAGTCTACCTCTGCCAACGAGCACGCTCTGCCTGCCAGGTTCAGGAGATGCACACTGTTGACCACAAGCCCCTTCTGGTCGTGTACGGTCCTGCTGCCGTTCGCGACAGTCAGCACACCGCTGTTCTCGTATACAGCTCAGCAGGACAGGCCGTGTATACATGCTGAGATGTTCTCCAAGCCCTAATAAACGGCCATGTGACCCTATTGGTAAAGATTGTTACTCATCCATGTGCATGAACAACGGTTTGCCTTATGCAAGACTCTTTGGTCGAGCCAATTCCATCTTCATCACCTTCGAAAGATAATTGATAAAGGACTTGCTATTGCAGGCGCATCTACTAAGAGCCTGGCTAAGAATGTGTGCGCACCATCTCATCTTTTCTCCTTTTCCATTTCCCCATGTCGATGAGAAGCACGACCGAGCATGTAGACGATATGCTCCAGGTTGAGGATCAAGCCCCTGGCGTCCAGGAAGGTGCCTCTGTCCACTGCCTGCTCTGACCTCTTTTCTTCCTTCTTCATCTGATCAACGAGCAAAGTCCGCACCAGTCACAGACCCACTCATTTCTTTTCGGCCTGCTCCTTATTGGCCTTGTCTCTGGCCTCATCAGCCTGTCTTCTTTCCTCCATGCCCGCGTGGTAGTCAGCGAGCCAAGCGTCACGCTCCTGCTCCTCGCGACAAGCTCTACAGGCACCGTCAAGCTGCTCGAAGAAGACCACAGACACGCAGCCTGGCTGACCAGACTTGGCTTTGTCACATTGTTCGGTAAGGATGATGAACTCGTGGGTACAGTTTTGGTAGGTGAAGCGTGTACGGTGGCACATCTTGCTGAAGAAGAAGCTAGGGTCAGAAGGGGAGAAATAAAGGGGTTGGGAGATAGGTGGTTACCTCGCTTGCTTCGTGGAGGTATCGAGGTAAGATAAGATACTGATTTAAGATAGGAGGTATGAGTGGTTGATTTTGTGGTAGAGGAGTTTTGAGAGATGGTGTTGTTGAGGAAATGCCTCTTGTCGCGGTGTAAACAGAGTGAGAGTCAGGTCTCCAACTCAACTTATGCCAACACCATTTCCGATATCGATGCCATCGAGCACCGGAACATTCTACCTCTTCTGCACGTATTCAGCACCAACTCTGCTGCGGCAAGATGGGACCAGGTAGAAGGGTTCGTGGAGGCTTGTGACTCTATCAACTTCCACAGGTGACCGGAACCTTGGGTGATTGTTTTGTGATTCACATCAGTATCTTCGAAAGGACTGTCGCTAGATATGGGAACAAAGGCTTCTGGTCTTGCGGTTACAGACGCAATTCATGAGTGTTCCTGTGGCCTACTCTCAGAAAAGCGATCAAGTCTAAAATACAAGATGGGATTTCTGTCATGGTAACCACAGTAGAGGCCACTTGGACTTGATGGGATTGATACTTGTGTCGGCCTTAACCTGGTTCTCGAATCTTTCCATACTGTGGTTTTAGAATTATGGCACCCTAAAAGCTCTCCTTCACTCTTGTGTAGAAAAAATCAAAGACATTCTGGTGACATGCTTTGCTCTTCTGTCCATCAGCCATTGAATCAAATCTTACAAAATTAGTAAGATTGATCAATTGGATTGTCAGCAGTTGACGGAACAACTCGACTTCTGGCATATTGCCAGTCTCATTTTCGAGGGGATAGCAATACTGGATGATGCCAGACACCGATTTGGTGAGATCAGAGGTTGAAAGGGTTATTATGGATTGAAACACAGCATTTAGCACATACGGCCACAGTCAGCTGAAAACTGGGCATCCCGTCCGCTCTGCCATACATAAGCAGTTGAACGGCAGATTAGTACTACGGTGGGTGACCACGTGGGAATCCCTGCTGCTGTATGTTTTGCCTCAACACGATCTTCTTTTTGCCCATTGTCTTTACTACCCTTTTCATGTTTGCGAGTTGCGGCCTGTATCGCTTTTGGTTTCTATCCGGTTGACGATGACATGAGACGTATTAAAGACCGGCTAATCGTACTGACTCTGAATCAAATGTATCAATGGCTCGAATCGATGATTATCACTGATGGGGTGCTGGACTGGCTAAAGCCCGTTACGCAAATAGGAGCCGTGTTAAGTGTACACGAAGCACCCATTAGGAGAATAAATTCCTGTGGCTGATCTGGCTATGTTTCAAGTATTTTTCCCAGCAAGCTCTGTTTATCATGATAGTCGTGTGCGCGACAACAGCAATGAGGAATCCTGACAGCACGCGTCTCAAACCAGAGCCATGAGAAGGAAGTTCGAGCAGGCTCGCCGAGAGGCAACCTGGAAGAAACATGCTGTGTTAAAACCATGGGGCTGTAGACAAGATCGAACATGTGATAGTCTATATCCAGGCGCTAGCGGCCTTTGAACTGGTCGAAAATTGACAAAAATTGGCGTTCCTGCTTTAGCCTACTTCTGAAAGGTCCATCTGAGCAGTTGCCACTTATGAACTCAACCCGCGGTCCACTCGATGATCTGCTGTTTTTAGAGCCAAGTCGTCATAAACGTATACTCCAGATGTGCATGTAGTTTTCTGTCTGAATGGGATGTACCAAGTCTCGTCAGGTCTTTGGCCTCTTCATCCAAATTGTCAAGCCCTGATTGCCCGTTTTCTGGGGTGGCTGTATAGACGCTACACCCTCAGGTCGGCTAACAAATGAGCCCGGAGCCATTGACGTGACTTTCGGTGCTGGGGCTTTACTTGTCAGGCGTCGTACTAATTGCCACGCTGAAGACCGAGCCCTAAGGAATACTCCAGCTAGTGAAGAATTGTATTGAGGCTCCCGAAGAAGTTCTGGCTGCAATGCGAGCATCAAGAGAGTATGCATATTGTAAAAAGCATCATTGCCTGCGTTGTGGAAAGCATGGTTGCTCTCATAGTTCAAGTCTGTTGTGCGAAGATTCGGAGAGAACAATCTGATAACATCGGCTGGAGTGACATCCCCTGGACTTGAATCTACGAGATATCTCCAAAGCTTCGACAACCGGCCAGGTAATGTGGTCCGGCATTGCTGGGCTAGAGCAAAGGTATCCACGATGGCAACAATGTTAGATTCGTTACGCAACTCATATCCTAAGACGTGAGCGAGTTTCTCGATATCGTGATTCACAGCATGTCCGACGAGGATATATAATCGATCAGGGCGCAGCTTGAGATAGGGTCGTATCGCCGCCAGAGGGACCCGATGCTCAACAGCACCAAAGAGGAAGGGCTGGCGCTGGCCAGTCTTGAAACGGAATTGACGAGGCCTGATATGTTTTGACCATTCCAATGCTGAAGGACCAGGACAGAGGTTCTTGATATCACGGGTGTCAAACGTTGAGATACCCAGTTCTGTGAGATCAGTTCTGGTGCCTTCAGTGTCAATTGCTATGAAAATAGCATCTTGTGGTGCTCGAGTAGACTTCGACTTCAAGCCAAGACTAGAACGAACGAATGCAATACACTTATTGCTCAGTCGGGATTTACTCTTTGTCGCAGGTGGCGGCTCGGTCTGCAACTGTCCTTCACAGCTTTGCACATGGTAAGCAAAAGCATACCCACAATTCTAATAGGCCTTTGCGGTGGTGTTCACTCGGTCGATTGCCTATTTGGAAATACCTACTTGGAATTGGTGTCAGAGCCCAGAATTGGCTGAAAGCTGGTGTGGAGCCCCTCAGCGCTTCTCGGCTCTTTACAGCGGCGTGTTTGGGCAGAGCACGGTGCCGAGTCGGAGGATGAGGCAGCCGATTGATGCCAAGGGAAGCCGAAACCAAGCCGTGGTCGTACTCCTCCAAGGACAAGAGAGCGTGTACGAACCTGACCAATACCGGTCAGAAGAACAGCGGTCATGGAAAAAGGTGGCAACTGCTACCGATGCGCTCGCGTGGCTAACAGGAGACAACAAGCAAGAAGGTGATGAGTAGGGAATTGGGTGAGGCGGCCGGGCCGGGTTCAGAGAGCAAAAACAAGAGAGGCTCCGTAGAAGTACCGGGCGCTTTGATATTTTTGGTTGTTGGGCGCGGAGAATGACGAGTGGGAGGATGGAGAATGGTGAGGTGATACGTTGGAGACGAGCGAGGGGAAAGGCGGAGGACAGGTGATGTGCAGTGGAAAGAACAATTCAGTCTGTTTATACACGATATCACGAAGCATTTGCTTGATCAACATGGAAGGAACAATCAGCCATGCATTCTTCAACTTCAACAAGAAGCTGTCAAAAGGCAAGAGCGTTCGTCGGCAGTGACGTCTGTGGGCGTTTCTGGCGCACGCGCCCACTACTTTTTGGCTCTCGAGTCTCGATGCGATAGACGATGCAAAAGATCAAGAGCCGTCACGGAACCGTCCAAAACATCAGGTAATAGCAGGTTTAGGGCTGCTACTTAATTCCCTCTGGTCTCGCGTACAAGACCTGACTCCTGCCCCCGTCCCATAAATATATCTCCTCACCCTGGCGCTCCACCGACGCACCAGATCTCTCCCAACTCCTTCATCTCGCTCCCCATCCTCATCTCGTGCGGCAGACCCACCCTTCCTCCGCGACCTCCGATCTGAAAAAGGTTCCCTTCTCTCTCGCTCCTTGTACGCTGTCGCCCTCCTCGTACTCGTCCTCAGTGTCCAATTCTTGCTTGTGCCCCGCTTCATAGCTTCGCTCCGCAAGCCAAGTCAGCCACTAGACTCGGGTCGTCCTGACTTTTGTCGTTACAACCCCTCCAATCCTTTCTTGCAGGACTTGATCTGTCCTCATACCTCCGAAGACCACACAACTACTCTGTTCGATACGTCGGCAACTCGAAATATGGGTCTCGCACAAGAAGCTGCCCGCGTGGCTGCCGAGTTTGAGTACTCGGATGACCAGGTCAACAAGGCCGTCAAGGCCTTCATCCGCCAGATGGGTATGTCTACTGCTTAGCATTCTCTTTCTACGAGCATCCACTGACCATTGGATCCAGACGAGGGCCTTGAGAAGTCTGGCACCTCCATCAGCCAAATTCCCACCTACGTGACCGCTGTTCCCAACGGAACCGAGAAGGTGAGATCTGGACTGCAGAAACAAGCTTGATGCAATTCTGACATAGAAAGGGTCTCTACATGGCTGTCGACCTTGGTGGCACCAACTTCCGCGTCTGCTCCATCAACCTCAACGGTGACAGCACTTTCTCCCTCACTCAATCCAAGGTCGCCATTCCTCGCGAGCTTATGGTTGCTAAGACCAGCAAGGAGCTTTTCTCTTTCCTCGCACAGCAGATTGCCAACTTCCTGAAAACACACCACAACGAACACTACCACGCTACCATCCGCAGACGTGCCACCATCCACTCCGAGAGCGGTTTCAGAGAGCAGGAAATCTTCAACTTGGGCTTCACCTTCTCCTTCCCCGTGGAACAAGTTGGAATCAACAAGGGTAACTTGATCCGCTGGACAAAGGGTTTCGACATTGCCGATGCTGTTGGCAAGGATGTCTGCAAGCTTCTCCAAGACGAGATCGATGCTCTGCACCTGCCTGTCCGTGTTGCTGCTCTGGTCAACGACACTGTCGGAACCCTCATGGCTCGTTCATACACCTCTCCTGGCAAGACTGGCACTCTTCTGGGCGCCATCTTTGGTACTGGTACCAACGGTGCCTACGTTGAGAAGCTCGACAAGGTCAAGAAGCTTGACAAGAACAATGCCAACGTTGACAAGACTACTGGTGAGATGATCCTCAACACCGAGTGGGGCTCATTCGACAATCAGCTCTCCGTCCTCCCCAGCACTCCTTACGACAACTCGCTCGACAAGGAGACTCCCAACCCTGGTATCCAGATGTTTGAGAAGCGCATTTCTGGTATGTTCTTGGGTGAGATTCTTCGTCTGGCCATCGTCGACATGGTCAAGGAGCGCAAGGCTGGTCTCTTCAGCGACGACAACAGCAGCAGCAACGATGTTCACAGCACTACTTGCATCTCCGAGAGCAGTCCTCTGTGGCAACCTTGGGGTCTTGATACCAGCTTCCTGTCCATCGCTCACGGCGATAACAGCGCTGGCTTCAAGGTGACTCGTCAAACCTTGGACAAGGACTACGGTGTCCACGCTGCCAGTTCCGAGGACGCCGAGGCTGTCAAGCTTATCGCTGCTGCCATCGGCAAGCGTGCTGCTCGTCTGTCTGCTGTTGCCATTGCCGCTATCGTTCTTGCAACCGACAAGCTTTCGGCACCCAAGGACATTGCCACCGCCGACGACACACCTGTCAACGAGGACGAGATGATTGACATCGGTGTTGATGGCTCGCTCGTTGAGTTCTACCCTGGCTTCGAGGAGTATATCAGAGAGGCTTTCCAGCAAATCGAGGGCATTGGCAAGCACGGCGAGAAGCGCATTCGCATCGGTATCGCTAAGGACGGTAGCGGTGTTGGTGCTGCTTTGATTGCTCTTGTTGCCGACAAGTTGGCCAAGCAGGACCAGCTCAAGGAGTACGACTAAAGAAAACGCAGAAGGAGCAACGATTTCAGAATTTCTTACGATTACAAAATCTTTTACGCATTTGAGCATGCGGAACAAACTTGGAAGGGCGTTTAATCTTTTTTCTCTTTTTGGCTTGTTGTGAGCCGTCTCATATATATGTACATATATCCTCGTACATTGGCCAATCTATTTTCTTTTTGATCATGATCTCGTTCTTCCAAGTTTTGAATTTTGACATTCGTTGGCGATTCGTGAGGTTGCATAGTCTTCGTATCCTCCTTTCATAGCGTATGCAGCAGATCCCTCGGCCCAATATCCCTCCTCAACACATAGGCCCCTTGCGGAGTAAGTCTACGATAGTAGTGCTGTTCCAGATGCGTCTCTCTAAATCCTCGTTTTGCATACCATTCCCTAGCCTCCGGACTAGCTTCCCAAACATGTGCACCCACAGCATTGACGCCATATTTATTTATCGCCTTCTCAATCAACATCCCCAACAATGCACTCGCAACCCCGTACCCTCGAAACGCACTCAACACCCCTAAAGTCCCAATATAGAGGATTTTATCTTTGGGAGTTGCTTGAGTGGAGGGGTCAGGGAGGATGCGACAGCGTATGCCGCCGATCACTTTGCCGGGAGTTGTGGAGGATGAAGAGGGAGTATCGTGCCAAATGGCTAGGAGAGTCAAGTCCGAGGCAATAGGGTCGGAGAGGATTTCTTTGTAGAAGGTGGAGGGGTAAGGTATTGGTAGGAGTAAAGTGTTTAGACGTTCGAAGGATTGGATTGTGGATTTGTCGCAGGGGACGAGGGTTATGTTGTTGACTAGTGGGTTCTGTCGGGTCGAGGGCTGAAGGGTCGGTATTGTTTGTGGTTCTTGTGGTGTGGTCAGGGTGGGTTGTGGTGATTGGTGTTGCGGCGGTGACGATGATGTAGAGGCATTTTGGTCTATTGAAGCAGGTGATTGTGTTTCTGCAGACTCTTGATTCGTCAGTGAAGGAGCAGCAGTGGATTGCTTGACTGCAGCAGACTTCTTGAACCAAGTAGTGATTGAGGTCTGCATTTCCGTCGTAGAGTTGGGGGAAGACGCGTTTTCGCGTGCACTTGGAGCTTAATTGATTTTTTATTCCCTCGGAGTCGGTCGGAGAGGCCTTGGCAATTGACATCGATTCGCGGCAGCGGATAGCACAAGCAGCAGTGAAGCATTGACGACGACCAATTGACTCTTTTCCACAACTTCAATCACATTCTCTAGTCATGGGTTCTGGAAGCTCCAAGCCGCAAGGCTCGCAATACGTCTTTGCTGCGTACGATTGACTAGTCTAGCGAATGCGATAACCTCTTTACTGACACTCGCAACAGAGACAGTCCCGTCAGCTTCTCACCTTCCGTCGTCGACTCGCTACAGAACAGCCCTGAGGTACTGCGATCCAATGCATAAGAGAAAATAAGGCATCAGTTCTGACAGAGACACAAAAAAAGACCGACTCAACCCGCTCGCGCAACCTCGAACTCCAGATCCAACAGCGCGTAACAGCCGAACTCGAGCGCATCCGCGAACAAGAAGCCCAACGCCTTGCCCAATACACCGAGTCTCTGACTCCTTCTTCCCCCGACTCCTCTAACGACTCCTCCTCCTCGGACCCTTCACTCACCGAAAAGATCTCGTCCGCCCTCACACCCTCCTCATCGCAAACCAAATCCCGCAGCAACGACAGCGTAAGCAAAGAAGTTGCCGAACTGCGTAACAAGCTCGAGCGCCGCAAGAAACTCGAACAAACCGATCCTGCACTTGAAAAGGCCAAGGAGGGGCTTGTGCAGTGTTTGAGGGTGAATGATCGTAGACCTTTGGATTGTTGGGAGCAGGTTGAGGCTTTCAAGGCTGAGGTTGCTAAGCTGGAGCAAAAGTTTGTTGACAGAGCTTTGCGATGAGTGCGTTCATTTCACCAGTCTTTGATGGCTTGGGTCTGTTGATATGGGGCTTGGTGAAGCCTAGACCTGAGAGCTGAGAAGATACTGGCCATCCGTCTGATGCAAGAATGTCGAGTGTGGAAAAGAGATGGTTATATTACACTACGCAGAAAAGCAACACTACCTGAGTACATTTCGAGTTCTTTGCTTGCCTACAACCCTACGTGTCATCCTTATCCGCCAAATTCGTCCATGTATAGATTCCAGTCCTTGTCTTGTATCTTGCTGCACTTCAGATTGATACTGACAGTACAAGCCTACCGCAACGCTTGCAAATCACTAGTAACCATTCCACATACAGCAATGACATATACACCTAAATGCTCCAAACCATCAAACGCCGCAACAATCCCTCGATACCTATACCGATCAGTCCATCTTGCTAACCACCATCTCTGCTTGTCCGCTTTCCAAGGAAGACCTTCAACTGCTCTTACAACGAAACTTATGTTTTCTTGTGCTGTGTTTAGGTGGATGAGGAGTTGGGAACCAGTGTCTAGCATTGTCAAACGCAAGGAATCGAGATCTTTGGTGCTTGTTGAAGAGCGCCCGGCTAGGATGTAGTCGTCTAGGGCGGAGGAGGCGAAGATGCTTGCTTTGTGGTAGATTCCCAGAAGCCTTTTGATCGTATGTTAGCCGGGCTGGATCTGCCGAACAAGAAGGCTCAGAATTAGAATTTACTCACCTCACAATCTCGAATTGATGTGTCTTTAACTCTGTCAAGTGCGTCTGTAGCTCTTCATAGCTCTCTATGTCAGATAGGTCTGCAGACCTTTCGAAGAGTTCAGAATTAAGCTTTATATGCACTTGCGAGCTTACTTCCTCCATATTTCTCAATTCAGATAGGAAATGTTGTCTGCGTTCTTGATTGGCAATAACAACGTCCCAACCATGAATGTCTGGCTCACGAACCGGCGTGAATGCAGAAGTGGTTTTGGACCATGACCAGCTCATGAACTGTCTCTGAGCAAACGACCAGACGGAGCCTGCGATAGTGACCGGATATAAGAGTGACTTGACTCCCTCTTTGAGCTTGGATGGTTGTAAGGGGTTTGTTAAGGCTGCTGGCAGAAAGCTCCACATTGCAAATGCGGAAGAGCCAGAATGTGAGGCTGCTATGTTGGTATCTAGAGGTATATCGGGCTTTGATTGAACTGGTGACCAATCAGAACTAGAAATATCTCCTGCCAATGTCGTTGCTGGCGACAAAACAGAATCACTAGCATCTCTGTCCATCATTGGCCAAGGATTATGATCAACAGCCGACCAAGCAGGATCATCAACATTTCCTTTGATCACCACTCCAGGGCTCTGAGGAGGGCACGTCGCATTATAAGACCTCACCGTCACAAACGCCAGGGTAATGAATAAGAACAAAACCAGTTGTCGTAAGAACTCGGTTTCATCTCTTTGTGTTCGCGTCCATTGATCCTCGAGCCATAGCCAGATGGGAGAGGGAGGCCGTGTGTCTTCCTCAGATGTGACGATGGATTGTTCGGTGTCTTGAATTGGTTCGGGTCTACGTTGTCTAGGTCGTGGTGTAAGTGCTCTAGGAGGAGCTTTGCCTAGGAATACGGCGCCATCTTCAGAAGAGACGTTGCTGATGACACTGCTAGCACGAGGGCGTCTTGATCCTTTACTTGAGCGGTTTTGCAATGACTCGTCTATTTTTGTTTCTGGGGTATATGGTGGAGTTTGCATGATCTGATAGGTGCTCTTGGAGAGTATGGGAGTATTGAAAGGGCGTCAATTGAGTGACGATTCGGAGGATTCTGAAAGAGAATGAAAGGTCATAGCTGACTTGCTCTTATGGAGAGATGTAACAGGAGTCATGGACAAAGCAGTTGCAGCATGCTGTTGAGACACTTTCCGCATGCGGAAGGTGTTGTTCTTTGGTTGCCTTTCATCTCACCTACCTTGTAAACGAGACTCGTGATGGTTGATGAAGGGCTAAGACATGTTTCTGATATGGAACAATGTTATTGAAAGACAGAAAGTAAAAGTACTTGACCTATTGTGCTACTGGGGGCATGCTAGCATTCAACTGAGCATTTCAATGGTCTAACACTGCTGACTCCTGAACAGTGCCCTATACAGACAATATGGATCCGCTCCACTCGTGTAATCGTGTTGAAAAGATATTGAGAGACATCATGCCTGTAGAGAAATTCTATCGAGGTAGGCGAAGGAGCCGACGTTAAAGTCTTGTACAGATGCCTCGGACTTTGACGGATTTTAGGCGCAAGCGTCGTAGGGCAGGAAATTCTAACCATCAAAAAATCCAAAGTAGATAACTTTCGACCACTGAATCACGCCCACCACATAAAACCCACAATGGCAAAAAAGAGAAAGGCCCCGTCCGGTGGCGCATCCAGAGACAATGTCGCAGACGATTCGAACAAACGCACAAAGATGCGCATCAAGACCTACGAAGATGTGGCGGGCTCCGACGACGAATTCCACATCAACCGCGACAAAATCATGCTCGACGATGGGCCCGAGGCAAAGAGGAGGAGAAAAGTCCAAGAAGATGGTGAGATCCAAGATACATTTGGGCAGAGACGAAATAGTTCCTAACACAAGAGACAGAGGAATTTCTGCAACAGTCCGACGAGGAAGTTTTAGGATACTCGAGTCCTTCGGAAGCTGAAGATGACGATGAGGATGGCTATGAAGAGGAAGAGCTTGAACAAGCACCGGCTAAGAAGTCAAGGAAGGATGCACAGGACGAGGAAGATGATGAGGATATGGGCGCATGGGGTGAATCCAAGCAAGACTACTACAATGCCGACGCCATCGAGACAGAGCAGGATGCACTGGACGAAGAGAAGGAAGCTTTGCGCTTGCAAAAGAAGCAATTGCAGGCCATGAGCGCTGCCGATTTCGGATTCGACGAGGCCGATTGGCAACAAGAAGACGAGAACGCAGACCAAGATGGCGACGTCGTCACAGAAGTGCTGCCTCAACTCGAGCTGGATGACAACTTGGCCCCTACCGAGCGCCTCAAGCTACTCAAGACACGCTACCCAGAGTTTGAGCCTCTGAGCAAGGAGCTGCTCGCTCTGCACCAGACATACCAGGATCTTTCGTCTGTGGAATCGCCAAATCTCGCTGTTCAAACCAAACAGCAAGCCGCTGCCGCCTACCTCGCCTCTCTCACCATGTACTTTGCCCTTCTCACATCTACCGCTCAGGACAAGCAAACAAAAGGCCTCGCTCTATCTGCAGCTACTATCCGCGACCACCCCGTCATGGAAAGTCTGATCCAATGTCGCGATCTCTGGTCACGCCTCAGAGACCTCCCCGAAGACGACTCAGAAGACGAGGAATCTGCCCTAGACGAAGCCGAAGACGAGGAAATGAGCGAATCAGAGGAAGAACAAGCCCCCGTCACCATCCTGCCCAAGAAAGTCAAGAAAACAGCTGCAGAGCGTGCCGCAGACGCAGCAACAGCAGCAACAGAAGCCCGCCGCGCCGAACGCCTGCGCAAGACTGAAGCAGACTTTGGCGACCTGGACGCCCTCCTCACTTCTCGCCCCAAGAAATCTTCTTCCAGCAAGAAGAAGTCTCAAACAGCAGCAGACGAGAACGATTCAGACCTCGGCGAAGACACTTTCCTCACAGCCGAAGAGCTCGCCGAAAAAGCCAAGCGCAAAAAGTCCCTCCGCTTCTACACCTCTCAAATCGCGCAAAAGGCAAACAAGCGCGGTGCAAAGGTACAAGGTGGAGACGAAGATGTACCACACAGAGAGCGTCTGCGCGACAGACAAGCCCGCCTCAACGCCGAAGCAGAAGCAAGAGGCAAACGCTTCGACCGCGACACCCTGGGCGAAGACAGCGAAGACGAGCACGACCGCGCCGTTGCCCGCGACGTGCGCGGCGAGAAGAACCTCGACAGCGATGAAGACTACTACGACATGGTGGCCTCCAAAGCCGCAAAGAAGAAATCCGACAAAGCAGCCGAAGCAGCCGCATTCAGAGAAGCAGCAGCTTCAGGCGGCAGAGTCATTGAAAAGGAGGAAGTGGGTCCTGACGGCAAGAGAGCCATCACCTACGCAATCGAAAAGAACAAGGGTCTCACGCCGCACAGAAAGAAGGATGTGCGCAACCCGCGTGTCAAGAAGCGCAAGAAGTTTGAGGAGAAGAAGAAGAAGCTTGCTTCCATCAAGCCTGTCTACAAGGGCGGCGAAGGTAGAGGTGGCTATGGTGGTGAACTCACAGGTATCAAAAAGGGACTGGTCAGGAGTACAAAGCTCTGATGAGAAGGAGCAAAAAGGGTATTCATTTTCTTCTGTTGTTCATAGCAATTTTCTTCTGCTCTCCCTGGCATATTCCCCCAAATACTCATATCTTTCCGCTTGCAATCAGGTTCCGCTGTACGATGGTCCATTCCTCCGAATTTCGAACCCCGTCAATCCATAATCCATCGCTATTTCAGCAACGAAATTTACCATCTCCCTGCTCTATCAATAGTGCTCGTTTGTCCTTCTTGATTGTCTGTTTTGATGATAGAGACTAACTGGCACCACTAAGGCCCATCAATGCACCAACTGCCATCATGTCTTCATCTCTTTCTGCTTGTGAAGCACTCGGTTGTTGTGCATTGACGACAATGTTTGCATCCTCGACTGCCTCATCCACATCCATGCCTGGACTTTCGAGACGTGCATTGTTGGCGCGACCCTCTTTTGTCCACCAAGGACTACCTGACCAGTCCAGCTCTTTTGACTCTGGTCCCCACACCTCACCTTTCATGTCTTGTAGAGTCTCCTCGTCAAAGTTTGAAGAGGCGAGCTCGCCTTGGAGCACGCCCTCCAGCAGAGCCTCTTTTGCTGCCCACTCTTTGCGACGAAGTTCTTCAAGCCCTTCCACTTCTCGTTTCAGCTCTTCGCTCTCCGTTTGCGCCCAGTGAAGTTGACGCCTCAGCAAGCGCATGAGTTGATTTGCTGGAATCTCGCTCTCGAATTGTGAAAAGTGTATGTCGGGAGGATATGTGATCATGAAGCCAGCCTGGCCTGTTATCGGGTGGCGTGCGGGTATGTACTGGATGTTGTCCATGGGCGGTGATGGATCGTCAGGTGCCTGTGTAGGTGCAGGGACAGGTGCATCTGTGACAGCAGGTTTGGCAGGACCTTTGCCGTTCATCGAGAGGCGTAGCTTAGGGCCCTTCTTGGGCTGTCCGGTGGCAGGATCGATAGGGTTGGCATTTGTTGCAGCAGCACGTGGTGGTTCAGGTTCGTGTACGGTGCGCATGTGTTTGGCGAGAGCATCGGATCTAGTGAATGAACGATCGCATTCTAATTCTTGATTAGCTGGGAGGTCTGGTGACAGGTGGAAAGAGCTGCCTACCGGGAAGGTGACAGAAGAAGGGCTTCTCCTTGGTATGACTTCGCATGTGAGCCTTAAGAGCATAGCCACTGGGATGGTTTGTGCCCTTGCGAGCGCAGTCTCCCCATTCGCAGGTATAACGTGCTCGCTTGGGAGCAATATGATCGTTCTGGACATGAGCAATGAGCTCATCGCTGTTTGCCAAATCGCCTACACTGCAGCCCTCCCATGCGCAAGTTGTCACTTGATCAGCTCGCATGGCGAACTCATCAGCGCTTGGTGAGCCTGGAGCGGAACCCTCGCTGTCGCAACTGATGTCTGCGTCCAAATCTTCCATCGTATCCGCACCAGCGACCATTATCGTCCCGCCATGAGGTGTGCCGATGTGTGCTGCGTGTCCTCCAGTACGTCGTTTCTTGCTTGGTGGCCCGGCGCTGTCTGTGTCCATGCTAGGTCTGGCTGATCGATTTGGTGTGCTGACATGGTCGTCGACCTCGTCCGACGACGATATTGACGATAACGGTGAGTCTGGAACTTCGCTCATGGTTCAAGGCACTGGCGATAGTTTCTGGGAGATGTCGAGTAGAGTCGATGAATGGAGCTTCGAAGTAGTTGTCAGTCGCATCAGCTCGGCATCGCGGCTTCCACAGGAGACATGACAGGGTCGCCCTAAGCTTGATTGCCCCGTAACCCTGACTTTATTTCATCAATGGACCTCCAAGGGCATTTCATGTGCTTGCTGTCATTTGGTTCATCGTGTATATATCCTTGATTGTCTTACACTTTCCTGAGGCATAACCAATCATGATAGGTTCGTGTTGTGCTTGTGTTCTGTCTTATGGGATTCGTTCACAAATTTGGATGATAGTTCGGCGTAGTCTCCTGCCTCGCACGACTGACATCGACTGCGAGATCAGGTTCACAACATCCGATGCAAATTGCTCGTCTGCGAGCGAGAACAAGTGTTAGGAGAGAGGAGAAAACCAATTAAGATTTCGACAGAGGTAACAATGACTAGAGTAGACATCGGGTCGACTGCTTCTTTGAGGGCCCAAGACCCAACCAGAATACTTCTTTTCTCACCCGAGAAAGGAACAAGAAATACAGCACCCAATAGTGCATAATCATTTCGTATCCGAAAGAGATACCGAAAACCAAAAAACCAAGCGGAGCGAAAACCCATGCTCGACGCCCTTTCATCCCATTACCGCCCCATTTACAACTGTTTTCCAGTTTCTCTATGTCTTCCTTTGGCAACTCCGTTTAACGCCATCGCTGTGTGAGATTCAAAACAAAGGAAAGTAATATCATCGTCCCATCTCAGTGTTTTGAAGAAGAAAACATGCAATCGACCCTTCAGACCTTTTTTGCCATTACCGCCATAAACGCCATGTAGGAGACCGCAAGAACCAGAATCATGGCATGAGTGCATGTCGAAGTTGGTCGTCATTTGACCGATATGCGGGCGATTTGGTCCCGGTGCTCATCAGTAGACTTGATAGCAGCAACATCTTCGAAAGTAGGAATCTTGGTGTGTTGCTTTAGATGCCAGAATCCATCATTAGGTTCCGGTGGGGGTGTAGGCAGCCATCCTTGTGATTGGGCGATGGGAAGTACGATGCTTGGATCAAAAGACCTGATGAAACGCATGTCGTCCTCGCGGCATTTGGGATATGAATAGTCGCGATATTCGGCGATGGCCGGGTCATTTTGAACGTGCTGAGTCTTGCGGAAGCAGGCAGTCACACAGCCAGTACGATGCTGATCAGGAGTTAGTATTGAATGGTCATCTGATGAGATATGTCGACTGACCTTGCCACGATTACAGTGGATGAGAAGAGGATGGTTGTTGCGGTTCAGAACGACAGCAAGAGCAGTAGCCATGGTTTCGGGAGTAATGTTGATCTTGCCGTCCTTGTTGGCAGGTATATGGATTTGATAATGGCGAATGTGGTTTTGTTCCATGAAGATGATGTATTCTTCTGAGAGAGGCTCGGGAACCAGGGTGCTGTTTGGTATATTAGCAAGATGTCTGGTTCGAGAGGCTGAAGAAACGTACAGAATGGTTCTGATGTTGAGACTTTTGATAAAGTCAAAGTTCTTGCTGGTTGGGTAACCACTCCTGTATATGGAGTTCGTCTCGACCGCGCCGAAGTTGGTTGGCGGAACGTACATGCGCAAACGTCCGGGTAGCGGGGCGATACTGAGCTTTGGGTTCAAGTTTTCTTGAGACACCATAATGGGCGTCGAGTCGTCTTGTTTGGACCCTGTTGTTCTCGAGTCAGCGGGATTCAAGAGGATTTACAGTGTATTCTGGACGGACCTTTGACGTCCTTAGGGCTGTCGACGAGAGACACCTCGCGAGCGTCCATTATTGTAGCTTGTGGGGTCGATTCGAGCAGAGGAGTCGAGGTTGCAGAAGGCATGTTGATTATGGGAGAAAGGATATGTCGCGTGACAGTCGAGTCTCAGACTGCGTTTTGCGGGCGTGTAGTCGATAGTGGGTGTTACGAGAATGTGGTTCGGTATCTGCGCAAGGCTGCTGGCGCGTGTCGTTGCTGGGTAGGCAGCTGGTACTGCGTCAGAGGATGCGAGAGGTCGAGGCCAGTGGTGGGCATATACCGTGATAGTCAGACCATCACAAGGAAGCCATGAGCGACATGGTGGGGTTGGTGTTGATGCGGAAGAGGCGCATGTTGACCGGGGATAGGAGTGGTTTTGGAGGGTTTGGTGGAAAGGGAAGATGTTGATCAGGAAGAAGAAGCGGAGTGGATCTGTCGAGCAGAAGGCTGAATGGCGCGCCGCTTGGAAAAGCGTGCGGTGGAGTCGGGATGCGAATATCGCTAGTCTCTCAGGGCCCAGAAACTCTGTCTAGCGGCGGCAGACGAGTGGCTCCCCGTTGTCACTTTGCACGTTCCTGCCATTTTCTCAATCTTTCCGCTCCAATCTTCGTCATCGCCCAGCTGCTGCCTTCGACTCATGCAATCTAACCACCCGATGACTCCCTCCTCTGCCGTGCTACAAACAGTCACTTGGAAGCGTGCATATGTGAAGTATTGAGTAGCTTTTTCGACTCGTTCTCAGAAACGTTCGTCATTGAGCGGGATGCCCTGCATCCATACTGATCTTCATGATTGGCTCGCTTGCCCGCACTCTGTTATCCCCGTGGCCACTCGTTGTCTCTAATAACGATGAACTTCCGCGCGCCTGCCAGATGATGCTCATCTACCATGATTCTGTGACCGCCCAAACCCCTCTTTGACGATTGTCTCAAAGATCCTCGCCGTTTCGCCCTCCCCATGTCATTATCCATGCCCAAACATGGGGAAAACAAGAGCAGATCAACGCACGATCACCGGACTGGGCCGGCAACTCTGGGGTTGCCATCTGAGCATAGATACCTAATCTTACCTTCAACTTGCACGTCATTGTCTAGATGTTTTCCAGAGACCATCTTTGTGCAAAGAAAACTAGTTCATTGACGCCTATATCAAATATTACACCGATCTGAATGCGCAGTGCAGGTGATGGTTGAGAAAAAAAAAGGGTGACCGACGACAAAAACAAGGGGGATATGTGGGTAAAGACCTGAGCGACTTGTACTGAGAAGAGGAAAAAGACAAGACGTAGATGTGCGTGAGCCGAGCAAGACGAATGATCAAGACCATCAGTGTCACGTCCTCGACCAACAAACATAGTGCCCTGCGTCCATGTCTTGTCCATTCCGCTTGCTTGAATAGGGTGGACATGTCTCTTGTGGTGCAGAACAGGACAACCAAGAAACTCCAATCCGAACGCCATGTTGCAGAACCAAGGTATAAATCTGGGGGATGTGCAAGTCTCTCAGGCCTCGAGCTGCAAGTTATTGTTCAGTTGGCAGAGCAGCAGCCGTTCGGAAGACGTGACATGAGGAAAAGCGCTTCGTCCATGGTCTCCGAACCATGTTTTGTTCTCCATGCCGAAAGTGGGAATGATCGTGCAATTGGGCCTGCCCGCTTACAGGATCAAGCACTTCTTGCGGCTGCTACTCCTCTCCTTTCTTGAGGTGAGGGCAGCACGAGTGGCGTGCTCAAAGACCTCACGAACACCCTCGTTGGTCTTGGCCGAGCACTCGATGTACTCCTTGGCACCGATCTTGTCCTTGACTTGTCTGGCCTGTGTATTGTGTAAGTCGAGTTCATGTTTTGATCAAAGTGTCAACACGCACCTGCTCCTCGGTAACAGGAGTCTGCGAAGTCTTGTGAAGTTCCTCAATGGTCTTCTGGTCGTGTCTGAGATCCTTCTTACATCCAACAAGGATGATAGGAAGACCCTGACAGAAATGGAGGACCTCGGAGATCCACTATAAAAACAATTCATGTCAGCATGCAGCTGGGCACGTGAGGTGACAGTTCAACGAAGGCGGCGTACCTTCTCCTGGACGTTGTCGAGAGAGTCGGGCGAGTCGACGGCGAAACAAATCAGGATGACATGCGAGTCGGGGTAGGAGAGAGGGCGCAGTCTGTCGTAATCTTCCTGACCAGCGGTATCCCAGAGGGCGAGCTCGACGTGCTTGCCATCGACCTCAACATCGGCGACGTAGTTCTCGAAAACGGTGGGGACGTAGACCTTCAAGTAGTTATGTCAGCACATCGTGTGCAGTATGTTGGAGGCTGCTTGTCGCGCTCAAGCGTGGAGGACTGGCGGGGGGTGCGACGGAGAGGGGAAACAAGTTGAGCGACAACGACGAGCCAAGCAGGGACAACGACGAACCTCAGGGAAGGTACCCTTGGAGAAGACACTGTCGACAGCGGGTAAGCAGTGATATGGTCAACAGGCGGCAGTGTTTCTTACATGAGGAGACAGGTCTTTCCGCATGCACCATCACCGACGATAACGAGCTTGCGACGAATTTCCGCCATTGTGGATACTGATCAACAAAGAGACTGTGAGGTGGTGGAAAGTGAGCAAGTTGGCCAGATATTCAGGCCAAGACGCAGGTGAATTGTTATGGAGATAGGATGTGATGTCGGCAACGGTGATGGCAGTGATGTTGGCAGGCGACGAAGAGGAAGGACGCACCTGGAGGCTGGCGCGCCAAGGTTTGACACGGAGCGTTGAGCGGGCACTCGGGGTTTGTTTTGTTAAATGCAGAGCAACAACACGTCTGCTTGCTTCTGTCACTGGCTTGCTTTTGCGAGTCTTTGTTGTTCTGGAGACAAATTCGAAGGTGGTAAGAGGGTTAAAAGACAGGCAATCACGTCGAGTATCAAACAGCGAACAGGGGAACGTGTTATTACACAGATTGCGTAGAGTAATTATCATAACGCTAGCACAACACGGCTGCCTCGGTGTCAGAAAAGGCTCCTTCAGGAGCCTTCGTCAAACTTGCTATCTGTTGTGTGGCTGAGAGACGTACGCCTCGCAGTAAGTGCTATTGTTGCACTGTCGACTTGTTTCTCTTCTCCTGCCTCCGGAACAGCGTCTAAGCCTCCGACTGCTCGACATCTCTGTTCTGCCACACGTCTGCGCCTCGTTCAACACCGTACTCATCTCGACGCTCGGATCAGGCTGGCTATTAGCTTTGTTTTGTCCAAAATGCGCCAAGAGGTATGCCCCATTGATATGTACTGCGATCAGCCACACATGCTGTGCCACAGCAACCTGAATTATCATGCTTCATCTCTCGTACGTGTTTCTGTCAGTGTATCAGACCAGGCCCACGCCAGAAACTTGTTCATGTCAAGACATCGTCCTGTTCGAAGGAAATCTCACTCTTACCCACACTCGCTGGATACTGGACCTGAATCAGAAGACTACCGACAGAAAAATAAACAAATAAAGTGTGGCAGGTGTCTTGATAGAAACATCACCTCTCCGTAAGAATGGTCGAAAGTCATTCTAAGTTTGTTTGACAACATAATCCTCGTGGAGAATCCCCACTCATGCCATTTATGAGTTTGCGGAGAAGATACTTGTAACCTCCCTTTGTCACTTCGATCGTACTTCTGACTAGCAAGTACCGGTGATTGTACACTGCAGAAAGGCATAACAATCTCCGAGACCAGAGATGTGTCCAGAGAGAGCTGATTAGTTGTCGCTTCTCAGTGGACGCTGTCTAGTTTTCTAGTATATCGTGCATTTCTACAGCTATAGTCATACAGTTGAGCACACGGGGAGGATCAAAATGGTTGTGCTGAACCTGCTGATGCAGCTTGTATGTACGAGTAGCAGAGCATGGTCAAAGTCAAACCCGACTCACAGTCGTGTCTTGTGAGCTTCAGAGTAGCAGAGCAGGCACAAAAACAAAGTCTATGGCAAAGCAAACAAACTTCTCCAAGTAATTTATCGTGTGCATCAGTCTTGAATGCAGTTTGGCTGTGAAGAACAAAAGCATGTATAGAGATGTGTTGATACATCTGTGATAGCAGTGTCGTTTGGAATTTTCTCGAAGACAGCAACGGCGAAGCTTGCGCTTGAATGGAGGAGGGGAGATAGACGGCTTTAAGCACATCCAGCTACCTCACAGCGTCACCGAATCACTACTCCGTTCGTAGACCATCACTTGAACTTCCAGCTATCACTTGTTTGCGCTCGCTCACCACGTCTGCCCGAGGCACGTACGCCACCCTTCTCTTCTGGCCACCTCTCTTCCCAGCGCTACTACCGACACATCCATCCGCCACACAACATGGCCGAATCAGAAGCAGACAAGGTATCTTGCATTCGTGCTGCTGTCAAAGCACAGTAAACAACTCTCTGTCCTCTCAGATCTAACTTGGGCAGATCCGCAACAAGCGCCTTGCCAAACTTGGAGGCGGCTCAGGCGCATCTTCACCAACACCCTCGTCTCCAAGCGTCGAAACCCCACCAGCCTCATCTTCGTCCGCCTCACAAGACAAGCCGGCATCCGCCTCGCAAGACAAGCCGTCAGCGCCAGCAGGCAACCCTTTCTCACAGCTTGGCATCAAGAGTGAGAACAAGGCGCCTGTCAAGATCAACATCACACCTTCTGCTGCTCAAAAGCGCCTCAACGACGACTCGCCCCAGCCGCGGTCACGTCCGCAAGCCTCTGAATCGCTCGAAACCTGGGAAGATCGCCAACTCAGTCAGATCTTCCGTCTGTCGCTGAAACCTGATGTCGTCCGAGATGGTTCCGGACAGCCTCTGTATTATCTTGAGAGCGTGCGAGGAGATCTGCTCGAACAAAATGAAGCCCTTCAGCTCAAGACAGGCCTGCTGGACCAGGCCCTTCCCGAAGCTGCCGGGCTCTTGAAAGACATCACACCATTGGATTATTTGCTAGCATGCTGGAAGCGCATCTCCAAGGCTTGTCGAAACATGAGGAGTACAGACATCGAGAACCCGAGGTTCAAAGTCTTAATGGAGGCTAGACGACTATGCATGAGTTACTGTATTTTCGCCATCACCATGCCCGAGATGTTCGGCTTCGAAACGCCGCCAGAGAACGCACTGGCAAAGCATCTCCTTGCGGATCCTCACAGCGATTCTGGTATTGATCACGACTTCCTCAACGAGGCCGTTTCGCGCTTCGAAGACGACGAGACAATCAAAGATGCTTTGGTCGGTGCTGTGGAGCAGCTCAGCAGGCAGCTGGCTACAATGTCTATGAACGACATCGAATACAAGCACTACCTCACCGCTATCAGGAACCTAGTCCATTATCCGAAGATTGTAGAGGCAATCACGCAATCGCCTGCTTTCCTGCCTCAAGGCGTTGCCGCGCAGGACATCGAGATGGTCACTATCCTGGGTCCATTCTTCCGTCTCTCACCTCTACAGAATGGCGTCGCGCAAAGCTTCTTCACCACACCTAGGTCGAGAGACAGGGCTTATATCTTCAATGCTCAACGTTCGCTTCGCATGACACTCAACACCCACCAGGAAGAGCTGTTCGACCTTGCCAACAAGATCGTCAAATCTGGCAAAGAGCCGCGTGAAAAGATACTTGACTGGTTCGCCCACTGCATGAATACCAACCACAAACGTCGTGCTATGAGAGTCGATGAAAAGACGACATCATCGGATGGCTTCATGATCAATATCACAAATTGTCTCGATCGACTCTGTGACCCTTTCATGGACGCCACTTTTAGCAAGATCGACCGTATCGATGTCAACTATCTAAGAAGAAACCCCAGAGTCGACATCTCCGATGAGACCAAAATGAACGCGGATCAGAAAGCCTCCGATGCCTTCTATGAACAGAAGGTTGACGGTACCAACAACTTCATCTCCGAAATCTTCTTCCTCACAGTAGCGGCTCACCATTACGGCACCGAGGCAGCCAGTTCCAGGATGGAAGAGTTGCAGAAGCGTGTCAAGCACATGGAGAAGGAGCTCGAGAGAATCGAAGCAGAACGACACAAATTCGCCCATGATCCCAGATACCTCACACGCTTTGAACAGCACATCCAGAAGTACAGAGATGAGGTCGACAGGGTTTATAGCACCATCCATGCAACTACGGGTGTGTTGCTTGATGAAGTTTCTCAAGCAAGATCCATGCAGTTCATGCGGTATGTAATTGTCTGGCTTTTGAGTCTGGCATCAGGGCAGAATCTTCCTAAGGAAAAACTGCGGCTGCCACTACCTGAAGAGCAGCCTGAAGTGTTCAAATGCCTTCCTGAATATTTCCTTGAAGATGTCGTGGACAACTTCAAGTTCATCACTCGCAACATTCCTCACATCATTACCTCTACCCAGTGTGAGGAGCTAGCCACGGTTTGTATCACCTTCTTGCGCAACACAAACTACATCAAGAATCCATACATGAAGGCTGGACTGGTCACGATTCTCTTCCATGGTGTCTATCCCTTCGGCAACTTCTCTAAAGGAGTGCTTGGTGACATCCTCAACGGATCAGAGTTCTGTCACAAGCATCTCTTACATGCACTCATGCAATTCTACATTGAATGCGAAAGTACTGGAACACACACAGCATTTTACGATAAGTTTAACATACGATACGAAATCTTCCAAGTGTTCAAGAGCATCTGGTCGAACCCTGTCTATCGAGAGAACCTTGGAAAGGAAGCGGACGTCAACACCGAATTCTTTGTTCGCTTCGTCAACCTGTTGCTGAACGATGTCACATATGTTTTGGACGAGGTTTTCGGATCGTTCTCCAAGATTCACGACTTACAAGAGGAGCTAAAGGCACCTGATTCAGAGAACATGGAGCAGGCGACACGGCAAGAAAAAGAGGAAGCACTGTCGGAACAACAAGGTCGAGCCAAGTCCTACATGGGCCTGACTAAGGAAACTGTTGCCATGCTTAAGCTGTTCACAGATGCTCTGGCTGGTGCCTTCACTATGCCGGAAATCGTGCAACGCCTAGCAGACATGTTGGATTACAACCTGGATGCGATGGTCGGGCCACGAAGACGTAACCTTAAGGTGGACCAGCCCGAACAATACGGCTTCCAGCCTAAAGAGTTGCTTGCAGATCTGGTGGACGTTTACTTGAACCTGTCACATCGCGAGAGCTTCCGTCAAGCAATTGCTCGTGACGGTCGCTCGTACAAGCCCGCGAACTTCGTCGAGGTCATGCAGCTCATGGTGGCCTTTGGCCTCAAAACTGACGAGCAGATCAAGCAGTTCACTGCTCTAACCGACGCTGTTGCAGTGGTACACGCTCAAGAAGTCATGGCCGAAGAGGACCTCGGCGAGATTCCAGATGAGCTCCTTGATCCTATCATGGGTTCGTTGATGGAGGACCCTGTCTTGTTGCCCAGCAGTAGACAAATTGTCGACCGCAGCACCATTCGCTCCCATCTGCTCTCAGACTCTACCGATCCGTTCAATCGTGTACCTCTAGCTTACGAGGATGTCGTGCCAGCTGAAGACAAGAAGAAGGAGATCATGGCATTTGTTGAGATGAAGAGGAAGGAGAAGGCTGCTGCCACTGCCGGCGACCCGATGGACACAAGTTCCTGATCCATGATCTAATGACAGAAGATGCAAGAAGAAATGAGATGGGGTTTGCTATAGCAGTACAGAACCAAGCTGAATTGCCACAATGCTGTCGATGTGCACCTGTTGATCTTGTGGAAAGCCTTGACCTCTTACACACAAACCGACAATGACACTACTGATAGACATCCATCTTCCAATCAAGAAGAATTAATGAACAATGAGGTCACGTCTGACCTTTATGCTTGAGGTTGTGAGGTCATATCTCTTCTCGGTCCAGCTTCATCTGGTTCCTCACCTAATTGCCCTAGCGTAGTCCGTAGTTGAGGATCATCAAGCAGAATATCGAGTCCGATCTAGCAATGCACTGTTGTTCTGAACGCGAGTCTGAAAAGCCATGGTTCAATATAGGTTCCATATAGTTGTAAGGGTAGACGTCAGACCGTACGAGGCATGCCCTAAGCCCACAAACAAATCGATTATTGGTTCCAGAGTGCTCCGGGAGATCTGTGAGAATGGTCTTCCTCCGAAGCTCGACAGGATTGACCATCTGACAAGCGGTCCTTACCTTTCTCGCTTTGATAGGTTTATAGTCAGGTAGATACGGCTCTGACACCGTCTTGGGAACAGGCTTCGAAGTTGGCTGCGGTAAAGGAGAACAACCTTCATCCTTAACGAATAGTGCTGGCATCAACGAGATCACAGGATTCGACTCAATCAATACAGTTTGAATTCAGTCTTGGACTGGAGACAGAAGAGGTGCGCTGACGCTTGAGAACGACTCTTGAGATCAGCAGACATTCCGAACACCTTCGGAACGCCCTTGTTCTTCTTCTCTTCAGACAGAGAGCACAGGAGCTTGTGACGACTTTGGAGGCTCAAATAACGGGCCCAGCCATTCAACGATGCTAGTACCCACTCAACAATTGGGAGTTCATATGCCGAAATGTCATCTCAAGCAGAATGTGATCTTCTTACGCAGCGAGAACGAAAAACATTAACGCTTGAGGTAAAAGTTGCGACGTTGCTCATGACCATCAACAACGACTTTTAAAACTGTCGTAGGCTGTCACTCGGCAGCTCTTGCTTCCGAGAAACACGGATCCCGATTATTATGCATTTCATGTCCTGCAGCTTGCTGCAAAGAGAGCTGTCCGTTTGTTCCATGATTTCGGCACGCTCGGCTGTCGCATTTTTTTCTTCTCTTTAAGATTTAAGAGGCTTTTCGAACCGTGTAACGGGCAGCCGTTCTTGAAAGCGCGGGCGCCGCGACGGCGGGTTTAACCGGCGCTGTACCTTTTTCGCTGTTTCACTTCCTTGCCAAGCAGAGAAATGATGCTTCGAGTCGCAAGCATGTCCGGAGCGGTCCACCGAACGAGAAAGTGAAAAACACAAGGGACCACAAGCCCGGGAAGAACATCGAAGAGAACTTATTGTGATCCCGATTGGAAACATACACGAGAATGACATCTCTCTAGCGTGATACAGATGCAGCTCAGTATGGGGAGACGTGGAAAACAAGGATGGGTGTGGTCCCTCTTTGGAGAAGAGCTGCAACCGGTGTGTGGCTGTGAAGTCAGAAGAAGTGAGGACGGAATTGCGTATCTTCGTATCGACGATAAGCGTATTTCGTACCAAACACCATGCAAAGATGTGCACTCACCTTGTCTTGAAAAGGACCGTCAATTTGAGGAGTGGGTGTTTTGGTCGTTGAGAACGCATCATTCGAGTGCATGGAAAGACATTCTGTCGGTTCTTGGGTGTGTTGGCTTCAATTCGCAGCAACAACCCTGCTGCCTAGCGGATTAATCAGCAAAAGTCGCGCCTGTTCAGTTCGTTGCACTTGTTCTTCTTGGTCGTGCCGTACATTATGGGGGAACAATCTCCGTAGAGCGACCAATCAATTTCCTTCGCGCTGACGAGACTCGAGGGATCTCCAAAGACCTCGGGGACAACACAGCAATACATACTAGACTCCGAGAATGGAATCAGCCTATCAAAGACATTCCTCACGTGTGCTGAGTAGTGGTCAAGATGGGAGTCGCTTGATACTTACCATTTGCAATTATTGGTATGTTGTTGCTGGAGTCAAGCAGCTTGAAAGCGCGCAACATTCTATAGATGCAGAGATGACTTGCCATAATATTGACAGTGATTTTTGTATCCAATTGTGAGGGCGGCTCTGCTGTGAAGCTGTCTTCAAGAGCATAAACTAGGTACTGTACACAAGTCCGGATGACATGCCTCCCGCAGTCCGAGTCAGAAACCAGATGGTGTAGGTTCAGCCTTTTCTTCGAACGTCCGTAGTACGTGCATACATAGAACGCTACTGTTTCGGTGTTGGGATGGTACAGGTATCGGCAGATCCATGTCATTGGGAAGCTCAATGTTTCTTGCATCAAATGTTTCAGAAGATGAAGCAGGCCTATATATCTTTTGCTCTTGCAAATTCTTGGAGCACATTTCTTTGTCCACTTCTGTTTACTGGTAATCGAAGTTTGGATCTACCGTATCGGCTAGTCATGTTTCCATAACAGGGCTAGCTACTCTGAGCTACTCTTATCCTTGCCGGGAACACTGATCTGCAGATGGGATATTCGACGTTCGCTACTATCGACTGGAGTCGACGCAAGATAGACCGTGCAGGGGTCGGGAAATTGTTTGGGTGTGTGTGTGGCAGCGGGGGTTGAGAAAAGAGCTGGGCAGTCGAACGCGATAGCAGAGAAGCAGATATTAGTAGTGTAGCCTTCTTAGCGCGGAAAGACTGTTGTTGACAGGATCTTCGATGAAGCACGGCAGTGAAACGATGGCGATGACTAGCTACTTGTATATGCGACAGTAAGGAGAGCGAAACACAATCCTTGCAGTCGATGAGAAACAGAAATCAGGCGTGAGAACCGAGACAAGAATGATGCCACGGCGGCGGCGCGGCGTGGAGATGTCGAGCGAGCCGTGCACGTAGCCGGTCGAGTCGTCGGCTCGCGGCCTAGGCCTGGAGGAGCAAAGCGGACTTTTTTCTTGGTTGCGAACAGATTTACAGTTGTGAGGACAGGCGGCGCTGACGATGGCGATGATGACGCCGCCCGAGCAGGCGCGATCATCAGAAATCAGAATTGAGAGATTCGACTTGCGGACTTGGTCAATAGACTGACTGCATTTGATGAATTGATGTAGACTGCTGCCAAAAGAGATTAAGCACTGTAATTGGTCATCTAGGATTCATCAAGCATTGCTTGTTGTATTATGCATTTAGTGGTTGCGCGGGTTGTCATTGGAACGGGAAGCGAACCAAAGCAAGCCAGACTTTTACACTCCTTCTCTCGCCCAACATCCGGAAGGTCGTCAACGGACGACAAGCTCCCCATCTTCCGTTTTCACCTTCCTCACCTTCCTCGTCTTGCTTTTCAGAAAATCCCCGGTCTTGCACGTCGTCGCCCACTGGCCTATCCTCTCACGCTCGTTTCTTGTCCACCCCTTTCCTCCCATTATATACCGCTTCGACACGCGCCGCGTGCACTTTCACCGTTTGGCCGCGTTTCTCCATCTTGGAAATTGCCTGACGCTTGGATTCGCTTCTTCGGTCGTTCCTCGACAATATCACAACTCTCTTGTCCTCAGCCACCGCCGTCTCGCGTCCATCTTTCTCTCGCGCTTTGAGCGTATCGCATCATGGCGCCCTCAGTCCCTAGATTGCGCATCCTGTCAGGTCAGTCATGCCGTCCATGTTCCTAACCATCCTTGCCCTTCCACGCTGCGCCATTGGAACCGGGTCCACTTTTCTAGCTCAAGCAAATATCCATCACTGCCCATCCCAGCCGCTTTGCTAGTCGCACTTGCCCTGTCCTGGTGTGCTGCAATCATATGCTCCACGAGCATTGCTCTTCTCACACATCTCTTTCCCATCTCTGATACGAGCCGCCAACCCATCATGGCCGTCGAGCAACCGCAACAGAGGCAACAGCTCACTAACGTCCTTGTAGTCGGCGGAAATGCCGTCTCTGCCTTCATGTCATGGAGACTCTCGGCGACCAACGCATGCGATGTCACTCTCGTCTGGAAGAATGGCTTTGAGAACGTGTCGCAGTACGGCCTTTCGTTCAAGTAAGCCAATGCTCCCGCTACCATCCGCAAACACCACTGACTTCTCTAGGTCTGCTACATTCGGAAACGAGAGGTTCAAGCCCAGACAAGGTCAGTCAACGCCGCTCGTAGTCACAATTCCCATTTCTAACATGGTTCAAGTCGTTCGCACTCCCGAAGAAGCAGCAAAAACGTCAAAAGCGCCTTACGATTACGTCCTTTTGTGCGTCAAGGCACTCCCAGACGTATACGACATTGCATCCATCATCGAGTCGGTCGTCGCTCCTCAGCATACATGCATCCTAATCAACACAACACACTCGCTTGGTGTCGAGTCATATCTCGAGCAAAGATTCCCTACAAACGTGGTTCTGTCTCTTGTCGCCGGCGCCGAGCTCTCACAAGTGGGCGCAAGTGAGTTCGAACACAAAGGCTCGGCCGACATCTGGGTCGGGCCCGCCAACAGAAACCCGTCGATTCCTGCTTCCATACAGTCGGACATGGCCGAAGCATTGGCCATGACGTTGAGCTCAGGTCAGGTGGATTGCAAGGTGTCGTCTAACATCAGACAGCAACAGTACGAGCGCATGATCGGGTAAGTCTCTATATCTAGTCTGTCGACCGTTTCTAACACATTTTCCGCAGCCCTATTGCTTTCCATCCCGCCAGTGTCTTGTTCGAAACGCCCAACCATGCCGAGTTACTCGAGAAGACAGGCGCTCGGGCTATGATCGTCGGCATCATTGATGAAATGCTTGTTCTCGCAAAATCCCAAGGCTGTGTTTTCCCCGAAAACTTCACAGAGCAGACCATGGAAACCATGATCCAGCCCACTGGCACACCCAGCACTATGTACCAAGACTTTACTGCCCGCCGACCTCTCGAGATTGAGACTTTCCTCGGCAGCCCTATCAAGCTCGCACAAGACGCTGGTGTTTCAGTGCCTCGCATAGAAACACTATATGCCCTTCTTCACAACGCCAACACACTGAACCAATCTCGCCCACCCCCTACGGCTGCAGTCTCACCACCAATTCCTGCACAAACACCCCGTATGGCCTCAGGTCCGAACATGGGCCCTGGCCCCAACCAGCGTGGCCCGATGAATGGCCCTATGCCTGGTCATCCTGGTAGACCTGGGATGATGAGACCTGGAAGCAGAGCACCTTCAATGACTGGTGGCCCACCTCCCCCAATGCGCAGAGGTCCCTCGATGAACAACGGCTTTGGTCCGCCCATCAGAATGAATGGAAATGGCCCACGTGGACCACCCTCCCAGCAGCCAACCCGTCGACCTTCGCTTGAGGACAATGAACTTGAGGAATTCAGCCATCTGATGCTTTACGACAACTTGCCAGAGGGTGCTCTGCCTGAAGGCGCGATTCCGAACGGCGCCGGCCCCGGAGGTGAAATGGGAATGCGTGAGAGAGAACTGGCCCTCCGCCAGAGAGAATTGGCTTTGAGGGAGCAAGAGTTCAACATGAGACGTCGCATGCCTCCTCCTCCTGCTTCTCATGCCGGAGGCTTCGATGATGATGACGAGGACGGTGAAGATTACTTTGACCCCATGGCTCCAGGAAGAAACGTCCCCATGATTGATCCTGACAATTTCGACATGATGAGTGTTACTTCAAGACGCACTCGCAAAGCACCCCCTCCCTCTGCCGGCCAACTCCGCAACAACCCAGAGATGGGCGGTCCTCCGATGAGAGGAGGTGGTAGAGGCATGTTCGGAAGGCCTAAGGTGCAGAACCGAACCAGTGCTAGACTAATGTCCGAGATTCCTGGTCTGCACGAAAACCTTATGGGCAACCCATTGCTAGGATACTCGTCAGACAGATATGGAGGTGTCGATCGTCATAATCTCGGACAGGAATCGAGAACCAATTCACTTACTGCAGAACGCCTGAACGAGCTTTCAAGAGGCGGCACTCCTGGCCAAGGCCCTTACCCTGGCCCAATGCCTCCTCCAATGGGCCGACGTGCCAGCAACTCCCCTGGACACCCTCTCGGACCCCCAAGAGGACCTCCCGGACAACGCCCCTATCCACCAAATGGACCAAATGGATATCCACCCCACATGAATGGCCGACCATCACCTCCTGGCGTCATGGGCTCGCCAATGCAACGTCCGCCAACCCAACAAGGTCAAGTGCCACAGCATATTGATCAGCAGAACGGGGTGAGCCATCTTTATCCGCCCAAAAGCGGCCCTCAAGAACGCAGTCTGACAGGTTCCGCGAGCGCTAGCGCGGGGAGTGGTGATAGCAACCACTCGGTGCCCCTTGATTCCGACCCTTCAGCCCATAGCAGCTCCAGCAGCTTAGGACCCCGTCCAGCCCACGGCTTCCGATAGATTGCCAAAGTCACGACTACATCTCAATCTTCGCATGGGGGCGAATTTGCAGAACTACTCACATAGCTCATGCAGGTTCTTTCTTCGGGTCCAGCGAACTCAACAACCAAAATCATTCCTTTTCTCTCCTTCTCACCTGACTGCATTACTCGATTCGCAACATCATACGCTCTTTTCGTTGCCTTGCGAAGACAAATCGATTGAATCAGGTCCTTTATTTCCTTGGTTCAGATGACTTGAGTCTACAAAGACAGCGGTTACTCGAGCATCGGCGCATCTCTTATCAGTATCTGAACACTTCGCACGTACATACTTCACACTTCAGCAATAGCATGCTGTACTGGACCTTTACCAAAAGTTCGACAGACTCTGTCATGCCAGAGCGACTCGACAATTGGCATTCACCTCTTTTATGGTATTTTCATGTCGCTTGCATTGCGTCGATGCATTTTCTTTTGTCTTCTAATCTCTTCATTTGTGTTGAACAATCATCCTGGAGAGCGAGAGAGAGAGGGAGGAACAGTCTCTTTTGGTCACTTTCTTGTCCACGAGAGGCAGGTTGGACGGCAGCACCGTGTAATATTTTCATTATTTTCGCATGAGGCGTGACGGAGGAAATAGTATGTTTTTTTGTCTTGTTTCACGTCGAGGTGTGTATGGGATTGAATGGACTTTGAATGTCTTTTGTCTGCAACGGTTGTCTTGTTGCATGAATGAATGTGACATGCGTGTCACCTTGCAGTAACGAATACTGTCAGAACAAACCGGTCTTGACCAGAATACATCTTTATCCTGCCGCGCCTGAACACAAACTTGGTACACTGACTAAGGAAGCCCCACTCATAACATTGTCGTGCCGGCCGGCCCTTTTCTGGAAGTCGGACAGTTACCTTACACTTGCAAGGGCTCCTGAGCTTCACAATTGAGTTGTACACGGTAGACCTCCCTCTAGATACAATGCAGCGCCGATTCGTTCCGTCAAAGTCCGACAATGCAGGACTGACTTGCTCATTTGATCCGAAGGATCTCACGCTATCGCCAATATTTGCAGTTCTGAGAGCATGCCCAGCTGCCAAGTCCATGTCGAGGCATACCATGATCAAAGCGTTTTATCAGATCATCGGTCCGCTTTATCAGATCGGTGCTTTTTTGGCGACGAGATACGACAACAACTTCCGACTTCTCACGTCTTATGGAGCTCAACACGCCTTGCCAAGTGAGTAGATGTAGCAGTGGTCCGATTTAGGCACAGAGGATATGCTTTAAGTATGGCATCCGCACATCCGCGTATCTCTGTTCTTTCCAGGTAGGCCTTGAACGTACAGTTGGTTTCCGGTGTGCCTCAAACCATGTCGACACCACGTGTTGTTGAAGCTCTTGACCAAGAGAAGAGGCAATCGACAGTCATCCAGGATCAGGAAATCTTGAGTCAACCAAATCATACAGGAGATTTACAGGATAAGGAGGCTCAGACTACAATTGTCACAGCACTTGACGCCTCATCTGTCAATTCCACGCAAGATGACCCGGCTGACGCACTGCCTCCTGTGCCTTTGAAAATCAAGTTGCTGAGTATCTTGCTGGTTTCTTGCATCGGTTTCGGATCGCAATGGAGCAGCGGTGTTAGCTCTGCCATGAAATCGACCATGAAGAAGGTATACATCGACACACTTTCACATCACATTGTTCGCCAAAACCCAGGAGATAAGCACTGACAGAAGAGCAAACAAGGAAATGCACATCAACAATACGCAATTTTCTCTCCTCGAAGCCAGCGAGGATTTCATGTCTTCAGCCCTCATTCTCCTCACTGGCATCTTTACCGACCGTCTAGGTGGCACAGGATGCATTGTCTACGGCAACATTATCTATACCATTGGCTCCATCTTCATTGCAGGCGCTGCAGAAATGCGCAGTTACAAGTTCATGATTGTGGGCAGGGTGATAGCGAGTTTTGGAGATATTGCAACGCAGGTTGCGCAGTACAAGGTTTTTAGCAGTTGGTTTCCGCCCAGTGCGGGATTTGCGAGTACGCTAGGGTTTGAGTTGGGGATCAAGAAGGTGCGTTTTGTGGTTTTGCTTTTGGGAGAATGGGAAGGAAGGATGTTGTTTTGCTGACGATGGTGATGCACAGATTGGTGGCTTTGTTGGCAAGTCGACTGCTAATATCATTGCCAAGGTAAGAACCACCAACACCTCTGCTTATCACTTTAGCAGAAACCAGGAGGAAGGACTGACCGACGTAAACAGAACTGTGGCTTCTCAAGCGTCTTCTGGACAATGGTAGGCATGAACCTCTTCACCAACCTCGGCACAATCCTCCTTTTCCTTCTAGTACGCTACTGCTCATCGCGCTACTCTTCCATCGCCGACCCCTCGACCGGCGAAAAGCTCACCGAGAAAAACAAAAATCTCGACTTTAAAAAGGTGCTAGAGATGCCTTGGCCCTTTTGGTCCATCATGGCATTCACACTTTTTCAAACCACAACCGCAAATGTGTTTTCCCAAAACGCGACGGAGCTTGCTGAGCAGAGGTTCAAGACTTCAGCGGTCAAGGCAGGTTGGTATACAGCAGTGTTGCAGTATGCAGGATTCTTCTTCGTGCCGTTGTTGGGAGTGTTTATCGATCTTGTAGGTCAGAGGGTTAGTGTCATGGTGGTTTGCGGCGGTGGATGTTTTTTGTCCATGGCTTTGGTTTGTTGGGCGCCTTCGCTCAAGGGCACTGCTGCTGCGTTTGGGATTTATGCGTTTGCGTTTTCCCTTGGGCCGACTGTTATTATAGATAGTGTGAGGACGTCTATGTGGCATCAGGGGGCTTTTGGAACGGCGTATGGTATCAAGATTACCATCAACAACGCGTGAGTATCTTGACAGTCTTCAAGAGAGAAAGCTGACGGAGGATTACAGTATGTCCTGCATCACACGCATCCTCACCGGCGCAATCCAAGACGCGGACAACAACTCCTACCACCGTGTTGTTCGGGTCTACGCCTTCTTTGGCTGTGCTTCTCTTGCCGTGTCTCTAGTCATCCTCACATTGTCTTTCCTCTCACCGGATCTAGGACGCTTGCAATACAGCCGCAAGAAGAGACTTGTTCAAGGAGCGTTCATCCGAGAAAGACTGCAGAGGTTTGAGACGACCATGAGACAGAGGAACAAACGCATCTCGGTAATTTGTTTCGGGTTCACGATGATGCTCATGCTTGGGGGATGGAGTGCTTACTTCTGGGGCGTTGCTACAGGCAATAACAAGTGAAGGGAAGTGATGAAAACGATTAGAACACCCGACGAATCTCATTGACTCTCAAAAATCTAAACACTGACAATCTCCTACATCTCCTTTGATGCCTAATCCCAAACCATGCCTCACAGTACCAGATACCAAACTCGGACACTTATCCATCTTCCCCTCGCATCCAAAAACCAATGCCCATAATCTCTCTACCGTATACCCAAACAAAGGTGCATTGAGACTATCCTGTTTACTTGGCAACCAAGGCTGTTGCATATACTCCTCTGAATGCGTCACTGCATCAGGATCCATCAAGTTATGCAGCAAATGTGAATATAGTTGATGATTCTGTGCCAGAATACGAGACCGAGAAACGATGAATTGACCGCGGTAGGTAAGAGCATAGTCTTTGCAGCCTGTGATATTGGCTTGCTTGTAGATGGCACCCAAGACCTCGGGGTCTTCTGACCATGTCGAATGGTCCCAAGGTTGACGAACACAAGTGTTGGAATCATAATGTGTGTCTGAGAGAGACAAAAAGCCTGTTTGAGAGACAAAGTAGTTCTTAAGTCGCGGGTAAACCATATCGGGCGAGTGCATTTCGGCTTGAAGGAAGAAAGTATGGTCTGAGAGGTTGTGGTAGCTGGAGAGGATGTGAGTGAGGTAGGCTGCTGCTTCTCGGCCTACATTTGGTCGTTGCGAGACCAAGAGACTGATGCCTGGATGCAGAAATTGCCGCAGGTCCTTTGCGAAATGGTCTGTCTCATCGCCTCCTGTGCTGTAGACCACGAGGCGCGACGCTAGAGAGTTAATGCTTGGGAGTGCGTACAGAGAGTTGATCTGCTGTGCGACTTGAGCGGCCGATTCGTCGAATCTGGACACGACAAAATCCAAGGATCTTGTTGTGTTGGACGAAAACTCTGAACGGTCGTGTCTTGGTACCCAGCGCGACGATACAGGAGGCGGCGCATGAGAAGAGAGTATCAGTGATACAGAGAGGAAGGCACAGATCATTAAGAAGATGACTTGCAACGAGCCACTCCACTCGGTACATCTGCGCATTTCTGGTATGTCGACAGTCTCAAAATCTGGCAGACGTTGTTCGATGTCATCAGGCAGTAACACCCCAACGGGCATGTATTTTACATCATCCATAGCAGACAATCTGCACTGGCGACTAGCCCAAAAGATCATCCACAGAACGATACAGAAACCAACATACTGTTCAATAGATACGCTTGACGAGTCGATCATGAAGCTGCCCAAAGCTATTACAGTCTGGAGTGCTACTGTCTCGATAATGGGTTGCATCTCATCATCTTCAAAGTCTTCCTCGATGCCGTTGAATGTGGCAAATGGCTCCGAATGTTTGAAGTACGACCCATTGTACTGGAAGAGTACAACTGCAGCGAGGGTATTGACAGCTAGGACAGCGAGATGGATCTTGAATAGGGGTGGCGTATATACCAAGTATTCACGCTTGTATACTGCCACCATGGTAACGAGGATAGCCAAGGGGAGAAGTATCGTTCTGTCTCGCACTGGACCGACTGGGATACAAGATTGTGTGCCTTCCAGATCGTTGAAGACACCTGGCTCCTGGCGAAGCAGTTGTGCAGCAAGGCCCAAGAGGATTGCAATGCCTGTCGACTTGAGCCCAACCTCGGACAGCTGATACTCGAAAATGAGTATCATTGCAACGCCTACTATGCATCCAAGGCATGCAGAGATCTTTTGCAAGATGCTCGAGTCTTTGTGGCGCGCCAGGTGGATAACCCGACTCCAGTCTGGCAGCAGCAGCATACTCAGAGCAGGCAGAGATCGGAAACGGTAAATAGCCACATATTCGCAGATCAATGCTCCAATACTGAAAGCGAAGCGAAGGCAAGCCTTCGACCCAGTCCTCGAGAATATGTTTGCTGTGCGAGCTAGTTCGTATAATGTGTAGTCTTTTGCATCGGATGTACGATCGATCTCGCGCGAGAAGAGCCATAGGATGATTTCCCAGAGTAGTGTCGCTGAGAGGTGCAGCAATAGTAGTCGAAGAGGGTGATGGAATCCATGTACAAAGACGACTTTGGTCGTCAAGATGCCTATGGCCGAGGAGATGATTCGTAGTGTTCTGTGGTCGAGATTGCTGTGCTTTTTCATACGGCTCTCGATCGTTGATCGGTGGAGGGTATTCTGAGACAGCATAGTTTCTTCCAGATGTCGTCGCGCTGTAGTGATCGTGGCATTACGAAGAGAGCGTATAAAGGCATTATGGCAGATAAGGGGATTTGATCCTCGAATAGAGCAGCCTTACAAGCAACTCACAATAAAAATGTGTCTTTGCTGTGCCACAGAGACAGGAAGCCATAAAAGGGTGATGATCTTCAGGCACAGTACCTACCTATACATGATCAGTGCGGTTGCTCTACAGTGCGTCTATGTTGGCGGTTGAATTGAGGATCACATATTTTCAGGCTGCCAGATCAAAATATGGATCAGATCTGCGGGAAGAAGTGTTGCAAATTGGCATTGCCATACGTGTAGCCGCGCTCAAAATCATGACCCGCTCGAAAAATGTCAGTAGTTGAGGCAGGACAAAGGTGGCTGCGCAAAGGCGGTGATGGTCCGTCGTCATTTCGCCTGCCAAGTGTGTAGAAGGATTTGATCCACAGAGGAAGGAACAAAGCACGACCCGTATTCAAGGCAACGAAATTCTGGGTGGGCAGAAGTTACAACCGGGAGACTGGCTTTTTTTTTTTTCCCTGAATGCTATCACAGATTAGGTAGCCATATGCTCAGAAGGAAGAGCGGACCATTTCGTACGTAATGATCACCTTGAGCATTCTATGAATATTCATCTTTTGCAATGTCGCTGGACTCGATTGGCAAAAGCTACTCTTGTCGTCGACCAGAAAGACTTATTCGTGAGTAGACGAAGGAGTCCATGCCCCCTCGAAAGCATGTGTCAGTAGTGTCAAACTCCGCAATTAATAAGTGGAAGGAGGAGACGTGGTACAGTGAAAGGATGCTTCGGTCCGAAGTCTCATCTCCGCGTCCTGAGGAGTTCGGACCCACACTCTTTAGCATCGCTTATATAGCACATCTTTCCTAGACGAACGATGAACATGGTCACGAGACTCGAATGTTGAATAACGCCAATGTCGCTTGAGGTTCAACAAGATGTATCGAAGAGGTCCTTGCAATGTCATATGGAGTAAGTCTCACCGCCACAAAACAAGAAGCAACAACGGATAAACAACCAGCAGAAAGAAATTGTCAATGTCAAGAATGTAAAAAAAGAAGTAGCGATATGGGATATAGTGTTACAAGTCTTTATGATTTGAAAAACATTCATGCATTTCCCTTCCCAAGAAAACTCCAAAAAGGAGAGAAAGACACAACACCTCGCTTTTTTGACCGCTTTCAACAACAACACCACCCATATGCAAAGAACTAAACCTCCCCCCATAACACCATAAAATCAACACCCTCTAATATGATATACAAAACTTGAAAAGGAAGATTGGGGATGTACTCAGTGGAAGAAGTACTGACTCTCCTTCAACCTTGTCACGTCAAAGTCACCCTTCTCGGGCACCTCAGGGAACTTGAGCGGCAACCAGACGTAAACCTTCTTGACTGGAGGCTTCTTTGCGGACTTTACAGCTCGCTTCTTCAGCTCTTCGATAGTGGGAACGTGGTCTTCGCTCTCATCCATATCGATAGCAGCGTCTTCGGCTGCTTTAGCGACCTTGTCGTCGCCAGTAACGTCGAGATCATCGTGGTCGGACAAGACGGGCTCAGTCAAGTCATCACTGCCAGACTCGGAAGTGCCCAAGACATCCGAGTTCTCGGGGATCTCACCGAGACGTGCATTTACAAGCTCGGTAGGCACGGTCAGCGCGTCTTCAGCATCGGCTTCAGCGGCAAAGATGCTGCCAGAGGTGACCATCTCTTCACCTTGTGCGACCTCTTCTGGGTTCTCGCTGTTGAGTAAGCGTGTGCGTTCAACTTCTTCCAAAAGTTGAAGGATCAAGGTCGGCTGAAGCTGCTTGGTCTTCTTGGTTGCTTTGGGGCGGCTCTTCTGGAGTGCGAGAATCTTCTTGCCAACTGGCGTGCGAACATCAACAGCAGCAAGGTACATACAGTCCTTGTAACGAGCAATGAATTCCTGGCGCAGGCGGCCGACGACATCTTCAGTGTGCATGGCAACGAAAGCGTCGCGGAGAACAACAGACAAATGGTTAATGTCGCAAGCATGAGTCCAGAAGGAATCGTGAATACTGGCAAAGGCGATGTTGTTCTCATCGCATTTAATAGCGGACAACATCATATGCGTCGCATCCAAAGAATGAATGAAGTTGGGAGGGAAGCCTTGCAGTTGCTTACGCTTGCTGACAGGATCGATTGCAGATGGCTCCTGCAGGGCAATGTTCTGGAGATTGGTCTTGACCTGGCGGCGCTTTGAAGTGCGGTAAGGCTGGACGACAGGGAGACGAAGGGGAGTGGTCCAGATGACAGAGCTTCGGAACAGATGCTTCGTCGCCTCCATGCGCTGTGCCGTGACGGCTTTTGTTTTGCCTTTGCCACCTGCAGACTTCTCTGGGATGACGGATCTGCCTTCTGAGTTGTCTTTTTGCATAGACGCAATCTGCTCAGGTGTGACGCAAGTAGAAATTCGGTCTGCGCAATCTCCCAACCATGTCTGAATTGCTTGCGCACCCCTGAACATCTCACCTAGAGACTTGAAAATCTTCTTAGCGATGTAAGAGGCAAGCGTGAGATGATCTAGGGCATCGTGACGATGAATCTCGGGGAAGATATCTTCAAGCTGTTTCTTGACTTGCTCTCTGGCGCCGAAGTAGGTGACACCGTAAACGTTGGTCATGACTGGCTGCTTGACGACCTTGCGAGTAATTTTGCCTCTGAGAAAAGTTGCTACAGGATGACCTGCGGCATAGTCCTTCTCGACCTCTGCCTTGACTCCTTCAGCGACGGCGGTGTAGACATCGGAAGGCCTGTCTCCAGGTTCCAGGTTGACTTGACGTGCACCAGCTGTATCACCACCAAGAGCTGCATAGTGCTGGAGACCATTGCAAGTACCATCCTGGTGTACTGGAAGATGCGAAACATACTTGGTTGGGTCAGGAAGGTCCATGGCAGCTTTCAGCTCGTAACACGCAGCCAAAGTTTGCCATGCATCCTCAGATTGAAGCCACCATCTCCTGCCACCCAGAGGGTTAGCTACTGAGTCGCGAATGTCGTCCATATGGTCCTCAGAAAATTTCTCTCTCTCTGACAGACTAGCTTTGTCGTAACCAAAGACGTTGGACAGATGAATCTTGAGCCATCTCAATCCGACTTCACCAAGCTCCTTTCCATTGGCAAAGGTCATTAGAGCACGAGCGTTGTCGGCACCCATGTGGTTGAGATAAGGTGGGATAGGGTAAGCTCTACCACGGAAGTCAATGTTGTGAGGGAAGTACACCTTCTCCTTGCTGAAAGCTCTGGCGATTTCAAGCTGGAAATTTTGGAAACATCTTTGTGAATGGTAGCCGCCTTTGATGTTTTCGATATCTTTGACAGTCTGTAACCACTGACGACGCGCTTGGGGATCAGACTTGTCGGCAGGTTCGGGAGGCAGGTCTAGCTTTGGGTTTAGAGGAGCGAAATTGGCGATAGGCTCGCCAGTGTTCCACGCCTCGATTTGCACACGCAGCACGTTCTCATTGACCTTCCAAGGCACCTTGCCAAGAACGTTGAGAGCCTCAAACACCTTGTCAAGATCTCCTCGTTGAATGGCAGCATAGGCGTAGTCGCGAGGCACACTATCTGCTCCAGAGAAACGAATGACAGGTGTGGGATAGTTGAGGTAACCGCCCCTGCTGAAGTTGGTCCAAGGTTTAGGTTCGACGACCATGGGAAGTCTCTTGGCAATCAGACCAGCCACAGGCTCGCGATGGAGTTTCTGAATCAGCTCAGAACTGGGACAAAGCCACCCTTGCTTTCTTCCTGATTCGTAAAGCGTCTTGTGAAGAAAAGCTGGCTGAGTCTGCGTAACCATCTCTTTTGTCCTAGGATGCTGTCTGGTGACAGGAATCTTGGCAGTCTCGATAAGCTTCGAGACAAGCATAGCACCCAACTTGACGCGAACGTCACTAGGCCATACATGCAGTTCCGGATCGAAGTATGGGTGTGCCGCCTTTGGCTGCTTTTTGGGCGTACGACCAAGCTTTGCTTTACGCTCAGCAACAGCACGTTGTCTAGCAGCTTCCGCATTGGCCTCGTCCTGCATGGATTTTCCGAGATTGGCTGTAAGACGTCCAAGCCTCTGGTTGCTGTTGTAGGTGCCTGTACTCCTTTCCTTGCCGCTAGCGAATGCAGACATGACGCTGAGAATAGTGGTCGCAGCTAGTTGTTCTACAGGCACAGCCTCGATGAAAGGTCCGTAGATGAGCTGATCTTTGACAGTATTGTCTCTCGGGGGGTTGTCCATGACCTCACGACAGGCTTCTATTTCCTCGCGCAGCGCAGGCAGCAAGTCTGAGTACCATTGCCACATCAGAGCGCCAAGTGGCTTTGACTCAAGAGTGTTGTGTATACCAAGCTTTTGCAAATGTTCCTCCTCGAGTTTCCAGCGCGCAATAGCAGCTAGACCTGCGCTCTCTTCAAGCAGACGCTCGCGTTCCTCGGGTGTGAGTCTGGTCTTTTCCATATCCTCGAGCGATGTGATTGCTTGGAGCGCGGGTGATGCAGCGTCGAGAGCCTGCTTTAGAGAAGCCAGGCCCATTCCTTTCTGGGTAACTTCTAGTACTGCGGGTATGTCGGTACGATCGGCCATAGGGTAGACATCCAAATCGAGGGAAGGTCGCTCATTTGTTTCGGCAGGCTGCTCGATTTCTGTCGGCCGTGACTTGATCGTGGGTAATATGCTTCCGATTCTCATAAACTCGTCGTCAGTAAAGTCGTCGGCATCGCAAATCTCGTCGATCATATCCGGTCCAGAGGCCTCTGCAAGTTCTACATATCGACGCATGGCGCGTTCTTGCTTGGCTTTTGACAGCGAGTTCATGGCAGCGCGCATCATGACGACTAGCATATGCGACTCGACGGGATAATCATGTTGTACAAGGTCATTCTCGAACCAGTCCCGCATGGACTCGTAATATTCCGCTTTCGTACTCCATCCTCGGGTGTTCTCGATTTGTGCTAGGCTTGCATCGAGGTATGCGTTATGGGCATGTTGAATTTCGAATGAGTCTCTGGGGCAGCGTTGGCGCAACTTTTCGATGACGAGTCGAGCTCTCTCGAAACGCTCCACTCGGAGACATGTGTGTAGACTCTGCACAAGGTCGTTGACATTGCTAGCGAGCCCGTTCGTGAATAACCGTCTAGGCTCATGTGATGTCTGCATATCATGTTGCAGCATAAGAGTGTCCTTGGGATCAAGAGAGTATTCGACTCCGCCAAAAGTCCATCGTGGCGATTCGGAGGCTATCGTGTGTTGGTCGGCGACTGTGGCTAAGCGCCTCGTTTGTGTCTTGTCGGCGTTCAAGGATTGAAGGCGTGTGAGCGTTCGGGGCTGAGGGATTTGTGACGAATGTGACGAGTTCCATCGTGTCTGAACGGGACAGAGAAATGGGAGATATAGCGAGTCGGCGAGATGAGTGAGTTGTAGTGATGTGTTTCGCCGCGTTCTGCGACCTGCTGCTCGGACGAGCATTCTGTGAGCACGAATGACGATGAATAGATTGAGCGAGGCGAGCGGTAAGGACAGGATATGCAAGTGGTCAGAGTAGCAGAAAGCACAAGAACAAGAAGGGCGACGATATGGTGGGCGGCAAAAATATCACAATACTAAAGAAGAAATAATCATCATCGATGGCGAAGAGCAGAAAAACCCCGGACTTCAAGTTTCCATCATGGCCCGCCAAGATTTCTAGGGTCTTGCTTCACGTCCCCCGTGTACAAAAGTATGTAACGCGTATAGTTATAGAAATGCATAACAGTGACAGGAAACAAGATGGTCTCCACTAATAGGCAGAGAATTGTCGGACTCCGTGGACATCCCTCTGCTTTTCAAAACAACTGTGCCTTTCCATAATATAAATCCTGCTTGTTACCGCAAGCGGAGTACGGTGGATGTTACATACTTTAGTATATGGGGAGGCCGCAAGCCGCCTTGGGCAGGCAGGCCTTCACGTGCCTTGCTTGGACTTCATCATGTGGACGATATGCTTGTCTATTTTGTCCTCTTCAGGCAGCCTTGCACGTGCCTTGCTTGAACCTGACCAAGTCCTCCCCGTGTGCTAGAGGCAGTCACAGTATAGCTATCAAAATGCACAGTGCTAATCCGCATATAATGCTATCTATCGAGTCCCCTCTGTGGAAACCACGTTCTTTACTAAGGTATTGTGCATTTCTATAGCGACACTCTGACTGTCTTTAGCACATGGGGGTGTTGTGTATTTGTCCTCTTGTATTGCCGGCGCTATCAACATGACCACACTCCAACAACACCGTCTTTTCTACCTTCAACCAGATATCCGTCCTTGATGCGGACACGCTCGATGGTCGAGAGCGGCCCTTGGTCTTCTTGCTCAGAGGCTCCAGGTCCGCAGTCCCACTGGTTGCCATCTGTCTTATCGTAGATTTTGACCACCGATTCGCCAATGGCTGACACGATGTGTCTTGCGTCAACAGATGAGTCGACAATAGGTGAGTCGTATGCAAATGCGTCAATAATGCCGCCAGTGCGGAGGTCCCAGATCTGTAAATCGTGTTAGAACATGTCATCAACCTGAACAGGGCAACATAACATACCCGAACACTGCGATCAGCACTGCCAGTCACCATGTGAATGCCAGAGAAGGCTAGAGACGTAATAGGCCCCGTGTGGCCAACCAAACTCCTGTGAACGCTGCCACTTCTCAGATCCCAGAGTCTAACCATACCATCTGCCGTACCGCATGCCAATGCTGTCTCGAACACCTGGATGGCGCCGACAAAGTCTGCTTCAGCAGGCGGCAAACGGCCAGAGGCAGGTCGCCACCAGCCTTCTGAGGCACTAGAATCTGCAGCAGCTGGAGATGGAGCGCCGAAGCTGTTATTTGATACACTAGCTTGAGCGGCTGCCCACATGACATCAAGTGTTTGCACGCAGCGGCCGTTCTCCAAATCCCACTGGCGAAGTGTCTTGTCGGCCGAACCAGAAACAAGAGTATTTTTGTGGAAGTGGAGAGCTGTAACTTCGGCCACGTGGGCAGAGAGTTCGGTGATCAGACAATCTTGCATGGAAGATGTAGGCGCAACAGGGAGAGGATCCAATTCTGGATCAGATAACATATCGGCATCGTCTTCTTCGTCCGTGTCCCTGTCCCGACCAAACCTGTTGCTCCGTGAACTCGGCGGAGGTGAATACTCGGCTTGGTTTAGGTCCCAGAAGCGAATGCTAGCATCCATTGAACCAGTAGCTACGAAGTTATCCTGTACCTGGAGGCAGCGAACCGAGGCGTGGTGGCCTTCAAGAAGACCAATGCATCTTCCAGCATTCAGATCCCATACACGTACTGTATCATCGAGAGCAGCAGAAACAAGAGTCCCGAAAGGAGCGTCAAAGTCTAGAGCAGTAATCATGTCATTGTGAGCTTGGAACTCGCGGATGCGAGAACCCTTTTCCATGTGCTCGTGTAGCACAGGCATGGATTTGCGCCTGTTGACGCGGCGCTTTTTTCTCTCCTTCTCCGTCTTAGTAGGTGAAGGGGCAGGCAGTTTTCCATAGACAGATTCAGACATGAAGGTTTCGGTAGACTCGGCTAATTCAGCAGGCGCGTCTGGCGTAGGCTCTAATGGTGGAGACTTGGTAGCCAAAGCAGCAGCATCTTCAAGAGCCTCTTGCATGTCCTGAAGCTTCTCAGTCATCTCTTGAATTTCATGCTCAAGGTCGACCTCTTCCTGCTCATGACCAGCTAGTCGTTGAAGAACGATTTTTCTCATGGTATTAAGGTTGGCAATCTTCGTATCAATCTCTTTGATCTCGGAAATGCACATGTTCTTGCGGATGCCCATCATCTCCAAGCGATGTTCCATGGTGGCCTTTTTCGATTTGACCTTCTTGAGGGCGGCTGCAGGGGTAGTTGGGGTCGAGTCTGGTTCATCGTCGCTGTCATGACCGAGTAGCTTCTGGCCTTTGTCGTTGCTGCGATGTGACTTCTTCTTCTCTTCTGGTTTAGAGGCCTGGAATCCTTGGAATAGAGAGTATGTGCTGGTACGTTCGGGAATGTGGCGGAGAAGATCGTCTGGGAGATGGACCAGGGCGCGGTGCTGAATCTCGGAGGTGGAGAAAGTAGATCGAACAAGTTCTTTGGGAGAGGCTTTAGCAAGCTCAAATACAGAACGCTGTATCAAGGGCCGGCGTAGCTCGCGGTGGATGTCGCCTAGGGCGGTTTGATAGTGGTGAGGATCGCCGGCAAGAGGGCCGATAAAGTGGCTGGCAGTGGCATGAACGGTGCGGCCAAAGGCTTCAAGCTGTCGCGACTGTTTGACTAGGGTCAGTGAGGTCAGAGATATGAATAGTGTGAGCGACGCACGCCTAGCAGACTATCATCATCGTCTTGTTGCGGCAGGTTGGCAGAGGCCCGCCGCCGGTGTGACGAGGATGGCGGAGGCATGGTGTGCGGCGGTGTGCGATCAGGACTATGAAATCATTCTCAGGTATTTGGTGATATGTCAGGCAAATAAACAACTGAAGGTCGCGTGGTGCAGGCGTGGATGCGGAATGAATTTTTGGGCGTGACACGAGGCCGAGGTTGTTGACGATGATGATGGCGTTGCTGCTGCTGCTGCTGCTTCAGCTGGAGCTCCACGATTCAAGAAACACCGGGCAAGCCACTCCGGTGTCGCAACCATACAAAGTCATCTTCTACACTTGTTCATGCGTATTCTCCACAACACAGACACACACGCACAACCACTCACAGACATGGATACCGCCATCGACCTCTCGGACGCCAGCAAGGCGCTTGACCTGGCCAACATCCGCTTCCAATTGATGTAGACCCGCCCACCCGACACTCCCTCCACTATGACAGACTCGCTGATATCCCATCAGCCGGCTCGAGGACACCATCACCTTCCACCTGATTGAGCGCGTCCAGTTCCCCCTCAATCCCTCCATCTACAAGCCTGGCGCCGTCCGCATACCCGGCTGCGAATACAGCTTACTCGACTGGATGCTCCGCGAGCAGGAACGCTTCCAATCCCTTGTGCGCCGCTACCAGTCCCCCGACGAGTACCCCTTCTTCCCGGACGTCTTGCAAGAGCCCATCCTGCAGCCTCTCCACTACCCTCAGATCCTGCACCCCAACGACGTCAACATCAATAACAAGCTCAAACACCACTACACCGAGCACATCCTACCTGCTGCTTGTATCAACTATGGCCGCGAAGAGCGCGGCGAGAACCAGGAGAACTTTGGCTCCGCCGCTACCTGCGACGTGGCCTGTCTGCAAGCTCTGTCTCGCCGCATCCACTTCGGCAAGTTTGTCGCAGAGTCAAAATTCCAGAAAGAGACGGAACGCTTCGTCGACCTGATCAAGCGCGAGGATCGCAAGGGCATTGACGAGGCCATTACAAATGCTGCTGTCGAGAAGAAGGTCCTCGAGCGTCTGCGTCTAAAGGCAAAGACTTACGGCACAGATCCCAGTATCTCTGCCGGTGAGGCAGAAGAAGCCGTCAAGATCAAAGTAGATGCCGTCGTTGCCATGTACAAAGACTTTGTCATTCCCTTGACAAAAGAAGTCGAGGTTGAGTACCTTATGCAGCGTCTCAAGAACACTCAATGGGAGTAATTTCAAAATCTATACGTTCACGATAACACACCTTCATGCCTCTTATGTTCTCATTTCTATGATGATCTCATTTGCTTAAACATTTTGTGCTTCTTACTTCTCGCGAGTTTTCTCCCTACCTTCTATCAACATTTTCATGTGCTCGATGTAACAGTCACAAGAACATTGAGACAGGGTGATAGCTTCGATCAAGAAAGTACATCCTCTGTTGTTCGAAACCAAAGTCTCATTGCAACAAGATGGCATCAAAGAAGACTACAACCAATACCAGACACCGAGATTCACCGAACTTCTCCAAGACATGTCAGTTCCATCAGAAGGAGCATTCCACAGCAGAAGCGGCAGTCCCAAAACAGAATATGCACTTTTAGCAAATAGACAAAAGCAACATTCTACATCCACATGGCTCAGAGCAGCATATACGAATCAGAATCCTTCGAACGGAGTTCTGGATGCTGGGTTAAGGGTAAAAGCGGCCTGTTGTACTGGGATATTCGACAACATGTATAACCCTGCCTCGTGCTTCTGAGCAGCCAAAAGTACCTGTGCATCATCGCATGTGTTTCGCGTACCTTGCATCTCCACCAAGCATTGCACGCAGATCAGGGTTGCAGGATAGTCGCGCGTGAAAGGGACGGAGAGCTCTTAAGACGCCGTTTACAGTGCGTTCGTTATCCGAAAGGGCAAAAGGATGCGATACTTATGTACAGAGAGACATGGAGTCAAGCCCGAGGCCGCCGTTCCTCGATTTCTATGTACATAGCTTACAAGGAAGAGTCGTTCGCACATGTCCAATGCCACCTCCGCTCAAGTTCGGTCACGGAGCGAGGTATGTCGGCTTGTTATCCCAATCGCAGCCCCTGGAAATGACATCTGCTTGAACGAACCCTCTCTGCATCCGAGCCGAAAGGTTACAACCATGTGTAGGATTCTTCAACACTGGCGGTTCAGCTGAAAACAGCATGATAGGCACTCAGCAGATCTCAGGTCAGGCCCACCACTACATATGAAAAAGCTGTTGGAATTATTGGAGACGCGGGAAGGTAGTGTAGTTATGCTGCTATAAGGGGCTTCGTAACCCCACCTATAGCCAAAAAGTAGGGTCTGGAAAATTGAATCTGGGGGAGTTCCTAGAGTACCCGTTTGGCGTAAGCGAGCATGTGTCTGAGGCTGAGGCAGGGCCAAGGAATCCTTGTCTTCGATCGAGATTATGCCAGGGTAGGATCGGTCTTCAGCTTCGTGAGGACTAGAAGGACATTCATGATGCCCTGTTCACATTCATCCATTGCGAGAGGACCTAATCATCGAGACGGTTATGTTGAGTTCTCATGTAACTCGTATTGACATACGAGTGACCCAATCATGGCCAGGCGCAGTCCTGTCCGAGCCAATTCTTGAGACTTGAAGTATGGTAAGGTAAAGGCACGGTCCGAGGTGTCATACATCCTCAGCTTTCTGACAGGTGTCGATGCAGGGGAACAGATGAATCTGACTCGAACAGGTGTTTGACCTTGGTGATTGGCGCGATGTCGTGCTCGAGAACGTAATCAAGCTCCACTGGATTGTATATGATAACACTGAGTCAGTAAGTCTAGACTGTCCGAGCAGTCCTCGAGACTGGACCTAACATCGTCAACTGATTGTCAGGAAGTCGACAAGGATTGTGATGTCTGCCGCTTTGGCGATGTGGGAATGGACGGACTCCTGAGGTCTGCATTGGGTTGAAAGCTTAAACTTCAGTAGTTGGAGCACGGGATAACCGCGGCTGAAACCTCAAGAATTTGGTGATCATGACCCGAGGTCGGATTGAGTAGATCTTCAGGAACCCGAAGGAATCTAGCAGGCGCTGGATCTCAGTATGATCCTGGTGGAACCACAGCTGGTAGCGAGCAGAAGACGAGCAAGAAGTTGGGAGGTACATGGGACGGCATCCTCAGACCGTTGCCATCTGGGGCTTGGCGGAGCTCGCGAAACGACACCCATCAGCATAAACAAAGCCAACGCGGATGCGCATGATATACGTGGGGCTTGAACGAGCGCAATCGTATCTGTAGGGACGTTAAGTGATTGTCATGAACTAGGAAGACGGCATCTGGTGCGGATCAAATGAGAAACATTCAAGATGAGTTGCAAGATTGAAGAGGCAAAGGGCTTGCAAGAAGTGTTTTGAATATGGAAGTTCGTGCAGGAATCAATCAAAGGGTGCATCGAATTGGTGAAATGCATCACCACCCACAAGTGGGCAAACAATTTCGAGTCACCCAGGACGCGCGATCAGGACACGACTGGATTCGAGGTCAGACATGATGTCTCCACTCGGAACGGGGATCTAAGCAGGTTGGAGAGATGGCGAGGACGCGAGCAACAATTAACGTGGATTTCGTGCAGTAGCGTTGGAGGCGGAGGCGGGCGGGAACGATCCGTTTGACGGCCGACCCACAATCATGGTCTGCTTCCCTTCCCAACAACATCGAATCTTGCAGCTGCCACGATTGCTCCCTTTTTTTCCTTGGTCGTCAAGCAACACATCTTAATCGCGCCTTCTTGCCGACACGTGTGTAAGAAGGTACTTGAGAGAACGCCTCATTGACGCCATGATCAAAAAGCATTGATTCAGACTCGATCAATGACAGGATCCGCAGAGTACCACGAGCTCAAGCCCCTGCTATATGCTATACCCAAACTAGCTTGACAGCTAACGTACTCTCGAGGGTCTCCAGATTCGGATCACGCAAGATCCGACGTGACATGCCCCGGGTTTGCATCGGCCACACCAGCACCGGCTTGCCTAGAACTAGGGGTGTCTGGCGATTCGCTTACTCACAAGGACTGCAGCTATGCGTTTTGTGGAAGGCACTTGAAGCAAAGTTACGCCAACCTCCTTGACGCGGATTGTCCAAATCTGGTGCAGCCCCGGAGTGAGCCATCAACGATCGTCTCGGATTCGCCCTAACTTGGTGCTAATAGAGCCTGCAGCACGTACTAAGAGGTAGTAAGTACTTGGACTCGGTCGGGAATACGCGCATAAGACGCACGTAGCCATCGAGCCCTTGACACCCACCCTCCCATCCGTCATTATCGAAATCCCCAGTCAGTGAGCACCTGCATAAGCCTCGACGGAAAGGGCTTCATTTAGCGCGGTATGGTTCGCAGCAAAGGTCTCGCCACAAGGCAAGTCTCTTTTTCTTGATCACTTTACTCCATATTGTAGCCGACTTGCCATACATGGTGGGTCTTTTGTGCAAAGATAACTACAGACCGACGTCCCTCTTCTATCGACTCTACTTTTATCTTTGCAACGGCCCCCTCTTCCCTCCCATCACGTTTATTCACCGTCTGTCCGTGAAACACAACTGCCACGCCTCCACCCCTGTTGCATTCTACCCTTACTGTCCTTCATATTGGCGGTGGGCACCACTCTCTCTCACAGCTGGATCCTCATCCACCCTCTTCAACCATGGGTAGCGACGCGTTTGTGATAGACAACCGGAAGGACTTGGTTGTGATCGTCAATGTCATACTCTCATTTTCGACACTATCAGCGTTGTCACTTCGCTTTGCCAAGGTCACAGGAAATGCAAAGCAAAGAAAGTTTGATGCGCAGAACATCATGATCTGCTTGGCAGGCGTATGTTTTTCTTGTGAGGATACATGTTCGCTACTGACAGCTGTGGTATAGTTTTGCGGTATCATGATGTCTCTATTACAGTGTGTCGCGACCAAGTATGGTCTTGGTAGTCACGACTGGGAAACCTCATCGTCCGAACACGTCGCATTCTACAAGGTGGGTGTGAGTTTTCCATTGATCCATCTTCCCTCTGGAAGATCAGTGCTAATTAAGGACGTCAGCTCTACATATCAATCTTCGTCTTTTACTTGGCCTGCAACATGTTCGTCAAGTTCGCTCTTCTCTTCTTCTACCGCCACACAACATACGAGCGTTGGCATCACTGGACCATCTGGTTCATGGAGTTCATTGCTTTTGCCTTTGGCGTCAGCAGCATCCTGGTCATGATCTTCCAATGTGTCCCAATCGCACACCTCTGGGACCCAAATACCCCCGGAACTTGTATCAACATCAAGGCCTTCTTCTACTCTAACTCGATCATCATGATCGTGAACGACATCATTCTTTATGTTTTGCCCATCATCTTTACATGGAAACTTCAACTTCGCCTCACCCAAAGAATTGTTCTCAACCTCCTTTTCGCATTGGGTGCAGTGTAAGTTCACTTCTCGTATTCTTCGATACCACTTTCTGACCAGTCTCAAGTGTCGTCGCTGCCAGTTTTATCCGCCTATATGTCGTTTACCGATACGACCAAGACGGTGACCTTTCATGGAACATCGCCTCTTGCCTCATCTGGTCCTCTGTCGAGAACCACCTCGCCGTCTTCATTGCATGTTCACCCTCCATTAAGGCCGTCGTCAGCGGTGTGCTTTATCCTCTCGTCTCGTCACAGGTCACATCATTCAGGGATAAGATCAAGAGATCGAGAGGCAGTGAGGGTAGCAGCTTGCCAACACATAAGTCTCCTTCACTCACCCTAGCAACCATCGGCTCACGTCCCAGCCGTTTCGTGCAAAAGGTCAGAGATCCTTTCGCCACTAGCACCCGTAGGGACAGCTTTAATACCCTGGACTCAGGTTTCGAGTGCGTCAACCGTGGACACCATGAGATGGACCCCATTGAGCGAGCAAATTCAGAGGCAACCCTGAGCTCGGCGACTTATCGAAAGGACTCAGAGGCATCGACATCCTCAAAGGAGCCTCAAGTACAAGTCTACACGATCGATGAGGACGTCAGTCCTACTTCTTCTCGTTTCCCCCACCCGACGCTGGATTCGTCGAAGCCCCGTAGCCATAAATGAACGACAGGAACGAAGTGGCGCAAGGGGAGGTTTAATCATGGGTTCGCTTTCTTTCTATTGCATTCTACATACCCAAAGGCCTAGTAAGGAGCCTGGAGCACTGATTTCGGACGATCAAAATACCCAAGAGGGATTGTATTGTCTTGATGTCTTTACACGACATACTAAATTTTATTTCATCTCTTTATTTTCTTCTCTCATGTACCTTATTCCAGCCCCTTCAGAAGGGGTATCAAATGTCACGACAATTCCAGTACAGTCCGTTATTCGGCTGACACTAAAACCAACATTTTACTCATCGTCAACTCCTGTTTTGCACGCCGTCGCAAGTTGGTGACGATGGTGGGTACGCGAGCGGCAGTAGCGGGCTTGTCTAACAAGCGCACATGCAATAAATCATGCACACCGCATCGATCCATCCAACATAGCCGATGGACTGTCGGACAGTGGACACTTGTCCGACCAACGCGGAGTTGCCTAGGATTCACCTGGACAAGTAGAGAGCTGATCGCTCAAGCGAATTGTTACGTTGTGGAACAGTCATTGTTACACATCTTCCATGATGCAGGCTGAGAAATAACAATCTAGGGCACCAACAGCCACAGGAATTGATTTTCGATTGGATCAATCTATCTGTTCCGTAGACTGTTGCTTCAAGGCCAGCCCAATAATTTCTTGCCGGAGGTGATGAGCGAAAAGATCGATTCCATGTTTGGGAGAGGGATGCTGTCTCGTCGCAAAACCTCGGCTCATGCGAGCGTCCAAAAAGAGGTGTTGGCGACCACCGATTTTTGCAAGATCCACATCAAAGGACCACACTTGAGCACTCTGCATGGCGCGGGCCTTTGCTTGGTCGAAAAGTGCTATCGCCGAATTACGACATCAATATTTTTTTGCGACTTCTTGTTGAAGTTTCGTTCCTGCTGGCCAGAAGACTCGAACTGTCAAGCTGAAACCACTTCAATCTCAATGCAGTGTTCATCTTGTGTGAAGGAAAGCCGTCTTGTCCAATCACCAACCACCCGGTCACGACTCCTTCAATAACTTGCTGTTGCAGTGTCAGGAACCAGGTAAAATATGGGTTTCCAATCATCTTCGTATGTCACTTTTAATCTATATGCACCAAAGCGATCTTCCTAGAAGAAAGGACCATTCAGCAATCTGGCTGCATGTTTGACAAATCCTCACAATTGGATGTTGCCTCTTCGTACTCGTATCTCATTCAGACGGTTCAGTAAAATGCTTGAATGTCGCAATCTATCGGGTTCGTGCCCAGCAGAATGGTTCGACGCTGCATGCATAATTTATGCTAAATAGAAGGCTGCACCTATTTCCATTCTCTTGGTATTCAATCTGGGGAGGAAGTAACAAGGCGCCAATGGCGTCGATCACAAAGCATTGCGCCTTCCCTTCAAGGTCATCTGTCCACCACGCCGGGCCGCGCCTTTCAAAATCGATACTCAAGGATTGCGACTTCCTGGATGCTTTGGGAGTTTGACAGCCGCACCACCCGGATATTGAGACAAGTAAACCATGGCAAGGATCTGGTGAATTTACAATTTCCACGATGCTATTCATCCTCTTCCCGAATCGTGTTACTATCCTTTCAACCACACTGTCGAGCTAGAGTACGTACAGCGGGGTTGGTTTGCATTCTCGCTGACAAGACCAAGCATGACATGCGGACCACTTGACCTATCGAAACCTTGATATATCCTCTGGGTATCCTCCACAGATCACCGACTTTTCAATCAAAAAAACGTATGCCGCTTTCGCCTCCGGACAACAATATGCTTTCATTATATTATCGAAACCCCGGTTCCTCAACAGCATTTCCTTCATTTGTCGTTTAATCAGAATGCCAGTGCCTGACCTGGGCGCGCGGCTCATGAAGCCCGACCAAACCATCCGTATGACCCTGGAATCATATTCTCCCGTGTGGTCGCACGAGAACATCCCACAAGATGGGTTGACTGACAGCGGAAGGCTTGTAGCTGAGCCTTCGCTTCGGTACCTTGTGCCATTTCTGGTCTTTTTCTCTCTGCCCACCTCCCATGGTAAGCACAATATCGGGGCTGTCAGCTCGAGGAAATGACTGGCCAACTGGATAAGACAAGACCTGGTGTGCTGAGTAGAGGCGCCAATCACTTGTTGCATCTTTCGTTCTCGCTTCCAGTTTTTTGAGTCTCACCAAGACAACAAAGCTGGCTCGCCTGTCGCCAGGTTTCCACAGTTTTGCGCGTGAAGCATGCTGTGAGATAACATAGCACGCAGAATACAACGCAGTAATTTCGTGTCTCTTCTGCGAGACCAAAGTGCTTTCGCCCAAGCTGCTTGTGTGTGTCGTTCTGCTGATGCTCCTGTGCCTCAGAATTTTCCCAACATTCCACTTTGCGCACATCGTACTTGCTAGAAAGACACACTTGTTCGGCGTTACTCCATTCAAGATCTCAACCTGGTGCCTGGCACTTCTAGGTGCACAATAGTGAAGCTTCAGGCTGTATCACGAGCGATCTGGCCAAATCGTCCAGTCACTGTATCTTCGACCATTCTTCCTGGAAGGTGGTGATTGTCAGAATTCTGTCAATCTCGGTAATGAGGAGCCATTCAGCTCAATCGTATTCGAACCTATGGGGTTGGAAAACTGCAAGTCAAGCCGTCGACGATGAATAAACTTCACTGCAATCCAAGTCTTGACATTGTCGGTTATAAAGTCGCTCGATGATGCCTAGTGATTATCTGGATGAACCTTAGAATGTTTTGAGGGTCAATAACCAACAAAATGGCTTTCCTTTCACGTACGGCCACAGTCAGCTGAAAACTGGGCATCCCGTCCGCTCTGCCATACATAAGCAGTTGAACGGCAGATTAGTACTACGGTGGGTGACCACGTGGGAATCCCTGCTGCTGTACGTTTTGAGTTTTTTGCATCTACAATTGATCTTCTGTGTTCTTGTCAAAGTATCCAAGGATGCTTTGTCTTAGGTTGTGGCTTTTTATGCGATTGAACAAGGTTAGGGACAGGGTTAAGATGCAGTATTTTCAACACGCATGACAGGCTAGCAAAAAGTAAAAGCTTTTCATTTTCGGTTTCTCGATTAAGCTATCTCGTGTTGTTTATTTTACTGCTAAGGTGGTACGGTGTCTGTACCGATGCAGCATAGTAGTCTTTTGGTGTCATTGCATTCTCTAGATTAAGTTATTTGGTATGTCACGGATCCTTGTTCCCTCCTCTACGATCCTGTTTAATAGTTAGTCGCTCCTTCCCTCCTTAAAGTTGCTCCGGAAGGAGCGATGCAATGCTGCTGTAGGTTTTGCACCTTTTTCTATTTTGCCAGGATTCTAGATGTTTATGTAAAGAATACCTTTGTTGTCATCTCTTTTGGCGATTAGGTTGGCTGACTATTGAAATAGCACAAATTGTTCTGATGACTATATTTTTAAGTGTCTAGCAAAGGTCAATCCTTTGAAGAATGCTGTGCCTGAGAGAAGTATGATGCCATTTATACTACAGATAAGACAAGGCATACGTCTAGAAATATCCATATGAATCAATCCTTCTGTGGACTTCAGGCCTAATACAGTACCAGGTCACCCACGCTTAGTGGATCAATCTACCACTTCTTACATTGCTTATTGTTGACCTAGAAAGCAGGTTGCTCGATGATCATCCCTGCTGCTGTATGTTTTGTATTTGCAACTTCTTTGGCGTGGTCATTGAGGAAAGGGTCGACGGATTGTATAAAGACAAGAGCAAGTGTCCTTTCTGCGTGCTCGAGTCCGTCATTTGTGACAACGACACGCAGGATAGGAGACTCCCTATGATAAGGTGAGATCTTGACTTCTGTTAGCTCGTTCTCAAAGGTCCGCTTGATGATCCAAGACATGCTATCACTCGGCACAATCTGAACAAAATCTTGAGGCTGTTATACTATCGAACATGAATTGCAATTCTTTTTCGGCCAAGGCTCATCTCATGACCACTATACAAAACATTACATAAAGTGTCTTTTCGTAGCAAAAGCTGGAAGTACAAAAAGGGGTATCGGGCTTCCAAAAAGTAGAAAATTGAAGAGAAGGATGAAGAAGTGAAGTAAAAGTGGGAGTGAAGAAGAGAAGGGAAAAAAAAAACATTTTGCGATGATGAGAGGGAGAGTTTCAAACTCCATCCCTTAGTCAGGCCGGAAAAAAAAATAATTTTGGTATGCAAAGAGTTAATTGAGAATGTGCAATCAGACTTCTTCGGTGAATCTGCTTCCCCTGCTTCCATCGAAGCTTGACAGTGTGGCGGGGGTGACGCTCCTATGAGCCCGGGCTTGCGGAGTCAAAGGTGTCATGAGGGGAGCATTCTGTCCGGGTTCAGGTGTCAACCTGTGTCCTTGGATGGGAAAGGTAGGACTGGTAGGAGAAGCGTTTTCGGACGTTGCACTTGTCGGACTCATGGTGTAAGGATGGTGAATCCTTGCTTGCCGTGCTGGTCCAGGATTGATAGTTTCGTTCGTGCCGATTTCATTCTCGGGATCATCGAATGGCGAGCCAGCTGCTCCGTAATACGTGCTATCACGATACACTGAAGTCGTGCTCATGTTACGGTCATTGTCAAAGGCAGACGGCATGAGCATTGGTGGAGCAGAAGTCATGCCGGCTGAGAAAGCGCTAGGCAACTTGCGACCACTGATGCGTTGAAAACCTCGTTCTCCAGTGTCTTCTGCGGCTCGGGATTTTCTATTTTTGAAGACCCCTCCGAGAAGCGGCGCTAATACGGGAGCTGTTCTGCCGCGCTCGGACATACCACCAGCGCCACCACTTCCAGTAGCAGCTTCGGCTTCAGTCAGCGTGTTCATGTTGGCCATGCGCTTTCGATACCAGCGCAGGAAAATCATGGCGGTCAGAACCAAAACAGCAAGTCCAGCGACGCCACCCACAATACCACCTGCAAGCACGGAAGGGGGTGGAGTGTTATTACTACCTTCATTCGTCAACGTAGCGGTGCTCGCCGAGCCAGGGGAGGTAGCTGTTGCAGAGCCACCAACAACGCTAGTGCCGGAGCCCTGAGCAGCGCTCGAAGAAGGCGAGGAGTTATCGGAAGAGGACGATGCCGCAGCAGAAGCAGTTGAGGCTTCTGAAGACACTCGCGATGCAGCACTGCTCAATGCGCTGTTGGCCGATCGAAGAGCCGAAGAAGCAGAACTTTGGAGAACGGCTGCCTCAGAGGAGTATGAGCTTCTCGCTGATCCTGTAGCAGTCGATTCGGCGGCATTGAGTGAGCTAAGACGAGAACTGATGTCGGCATCTTGGGACGAGAGAGCAACAGCGGCAGAAGAAATCCCAGAGCTACCACTCAAGGCGGCATAGTCTATGACAGATGATGACACGGGCAGATAAGAACCGTAGGACGTAGTCGTTTGACCATTGGAAAGAGTGGTAGCGTATGCCTGCGCAGCAAGGGCGACGGTAGAAAGAGATCCGTCAGACAATGTCTCGACAGTGGACGAAGATGCGGTGAAGAAGCCCAACACGGCCGCTAGAGCAGTGGTGGAGCTGGTCGTCACAGATTTGGTATCGAATGAACCGGAGCTTGCTGTGTTTGAGCTCGATCTGGTCACACTGTTGCGTTGGAAGGTAGTGAATGAAGTGTAAGTTGTCGAAGAACTTGAAATGACGATTGCAGACGTCGTAAGATTCCTGGCAAAGGATGGCGACAATGAACTTGATGGAGAGATAGAGGTAGCATTCGATCCTGACACGACGGGATGTCCTGAGATAAAGCCTAGCGACGAGCTTGAGGGATTAATGGTCGAGTTCGAGCCAGTAGGAAACACGGTGCTGACAAGTGGCACACCAGACGAAGTGTATGATATGATTGAGGCGGTGAGACTGCCACTTTTGGAACTGAGAGATGCAAGTACCGGATCTACAGTGGCCACTGTCGACTCGTTCGAAGACATTGAGCTGACCATGGAACTTGATCCATATGCAGAGAGAGAGTTCAGATCCGAGACACTGGCGGGAAAGGGTGCAGCTGTTGTAAGCGAACCAGAGGAAGTCAGAGTCGAATTTGCATTGCCAGTTGTATCCGTTGTCTGTGACAGAATGTTGGTAGTAGTAGCCGAAGTGGCGGGCGCAGTTCCAGCTACGCCAGGCAAAGTGATGCCAGAAGTTATGCTGCCTATCGTAGCCGGGCCGGCAGTATTCACTGCAGAATTATATGAAGAGAGTGATGCTTCAGACAAGCTCCGGACCTCAGATGTTCCAGAAAAAGACGTGGTGGCAGCGGTCCCAATTGCAGCTGGAAGAGATACACCCGGCGGTGCGGTGGATGCGCCTGTCGTCGATGTTGTGTTGTCAGTAGATGAAGCAGATGAGGTCGGAGCCAGGGTCGATTCAACAATTGACGATACGCCAGTCAAGCCAATCGTGTCCAAGGATGCAGAAGTGTAAGACGCCGGGTTTGCAGTATCAGGACCAGAGTAGCCAGCCAAAGAGGCTATCGCAGTGGGCAGAGTGTTGGTGGACGATACGTCAGTCGACGGGGCAGCTGAGGACGTGTCAGGGGTGGTGATGGTTGATGTGGATGATGTGACAGTCGCTGGGACGGTTGAGGAGGGATCTGAAGCGGTAGAGGTGGGCGCAGCTTCTGTTGTTGGCTGAGCTTCCGTTGTCGACCCAGACGAGGCCGAAGCCGAGCTGATGGCGGTAGAGCTGGCAGCTGCAACAGATGGCGAGATGCCGGCGAGGGTGGACGAGTAGGTCGAGAGGGACGGCAGTGTCTCCGAGATCGAGGACGAAGAAGCGTCGGTAGCAGCGTCAAGAGAAGTTGCAGGAAGCGAGGATTCGGCGTCAGTTAGTAAAGTGGATGTAGACAGTGAAGACGTTGTGGATTCGACGGTGCCGTTGAGCGGCGTTTGGCGTTTGTGTAGCCGTTGATGCAACTCATCGGCACGCTGGACAGCACTCCGGCCAGGACTATGATTTCTTATGTGAACGTGAACTTCTTCTATGCGTTTGACAGGACGAATGTTCTGCAAGCCGTGTGAAAATGCAGTCGGAGACGAGGTGGCTACGCTGGCAGCCGATGCGGACAATTTGCGCCGTTTGAAGAGGCGCTCCATGTTTTGGGGCGGTTATCGATATACGGAAATGAGAGCAGTGAGTGCACTTGGCAGAAATGACAGTGATAGAGCCCGGTCCAGACTAGACTCTACGAGTTAAAGATGGCTACTATCAAAGAGCCAAGATGAGTGATTTGACGTCGACTGTACTTTGAAATCGACAAGACCAAACAAGCGGATGTGCTCTCGAGATAAACAGACGTCTGTCTATCTACGGAAGGCTGGAGTGCTGGGAAACGAATGGACGCCGGTAATCAAACCAGCAAACTGCCTCTGTGGAGCCATGTCAGTACGCGCTGCTGGAACGCCAGCGAACAAGAGAAGCAGTTGAGGGCGACTTACAACGTGAACCTTGTGCTTGGCGCAAGCTCAAAATACCATCAGGCAATTGTCTGAACCCGTTAACGTCGCTGAAAGCGAGTATGGGAAGATTGGTTCGGGCGCAAGTCGGATTTTTGATGATCTTGTTTGGTGTCGTCTACAGGTATTTAATTTACTGCCTATGTATCGACGACTAGAAAGACAACTCCGCTGAGCCGGGTATGTCACCAGCCAGCAGTCGAGTCGTCGGGGTGACAGAAAAGAAAGACGAAGAGGTGCGAGAGGTGTCCAGGGTCGTGAGAGAGTGTGGTTGGGTGTGGTGAGCAAAAAACAACAGACAGCAACGACGTCGACGTCTGACATGAAAGTCTCCGACGACAGACGGAAAGCAAAGCGAAGAAGCGGCAGAAGCAGAAGAAGCCTGTGCTTCAAGGTTGCACGACTTTCACCAACCAACTTCGACCCACGAGACCCTCTGGCTCTCAAACGGTCCCGCCGCCGCCAAACATGGACCACCTCTGCTAACCAACCCAAATCTCCGCTGCCTGGGAATGGGCTTGCGACATGGGTCTTTTGCTAGGGTTGCGCAAGCCAGCGAGATTGCTTGGTGCTTCATCATCCAATCCCGGCCACATCTCCATGCTTAGATATCATGTCGTTTCCCGCAGCTATTTCGTTTTCTTCGCGGCTTGCCTACGCATGCATCTTCACGGGCTCGATCGTCTGCTTCCACGACCCATCACTATCCCTGCAGGTACTGCCGTCAAGTCGTGGCTATTTTTCACTTCACTTGCTCCACTTGCATGTTTTTCCTGCGGCCTAGCCAGTATGCAAGTCCCCGTCTGACGTCGAACCCCGCCCAAGAGCGCAACAAAGCCCTGCAGCTGTAAGGGAGTTGTCGTTGTTCTCGTTTCAAGTTTCCACTACTTGACACGCAAGGGACATTTGCTTATTATGGCATCATCGCGTGCGCACAATGGCGCCCTCGCGAGGTCGTGACTTGTGCATCAAAAAATCTGCCTCTTTTCAAACGTGCCGTCAAGCTCGTGCTTCTCGTATTTTCACGATCCATAACTAGATCAACTCCATGCGGCTGGGTGTCAATATTGAAAAATTGCCGAGAAAGTTTAACGCCTATCTATCTGTATCTAATTGCGGAAAATAGTTCCGTTGAACCTGGAAAAAGTGCGCTAGAGATTCAGGCTTCCGCCTTGCCCGACGTCACATCCTCACCGACCGTGATTCACTGAATAGCATCTTCAAACACCACCTCCTGATAGCCGCATCTGCGCTGTGACTGCATACGCCAAAGACTCGGTGCATGTTTGACTCTTCAATCTGCCGGATTCTAGAACATATCCCCTCGGCATGTCAGAAGAAAGCAGCCATCAGAGGATTGGTGGACCTCCGCCGTTACCTCCTCGGCAGATGTCAAGCGTGAGCCTCCTTGTATCAGAGGACGTCGAAGACGACGATCTGCCTCCACCTTCCTACGAATCTGTCACGGCTGAGTCGTATGACAATGAACATCTCACGCTCTCTCACAACGATCCGAGATCGCGGTCGACACAATCATTGTTGCCCTCGCCATCAGATGCACAAGGTGACAGGAGAAAGCTGCTTTTGATATTCATACATGGGTTTATGGGAGACGAAACCAGCTTCCAAAGCTTTCCTGCTCACGTACATAGTCTTGTAGCCGCTCTACTTTCAGAGACGCATATCGTTCATACAAAAATCTATCCGAGGTACAGATCAAAAAAGAAGATCGACTTCGCCCGAGATGATTTCAGTCGCTGGTAAGATACTAACAAGATCAGCTCGCCTGAGCACAGTTGACTTTCTTTATAGGCTGAGTCCGCATGAAGGGCCAACCACAGATGTAATTCTGCTGGGTCACAGCATGGGTGGTTTGCTTTCCGCTGAGGTGGCTTTGATACCGTCTCTCGCAGATGGGTCTTTACGCCATCGCTTGATTGGCACTATCAACTTCGACGTTCCTTTCTTGGGTATGCATCCTAGAGTCGTAAAGGTTGGCTTAGCCAGCATCTTCAGCCCAGCTCCTCCCAAATCGCCACATGACCATGAAAATACGCCATCTGGTACAAGCACGCACAGCGGTGGAGGCTATTTTGACGACACACCATCTGCGAGTGCTTCCTCAGCCAGCGTAAAGAGCCCACAAAGTTCGTCATCGCCGTCTCAGTTCGACCCTAACTACAATCCAGCTTATAAGAATGATGTAATCCTTCCGGTCAGAAAGGGGTGGGAAGGAGCTTGGTACTTTCTGAACAAGCATTCCAGTGATCTCAGAACAGCTACTAAGCAATTAGTCAAGTCTCACCTAGAATTTGGAGGTGCTATGGCAGACTACAATGGCCTCAAACTCCGCTATACCCGGATTCGAGGCCTGGAGGAGCAAAGTGAGAGAACCAGAAAAGCGGTGGTAGGTAGCTCTGTCGCTCCGCCAAGGGTGCGCTTCGTCAACTACTACACTTCCAGCACAGGTCGTCCCAAGAAACCAAGAACACCAACCTCGCCCGAAGCATCCGTCGCGACCCCCACCTTGGCCACCAATGTTACTGATGTAGATCACAAGACAACTGATCAGGATGAGGGAAGGTATTCTGCTGAATTCAGTCCAAGAGATGACCAAGTGTTGGAGACCGATGATGATATCAAGGAGTTTGAAGCAACACAAAACAACGAACTCGTGTCAATGGACCACCTGGAACCTACTCCTATGTCCGAAGTGGGTGGTGATTCTTCGGACCCTGAGTCTTGGGTCGACGCAACAGAGAATATGGAGCTTGGCCCCTCGGATTCAAACACAAGTACAGATGCCACGAACCGTTCTCATGAACTCGAACAAGACCTGGATGTCGACACGACGCTACCAGAGAAGTCTCCTGAAGTCCCTGCTGGCGGCCTACAATCTCTACCACCCGTGCCGGATCCGCCTGCAAAGCCCGAGAAGCCACCATTCTTCGCAGACAAAGATGCGAGAAAATTGGCCGAAAAGGAGTACGACAGAGTCTTGAGGTTGTACTTCCGAGCTCTCAAGGACCGTGAAAAGGCACTTCGAGATCGTGAGAAGCTAGAGAAGAAGCGTGAGCGACAAGCAATCAAAGAAGGTAAGAGAGCGGAGAAAGAGGTCAGCAAGAATGAGAAGAGCAAGGAAAAAGAGCGCAAGAAGACTGTTGAGAGAAGAGAGACAGATCAGGAGAACTCTCTGGCAGCCGAGCAAAAAGAAGCACAGAAGGAGTGGAAGGACGCCTTGAACCATTCTTGGAATGACAACGACTCGACGATTGAGCCTCTTTCGAAACGCGAATCATCAACCCAGTCCACTGTTCTGTCCCCCCAAGAATCAAGAACGCCTTCTGGTGAGGAGCAGAAAGCTTTCAAAGATCGCACTTTCTGCACTCTGCCGCCGAAAGATAACTCAGGTATCAGAGACCCTACTTGGGTTCGAGTTATTATGAAAGATGTCGATCTGGTCGAAGCGCATTGTGGACTGTTCTTCCCAGACCCGAACGACGACAGATATGAGAAGCTGATAGGCGACGTGGGTGAGAGAGTGTGTGAATGGGTTGGCGAGGCAGAGAGCGAGAGGGTTGCGCGAGAGTTCGAAGCACAAGATTAAGCATGCTTTTAATCCAGTGTATCCCACTTTCCTTGCACAAGTAATGGTGACCTGTAGGTGTAGCGGCTTGGATCGTTTGAGAGTGCTGGTCGGCACAAATCCACGCCGGTCCGTCGCAACTGCTGAAACGAGAACAGCTGAGTTGCATGTTGGCCATTTTGGGAAAGTGGCGCTGGGTCGTGCCTTCGCCTACTCAGTTTTGCGCAGGCAAACACCTTCTAAGCTGAGAATTTTATGGTCGACTCGCTTTGACAATCCTTTTCGTTGACAACAGCTAAAGTACTGACGATATGGTGGGACAAAGCCCTTCGATACGGTCGTTCTTCCCCTTGCAGACTTCACCTCTCAAAACTTCGCCCCGAACATCTTCACCCGCGCCAGGCGATGGCTTTACCTCATCAGAACTTGACACTTCCTTGTTACCAGCACAGAAGGACGATTGGACCCCATCTGCAGATTACGACGAGTATGACATCGATGCACTTGTGTCGGGACCAAATCGAATCAAGATCGTAGGTCGCATTGTCAACCTGTTCGAGAGCTCGCCCAAAGCAAAGTTACCAACAGGGGCCAAAGGATCTGTCCACCTTGTGGTCAAAGACAACACGAGTGCTGTCACTGTAAGTATTTCTTCATTATGCCTACAGGAGCTTACGCTAAACTCGCGGAGGTCAAATTGTCTTACACGCGTATCTCTCACGGCTTGCGAATAGGCCAACTTGTTGCAGTATGGGCCACCTATGTCGCCAACGGAGATCGAGGTATCTTCCCGTGCGCCGTCGCACCTCTGTACATCAAGATCTTTCCGGAAAAGGACAAGAGCTGCTATATCCTTGTACTCGATGATCCAAAGTTCGCCCAACTTTGCAGAAAGCCACTGAGTTATGAGTCCACTCTCATGTCCTTGAAGGATTTCACTCATGGTGGCGCTGAGGTGACGGAAGCCAAAATCCTTGTCATTGTGAAGAGCATCAGTACACGTAAGAAAGGTATTGGGGTCGCCACACGTTACGGGAGTGAAGAGTTGACACATCACAGTATTGAAGAAGGATGGAACCACAGCCGATCTTGTGAAAGTTGGTGTGATGGACGACACAAGCGAAGCAATACTGTCCTTGTGGGGAGTCGCTTCAACAACCCCGGTGGAGTGGCAGCCATCACAGACCGCGCTGCTTATATCCAGTCCGAGCCTAAATGTCTCACACCAGACCTGGTTGGCACTAACATCCAGCACCTTCATCGATGTGGACCCCAGTATTCCGGAAGCAGACAGACTTCGTGCATTTGCTGGACATATGATCAAAAGACGGCACGTCAATCCAGCTTATCCTGACAAAGGTGTGTAATTTACTATTTATGCATACATTGGGGCTCACAGAGTTTGTAGAATACGACTTTTGGAGTATCTCTAAACCAGATGAACATGTTTTGAATTCCCTTGCAGATTTGGACGATCGGTATGTTCAGAGTCGATCGCCTCAAGGCAGTTTTGGTTGACTCCGAAAGCGCGCGCGAGGCACCCGAAGACGAATTTGAGGGTTATCTGAGTGTGATCATACTAGACCTCAATATGACCTCTCTGCGACAACAGAACATGCTTATGTGCAATGAATGGTATCTCTCTTATAGAACAAATGCACAGGTGATCGAGTGCTAATGAGCGAGTAGCTGCGGCATCCCACTATATGCAAACTCGATAGTAGCTAAATGCAAGCAATGTGATGAGCAGGTGCCGTTGAGGATCAACCCGCGACTGGTTAGTACATATCGATCAGCACAATTTGACATGACAAGTAACAACGACAGATTGGCAAGCTAATTGATGAGAGTGGATGCATCTTGAGTGGCAAGCTTGTGCTGTCAGATCATGCGTGGACACGTCTTCTAGGAAGAAGCGCCGAAGAAATGATCCAGAGCAGTGCAAGTACGCTGAAGAGCGTAGAACACCGAATACTTCACGTACGTATCACGTTGCGGTTTTGGTGGAGTGCTAGTGTTGGCAAGCTCGTTATCACGGACGTGCTTGAGTAATGCACTCTTCACGAGGACGAAGACGAAGTTGAACCGATTGATTCATGAAAAGAGGTTGCCTGAGATCGCTCTATGGACGAGATTGAACCGCCGGTGTAGCTTGCTTGATAAAATATGTTATTGAGTTGGTTTTTGCTAGGTATCTGAGAAGCAGGAGTTGATGGTGGGAGCAAGAAATACTGACAAGATAGCTGGACTGTAAACAGAAATAAAACGCCACACATATAGTCTTTTCATCACAAGTATACCTTCATCTTTCATGTGGTGATACCAATCGACGGGAAGAATGGACAAGAAAGGCAATTTGACATGAATTTCAAGAGGTGCAACAGAGAGGGAGTTGTTGACGGTTGAGAATGGGACGACCCTGCCCAGCTGCGATAACGTTAGATAAGGAATTTGAGATGTCGCTCTCGAATGCGATCAAGGTTAGGGAGAGTAACAGATTCAAGCCATGACACAAGATAGCAATAGCAGTCGCCGTGACTGGCGGGACATGTTTGCAGTGCCACCGGTCATCAGACAAGTGTTCGCAAAGTACCCTCTATCAACATACGCAGCCAATGCGCTTCCGACGCGCTCGCCAACACACAGAGATCAACACACTCTATACACATGGACAACAGCAGAAGAAGCCAGCGCAAACAAAGCCTCGTTCAATCCGACGTGTCTGAAGTGGCAGACATATCTCCTCTTCCAGGGTATCCCATTCCGCAGCCGACCTTCCAACAACCACGCCTCGCCCTCGGGCTCCCTACCCTTCCTCCTTCCAGCAAACTCATCCACTCCAATCGCATCCAGCAAGCTTGAATCGTGGTCTAGCACACACAGCGACAGTAAAAGCAAAGGCCGTTCCTCCGACACACAGTCCTCGCGCCAAGATGTGTATACTTCGCTACTCGAACACGCCGTGAGAAGAGCATGGCTCTACCTCCTCTACCTCGACCCCGACAACTTCGATCACGTCGCTACAAGACTCTACGTCACGCCTTCCTCCTCCAATACTTTTGTTGCAATGGCAATTTCGTATCAACTGCGCGATGCCGCTACTCAAGAGCTTTTGAAGACGACACCCGCTGTAAAAGCACAGGATCTCTTGGACGAGGCTGTTGATGCATTTGCTGCTCTGTCGACTCTGCTGGGAGAAGACACTTGGTACTTTGGAAACAAAACACCGACACTGTTTGATGCGAGTGTGTTTGCTTATACCCATCTGTTGCTGGATGAGACTATGGGCTGGAAACATAATCCTTTGGCTCACAAGTTGGCTACTTTCCACAATCTGATCGACCATCGCAATCGCATCTTGAGGGATTATTACCGCTCTTGAGATTTTCTGTCGTCGTAGAGACGCCTCCTCCCTCCTTCGACTGTACATACTTCTATCGTTCATACCAAGCCTAAACTCTGGATACCCATCCCAGACACTTGTATCAATACACAAATAGACGACATCATATCTTCGAGACTCTCTTCATCAACAAAATGACCCTATCACCAGTAGCAGCAGAGCTGCGCTCGAGAGGTAGAAAGTAAAGACGTGTCCTCCTCGCGAGGCTCTTATATTCTCTAATCCTGAAAAAGCATCTACTCTACCAACCCATGTAACCGAACCATCATTAACCCAACATCTAAAATATCGTAACTTCATCAACAAACACTTGCTTCAGTACTGTACCACCTTGGCATCAGGCTTCTTTCCATCCTCCATCATATCGCCCATGGCTTCTTCATCGTACTGTCCATCATATGCCAAGCTGTTCGGCTCGCCGTCATCGTCAACCTCAAGCCAAGTCTCGCTGGTCGCAGGAATAGGCGACACTTTGCACAAACACCAATACGTGGCTGCTGCGACAAAGAACCCACAGAAGTAGTTGAGGTCGTAGATGTATGTTGCGCCCGCGGGAACCTTTTGACCCACTGCACCTGCAAAGCCGACGACGTTGATGAGAATGCCGGCAATGTAGGAAGCATAGGCACGCCAATGAACGCCGAAGGTGAAGTAGTAAGGTCCGGTCTTGTCGGCCGAGTACAGGTTTCGGACTTGCAGGTATCCTTTGCGGACGAGGTAGTAGTCGCAGACCATGACGCCGGCAATGGACGACAGGAATACACTGTAAGCAGATAGGTAGGTGGTGAAGTTGTTGCTCGAGCTCATCAGGTTCCAAGGGCACATGCACAGGCCGACAATGGCACAGATGTATGAGCCTCTTCTGATGGACAGGAAGCGAGGGAACAACGCTGTCATGTCTGTACCGGCAGAGACCGAGTTGGCGGCAATGTTTGTACCAAGCTGAGCAAGAGAGAAGGCGGCAGCGATGACGAAGACACCGAAACGTGTTGCGCCAGTGACATGGGCGTCGTTGAGGAAGTTCTCGAGGAGGGTCAGAGGCGACCAGACAGGTGCGCCGTAAATGACGGCAGAGGAAGATGAGACGATGATGCCGATGAATGATGTAATGGCGAAACCGACGGGGATGGTGATGAGTTGGGGTAGCATGGCGCTCTCGGGACGCTTTGCAAATCTGCTGAAGTCGGGGTTGTTCATGATCAAGGCTATCGTTCATGGTCAGTTGATGCGTTCCTTTTCCAAGTCATACATGCCGCGGACTTACCAGCAAAGTTGGCGATAGAGCTCATGATACCCTTCACAATGGCCCACCCGAGCTCACTTCCCTCAAGCTTAGCAGGCTGGTGGACGATGGGGCCGAGACCATGTGCTCTAACGATAGCCCAAATGAAGAAGGCAATGCCAGCAGCAGGTGCAACGATCGACTTGACCGCGAAGAGGTGACGGATCTTGTGAACAGGGAACCATAGTGCAGGCAAAGAGCACACCCAGAAAAGAAAGAAGCTGACAAAGTCGCGAGTGTTGGTGCCCGAAGAGGCGGGTAGGGTGTTCTTGGGTCCACCCTGCTGGTATTTGTCCCAACTAGGCCAGATGCTTCGGATCATGAGTTCGACACAGTTGCCTCCGATCCAACTCTGTACACCATACCATACACAGGCCATGGCTGCACGGTTGAAGACTGGCCAAAGGCCGCCCCAGATACCGAAACTGGATCGAGAGACGACGGGGAAAGAGATGTGGTACTTTGCTCCGATACGGCCAGTGGAAATGACGAAGACGGCGGCGATGGTGTATCCGATCCACACACAGATCCATGACTGCCACCATGAGAGGCCGTCTTGGACACTGGCGCTTGAGATCATCCATGTGTTGATGTTGAACGAGTCAGCCATCCAGAACGCGACGAAGTGCCAGGCACCCCATTGTCTACGTTCAGGTTCGACAGGCTTCAGATCTTCGTTGCTGAGCATGAGTTGGACATCGGTCAGGCCAGGTTCGTGGCGGACCTCGAGTGCCTTCAAGGCACGGGAGACTTTCGAGGGTTTCTCCATTGAGATTGGTATGAAAGATGATTTCAGATGGAACGAGGGAAGGATGTAGATGCCGTACAGGGTATGTACAATAGATGTCCTCTGTCGTTAACCTAATGTATGGTCGTCGTGATGGTATACTGAATGTCAATGTGATATATCCATCTTGAAAAGGTGCGGATCAAAGAACTCTTATGTATGTCAATCATCCTGAACGACCCGAGACTGAGGCCGCCTTATCTCTGAGTTTCTGGCCATGATGTACCGTTAATGTTGGCGATATCTCCCATGCGAGAATCAAAAACGTGTGGTTGCTCGATCACATCGAGTAAGAATGAGGGATAAGCTCGATGGCCGTGCATAACGTGTATAAAATCCGCATAATTGCTCGATAGTATCGAGTAACAAGCCTGGATAGACGCGCCGGAGCCAGTTCGGCGAACGGTTTTGATTGGTCGGCTCGACTTCTTATACCAAGTATGGAAAGGCGCCGCGCTGTTCGCGCACGAATCGGCATCAAGCATGCCACTGGCGGGACCACCTGCTACTACTGGTGATGCACCTGCGCTCCTTTGCCCTTGAACAACAGCCGAGGAAATGTTTTGGCAGATCCTTCCAATTTTCCGCTAGAGACCTATCTAGATTCCCAATAGAGATGGTTCCATGGCTGCAGCAGAAGAAAAATCTCTGCAGTGCTTGCATAGAATGGCCAGATTCAAGAGCGGCTTGCATCGGCCCTTGGGCAGACGGTCAGGTCCGAACAACACGCCTCTCCATGGCCCATGGGGCATTAGTGGCGATCGTTACCCATCTTTGATTGATTTTGCGGGCCTCAAACCAGTCTTTACGACATCTGCCGGCCGTGATGTATCATTGTGATTGTGCAAGAGGAAGAGCGTCGTTGTGTCTGCCAAAATCTGGGCAGCATGGCTGCATCGGCAAAATATAAGCGATACCGGATGGGGAAGTTGACACGAGGCCGCGCTTGCTGCTTCAGACCGGCTTCTCAAGCCGGACAGTATTCTGCATCTACTACGCGTGTCATACACCGAATTCTCGGCCATTATGGAGTCTCTCCGTTCCTCTATTGAGGGTTCACAACCGCCAAGCAAGCGCCAGAAACGAAAGACGGTCGCGTGCGCACAATCCTAGACCTGCGGATGCGCAAAACAAGACTGACAACGATGCTACAGCTGTCGTCGTTGCCACGATCAAAAGACGAAATGTGATGGCGAAAAGCCTTGTAAGAACTGCTTGCAAGCAGATAAGCCTTGTGATTATCCTATGCGAGACAGAAAAGTCACGGTCAATGAAAGGTAAATTGACGACGGCGATGGACTCAAGAACACAGCTCTGATCGATCCCAGTTACATACAGCAACTACTTGATGAGAACGAGCGTCTCAAGCGGGGTGTAAACGATGACACAAGCCATGAAGATACTACAGAGATCACCAACGCGGATGATGAGAGGCGAGGAGACAATCCTCTCATCGAGAAAGAGGCATGGTTCATGCCTTACGATCCCAGTCCTATCTATATAGGCGAGGCTGCTTGCACAGGCTTCTCAACAAGAGTTCGACAGCTCCTGGTGAGTGTTGAGGCCGAAAGTCATATCCCGAGAACTTCTTTCATCAAAGGTAAGTGCGATTGGTCTATGCGACATAAAGTTGTTAACGTGTGACAAGATGCTCAATTGGATGCTGCACTGAACACAACTGCGCAATGGCCCAGCAGACCTCAGGCTTTCCTGTTGGTCAATACTGCTCTTAACACAATTGGCAAGTGCTACCATCTGTCTCCTGCTTCTGCGGTACGGACCACGCTCGATCGTGCTTACCAAGATCTGCGATCTCTTGACCAACTAGCAGTCTGCAAACTGTTTATACTATTTGCGCTTGGAGAGGCTTACGCTATCAGGTCGCCATTAGATAGCGCAGGAACCTTACCTGGGCTTCACTACTTTGCAAGAGCCAAAACCATCTTACGAGTCGTTCCGGAACGACCAAAGATCGATCATATCGAGATTCTGGTAATGTTTGCTTTGTACAACTCAGTCATGAATAGGCGACACAGTGCTTTCCGTTACATTGGATCCGCCATGAGACTGGGTCTCACGATAGGAATGTACCAGAACATGGCCGAGCGACAGTTACCTGACAAAGCTGCGAGACAACGCAGAGTTCGTCTTTGGTGGACAATGTATGTCCTAGACAGAATGATGAGCTCAAAAGTCGGATATCCTACACTCCTGAAGGACGAAGACGTTGAGGTAGATCTTCCAACCGACGAAGGCCTGACAGAGGCACAAAAGGACGATTTCATCGATGCCGATTACCTCACTGCTAGTATCAGTCTAGCTCGCATCGCTGGTGGCATCATTGGCAGTTTATACAGTCGAAGGAAGCTCCCTGACACTTTTTCACAACGAGTGCAAGCTGTCTTCCGCAAGCTTCGAGATTGGGTCGAGGCCCTACCTCCGAGCATGCAATTGCGACAAGAAGATGCTTCAAGCCAAGTTGCACGACACATCGTAATGTTGCATCTATCATTCAATCAGTGTGTCATATTGGCAACTCGGCCGATACTGCTGTATGTCTTCAGGATTTCAAACAAGATTGGAGGCGCGACAGAAGAAATTTCCCAAGCCACTTTGGCATTAGCATCGACGTGCTCACATTCCGCGGGCCACAGCTATCGATTGCTGATGCGGAGCTGGGTGAATGGCTCTTTCTTCACCCTTGATTACCTCTCTGCTCAATATCTCTTCGCTTCAGCAACCGTCTTGGCATTAACGAGTCTTTCTTCTGACAGTCTTGCAAAGTCTCATCAGAACGACACAGAATCGGCCACCCATCTGCTACGTCAACTAAGCATGCTAGGCAATCTGGCAGCCTCAGAATTCTGTACACATCTAGATGCTGTGCTGAGATCAATCGCCACCTTTAAAGCCTCCAGAGGTGAATCTAGCGAAGCCTCGGCCATGGTACAGGCTGGTCCTGCGGCTGCTCGTCCAGATACTGTTACTACCGAGATGGCACTTTTTGGGCCATTGGTAGGTGACTTTTTGACACAGACAGATACCGAGCTTGGTGTGCCTTTACTTCTTGATGACAGCGCTTTGGACTGGAGTGCGTGGGCCGGCGTTTTAGCCGATCAAGAGCCCACTCCTGGGCACATCAATATTGGACTTTGATTCATGTCTTTCAATATCGATCATACTAGCTCAATATCCGATTCTGTTGATGTCTTTCTCAAGCGCCGAGGTCTCTTACCGTGTCAAGACCCACCTCTCTTTCATGGCGTCGTGTAGCAATGTTGCTGACTACCAAAATGCACGACCAAGTTCAGAAACGGAAGTATGTCCACAGAGAGCCATTCCGATGAAATCTCTCTTTGGACCCTGCTCTGATTTCGGAAAATATTCTGCATCTTCACAAATGCAACAAAAGCAGCTTCGATCATGCGGGAGATCATAAAAGGTTTTTCAGGGCAAAGTATAGCGATATTGCTAGCCATAAAAATGCACAATCGAGTTCACAACCGAGAGTGTGTCCACAGAGAGCCATCAAGACCATATCTCTTCTACCACAACTGACGATATCGCTCCGTCAGAACAAGGAACCTGATCAAGCTGATTTGCAACCTCAAGGTCCAAAAGACGCCTGTTCTTGAAAGGCGCCAAACGGTCTGAGACCCATTCGTTCAGGTCGTTTCTGAATTGCGACTTGTTCAATGGGCGCTTGAGTCTGGCACGAATCTTGTATGGCACCTTCAGTCTGATAAGTGCATTGTTTGTTGCCTTTTTTTTTTCTAGCACTCGGATCTGGTCGGCTCTGGCCTTTAGGCTTCAATAACAAAGCTGGATTGTGTGTGGCCTTCAGGTAGTTCAACGCCACCGAGGTCACGGCAATGTTTCCCTTGCAGTGGTATCGCGGTTTTCCGTCGGACTCGTAGAATGAAAAGACGCCATCCACCGACGGAAGATCTGGATTGTACTGCTTTTAGCTGCCATATGGTTTTGATACCACTAGTCTATCCTTGTTTGCTATTTCTTTGTATATAATCTGTAGTATCTCTTAAGACAAGACCTTTTAAGGATTCAATTACGCCATGAATCATTGCAAGGCCCAAGCCCGGGCGTTAGCCCGGCCGCTTGGGCATTTACATTCCCATATTCTCCTGCACAAAAAAACGACCATCACGGGGCTCGAAACCCGCAGCCAATTCTTGTTTTTGGTGTGATAACGCTATTTTGACGTTGACAAAACATATATTTTGATAACTAAAAAATCGTTAAAATTCGACCGTTTGGCGCAATGGTAGCGCATCCGCCTCCTACTCTCTCTAGTGTAAAAAGCGGAAGGCTGCGGGTTCGAGCCCCGTGATGGTCGTTTTTTTGTGCTAGAAAATGTGAGAATGTAAGTGCCCAAGCGGCCGGGCTGTGTTTGAATTTATTTTCTTGGACAGGCAGTCATGATTTTGTTGTTTGGTAACACAGGTTCTTACCGAATTTCCAACGATGTGTCAGCAGACACCATGTTGAAACCGCTCATACTAACCTCTTTTGCATGCTAAGGTTAGTAACAGCAACACGGAAAACGCACTTTTCATCGCTTCATTTCCTATAGGAGATCAGAGACCTGCAGGCGTTTGTTTTTGCGGTTTCTTAATCTAGATTTATGCTTTAAACACTACTGTCTACGTTGGCAGCTCGAACCATCGCTTGTCGTTGCTAAGAGAACTATTACATGAAATTGAGCTCGGCTTTCCAATCGGCATGGGATATCGAGGACCTGGATCTGGCTATTGGCGCAAAGACGATACTAGCCGCTACCATCGCGCCAGAAAGCTGCAGAGATTGCCACAAACTTGGGGAATCAGTACATTTCGTTCACAACGCTCTGCCTGCGACATTGCCTGGTATACATCTAATACCACTGGACGGATCGCGGTTTCGCTACAAAATCCAGGCAGGACAGCACCTTACGTTTCTCCAATGTGCCCAACAGGTTGTGAACCTCGGACCAAGTCGCTCTAATTAGTTCGTATGGATTCCCTCCCCAAGATGATGTATAAAGATGTTCCAGGCTATAAAAATGCAGGATGATTTCTAGGAACGGCTGCCATCCATAGAGAGACTGACCTCTCAAAACGTTTCTCTGGCCATACTCTGGAATAAAAAAGTATTATGCATTTCAGCAGCTACATTACCACAGTCTTTAGCATATGGGAGATGGACAGCTTACAGCAATCAGATGGACCCTGCCATTTGGATAACTTCGATCCTATTCAGATTCAAGGGTCTAATCAACCTTCTATGGATCTTAGCAAAATCACGACACCCATAGTCTCAACAATCCCCATATCACCTCCGGCCACACCTCACGGTTCCGAAGCATGCGCCATCGACTAAATCTTGTTGATGGAGCGGTGTCTGCAGCATGCATGATCAACTAAATTTAGTTGATGGACCTTGCTCTAAAGCATGCGTTATCAACTAAATCTAGTTGATGGAGCTGGCTCCGAAGCATAGCCATGTCAACAAAGTTTAGTTGATGAGAGGTCTGATCAGCCCCGAAGCTATATCAACACTGGGGGGTCGGCAACTTAATTGGAAGGCTGACAACACAGTCACATTCTGAATGTCCTTCCCTAACAGAACTCTTCTCATCATCGAAGCGATCTGATAAACAAGACTCAGCATCGCCAATAGTCCACTCACACGCATATGCAAAGAACGAGCATTCGCTTCCAAAAGAGCTTACTTAATTTACCAAAATGAATTCTCAAACGAATGCTCATTTATAGCACATCCACGTTGCGAATAATCCGCTCACCCGCATATGCAAAAATCGAGCATTCGTTTTCGAAGGGGCTTCCTCATTGTGTCAAGGTGAGGTTACACAAGACTACTCGTTTATAGCACATCCATGTTGCGAATGGTTGACTCACATGCATAAGTAGAAAACGAGCATTCGTTCTCAAAAGAGCTTCCTTAACTTACCAAGGTGGTTTTACAAACGAACGCTCGTTTTTAGCACATCCTCGTAACAAATAATCGACTCACACGCATATGCAAAAAACGAACGTTCGCTTTCCGAAGGGCTTCCTTGATTTGTTAAGGTCCTTTTTTTCACTACCAGGTTGCCAAAATTCTGATAGGGCAGTATTACGGACCTTCGGCACCTAGGTTGCCACATCGGAGGTTCCATTTTCAACGTAACTTCCTCAATCTTTCGGACTTGATTACCAGAACCAGACTGTCTTTTACACTGCACGATATCTCTACAAGCATTGCGCTAATCCCACCAGTCTCGAAGAGCTAGAGTCATTGGCCGAGGACTTGATACTCCACTGGACTCGATCGAAACGTACAGTATGATTTTTTGGTGCCGCACAAGAAAAAGTCGTTAGATATTTTCTTGTACCGCACAAGAAAATTCTAGCAGATATGCGTTTCTGGTACCACATAAGAAGGCACCACTAAGTATAATTTTCTTGTGCCGCACGAGAAAATCTTGCCTGTTGATGTCTCCTCACTCAGAGGCAATGGGATATCGTCTCTTTGTATATAAATTGGTCCAGAACTAAGAGCAAACCACTTCTAAATTTTTCTTAGTTCAGGACTAAGAAAATACCACCTTCTCGCTTTTCTTAGTCCAGGACTAAGAAACTATCGCCTTTTGAGACTCCGACACAGCATTGAGTGTTGACTCTGTCGTAGTACCACGATGCTGCTCCAGAGCACTCGCCAGGCCTCGAGTCTGTAGCTCATACCAACTGAAATTTACCAGTCCTAGGACTGGTAGACTATGCCTACTGATTTTGTCCCGGTCCTAGGACCGGTCAACTACAGCTATTTCTACTTCCTGCATACCGCCGACATTCTGACCAAGCCTAATCTACAAGAAGGAGGCTCCGACCTTTGACAACTTCACGTTCAAATTATCAGACATCTTGTTATCTGTTAAGTTCATACTAGCAAAACATATAATCGAATATCAAGGTCGACCAGCCATGTCACTTCTGGACAGGATCGAGGGCCTTCCTACAGAGCTCGTACACAAGATCTTCGAGCATTACTGGGACTTTAACACAAACAAGGTTCTGTACCAGCTGAAGATGAGACCAAGAGAAGTCTTCTCCATTAGTACAGACAGAGAGTCTCTCAACATTGGTCGTACAGCAGAGATCGAAGGCATTTCGCCGTACAATGACGGACGTATGGATACTGACTCGGAAGAACATCAGAATGTACGTAGCCATCTTGAGCAGCATCAATGCTTTTGCTAACTGTTCTCAGCCCATTACTGTAAGCTTTGCAACAGTGGAACAAATTCTGGCCTTGAACAAAACTCGTCCACAGATCCAGCGGTTCCATATGGATGCTCTTACATACACTTTACTATTGCTGGACTACCCCAAGATCCGTACAAATTCGCTACTTGCATTACTCAAGCGCGGTCCTGCGAAAGTGGCTGAGGATGTCACTACTCTTTCACGTACCCTCGACACTACAAGAATCAACTACAGCCAGAGAAGACAGCCATCCCGAATGCCAGTCTCTACTCGCCTTAGTGAGCAAAGCCTACACTTCAAGACAGCCAACGATGCGGAACTCTTCTTCCACGCAGATATGTCTCGCGCCTTGCTTGTAAGATCGTTCTCATTTGGTCACAATATGGATTCGGCTGGTATCTGCGGACTCGACAATCTGCATTATCTCTTCTGGAGCGCAGGCGGACGTGGACGATGTGCAGACGAGATCTATATCGTCGCATACGCCAAGCTACATAAGATCGGTCCAAGCAGCCAGCACAGTACATTGTTGTCCTTCGTCATTCGCTCAACAGAATATCCTTCCCCTGGTCTTTCTCCTACAAGTTCATATCGCCATGACCTTCACCGCTCTGTATATCCTCTTGAAAAGCTCGATCTCGATACCTTGGGAACGATGTCGAATAAGCAGCTGATGGCCTTCCGCCAGGCTCATCTGCAAAAACACGATATCGAATGGCCTCCAAAGTACGTGTCATACAAAGCCGACGACCAAGATCGTCTCAAGAACTATATGGACAGAATCTGCAGGGTCGGTGGCACATGCGAGTTTTGGGAGTTCCCGAACTGCTCTCAGACCGTGTGATATCAAATACAGGCTTCAAACATTTTGTCATTTTGTTATCATCTAATTTTACGAACGCGATAGGTAGACAACGAACAAGGAAGGTTGATTCGATTTAAAATGCAAAGAGAAACTTTCCAGCCTAGGGAGGTATATCTTGAGAAAATCCAGTCTTCGAGGAGATTACATTCATCAATTAGAGTAATTAAGGCTGTAACGAAAATGCATCACAGAAATCGTAAATCAATCGGAGATCCCATCGCCATTCAAAATCTGCTTCATGACGTGCTATTGTTCTAAAACCAGGCATGTCCAGTCTATGTTCTGGATTCTTTCCCCGATGCAATCGTACTCGCAATGTACCTATAAAAATGCACGACAATATCTGAAGATAAAGTTGTTTCCACAGAGATATCTTGTCTAGATGGCTTTCTGTGGAACGATCCCTATTTGAGAAAGTATCGTGCATTTTTCCAGCTTAAGTGCATCGACACTCTTTTCCTGAAGATCATATATCAAGCCTGCGACCCTGCCTACGCCGACTTTCTGGGACTTCTTCTCGTTGCGTGAGAGAGACACCCGTTCTGCATCTCCATCGCCCACAAGCTACATAAGCGTCAGATGAGGACTGGTTGGACACCCGCTAACCCAGACTCACTTTCGCAAAGAGATGACAGTTTGAACAACATTCTCATCGAAACCCAAGCTTCTAATTACTTGAAGCACGACTTTGATTCAACCACATACCCTCGACTGCCACAGATGGTGGAGGAGATCTCGATCTCTCGCACTCTCCATGACTCAAACATGGACACTGCTCTGTTGTCGTAAAAAATCGTGCATTTTTACAAGCGACAACACTGCCATAGGTTACTGTGAGACAGAGGTCAAGCATAACGACCCTGGCACATAGGTAGAGTCTGATCTCCCACATGGTCGAAGCTGTTATATCGTAGTTGTGAAAATACACGATACCTATTGGAAATCTAGCAAGGTCCGGAGAAAGACTTGCTTGTTCTCTTGCTGAGCGCAATCCGGACTTGTAGCAGTTCAAATAGCTTGACACCCACAGTGATACGAGATAGACATAACTGTGTATTTTAGTGACCTGTATTGATACTTGTCGTGTTAAGAGAATGGTTATGCGAGGCTGAGGCTCGGCTCTCAAAATCGTCATGGCAGATCAACGAGTTGAATCTAACTTCATCTGGCTTAGCTGTTTCCAATTTTGGCGATGAGCGGCTTCGAGAAGGACAGCTGGTTGTTGACCCTGAGCATTTTTCTGAAACAGTTAATACTGTACAACGACGACCCGTTCAATAATTTAGAAGTTCGTTTCTCTCCTTCTTCTTTGGCTTTCGACTTCGAACGACCTTTCGACAGGAAGACTGTATTCTGGTCCTGATTTCCAATTTCCATCGGTGAACCACAATGGCGGGCAACGGCGAGATCAAAAATAGAAGTGGAAATGGAGTGCTGGATGAGAAGGCCTTGTTGCAAAGGCAGGTTGATGGTCTAGCGACGGATCGGTCATCATCAGGAAGTGCGCAGACAACCAGGAATCTAATCATCTGCGTGGGAGGAATCTACGCGTCCTTGTACGTTCCATGCATTTCATGAAAACACATACGTGATCAAGCTAAACAAAACACCAGTCTCACGTGGGGGCTTCTTCAAGAACGCATCACGACGACTCAGTATGGTAGCTCTTTGGCTCCGGAAAAGTTTAATTCTCCTGTCTTCATCAACACAGTGCAATCGACTTTCGCAGCACTACTCGGGTATCTCTACGTACTGTTCACACGCAAGCAGTCGAACGACCTACCCATCTTCCCCAGCCGCAGCATCATCTTTCCTATGTTCTTAGTGGCCATCACATCTTCCCTGGCTTCTCCCTTTGGCTATGCATCGCTCAAGCATGTCGACTACATTACCTTCATTCTGGCCAAATCTTGCAAGCTTCTCCCGGTCATGGCTTTGCACGTTACTCTCTTCCGTCGCAAGTATCCTCTTTACAAGTACTGTGTCGTAGCACTTGTGACGGCTGGTGTAGCTGTCTTCACTTTGCACCACCCAACTTCGTCTAAGAAGAAGGGAGCAGATGGCAGCAGTGCATGGGGACTGCTCCTTCTCGGCATTAATTTGCTTTTCGATGGTCTCACCAACTCGACTCAAGACCACATCTACAAGTCGTACAGACCCTACACTGGACAGCAGATGATGTGTGCGCTCAACTCGATCAGTACTGTTTTGACCTCGGTATATCTGTTTGTTTCGCCGTACATTGCTACGACGCCTGTCGGAGCATATCTCGGCATGAGTGCCGCCTCTGGAGGAGAACTAGAATACGCCATTGACTTCATCAAAAGACATCCAAGCGTTGGGTGGGACATCTTTGCATTTGCAGCTTGTGGTGCTTTGGGTCAAATGTTCATCTGTAAGTCTTCACTCTTTTGCACGAGCGGAATGTTTCAGAGCTGATATATATGCTAGTCTACACTCTTTCGACCTTTGGGTCTCTCCTTTTGGTCACAGTCACAGTGACCAGAAAGATGCTTACCATGATCTTATCAGTAGTCTGGTTCGGTCATCGTCTCAGCCCAATGCAGTGGGTTGGTGTCGGCTTGGTATTCGGAGGTGTCTTTGTCGAGGCACAACTCTCGAAGCAAGAGAAGCTCGCCAAGGACCGCGCAAAGAAGGAGGAGGTTAAGAAGTCATCTTGATCGCAACAACTCGCGGTCCATTGTTTTTGCATAGATAGAGTGTTGGATACATAAAAGGGAGTGCAGGCAACTCTCAGGTACTCGAGTAGAATAATCAGAACACAGTGTATGGGGCTTCGGGTATGGATGCTCCCGAGCATTACTTGCGATTGCACTTGAATGTCACTCTCCTGATCCAAGGGCTAGAGCTATTGTAAGAACCTGTTTCTGTGGCAAAGCTACGGCGCCGATCGGAATAGCAAGTGCCCGTTTGAAAGCATGGCGTTCTGGTTCGATGTGGCTTTGCCATGCGTATCGAGGATTCAAAATCTGATTCAACGAGCTGATCCCCATTGTCTGGCAGCGATTCTCAGTAAAGCATGGTTTACGTACTCACAAGCAGCATCGGCGGTGATGGATCGTGAACGGGCGCCTTTTGCATGCAGAGATCGCGATGAATGGCCTCACGAAAGCGTCAGTCTGGAGACGAATTGAATAGAATGAGGCCCAAGCTTTAGCTATTACCCCACAGAATCATGTGTGATGTCATGGCTACCTCACATGCGTATTCCACCGGGCACGCAGGCAAAGAAAGCTATAAACACTGATCGCCCTTGCTCTTGTTTACTGAAATCTTCATTCAATCAAATCTCCTTATACTCAAACACTTCCTCAAAACTTACACACCACTCACAAACACCGCCACAATGTTCCGCTCTACCATCATCCGCAACGCTCGTCTCTTCAGCACCAACGCGCGCTTCCAGAAGTCTGCCACCGAGACTGTCAAGGATGCTGCCAAGGCCGTCGACAGAACCATCTCCGATGCCGCCGTCAAGGGTATCGAGAAGGGCGGTAGGTTTTAACTTCCTCTTGTCACTCTCTTCACCTCTTACTAATACCTTTCATAGAGCAAGCCGCCGCATCCATCAAGTCGGCCGCAAACGTGAGCACCGGCGAGGCCAAGGGCTCTGCCAGCCAGATGGCCGGTCAAGCACAAGGCAAGGCCAACGAGCTCGCCGGCCAAGCCAAGGGTGCCGTCAACGAGATGTCCAGCTCATCACCAACATCCGGCCAGGTCCAGGGCAAGGCTTCCGAACTCATGGGCGAGGCCAAGGGCAAGGCTTCTGAGCTGTCTGGCCAGGCAAAGGGCAAGGCCGAGGAGATCAAGGGAAAGATGTAAATGCTGTTGTTCTCACCACGACACGACACGCCACCTTTTTTCACGATATGAGACGACACCTCCCTTTCTTCTAGTTAATAGCGGCTTGTGGAATTGAAAGCTGCAAACGAAATGGAAACCCAGGCGCAGCGGTCCTGGCCTTTTCGTCTTTATAATTGATCAAATTCAACGATCTTGTCAACTCTTGATTCTTCTTGTGCTTCGTCCGTGTTCAATCATCTTTTGTCCTTTTGTGTTGCTGTTGCATACTGAAGGTGAGACGCATCTAGTCGGTACGGACTCTACGCATCAAATGCGCGAGTCGTGACCCTGCCCATATTTTTTCATGTCAGTCCGCATTCTCGATCAACCATTTATAATAATGGTTTACCTTTTGTGTTCCTACATACTCTTATCATATCTGCGGATGTAGTAAAAATTCTACTATAACTTGTCTTGAATAATCAAGAAACAGAATGTCGGGAGGATAGCCCCGCGTTAGGCATTGGGCACAAGGATTACTACTCAGTCTTCAAGCTTGCAGTAAGTTGACACCATAATCACTACATTGCAGAGCAATGACCACAAGAAACAGCAGACATTATACTAAACATAGCCTCGAACCGCCTCTAAAAGCCATTGGCGGTTTGGAAATGTCTCAGTCGAGATATACCGTGCCGCCAGCAGTGACAGGGTGATACCAACAGCTATCGCACTTTGACAAGAGGCAGTAAAGTAAATATGAAATCGAATAACAGGGATGCTCAGGCTCTTCTCAGCTATATATATATACCACTAAGCCATGATCAAGTCTCTCTAGTCTTCGAGCAAAAAAGCAATGGCCTGCTGATTCAGTCATCAACAAGCCTTTGCTCAACCCTGCCATACTCGGATGGTTCCAACCTCAATCTCGTTTGGCCGCACTGATTGTGCGAAGAAATTATGCTGGAGCAAATCATAAACCTCTCTCATTCATCGCCTCATTCTTGCAGGCACCGCATAGCGACATTTCGCAGTGCTCACACTGCCATGCCACATCTTCTTCGGCAGTGTGCTTATGCTTGTGTTCTCTCGAGTCCTCAGTTTTGGGCAAAGAACCAGAAACCGATTTTTGAACAGTTGCGTAGGTCCTGTAGAAGCAGCGGAAGCACTCTGTACTAAGCGGCACATCCCTCTTGACTGCTTCCTCTGAGATTTGTGCAGGTTTGAAGACGTGCAAGCATGACCATATTGTACTATGATAGCTGTCGTCAGGCTCTTCGCCAAAGAAAGCACCCGTGCCTTCCCAAACGCGACGACCACCCCTATCAAGGTCGGTTGGACGTTCAGTAAGAATAGGGTGGACTGCTGCTGCTGGAGCGGTCACAGACTGTGTTGCCGTGGCTGAGGTATTTGCTAGAGCAGAAGCAATTGCTGGAGCAGAGGCAATTGCTAGAGTACGTACAATGGATGCAGCATTCTGCTCACCATCTTGTGCCATCGGAGGAATGACACCAGGCTGAAGAGTGCCAGGGTCGATTTCTTCGTCACTGTAATCTCCATCTTCACTTCCGGAGTCGGGTGAATCACAACCTCCATCACACTCATCGAATGCACGGAGACAACCCCAACACCAATGAGCACCACAACGGCATTGCATGTGGCGACAGCCATACATTCTCTTCACACCGTGGCCACAACGCGGGCATTTCTTGTAACCATATGTCTCGAGCATGGCAAGCTCATGATCTTGAGCAGCGGTATCACAAGGCTGTCCAAAGTGGGCAACTTGTTTACAGCTGGGACATATTCCGATGTGACAATCCGGACAAGAAAAGCAAGCAGCAGCAGGCAAAACTGTGAATTTGCTGTTCACTCGGGCTTTGATTTTGCCAATCTCTTTCCACAGCTGTCTTCGCAGGATTTCAGCACAAGAGGAGGCTACTGGAGGCATGGAGCGACCGCCGGTGTAGAGTCGATTGAAATCATAGGCAAACTCGGCCATGTTGGAGTAGCGTGAGACTTTTGTAGAAAGCTCACCGAGCCAGATCATCCTGCTGGGACACTTCCAATTCTGAATACCGTGGGTCGAAGGAGATGTGGCATCCTTGAAGTATCGAGCATAATGTTCTTGTTGAGTCTTTTTCAGGATGGCGGGAAGCTCTTGTTTGACAAGACCCCAGATGGTGACTGGATCGGCAGAGGGCGGTGGTAGAACTGCACGATCTGGGATGAAGCGTGAACATTTAGGAACTGGACAGTACGTCTTCTTGGTTGAGATCCATTCTTCAAACTTGCGACGATATGCATCAGCTTCAGCGGAGGAAAGAAAGTCAAGAGCAACAATAGTTGAAAGGATGGTGCAGCATCTGGGTGGCATCGAAGTCGAATCGCGAGTTGCTTCTAAAAACATGCTTCTGATGCAATCTCCGCAGTATGCGGCAGGACAGAGGCGACATGGCTGGAGTACTGGAGCCCCATCTGCTTCACAGCAAATTTCACATTCTCTCTTGATGTCATCGACCTTGGACGGAGGAAGATCTTCAACTTTGATAGGTGGTGACAAGAGGCTTTGCAAATGTGTTTGCAAGGCCGAGGCTTGAGGCGGATTGACAGGATGAGTCATGGATGATGATAGCGACGAATGGACGTGTGAAGTTTGAACTGAGCCTGGCAGCGTGTCTGTGGAAGAGCGTCTGGTAGAACCAAAGCCAGGGAAAGGCACAGGTGGATCAAGACGAGAGAAAGTGAAAGTCGAAGATGGAGGAGGAGGGTGAGATGTTGTCTCAGGTTGAGGGCGATATGAGTATGTTGCTTCTTGGCGTGGTGGACGACGAGGTGGAGGCTGGTAGGGGCCCGATTCTGGAGACTCTCCAGCGACACGTCGAGATCTGCGAACAGCATGTTGCAAAGGACTCTCGTCGAGCCGACACAATTGGGCGGTGGTACGTCTTGTGTTTCTTGAGGATGACATGACGAAGGTGCCGATGGCGAAAGGTTGTTGTACTAGGCTGTTTGGATGGGCGTGGCTTGGGATATCAGAGACAACTGGATCAATGCCACCAGCAATATCTCTAGGAGCGTCTTCGATATGAGTTGTGGTTGGAACAGGGAGGTGCAGACGCGAGCGGACGCCGTCTTGGATGCGTTGGAAGAGAGAACGAATAGTACGCAAAGTCAGGAGAGTGCGGCGACGGGAACGCTGTTGTCGTACTCCATGCGTTGGTGGAGAGGATTCCATGAAGTTGCTGTTCATGAATTAACCACCAAGGCACCAACAGCTTCTGTGACGCCCTCAATCACGTACCTTGAAGCCTTTCCACGCGAACGACCGCCTTGTCTTTGCTCTGTATGCAACACCAGCATTGACTGGGAAGCTCCACCGGGACCGGCTATAAAGCCAAGTGCACCCAGTCGATCAGATGCAAAAGGAAGGAATGTATCAAGGAGGGTGCCTTGTCAAAATCAAATCTTCGGACCGCATGTGTCAGGCAGGTTCCTTCCTGTCAAGCACAACCTCCAACGTGCTGCTACCTTCAGTCTCACGACTGCTCTTTCCTCAAATCTCAGAAGCAAAACTAGAATGAGGCAATCGAACTTTTCAGTGGCTAAAAGAAAATGCATGGGTATACTCATCTAAAGGATCTGCATCTTCAATCTGTCTCCTGATGTGCACATAACAAAGCTGACGCCGAAGACCTTATTATGAAGCTACGATCCAATCACAATCCACTCCTGAACGCCTTGATCATCAACAGTCGTCTCTAGTTGCTTCCATCCTTCTTTGATGACTTTACCAACCAAGTCAAGAGATCGACCTTGGTCACAACTGCCACGGCCTTGTAGCCACCCTTCTCGGATGTCTTTTCGGTGACAATAGCAGCGCTGTTCCACTCGAAGAAGCGGCTCAATGCGCTCAATTTGGTGTCCTTTGTGATCTCGACGAATTGTCTGCGCTGGGGGTGGCTCTCGGTCTCGCTGCTGGTTGCAGCCTGCTTGCGCTCCTCAGGAGTCTTGATGCTAATGTCTTGGGTGCTTGTCACGACCTCATTGATCTTTCTAAAGTCAAACATGACATCGCTGACACGAGAGTGGCCTGTGGCACGGCCCGACGACAGGTAAGACAAAAGGTTTCCGAGTGTGACGAGACCGACAAGACGAGAACCAGTACCGGCTGAGACGGGGAGCTGGTCGAAGCCCTTCTCACGCATGGTTTCGATGGCATCTCCACATGGCGAATCTGCTGAGATGGTGGTAACAGGCTTCAGGCGCAGATCACGAATGGTGGCATCTCCGTAACCATCCTTGCTCTTGCTGTCTTCGGCCTTTGCGACTGGTGTTGTAGGGGCGGAAAGTGGAGGAGTAGGAGGGAGGAGATCGTTGGCGGCCAGCCAGTCGTCGTCGACGAACTGTGAAAACGATTAGTAACGTGACGGAAATGCGAGACTAGGGGAACAAACCTTGCTCAAGTAGCTTCGAATGCTGTCGGGCAAAACAACGACAACGACATCATCCTCGGTCAGGCTGAGCTCAGTGCAAGCCTTGACACAGGCGGCCATGGCGCTGCCACTGCTTCCTCCAACCAAGAGACCCTCCTCTCTGATCAGCTTTCTTGAATACTCGAAACTAGTGCGGTCATCGGTCTTGAACCAGGTGTCGACACCTTGCTGGTCAAGAACGTCGGGAATGAAATCGTAGCCAATTCCTTCAACCTTGTAAGGCTGGTCCTTGAAGTCGTCGTTCAAGGAAGCAGGCAGAGCAAGAATGCTGCCATGAGGATCGGCAGCAATAATCTTGACATTCTTGTTGTGCTTTCTAATGCCTCTTGCCAAACCGGTAATGGTACCACCAGTACCGGCACCAGCAACAAGGGCAGTGATTTTGCCCTCAGTTTGTGCCCAGATCTCCTCAGCAGTACCGAGCTCATGGGCCAAGGGGTTGTTGGGGTTGACATACTGGTCAAGGATAACGGCACCAGGAATCTCCTTCTCCAGTCTTCTAGCGACACCAATGTGACTTTCAGGACTGTCGTAGGCAGCCTGAGTAGGGGTTCTGATGATCTCGGCGCCGAGAGCCTTGAGCACGGCGACCTTCTCTTGTGACATCTTCTCGGGAAGGGTGATGATGACTTTGTAGCCCTTGACGGCACCAACAAGAGCGAGACCAATACCAGTGTTTCCGGAAGTGGGCTCAATCAGAGTGGTCTTGGAGGGGTGAATGCGGCCCTCGGCCTCAGCAGCTTCGATCATGCGCAAAGCGATGCGGTCCTTGACACTGCCACCAGCATTGAAGAACTCGAGCTTGGCGTAGATGGTGGGCTTGAGACCGAGCGATTGCGGGATCTTGTTAAGGCGAACGAGGGGGGTGTTGCCGATCTGCTCGGTGATGGTCGACATGACGACCGGCGGGTGTCTAGGATGCGACTTGATCGACATGGTGTGTGTTGATCGATGTGAGTTAGTATTAGATGACAGAAGGAAAAGAGAAAAACAAGATGGAGGAGAGATGCAGAGAAAAACACTTTGTCTTTCAGAGCGCCCAGTACGACGCCCTGTGAGAGCCTTGAACGAGCTTCGGACCCTTGACCAAAGCTTGTTTGGCATTTCTTTAGTAACGCCGAGACGCAATGAATCCTACGCATAACGCCATTCGAAAATCAGCCTTTCGTTCACAATGTAGTCAAATTCACTTGCGACACTTGTCGTGTGAATTAGATACATACCTATCAGCTCACATCTGCTGAGCTATCCATGCCCACCACGCATCCACTTGGGTCTTTTCCTCGCCCTTTGCGCTGGCGTTTCCTCCAAGCACGCTGACTTCAATCTCGGCCTCTTTCATCTGCCCAAAGTTAAAGTCGCCCTCACCGCCTTCGCCCAGCCATTCCCTGTCCTCATCATCCCCCTCAATGTCAACCGCGCTGTCAAGTAGTCCCTTTGCCCTGGTTGATCGGATTTTTGTGATTTCATCCTCCAAGCGCTTCTTGACCAATTGAGCAGGCAGTGCAGTGAACAGATCCAGCTTGTTGGCTGCAATCAAAACAGGGATTCCAGTAGGCCCTTTGCTGCTCTTTGCACCAGTGTGTCTCTTTTGCAAAACAAGCAAGGTGTCGTGAAGGTAAGAAGCAGCCTCAGAGAGTCCTTGAGGACTGGACAGGGCGGCCGCATCAACGACGAAGATTAGACCTTTGAGAGAGGGCGTCGCAGTAATAGCATCAAAGGCGTGCTGGCGGAGCTTGCCATGGCCAGGAGTGTCTGTCACTTCAATGCGACGTTCTTTCTTGTTCGAGGGGTCGTCAGAAGCGCGGTATTTGTGAGATTCAGCAGTGACGCCAGTGGGAAGGGTGCAGGCGACGGTCTGAGGAGCTTGCGAAGTGTGGGTAGCAGTCGGTGTACCACGCTCGAACTGTGCACTGAGTTAGCATGTTCGCAGTGCGGCTCCTCGTGTCTGCTACACACCAGGGTGACAAGGGTTGTTTTGCCGGCTCCACTGGGACCGAGCAGGATAAACGAAGGTACTACAACAGCGGCGCGCTGGCGGTACAGGAATAAGTGGAAGATGATGGGCAGCGACAGCGACAACAGCAATGTGAAGAGCATGGCGCCGATGGTCGGGCTGAAGCTCCAGGTGAGCCATTCCCGTGCAGTGTTCATGTCGACTGCCATGCTCGTCTCTGTACGAATGGCAGGAGTCAAGTCGCAGAGAGAGCTATTGACGACTCCAAAGTTGGCCGATCACGCTGCTGCGTTTCCACTTTGCGGCCCGAGCACGCCTGCCGAAATCTGGGGCACCTCCGTCTGTCTTTCTAAAGTAGTTTGAACAATGATCTTTCAAAGTCTACGAGTAGAGCTTGAGTCTGTCACCAATTGTGCTATTGTGACAAGAATGGTTTCTGTGGCCATCGAAGACACATACTTGCTCAATACAACATAGCGCATTCAGAGGGTACAACTGTCAGCATGACTTATACACATCACAATCTGCTGCCCCGTGAAACGTTGCAGGCACGCGATGTTGCTGGACAGTGGTGAAACCCGTCTGCTCAATGACATGAGGTCGGATAAAGATGTACAAGTATCGTGCAAGATGTACGCCTGTAGTCTTCATGCCCCTTAGGTTGTTGCCCAAAAAATGGTCTCATCATTCATTCTTGTTGACGTCAGCCTGAGCAAATGACATGCGGAGCAACCTCTCTATCATGAATGGCAACAGACAACGACATCCAGCATATATCCTTCCCAGACACCAGCTAAACTTTTGACTTGAACAATATTATCAGTTCCGTCAATAATTCAACCACATCATTCATCAATACCATCAACATGTTTGGAAGCAGCAACACCTTTGACCCCAACACCGACATCCCTGATCTCTCAGGCAAGGTTTATGTCGTGACCGGTGGATCAGCTGGTATTGGTTTCGGCATCTGCGCCCATATCCTCCAACACAACCCCGCCGCCCTCTATCTTCTCGGCAAGAAGGAAGAGCACATTCAGGAAGCTGAAGAAAGCCTCAAGAAATACGGCGACATCTCCAAAGTTCACTCTGTTCAGATCGAACTCGAAGACTTGAAGCAGACAGATCAAGTAGCCAAGGAGCTGGCTTCCAAGCTCGACAGGCTCGATGCTCTCATTTGTAACGCTGGACTTGGAGTTGGAGTCTTCAACCTGACCAAGGACGGCATCGACTCTCACATGCAGGTGAATCACATCTCACAATTCCATCTGACCCAGACTCTGCTCCCTCTGCTTCAAAAGACTCCTGGTTCTCGCCTTGTCCTGCAGTCCTCGGATCTCCACCGTGGAATCAGTGATGTCAAATTTGAATCAGAGCAGGAGCTTAATCAGGACATCGGTCCCATGATGCTCTACAACAGAACCAAACTTGCCCAAGTCCTTTACATTCGTGCTCTGGCAGATCGCAAGGAGAAGGCTCAACTGGGTTTCGACGACGACGTGAGCGCTGGACCGTTCATGAACGCCACACATCCTGGTGGAGTTAAGACCGACCAGCAGAAGCAGGCCGTCGATGCTTACGGAACTCTTGGTAAAATCGGTGTTGCAGCAGTGAAGCCTTTCTTGAAGGACCCTGTCGATGCTGGATGTCGTCCAGCACTCTTCGCGGCAACCAGCAACGACGTTGTCAAGGAGCATATTCAAGGCCAATACGTAAGTCCAGACAGGTCCCGAAGGGTCAAATGACTAGCTAACAAATTCACTAGATCGTGCCTGACCGCAAAGTAACTGACCCATCTAGCGAGGCTCGCGACCAGCAACTTGGAGAGAACTTGTGGCAGCTGACAGAAAAGGTTATTGTCAGCAGGTTGGGCAATGCTGTGCCATACAAGCTTCAGTACGCTTAGTGGCGTCCTGTCAAGGAGTCTTCGACGAAGTAATGATGACCAGGCGGTTCTCTGATCGTCATGGCAAGAAGAACATGCAAGGTTGATGAGATAACACCTGCTTTCGCTAGATCAGGTAACTAGATTCGAGTCACTGCTCGCTCCAAAGACACTATCATCGAACATCTTCCAATGTCCTCACCTGTTCAATGCTGATGCAGCATGAGTATCAAAAGACGTGATGCAATGAACTATATTGCAGAATATGGTATGTGCATTGTGATTACGTGGCGCTGAATGCAGAAAAGCATTATACCTGCTGCTAATAATCTGCAAGAAGTACTTCTTGTCGTTACGTGCGTTGCGACATCATCGTAATGCGTCAAATTCATCGGACCAGCGTCCTCACACGGTTACCAGCAGCGTCGCCTTGGTCCATCGTCTTGATCCTTGTATCTCGAGTAATATAGGCACCACACTATCAATTGCAGGATCACGACAAGTGCAGAATCGCCTCGAGGGAAAACCATACTTTGTTGGAACAGAGGGGAAAGTGCCAACGTCTCAGCCATCCTTCTCAAGCATCATATCATGCATTTGCCATCATGTCTGACGACAGCGGTCAACGTGTCCTGGAGTACGCATCTCGACAAGGCAGTTATCTTGCGAATCATTTCTTGATATTCGTCCAGAAAGTTGGTATAGCTCATCTGCACGTGCTTATGAAAACCTTGAGGGGAGATCAACAACAGCAGCAACAAAGAGCTGAGGATCGTCAACAAAGAAGGCGCGTCGAGGCAGGCGCCAGCTCACTGCCAAACACCAAAGAGGGGAGTTACACTCACGGGACTCTCATTCTTCTTACCCCTACTCGACAGCTCTCAACAAACTTGCGGCTCATTGCATGCTTGCTCCGGCTTTCCCGACGGGGGCAGCGCTTCCCCTCGAGACCGCCTCTCCATTTCCCGGCGCGGGTTGATCTTCTGACAGACATTGGTGTGGCTGAGTCTGAGTGAAGGAAGGAGTGAGAAGGAACTTGAGAGATCGGCGGCCGAGCATAGGGCCAGAGAAGCAATCAAAGACCCGAGTACGTGGGTGAGAAAGCATCGGATCCATGGCTCTCTGCCTCTCTTCAGCTTGCCTCTATACGCGTTGTTGCATACAGAAACTATTGGGGTACAATGCCTGTTGCTGAGTACTTTCCAACGACGATGATCACAGTGACGCGTAGTTGATTGACAACCCTTTTCTCTCCTACCCCCAGAGAGCGGTGGAGACTTTGATACTTGCAAGCGCGTAGCGTTGGTTTATGTCAGGCAAACGTGTGCGATCTGGGAACTGGATTTGAGAGGATAGATATGTCCAGACGGTACTAGGAGGTAGCCCCCGTGCACGTGCAAAAGTCACTGAACCACTTAAAAGACACTTCTTGAATCTTGTGATAGTGGTTGAAACCGCTCTGGTTATCAAAGCCTCCCCAGCCACCACAGTGTGAGTGTTTGGTCGATCTTCTTGTCTTCTTTGAACATGCACAGGCCAGCGGTTCGTTTCAGAAAGGGCTGACGAGTCCGTGGAGACTGCTATAAGGCGGTTGGTGCTATCGAAACAAGGCCAGAATTGCGTCTTCGGTGTTGTGCAGAGCTAGAGGGTGCTTCCCGTGTTGCTCAGCGTCAGTTCGTGACACGGAAGCCTCAAATCTCCGTCGTGCTCCGTGTCATGACTCCTGTCCACACACTCCTTGGATAAGTATGAGTATGGCATGAGCTTGGAAGAAAGAAGGTCGATTGGGTATACTTTGTTTTGTTCCAACACCGAGGTATGGGCTTGAGGGAGACGGGTCGTCCAGATCACCTATGCTAATGGCTCCGCTCACCAGACAACGCCGCGAATGATGGTTGGAGGCTCGATGGATCTCTGTTGTTTCTGTTGCATACTAGACTCGAAGGAAGCGATGCGATTGCAGCAGGATAGCACGTTCTAGTCAGACCATACTGTGCCAGATCCTCGCGGCACAATCAGGTTATGCCCACGTATTGTGCAGTAGTATTTCCCTGGTTCACATGCTGCAGCTCACCGCTTCATAGACCCTAGATCCCTATGTCGCCCCGTGCGGAATCCGGACCGGTACGGGTTATGGCAGTTCTTCTCACGTATGTGCTCAACAAAGAAGATATCCCAATGGAGCTGCCAAACGTGCCTGGATCCATGGAGCCCCGCAGTGAGATGAATTTTAGCACGCACGTTCGCCCTCGAAATTGTTCACGAGATCAGCGGCATACTACCGCGGCTACATTTGCTTGCAGTATCAAAGAGGCCACGACTCCCGCACGGGCACAAGTACAGCACAGCACAGTACGGGTACTGGGCCTTTCTTTGGAATGATCCCAGCAACTTGGGACTTACCGAGACTCTCATTTGAGTAAGAGCAGAACTTGACGAGTCACCCTCATCGACCAGTAGACAATGACAAATTGGCTCATCGAGAGAATGGGCCATCTGATCGATCCACATGGCATACAACGAGAGATATTCTGGCCTCTGCTCTAGAATGCAGTGTTCGAAAGACATGCGCTCGATACTCGATGCTGTCCAACATGCAGAGTAGATTGGGCGTTATGGCATTTGGCGGGATATTATCATCTTTCGACGCTGAAGCCACAATTGCACAAGAAGCCATCTGATCGGCGCGCGCTGATTGTCAGCCAGAGTGTAGTCGTTGCATCACAAAGAACCACTCTGCTACATCGAGTTATGATAGCAGTCGTCGTGTCAATGTCGAGTCACCAGATTCTCGCGTTCATCAGCGACAAGAATAGACCGTCACCAGAGCTTGCCGTTAGATTGGAGAGCGCTTTTCGAGACAAAGAAATCGTCCCGTCATCAAGCGCTTGGCCGAACTTCTTTTTCGTAGCTACGGGCGAAACCAATACCGACGAAAGGAGCCGAGTCGGGGCATGAAGGACACGGTAGGATGCATGATTGAGCTGCAAAAGGCGACAGCGGTGTGTAGCAGTGAGATGATATCCCCAAATGATCCGTATGTCAGATTGGTATGGGTTTGATGCTGGAGGCCGTCGCTGCACCGAAGATTTGTTGAGCTTTACGGCCTTGACAAATCTTCAACAGATACAGGTCCCGAAGCAGTGGTCTGCCCAGTGCCTCTGAGTCGATGTCTATTACGATGCGCTATCGGATTTGAGCTGTTACGAAGCTAGACTCTTTGCGCTTCTTTGTTCTGAATATAGAGTAGGTAGGTAGACTCTTTGATGGAATGTGAGATGGGAGGTGGAAAATACCAAGCTAACGCATGCAAGGCAAGCGGTGCCTACCCAAGCATGTCGCTTACCAACCAATCACAGCCATCGCTCACAAATGAGCAGTTCCAACCACCTCTCCTCCCTCCAACATGACATTTCCCGGGACGCCTGCACGTCACGATTTTTGTGGCTTGACCACCGACCAGGAACGGGAGACGTGGGTCAGATCTCAGCAAGGGCAAGCAAAACATCTAATCCCTGGCGGATCCGCTGCCGCGTTCAAGACATGGCCAGGGCACGACAACCACCAATGTTTTCTCTTATGTGCCCGTTTGTTGGCCGTCGACTACTTCTGGAAATCGCTTTCTGATTGCCGGCAATGCCGTCAGCGATTCAGCACTCCCTCCGCATGGCACACAAGTTGACGCGGGTCGTGGCTTGCTTGCCGCCGCCGCAAGATGCACCCTCTCGCGCGCATCTTCTGTATCAGCCCGGTTACGGGGTTGACTGACAGGAAACTGCTGGTCCAGCAACTGATCTAGAATGAGACAAGTGCAGAGCTGCCTGCAAATATCTGCATTGGATATCTTGGCCGGATCTACCGGACCGACCTGTTTGTTACGGGCCTCTGTCTCGGATCGACCTTACTGTGCTGACCTGACAAACATTCTACCCTCTTTCTTTTTTGTTTTGGATGCTGATTCCGCCTACGGTAAAACAACAGGAACATGTCAGTAAGTAGAGACGATCATCAGCACTCCCCCGCCTAGTTCCGACTCACGTCAGTTCAAGCAAGACGTACCGGCAGTAGCCTAGTTGGAAGGTATATCGCGCTAAGTTCTACCGACTCAAGCGCTGCCAAGTAGTTGTTGTTATGTTCCTGCATGTGTATGGAGGGATCACCTGCATTTGTCGGCTCATGATCAAGTCTCTAATGATGGGCCTTTGCACTTCCCAGCAAGGAGCTCCGCGTCTGCGTGATCAAGGCCGAAAAGGCCTCTGCTGCATTTGAGTCGAATCATCCTCCCTGGCTTCGGGGTTAGATAGGTAGACCAGATCCGGCAACGAGGCTACTGCAGCTTTCCCGTGTTACGCTTCTTCTTCCCAAGAGGCAACTAGAACGGCCCAAGCTTGCCATGGCTATCATCATACTGAGGCTGAACTAGTCCCCGTCAATTGGATTTGGTTGCCTCGAACACGCAACTTCGGTGAGGTCGCCTGGTACCTTGTGGTAGAAAAGAGGGTCGAATCCTTCTCAAAAACCAGACGAGTTTTGGATCCTGCTGGGCTTCTTGTAAACGTTAGTCTCTTTGTTTTGAAGTAGTCGACTGGCAAACGAGCATCAGTCCTGGGTAAGTACAATACCCTATCGATGACTAGATACTTGTCTTTCTTCATACTTACTATCGATGCTGACTTCTGTTACAGTTTCGTAATATCATTGCTCATATGAATGACCATCGTAAGACCTGCAATTCATCTTCTTCTGCTCCCAAGGACAACCACCTCGACGTTCGTCCACTCTGCGCCAATCTTCTGTGCGAACACATCATTTCATTGCTGTACGTCTTGTCATCTTCTAGTGATCTCGCGATCAATCCTGAAACTGACATCTATCAACGTGCATAGAGGCGCTTGCAGATCCAGCTGCTCACGCTCAGACCATCAGACCTTGTGTGGAGAAAGCATCCTTGTAAGTCCTCCCTTCTGCATGACAGATGCCGAAAATCAGGAATGCATCGTTCCTCACCGCTATCTCAAATAATGTCGGCGCTTTTTATTTTTCCCTTTATCCTTCTGGTTTTGGTCTGCAGCATACCGTGCCGACTCGTATTTACGATGACAAGTCATATCTGTCTCGGAAAGAAACAAGACCATTGCTTACCATGGCTACTGTGCAGGTCCTATACATACTGGCCTGCCACATCGCATCCCAACCGCTTCTCTGATTTGTTGTTGCTTCTTTCTTGATAAGTCCAACTTTGTACAAGAACTCTGCACCCCGAACTTCTGGCAAACGCAATATATCTTGTCTGGACCGGATATCTTCTTCATCTCACACTTCAGATCGTGGCGTCTTTTGGGCCTCGGATCTAAATTGCTTTTGTCAAAATCGCAATAGCTTGCTGCACCTCGGACACAGCCGCTGAACCGGTCTGTTCGGTCAACAAATCACCAGCACGACTTAGGACAAAGTTTAGAAAAAGCCAAAGGCTAAAGCTGACAAGCTTTTTGAGAATAACTGGTAAGTCACGACTTTTGATATTTACATGTTCGTATCAGTTCTGTCCCAGCACTGGGTTTTGCGGTGGTGGATGACGGTTGCCCTCCGATCCTTGACATGCAGTTTGATCTGGCGCTGATGAGCAGCTGCGGCACAGCAGCCCCACTTCCTGCACGCAGATAGCATCATCAATCTGTTCACATGAATCTGGTCGCGTCGATGAATTCTGGTATGCCTTTTTCCCTTTCTTTACTTGTCTGAGCTTTGCACCGTATCAGTTTGAGGAAACGTCGCCGATGTCTTTTGTCGCGATCATTTACGATTCCACAAAGCTTTCATCATTGCCCTTTCTTCAACATTAGGAGCTGCGTGTCTCTGGAATTCTACGGTCTAGCCCATTCTGTTGTACAGCGGAGGTTCTTCACTGCCTTGTCTTAGCCAAAGTATGCCAGGCAGCGTCAATAGCAGGCTGTCGAAAACCTTTGGTTGGACCATTAGTCTTGATGGGAATGCTAACACTTGATTTCGTCAGGCACAGCATTCTTGCATCTACGGCACGATTTTTCACTGCCGCCAGACCAAGAATGTCTTGAGCAACTCGGAGTTCATGCACATCAGCCTAGCTACCACAGTTCCGGAAGCGTCGATCCTCTCCGACGTGACGACGGCTTGGGACATTCGAGTGCCAGCATGTTTTCACTGTCCAACAACTTCATTACAGATCGATCGGTAAATACCACTGACCAGTAAGTGTCTATCTTTCTTATCCGCAGGTCACATGAGTTGTGCATCCTTGACCCCTCATCTCGTGCTGCCGCGATGGTTGGAGATTTTGCCAGCCTAAAAATGATTGGTCTGGCGTGGTTCTCTGTAAAAGAGACGCTCCCTGACCTACGAGTCTGACGAGTCTGCCGCTCATTATTCGAGCATACCTTGCCCGGTACAATGACAGTGACTTGCCGCGAATCACAAGCCTGGGGCTGCAGTTACAGGTCCGCGGTTGCTCATGCACGTTTCTTCCCAACATTATATTCTGCGCGCGCTGTCAGCCTCATGTCGCACATGCAAGCCTTCTACTGCACTGCGTACCTCCCTAAACTCTTAATCTTCTCCTCGGCGATATGGCAATCTTCAAAAACAATGACTGACAGTCTTGCAGCGAAAGGTATCACCCAAGTGCGACAAGCTTCGCTGCCGCTGCCGGAGACAGTTCTGGTTCAATTTCAACCAGTCCCAGCTCTGCCACGTCCTCACTAGCCTATACTGCAAACTACCCAAATCATTACACAGCGTACGCCGCGCCTGTCGCACCTGTCCAACATTTCGTCAACCATTCTGGACTAAGTGGACGCATGTGAGTTTGGACCCTGCTCCCATTATCTGACATGCCTTAACCAGCATCTCAATGTTTATTCATTGATGATCCATTCTTGACGTTCGCTAACACACAAGACCTTGTAGCCTGGATGACCCAACCCAAGGACTTGCTGCCTGGCGATCTCCAGCCCCAGCTCTAGGTCACTCATTGTCGCCATCTACAACCAGCATCGCCACTCGAGACTACATTCACACAGGTAACCTTCCTAACCCAAGTCACCTCTCTTCTCCTCCAGCTTCCACCTACACTGGGTACTCAGGGACTCCACGTTCGTTGACTGGCATCGCAACCCCCCTCTCTCCGTCTTCAAACCCGCTTCTGTCGGCTCAAATGGCTTCCTTGAGCACCACTGGTTATGGAACGCATCGAAGCGAATGTCAAAACTTCCCTTGGGTACAGCACGAGAGTTTTCACAATCTCGAATGCGAGGGTCAGGAAGTTGTTCCTCGGATTCATGCAAAGATGGAGAAGGGTTTCTTCCTATCTCCTGACAGATCCTGGACATGTTATCGACGTAACTACTTCTCTGTCACTTGCTCGTTCGAGCTAACGCCGCACATTGGCAATGGAAGACTCTGTCTCAATGGTCAAAGAGTCCAGGCTATGGGTATGAAGCTGACTGCAGCCGTCGACGGACAGACCGGAAAAGGTGTTGAGCTCATTCAACATACACCCAAGCGCGACCGAGGCCCCAAGAACGCGATCCCAATAATCAAGATATCACCAACTCCGCCGAACGGACGTCCTGCCGAGTCAACTCTCAGTCCACATGGCGTTTACCATGTACCAATGTCTTCGTTCCATGCCACCGGTGTTCCCACTGGCCCTCACCTTCCCTTTCAAAACACGCGCGATGACTCTCCTGCATCAAGTCGTTCGACCTCCCCTACTGGCCGAAGACATGAGTACACCTTTGGTCATCTTGCCAGCAGTCAATTGCCTATGCCAGGCCAGAACATCCAGCATACCTTTGAACGCGTGCAATTCAAATCGGCGACGGCCAACAATGGCAAGCGAAGAGCATCTCAGCAATACTTTCACCTGATGGTTGAGCTATGGGTTGACGTCCGCGAAGATGAGACAAGGAAACCAAAGTGGGTCAAGATTGCTTGCGCAATCAGCGATAAGGTGGTGGTGCGCGGCCGAAGCCCCAGCCATTACAAGGCCGAAAACCAAGGTGGTGGTTCTTCATCCACAGGCCGTGGTGGAAGCACCGGAGGCTACGGTAATTCGGGCGGAAGCTACGGCGGCCTGAGTCGTGGTAGTTTCAGTGGAACTGGCTATGCCACTGGACCAGGTAACACTGGAGGATTCCGTGCCAGTCAACAATACCAGACAGCAGCCTCGCCTGAGCAAGGGTATTCTTCCAGTGCCGGATCGAGTGTGGCTGAAGCTGTCGACATCAAGCACAATCTCGAAGCCGAGCCCACTCACGACGAGGACATAACCATGCAGGACTTTGCTGGATACCAGTACATCCCCACAACCTTATACGACGGTGTCTCTGTGCAAGGAAAAGCAGACAGCTCGAACACAAATTCGGGAGCCGGACAAACTGGCGATAAGAAGTTCCCACTCCGCGACGAGTATCCCGAAGCACTACCGGGAACACAGTGGAGCATGGGTAACTGCAATCGTTTCCAGGGGGTGGAAAGCAGTCGCGGATACTACCCAGCTTTCAGCACCACTGGATTTTGAGATGGTATGTATGAGCCAGCGGGCCTGGTAATCAGTAGCGTGGGTTGGCTTCTTTCTCTTTACTGTTCTTCTGTTCATGACGGATGTCATTTCCTTGGACAAGCTTCCTTTGTCACAACGACGATCTTTTTCATCGGGGCATGGGGTCAATGGGGTAGGTAAGGGGGTAGGTAATGGGGTATGTGCAGGGAAAAAGAACAAAAGGAAAATGGCGTTTTGAGAGGCACTGAAGGATTGGCCAAGGATGATGATACCCTTCTGGTCTTTTGGGCAGTACAGCATGCAGAGGCGAAAGGGGACTCATGGCTCACGGAACATGATGATGAGACTTACGACGGGGGCAGCGCTGATGTAGTTTATGTCTCACAAAATGCATCAGACACAAGGTGTCTATAATATTGATTGCCTCTCAAGGAATACTATGGATACAAATGTTGGGCAAGTGAGAGCAGCGATCATGACATGACGCCGATGTTGAGAGTGAGGCTGTTAGGCTAGAGTGTGGTACTTGAGGGTGAAGTCGGGAGATGGAAGCTTCCAGAAACAGCGGCTCAAGACACGGCGACCTTTGGGCGGCGGGCAAAAAAGAGTTTCGGGAGCGTTTGACAAGAGTCATTTTGTCGAACGCTAGAGCCAGCGCGAGCCAGATGTTCCCAAAAGTCTTTGGCAGAACAACCTCATCGCCGTCCTTGTCGACTCCTACGCCGAGAGCCAGAGCCAGCGCCAGTCAATCCGACCAGGCACATCCTCCCGCCAGAGACAGTCCCGAGCCACGCCCATCCTCGGCCTCTCAGCGCCCAACCTCCAGTCGTACCACGAGCCGCGCGCTATCCCGATCTCCGGAGAAAAAACAGAGTGCCAAACCCGACAAAAAGTCGTCCCTGTTGCGCTCGCCCAAGAAGAAGGAAAGAGCACACGACCCCGACACACACCCGCTCAACCTTCCTCCCCAAGAGCGCGCTCGACTCTCGAGACTGGCTGCCAGAATGGATCAAGAAAAGCAGCAGACCAACGGCAATGCCGCTGCCGACACGCCCGCTCAAAATGGCGATACCGCTCCTGTCCCTCCACCACACAAAACTCCCACCACTCCTCCACCAAGCACCGAGGATGCTGAGGCTTTCAAGGCTGCTGGAAACAAGTATTTCAAGGCAGGAGATTACACCAAGGCTATTGCAGAGTACACAAAAGGTTGAGCCTCTCGAAACAAGCTTCTCTCTGGTTGCGTGCATGCTGACATATTATCCATCTCAGCCGTTGAGGCTGATCCCAAGTCTTCGACGTACAGATCCAACCGTGCTGCGGCTTATATGTCTGCTGGAAAATACATTCAAGCCTTGGATGACTGCAAAGAAGCTGATGAGCTGGACCCGAACAATGCCAAAATTTTGCACAGAATGGCACGTATCTACACGTCTTTGGGCCGACCCAGAGAAGCGCTTGAAACCTACGATCGCATTGACCCTCCTGCATCGCAAAAAGACCGCCAACCTGCCGTTACCATGAACCGTCATCTTTCTGAAGCCGAAGAACAGATTCGCGATTCCACCTCTGGTTCCATGGCTATTTTCGCCCTTGACCAAGCTGAGAAGGGTCTTGGATCTACTGTCACAAGACCACGAAAGTGGGCTCTGCTCAGGGGTGAGGCATACCTGAAAATGGGCAACGTGAACGCCTTGGGAGATGCACAAAACATCGCCATGTCCTTGTTGCGCAACAACAGCGCCGATCCTGAGGCCCTGGTGTTGAGAGGACGCGCTCTCTATGCACAGGGTGAGAACGACAAGGCTTTGCAACACTTCAGACAAGCCATTAGCTGCGATCCTGACTTCAAGGATGCCGTCAAATATCTGCGTATGGTGCAAAAACTTGACCGCACAAAGGAAGAAGGAAACAACTACTTCAAGTCTGGAAAGTACGAACAAGCTGTCGAGACTTACACCTCTGCTCTCGAGATCGATCCCCAAAATCGTGGCACAAACTCCAAGATCTTGCAAAACCGAGCGCTCTGCTACACTAAAGTACGTATGACCCGGCCTTTTGACTCTACCCTAATCTAACAACATGTACAGCTCAAGGAATGGCAAAAAGCAATCGAGGACTGCGAACGTGCATTGAAACTTGATCCCAGCTATACCAAGGCTCGCAAGACAAAGGCCAAGGCATTGGGTGAGTCTGGCAACTGGGAGGAGGCCGTCAAGGAATTGAAGGCTATTGCCGAAAGCAACCCCGAAGAACCTGGTATCGCAAAGGAGGTCCGTAACGCTGAGCTCGAACTCAAGAAGAGCAAGCGCAAGGACTACTACAAGATTCTTGGAGTCGAGAAGGATGCCGACGACAACCAAATCAAGAAGGCTTACAGGAAGTTGGCTATCATCCACCATCCTGACAAGGTTTGTGATTGCCATGTCCAAGATCAATACGAAAGCTAATCGTTTCAATAGAACCAAGGAGATGAAGCTGCAGCAGATCGCTTCAAGGATATTGGTGAAGCCTACGAAACTCTGTCAGACTCTCAGAAGCGCGCTCGTTACGATAGTGGTGAGGATCTCATCGACCCCTCGGAACAGTTTGGTGGAGGTGGCTTTGGCGGCGGCATGGGTGCACAAATCGACCCCGAGGTCCTCTTCCAGATGTTTGGTGGACAGATGGGCGGCGGTGGCTTCGGTGGAGGTGGCTTTGGCGGCGGCATGGGCGGTGGTGCCCGTAGAGGTGGTGGTGGCTTCCCTGGAGGATTCCACTTCGGTTGAAGAATGCCTCGAACTCGAAACACCCTCGGCCAGGTCTCCCTTCATTCGACTCACCGGCCTTCTTTCTCGAAAAGAGGTTGCTCAAACCTCTCCGACGTCTTGTCTCGACATCTATACCGGCTGGTTCGTTCTCTTTCGACTCTCTCTTTTGACTAGTTCTTTTTGGCATGACGGAGCGAGCAAGGAACAGAATTGTTTGAGGCGTTGCATATGGACTGGAGTTTTGACACTCTTTGCAAAAGTTGCAAGACCTGGGTATAGACTGTTTTGCGCTTCGTCCTATACAAGCCACTGCGAAGGAGTCTCATTCGGGACCTATAAGTTCAGACCAGATACGTACATGTAATACCTGCAGGAGTACTCGAGGTCTTGACAGCTCTGTGTATGTTTCAGCCGCAGACTTCGAAAGTGTTCTATCGATAACTCTCAATGCATATGCCCCACCTGTTTTCACATTTGCTGCGACGCGGGTTCTTAACCGCTCTAGCCAACAGTTGAGAACGATGCCGCATTCAGAAACGGTTGAACGAGGCCGGCAAGAAAAGAAGTGGAGAGCGGAGCCAGAACCAGTTGAACAGCAACCATGGTCCCCACTGTCTGATGGCAACACCACTCGCACAGTGAAGAATCAATAGACCAAGGCGTATATGCTGATCGCATGCAATTTTACGACATGAAGAGCGAGTGAAATGGACAGTGACAGGGAAAGAGGCAAAGGGCGATTGCGTACTCTTTCACGAACGACACGTAGCATTGTAGATGACAGCAGAGGCTGGTGGGCGGAGAAAGCCAAGCCGAAGGAAGTATGGAATGTCACTCGCAAAGGGACTTGGAAGTCAGAAAAGGACGTTTCGATCACGAGTTCACGAATTGTGGCAGAGCAAGACAATATCTCGTCATGCACTTGACGACATGTCGACATGAGTCCCTGTTTTTTTCTGCCGTTGTACAGTCTGTACAAGATGTCATGGTATGAGCATGGCAAGAGAGGTTATGAGCGTCTAGACGGTGATGGAGAAGATGAAACATAATCTTTGATGGCGCCTCGTACAGGCATACGGATTGGCGCATCTCGGACCCTCGATCGGCATGTTTGTGTCCGACGTTCCGGGTGTAATCTCATGACGACGCACAGACGACGACACAGTCTAGGCGAGGTATGGAATGCCGTAGAGAGCAATGCTTGCGTGGCTCAGGTGCCGAAAACGGTACAATAGAGGGGTTTGGACGACATGTCTCTGCGAGACTTTTATCGCGCTGACAGGGCTGTGCCTGTGCCTTTAGGCTGGTGACAGTCTTGCAGGCGACCAGAAGCGCATCTCTCCTTAACGTCGGCCTGCCTTGTCGTCCTAGCGTGCTGCTCTCAATCTTGATAATTTCTTGTCACTCCTTCATCTGCTTCAGCCTCATTATTCCCTCCTTCCTTCCTTTTTCCTGCCCACGCTCCTTTGTGTCCTCTGCCTTCTCCAATTCTGGCTACAACATTCATCAGCCCTGCTCATCCTTTGGACAAGACATCTACACCGCATTCGTACTGACTCGAGAGGTCTTGGTCGTCCTTGCCAATCTGGGGTCAGCCAACGAAAAGGCGCAGCACCGACAAAACATCACCACCAGCCAACAAATCGCTGCTCCCTCCCTCTCTTCCCCTGCTCGGTCGCAATTGACCTGAATTTCTACCGCCATCATGCGCAGACCTGTGCTCCTTTTCCTCATCCTCAACCTTGCCATCGTCGCCTTTCTCATCCATTCGGTCTGGACCCTGCTATCTCTCCTAGTCGTCGACGGCTCTGAAGATGCAATCTCGCGTGCCGAGCTCCCTGCTCCTGGCTCCGATCTGATCGACGGTCGCCCACAGATGATCCCCAAAATTATTCACCAAACATACATCAACGAGAGCATTCCAGAAGTCTGGCAGGAACCTCAAAAAAGCTGCATCGAATTGCACAAAGATTGGGAATACAAGCTGTGGACCGATGCTGCCTCACGCGAATTCATCGCTGCAGAGTATCCTTGGTTCCTCGAGACCTTTGACAACTACGAATTCCCAATTCAGCGCGCTGATTCGATCCGCTACTTTGTGCTTGCCCACTACGGTGGTATCTATCTCGACCTCGACGATGGCTGCAACCGTCGTCTTGACCCTCTGCTTTCCTACCCGGCTTGGTTGCGCCGCACTCTGCCTACTGGTATCTCCAACGATGCAATGGGTTCTGTCCCTCGTCACCCTTTCTTCATGCGTGTCATTGACGACCTACCTCGCTACAACCGCAAGTGGGTTTTGCCGTACATTACCGTCATGGCTTCGACTGGTCCGCTCTTCCTGAGCATCATTTGGCGCCATTGGAGCTCCGAAGGGCTCAATGATGGCGATGGTCTCGATGGAGGCAGAGTTCGAATTTTGTTCCCTGACGAGTACAACAACCACCCCTGGAGCTTCTTCACTCACCATCTTGGCAACTCATGGCATGCAGGCGATGTCAAACTCATCTTCTGGGTACGTTAAATTCCAACTAACGCTTTCGCCAAATCAACCACTGACATTTTCAAACAGATGCTGAAACACTGGGTGATGCTCACCGTCATTGGCTTCCTGACAGCAGGCGTTGTCTTTGCCGTTTCTTACTACCTCTACAACCGCTTCTTCGTCTCCCACAGGCCTTGGCCCGTGTCGGTGCGCAAACGCTTCCCCATGGGCTTGTTCAGACGCCTTAGCAGCGGTAACGTGACATCGAAGCAACGACAATCTTATGAGCTCGTCCGACGTGACGAGGAAGACGCCATGTAAATCAATGCTCAACATGCCTCTAGCATGGTTGCATATTCTCATTGTTTCACGTTATCACCATCAGCATCATCAGCATCATCATCACTACTGCATGTAGAAGAAGCTCCACATTGGATTTAGCGACGGAGTTTGCATAAGGGGGATACACCTTTGGAGTTTTGTTAATTCTTCCTCTCTTGATATGCCTCGAGACGCATCTGAGGTTTATGAATAAATACATTTTAATGTTCAAAATGCACAATTTGTTCGCAAAAACAACGATTCGTCCTTAAATCTTTATCGCACATCATGTCTTGAATGCCGTGCATGTTGCAAGGTATGCCTCGAATTTTGAGTGACTATGGATTTGTCTCTGCCCATCTTACCCATCTCCTGACCACCTCATCCACAGCAGCCACGCCTTCTGCCGTCGCCTCAATCTCAAACCATTCCTTGTGTTCACGGCCACAAGCCTTGCAATCACGTTTTATCCTCTTGTCTCCCAATTCAAGGTGCACCAGTCTCTCGACCCGGTGTGCATGAGGCACTTTGTGGACTTGTTGATTCGAGTTGTTGGCGGTTGTCCCTCGTGAGGGTGAAGGTGATGGAGAAGACGAAGAGATGTAGGGATAGAATCGAACGAGACTGAGGTTGTAGCCGCATTGTCTGTTCCACTCGTTCATGCGGCGATGTACATTGTTCGCTCTGCCAATCTTCAGTTTGATTGTCCTGGTGGCCCCTTTGCTTGCGGTGTATGCGCTCATCACATCGCTGGGTCGCCTTTGCCCTCGTGAGGATGATACTGTGGTGGAGAGTAGTGAGGCTGCGGTGTCGTTTGAAGGTGTCGAAGATGTCTCGGTCAGCCAGAATATATAGATGTAGCCCGCTTCGTCGTGAGGTGAGATTGGTTTGGCAAGCTCGGTGAGCAGAAGAGAGGCAGTTTGGGGTGGAAGGTGGCCAGGGATGAAGGGGAGAAGTTCAATAGTACTAGTAGGTGCGGAGGATGCTCTGCGTTTGTTGATGGATGTGGAAGGGACATCTAGGAGTGGTTTGCGTGGTGGTAGGCCAGTTGTTGATGCTGCGTGTGGTAGAGGAGCCGGTTGCTGAGGACGGCCAGTATTGTGCTTGTAAGGTGTGGGTCGAGAATGGGCAGGTAGAGGATATGCTGGTGATACAGGATTGGCTACTTGTGTTGTCTCTGGCCGAGGTGCGTGATAACTGGGCCGTACGGTGTCTTCGTCATCGTCTGCCGCACCTATACAACACAATGATGCCCAGAATCCTTGCCTCGGCTTGGGCCTTGTGTAAGCTTGTGGTCTTGTTGATGGTCGTGCGTCCGGTCTCGAGTATTGTTGATGATATTGCGCTGGTCGTCTGCGGTCCTCACGAGGGTTCTTTGCAGGCTTTGGCGGATCCTGGATGGATGCAACTCCCAACCTGGCGACCAGACTATCGATACTCGTCCTTTCTTGAACCGGTAGCAATGTTGCATTCACAGCATGCGGCGAAGTTGAATGCTTCTGAGCAAATGATTGGGCTTGATCCTTGTGTTGCCAGCAGTAAAAAGCGGCCGCATCCAGATTTCCATCGTCGTCTTGGAGGACAGCAACGACGCCTCTCGAGGCAGTGTGACGAGCAGCAGCCGGCGGAGACTTGGGTGAAGACTTGGGCGAGGCAGCAAGTGACCTCCTACATGGCTTTCCACCTGATGTTATGCCACGACATGTTGTTGCCGGGTTCTTCGAGTCTGATCTCTGAACGAGCGACTCGGGAGTGCGGTCTTGGAAAGACATCGTCGACAGAGCACAATCACAGCGTGTATAAATAAAACCAGAGTCAAGAATCGAGCCTGATATACAAGACCTACATTGTTGGCCTATTTTAGGTGCTTCACAGACCTGACGTTTTTGACGTGGCTGGGAAGTGGCTGCGCAAGCATGGAGCAATTTCAACGTGCACAAATGCAAGATGCTATGACCAGTAGAGGTATGGAGGCCTAAAGTCGTCACTTCATTCTGAGGGTCACACAACTGCTCGTAGTGAAGCGAGCGCCGAGCTTCATGTCGGGCAGTGGGAGAGCAGGAGCGAATGCACAAAGTCTTGGAAGTCGTCGGAGAGACAGTCACTGTCACAAGCGGCGACTCGGAGAACGTCTGTTGTTGAGCCCGCAGCGGCCAATCATGACGCCTGAAGATTTTGCAAAAGGAAGCAGCAACCGCCACTGCCTGCCAGATACAAGTAGACGAGCATACGAAGTTAGAAAGCAAAATCATTCTCTCATTTGCTTTGGAGTTTTTCGAGAATAATTTATTCCATATTGTTTCGTGGTCGTCCGTGGTCATCAATCAACAAAGGACCGCACTGCACTGTCTGGCTGACGTAGAATCTTCCCCACCAAATCGGCACCAAAATCCCAGCTTCAACCAGACTTTTTTCCTCTCCCTCTCTACCCACCACCCCCCTCTTTGAAACCCATACTCAGCAGCATCCACCATGGTTTCTGCATCCAAAGCCGCCCGTGACGCAAAGCGCGCCGAAGCCGGCAAGGCTCCCAAGAAGACTCTCGCCCAGAAGAAGGCTGAGAGAGAGGCCGAGAAGTCGGGCACCAGCACCCCTCTGATCGATGCCGACGGCCAGGAGCTCGACGCCGATGGCGTCAAGGCCATGGAGAAGATCAAGAAGCTCGAGTTGCAGGAGGACGCTGAGGGTATCTCGGACAGAGTCACAACCGGTGTTCTTGCATCCCAGGAGGCCAGCAGAGACGTCAAGATCACCTCGGCCTCGCTCGTCTTCCACGGAAAGGTCCTGTTCAACGACACCACTCTCGAAGTCAACTATGGCCGTCGCTACGGTCTGTTGGGTGAGAACGGTTGCGGAAAGTCGACCCTGCTCAAGGCCATCAACGCCCGCGAATTCCCCTTCCCCGACCACATCGACATCTACCTTCTTAACGAGGGTGCCCCTCTGACTGATCTTGGTGCCCTCGAGTGGGTCGTCAGACAGGCCGAGGAGGAGCTCGCCCGTCTTGAGAGACTGGTCGAGAGCATTCTCGAGGAGAACGGTCCCGAGGACCCCAGACTTGAGGAGATCTACGAGGTAAGAAGCAGCCGTTTTCCACAAGGCATAGTACGCAGACTAACACAACGTAGCGCATGGACGGCATGGACCCCTCGACCTTCCAGACCCGTGCATCCCTGATCCTGACTGGTCTTGGTTTCAACAAGAAGACCATCCACAAGAAGACCAGAGACATGTCTGGTGGTTGGCGTATGCGTGTTGCCTTGGCCAAGGCTCTCTTCGTCAAGCCTTCGCTCCTTCTGCTCGACGACCCCACTGCCCATTTGGATCTCGAGGCCTGTGTGTGGCTCGAGGAGTACATGAAGAAGTGGGACCGCACCCTCATCCTCGTCTCTCACTCGATGGATTTCCTCAACGGTGTCTGCACAAACATGATCGACATGCGTCAAAAGCAGCTTATGTACTACGGTGGTAACTACGACTCGTACGCCAAGACCAGAACTGAGCAGGAGGTCAACCAGCAGAAGGCATACGAGAAGCAGCAGGACGAAATCAAGCACATCAAGAAGTTCATTGCTTCCGCCGGTACCTACGCCAACTTGGTGCGTCAGGCCAAGTCGCGCCAAAAGATTCTCGACAAGATGGAGGCCGATGGCTTCATCCAGCCCGTCCACCAGGACAGAGTCTTCTCCTTCCGCTTCGCCGACGTCGAGAAGCTCCCTCCCCCAGTTCTGTCGCTCGACGACGTCACCTTCTCCTACTCTGGCAAGGAGGAGGACAACCTGTACGAGAACCTCGACTTCGGTGTCGACATGGACTCGCGTACTGCTCTTGTCGGCCCCAACGGTGTCGGCAAGTCCACTCTTCTCAACATCTTCACCGGCAAGCTCAGACCTACCAGCGGTGTTGTCTCTCGTCACACTCACTTGAAGCTCGGTGTCTACTCTCAGCACTCTGCTGAGCAGCTTGTTCTGACCAAGTCTTCCCTCGACTTCGTCCGCGACAAGTTCCCCCACATCTCTCAGGACCCTCAGTACTGGAGACAGCAGCTCGGTAAGTACGGTCTCACTGGTGAGGCCCAGACCGCCCTTATGGGTACCCTTTCCGAGGGACAGAAGAGCAGAATCGTCTTCGCTCTTTTGGCCATCGAGTCTCCCAACATGATCCTGTTGGACGAGCCTACCAACGGTCTCGATATCCCCACCATTGACTCGCTCGCCGATGCCATCAACGCCTTCTCCGGTGGTGTCGTCGTCGTCTCTCACGACTTCAGGTACGTTCAACCATGAAAATTTTACAGATGAACAAGTGACTAACATTTTATTACAGACTTCTCGACAAGATTGCCAAGGACATCATGGTCTGCGAGCACAAGACTGTCAGACGATGGGAGGGCAGCATCGGCGAGTACAAGAACTACTTGCGCAAGAAGATGTTGGCCAACAACTCTGTCTAAGGGTCACGACAATTTTCTCTACGATCAAGAACAAAAAAGATACCCGACCCGGTGTTGGTTTACCTCGTCACGAATGTTTTGATGCCAAAGAATGGGAAAAGAGTGATGAGGTTTCTGGAAAAGGGACAAACATGGACGTTTAATAGAGTCCGCTGTTGACCTTTTCTTTTCAGCCGGAAAAAGCATAGAAGATTGTTTTTCTTACTCCATCCCGTCAGGACTTCCTAGCGGGCATTTTTTCTCAGGCGTGGATCTAGTTTTGTTAGAAAGACAATGGATGGCGTTTGTTTCTTTTCAATGATTCTCGAAGTATTTCACTGCCTATTTTCTACTGCCTACTTGTCCCATCCCAGAGTGTTGTTTCTCTCGTGTCCGGGACATCCTTCTCTTCCTCTTTCGTCGTGTACATCGTGATATTAGGCCAAGGAGTCGATCGATTGACTCAGACTACTGTTCTTTTGTTTGTGTCAGAGTTGGAGAGCGTATGAGATCTAAGCAGAGAGTATAGTACCCTCCTGGCGGCTCTTCAAGTACTCCTTTCTGTAGGTGTTCTCGTCGGTCTCTGCACCACGCTGCAGCGGCGTCCACTTGGGCTCGTCCTTGAACAGTCTCATGGCCTTGGTGTACTGCATGGCAATTGTAAGCATATCTTCCCTTCTTCTAACCCTAGGTATGGCAAGCGACTCACATTCTTGTCATCAGTAGTGAAACGGTGGTAAATACCCGCAGGCATAATGGCCAAATCACCCTTCTCCAGCCTCAAACGAATCCAATCGTCACCCTCGCTTCTGACATCAAAGTAACCCGCGCCATCCAGAATGTATCTGATCTCTTCGTCTTCGTGCAAGTGCTCGTGGAAGAAGATCTTTACTTTTTCTTCGTAGTTTGGCAGAGTGGTGGGGGAGATGGTGACTTCGTCGCGGTTCTTGTAGTTGCGGGCGGATGCGAGTTCGTTGACAGAGTCGAGAGAGGGATAGTTGTGGCAGATGATGCCGAGTTTGGAGAGGTCGGTGGGGGTGACGGGGCGGCCGCTGTCGTGGGGGAGGCGTTGGTCGCCCTGGTTGGGGTTGTTAGAAGGGGTCTTGAGGTGCAAGGAGAACGACTTACCTCAATGTTGTCGTACCAGTATGCCTTCATGGTTGCTGTTTGGTTGTGGTGTGATTGGAATGTTTGGTGAAAGTGATGGTGGTGGGGTTGCTTGGAAATTCGAGGTCGGCATGGTCAGCGGAGCACGTCATTTTCTTGCCGTCCTCGGTGGAGAACTTTACCAGAGTCAACCATCACATCTCGGGAATGACATACTTATGCCATCTGGATCAATTTGTGATGCTGGCTATGTGTCTAAGCAGAGAAGGAGATGTACTTCATGCTTTGGAGATGGAGAAAGGAGCGAGCAGTAACGAATTTATTTCAATTGCAGTTTTGTTCATCTTACGAATCAATCATCAACCTCTCGAGTACAGAGTACAGGCCGTCAACATTTCTTTGTCACTTTCCATGCACCGATCCCTCTTCTTCCGACCATGCGCTTCAGAGTCGGCCAAACACCATCGTCGCCAAAGTCCATGTCATCAAGGTTGAGGTGGTTTCTATAACGCCAAACTTCTTCGAGTGCGATCTCAGAGCTTTCCAAAGATGTGCTGTTTTGTGTAATATACGCATCAAGGAATGTCGCACTGAGCGGTGCCAGTAAGAGCGTTGCGGATTCGGCATCGCACTCAACCTTGGACTCTAGCTCTTCTATGAGCTTGTCGCCACGCATGCCCATGAGATCTCTGGTGTTCAGACCTTGATGGTTTTCACCAAGAAGGTAGGTTGGTGGACTGTACGTCTTCCACCAAAAGGCTTGCTGGATTCCCTGTTGTTTGCCAACCCAGAGCTGCGCTGGCACTACGCCACCTTGATGGAAAACGCCCATCAATAGGCCTAGACAAACATTAAAGATTATCCAAACAGTGATCCAGACGTTTCGCATACGCCGTGGCACACTGATGCTGGATAGAACCAGAGGGACTGCTGGTAACAAAAAACGTGCTTCTTGATGTTTGAGACACGACAGAGCCAAGATACCGAATCCTGCAGAGTACATCGGTATTCCCATTCGACATGAGAAGAAAACCAGGGGAAGTGCAGGTCCAAGCAATTGTGGCAAATTGGCAACTACATGCTGATAGTATGGGTGCAGACCGTGTTTGGCAAGATTGCTGCTGTCCATGTTGTAGAGGAAGTTGTTGAGAGGCGTGATGATGGCGATTTCGCGTAACTGTGACAAGTGTACTCGTTGTTGGAGGAACCACTCAGTGTCAGTAACAACAGCAACCAGTAGTGTTGCTGCTGCCGTTACAATCATTACCAGAAGTGAAAGAGGCCTATTCTAGCGATTAGATTATATGTATGAGGTATGACCTTGGAAATGATTTACCTGTGACGGAAATGCGGGATCAACTGCAGAAGGGGTATCAAAACAAAAGGTGGGAAGGTGATGCGATTGAAAGTGCCTAATACACACAAGAAGGCAAGGAGAGCAGAAGGCAGAACACGGGTATGTGACTAGACTGAGGTCAATACGGCTTTGATTGTAGTACTGGCTGGTGGACATACTTTGTCCTCCTTGATACGATTGATCAAGACCAAGCACCACAGCACAATCAAGGTCTCGACCGAGTTTGAGAAGGTATGGTTTTGAAAGGTCCATGTAACATAGGACGAAGCGACCAGCATTTGGGCCACACGACGTTCCTTGGGAACATGGACGAGTTCATCAAGAGCCCAGTCCTCAAGCACGAAGCTCAAGACAAACATCAAGGCACGCAAAGTGTAGTACACAGTTGCAGGTGAGATGTGATGATAACCGATGCCGTCACAGATCCATTTCAGCAGAGTCAAGGGCAGGCCATAGAAGATCTGAAGAGGGAACACACTACGGATTGGGCTGTCCGAAGTGAATTCCCAGGTCAAGTGGGAAGCATATCCAAAAACGCGACCTATTCACGGGGTGAGTGGCGCGAGATAGTTTGATATCTACAGGGGCGACATACCTGCGATGACCTCTGGTCCTTGGAAATGCTCATCCGGGTGGATGTAGCTGGGGGACAAAGCCAGGTAGAGGCGTAAAACGACCAGAAAGAGGTATGTTCGTCTCCACATGGTTGGAGGCCTACAACACTCTGACTGAAAGCGAATCACAGGACAAGACGATGTGTCTTGCCATCAGCAGCCAAAACATATCATGGGCTCATTTCAGACCGCCCCTAATTTGGTTTCAGAGTCGTGCACGGTCACGTGAGAATTGCGAGCTGGACAATTGCATGAGTATAGCAACTACAGAAGGAATCTGGGATGCAGCTGATTGTCTGTTTGATTGACTTGAGTCTGTTGCGTTTGCTGTGTTCTTTGACACGGACGGCGGGGATGAACGTCAATGCCGGGTGAAGCTATCGGTTTGGCCACCGGCGACTACTACCTACTCGTTTGACGCTGGCAATGGGGTGAAAGCATATCGGAGAATAACAATCACAGCAATAGCACATGAGTAATAGCACACAATATTGCGATAGAAGACACGCCAATGGGTTTTGGCAGAAAGCTAGGCAGACAGTGAAGATGAGCAACAAATAGCAACTAAAAACTCGATACGGTCTCACAGGCAGATTCAAGACACAGTGAGGCAGGCGCAAACTGCGAGAAGGTCTGTGCCGCCAGGCACCAAGCGCGACCACTAACTGCAGTACCAACACCCCGCGACTACTTAACTCTCACCTTCCACCACCACTGTCGTCACATTTTCCGCGACGACTCTCCATAAAGCCACGCACCATCAACACTTGTCTTCATCCACACCCACACCACACACAACCATCTACAATCCATCACAACATGGCTTCCACCGATGAGCAGAAGATCATCCTCGTCAGTTCCGATGGTGTCAACATCCAGACTGGTATGCGCACTCGCTCTTCGTCCATCTCTACTTGCTCTGCTAACGCACATTGTAGACCGCATCATCGCCGAGCGTTCGATGCTCATCAAGAACATGATCGAAGATCTTGGTACCCCCGGCGAGGAGCCCATCCCCATCATGAACGTGAGTCTCATCCCCACCATCCCTCAACATCTTCCAGTCACTGACTCATCTTGCTCCAGGTCTCCGAAGCTGTCCTCCGCAAGGTTCTCGAGTGGTGCGACCACCACAAGAAGGACCCTCCCCCGGAGAAGGATGAGGACGCCGAGTCCCGCAAGAAGACTACCGACATTGAGGAGTGGGACCAGAAGTTCATGCAGGTCGACCAAGAGATGCTCTTCGAGATCATCCTCGCCGCCAACTACATGGACATCAAGGCCCTCCTTGACGTCGGCTGCAAGACTGTCGCAAACATGATCAAGGGCAAGTCCCCCGAGGAGATCCGCAAGACCTTCAACATCCAGAACGACTTCACCCCCGAGGAGGAAGAGCAGATCCGCCGCGAGAACGAGTGGGCCGAGGACCGCTAAACTTCTCATTCAAACTCGCCGCTTCACGACAAAGCACTCATACCCTCGTCTACCACCAATACCCACCTGCCTTGCTCAACACACTTATGGATTGCATGATGCGTTGCTCTTCAATCGAGAGTCAACACACCGGCCTGGCGTTCTCCGGAGTTTTCTTATCAAGTTTTCTGATTTCACGCGACACTTGACGATAGGGAAAGAGGCAAAGAGCAATCGGCAGTGGGGTGAATCAAGATGCTGTTTTCCCCTGCTCTTACCTGACATGAAGATATGGGGCTAGTGCATAGTTCTTCGCCAACAACACCGCCTACTTTCTATACCTCTCAAGAATTGAAGCTAGCTCGTCCAAAATACAAGCATCTCTGACTTTTTCTTGTGTTCTCTTTGCTTCGATTCCTTATATAGCGACTTGTTTCTTCACACGAACGTCCCAAGCTTGCTTTTCTCTAGCCTGCGCACGTCGTGTGCTCAACTTGTTCGCTCACATCATCCAACCAAGCAATGCAGACGTGGTTTTAGACATTCGTAAAGGATAATGAAAATATCTATATTTTGAAAAGAACAGCTTTTACAAGTGAAAGGGGTGATATCAAAAAGGGACACATGTCAAGGTTCCCAATCCGCTCCTTCAAGAAGTTCAAACCATACCAACACATGTCATAATCCACAACCCACGGCCGCCCATCTTCTAGAGGCTCCCCTAACGCCAGACTCTCCGTACATGCATGAGTCCCTTGTAATTCTGCCGCTTCATCGCGACTCTGTCGTTGCGCGTCATTGAGCCATGTCTGTTCTTCTCGCGATTCTTCTATATTTGCTTGAAAGCCATCACTTTGACTGTTCAAGTGGAGGCACAGCCATCCTGAAGCTGAGGATATCTGCTTCTCATGTCTAATCTATGACTTGAAGCTGTCCTTCATGCTCTGGCTGCTAGCACTTGTGACGGTGGTGGGAAGAGTAGGTTTGCTGCCCTTACCCTGCCAGACCTTTGCGAGAGCGTAGACAATACCGGAGATGAAACCAACACCGATAGCGCTGACGGAGGCGAAAGTAACGGGAGCGTCGAAGAAGATAAGGCCGGAAATAGCGATGGGCAGCTTGTTGAGAGCACCGACCATGGAGTAGGTGGTGGACGAGGTGACGCGAACACACCAGGCAGAGGTGTAGGAGATGAAGACTGAAGAGAGACCGGAGAAGATCATGGCAATGATGATGGAGTTGCGCTGAGCAGCAGGGAAGTTGAGGGCGACGTTGGCGCTCGACCAGTTCTCGAGGAAGAGGGAGCAAATGAGGAGGATGGGGATGGAGAGAAGGTTGTTGTAGTACATGGCTAGAGAAAGTATGGTCAGTTTTCCAAGAGTTGGTAATACAATAGAGAAACGAGAAAGACGTACTGTCAAAGTCCTTGAAGTTGGTCAACTTGATGCGCTTGCGCATACCGAGGACGTAGGTAGCGCTGCAGAAGCAGTTCAGGGCCATCCAAATGTAACCAGAGTTGAGAGTGGAAATCTTGTCGCTGGCAGCCGAGCCCGAGTGGCTGGTAAGAGCGTGCTGAATGTCTGCCCATGCAGCAATGAGAGACGAGAGAACCATGAGACCGAAGGAGAAGAGGGCAGTTCCGGTGACGCTGCCTCCAAACCACAGAACCTCACCATAAGCGATCAGGATAATGGTCAAGTTCTTGAAAATGGTGTAAACGGGGATGGAGAGGTATTGCAGAGCCTTGGTCGAGGTGTAGATCATGCCGATGAGGAGGAGGGAAATGGGGAACCCTGAGTTGGCTCAGCGTCAGTATTTGTGCTGTCGCAACAAGAGGAAGTCGGAACGTACACTTCTTTGCTTCATCGCTGTTGAAGTCTCTGTAGGTGATGATGCCGGCAGACTTGCATGACTGAATGGCGACAATGCAGACGACACTCTGGGCGAGGAGTTAGAGGTTGTTGATGAGGGAACGTGGTGGTGTGGGAGGTCGAGCTTACCTGGACAGCGAGGAGGAAAAAGTTGAGGTTGAAGTCAAGACCGCTGAGAACGTATTTATTGGTCGTGGTCATGAGAATCGAACTACCACAGTAGGCCAGGATAGCAATGACAGGGCTGTTCAGCTGCGAGGCCTGGGGAGCTGCAGGCATCCTTGGGGCAGGAGCGGCAGCAAAGGCCCCATTTCCTTTTTGCTCGCCGAGCTCGATTGTGTAGTCTTCGTTCTTCTTGTCGTCAGACATGGTTGCGGCGAGAGGTCGGGGTACGATGTGGTGTGGACAAGGACAAGAAGACAAGAAGAGAAGGTCGGCGAGAAAAAGATGGTGATGGGTTGGTTATTCGTGTCTTCAACGTTCTGGGGCTGCCGCGTCGCTCTCACACTTGACCCTTGCTCCCTGCTGTTTTGAGCCCCTGTCTGCTAAGTTATTATAAAATAAGATTTACCCATCCCACTCTTTCCGCGCGCACTCGTGTTCCTCTGAAGCCACTCGGCTCAGCTCCAGTTGACAGCGCTGTGCCCCTTTCTAAGCCATGCCATCAGCCATCGTTCGTGTCATCTCTAAGAACCGTTCCCCATCCGGACTGCCATGTTTCATAAACATAAACCATCGGATCCCCAGCTGAAGCATCAAAGTGGCTTGGCACTCCCGCAACTCTGTCTTTCGGATCTCTCTGCCGTAGCTCGCCCTAGCCCTACCCTCTAAATCATCTCATTCGAACAAAACATCTTTCCAGCTTGAGCTCCACTCCGTACTCGAACACAATACACCACACCTCACAATGTCTAACGTCGACTCCCGTGTGGCTGCTGTGTTGGATCGCAGCAACCAACATGCAGATTCCGATGACGAAGATGCCCTCATCGCCGAGCTGGAAGAAGACGAGTCTTCCATGGCTGCCTTCCGTGAACAGCGATTGCAGCAGCTGCATGGCGAATTGGCCCGCGCAAAGGCTCAGCGCAACTCCGACTACGGCACCTACACCGAGATCAAGGACGAGAAGCAGCTCATGGATATCACCACTTCGAACAAGCTGTGTGTCGTCCACTTCATGAAGCCTGACTTCAACCGCTGCAGAATTATGGATCAGAAGCTTGCCGTGAGCCCCTCCTCTGTCCTGTCACTGAGTCCTGCCGACTAACTTTTCGTCCAGGCATTGGCGCCCAAACACTTCGACACCCGCTTCCTCAGCATCAACGTCGAAAATGCCCCTTTTCTCGTCGTCAAACTCAAAATCCAAGTCTTGCCCTGTGTCCTCTCCTTTATCGACGGCGTCAGCACCGACAGAATCATCGGTTTCGAAGGCATCAGCTACAAGCCCGACTCATTCACGCTGCAGGAGCTCGAGGCCCGTCTGCTGTATGCAAAGGTTCTGGTCAGAAGCAAAATGGTTGACGAAGATGAGCATCGCTCGGGTGCTGTGCGCTCGGCCAAGGTCACTGAAGAGTACGATGATGACGAATGGGATTGAACTATAATCAGCCTTGCTTTTCTGGAATGCTGTGTCCTCGCGATTCAGATTGCACGCTACGCCATAAAAGCTGAGGAAGTGTTCTGATGGAGTCACAAAAAACCGCATTATTGCCAGCATCAACGCAGTCAGATGTCCGCGATCCCGAGGAAGCATCGAGTGCATACAAGGAAGTTTTGGGGTCAACAAATGCCTTTGAATCGGGCGTGCAGAAATCGCAAAGGTCTGTCCACCTCAGAAGTAAGCAGAGTGCGGTCGAGAAAAACATCGAAGACTCGAGTATTTCGAAGGACTATTTGCATCGTTCGGGTCGACCTGCTCCCCGTTCAACCAACAACCAGACTTTACAGCAGATCGACCCACGAGTGGGTTTACACAGGGACGGTGTACGATGACGGTGTGTGAGAGAGATCTTGTGACTGGGAGACTTGCCATAAGTCACCTCCATGAAACACCGAGACAATCAAATGAAGGCACTTTCTATACCTTTTCAATGCTCAACGCTTTTTGTCCTTTTATAAGCTCACTTGCGAGAATGTTCAGTAGCTTGTTAAGAGGTTAGATCCCGAAATTATCGCTTCCACACAAGTCTCGAAGAGGTAAGACAAGAGCAGGAAGCAACTCCTCAGCATATGGGAAGGGAACAGTATTCACAAAGTAGAAGGCACAATTTCGAAGCAAAAAAGGACGGTCAAGGGAGACATACTGCCTCGTGACTTGATTGACGTAGAACTTGTCATAACACATTTGGTTCGTTTCATATCCCGTCGCATCTACATTAGATTTTGTTCGACATCTACAGAGTCTTTTCCTTCATCTCAATGCCGTACTTCTCCTTGAGCTCCAGTCTCAGAGGCTCAACGATCTCGGGGCTCATGGGAGCAAGAACACCCTTCTGTGTGATCTTGCCTTCAAGGACCTGGAGAACGGCAACAGCACAGGGGACACCGACCAACTTGGCCATGGCGCTGTAGCCCTTGGGGTCACCGTACTCGACCAGGGTGGAAGTGCGGACCTCCTTCATGCCGTTGGCGTGAGTGATGCCGAAACGGTGCTGAAGCATGACGAGATCGCGCTCGCCCTCCTCGTATTGCATCTTCTTCTCAAGAGTGGCGCAGAGGGTGTCGAGGGGGTTGTTACGGGGCTCAACCTTCTCGTCTGAGAAGAGTCCAATCCACTTGAGACCGTTGATGATGCGCTCCTTCTGGTCGTTGTCAGCAAAGCTGGTCTTGGAGCCGATGGCCCAGACGAGGTCGTCCTCGGCGTGGCTGCTACTGCCCAGGATTTGGGCGGTAGCCTCTCTCCAGGTAAGGGCAGGAGCTTCGGGGTGAGGCTTGAGGAATTCCTTCTCGGTGTCTTCCAGGAAGCCCATGTCAACCAGAGTCTTGATGAACTCGGGGAAGCCTTGGTAGCGCAGAGTACCACGGATGATAGTCTCGGCCTCGGGAATAGCATAGCGTTCTCTGTAAGGGGTAGAGTCACGGTTGGGGTATGCGACAAAGGCGTAACCAGGGTAGATGAAGTATGGCTTAGCAGTGGCCATAAGCTCGGGGCCAGCAACCTCGACGATCTTGTCATCCTGGAAGTAGCTTGCCTGGTTGCGGAGGGCGAGCAGGACACCGCGGCTGCTCCATGAGAACTTGTAACCAAGAGGGTTGTCACTGCACTCGGGGGCGGGCAGGCCACCACAGTAGCTGAGGAAGCTGGTGATCTTTCCACCGGCCTTGTGAACCTCGTCGATGGTCTTGACGGCGTAAAGGTGGTCGATACCAGGGTCGAGACCGATCTCGTTCATGACGGTGATACCGGCCTCCTTGGCAGCGGCATCGAGCTCGAGCATGGCGGGAGAGACCTGGACGAATCAGACATGGTCGAAAGACACGAGAGATTGTGACTCACATATGACGTGGTGACGACGTGCTTCTTCTGGTTGATAGCAGCCTTGATGACTTGAGCGTGGTAGGTGTAGGGGATCAAGCTGATAACGACGGAGTTCTTGCCAATCTCGTGCTCGAGGGCGGCCGAGTCGTTGACATCGAGCGAGATGGGGCTGCAGTTCTTCAGGCCTTCGCACAGCTTCTTGGCTGAGTCGAGGGTACGGCAGGCTGGAATGGCATGTCAGATGGGCGTTGCAGATGGATCAGCAGGGAGGCAGGGTCTAGATACCAACAGTGACTGAGATGTCGTTGTCGCTCAAAATCTCAGCAGTAGGGCGGGTAACGAAACCAGCTCCAAGAAGGAGAACCTTCCTGGTCAACAGTCAGCATGTGTTCACTCTGGCTGAGGCCGAGAGCTTGCAGCTTCTTACTTGGAGCTTCCGAGAACCGTCAGCATAGCATCCATGGTGAGTATATGACTTTAAGAATGGCAATTGAGGAGTATACAAAAAGATCAGAGAGTTCAGACGACACGGCCTGCGCAGTGAGTGATTGCAGCGCTTAGGGACGGTCGAAAAGTGGTCCCCTCCGATGCTCGGCCAATGACGAAAGCTGGCACATTTGGGAAGGTGGGGGCCGACGAACCAAGCCGAAGCTTTTCCGTGTATCCACACGCGCGCTTTCCTTTCTTGACAGCTTTCTTTCCAGCTCCTTCTTCCTTCTTTTGTTTATTAGCTGGTGCTGTCGCAGCCGTCTCCATCAACATCGTCGTCGCAATGTCGTCGCCTTCGCTTGCAGACGCGTTCTGGGCAGCACCTCCAATCGCTAGGTAAACATGCACTCTCAGTCCTGTCTCGACCTCTTCCTTTTCCTGACTCTTGGTACAGAACCTTGACTGCTGCCACGCTTGTCTTGTCCATCAATTTTTGGATCCTGCCGATCATCAATCGCAACTACTTCATCTTCTTCCCTGGCGAGGTGTTCAAGCTATGGGTGCCCCAAGTCTGGCGTCTTGTGACGGCCTTTCTTATTACCGGTCCCAAGCTGAGTTTGATCTTGGATCCATACTTCCTGTTCACATACTGCAAGGCCTTGGAGGTTGACTCGGGCCGCTTCTCGCAACCAGGCGATCTGTTCGTCGCTCTGGTCTTCATCTGTAGTGTCATCTTGGTAAGAGGCGTCCTTTTCTCGCTGTCATTTCCTTTTGTCCTTCACCTATACATCTTCTACCCCTCCTATATCTGCCCGCCCAGCCAAAAACATAGCTGAAGCGGTTCCTGGAAGGAGGGCAAATTACCGTCGTACTGTGTCATGATCCGTCATTCGCAAAATCCTTTAGGGTCATGATGGAGTATGGCCGTGGTGGGATTGCCACATTGAGAAAGCTGCTCGGCGTTTCCTTGGTCGAAACAGTGGTTTTGGCACCCTACATCTCTTCACTTGACACTCATCTCGTATTGTCTCGTTCAACGTGCCACTATTGCAGTACTGATGACTACTCAAAGCTCCTCACAGGCTTCATCTTTGGCGGAGGCTTGCTCTTGAGTCCTCTCATCCTTGCTCTCGCCTATTTGCATGTGCAAGATGCACCCGATGCTATGATGACCTTCTTCTTCTTCAGCATTCGCCGCAAGTATCTGCCTGCTTGTATGTTGTTGGTTACCTTCCTAATGGCGGGTCCGTACGGAGCCCTGTTGGAGGCCTTTGGTCTTGTTGCTGCCCATCTCTACGACTTCTTGACCAGAATTTGGCCGTCGTATGGTGGTGGTACCAACCCAATCAGAACACCACGAATGGTTCAGCAATGGTTCGCTAAGCCTTTTGGCTCAGGCACCACTCGCTCCTACGGTACCGCCTTCCAGGCTCGCCCTGCGGGCTCTGTCGGTGGTCAGTCTCAGACCGGTAACTCATCACGTAGTAGTGGATGGACAAGCGGCTTTACGTCTGGTTCCTGGGGTTCTCGTGGACCCGGCAGAAGACTCGGTGGTGATTAAGCATTCAGTACGCAAACAGAACTCAATCGAAGCATCTTTTCTTTCTTGCACAGCATCTCTACTTCCCGGTGTGTAACGTGTTATGAACAGGGTCAACCCCTGGTGATTGTGTCGACTTGGTTGTTCGAGGCATTTCAGCTCTGCTGACGATGTGTAACTAGACACAGCTCGTATCCTACCATGAAGCAAACCCTAGATGCTGACTATGAAAATCGTGACAGAGATCACCTTGTTGTCTTCTGGATGATGACATTACCTGGAGCAAACAAAAAAGCTAAACATACAGCAGCAGGGATTCCCACGTGGTCACCCACCGTAGTACTAATCTGCCGTTCAACTGCTTATGTATGGCAGAGCGGACGGGATGCCCAGTTTTCAGCTGACTGTGGCCGTATGTGCTCAATTCACAATTTTATAAAATCATATCTACACAATCTTTTTGGCTAGCGACAAGACAAGCAGCACATCTCTCTCCTCGACATCTCTGTCTGGACTTTAAAAAGTCCAACACTGTAACGGTTGAGTCAGGAGCTTAGGCTAGTCCAAAGTTGTCAATAGTGTCAATATGTTGCTGGCGTGATGGTACCATTGACATACATCACTTTGTACACTAAGTGTGTGCTGTGGAAGCTGTGGCCGGCGAAACGTGGATAGCAGCACGAAGACCACAGTCATATGGGCTATCTGTCTCATGATTACAATTGGAGACCTGTATCGCAGGCCTTGGACCAAATTCAAGGCTGTCGCGGACGTGTTCGTCTCAAGCAGAACGTTCATCAAGTTAACCAGGGTTGCTAGGTCAGAAAGCAATTTAGAACAAAAAACAAAAAAGAAACAAGATGATGGTTCCTTGGATGTGTCATCCTGCCCGACTGCCGTCTCGACTGGTCTCGTCTCTTAGTTCTATTACGAACACCATTACAAACAGTGCAGCCGGCTAATGTCTCGTGAATCGAGAGATCTTGCGTATCTCACGGGGACACAAAGCAGCGATCTCACGAATTCAGATATGCGTACGACTCCTGGTTCCTGTGGCGCTTTTCGCAATCTACCACTGTAACACTGCTATGCGCTGGACCGCTGCTTGTATATGAATAAAGTGGAACCGAACAGAGTCGCGATCGGTCGAACTCCTTCTTGATCTCTTGCCTGGCCGATGACGACCAAGAAGCATCAACCATGAGCGTCCTGGTTACATATAAATGGTGATACCATCCACATGGGACATCTTTGAATATCTCAGTCGTTTAGTACCTGGCATGTCGTACAGCGTTGAACGCTGTTGAACCGGATAAGCCCGTCTGTGCCACCGTGGACTCGAACTGCTCCCGTTCTTATTGGCCATATTGCTGGACCTTCCTCGGTACGACACGGGAGCAGACGTCCGCTCAGACACTACACGACAAGTATCGACTACGAGACGACGAGCCGGCCGGTTGTACCAAGACTGTCGAAATGCGTGAGCCCGAGACTCGAAACCGCGTCTGTTGCAACAATCTGTTATCTATCAAGGATTAGCATGAATCGCGCTCCTACTGTAGTTGCTTGAGTACAGCTTCGAGGACGCTGTGGCGCAGCCAGACCCTGTTTGTTCATTCACCCCAGATGTCAACACTGCACCAAGCGAGCAGAAACAAACGACACCCTATTGTAATGTCGAGGACAACTAGGATCTCAAGGGCTGGCTTGTAGTAGGAGGCAGTGAGCTTGAATACATCAACCGATAAGCCAGCTACATGTGTGGCTAAATCCAAATTCATATCGAATTGAGTGCCATTGTCAAGAATCGAACGTGTATGTGATATTGTGATACTCCGCAATAGCGAGTGGAGCAGAGGGAGCGCATTGCAGTTGTTGTGCTCTTTGGGTTGCTGCATTACGTCGTCCGATGCCCCGACAGGCAACAAGGGCCGTCCAAGCGGGGGCTTATCAGGTACAGACTACACTGCACTCAGGCCTTGGTAGGGTGGGGGGCTTGCAGGCTGCCTGGCCGACACCTGGTACTGAGACTGATTCGACAAATGGCTGAACACCGAAGGGCAGGACAGAAAGCGGCCCCTGAGATGGTCATATTAGTCAAGCGCCATGGTTCTTTGCTTGGACGAACAGTCGGTTGAAGCAGTAATTAAGCAGTTGATAGTCAACCTGGACCGCTGTACAGCACTGCCGGAGCGACAATGCATGAACATGGGTCAATGACAGCTAATAGGGTATCGGCTACCTGCAGCAAAGAAGTGGATCCTTGAACCTGGATTGCTTGTATGCACGTTGAGGAGTGGAGGCGAAGGAGAGATCTGCCTGGGGCACGCAATTACGAGGCCTGTCAGAGCGTGGCTGCTGTCAATTCTGACACGACTGGGGTGGCTAATGCAGTATGGTGCATGCAGTGGCCTCACCCAAAGTGCCGCATCACCGGATGAGTGTGCGAAGTGGATGGAAGTCCAACAGATAAGGGTCTACGTATTTGATGAGAGGACTACCCTAATGGGCAACAGCCGGAGCGAGCTCTGTCGTATTAGAGTTGAGTCGATTGCCTAGGCATGATCGACGCAGCGGCGCAGAGGCAGTTACCAGAAATCGAGGGCGCGTGAGATGTCGTATGACGCAAGCGCGGGGGTAAGTTGGGGATCAAACGTGGGTTCCCCATCTTGGTCGTGCAGTCCAAGGACAGCGAGAAGATATTTCTCTCGCTGACGAGCGAAGCAGTCGATGAATACGGGTCGGAGGAGTGATAGACTTTGGCAAGAAGAGATGGCGTGGCCTGCCATTATTGCTGAATGACCAAGCAAGCTTCAAGTGCTGGACAGCGGATAAGGCGGGATGATCAAAGTTTGGACAAAACCCCAGAGGAAAGAGCAGTTCCTCCAGAGCGAGTCCCACAAATAAACCCGGGGCATCAATCGATGGGCATGGAGGACATGGTGGTGCAATAATGCCACTCGGGGTTACTTTTGATGGCGCGCACGCTGGCAGGCACGGAGGGAGGCACGCAGGGCCGCTCGATCTCGACAGAGATTGGAAACTTGGTTCCCCCATTGCAGGCGCAGACGCAGGCGCAGGCCCCTTATGCAAGCCGTGTGCATCTTGTCCCCCAGGCCGATGTGTCGCCGTTGGCCTCTCTACATAATGCCCCATGAATCGTCGCACCGAGCATGAGCACCATCCATCATCAATTGCTCCTAATAGTTCTCGTGTGCTTGAGGGGCGTAGACTGGCAAGACTCTGCTGCGGTCGTCTTGTCGTCTTTGGTGTGAAGAATCAAATCGGTTCCCGGGCCGAAGAATTCCTGGACAAAGTTTGGTGCGTGGTAGCTCAGACAAAAGCGCCGAATTCGACCGGTGGCTAGGCCATTGCAGGCCAAGGAAACGAAAGGCGCTTTGATCAAGGAATTGAAGGTGGACAAACCCTCTCCATCCTCTCTTTCGTGCTCTTGCAGCTCTCCCCAGCACCATCCATCGCCTTTACTGACGACCGTCACCTCTGCCAGCATCCAGAATGCCGCTGCCTGTTCAATTCTAGTCGCTGTCCGATTTCCACCATTCTCCGCACGCCCACTCTTCGCTTCATTTCCCCGCCCTGCCTTGCGCCACGGCTTGTACCAACAATATGGCAGAGGTTCTGTCCAGGTCGCGAGACGACCAATCCCAGTCCTACTTCGCCCAACCCAACTCGACTTCTTCCTCGCTCAAGCGCTCCCACCCCTCGAGATCTTCGCTGCTGGTCGGCTCGCCGCCTTCGACTTCGCACCGCACCACTTCCGAGCCTTCCTTGGAAAACATTGGCTCTCTCAAACGCTCCTTAGCTTCTTCCGGCTCACTCGCTGCCTCTCGCCAATCCTACTCCAACTTCAATCAGTCTCAAACATCCACCGCTTTCATCCCTGACCACCAACCGAAGCTCTCGTTTGAGCTCGGCCATCAGCCAGATCATGGTCTAGCCTTCCCCGCCTATGACGAGGTTCAATTCTTCCACGAGGACGAGCCGCTAGATCTTCCTCCCAGCCCTCGGCCTGAAGATGAAACGTCTGATGCTGATTCTAATGATGGTCGAGGCGACCGAGACGACGAAGATGATGCTGGTAGCACTACCGATACTACCCGCTCCGACTCGCCTTTACCCACACCCACCGTCGCTGACGACACAGCTATCAAGCACGAGCCATCAAGGCACGTCGACTATCTGTCTCATGACTGGCGGGAGGAAGATATCTGGTCTTCCTGGAGGCACATTGTGTCACAACGAAAGGTATATGGCCAGAGGTCACGCCTGGAAAATGCGTCATGGAGAACGTGGGCTAAATCCAAATATCACCTCCCAACCGTGTCACCAGAAACGCTTAATTGGTACGCCTGTACGATTTTAGGACCGCGTGGCACTGTAGACTGATTTGACACAGGCTGAAAGAGAGTGATGTGACCTGGCTCTATGGGCCTTTACAGCCTGCCTCGACGCACCCAGTAACCCAATATTCGCCCGACCCTAGTCCACATTTCTCCAGCTCCAATTCCTTCGTTAACAAGAAACCTATCCTCAAGAAGCGAAGCATGTCTGAGGTAATGCTTCAACGCTCCTTATCAACCTCATCGCTCGTAAAGCAGGCTGCCGCTGCCGTACAGGCCCAGCAAACGCTGCCACCATCTAAACGACCTACGCTCGGTCGTTCGTCTGCCTACATACCCTCCGACAGTCTGATGGTGCCCGGTGGTAGAGACCAGCTCGACTTTTTAGACTTGGGCTGTTTCTCCCCGCGTCCTTCATCAGGAGACCGTTCACCATTCGAGTACCCCAAACGTCACATTCGCTTTGATGAAAAGGTTGAGCAATGTATCGCCGTGGAAGGCAAAGATGGCGACGAAGATGAAAGTTCTGAAGATGAGCGAGCGAATAACGATTCCGACTCTGATTCATCTGATGACGGTATCGTCATGATGAGACGTCCTAAAAGGAAACGAGCAGTTCGCAAACCACTATCCAGAAGCACTTCCTCTAGCAGGACGATTGAGAAGCTTCCGTCTACTACATTGAAGAACAAAACGGAAATCAACGAGCCTTTTTCCCAGCCAAGTCCTTCTTTGGCACGCTCATGGAGTTCGAGTAAACTGCCGCAATCAGCTTCTCAGGAAACTTTGAAGCCATCTATCCCCTCGAAAAACCATATCCTGCCCCCTGACGACGAGGAAAGCGAGGATTTGGACTCGGACGATACAGAATCACTTAGATTGAGTGCATTTGCGAATCGAAGAGACAGCGTGGCCGTGCATAGATCACGGACGTCGGGTTCACCAGCCACTACACCATCCGAAGATGAGGATGGACAAGAGGGCTCTGGAATGCGCCGTAGCGGTTCGGGGATGTTCATGCCTTACGAGGAAGACGAAGATGACATCGTCGCCGCCGGCCTTTTCGGCAAGGTGAGTGACACTTTAAATACCGCGAAAGACATTGCCCATGTAATATGGAACGTCGGCTGGAGAAAATGATGGGCTCCAAGTGCTTTATTGGACTTCTTTCATTACTGTGGGGGGCGCAAAGAGTAAACAACAGGAAGAGGATTGGCTGGGATTGGTTATTGCATTGGTTTCTGAGTTCAGGCGCATTTGACAGGCGGGTGGCTATACAATGGTCTCTCTTTCTTGGTTTCTAAAGCGTCGACGTTTTTCTGTCTCAGCATCGAGCGATTTCTTCACTTCTTCGAAATCTCAGAGACGATTCTTACCATGTACCTATACTGAGTTTGTCAACAGGCTCGCTCACTGTAACAGCCAATACGGCATCTTCTATCTTTTCTATCACTCCAAAATGTGTTGGAGTCGGTCAATATTTGAGCGGTTTCTGCCGCGTATACAGGCGCACCTGCTTGGCACGCAAGATACAACGCACTTTGTTGTGTGCGCACAATGTGCAGATACGATGTCTCTCCCCATCAATCAGAGCTGAGCGGGCAAGCATGAGGTTTAGACGAGCCAAGAGACTGGTATCGTCGTTCCATGTCGCAAACCAGGTATCATGCCATGCTTATCAAGTTCGCTTACGGCAAAGACATGACCTGCAGGAGCGGAGAGTCTACATGGGTTCTCTGGAACCCAGTGATACTATTGTTGTCATATCATATTCACCATCTGAACGAGTAATGCAATTGGCCTCAGCGACAGTCGTGATTTCGTTCTCGTCTCGTGACACAACGAGGAAGTGGTACTCGCTCGAGCCAGATCGGCTCTGAGCGACGCGGATCTTGTTAGCGCCCTGGCTAGCGTCCGAGGGGCTGCTCCTGTCCAGCCCTCATAGAACATGCATGTTCTTTGAATTCTTGGGTCATGCCACACTCCCATTTCTCTGCGCTGACGGTGTAAAATCAACGCGGCATTTTGACCCGCGTGCAAAATCGGAATCGATGGCCGGCTCCCACGACGTCCGATCAATTATCGCTGGCATAACGAGCGACTCCGAATCTTCGCGCAAGCTGTCCGCCTATCATCTACAATCACTTGTCAGCGATGCTTCGTTTGCGCGTACCTTTGTGCAGGCTCAAGGCGTCCCTGCCTTAAAGCAGGTCATCCTTGAAGACAATGGAAACGCTCTTGCCTATGCGCTGGGTAGCTTGACCCGTCTGCTGGAGATGGAACTGGGTTGGGACCGGTTGAGCTCAGATGTGATAGAACGTGTAAGACTTAATGTTCAAGAATCCCCCAAAGAAACACTTTCTTAGATCTCCTGGTGTGTACCAAATAGGCTGTCCAGGTCGTCGTCACTCGCCCTGTTATCAATGTCCTCCGCAACGCGTTGCATCTTCTGGTTCTCGTGGTATCACGACCTTTCAATCCCTACAAGCTGCAGCAACCTTCCGAAGACGAATTTGGGTTCAAGGCTCTGGTTCCGCTTTTGCAGATTCATTCCAACTTTCTCGACTGCCTAGTGGACAAGTTGGCATCTGCTGATCATGCATTGTGTGCAAATGCTCTGCATTTGATAAATGCGCTGCTGCGAGACTCTGTCGCCAATGGGGGAGAAACTGAATGGCCCAAGTTCATCAACAGACTCCAGGAAATGGGTGTTATTAGTGGTGTCGAGAATTTGATGCATGGCGACACGCTTCACGAGATCGCAGCTCCTGTGCTTGAATTTCAAAGTCTGATGAAGATCCTTCTTGCTCGCTGGAGGCACATATTGGTCGATTTAGAAAAGATGGAGCATCGGCAAGCTCTGAAAGAGCTTCAGATCTCTAGTTTCCCCTCAAAGTACCAAGCCAGTCAGCAAGGTATGTTGCATATAGCGCGAGTGTAAAGCCAGTAACTGACATGCTAGATCTCAACTCCGATAAGTGGCAGCGTCTAGGGTTCTCATCTGATAGCCCGGCGGCGGACCTTGAAGAATCCAGATTTTTGGGCATGATGAACTTTACCGAATATGTACGCAGGAATCGGGACGCCTTCCAGAGGGAACTACTAGAGCAGAGTGTTCTACCCATACAGCAACGCTGTCCTATAGCAAAAGCAAGCTTGAGCGTTACCATGGTCCTCTACGAGCACTTCGAGATTGCCAACATGGACGGACGGGATCCCACGCAAAGCACCGCTACTTCGGAGAACATCAAAGACGCCGAAAGGCTTGTAAAGCCTCTTTTGTTGCGCTGGGAAGATGTGCACGCCGCCTCGCTCAAAGCCTTTATCCGGCTTTGGAAAGAAGCAGGCGCGACAACTGATGACTATCGCAAAATTGACGACCTTTCGAGACTTCTGATCAGGACAATACTTGGTCAGGCGGACAGACGAACCACTATGAATCAAGTCGAGGAACAACTCAGCAGCACCAATCTAGCGAAGGTCAGAGAGTGGCAACTGCAGGATGTCTCACAGATTTACGAGTATGCTTGGGGTCAAGATTTGAGGTAAGAGCTACCAATTAACATCCCCACCTTCCTTATCGCTAATCTAGACCACATGCAGAAATCTTCGTGAGCAGACACATACGGATGCTCTCCTGTTCATGCGCGAGCAGCGTATCAAGTGTCTTCTCAAAGGTGCCTGGTTCCCCGTCCTCACATCATCTACAACACCTTCAGATCTGTCTATCACCTCAGCAGAGTCACAAAAGTTGCGTGTAACTGCATGGCGTTTCGTTCGTCTGTCCAACGACCGAAAATATCTCCATTACGCATCTCATAATACCAAACTGGACAAGACGCCACAGCTGCATGAACTCAACGAGAAGCTTGATCTGGAAACTATCAGTTCTGTCGACTCTAGTGTGGCAAGGTCAGATGTTCTGATCGGCGACGACGAGCCCAGATCTACCAATGAAAATTCCATCTCTCCTACAGGAACGATCACACGATTGACCATTTTCGGCAATACAAATATTTTTGCAACAACACAACCGATAGGAGAGTCGGTGTTACTCGAACTAAACACTGGTAGTACATCACTTGCTTCCGAATGGCTAGATGGTCTTCTCATGCTGCTGAACCAACAACCAATCACGGCAGACACCAACAAGCTGGTTGATCTGCTCGAGCAGTGGAGCCTGACAATTCGCATGTTGAATTTGCGCTGGGAAGACGTGGATTGGGAGCGAGCTCAAGACAACAAGCGACTGCCTGTGCCAAGCAGGGTTGGGCTGGACGACGATTTCTGGTATGAAATGTAATGGTATTTTGACATTCCAGTACATCGTTGTGAGTGGAAGCATAGATACTTTTTAGCACAATATATCATGTATAATAGACAAACAGCATAATAGTCAAATAACCCTTTGCTAATGCGTACAATGGATGACTTGGCTAACGCACTGCTCTTCACCACTCTCTCAGTCCGCCATCAACACCGACAAATCCTTGCAGCAACCATGGTTGTGTATTCTCAGCCACTCTTCTGACCGCCTCCTCATCAACCTCAATTCCTAGGCCTGGTCCTGTAAAGGCATCCAAGTATCCATCCTTGACCTTGAAGATGTCTGAATTAAGCACATAGCTGTGAATGTCATGTTCACCAGCTTCTGTGTTATAATGCATGCCAACGGACATTTCTTGGATCATGTGATTGGGTGTACAAAGACCAATCTGTAAGCATGCTGCAAGCGCGATGGGCTACAAGCCGTTGTCAGTATCGGTCAATCCAAGGACTATGGTGGCACTTACTCCGAGTGGGCAATGTGGTGCAATGGCAACTGTGTTTAATCAGCATGACAGGCTTATGACCAAGCGAAAACAGGAGCTAACTCACCATCATAGGTTTCAGCCATGGCCGCAATTCTTCTCATCTCAGAAATACCTCCACAGTGTGAGATATCAGGCTGGAGGACATCTACCGAAGCATCTGCAAATAGTCAGCGTCTTGACGCATCATTTGTGACACTTTCACTCCGCGGCCCACCTTCTAGGTATCTCTTGAAATCCCATCGGCTGTACAGTCTTTCTCCAAGGGCAATGGGCGAACTCGTCAAGTTTGATAGTTGTTTGATGCCCTCTGGATGTTCGCTTAGAAGCGGTTCTTCAAGGAAAAGGACGTCGCAACCATCCAATTTATGCCTACAGATATCGTATAATTAGCAACTTGTTTGATCATGAACTGATGGACAACACGAAACTTACGCCAGCTGCTTAGCCATAGCCTTGTGAAGTCTTCCATGAAAGTCCAAAGCAACATCTAGACCCAAGCTCTTGACAGTCTTGACTCTCTCGACAGCCGAATCCAGCTTCGACGGCGAATCCAACCAACCCACATCTTCTGTGGCATTCATCTTTACGGCACGGAATCCTTGAGCAAGTCTTTCTTTACCAGCTTCAGCAACAGCAGAAGGACGATCGCCGCCAATCCAAGCATATACTTGAACCTTTTGCCTGACCTTGCCTCCAAGTAGTTGATGGATCGGCACACCAAGCTTTCGCGCTTTGAGATCCCACAACGCGATATCGATGCCGGCGAGTGCACTCATAAATACCGGGCCACCACGATAGAAGCCTGTCAAAACGTGGTTAATGGATAATGTGTCTGCATGCTTCTTCAATCAACATACTTTGCCGCCAAGCAAGTTGCCAGATATGCTCAATATCTTCAGCCTCAAGCCCTACAAAGCGGTCGATATAGCCATCTAAAGTGCCTTCTACAGCTTTAGTATGACCTTCGAGCGTAGCCTCGCCCCAGCCTACTCCGCCTTCAGCATCGACTATCTTGACGAATAGCCAACGAGGCTTGACCCGGAAGTATTCAATAGTCTTGATTGGGGCCATGGCAGAAGAGGTGATGAGTTATACCTCAGACAGAAGCAATGGAACAAGATACAACAAGTAGAGGTTTTACGCGAAGATCAGTACGATGGGCTTGGGGTAGATATATAGCTGTTGACAATTCGGCGGAAAGAACTGCCGAGTCGCATTGAGCTTCCCCGAACGAGCTTCCCCGAAACTCGGCTCCACCAGCTCGGGTCATCGGTAGACACGTCGGACTGTCAATAGGATGGTGACTGCTTGTGGTAGACTTTTAAATTGATGTTATTGAGGAAGCAGCGCCTCAAAACGCTCTATCTAATATTACAAAGTTCCTTCACGCTCTTGGCGGCGTATCCTCCTCCCTTTTGGATGTTCAATTAACGCCCCTCTTCCTGCCTGTTCCATTTGTCCATCTAGTCATAGCTCATTAAGAAAAAGATGCAGCAGGACTCAAAAGCTCCAAAGAAGAGGATCAGGCCTTCATGGTCGACAAGAATCCATCTAAGTTGAACTCCTCTTCGTACTGCTTTTCATCCCAGAGCTCCGAAAGCTCATCAAGAATACCCTTCTTACCCTTCTCACGAACATTGCCTTCAGCGTCCACAGCGTCCGCTTCGTCGATTGCGTTGGGATCTCTGGGCTTGTCTTCAAGCGATGGCGCGCCTTCAGTGTCACCCATATTGAAAAGATCCAATATCTGATCCGTCTGCATGCTGCCAAGACCAGCATTTTGTTGATTGACAACAGTACTAGCCACATCAATCTTGAATCTTTGCAGACTAAGAATCTTCTCCTCCAGAGTGCCACGAGTGATCAAGCGATAAACGTTGACGACCTTCTTCTGACCGATACGATGCGCACGGTCCATAGCCTGGAGATCTTTCTGGGGGTTCCAGTCATGTTCGACAAAAATGACTGTGTCTGCACCAGTCAAGTTGAGACCGAGTCCACCAACACTAGTAGTAAGGAGCAAACAATCGATGGATGGATCAGAGTTGAAGCGATTGACGATATCTTGACGCTTGGATGCTTCGACACTTCCATCGAGACGAGAGAATGTGACTGACGGCAGCATACGCTTGAAGACAGTCGATTCGACCATGTCGAGCATTTCCTTCATCTGACAGAAAATGAGGGCTCTGTGCTGAGAGACGGCTTGGTCAGCAGAAGGTACCTCGCCCGCTGCAGCAGAATCGACACCAATACCACAGTCGACGAGAAGGTCTCTGAGAGCTGTGAGCTTGGGAGCATGCACCGGGTCGGTCAGACTCGAGTTTTGGCGTGCTAATTGCGCTTGGATTGTTGCGTATTGCTTGTGACTCTCCTTCATCACCAAGGCTGGTGAATTGCAGAGCTTACGCATGTACTGCAGAGCTTGGAAGATGTGCTGTTTAGCCTCCTTGTCAGCAGAGCCAGCCTTCTCCGCAATGGTCTTGGCCTCCTTGCGAGTGAAGTCCTCGAAGAGTTTCTTTTGCAAATCACTCAGATCACAGTAGTAATTTTGCAAGATCTTGGGTGGCAAGTCGTCCAGCACCTCTTCCTTCAAGCGACGCAACAAGAAGGGAAGAACTTGTTTGTGCAGAGCCTCAATGGCTAGTGCACCAGCTTCCTGTTCCTTGGAAGAAGATTTGCTGAAACGTGAAGCAGCGATTGGCTTGGCGAATCGATCTTGGAACATCTTCTCTGTACCAAGGAAGCCAGGCATCAGGAAGTCAAACAATGACCAAAGCTCGAGAACGTTGTTCTGAATGGGTGTGCCAGAAAGGATGAGTCGGTGGTTGCTTGCAAGACGCTTAACAGCTTGAGTGACTTTGGCTTTGGGGTTCTTGATGAGATGGCCTTCGTCCAGGACGCAGTAGTTCCAATTGTGAGGTGCAAAAACTTCAACATCGTTTCTGCAGATATCATACGAGGTGATGACGATATCAGCCTCAGCAAGCTTTGTGCGGTGCTTGTTGCGCTCGGATGGGGGACCAACATAAGCCACGGCATTCAGGAAGGGCGCATATGTACGAATCTCTTGCTGCCAGTGTCCGGACAGAGTTGGAGGACAGACAATCAAGGAAGGCATCTTGCGTTGATCGGGGGCTTGAGTCTTGGCGAACTCCTCAGCACGCATGTGATGATCACTAGCGACGATGCAAATAGTTTGTAGTGTTTTACCGAGACCCATGTCGTCGCAGAGGACGCCGTGTAGATGGTAACGGTTGAGGAAGGCCAACCAGTTGACACCGTCTTGTTGGTACGAACGAAGGTCTGCCTTGATCGCGACCGGAATCTCGAACGACTCAACCTTCTTGGGATCAAGCATCTGCGCAATGAATTTACGCTCCTTTTCACGTCCCTTGAGAAGCTCTTCAGAGAGACCTGGCGGGTCTGGGATGCCAGCCTCGAGAGGAACCAACTTCACAAGAGTGGCGAAAGCGGTAGTTGCGATCAGGCGCACGCCATTATCTGAATCACTCATGCGTCCGAGTACAGGGACCAACAGGAAGATGACATATGGCAAAATACGATCTTCCATGACCTGAATGAGATGGTAGATGCATTCAATGGCGCCCTGTCTGCAATGCACATCGGTCGGGTTGCTGATAGGTGGCAAGACCCGTTCAACCAGCATCGTAAAGCCTTTGACGGTGATAACACTGCATATGCTTGCGAAACACTTAGCAGCAGTGTATCTAAGAACGGCAAGTCGTGTCTGGAGAGCTCTAGCAACGAAGCCCATAAGATCAAGAACAAATGGATGAAGATCCACATGGAACGATGCTACCAGTGCACGAAGGGTGGACATGGCATCCACAACTTCTTGGCCAATATTTTGCTCGGGGTCGGTGATGTTGGCAGGCAATTCTCCAGAGAAGCAGTGACGAATGGGTTCCTCAATGAGAGTACGGAGCATAGGTACTTTGCCGAACAGATCGCTGCCAAATTGGAAGCACAGTTGTTCGAGAGCATCTTTGGTACCACGTCTAGTAATGCGGGCTTGACGAACCTCCCTCTCATACTTGGCAGCATCGGGACGGTCCTGGATATCTTCATCTTTTTGCAGTGAGAGGATACCGGATTCTCGGTCCGCGTTGGGGTGAAATTCGGGCGTTTCTCCGGTCTCCATGCAACAGAATTTGACCAAGTTGCCCACGACCTTGTCGACAACCTTCATGCGACCACTGGCAACCAGTTGATCGACCAGGCTAGCAATGGCAGCTGCAGAGCGCTTCTGGAGCTCAAAGTTCTCTTCATCCTTGACACTGTCCATAAGACCCTTGATAGTAGCCTGAGGTTTCTTAGGGATTTCTTTCAGTGCCACGATAGCAGCGGCTGCAGCAGACTTGATGCGGACATCACGTTGTTTCTTGACGAGAGTTGCTTCGCTAATGACTGAGTCGACATCTGCTTTTGCACTTGACAACATTTCGGTTGCAGTAACACGCTGAGCAGGTGAAAGAGTCTTGCGTAGTCGCTCGAAGTCTTGGACAGCAATGCGCTCTCCGTCGGCGAGCGAGAAGGCATTTTTGCCAGCTTCCGGCTCTCCTTGCACCACAACGGCGATTATGGGAAGCTTGGTTGACGGTACGTGGGCCTTCTCGCGGAAAGTATTCAGAAGACTCTGACACTGCGCGCGGACGATTTGTAGGTAACTGGTAAGGTCGCTGTACCAGCTAGGTCTATCTTCTTCCACAAGGGGACGAAGGCTTTCTGTAAAGGAAGTGGTGAGATCGTCCTTGAGAGGGCAGATCTTGGCATATTCTTCTATGAAAATGGCAGTGAAGAGTTGTGTGGTCGAGAAGCCAGACTTGAGACTGGGAAGAACTTTTGAAGAGAACGTGTCGTGCCTCGTTGCTGCCGGCCAGACTTGACAGGCCTTTGCGAGTGCTTGAGCTGCGTGTGTTCTAGATCGGATCATGATATCTGCTCCAACGAGATCAACATCGCCTTGCATCATGTGTCCATCAACGTTATGTGCTGATGAAGAGGTTGGCGGTGGCATATCCTTGTCCTTCTTGTCGGACCGTCTCCTCTTTCTAGCAGGCTCGGATGATCCGTTCACTGGGGATGACTTGCGTGTGGCACTGCTTAGCGGAGCATAGCTGTAGCCTGAAGGACGTATGAATAGTGTTGCGTCCATTGGGATAGGATGGCGAGATACACCGATAGGATGGAATGTGAGTGTGACCAGAGGCGCAAGATGAGGTTCGAATTCTGTAGCGAACCTTTCGGGACTGGCAGCCAGAACATCGACGAGGGCATACCAGACTTGAAGCGAAAGCTTAAGGACTGTCTCATTGCGCTCGACAAGCAGATTCTGAAAAACGAGACGCAGAGCGCGACCATCGACCCAGCTCTTGGCATCATCACCTTCGATATTGACGAAGGTGAGGAGAGCGCGAAGGACAGCGGAACGGACTGTGCTGATGGTATGACGCAAGAATGGGTATAGACGAGGTACCAATTCTGCGAAAGATTGCTCAGGATTTTCTGCAGCATTCTTCTTCATAGCGTCGAGAACCTCGGGGAAGCCACAAAGTTTTGCAAGCAGATCCATGACGGATCCTGTACTGGCACTGAGATCATCGCTCAAGTTTGAGAGACATTCCCAGACTACGCTGATCAGATGGTTGAGTGCAGAATGACGCATGTTGACGAATTCTTTGGCGACGGGAATCAAAGTGGCCGCGCTGACTGCCCTGACGTCGTCGTCATTGTCTCCGAGTCCTTTAATGACACACTCCAGAACACCATCCATCAAGAGGTTGTCCTGTAGTAGCAGGTCATTTCTGACGGCCACCAGGTATCGCATACCGATCATACCGCCGTGGCAAGCGTGCCAGATACGTTTGTTGACCTTGAGATCTTTTTGCATGACCAATCGGTATAGAATACGATTGACTGCATGGACTGAAGATGCTGGGAGATACTGTAAGAGTGCACCTAGTGTCTGACCAGCAGTTTCCCTGATTGGTGCAATGGCATTGTCCGAGACGTAGTCTGCAAATCTGTCGAGCATGAAGACGCAGCAGATGCGACAAGCGAGATCGTCGAGCCATGCCTGGTTGAGACGGTCGTTTTCGGATTTGGTTTTCGTCAGCAAACGACCAGCTCCAGCTCCGTGCACACGAACAATTTCTCGAAGTCCCATTGCAGCACCATGTCGAATCTCCCAGGCAGGGTCGAACAAGTCTACAGTCAAGAATTCGCAGAGTCGTTCAAATGGCCATCCGTTGCCAGTCTCCTCGACCTCGGTCTGGAAAGCAGACTTCTCAACAACGGGAGCGCCCTTGAATTCTGACACGACCTTTGCATCGTCGTCGCCGCCCTTTCTTTCGAGTGAAAAGTAATCGGGAACGCTGGCGTTTGTTTCTCCGTTTTCATCCTTAATTATGGTGTCCGAGTCGGCTGGAGTGGGTACTGTAGTACTTTCGCGCCTCATGCTCGTAAGGTCGTACTTGAATTTCTTGTTGTCTCGTTTGAGTTCTTCCTTCCTTCGTCGCTTGAGCATGTTTAGCTGTCTCTTACTCATAGCCTCAGAAGGGGTTTGTTGATCGCTAGGAGAGACGACAGCAGATTCTGAAACACTGTTGGCTCTGGACATACTGGAGTCTGCTGTGGGCATGGCTGGTGGTGGTAAGTTAGGACGGACGGCAATATCTGTCTCTGTGACAAGTTCATCCTCCATGTACTCTCCACCAAGGCCAAGTCGGTTGGTAAGAGTCTTCTTCTGGTGGGCTAGTCTCTGAGCCGGGTCCATACCAGCCAACTTGAAATCATATTGGCGTCCAGCGCTACCGAGCAGCTCCTTTCCGTTGGTTAGAATTGCTTCGACATCCAGAGTTGCAAGCTGCAATTGATCCTCAGAGGCGAGAGGTATCGAAGAACCATTCTCCTCCTTTTTGACGTCGCCGTTCTCGTTCTTGACATCCTCCTCGTTGGGGTCGAACTTTGGCGCATGTTCAACAATTCCGCCCAAGGCCTTTGCGGCTGCTGTTCTCGTATCCCAAGAGGATGAGCGAAGAAAGGGGACGACTCTGGTTAGTAGGTTGAATAGTTCGTCCGGGTGATTCTTTTGCACATCGGCAAGTTGTTGAGCAGCTGTGTTGCGGATGAGCTGAGTGCTACCAGTGTCCAGAAGAACGACCAATCCTGCACACGAACGTCAGTCACTAATCATTAAGAGCCCCACAATTGCTCATATCCAGCAACAGAAGTCACATACGGTCAAGTCTGCGAGCATCACGTGTATGGTTAGCAAAGTGAATCCTTCGGAGATAGCCGCAGCTGGGATATGCACTTACCTTGTGGCACTCATGTTGTAGCCAAAATGTATTGTGAAATAATCAAAATTCCCTCAACGCCCTCTTCCAAATGCAAGAGTGAAACTTGAGAAACAGTTGAATTAGCAGTTCATCGCTTCAATTAATTATCGCGTGGAGAAAAAGAAGAGAAAATGAAGAGGTATTTGGTTGCTGCGTCACGCGTCAGCCGAGGCCGCTATGAAGGAGGTCTCCGGCTGTTCGATGGGCGGCGCTTTTTATGCCTTTAACTCGTCGAAGGAAAGAACGACACCCTCAGATGGGAAGGCACGCTATCCCGCTTTGAGCTTAGGCTGTGGCTCCGGCGCGCGAGAATTCTGCTTCCCGCTCACCTTCATGTTGGTCAAATTCTGAGCTTGAAAATGAAGATGATGCTCGAAGTGACTCATGGAATGAGGCTCACATCTCTTTCAGATAGTCGTGGTATGAAGCTGAAAATCCACGATAAGTATTCATTATCTGGTTGTTGTGGCATGCATGTGCTGCCTGAAAGTGCCTGCGCAAGAAACCGTTCTCTAACGACGCTGTGTCGTGTTCTCTATGCACATCTACCAACCACCTGTCTTCTTTTTTTTTTCCCTCCATGTATGGCTGTTTCGCGTGACACGCGCACAGCAACGATCGTACATCTGCCCATCTCCTACAAACCACCGCCAAAGTTCACAAGCATGATCCAGCAAACTTTGTCTCAAATTGACACCTCTATCCAACGAGGTTCATGCAAAGATGCGCCGTATATAATTCTGCAGCCAAACGTCGATCAACATACCCGCGTTCCCGTGCGGCTGCGGAAGTCCCACTTCCGCTTACATCCCCTTCTGCCCCTTCTTGGCCCAATCTCGCAACTCATTCTTCTTTAGCTTTCCAGTGCTTGTCTTTGGCAACTCAGACACTATTACAACTTCCCTGGGAACCATAAAGCGACTAATGCTGCTCTGGTTTCTAGCCCATTCAATCACTTCCTCGCCTTTGAGGCTCTGTTTTCTTGCCGTAACAAAAGCCAGTGGTCGCTCACCCCAATGGCTGTCAGGCACTGCCACGCATGCTGCTTCGAGTATGTCTGGATGGGTTACTAGCATGGACTCTAAGGCAACACTAGAGATGTTCTCTCCACCTATTGATGTGTATCAGCAAGATGCAAACTGCAAACGTTCCTTGATCGTGCATACCTGATATAATAATGTCCTTGGCTCGGTCGAGAATCTGGATGGCACCGTCTTCATGCATGACAGCAAGATCACCAGTGTGCAAGACTCCTCCAGCGAACAACTTTCTGGTGGCCTCTTCATCCTTGTAGTAGCCCTTCGCGCAGATGTTGCCATAGAAAACAATCTCGCCGATTTCTTTGCCGTTCTTCTCGACGTCTTCAATGTGGTCAGCTGGAACGTCTGTCTTGATCACGCGAGCAGGCATGGAAGTGAGAAAACCGTGGCCTTGTCGGGCCATCTTGGCATATTTCTCGTCGCCTGGAAGCTGACTCCAAGTCTGCATATGGTAACCTTTGGTGATTGGACCATACGTCTCTGTCAAGCCGTAAACCTGGAAGATATGGTTAGCAATACTTTCATATAGCGGGTACACTTTGGTTCCGCTTGTTTAATCTTGCAGCCAGATCGCCGCAAGGCTACGTCGAAGACAACCAAGGACGCCTACAGATGACTTACGTGTACTGGTTGCAAGTTCAAGCTCTCCATAGTCTTGAACAAATGAGCAGAAGGTGGACTTGCAGCTACCGTTACTCTGACAGGTAGATCCAACCGTTCGGCCGCAGGGTCATTGCACAGGAGTGTGTTCACAGTCGGGGCCGAATTCATGTGAGTGATGCCTTCTTCCTTGAGGAGACGCCAAATTTCAGGATAGTCGATCTTTCGCAAACAGTAGTGAGTGCCACGAACGGCTGTGACAGACCATGGGAAAGTCCAACCCATGGCATGGAACATCCTACAGAATATCAGTATGTATCATTCAAGATGTTTTTATGTTTTCATACGGCAGTGTCCAGAGATAATGTGCGCGTTGCGATCCATGGTAATTAAGACCAGATTCAACAATGTTTGCGAGAGCTGCCAGATACGCGCCCCTCTGTGTAAACATGACACCTTTAGGCCGTGCGGTGGTTCCCGAAGTGTAGGCCAATGCTATCAGAGAGTTTTCATCAGGTGTAGTATGCTCGAGATCTGCCCAACCTTTAGAACCAGTCTCGATGTCATATTTCAGGCCTTCGAGGACTGCTTCATCAAAGGGACCCGAGAGTTGGCCTTCCGTTGCGTCCGTGTCAGTATCGATGATGATCTTGATATCAGGGTGCGCTGCTCTGAATTCGTCCAAAAGATGAGCAAATTCAGCATCAACAATGATGCTGTCTACTTCAGCATGCTCAAATATGTAAGTAATGTCTGTCGATTGCAGTCGGTAGTTTACTCCAACATTGACTGCTCCTGCAGCTGCAATTCCAAAGATGGCTTCTAGGAAGGCAGGTGTGTTGGGGGAGAGGATGCCCACTCGCTTAAATCCATGATGTCTTAGATAGTATGCTAGACCTCTAGCACGATCCGCAAATTCCTGGTAGCTTCTCCTCAGAACCTTCTTGTTCGCAGTGATATGATAGATTGCGGTGGCCTGAATTACTGTTAGCATCAGTCAGGAAACGGGGTTCAGACCATTGCCATACATCAGGTTCGATAGTTGCTGCGCGTGGTAAGAAGAAAGTAGGTGAGAGTTGGTGGTTGTTGGGAGCTTCAACTTTGCGCGAAGCAAATGGTGACGGAAGAAACTGAGCCGCCAAAGCAGACAATCTACCAGTGGCGGATGGCATGAGGGACGACCGTCGAGTAGCAACCAAGGTAGAAAGCAATTGTCAGGCAGATTCGTAGGCTGGAGATCTGGTTAGTCTACTAATGATCGAGGCAGCAGTGGGGTATCCAAAGTACAGATATAGAGGTACTTGATGATAGATGAGGTTCAAATACAGATCTATATTACTACAGTACCATGAGTGCGGTTATTGCGGGTGGAGGAAAGGAAGACTAATGCGGGGTCATCAACTGACTTGGTGTGGGGACCGAGGTGACCAAGATGGATACTTGTACCTGATTCAGATGTGAGCGCGCGCGCCAAGAAGAGACATGCAAATGGGCAAGTTTCATCATGTCACAGTTGCTCAAGTGCTCAAGATGATATGGACCAAGTCACAGTACACATGATGAAAGACGTTTGCGCGTGAAATTGGGTATTGTTGAGGATGCCATGACTTTTTCTGGCTTGTGCCATTTCTGAAAAGCGTTTCGTTTTTGTTTTCCCTAGCCCCAAATCGCCGAGTACAGAAACAAAGCAAGCCATTGTGGGTGTGGGCTTGACACTCCCCCGAGCACTACACCGACGTTATGAGTGCTCGGAGTGAGCAGTTGGACGCGACAACGAACTCCGACTCTCCGGCCACATTTAGTATCCGTAGGAAGCGAGCTCGATCTTGACCTTCTCGTCGACCTTGGCGCTCTTCTGGGCCTCGGCGAGCGAACGGCGAGCAGCCTTCTTGCGCTCGTAGTAGGCGGCACCCTTGACCTTTCTGCGCTCCTCGAGTCTGTGTTTGTCATGTTAGCATCCTGAGACCGATTGATATGATAGCGAGATCCGTACCTGGCGACAACGTCCTGGTACTTCCAGCCGAACTCGTGGCCGAGTCTGCCGACGGTGCAGTACTTGCGGCCGGGCTTGAGGCGGAGGACACGGAGGGCCTGGGGAACGACCATGCGCTTCTTGTGGTCGTAAGGAGGAGGAACACCATCGAAGGTCTTCAGGCGCTCAAGAGCGGCGGCACCACGGGCAGTCTTGTGAGGGATCATGCCACGGACGGTGCGCCAGAACATCTTGGAGGGAGCGCGGTAGTGCCAGGGACCTATGTCCAAGTCAGTGACCAGGCAAATAAAAAGAGTCTCATGCCAAATGGCAGCGGAGACCTCGTGGATTTATGGTTTACATACCACCACGGGAAGCGTTGTAACGCGTCTGCTTGCGCAGGAAGGCCTGGTACTTCACTGTTGTGTATTGTGTTAGCCTAGCTCTTTCTCTCGTATCGGTCGCACGATTGCCGCCAGTCTGGTGTTCGGTGTGTTCGGATGCATGTTCGAAATGCGAAGGTACTGGCGGCGATCGAATTCGTGCGGTGGATGGACGTACGCTTAGCGCGGAAGAACTCTCCAGAGATGTTGAGGGCCTCGCAGCGGACAACAACGATCTTCTGGCCGTTCAGGAGCTGCTTGGCGACAGTGCTGGCCAAGCGACCGAGCAAGTGTCCCTTGCCGTCGATGACGATCTGTATACACCCTTCTTGTCAGCCATTGCTCTCATGACTGTCGTTTTGGCGTGCAGTTGTGCGTGCGCTTCTTTCGCCGTCGCGGTCCCAAGTTCCAGATCCTCCTCTTTCTCTGCTCACTGCGGTGGATGGGTGTCACATACGACAGGCTGGAATTCCGACATCGTTGCTGGGGTGTCGTTCGTTGGGTGTAAAGTCGCGAGTGCAAGTCGAAAGCCAACCAGGGCAAAATTGGAGTTGCAAAAATGGAAGCCGCGACTGGTGCGTGGGCCGAAATGCTTGGCACGCGCTTCGCAATATCCCGATGTCATCCCGTGGCGTTGGTTAGCTTTGTCTTACTCCGCTTCGAACCTCCCTGAGCTCCCTCTTGTTGTGTTCAGAGATTATCGCGGTTCCCTGGCATCTCGGTTGGAGATCAGTTTGTCAGAGATTTTTTACCGTCTGTTCTGCGCACGAAGAGTTTGTACCAAACGCATCGGGCAAGCCACGTCTATATCATTTACAAGTCGCTTTCCAGCATGCAGAGGCATGGTCATGAAAATAGCCTTGTGTTTCCGCAAAGATGAGGCAGAAATCACAATCGTCGTCAGGCAAAGAAGAACTATGGTATATCGTGCGTGCTACGACTAAAATTACTAACTGTATGGTCAATCCTATGTCTCACTGAGACTTTTTGTTACTGCTCACAGCAACCTCCAGGCCTTCCAGAATCTCTTTCGCGGACACGTAGACAAGATATATGGGGAGGATAATCCAGAGTCCATTGGGTAGAGCCCAAAGGAAGAAGATATCCGAGGCACTGTTGTGACCGATATTGCCGAAGCCAGAGAAGGCCTCGTTGAGCCCTGCATCGCTGTTAGATTTAACAATCATCAGAAAGTTGATAACATACAGTAAAGCACAGTCTTGCTCAGTGTCATAAGAGCAACACCGTATAGAAGAAGGACGGCTTGTGCAGCAGTCTTTCCATATACCGTTCGACTCTGTCCAGGTTTTCCGACGTGTTTCTTGTCAGGAGCACCAGTACCTTGGACGGTTGCCTCAGTCCTGCCGTAGGCATAAACCAGGTAGAGATAGTAAAAATAACCTGCACATTCGACAACGTTCACAGTAGACTGAGCAGCGGTGAAGCCGTTGCCCGAGTTGTATGCAGGCCAGCCATAGATGTGGTCGATCTGGCCATAGAGCTCGTAGGGTACCCAGAGAGGCTTCTGGTACTTGCCTCCAGGCATGGAGTGAGGTCGAAGGAAGACATAGAGAGTGTCCCAGATGACCAAGGGCAGCGACACAGCGAGCCAAGTCAATGTGAGAACTGATGGTGTATGAGACCAGGGTCTTTGATCATTGTCTCCTCGGTGAGTGGAGCTTTGCATTGTCATCAAAGCCGGAGCTGGTTTCGAGGGAGTTTGTGGAGCCACTTCATCGGACGTTTGTGAAGCAAAGTCTTGCGGGTGGCTGCGAGTCGAAACCATGTTGCTGACGAGATGCAAGAGTTCAATCGATAAGTTTCCTAAGGGTTGGTCAAATTATGCAGCAGGCGAGATGAACGAGGAAGATTGCCTGTGTCGATCCCCGCATTTTGGCCGAGATGGTTGCTTCCGTCGTACGACACCTCGTCCCGACTCGCAACCACATCTCACTCTGCTGCGTGAACGGTGTCTTCATCATCTCCTACTCCTGCTATCGTCCGACGTGCAGCCTTGATCTTAGACTGAGTGGCCCGGCTTACCATGTGCCTCAATGCAGTACCGCTTGCAAAGTTTACCGACGACGGCAGCTGAGAGAGAGCCTGGCCAGTTGACAGTAGCTTATCATGAGCAGTTCACAATACATCAGCTTACATAGCTACAATATCTGACCAAAGGTACCGCCAAGGAAACATAAAGAATCTGTCTTGGGATGTGGCCTTCAAGGTCACGTTGTACGCGTGGCCGGAGCTCATATACTGAGGGTCGGTCTTCGGGTCCCCGCTGACCCTTGGAAGTCCGTCGTCAATCTTCCCTCAGCCTTCGGACAGGAAAACGTGGGACATGTTCGAAGACCCTTCGGAGGCGCAGCGACACGCTGTCGCTGAAAGAAATCTACGCCATGGTGCATGCCTATCATCTTCGTTGTCGCGATATGGGGCTGGGCGTGGTCATCAACCTTTGCTGATCCTTGACGGGTCTTGTGTATTTAAAGATTGCGAAGTTGGCATCTTCTCGAGGCTCAAGTCTCACAGTTCTAGCCTCGTCTCGATTCGACAGCCTTTCTCAAAGTATAATTCTGGTGTCAAGTTATAAGCTAGCCCCATCCCTTTCTTACGTCTTGGAGATTATATGCTCGCCCTCGTCTCAATATGAGATATCTATCAACGCTTTCGGCAATCATGTTGAGCTTCGGTTTGTATTGTATTCATTTTGTAACAGTATTGTGATACTAATCTCCGTGTCAGGCTCTGCTTATGCTTGGGGATGGAATGGTGGTGATGACAGTGGCAGCTCTGGGTCTGGCTCATCTGGGTACGGATCTGGCTCATATGGGTCATCCGGCTCAGGTTTTGGTCCAGGTTCTTCAGGCTTCTCAATACCCTTCGGTGGTGATTTTGAAAAAGCTCAGCGTGCTATGATCGCTCATGGCGTTCTTGCATCGCTCGCCTTTGTCGTATTCTTTCCCTTTGGAGCCATCAGTATCCGCTTGTTTAGTTTCCCAGGACTCCTTTGGTTCCATGCCATTTTTCAAGTGCTCGCATATCTCGTGTTCATTGCGGCATTTGGCCTCGGTATTTATCTTGCTACACAAATCCACTTGGTATGTCAGATCGGCAAGATACCGAGCTGGGGATCCTTTCTGACTTCTAGCAGCTCAACCAAGCCCATCCAATCATCGGAATTGTGCTCTTCATCCTAATCTTCTTCCAGCCAATACTCGGTTTTTTGCACCATCGCCTTTTCAAGAAGTACAAGCGCCGCACATTCTGGTCTTACGCTCACATCTGGCTTGGACGCATCATCATTACTCTGGGCATAATCAACGGTGGCCTTGGGCTCGATCTTGCGCACAAGTAAGTTGTTTTCTATCATTCTTGCAGTACATTGAATGCTGATCTGATTTGTTGTAGCTCTCGCAAGGGTGAAATCGCTTACGGCGTTGTTGCTGGTATCGTCTATCTGATCTATATTATCAGCATCTTCGTGGGTGAAGCAAAGCGCAGAAGGGACAGGAAAGCGGCCATTCGTGCCGAAGCAGAGCCAAAGAGGAGCGATAGCGATTCAAATGACTCTGATGCGCATGGACTCAGGACAAATTACTATGCTTAGATGGCGTCAGCACACCCAAGAAGGAATGAAGTTGTTCGCTGGAAGAACGCACATAGTCTATCAAGACCGATTGGCTATGCGCAGATATTGTAAAGATAACAAATATCGTTCGTCATCGTTCCAACTAATCTAGCGATCTCACAGGAAAAGACATCAGCGAGGTGACCTACAAGTATACATGTTCACGTCTCAGCAATACAACTACAAGGGCCCCTGGGGCTGATATATGCCTCTTGGAAGAAAGAAATGTCCAGATCCGGACAACGACCGAAAGAAGAAATTAAAGGTTCTTGAAACAGACGCCCGTCCTTTGCACAGCTTCGAGAGGCTCAACATCATCACATCTATTTCAGATTCCATTCCTGCTCTCCATCTTGGAATATACTGGAAAGAGGTTTCTACAACGACAGGGTTAGTATTGCTTTCGAAGATACACAAAACACGAGCCAGGGATGAGACGAACGCAAACTTACCATATCAACATCATGCACGTCCTGGAACCAGCAATTATCGTTGTAGCAATCCTTGCCATATGGACAGACATGGCCGTTAGTGCAGTCGAAGTCCCTACAACAGCCACGCTCTGGACAACATCTCTGACGAGCGCGTTGCTTAAGCACCAAATGCTCGCCAGGACTCAAACGTTCGCCATGGTCATAGTCACAGTACTTTCCGGATTTACACTTGCCGATGAGATGATAGTTGTTGCAAACTTTCTTGTGGCGTACACGCTCAATGAGGCGGGTAGTTGCTGCAGGATCGGTGCGTGGCAGCGGCGGGTCGATGCGTTCCTCATTGGTGTTGAGGGCAATGAGTTTGCGGTTTGGTGCCTTCTTTGCGGCGATGTTGATGGTCTTGGATGCTCCGTTACCTACAGTTGCCCATGACGAAGTGTCACTGGGGGTGGGGGTGATAGTGTTTGGCATAGTAAATGCAGCCCAGTCAGTGTTGATGTAAGAGCAGTGAATATTGTCCCACCTGGACCAAGGCATCACGTTGAGCATAAGGTTTGCGAAACCCTTCCAGCTGACTCTCCAGGCTTCTTAGAAAAGAAAAGGTTGATGGTGGGGTTGACCATTTGTGTGACTGCTGCCCGTAGGTGGTGTACCGCTCATGGTTGCAACGTTCCAGAGTCAAAGTTTTAGTGATGATGAACAGTGAAAGGTCGCGTGCTGACACAAAACATTTATCGATTGCCAAGCTTGGCACTGTGCTTGCGAGCCAACACTCTGGAATCAATATCAAAAAGTATTTCGATGGTAGTTTTATTATTCCCTAAGAGGCCTTATGGTAGTGGCATCTTGGTCAACATAGAGAGAAAACAAAAGTGAAACAGCCGTGGAAGAAAGATTGTACTCGTTATCGTTATGCTGTATATATACAATAAATTTAGCTGCCCAGATATTGTTCTATCCATTGTATGAGCCTCCTCCTTCAAGAATGTCCTTGATGTTAATCTCTCCAGTGCCTCTTTCTAGCGGCTTTGGTTGGTTCGCGCCCTCCTTCCAGCCGATCATGTAGATGGTTCGGAAGGTTGCAGGGATGCTACCATCCTCGTTTCCGTACAACTCTTTATAGATTGCTTCGGTGGCCAACAGTACATCTCTTGATATAGGTCCAGGAGTTCGCTTAAGGGCAGCATTTGATTCGCCCATGGCTTGCAGGTCGCGCATCAAGTGTAATGTGCTAGGATAGTCGACAATAATGTCATCGACGTCGACAGTAAGAAGTTTAAAACCAGCGCGGGTAAGAAGATTGCCGACATCGCGAACATCGGCAAGTGGCGATACGTGAGTACCGATACCTCCCAGTCGATCCTGCTCAGCGAGTTGCAAAGAACCACGCAGTTCAAACAGGCTGTCACCGCCGGACATGGCGGCAATGAATGGAGCATCGGGCTTGAGAACATTGTTGATCTGCGACAGAACAGATGGGAGGTCGTTGATCCAGTGCAAGCTCAGGGATGAAAGGACAAGATCGAAAGAATTGGCCTCGAAGGGAAGTGTCTCTGGATTTTGAAGCACATGGCGACTAAGGGACATGTCGTTGTTGAAAGGCTCTTTTTCATCACGGTGCAGCATGAGCTGATTGGAGTCGGCACAGGTCAGATGACCAATCTTTGAGCTCAATGGCTCCGACACTGGTTTGGCAGAATCGGGGTCGGGGTCTGGCAATGTAAGGATTCGAGCGATGTTGCATGCATTAGCACCGAAATCCAGGGCCTTGTCAAAGGTGCGGTTGATGTCAAGGAGACGACTGGTCAGACGCATAGCGACCTCGTCTCTCAGATAATCCGTCGCTCTTGATTCTTCTACATCGGTGGCGGCGCGGGTTCGTTGTTGCTGCTTGGCCTCGTTGGAGAAAACCGAGATGCTAGGAGCTCCGGCCTGTTGCACTGCATAGTTGCGTCGACAAGAGACATTCAAACTCCGGGGACGGGACGAGCATTGCACTCGGCGGGCAATGTAGCTTAGACGCATCTTGTGAGGTTGGTAGAGCAAATACTTTGGTGGCCATCAATTCTCAGAAACCTCTCTGACCTCTCCCCACATTTCGATGAACATAATCGTCATTGAACCCTCGTTCTGCCGGGCGGTCATCTTCGTTGTCAACGCAGGCTTGTTGTGAACAGGGCCCGTTTTCGATTAGACCCTGCGGTTGGTGTTTCAAACAAGCAATCAAACAAAGCCAATTTTGGAGCGCATCGCTCCTTCCACCGTCCACTACTGACTACTGAATAACTCAATGTGCTGTCTGGTCATTCCATCAACATGGCCACATTCCCATATACCCTGATCGCCTGTCCCTGCACCTCGTTCACCTCACCTTCCGACATCACCTCATCATCAATAGAAGACCCGGACGATGATACGACCTTCAATCCTCATCACATTCGCGCAAACTTCTCGCTATACCCCTATGAGCATTTACTGTACTGTGATGAATGTCACCAAATCAGATGTCCCAGGTGCTGGGCCGAGGAGATTTTGAATTGGTTCTGTCCAAGCTGTCTTTTCGAGGTTCCTAGTAGTGTAGTCAAAAGCGATGGTAACAGGTAAGGTGAGCTCTCCTGTCCCATATCTGAACAATACACACGTACTGACTTGGAATCAGATGTACTCGCAATTGTTACAACTGTCCCACTTGCACTTCTCCACTTTCTATCAATGGTCTAGACTCTTCAACAAAAGACCATCTAGCTCCTCCAGACGCCAATCAACCCACTGGTCCATTCTTCTTATCATGTCCTTATTGTGACTGGTCATCATTAGATGTCGGCATACAGTTTAATAAGCCCACCAAAATAACAGATCAACTCGTCAGGATGCGTTCTGGAAACCGGTCACCTTCACCGAGCAGGACAAGATCTACGAGGACAAGTCTTGCGCCCACAGATGAGCTATCGTCAACAGATCCTGGTTCCACTCCTCCCTCACAGCCGACGCAGGATAGATTTGCAACATTGAGCCGCTTCTACAAGGATCAAATGGCTGACGCTTCTGGTGCCGGTCCGAATGGTTTCTCAGACAACAGCAATTTCAACTCGCCTAACAGTCTGGCGCGTATCATGAGTATCTATGGCGGTTTATCGCATACTGCCCTAAAGAAGGCCCGCGAGAGACCTCAACCAATGCGCGAAGCTCTTAATACAACCGAAGGTCTTGAATTACTATCTCATTCAGCAGACGCTGAAGCTCAAGCGATTGAAAAGCTCCGTGCCGAAGGCTACGAAGGAACCACGACCTTGTCACAGCGAGTCAGTCATCCGTACAATCACCATGTACGCTTCAATGACCAGCTTTGGCCTATCGCTACACTTCTACGGACTCGTCGCAGCAAGCGTTGCCGTACTTGTCGTCATATTATAGCTCGTCCAGAGCCCAAAATGGGAAGTACGCGCTACAAGATCCGTCTTCTGGCTCAGAATAATATCCCTCGCCTGGCTCTGCGTCTTCTGTCACCTAGCGCTTCGTCAGCTCCTGCATCCTCTTTCGCACTTACACCAGCAGCACTACAGGCTCAACACAATACTGAATACGAGAAGTTGAGGCCAGGATTGCCTGTGCAATTCCTACTCACATTGACGAACCCCTTGTTCGAGCCTGTCCGCATCACACTAGCCACACCCGCTACTACGCCTGGTAATGTAGCATCACGCGTCACAGTGCTCTGTCCTACTTTTGCTATAGGTGCGGCGAGTGACATGTGGGACCCGGATGCCATCTCTAGCGGATCCGCAAAAGACCAGTCTGCTGAGGACAGACAGCCCGAGGCAGGCAAAGTGTGGGAGAAGGGCCGCAACTGGACAACGGTGGTTGTAGAAGTGGTGCCTGGAAGACTCGACAAGAAGACAGGAAACACAGAAAGCACAACAGGTGATGAGAGCAAAGGTGCAGATGAGGATGTGCTCGAGATTCCGGTGTTTGTACGAGTCGAGTGGGAAGCGGAAGTGACAGCCGAAGACGCCGCTGCAACGGGAGCAGCAAAGGGCACCAAGGAGAGCAGGGAGATTGCTTTCTGGAGTGTTTTGGGTGCGGGCAAAATAGCTGAACCTTAGAAGGGAAGCAAGAAATGCAGTTCTTCTTGCATTTGCCTATAATAATTTGGCCAAAAACGAGAAGTTCTTACCAGTTCACTACCAATACAGACATTGACAGACTGCTTTCATCAGCTTTGCAGTACTGCCTTACAGATCACAAATAGGTTAGATGCTTGGAAAGATTGTGGAAACGAGCCAAATCCTCTTGAACAAGGCAGGCAAGGGCGGATTAGCGATAAAATGCTGCTGCTGCTGCGAAAGGTATCCGTATAGAAAGTTGCAAGCCGAACGCCAGTCCCTGTGCTTTTCGCTCTTTTTCCCAAAACAAAATGACCCGATAAGAAAAGAAGAACATGTGAGCAAAAACGCCATGAAAGGGTGAAAAACAACAAAAGGGCCGCAGTCAAGTCGTTTATGCGTCGACATCCATGTCTTCGGGTCCAGAACCTCTGACCAGTCTCTGCTTCTTCTTGGCCTTGAGCTTTTGCTGGGCCAGTTGCTGCTTCTCGAGTTCCTCCTCTTCTTCCTCGTCCAACTCGTCGACAACATCCAGCATCTCGCTCTCGTCCTCCTCGAGCAACTTCTGGGCGGCCTCGCGCTCGGCGGGAGGAAGCAAGTGCTGGTTCTCTGCGACGAGCTTGCGGTCGGCCTCGAGGTCGCGTTCCTTGTTGCCGCGCATGCGGTTCTTGTAGAACTGGCGTTCGCGCTTGGCGCGGATCTCGGAGACGCGCTGCATGGCCTTGAGAGTGGTGGCGACCAGGTCACGATTGTAGCGGACGGGGACGTTGCGGCGGGCGGCGAAGGAGAGGGTGCTGTCGACGGTCATTTCCTTGCCGTGTGCGCGGCGGAAAGATTTTGTCCAGGCCAGCTTGCGAGGGTTACGCTTCATCTTGAACTGTTGAAGGGTGTGTTAGGGATATGATCATGGATCGGAGAGGTCGCAAGGCGGAACATACGTTCTTGTGGCATTTTGATCTGCAGAAACGGAAAACACGAGCATCGTTGCGGACGAAGGTGATGCCCTTGGATGGGTAGCAGGGCTGCGAGCAGAAATAGCACGTCTCGATTCTGGAAACGGGTGTGTCAGTAGACGTTGCGCAGCATTACGGTTAGCAGAAAAAGTGGACGTACCTCATCTTGAATTGTGGTGATCAAATGTCAAGATGGATGAACAACAACCTGGAAATCTTTCTTCCTCTGCCGGGCGAAACTTCTTTGGATGGTTTCTCTCCGTATTGCGGGGAGTGCCAAGAACGCGGCGAACAGGCAGGCGCTCTCGGTGGACGGAGCTGCCACTGCCAAACCTCCGAACTTTTCCAACGCCATTGCTGGAAGTCGCATCTCACAATATCACATCCCTACACATTCGACCATGGCTACTGCTCTCCTCGTCGGTTTCGGAATCGCCGCCACTGCCTTCTTCGTACGCCATACTCGAATTCCGTGCGCCACGATCCATCACTGACATTCTGCTTGACAGGGCCGCGCTGGCCTCGTGGCTTTCAAGCGCTACCGCGGTGGCACCAGTGCCGTAGGCAAGGCCTTCTACAAGGGTGGCTTTGAGCAAAAGATGACCAGAAAGGAGGCTGCTCTGATCCTCGAGACCACGTTCGTCACTTCTCGCACCTGGATATCAGTTGGAAGCATACAAAAGGACTAACTGTTCTGCCTATCACAGAGAACGCGGCCTCACTCGCGACATCATCCGCAAGAAGCACCGTCAACTCATGCTGCTTAACCACCCCGATCGCGGCGGCAGCCCTTACCTCGCCACAAAGGTCAACGAAGCCAAAGAACTGTTGGAGAAGACGACATGATCCACCTTCCTACCACATCCACATCACCATCTTGTCTTTGTCATCGTCCTTGGAATCGCAGCGCGGCGTTGGTGGTCTTGCCCTTTTCATCCTGTACAACATCCCTACTCTCTATGATCGGAAGCAATCTCCTGCATTTGCATACCAGAAAACCATTGTATACTATTCGAGAAACAAAAATCTATCTTCACACGAACATCGACAAACGCCTCGCTTTCTATCCCTTGTTGCAAAGTAAAAAAATCAACTTCCACAAGTAGCGTCCGTGCCTCTTCTGTTCTGCACTTATGCTTTGCCATTGAGAGCCTTGCCCTTCTCCACCATTTCCTCAATCAACTTGTTGAACTCCTGTCTGAGCTCGATAGGTACCACATGCCCTTGGCCTTCGAAGAAGGCCTTACGAACACCACTCTCCTCACCGCCCAATCCGTTCAGCAACATGTTTGCATGAGGGAAAGTGATCATACGGTCCTTGGTACCATGAACCACCAAGATACGCTCATGGCCCACCTTGTCGCCAATCTCCTTGAGCTGAGCATCAGTCTTGTGGTGCCAGCCTGCAGCAATCGCCTGTGCCATGAAACCAGTACGGTTGAAATGTTGCGGAGTCTTGCGCTTTGCGACTTCCTGTGCGGCGAAGCGGTCGCCATTAGTAGGGAAGGGCTTGACTTTGTATTCTAGACAATCTGGAGCATCGAGGAAGGCTTGGGTGTAGATGTTGTGCTTGACGTTGGCAATTTGGTCGTCCAAGCTGCGAGGGATGAACAGGTTAATGCGGTTGCGCAGATTTTCCACAAAGCCGACTGTATTGACGATACGAGGCGCTGTCGAGATGAGGTTCAATGTTGCAATACGGTTGGGAATCATGTATGCCTGAACCAAGATCACGTCAACATCCAAAAAGAAAAAGAACTTTTTGGTTCGCAAGGGGCGCTTACAAGTTCTTGAGCGATCATACCGCCCATCGAAATACCGACAACGTTCAGCTGTCTCTCTGCTGTCCAGCCGACGTGATCGATGACTTCGAGAAGGTCCTTTGCCATCTCCGAGGTCGAGTAACGTTGCATTGGCTTGCTACTCTCTCCCATACCGCGGTTGTCCACAATTAGAGATGAATACTTTGATCCCTGTGTGTGAGAAAAGTCTTTGGTTTGTCTCTGCCACGCAGCTTTGAGTCCACCAAGTCCCATGATCCACTGATTTCAGAATCGCAAATTAGAATCATGCTTTTCTTTTCAAGTTTACGGATATAGAACAACAGTCATAAGTTGATCAAACATAGAGCCAATCCTCCTCGTGATCCTGGTTTGATGGCAGAACCATGACTGAAGAAAGAAAGAAAGACCAACCACAGAAAGATAGAAAGACACTTACCACCATCTTGTTTTCACCCTCTCCATGCACCTCCCAAGCGATATCAAGAGGACCTCCTCTGTTCTTTGCAACGGACAACTTGCCCTTGGACTTGGGCTTGAGGTCCCATGTGATGTATGGGAACTCTGGGTGATTCTGTATTTCAGCAGCTGAAAGAGGCCTGTTTCGCATTCACCACAAGTAAGCATTCTTGAAGCCTTTCTAGTACAACAACGACGACAACCGGTATCTATCTCGAGCGGGCATTGTTCCCTCCGTCAACATCAGAGTAAGAAGGTTTCTCATTGCTTATCGCCCATTACGTAGTTGCTGTCAGAGATCGTCGGTATAGGCACTTACATATTGTCTTTGTCTGAATAAATTCTGTAATCTCGAGGTTGGAGAGACAACACGAGGCGGACAGTGGATCAGAAATGTACAATTTGATGTAAGAGGAAGACGTCAAAGTAGATCAAAGGGAGAGTGGTTGCTGAGTGGACATTGTAGACGAATGATCGGCAGACCCCATGTCGCGTGCGTATAGAGTCCGTGCGTAGCAAAAGAAACGCAGAGATCCCAAAACATGACCCGACCATCTTCCTCTTTCTCTCTTCACTCCGGTCTTCTGTTTCCTCGAGCTTGTACTTTGTTAAGCACTGGCAGATCAGACAAGACATATATGCAGACAGGCCGTTCTTCTTCACACAGCTCAAACAATTCTACTGACTTGAACGCTGTCCATATTCATCTCTAGCACTGAGGAAGGCGGAGGCATGACCAGGTAAGTACACTCTCGAAAGACAATGCTAACAAGGTCGTATACTACAAGCTCACAGGTTCTGCTGATATGTGCTTTGCGCATTGTTCTCAAGATCGTTGGCTCTTGCCAATCTTTGACATTAGAAGCTCGCCAGTGGCAGAAAAGCTGAGGTTGACCAAGCTAATGAGACCTCTGACATCTGTCCTGGCGAGCTGGTACAATATGCTATGTAGGTTTGCAGCTTCTCAGGGTGAGTGGCCGAGCTCCAGCGCCTGAAATATCAACAATAGGCACGAGCTCAAGGCTTTTATCTCCGCCCTGGGCTATCGTCGTTCTCCTTGTCTCTCTCTCCTCCCCATATATGCCCATCTCGTTATTTGCATGCTCTCTCTTACTTTCATTCCTCATCACTGTCATGCTTAAACCGAAAAAAGAAAAAGAAAATGCTCGCCTTGGTAATAACAAAGACAAGAATGAGATGCCGCATCAACAAACCAACGCCACCCATGTCAATCCAGGACCTCGCCAACAGTCAGCACTTGACATTGCGTTAGCCGAGGCTGGTGCCCAGTGTCGTATCAATCATCTCAGAGGACAACAAAAAATCCTCGTACCCACGCAGGGATTTTGCAGAAACAGAAAGGCCAATCGACCGTCAAATCGAAACGAATACGAACGTCGAAACTGTGGAGTTTGGTTGTTCTTTACACCGAACCCATACGCAGGAGAGCCTCAATAGCTTCTCTTTCCTGGATAGTATGGTCGATCTCCATTGGTGTGGTGCCATGGCTGGGTGGTCTCTGGCTGACACTGCTCCTGTGTTGGGCATGGCTCATTGCTGATGGCCTTCTTGCGAATTGAGGGGTCGATCTTGTGAGGAAGGACGACCTAGCGCCACCAGCGCTTCCATATACAGATGGCGTTCGTGCGTCATGCAGAGAGCCAGAAATGCTGATGAGGTTGTAGTTCTTTCTGGCTCCAGGAGATGCCGCTGTCGAGATAGAAGCTTTGCGTAGAGCGTCCGCTCCCATTGCAGCCCAGTCCTCTTCCTCAGTTTCATCACCTTCGCTGTCTGACATTCCGGAATCGTCCTCAGACATGGCGGAAGAGGAGCCGTCGAGTGACATTTTGTCTGCCTCATTCTCTTCCATGCTCATGTTGTCCAGATGATCATCGTAGTGGGAGGCCATAGAAGACTCTGCCCAACTGTTAAGCTGCTGGTTGTCGCGAGGCTTGTACGAGCCAGGGAAACCGGATTCAGTGTACGAAGCAGCACAACTCTCGGGCTCGCTAGGTGGCGGAGACAACTTTCCATCCCGGTAGCTTGAGCTCAGATCAGGGCGTTCACCCTTGGTGTATGCATCCCATCTGCCCCATCCCACCTTTTCAAACACAACGCTGCCGTCGGCACCACCACCTGCTCGGTTTTCCAAGGCTGCTACGACCAGCCTGCGAGCCTTGGCTGGTGGTATACGCGAGAAACCAGGGACTGACTGCGTCAAGCAAGCCATGACGTGTCTGATGGCGACAGGACCATGTCCGAGCATGATGCCTGGCAAGTGATCCTTTGCGAGCATGGATGCGGTGATGGACTGCGAAGCATCCAATCCCGAGAGCGCGCCCTTGCTAAGAGGAAGAGACGGACGGGAGCCGCTCTCACCGTCGATACGAATCGGAGGCGGCGAGCGTAGACCAGCGGCAGCCTGCGCAGGCAAGCCCGGAGATACGGAGTTAGGTGGTGTAAGTGGCATTCCGATACCGTGTTTGGCAACAGCGGCGGACAAGTTGCTGACGGTCGAGTGTTTGGCCATGCCGCCAGAGTAAGATGGAGAAGCAAAAGCCATGGTGATGGCAGAAGTCGCTGGGTGAGCCATATTCGCTGAGTGTTGCTGGATGCTTCTCTGCGCCACGAGATACGAGTCAGACCGACTATACGTTGATGACGTATGGATCAAGACGAAGATGACTCGGAGCAGGAGGCAAAGGTTTGTGAAGAGCTGCTGCCTTGTATGACTTACACCGACGGTGGAACGGAGACCTCGAGAGTCTTTATGGTGTCAGGGTTGGTAAATTGCTTGGTGGTTGTGTGCGCGACTTGATTCACGTAATCTAGGTACGCGAGATACACGGCGGGGTACGCGATTGCGGACTCGATCGATGAAACAGCAGGGTTGATGGATGATTTGTGTTGTTGCGAAGAACGAGAAGATTGAAATTGTTCAGTGCGACGATAGCAGAGTCTGAGTAATTAGCGAAAGGAACAGCTTGTGTTGTCACGTAGAAGGAGCAGGGTAGTCAGCAGGAACAGGCTGCCTCATGATATGAGCGTGGTCTGTTGATTGGTTATCGCATCGAGGAAGCCACCATATGGGGTACAGCCGTAACCGCACTCGGAGTCTAACTTTGTCTATTTGTTCCATGCGCGCTGTGACTCTTCTGAGAGGCTGCAACTCGTCATCAACGTTTGGCCGTGGTTTGTCTCGCGGATGCCCAACTACCGTTCAAAGCACGCACGTGTGGTTCAGTCCTTTGGTCTATGACCTGAATCCATAGCATCCTGAGACAATCGACAGCATCCTGCTATTCCGCTCTGCCCGATGTCGCTATGCACCCAGTCGATGGGATAGAGGGGTCAACCATTATCGTGGTCTTCGGTCCACGGAGCTGCTCTCCACGATTTTGCCCGACTCCCGAAGCAAGCCCAATGCGCCTCAATTCAACGAGCTCTAGCCTCTTCATCCTTTGTCAACCTGCTGCATCCCTCCTTGGACCCCGCAGCTGCTCGCGCAGAGAAGGATCGCGCAGTCTGCGACACTTTACTGCCGAAAGGTTATCCCTTGTGCCCCTTGAAATGAGCTGAATTCAACCTGCATGAACGCTGAGAAGTTGGTAGTGCCGGTGTGTCTGGCCTAACCTGGCCGTGCTTCGAGACAACACCAACACAAGGTAGCAGAGGGAGGGAATTAATGCGTGTACACGATCACTCGATTGCCAGAGACTATCGAGCCTGTTTCTTGGCTTAAGAATGATCACAAGGCACGTCCGCGAGCCGTTTTGCCAGAATGTGTATCGCGCTGGCTTGCGACGACGACGTCCCGTGACGCTTGTGATTCTCGAACAGACAGGTAGTACCGTACCTTATCATACTTGGAAGTTGGAACTTGTTACCGCCTACGTCAAATATCCCTCCAACAGCTGAAACAGGTTTATCAAACTTTCCAGCCCTGCGATAGGTGCTGTTATCTCCTTTCTCCTAATCAGATCTTACTACCAGCAGCGGGATGAAGGTACGTCAAAGTAGCTCGATTGAACACACGGAGTGTCAACAATACAGTCCAAGTCCTCGATTTAGGTGAGGTAGACCAATATGTTACGTCTGCAAGCAATTGCGCACAGTAAGATGAAGGCGATGCGAATGGATTCGAGGCAATGTCATGTTGCGAATATCGTGACCCTGTCCGCCAAAATATCATCACTCGATGCTAGTATTCTTGAAGCACAATACATTCTGCAACCCAGGGAATGCACAGGGCTCTTTAAAGTGTCGTTCAATTCATCATTCAGTGTATATACGTGAATTGTTGGTCAAAAAACAGGTGATGCCGATAAATGAGCGTCCACTGTTGAGATTCAGCTTGGAACAACAGCAGGAGACATGGAGCATACCATCAATACAGTAACCCAGCAATAGTCTCGAGTTATCAAGCGAGCCACGGAGGATTTGCACTTAGTGCTTTTCAAAGGTCAGTACGATGTTTAAGTGTGATATCTTTCAATCTTGAACATACTCCGCAAGAAGAGCAACCGCAGTTGCTGCAACCGGAAGAGCCACAGCAGTTGGTGCAAGAGCAGGAAGGCATGTTGATTCTGCAAAACGAGATTGATAGCTTGATGAGAATATTGTTTGTCTGAATTTGAGAAAAGCAAAACATGAAAAACGGGTATACTCGTTCGTTTATATACATCATCAAATGCTCAGGCATGTGAATGGCTACGCACCAAGAGCAGCCTTCTGCCGTACTTGCTTGCAGTCTTCTTACCCCTCACGATAATGCAGCAGAAATACGAGAATTCAGGGCTAGATTGAGCGAGATGTATAACATACATTGTGCTAGATGGATGTGGCAGACGAATCGCCAGACACAGCAGCGTCACATGCGGGACCTGCCAAGCGGGACGAAGTGTGCAAGATGATGGATGTGCCAGCGCACCAAGTCGATTGGAGGATAACGACTCGACAACACTCGGCCAACATGTTACAAGTCACGAGCTTCCACGCCCCATGCATAAGTAGGGCACCCAAGACGTGACCACTTGAGGCTTGCGAATCTGCAGATCTCGGGTGACACTTCTGACCGAAACGTAGCGAGGCACTTGGTACATAACAAAGTAGGGCGAGAGACTACGCTGGGTTGTGCTGATAATTATCATTACAAAAAGCAAGAGCTGCTATTGGGTATCGAGAAGTCGTTATCGTAAAGTACACCACTCCTGGGCCGTGAGCGAATGAACCCAAGGTCTCTTTCCTAGTAATATCCCGAACTCATCCGACGATTCCATTCTTGTCCAGTCCGACCTTGAGCTTCTCGCGACAGATTGGACAATACCACTTGGCCCTCCTTCCGGGAAGCTCTGTGAGGCCGACACATTCGAGATGGAACCACTCGAGTTCACACTGCCATGTTTCAGTCAGTACACCGGCAGAAGAATGGTCGAGCATAGGACTTACGCTATCGTTGTCACAGGCAATCATGGTGCCGTGACTGACATCTCCACAAATACAATAGCGTGGCTCATCGGGGTCGATCAGCTCATCTTCGATGGCAGGAGTGGCAGTCTCTTCCTTGGCCTCTTTCTTCTTTTTCTTCGAAGCACCCTTTGGTCTGCCTACTATGACCTTTGTACCATTTTCCTCGGCTTGAAGGACCCCCTGAGGCGGCTTTCTGCGAGTAGGCCGTCTTCCGGTACTGGTTTCTGCAGGACCGGCAACGTTGCCAGGTGCAGGAGAGCGAGATTTGTTGTTCCCAGAGCTTGGTAGCGAAGCATTGGAGTTACGACGTAAGCTTTGTCGTGTGTTGGCTGGCTCTGCCGATGCAGCCTTAGTGGCGGAATGCTTGAGAGTAATCGTTGTCGGCCTCATTGCTCTTGTGCTTGCAGCTGGAGTCTGAGTGGCTGCTTCACTTGGCGCAGCCTCGAGCTCAGGCTGTGCAGAATTGCGTCGACTGCGCTGCGACCTCTGGCGTACTGAGATTCGCGGAGTAGAGGTCGCTGTCGTACCGGGAGAAGGAGCGTCTTTGACAGCAGTGACGGCACGAGTAGAAATAGTAATGGTAGGTGTGTCTGACGGTGGAGGAGGAGCAACGCTCAATTTGATCTTCTTCGGTTGTGGTGCGTTACGAGGAAGTGAAAGGACATCAGGTGATTCTGCAACAGGCTCAGATGGAGGTGGTGCTGCAGCAGGAGTGGCAGCGTCGCGTTTGCGCTTTCTGGTCGTGACCGGTTCTGTGATTGCTTCAGGTTCAGAGTTTTGAGTGGGCTCTGGCGGACTGAGATTTTTGGCAACAGGTTCGGGCTGTGCGGATACTGGAGCAACAGGCGCGTCCTTAGGTTGGACAGACTCTGGCGCAGGTGCAGACTTTTGTTTGGATTGTTTCTTTTGTTTTGGCTCAGGCTTGTCCTTTGGTTCAGCAGTGGGTACCGAATGATCAACAACTGGTGTCTGAACCACCTCTTGTTGTTCCACAGCTGGCTCTGACTGAGGCTGAGGCGGCTTAGGTGGCTCAGCTGGCCCCGTTTGCGATTGTGCTTGTGCTTGTGCTTGTGCCTGTGACTTTGGCTTTGGCTGTGGCTTTGGGGGTGATTTCTTCTCCTTGTTCTGCTCAGGAGGGGGTTGCAAACCAGCCTCCTCTTGTAGTCTTATAGCCTCTTCAGCCTTGAGCTTTTCGCGTTTGAGCTTTTTAGCTTCGTTGAGACGCATGCCACGGTTAATAAGCGCAGCATCCTGGTTGTCGTCTGGTAACTCGGGCCCAAGCATCTTAGCAGTCTCGGCCTGTTGTGCGTCGGTGATATGAATGCAAGTAGGATCAGTCCAAGTGAGAGGGTCGAATTCGTCAACAAACTCCTGACCAGAGGCTTCGGCGGCGGCTGTGGACAAGATAAGTATCGAGTAGAGGCTTATGACAAGCATAGAACGTACCTTTGGCTTCCTCCATGGCAGTTATACCTCTGCCGAGGTTCTTCAGCTCACGATTCCTCATAGCAGGTGAAGGGAGCCAGATTGCATTCTTCTTCATCCTCTTGCGCAGCGTGGCCATCTCGTACTCGGTCAGTCTCTTCCATGGCAACCACTTGCTACCAGGAACTGCATCTGGAGGCGGAGCGGTCAGAGCCATCAATGCGTTCGAAGTGCTGATGCCCGCGACGGCCGAGTGTGCATTTGTGCCAGAAGAGCCAGGCAGGCGCACACGAGGGGGTTTCTGTGTAGCTTCTTTGGGCTCTGTGGCGGACTTGGGGAGCTTTGGAGTTTTGGGAAGCCTTCCAACAGCTTTGTTGGGATTGCGAGATTTATCATGATTGGGGGAGCGAGGTGGAGGAGAAGGAGAGGGCGAGAAGTCGGATGGCGGAGGAGAGTCTGGATTCGGAGGTGGCAGAACCTCGCCAGGGACGACGATTTTTTGAGCTCTTACGCGTGGGGCGGTACCAGTGCGGTGCTGAGCAGTGCGCTTTTCGGCCTGTTGTTGTGCTTGGGCGTTCCTTCTCAGCTGGGGAGAGGTCAGGCCAGGCTCGGGAGTGGCATCGCGTTCGGGTGGGAGAGGCAGAGCTTTCAGTTTCCTCTGAACAAGCTGCAGCTTTGTCGCATCTTTGACGACTGTTTCTTCGAGACGGATGGCTTCAGCAGCCGACATGCGCTTGCATCTCTCCAGAGAGTCGTAAGCACGGCTGATGTCCCGTCGCAACTGAACGGGATCAGGCGCGTCTGTCGCATTCGCGGTGGCTTGTGGAAGGTTGCTGTATTTGGACAGAAGGCTGTGAATCTCGAGCTGAAGGTCGTCGGCCTTGCGGTTCAGGCTCTGGATGAGGAACAGACTGCGCGTTACCGTCGAGGGAAGGTGCTCGCTGTATGTGAGGAAGTCGCTGAGAGTGGCTTGAACATCGGGATCGATCTGTCGGCCCGAGTCCAGGTCCATGGCCATATCAAGATGGAGCATCTCGGTGCTCATGTTTGCGCCGGCGCATTTGAAGCCTCACGAAACTTCCAGGTTGGTGGTTTGGTTGTTGAGTTTCGTGGACGACGTGGACGCGCATCGCGTCGACAAGCATCACTGCAGGGCTCAGGAGCTTCCCCACAATCTTGCCTTGTCTTGGCATTCACATGCCGCTCGGGCGCCTTCCATCCATGCTCCTCCATCAACTTGGTCAGTCTAGTTACTTGATTTAACAACAGAACATTTGGCCAACACCAACCAGTCAATTACGCAAAGAAGACGCTTGTATGTAGATGCACAAACGGTGACCTCTTCTATCTCAATGGAAGCTGCCATTCGCTGGTCTCCTCTCTCGACTCCTGATGAAGCCCGCTTTCTGCTGGCCGATGTCGCCGGCAATGCTCTCACACTCTATCAGACCCAGTCTTTGAAGAGACATGGCGTTCAGTATAAGCCCATAGCTCGCCGTGAGAAAGTCAACAATTTCACTGCTTTCGACTGGTCAAGGACCGATGACTCTCTTGTAGCTCTGGGCTTATCATCAGGCAATGCTGAGCTATATAGATTTGATGATTCTGCTTCGTCCGATCCTGTCGCCCTCTTCAATATCAAGACCCAGCGAAGATGCAACACCATTGCTTTCAACACTCAGAACCTGCTTGCCGTTGGTCTAGATCGAGTTAGACACGATAATTGTCTGACTGTCTATGACATTCAATCTAAGGAGGCATATTCCAGACTATGTGTCTCTGAAGCCGTCACCAGTCTTCGCTTCTTTCCCAACCATCCGCAACAGATGCTCGCTGCTGTATCGCGTCAGACCATTCGATTATACGATCTGAGAGGTAAGCTTCTGCACCAACCAGCACAGCATCTAGTCCTCATACATAGACTAATCTTTCGAATAGACTCGTCAACCACAACTGCAGGATTGGGAAACTGCGGTGTCACCAAGCTGGTCAACAATATTGCTATCGATCCTCTGGACGAAAACTACTTCGCTTCGGGTGGCTCTACAGGCGATCCGTCCGTGACTGTTTGGGACAAGCGCTATCTTTCTCGCTCAAATAGCGCGACAGGACCCGATGCTATTAACAATGGAGCAGTCCTTGATCTTCGTCCAGCAACAGACAACAGCCAGACCACTAGCGTCTGGAGCATCAGGTACTCTGGCCAGAAAAGAGGTCGTTTCTGCGTCTTGTCCAGCACGGGAGAAGTCAAGTTGTACGATACAGCGCAGCATAAAGTGCACTCGAAGTTGCGGCCAGCATCAGTGAACTACTACGGGGGCAATCCCTGGACACAACCTCACTATGTCGCACGTACGCACAGTCTACGAGAACCAGAAAGCAGCCCTCGCAAGGACAGAACATCAAATAAAGTCATTGCATTTGACTGGATCTCTACAGACGATCGAGGCTCTCAAGCAATCTTGGCCTTGCATCCGAATCGTGACGTCGATCTGATATATACTCCTAGTCCCAGTCATGTTGACATTACTGGACGAGGCGATCTGTCTATCTGTAACACGGCCTTGTCACTATACGAACCGAAAGACCAATATCCATCTGTCGCCCAAGAAGTTAGAGCATTGCGTAAAGCTTCTGAGAGTGCGGGCTCAAAGCAGGAAGAGCATTATACGTCCAAGATCCCCACTTTAGCCTCTGGACCAGCTCAACTGGACCATCGTAATCTCAAGTCATTAAACGGATCAACCAAAGCCTTCGCTGCTAGGACCGAGGAGTGGCTGGACGATAGCATGAGCAAGGCACCTCATATTGTTCGCAACGAGAGGGTTGTGGATCTGTTGGCTCTTTCCAATGTTTCGCGAAGGCGTTGTCAAGAAGGCTACCTCTTCGATCCTACACGGAATATTGAGATTGTCGCCGAAGACTCAACTTTGGTCAAGCTATGGGGAACCATCAAAAGATTCGAAGACCTGGCCCAGGACGGTGGCATGGCGTCGGAGACCCTTGACTTGAGCTACCTTGGCGTGAGCAATATTTGGGAGAGCAAATTAGGCAATGGACCAAACAGGGTAACGTCTGCCCATAATGTCGTGCCAGAACAATTTGAAGATGTGGTACGGGATATTCTCGAACGTCACAGTCTACCAGAATTCATGGGAGTACGAACAGAGAAACCGGACCAACGACAACTCTGCCTGGCTTTGTGTGGATGGAACTTCTCGCACGAGCACACGAAGGAGCGGTGCGACTACCTTGTCAAGAAGCAGCGTTACTACGAAGCCGTGGCCACTGCCATGTTTAGGGGACGTCGGTCGATCGCTCTGGAGATTCTACGTGACTTGATTCGAGAACGGACGATCCAAAACATTGGGTTAGGAGCCTTGATAGCATCAGACTCGCTGAATGACGAGCAGCGAGAAATGTGCCGCTGGATGGAGGAAGACGCAACAGATCCATACCTACGCTCCCTACTAACATACTTGGCCAGCAACGACTGGCTTGACGTAGTTCACAAACTCGACGCAGACATCAAACTTTCAGATCGTGTAGGTATTGCGATTAAACACCTCAGCGACAGCCAAATCTCGACCTTCTTATCTCAAACGAGCACTTCTCTGGTCAACACCGGAAATGTAGAAGGTATCCTTCTCACAGGCCTATCAGAGAAGTCCATGGAACTCTTCCAATCGTACATCCGCCGGACCTCTGATCTTCAAACCGCAGTGCTAGCCACAGCCTTCACAAACCCCCTCTACGTCGACGATCCTCGCTGGGAAATGTGGAAAGAGACATATTTCCTGCACATGCAGTCCTGGCGCGCCTTTATCGAGCGTACGAAGTTCAGCATGCAGCACACTCGCCGCGCCGTAACTAGCAAGGGCAAGAAGCTCATTCAGCCTCCACCGAGACAACTGGCGCTTCGGTGTGCACACTGCCAGCACTCACTAGCCAAGGAAGACCATAATACTCACACTCATGGCAACAGCACAGCTGCCAAGGGAGCAGCCCAACCAGCACGGATTGCAGGTCCAGCTGCAAGTGCAGGGACGGTTTGCCCACGCTGTGGTCGCCATCTGCCGCGCTGTTGTCTGTGCATGCAGTGGTTGGGTACACCCGAGCCTATGCGCGCAAAAGAAGTCCAGAGTGGTGAGAAGGAAACAGATGTGCTGAGCAAGTTCATCACCTTCTGTGCTAGCTGTACGCATGGGTTCCATGCTCATCATGCGCGTACCTGGTTTGCCAGGCACGCCATGTGTCCAGTGCCGGATTGTCGATGTCTGTGTGGATTGAAGTGAGTAACTCGGGGCACAAATGATAGGATCTCAGGTTAGAGTTGTGTCCATCATCAAGTACACTGTGATGAGAACAAACAGAAAACGTAAAGGGGCAAAAGAGATTCAGCTCCATTCTTCTCGTTCAATCTACTACATGCGCTCCTCTCTTGTTATGCTAGAATTCGACGATAAGGTTTATCTTTTGAGAGAAAAAGAAAAGAGGTGAAAAACTGGCAAAGTGTATTCTCTCGTTGAATGTTCTTCCTTCAACGAGTCACAAAGCCTTTTGTCTATCCACAGACCTGCTGTATTCGTCGATTTGGTGAACCCAACGGGAGAATTGGGAAAGGTTGACGAAAGTATTGGCGTTATTGCATGACAGAAGCATGAGTCTAAGGCGATCATGCATTCATTTGGGGGGTTGTTGTGTTGAGCATCCGAGGTTTGACATGACTTAGAAAGTCTCCTCCTCGATCAACTCGCCCTCCTCATCCTCGGCCTCGGCAGGGATCTCAAAGCCCTCCTACAGCATGTCAGTCAGCTTCGTGTTCATCCGTCTGAACAATAGAAAGGAAACGCACCTCAGTCGAGTAGAGAATAGTCTGTATTTGCTTCAGAAGACCACCCTCATCCTTCTCAAGCTCGGGCTCGGCCTCCATAGCACCCTGGACGAGCAGTTCGATATCCCGGAGCTTGCTGAAGTAGAAGTCGCGCTCGCGTTCCAGACCCTGAACAGTCTCCTTAAGTGCGTTGTTCTCCTGTGTCAAAGCGGCGGTCTGAGCACTTCCTGCACCTCCCAGAGGAGTGCGTGTTCTGGCGCCAGAGGTTGCAGCGACTGCGGGTGCGCGCCTTGTAGTAGATGCTCTGGGTGTGGGTGCAGGAGCTGAGCCAACAGCTTGTCCTTTTCTGCGAGCAAGAGCATCATAGTCACCACCTATAGTTGCGGAATATCAGTATATGTTTGGCTGTGTGTTCATAAAGAAGCAAGGCAGGCGTACCAGGGTAGTGCTGGTCCCAGAAGCGCTTTGTCCATTGCAGGAACTCCAGGTTGTCCTGCATCTTGCATTTGACTAGCATCTCGACGGGAATGGGACGGTCGATGTGGTGCTTGCGGAAGGCATTGCTGAGAATCTTGAAGTTGTCGAGGTAGGCATAATCGGCGGTTGCGTTAAACTTGACACGGGACATGGGCAAGTCGACTGGCGAGTGGCTTGTCAGTTGAGTCAAGGAGTGAAAGGGAGATGGCGAGAGTGCGTACGGAAGATACTGTCGTAGATTGCGCAGAAGGGCGCACTAGATGGTTGGTTAGCATGGGCAGATGAAAGAGAGAAAGAGAGATGATAGTGAGCGTACCCAGTACCGCATTGCTCGACACGGGTGAGGTTGAGCTGGCAGAGGCTGTTGAGCCATTGCAGGAGTTCTTGTCTGCAGCAGCGAGCCAAGTTAGCGGTGGGATGCACCTCCCCTGATGTGTGCCGGCTGGCGCAGATGCACATGCCTGGATTCACCCATGTTGGCCGTTGTATGCTTCCTCTTTTGTAAATGTTTGTCTGGTGGTACGAGAGATGGCGGAGGCGAGACGAGAGTGGGAGCCGAGGGAGGTTGCAAGATTGCGAGATTGTATGCGGATAAAGACAGGAAATGTCAATCTTCAAAGTGTCCAACTAGCACAAGCCGGGTGTTTGGTTGACGCCGAAAACATCACGCCCAAAACAACCCGCCCCGCTTCATGACCGCCCGCCAAGCCAACATCATTTCACTATATCAACTCTGCATGTGAATACGCCATTACATGGTTTGCCTTATCTGCCATATACACCTACCGAGGCTTCTTTCTGTCAAGTTGGCCTTTGAGAATATCAAACACATGTCTCTTGAACACTTCAGATAAAGCAAGTTGTGACGACTCAGAAATGCAAGGCTTTTGGTATTCTGCAGTAGTTCCATATCCGCCTATGCCATGCCCGTGTCTAGCTTCCTTTGCTAGACTACAAAATTTCTTTTCCTCAAGCGCCCTGAACGCCTGAGCTAAAGTCTGATAGCATTATTCCATCTTTGCCTTACCATAATACTCTGGTCGTTCATGTTGAAAAGGCAGCATGCGATTGTGTCAACACAGTCCAGTGAGTGAAGTCAGCCAGCTAGGCATTTCGCATGCTCAATGCAGCAGCTTCATCATTGTGAGCAGCCCTGCCGAGCTCATAGGTTCGTCTGTCCTCATGCGTCTTGTTTCTTGTTCGGAACCCTCCCTCAACTCATCTCCACATCCTCCTTCTTTGATTTGTTATTCGCCGAGATCCAGAGAACGTTGTTGCATCTGATGAGGACCTGACCAAGACTGCCGCCAGACTTTCCATCAATCCATTCCTCGGCGTTGGAAAGCTGAATGTTCATGTACGAGTCGACCGAGACGAGCAGACCAGTGTACTCCTGGCCCCACTTCAGGCGGATGCGAACTTCGTCATTGACGCTGTGAAGGAGCTGTGTTAGCTTGGTCGGCGCAGAGAAGATAGCGAGCGCGAAGGAAATCAAGGCGGTAGCGGGTAGACGAACAGTGACTGCAGCATAGGCCGCGGGTTCAAGGGCACGAACTGCAAATGAATTAGTATATGACTCCAGAAACATTGCGCGACGCGACTTGGCTCACACTCATGATGATTGTGGAATGTGGTTGACTTGTGATGATATATGCAATATCAATGTCGCGCTTTCAGATGATCGAGCTGCGCTCAGGCTGTCGCGAGCTTGGCCCTTCTCCAGCTCACGGCGAATCCCGCTGCAAGGTACGACTTCGTCTACTCGCTAACTCAACTGCAAGCAATCCATGAGCCAGTTTTCAGAGGTCGAGTAGCAATGCAATTGGTGGCTAAACTACTTTCTTACCAGCCTTCTGACAGAGCAAACAGATTTTGCAGAGGGACGCCCAGTAAGAATGCAACAAGAACATAACTTTCAACCACCAGGAACATACTAGACTACGAAAGAGCACGTAAACATGTCAAATCACTTGCAACTAATCAGATCCGGTGAAACGAAAAGAGGTTAACTTTCAAAAATTGCAATTTTGCTTCGCACGGTAGACGACTTAGTTGTTGATGACAGTAGTACATGCGTTGCGTTCAGCACGCTTGGAGCAAGGGCATATGATTCCACCACAGAGATTCATTGACCGTTCCCCTTTCCAGATCCTTGCCATGACTGCTTTTATGTGTTGAGGGCCGATATGCAGCAACGGCCTTGCTCTCTTCAAGGGGTTGAGCTGATTTAAGCACCGAGGCTAGGGAAGTCCGAGGAGCTGCTGACGTTGACGGGAGCAGCACGGGGAGCACGAGGAGCGCTGTCACGGGGGGCACCGCCTCTAGGGGCACCGCCACGAGGACCACCACGGCCGCCGCGAGGGCCACCACGAGGACGGTCACCACCACGGCCACCACGACCGCCGCGGAATCCAGAGTCCTGGGATTGGGACTGGTCCTCCTTCCAGGCCTGGTCAATGTCGAGGATGTTCTTGTCCTTGCGCTCCTTCTGCTTCTTGGCCTTGGCGGCGGAGGGGGCGACGTAGTTCTCGTTGGCGTCACGCTCGAAGGCCTTGCCCTCGGGGAACTTCTTGGAGGCACCCTCGTTGGCCTTGCGGGCCTCGAAGGTGTTGTTAAGAGCGGCCTTCTTCTCAAGCTGCTCGGCAAGGTACTGCTCGTAGGACTTGACGTTGTCCTCCTCGGCAGGGGTCTCGGGCTCAGCGACGGTGGCATCGGCGACGATACCCTCCTTAGCCTCCTCGGCCTTGGCGTCAGCAAGAGCGGCCTTCTCGTCGTTCAGCTCGGCATCACCAGTCTCGTGGCCCCAGGCAGCACCGGCCTGCTTGGCGTGGTCCTGAAATGTGTTGTCAGAGCTAGGTTTCATGATATGCGCAGCCAGTCCAAACTCACGTTGTTACCGGCGTGTCCAGTGCGGTCGTGCTTGTCGTCACGGGCAGTGCGGGTGCCTCTAACACCACCACGGGCACCACGGGGTCCACGGCCTCTGCCACCAATGTCACGGTGCTCGTTGACGTCTCTGGTGCGGTTGGGGTGACGGTCCTGGCGGACACCGTCATCGGTAGGCTTAGCTCTGTTGTTCAAAGCACCTGCGCCCTTATCACGGAATGCTGCAGCGAAATGGTGTCAGTGGGTGAGGTTGTGGGCGAGGGTTCGACAGGCATAGTTTACCCTGCTCAGAGCCAGTGAAGACGGCGTGACGTCCACCGCGGCCACCGGCAGCGGGTCTGGGAGTGTCGTTGGAGGGACCCTCAGCACCAGCGTTGCGCTTGCCGGCGCGCTGGACGGGCTTGTCGATGATCTTGGTAGGAGGCTCAGGCTCTCTGTTGGGGTCGAGCTCCGGGTCGTTGCCTGGTTAAGTTCGTTGTTAGAAGGCTCGTCAGGTGACCATGTTGCGATTTTGCGATACCCAGAAGCTCGTAAAGGTTCTGCACGCAGGAATTGGGTCAGCATGAGTGCATTGCGATGAAAATTACGAAAAAGGCGTGTGTCGAGCTCTGGCGAGCTACATTCGATTTCTGGTGCAATTGCCGACTTGCGCGCAATTTGCGGATCGAGGGATTGTGGTGGCAGACGTACCTTGCTTGCCACAGAAGCCATTTTTTTGTCTTGATCTGTCTCTGTGTGGTGAGCGATATCAGACTCCCCGTCGCTGAGAGAGCAGAGATGGATGCGTTCGAAAAGTGTGGCCCGTGCTCTCTCGCTGGCTGCTCTTTTCTGGCTTTGTGTGGGCTCTCGCGTAAACCTGTGAAGGCTTTCATCATGACTTCAGAGGGTTTTAGGCTCACTTTGATCTGCGACCACTCGCGTCTTCTTGCATTTCTGCAGCATACCGAGTATATCAAATGCATGTATGATCTTGATGATCAGACATAGCCAGGCGATTTTGCATAGGGCACTGCTCTTGCAAACTCCAGGTCGGATTACAGGGAGTCATATCTAAACCTCAACCCCGCGGTCGCCTGTCTCACTACATACCAAGCCCCTCTTCTCGATCAAGACATGAATTGCACCAGCCAGCTCGAAACTGCATTCTACAACCTACCCGTATACTAAAGACTTATGCTAGTAGCTAAAGGCTGTCAACCCCACCATCGGACTCTCCATCACGACAAGTTGTAATGACACATGGACTATCATAATGCACTAGGTTTCGCTAGCTTGAAGCGTGACCATGAAGACAGCCCCGACGAATGTGCTTTCTTTGGATACCACTTGTTTTTATCAATCGTCGTGCAGTCACACAGCTACATCGTAACCAGTTGAGCACACAGGGAGGCAGCTTGAGATATGCACATACTGGTTGCCTTCTTCGAAAGCTCAGTATTGCAATGACTTGATTATTGGTTACAGTAGTCATGAACGCATGTATCAGAGCATTTCCACAACTGACCAGTCGCTGAACCATAGGGATGCTGAGCAGAGTCGTGGTTCTGCCCAGCTGCAGCTTCTTTGCGCCCAAACACCTTTGCTATGCCGCAGTAACAAGAAATTAACCACCACCTCTCAAAACAACAACTTTTTTATATGAACATTTATGTTCATCCTTCCCATATTTCATACACCATGACTTTTCTTTTTCGTGATTGTTCGCGACGCATCGCATGATGACCTGAGTGCAATAAGGTCGCCCAGAAATCCACCAGCCAGAATAGAAGCACCCCAGATCAAATCGGTCCGTATCCTCCTTTGTGTGAATAGCTCGACATTCTACCTCTGTGGTGGGTGTTGAAAGCCATAGTCGGTCGAGAAATGCATGCTTGCTGACAAGCCAAACGGATCCGCATCAAGCATCGGGTCGTAGGGGTCGAAGATTTGGTTCATTCCCGGGATCTGTCCCTCGCCTGGGTGGGCTCGGTCGTGATCTTGGTTGCTGCTCTTAGCAGGCCCGTGGTGTTCGGCGTGTTGTGCAGCGTGTTGTCCCTGGTAGGGATTCGAGGAAGGGCATTGCGGTGGCTCGGCGGCTTGGACGGGGGTTTGTTCGTTCACTTCGGATTCGGTTTCGAGCATCGACGAGGATGTTGGTTGGGAGTCGTACTCCTGATCTGTACTCACGAGATTAACCTAGGACGACAAAGTTCTATCGAGCAAGCCCGAAAGAGGGATCGGGACCACTTGCCCAGCTGTTCAATGTGTTTTTGGAATGGCGATGGATAGAATGCCGATGCATTGCCTGCTACTCCACTGGTCGATTCGGACATGCTAGATACTCCGTTGGGAGCCGAGAAGGCAGGACCCCGGTGCTGAGGTGGGTGCTGCATGACATAGCGCGAACGGGGTGGCTGACCCACTCCATACTGTTGCTGTTGACCTCCAGTGATTACTGATGCTGGTGGGGTCATAGCTCCGGGTTGCATAGCAGCAGGTGACTGAGTAGACAAGGCTGTAGGTGAGGACGCATGTGATGACGGAGTGGGATGACCCTGAGGGGAACGAGCAGAAAAGGAAAGATCTGGTTGCGCTGCCGCGCCAGGTCCGATCCGTGGAGGGTAGACCTGGCCGGAACGTCTTGCATGCTGTCGGTTCAGTGCTGTGCGTTGCAGAGGAGCAGCTGCCATTGACGACGGAGCATGGTGGGGGATATACGAGTGTCCGAGAGCAGGACTGCCCGTTTTCATCTGCAACTCGGCCTGCACATCAATGCCTGGACAATGGTCAGCTGGATCGACGACAGGATGGGGTCCCAGCGATGGCCCAGGTAGTTAATAACGAACCCTTCTCCAACAAGATTCTCTCAAGAAGCGAATTCTTGTAACGGAGCATGAGACATTCATCAGCCGCACTACGGTGACTTTGCTGCAAAGTCTGCAGTGTCTCTTCATGGTGCTTGATGGTGGTCTCGAGTTGCTTGATGTATTCGGTGCGCCTCTCTCGGAATGCAGCCTGAGCTTGCCTATTCCTTTGCTTCCGCTCCTCGGATGTGGCATAGATCTTTGGCTGGGTTAGCAAGGCCATGACGTGTGACGGTTACAAGATGCTACGAGTCTATCTCCAACAAACGTCTGAGATGAGATATGGGAATGTGTCACGACGTACAGGTTTGCGGCCTCCTTTGCGCTTCTGCGGCTGGGCCTGGTCTTGTACTATCTCAGTGGTGGAAGGCTCGGGAGTCGACTCGAGCGAGCTCGGAGTGGCCTCTTGCCCGGCATCGCCATTGTCTCTGATAGCGCTGGCTACGTCGGAAGCAGCCATTTGTGTGGTGCTGTGGTTGTTATCTCCCATCTGCAGGTACCCCTCTGGCCGAGCTGGAGATACCCCTCAGATAGCGCAGGCGGGATGCGGAGATAGCAGTGCAATAGGTCGAAAGGCGGGGAGACGTAAAAAGGCGTGTCAAAGATTGCTAATCGTGGGAGATAAGCTTGCAAGGCATGTGCGAAAAGTGAGCGACAATTGGTGAGGTAAGTAGTTGGGTAATGGAAACGGCAGGTGGTAAGAGGGAATTAAGCAAGCCCATAGAATAAGAAAATTCTGTCAGTCTCCGCACTTGCAACTTGCCCTCGTCTGGCACGTCATGCGCTGAGGAGTGAACGGTCGCCCGGCTCCGGTCCTCTCTGCGCCCTGTCACCTTAGCAGCAGGTGATGAGAAGGAGGGGCCCACGGTCTCTTGTCGGCGCTGTCCGGTTCGAAGGGAGCTGGCAGCCACTTCGGCGGCCATGTGGCATCGCAAAAGTCCCACGATTGGGAGCTGCTTCAAAAGCCGCGGGATCCCCCTCACTCGCGCACGCCTTTTTTGCAGCGAAGAAGCGATCTGAGGTTGCATCGAACCTGCAGAACATCGGAAAAAGCTGCTTCTTTGAGCCTAGTCGATCCGACGCATCTTCTAGGGTAGCTTGGCAACAACTTTAAATCTCCGCGGACTTGAGACACCACTCACACACCGGTCCCATGGTCTCTTCTGTCTCAGGGACATTGATCATGAAGCTTGAAACAAGGCCACCTCCATCTCTGACAGCATAGCGCATGAGGAGAGCAGCCAGACACAATCTACGATATCAAATGTACTGATGGGTGCGAGGCTTGTCAAGCAGTGAAGTCGCTGGCTTCGAACCACATGACCTTGCGGAATTGGCAATTTGACGAAATTGAATATTACCGACCACTCACTTGGGTAGTTGGCAAGTCGCATGAATTGTTGCGAGAGCACCTGAGGTGAGGACACAAGAGAGAATCGCTGCATGAACTAGTGTTACTTCGTAATTGCCTTCTAAGGCAGGCATTCCGAGGACGAGAACGTGAAGTGTCACAGTTCGCTGAATGCAACAGCCGCCAGAATCATGGCACAAGCAATCACGACAAGGAATTCGCTCCTTCCACAATCATTGTAAGTGATGAAGCCAAGGCTGCATTCTTTCCATCAGCCTTTGATGACCACCATCTCTTTTGAATGCATATTCAGTGGTATCAACCATTTTCAGCATCTTGCTGCAGGCCTTTCGTTTGAACATCTTGAAAACACTGCAGCTTCTTTTCTATACTCTTTCCTCATACCGATATCATAGAAACAGCGGGTGACTTATACCACTCCTCTTCCTTGAGCGCACTTGAATGTGGTAATGGATGGAGGACAACGTGATAAAGCAAAGAAGCCAGTCTTTACCATCGAACGAGGACATACACCTGGCCACCAAGGATGGCCATCTGGCATGCGACCTCTTTCGGACATTCGAGAACTTACTGAGCCCAGTCTAGTCGATGCTTTGGAGAAAAGACCGACAACAAGCGTCCATCGTCAACACAGCGCTAGAATAAGTCGGCAGAGTTCGCTTAGGAGAGGCCCCTCATTAAGGCGTGCCGGCTCGGTCAGGATCATTGAACCAATTGGAAGCTCCAGCTCTAGTTATAAAGATGACTTGGTTGCATCCGAGTCAACTATCGACACACCAGAAAGCCTGCGCGACGGCTCTAGCCTATACGGCATACCCATCTCAAGCATACCTGCTCGCCAGTCCTCAACCACTCGTGACCGTCAAAAACATCACCGGAGTACCACCTCGAGATCGTCTCCCACATCCGTTCAACGAACTGCCAATCGAACCATTCCTTATCGCGGGCCAACGCATTCGCCTGTCAAGCAGGTTAGAGCCCGCTTGGATGCCGTTGGATCTGATACATCGAGACGAACACCGTCCGCTACCTTCATTCGAAACCCTGTTCCCCGAGATATCCTCGAATTTCCTACTCATCGCCATCCTCGCATTGGTGTTGATCTACAGATAGCAGCCCCACTGTTTGTTGGTGGAGGAACTGTCGAGGGCTTCGTGAGAGTCATTATTGACGAAGCAGATAAGTCACGCACCAAGAAGAGTCTCACTCTCGGTAGAATAGCAGTCGATCTCGTTGGGACCGAAGAAACATCGAGCAATCGCAAGGCAATTTTTTTGTCGCTGGGAACAGAGTTAATTGACTCGACTCATCCACCACCTCGCAACATGATCGAACCGCAGGACTTCCCGGACGCCGATTGTTTCTGGTCTCTAGTACCTTCGTTCACCAGCCTGCCATTTGTCATCAGTCTACCTCTGGATACAGGGCCGCCACCTTTCCACTCGAAGCACGCTCGTATTCGATTCGTCCTTTGTGCTACCATTCTGATCAAAGATGGAGGCCGGCAGTACTTGGTTCGGTGCTCTGAGGACATAGCTGTGTTGCCTACATATGACCGTATGTCTGTCAGTTAGAACAAACTCTGTAGAACAATCGCTAATGGCCCAGTTACAGCAGAGAAGGCTTTGAGATCACTGCCGAGTCCACTGACCGCGTCCGACGAGCAATCTTTTTCACGATCTGGACTCCTCGAGACAGCCAAGATGACTGCGGGTCTACATCGACAAGTTTGGGTGAGCGGTAGCAGCATCTTTGTCGATATCCACATTGCCAATGGTAGTCGCAAGACCATCAAAAAGCTTGATTTGAGTCTAGAAAGGGACATACTGTGCTATAGACACGTAGGTCGCGTCCCCCATCACTCATCCATCGCTCGTGGCTAATCAATGACAAAGGCAGCAGCAGCTACCTTGGAACAGTCTGCTAGCCAAGCAAGAATATTTGAGAGCAATGAGCGATCAATATTAAGCAAGCACAGCATGAAGCAAGGTGCCAATGGCTGGACCGGCGTCGAAGCATACGGATCCATCACAAGAACATGCGACCTTGAGATCCCACGAGGGCATGCCACTGTGAAATGTGGTATGTCTATCTATCAATTTCTTGGTTTGACAAGCTCTAACATCCACCAGGCAATTTCTTTGAAGTACGATATTTCCTCAATGTCACTGTTGGAGGGTCTCGCACGTAAGTGATATGCATCTCGACACTGTGATCTGCTCCGAAACTAAGAAAAAATTTCCACAGAAAAATATTGTCTGTTCAGCTTCCCATTATCGTCATTCACATGGTAAGCAAACCACCACGATAACTTGCACAAGATCTCACATGGAAGCAGAATTCATTAGATGTCCTGCCAAACTCTGTGGCTCAGGTTGCTGCAGCGATCGAGGAGAAACGCACACATCATCGCAGCCACAAGCGTGTCACATCCCAGGCCTCTACTCAAGTTGCTCAAAGTTCAGCTTCGCCGGGGCGAGTGGCTGCTGCTGCCATGACGCGCCCATCCAGACTGCAGGGTCGCGCCTTCGCCGCACCACGACAACAGTCTCTTGAGCGTTTGCGTGCTTCAGCGGCAGATCTCCGACAACTCGAAGAAGCTCTGGAATCTTCACCAAGAAAACATTACATTTCGAAGCAGCCTGGCGAAAGTAAGCAACCTCGGCGCAGCAAGTCTGTTGGGAAAGAGAACGTAAGGCCAGGTAATACAAGGATCGTGTCACGACCAGCGCGAGAAGTTCACAAACAACCAAGCAATCTGGCCATGGGCGGCATCAGCGTCGGAAGCTACACCATATTCAACCGAAACCATTACGACAGCAACAGCGCCAGTTCCGACACTGGACATGGCATCATGGAATTTATCACACCTCCATCCAAGCGCAGGGAGAAATTCTTTTCGTCGCCAGTCAAGATAGAAGGCAAGGGCATAGGCTCGGCTCTCAAACATGCCCGCAGCATCGATAGCTTCCGCAGCCACAAATCCGCGACGGACCGATGGCGAGATCATTTTGGCAAGGAAAAGGATGGCCCTCCAGCCCGAGCTGCTCCTACTCCACCGTTGAATTCGCCCACAGGAAGCAGGCCTAGGGTACAGCAGCAGCACTCATCTGTGCCGTTCATGCTAGGGTCGACGGCTGGACCACCTCCAAGACCACTGCGAAATTCGTTCGACCATGAGTTGCAAGTGCAGCGAGATGAGCACATAAGGCTACCTGACAAAAGCAGATTCGAGTTCAAGGCCGTGACCAAGAAAAACAGTACATTTGGATTGAAGAGTTGGCTCGGTGAGAGACTCGGTCGGTCGAGTCGGTAGAAGATAACAATCAGATCAGGAAGGACAAGCTCAGCAGTCGGGGGCGTCCATATGAGAACAGGAATAGCAAGACAGGCTTGATCAATGACATGACTATAGTCACATCTACTGTATTAGCAATCTTCTCGCACAGCGATACGGATTTTGCAACGGCATGAGTACACTCGGCGCAAAGCAGCAAGTCCAGTAGGAAGAAGTAGGAGGACAAGACGGGAACATCTCAATCAATTCGCATTGCTTGAAGTGTAGAAAATCGCTCCGCTTCCCATGCTTGCAGTAAAACGAATGTAAAACATATCCACCCAATAGACCCCTATCCCATACCCCAAACAACGCCTTTTCTCATCAGAACCTGTACTCCTGATGAGATGTCCAACTGAGGACAGATACAAAACGCCTCTGGGCGTCAAACAAAATTACAGTGATGTCTGAACCAACACTCTTCGCCAAAACAAAATCAACAGAAACCGAGAGTAGAAAACCAATCATCGCGTCATAGGAGTGTGGCTGGGGGAATAAGTATATCCGGAAGAGAAGAAATGGAAAGACGCAGTAGAGAGAATACGAAAATGTGCAAGACCGATTGTTGTCAAGTCTTTGACGAGAAAGGAAGCGAACTTCTTCAGCGTCTCTTGGGGGTTGCGAGAGCAGCTAGACGTGCCGCACTCAGCACACCAGGACGCTTCTCCTTCGGCTTCTGGGTGAAAGACTTTGGTCTGACACCAACAGTAGGGATCTTCTTGACCGGAGTCCTAGCAGTAGCGGCAGCAATGGATGGGCGAGTTGGCTCAGGCTTGTCAGACCTGGCCTTCTTTGCAGGACGCTGTTCAGAATCGTCGTTTTCCTTGTCGCTGGCTGTGGCGCCGGTGGTCTCCTTCCTCAAGTCTTCGTTGTCGGCCTTGCGCTTGGTGCCTGTGGCTGTGAGAAGCTCGGGTGAGTGTTCGACAGAGCGGATGGAAGGCTTGATCTCCTGGGACGTGGTGCGACGAGGCGACGGTGCGAAGGTAATGGCTTGCTCACCAGCGCGGAATGTGAAGTCGTTAGGGGCACCAGCCATAGTCATGCGGCGATAAGCCTTCTTGGGTCGGTCGGCATTGTCAGAAGTAGCGGGCAGAGTAGGATAGGCGATAGAAGATTGCTCATTGGCCTTTGATGGTGGAGATGAGGCCTTTGTGGGAGTGTCGGGCGTTTCTTCAGCTTGATCGAAAGCCTTGGTCGAAGCAGAGAAATCAACGTGCTTTACGACAGGACATGTCTTGGGAGGGGGAGGAGGGCCGGCCTTTTCGGCATCAGAAATGGCGTTGGGTGGAGTTGATAGGTGAGTGCCATTAGCGACCTTGAAGGGGTCGTCCGAGTACAAGCGTTGTGGGGTGCGCAGGATGGACTTGACAGGAGATTGGCGCAGCAGATTGAATCGGGCGAACAGACTAGGCTTTCCCGGAGTTTGTTGCTGTGCAGTGTCGAAGGCACCAGGCACGGAGATTTTAGCAGGGGAACGAGCGAGTAATGGTTGCTTGTTGTGCTTCTCCTTGGGTCCATCCTGGTCCTCGGCGTCTTGAATGGCATTGGACGTCTTCTTCGCGGGAGAACGGGCAAGGAAGGGGATCTTCGAGGACTCATTAGGGGACTCGGGAGCAATAGAGGCCTTGGTCGGAGATGGGTGTTTGGCCGGACTACGACTGAGTAGCGGGCTCTCGGGTGCCTCAGGCTCAAAACGAGCAATGCGGTCAGCCATGGATGACTTTGCTGGAGACTTCATTGGAGACTTGGACAGAAGCTGTGCACGTTGGTCCTTCTGCTTGTCTTGAGCCTGTTCGTGCTGGACGCTTGCACTAGTCATATTCAGCCGGACAGGACTGCGTTGGAAAGAGGGAATCATGGTGGTACGACGAGCGGATTTGGCCGACTTGAGTATTGACTGAGGAGGCTTGACGGAGCGGGGTGTCATGTTGGACTTGATGGCACTCTTGAGGGCAGGCTTGGGAGTAGCATCAGGGCGCGAAGTGGTAGCGTCGTCGTCGGCAGCACGCTTGACACGCTTGACCGGGCCTGCGTCCAAGTTGTCGCGCGATGCAGGACGAGGCAGAGATGTAGATGAGGACGACGAGGATGGACGCTCAAGCTCGGCCTTGGATGGCGAGCGCTTGAGTGCAGAGGGCTTGTCGGTGGCCAGTGGCTTGTTGTCTCTAGTTCGGAAGGCCGAAGGGTGATCGGCGATCGAGTCCATCTTCTTGAAAGCCTTCATGTGAACATCGCTGAAGCGGTTGACCTTGCCCGACGGTGTAGCAATCTTGCGCACCAAGACGTCGTTGGCTGACGGCTGGTTCTTCTGTGTGGCCTGCATCTCGTTGCGAATCTTTGCCGCTTCTCCTCTTGTCTCCTCCATCAGTGCGCGAGCCTGGGGGCTCAGATTTAGAGTGGGTCGCTGAAAGGTGAAACTGAAGTCGGGAGCGTTGTCCATGATGTTCTGTGGGGCCTTGGGGGTCTTGGTGGGTGTTTGCTGGCTGGTCTTGTTGCTGCTGAAACCCAGCCATCGTGCCTCATCGAGGGGTTTGGCGGTGCTCATCTGGTATTTCTGGGGATGCATTTCCTGTGCGCTGGGTTGTATAGGGGTGCCGTCACGAGGTGTTTGGGCGCTTCTGGTTGGAGTGGGTTGCGGCTCGTCGTGTTCGTCGACTGCGGATAGTTTGGGAGCGGTGCGAGGAGTCTTGATGGCATCGGCGTCGACACCCATATCAGACACTCTCTGGGCCTGTTCAACTGTCAGGATGCGTTTCGACGGGTCAAGTGAAAGTCGAAGTTACCTGTGGCGTGGCCGACTGCTTTGCGCGGATTCTGGCTGACGAGCGTCGTGCCATTGTTGCTATGTGAGGGAACTGTACTGGATCAGGCGCTACAAACAAGACAGTCCTGCTAGCCTGCTAGAGTCGACTGGTACAATCTACAGCGTTGGTGGATAGCACGACCTTGGACAAACAAACGCTCTCGAGAAGCTCCCCCGATTTTCAACGCTCGCGTCAAAAAAACAACAACACTGACGTCGACCCGACTCCTGAGCAACCGGCAACCGACCGCACAGACCTGCTACTTGGGCACATCCATGAAACATAAATCACAAAAATTCAATTTTCAATGTTTCATGACTCTCTCGTCCAATTTCTGTGCATCCATCCATTTATGCTGTCCATAGTTGCCACTATCGTCAAACGTCTTGGGTAGAACCTTTGCAATGTACTTCCATCTGCCGAAGTCAATCGGCGAGACTTCCCTAAAACAGATATGACATCGGGCCTTCGTGACGATCGTAGCTGTGCGAATTGCACTTTGAGGGTCCTTCTCCAGACGCCCAGCTTTCCAGAATGATCCAGCTTTTATTGCTTCATAATCAAGTCTAGAGTGGACAAGACACTTTCCTTGGCCATCCGATTTCTCCTTCTTGACATATACACATCGTCAACATGGCTCAACCTACTCAAAACAAGCAGTGGCTAACTCGCCAGGATGGTCTGGAAAAGCTCTACAGAGGAGAGGCCGCCATCCCCCAGCCAGGCGAGAAGGAGGTTTTGGTCAAGATTCAAGCTGTATCATTGAATTATCGCGACACTGAGGTAGCAAATGGCCTCTACAACCACCACAAGAGTCTGGACGAGAACAACGAGCCCCTCGTTTTGGCATCCGACATGTGCGGAACCATTGTCAAGGCTGGACCTGGAGCTTCCCTTAAAGAAGGACAGAGAGTCTTGTCGATCTTCCTGCAGACTCACCAGACAGGCCAGGTTCAGGAGAGCGATATGGCATCCGGAATGGGACTGCCTCTAGAGGGCGTTCTTCAAGAATACCGCGTCTTCCCCGACACTGCTTTGGTCACTGTGCCCGACTATTTGAGCAACGAGGAAGCCGCCACTTTGCCAATCGCTGGTACAACCGCTTTCATGGCTATGAACTGGATGCAGCCGATGGGAAAGCCTGTCAGCAACCCCGAGACAACCGTCTTGTTCCAGGTACGTGTGAAAACCCTGCAATCCAAGAAGTGCCGATATTGCGAAAGATCGCGTGAGAGGGCTTCGTGGCCAGTGAACAAATCATACTAACTATCCTCCCAGGGCACTGGCGGAGTGTCGATCAGTGGTTTACAGATTGCCAAGGCATGTGGCCTGAAAGGTGAGTGCCTCTGCTGCCTTGTTTGCTGAACATTGAACTGAATTTTGGGAAGCCATCGTGACCTCGTCTTCGGATGAGAAGCTTGAGAGAGCCCGTCAGCTGGGAGCTGACTACACCATCAACTACAAGAAGTTCCCCAACTGGTCTGAGAAGGCTATGGAATTCACCAAGGGCAAAGGCGTAGATATCATCCTCGAGTGCGGCGGTGCCCAAACTGTGCGTCAAAGCTTCGATTCTATCGCATTTGGTGGTCTCATCTCGAGCATTGGCTACCTATCCGGTAAGCAGGACACCGAGAGTGATGCACTCAACATCAATGTCCTAGCCTTGAGACGCAATGTCACTCTCAAGGGTCATATCAATGGACCAAAAGACAGATTTGAGGAGATGTTGCAGCTCTACGCCGAGAAGCAGATTCATCCGGTTGTAGACAAGGTCTTTAGCTTCGACGAGGCAAAGGACGCCATGCAATATCTTGCCAAGGGTGGCCATTTCGGCAAGGTCGTCATCAAGGTCGCATAAAAATAGCCAGGAAATGAAAATTAATCATGCATTATCGTGCACCGTTATTATCGTGAAAATGTGAAGGCTGGCTGGTCAGGAATGCAACAGCAGCCATACATATATTCACCGCCTCAAATCTGCGCAATGCCGCTCACAAGATTTTTGGTAAATCAAGACGGGTACGCCGTGGCGATCCCAAGGTGTTCCATCGACATGGAATGGTTATGGTCCTAAACCATTTCTTCTTCGTGTTTGTTTGTTTGTTGTCGCATGACGTCTACCATTTCAGCGAAAATTCAAGATGTGGGGAGAGCAGACTCCTGAGTTCTCCTTGTTGTACAACAGTATCAACGGTCAATAAGCGTGGCGCTGCACAAGCGGTAGGCACGATTACCAACAGGAGGGCCTGGCAACGTGCGTTCAATGCATGATTATCGCTTGCTCCAGCTGAGGGCAAATGGCCCATGTGCTTGGTCGTAAGCCTGCTGTTGTGCACTTCCAACACAGTGGCTCGCAGGCTCATTGCATTGACAGCGGACGGTTGCGTGCCGTGATTTCACGAGATTGTCGGGCAAGAGGTGGCATCCTAATCACTCGATGTTTGGTCCGGCAGGTGATGAGCAGGGGCAAGGCCAACCGTCGCGGGTGTCGGAGTCGACGGCCAAAGTTCACTTTCGGCTCACAACTGACAGATTTGACGTTGGCCGCGACTGCCTTCTGAAGCTGTCAGCATGGTCAGAAAGAGCCCTCAGGCAGGTCGTTTCGCAGCATTTCTTGCCTTAGAAAGAACATGCGGACAGATGACTGACAATGTTATATATTTGATCGCTGCAAACCCACGTGCCAGTAGACAGGGCTCGCTTCTTCCGCCTCGTTACACAACAGCAAACAGCAAAGATCCTTCACGCATTTAGAGCTTAATTACTCCTTGCAGGAATCCTCACTTCACTTCCACAAAGTGTGCCAGTTTCTTGAAGTGAGCTTTACAACGGCCTCTGCTCCACTCAGGCCGTTGGTGTTACGAACGCTCCAACAACTCTCCATCTTCCTTTTCTTCTTCTTCTTCTTCTCGTTGTATGTCAATACATATATTGCCATCGAAGCCCACCCATAGCGTCGACATTCTCGAACATTACACAATGTTGAGCACAGCACCTGCAGCAGACGCCCCGCTCTCCGGCTTTGAGTACGTTCAATCTATCTCCTACTTGCATCCACAACCTGCATTCAGCCATTGTGCACCAATTTGGTGACGTACGTTCAAGGCTTGACTTGGTTGCTGACAATATATGCACAGAAGGAAATTGAGCACTTCAATCCAGCGTCTTCGGGCCAATAGCATCCACCATGAACGCACCTCCAAGTCTAGCGAACACTCAAAGTACGATCTACGCGCCCTGGCTGGAAGATCGTCACACTTATACATTTCCAGGTCACAGCTCTATCTCCACAGATTGAAGTCAGTTAACCGCCATGGAGGCCACAACTTGAGCAACGACGAGGCTCTTTTCTTCCTTTCGTTGCCCGACAAGATCCGCCGTCTTCACTTCACAGCAGAGGAGAACATTCTAATGCGGGCCGCATGCGAGTTGCAGCTTTCCAGGCCTCCTCGCTACGACAGCGTTCGTCCACTCCCTCTCAGATCTTGGACCGACGGAGGCGCTTCGAGCAGCCACAGCTACGCTAGTTCATCTATCAACCGCCACACTATGGCCGGACCGGTCTCTCTTCCTTCAACCCCAACCACCTTTGATGGTAGATACCCATCAGTCACTAGCAGTCGCAACTCGTCTCGTCCTCGCACAGAATCAATCGTGTCTTCCAACGCCTCTGTCCGACCCTTCAATCCACTGGGCTGTCATCCTCTTGGAGGCTCGCCTACAACCATCATGTCCCAGAGTCCTTTCGAATACACCAAAGTCGCTACAAAGATCCCTGATACTCCAAGCTCCACGACTAGACAGTACCTGGACCCCAAGACTAGGATGTTGATTCGACAGTGCACCTCCTCACCCGAAGCATTCGACGAGGTTGTCAACTTTGGATACCACACCGAAGAGGATTTCCCTGCTACCAGCTCGACCACGGCTTCTGATTATCAGTTCGATGAAGGCTTGAGTTCGTCAGACGGCATTTCTGACGAGGACGAAGACGATTTCACACTTGACTCGGATGACGAACCCTGGACTCCCGGCTCCGATGATACTCTGGCTACTAGCTGGGACATGCACTCGCCCACCTACTCTCCAGTTCAGCGCTTTGACAGCAGCTGCTACCGCCCCAAGCAACGCCCGATGACTTTGCGTGTCACTTTGACCAAGCCCGAGAACAGAGTCTTGGATGACTCTCCTGTTCGTGCAGCAAAGCCATTCCAGCCTTACCACTCGGGCCTGAGGGTTGAGGATCCTCTAGCACTCGAACAACTCACTTTCTCGGACGACGTTACTGGAAAGTATGGAGCCTTTGCTGTTACCCCTACCAAGGACAGCAGCAAGATGAAGAAGCTGTTGAAGAGATTGACATCACCTGCTTTCTGAATGAGCAATGTCATGTATCACAGTTTGACGCGAGCTGTTCTGCTCACAACGAGCTGTAATGGCTAGGAACGTACGAAAATGACACAGAAAGACACAGCAAGCAAAAGAAGAGACTTGATTTTGCACAAAGTTTCTCACGCCAAACACCAGAGGTTCAACATATCTTCATCGCATTATGTTTTAACGATCAACGTTCCCGAAAAAAGGGATCACCACACAGAAGAATAATCGCTTTTCACTTTAGATTTTCCTTTGTTGTCTTTTATTTGCTTTTTTATTGTCAAAGATACCACATTCAGCGCATGGGAAAAGGGAGAAGGAAAGGAATGGCAAGGAGAAGAAATTTATGGCTACGGATAAACCAAAATGTCACACTCGCTTTTTTGGCTTACACTGATTTCAAACTTCTCATCTGCGCCTCTGTGATTCTCTATAAATTTTGTGTCTAGTCACAAGTATAGTGATAGCTCAAGATCATCGTGGAGAAGATGTCTGCAGATTATCATCATCATTTGCTCACACTGGCACTATGCAGATAGCATCCAATGCATATACTTATAGCACAACAGTATACCCGTCCATTATGCTTATACTGCAAGTACAACAGTACAACGGTGCAACAGACATGACTATACCATAAGTGCACCGACGACAAACGGCATAGTATAAGCTATACGGGCTTATGCTTCTAGAACAGCATTTCCCACTATACACCTGCACATTCTACGTTTATCTTTTTTATGGAGAATCCGAATGTATGACCGTTTCGAAGCGAGAAACAGGCAAATATGCATGCAGCAACAGTAAGTAGAGAAAAAGTCTATTGTTATTGCGGCGTGTACTGTAAACCATGCAAATGCAACCACAAAATGAAGAAGATGGTGGGGTAAGTTTCAACGGGTAGGAGGATTAAATGGTGGGTGGCTAATATAGAAGGCTGAACTCGGTCCAAAAGACTGTTGAACAAAACGGCTTTTTGGGAAGCCACCGAACCACTCATGCCTTGGAACAAGATAAGGGTCCAGGGGCCGTATGGTTCGTTTTCTTCTATCTCTTGCTGAGTTGGTTGTCGCAGCGGCTGCCTAAACTCCCAATCTACCGTTGCGCGTGTGCGTTTCTAAGGGTTTGCATGGGCTTCCGAGTGCATGGTGGTGGCTTGACTCGTTTCTCCTGGACAGATAGGAATATAATATCCTGGGGGCGTGTTAGGTTTGGCTGCCCGCTTATAGGCACGCAACATCCCATGGCACCATGGAATTCGTTGATCTGTTTTGTTGCTATGGACAACCAAATGATGATAGACCCATCTATGAGATTTCAGGGTCAACAAGGGAGAGCAAATCGATTGTCAAGACCGAGATCAGGAGCAAGTAGAGTGTGAAAAGTTTTTGATTTTGTTTTCTTGTTTCTCTTCCCCTCCCAGACACGACTAAACTCGGCATTAAACAACAATCGTGGTTCGAGGTACTGGATATGAGAAGAGCTCTAGAAACCAAAATGGCAATCCGACTCGTACTTTCGACATGCCAGATGTCAAGGTTAGCGAGTCTGCTTGACCTGGTTCTGGAGCACTCTGACGAACCTTCCTTCGTACACATCGGCAGTATCCTTCTCTGTTCTAGCCAGCCGCCAGGGCTGGAGAGGGGAACACCTGTTGCACAACCTCATAACATGGTCTCGGCTCCGAACTAGCGGTCTCGAGACATGGCCGAAGGCTGGAGGATATGCTGAATGGACCACAAACAACCCCATACTGAGCTAGCAGTGGTGAGCTTGGAAGCGAGCGCATTCAGCACTTGTGCATGCCGTGGGCAGCCAGCAACTCAAACAACGACATGCATGCCAGATACATGTCGGAGTCCAGGTAAACTGGCTCGGTTCTCTGCCCTCGAAGAACGTGCCCTCACCACCGGGGTGCAAGACGGTCCTTCGAGTCCTGCCTACCTCATGGACACTGATTCCTCGAGTCTGACGAGCAGACCATGAGTAATCAATGATGCTTGGAGGTAACAAGCGCCGAAACCGGGAAGGAGAGATCGCACGCGACCAGCGCGGTCCTGTGAGGTATGTAAAGAAATCCAAAGAGTCCTGCCCTTTCGAGGCCGCGAGGCCTATGATGTCTCCCTTTTTGCTTTCCCGTGCAATCGTAACCTGCGTTTGCATAACATTCATGAAAACAAAATAAAGAACTGACACTGTTGTCCAGCAACAGGCAAAGAAAAAACAACAACAAGATAACAGAATAAGAAAATCGGTGATGCTTGCTCGACAAGGCCCAATAAAAGCAAAATGCAAAATCGCTCGCTCAGATGACCAAAGAGATGAGTGAAAGAAAGATAAACGCCGCCCCATGCGCTGGAAAATGAGCTGTACTAGGCTCGGGCTTGTACCAGTTTAAGATCGCATCGCATCGCATCTAGGTGATGTGTTGTTGTCGACAGTCCATTCGAGTGATGGCTCCTGAGTATAGCTGCATCCAGACTCATGACACATTGGTTGGGATGGGCCAGATCACCAACCAGCAAGACATACCATCAGTGTTGCCAACGGGATATTCGTGTCGAGAGTCAGGTATCTAATAGGCAGTGCTAGATGGTAGCATACTGTGGCGCAAAAGTATTGAGACTCCAGCCCAGATTGTCAAAGCCAGTGTTCGCTATACTTGTGCCGCACGAAGGCAAGGCACTCGGCAAAGGGACCATAGGCATAGAGATGACAGATATGCTGCTGCCAACTTGGGCCGAGGTGTAGAATGGCGGCTCAGAGACATGGACAGGTGATTGGCTGTACGATGGTGTTGGAGAAGGAAGCTGGACAGGATCCATGCCAAGAGTCGACCAGTATTGAGATGAGGGAGCACAAGCGGTACTTGTCCCAGGATTGGAAGGCAAGACTTGCCACGGATCTACAGGATTGGGTACCAGAGCGTACGCCTGCGCAGACGGCCACCAATGACCAGGTGCATAAGACGAATTTGGCATGATGGGAGCCGGGGCAATCAAGTCGACTATCTGTGGAGGAGGAGGCAGAAGAGGCAGGAACAAGTTCATGATGGCTGTCTTGACATCGTCGCTACGACCTTCGAGCAACTCGCCAGCACCCTCGTCCTCCAGACCCTCGAGAGCGCGAACAGATGTACGGTAGACAAAGCGATTGACAGCCTGGACAAAGGCTTCCTGCATCTTCTTGATCTGATCGTCCTTTTCTGGCCAGGCATATGTACTGGCGGCAATGTCGACCGAGTAGATGTCGTTGTGATAGTCTATCAGAGCGTCGATGGTATCCTGGGTCAACTTGAAGGCGACTTCATGCTGGGAGACCATGTCGACATGGACGACGTATGCTTGAACAGGAGTCAGAGTATAGTTGGCGATGGCTTCCCGAAGCGGATCCGAGTCTTTGCGCAGGTCCGAGTTAGGAGCGTTGGGCAGCATGAGCGACGACAACAGCCAGATGGCAGACGGAGCGCCCAGCGTCTCTGTCAGAAAGCGGTAGTGCTGGGGCACGCTATTGAGAGGACGCTTTACGCGACTGATGCGCTTGAGAGTTTGGGTGAGCCATGTCTCGACCCGCGAGCCTAGCACAATTGTTGGAGCCGACCGAGGAGCGAAGGCGGCTGCTGATGCAGGGAGCAGCTGGAGAGGCATAGCTATGTCCAGCAGCAGCTCTGCCTTGGAGTGAAACGACTTGGTAGATGCGATGCGATGCGATGGAGCGGATTCTGACGGGTATGATCTTCTTTCGAGCGGTATTGGGCCCGTCGGCCAGCGGTCGGAGTTGCGGACTGGACCGTATGTGGGTTTGCTTGCTGTGTATGTTAGTAATTAGTAGCTAAGAACAGAATAAGGAAATAGAGAAATGGGTCGCTGAGGCAGGCGCTCTACAAAGAGGGTGGTTGAAGAAAAGCTTCTTTGACGGCGGGGCTATTCTGTATTTGAACAGCCAAAGTCAAGTCCAACTACTCTCCACGACATGCACGCGGCTGACGGTGGCTATGGCTATGCCGCGGCGCACCCATCATGCATGAACTTGGCCGCCGCCTACGATGAGATGCCTGCGAGCGTGCGTGCTGAGAACTATGACCCAGTTCGCTCCGTCTATTTTCGTTCCTTTCAGCTTCCTGCTTGTACTCTCCAGTCAAACAGTAGCGATCCTGGCTATATGCCTGCTTTTCACACGCTCTCGGTCCCGAAAACACCGCACACTTGTCAGCACTGCCATGCTGTGTTTGAGAACTAGTTATGCCCTCGAGGCATTCATCTGCGATCGTGTCTAGCCCTCACTCTCGCTAAGTCCATGGCCATTTGCAAGCGACTGCTTGCACAGGGTTTGTGCATACGCCAAACTCTCACCCCGCTGCAGGTTCGCACTCTGCTTGCTTGCCGCATCCTTCTAGTACCCTTAAACCCGCCTATTTTGCGACTACAGCCCACTGGTGTGAAGTAAGACGGATCCCCCGACCAATGATAAGCTGAATCTGCCATTTCACCTCTCCCAGCCCTGACCACCTCCATCAGCTTTGTGTTCGCCGAACAGGAACTTGTACCTCTCTCGCCTCGCTGACAGGCGCCTGCTGAAACCCTGGAAGGCTACATCCTTTGTCACTTTCTCGAATTGCTTGTCCTATCCTCCCTTGCTGATGAGCTTCCATGTCTACTTGGGATACTGATACTCAGTCTTCAATTCTGACCTCAAGTCACACCCGAGCGTCGGTGTCCGCGAGAAGCGTGGACTTCACTGCGGCTGTGCACAGCTGCGTGGCGTCGGTCAAGACCGACCACGGATTATCTAAATCGCTTCCCAGCTTGCAACTTTCTCCCTTAAGGTTGTGTCTTCAGTAGTGTCGCCTGCCAACACATGATCCAACTTCGTTGGACCTATTTCCTAATCGAGAGTACTCTATGACATGCTTTGTCCTAGACAGAGGCATCCGGATGCATTGAGGCCGTCATCGATGAGTGAAAGAGGATGAGATCTAATAATCTGATTATCTTCTAGGTACTACTATTTAGGACCACTTGTAGTGCACTGTGACAAGCCTTCGGAAAGTCAAGCTCGAGAGATCGTACACCTGATGATCTGTTATCTAGTCTTGCTTGAAGGCCCGTACGCACCACAATGGGTCACTACCACTCATACCCATCATCTGCATGAAGCCTTGCAATCCGCCTTGATTTTCCGACGGAGCATTCGCGACATCTCCTGCTTTGATGTCGATAATCTCGATATTCTTCCAACCAGCAAAGTGGAGATAATCTCCAACCATCTGCAGACGCTGTTCTGGTGCCCTCTTGATCCATGCACTTGTTGCCTTGGTTGGGAACATTCTTGAGCTGACAATGATTTGGCAATTTCCGCCTGATCTAGTCAACTGTCTGACACTCTCGAGAACCTCTTTGGGATGAGTCAGGTAATCTATGCTCACAACGCAAGTCGTACAATCCAATAAACCGCTCTCACTATCGACGCTGTCTGCACTCTGTAGGCCACTGACAGCCTGTTCGCCGCACACAGTGAGAGGGACATTCGGGTCCTCATTCAGATCTTGAAGTATTCTTTTGGAAAGCACCTGGTTCTTCTCGAGTTCGGCCTGGTTCATCCCTAGGCCAACGACTTTCAATTCACCCTCTGCTGCAGCCTTCTCGATGGCTTGGGGATAATGACTTATCCACGACGAACAAAGATCCAAGATTCGACCTTTTCGTGGTAAGACAGTGTCATAGTATCTCCTGAGGCTTGCTATGGCAGCATCGTCGATGTGAGTGACGAATCTACTGTCGCTATAGAATGAATTGTCTGGGCTTTCGTCCACGCGTTTGAAGTCGGCTTGAACGTAGGGCCACGCCTGGTGTTGGTTTCGATAGGGTACAGCAGAACCGTTCCATGCCTTCTCGGGATTGCTGGTGTGGCTGACGCTTGACATTTTCGCGGCAAGATACGATGTCGTTGTTACTGCGATTGCTGACAAGCCTGCGATCTGGACTCGACGACTGGCGGATACGATAGGTATCATGTGTGCTTCTCTCAAGATTCTGACCTTTACAGTCCTGTCGAATGATTGTATATCGGTATCATAGGATTTTTGTATGACCCTCTATGACGCAGTCAACTCAAGCACGGTTAAAGTTACACCATTCGGGTAGACTTGGCACGGAACTAACTCCCTGCTGAGGTGATCACCCTGGCACATCAAAAGCTGTCACACTCTTGACCTCGTCCAAAGTCGATAATCGTTTTGGAGAGTGCTGTATGAGAAGTATCATCTACTGATTCGTTATACAGTCTGAAAGCTTCTTCTATCCTGTGTATGAGGCGTTGAAGCGCAGATTGCGTTTTCGCAAGTGCTGTTCGCAGAACATGCTCGAACCACTACCATGAAAGAAACACTAATCGTGAATGATGCCACAGCCGCACTGCGTAGATCCCGCCCCATAGAATACTGGATTGAAAAACATGGATGCCAGTGTCATCCTGAATACCCACCACGACTTTCTTCTTCTACACGAAAACGCATTCGAGATGTCTTGCCTCTTGTGACTTGAAGTCAAATACGATTCCAGCCAGTCGAAGTCACGCTCTCGACATTGTGCCTTTAGTTTCTCTTGGCTAGAGCATATTCATGGCAGCTAAAAGCTGTGATTTGTTGTCTTGATGGTAGATGCCACGAGGTAGGAGCTCTATCAGGTTCTGGCCTCGATTGACATCACCTCAATAGCATGAACATACGCCTACATGGCTAAGGAAAGTCAATATTCTCCACTTCAGACCCCAAGATATGACTTCTGTCTTCTTCATATCCAACTTGGTCCCTTGCTATTGAACTGTAACATGCCTCCCTTTTTAGTCCATGGCCACAAAGACCATCAATACACGACTGATGCTCTCTCACTCCAGATCTCGAGGGGGTCTACGCTCGTAGGACATCGTCCAGAAATTACAGATCTACACGCAAACTTCGAGGGTAGAGAGTTCTACGATCCCCATGCAACATGGACTTCTGAAGAAGAATCAAGAGTCAAGTCAAAGACCGATAGAAGGCTTCTTGCCTGGCTATCACTTATGTTCTTCGGTAGAACCCCGTGCTCTGATGATTTGGAAAATAGCTGACGACTACAAGCTGCGCAACTTGACTCTACGAATATACAAAACGCCCTTGCCGACAACTTTCTCCATGACCTAGGATTCACCATGACAGAATATGGCAATGTGTGTCTGCGTCAGAAGAGAAGTTTGTCACCATTCAGCTAAAGCAAGCAGGGTACGATGATACATCGCATATGCTACCTGGTTGGGGGGCTACCTGGCCAAATGATCGCCATGCGTTATGGCTACCAATACCTCTTCCCCGGATTGATGTGTGCATGGGGAGTTGTTGGTTAGTGACTTTTTCCTCCGAAATGCCGTTGTGTACTAAATGCGAATTGCTCAGCCTGGACGCAAGCATGGATGCAGAGCGAAGCTGGATTTTACGTCACAAGAGGGATTATCGGATTGCTTGAAGGAGCTTTCAGTCCTCTGACAGTCATGTGCTTGTCCAACTTTTACACTAACACGGAGCTGGGCTTTCGAGTTGCAATACTAAGCTCTGGTATCAACGTGAGTCATTTCACATCAACAACAGAAAATCCCCTCTCATACGCAGAACTAGATCGCAAAAGCGCTTTCTTCTCTACTGGCTGCTGGTTTGCTTACTATGCGAGGAGTGGCTGGCAAGCCAGGTAATATGAGTATAGTTGTTGTGATTTCTCAATGGCTGACACCGGCACCGTCAGGATGGTTCTGGTTGATTCTGATCAACGGTTTACTGATCTTCATGATCGGCCTTGTGGTAATGCTCAAGAATCCATATTAGCAGACACGTATCATGACCAAGTCATAGAGTTTATTCTACCTGCCATCAGGGCCGACACGAACCCAAACCGTTCTTTGGAGGAAGCCTTGGTTCTCGGAACGGGAGCAGAGTAAGCTTCATACCATAAAGAGCGTTTATGGTGTACTGATATTGAAAGTGATCATGATCAACAGGCTACTTAGAGATGACGCATCAAAAGGAAGGACGGATACAAAGGCGCACACGAGCATGCGCGACATCTGGAATACTATCAGAGATCCCGGTAAGTTTCTGTCCTGACGTGGCGAACATCTGTACTCACCATACTCAAAGGACTCGTCGGTTTCTGGTTTTGTGCATCAGTGATATACATACCCAAAAGCCCTGTCTCCCAGTACCTCGTACTCAACTTGAGGCAACTTGGCTTTTCGAGATTCGAAAGTACCGTCTTGACCATACCCTCGGACGTTCTTCGCGTCATTACAGTGCTTGCCCTCACACGAAGCAGTGGTCACTTCAAGGAGAAGGCATTTCACTGTACAATACCAACGTGTATAGAGATACCCTTGTTCGCAACCCTGTTACTCCTACCTTCGCACGGCTATGCTTGGGCGAGATTTGCAGTTCTTACCCTGATAATCGGTGCGCCCAACTCTCATCCCATCATGGTCTCGTGGATCAGTTGCAACAGCTTTGATCCAAAGAAACGCGGTATAGCTATTGCCTTGTTTGGCACAATCCATGAGATCGGTAGTGTTGCAGCGGCACGTAAGTGAAAAACCGATATACTTCTAAGTCGTCGAGCTGACCTCAGGAACAAGAAATCTACAGGGAAAAAGACAAGCCATACTACTACACTGGCAACAAGGTTCTTATATCGATCTGTGCAGCATCTGTCGTGGTTATATTATTACATAGAGAAGTACTCAGACATCTCAATCGCAAGAAAAGAAAGGCTTGGGAGGAAATGAGTGAGATTGAGCAAAGAGACTATGACCGAGTTCAGGGGCACAACGTCGGGAACAAAAGCCTCACTTTTGCATTTAGCTATTGAGTTGCGAAGATTATCAGGGACCGAGAAACCAAGTGATGGTACCAGATATTACATCTAGAGGAAGGATGTACATTTGCAGATGCACGAAGGTCAGGTGCAGGTAGCGCAATGCTAATGCGCAAGTATATACTCTCCACATGCCAGATAGTTCGAAAGTCGTTTTGAAGTCAACATGAACATGACAAATGATGATGTTCCGGCCAGAGAAGAAGTCAACGATTCGAGGTTTCCTTCCTCACAGAGAAGAAGTTGCTATCTTCCCGCTCGGAGAGAGTTTCAACGCATCTTGTCACTTGCAGTTGACATTGTCTTCTACACGATCATTGCTAATCGGGAATTATCACTACAATCCGCGACGAAGACATCGATACACTTTGCTGACAGCTAAATTGCATTCAAATACCTCGTTATGGCCACTGCCGACAATGCTGTCAGGCCCAAGCAATATGACAGCTCAGACAGGAGCGACCCAATAGGATATGACGGATGTCAGTTGTGATGGACATTGAGCTACCAGCTGGAGATGAATTCGCATAGATAATGATGCTAGACCACTATAGGATCTTGACACGTTGAAGACGGAAAAATGCATACAGTGCTTTCGCTTATCCCTCGGAGGGTACATTGTAGACTGCCGTTACTGGCATGAAGATTGCTTGTTATCGATCCACGTATCTTCTGAATATGGGGAGCCTACAAACATGCATATCCGGCAATATGTCTTCCCCGTGTGCTAAGAACTCTCACAGGGTAGCTGCAGAAATGAACAATACCTTTGCAGAAGACATGGTTTCCATAGAGAGACTCCACCGAAGGCTCTCTCCTTGGCCAGAGTCATGTTTGAATCGCAACTGTGCATTTCGATTATGTATCATGATCTTGTACCCACGATGGAGAAGGAGCCAGTCGCAAGATCGTGACAGCCTTTGGCACACGCGGAGGATGTATGTTTCGATTGACCGCCCGAGGACATCCCAATCACTGGTCTCGTCGTTGGGCAGCAAAACAATTGCTTCTTGTAGATACTCTGAGAAGGCTTCTTGCATGCAACAACGCCACCTAGGTAAGGATACAGCAGGTCTCACACGTCTGAATCAGTGTAAGCATGGCATCACCGGTCTGGTCTGGTGCTGGGCCAGGAGGTCTGGTGATGTTCTCCCGATTGGGCGTTTGTGAGTACGAGTAGTCTGTGCTGGATATGTGTCGAAGCGCCCTCGGCCCGCTGCATCTTTACAGAGCACGGATGGATCGTGATTGTGACTTGTGGGGTGCGGAGTCGCATGAATGGCGTCCACGTTTTAACCGTGACGAGATGCTTGATCACCACTCGGTGGAGTGATGCACAAGGAAAGGGGTAAATCGGTTTCGTGGGAGAGCACCGCGTAGAGGAGCGTTTGTAGTCATGTTGCAGAGTCGATCTTATAGTCGGGTCAAGACAGAAAGGGCACTCGAGGTCGTACAAGCGGACGATCTATTCGAGGCCATGACTCTCAGTTGCCGGGCCAAGACAGATTGACATGCACGCGGACGGCTGGAGATAGCAATGACTAGTTACTCGTCTTCACAATCGAGCGCTGACGTGAAGAGAAGCCATCGCTGTCTATCAATATATTCTCACCGCCAGAGCTTGAGCAGTGCTTTTAGAGGCAGGGTCCAGCCGACGCGACTCGCGCTCTCGACCACGAGGACAACGGCTGGGCGCGGATTTAAACTTAAAAACGGCTGCTGGGGAATGAACGAACGTGCTAAACAGTCGAAGAAGAGGCAGGAACAGGAAAATTAGACGGAAAATCGTGACCAGTGGGATGACAGAGACTATTGACAAGTACTACAAGGTACCAAGAGATAGCTGAATGCTGGAGCAAGGAGTAGTCGAGGATCGGCAGAGGTTCTGGCAGGGAAATTAGCCAATGATTGGCGTCATCGGCAGCGCGAACGCCAAAGTGGAAAGCGGCATGCAGGTTTAGAGGAAGGGCAGGAAAACCCGCAACCGCGAGCGCAACGATGCGCAGCAAGAGCGACATGGGACATGGACAGACAGCTCACGCCTTCCCATTTTACGGGCCGGTCCTCGCTCTCGTTGGGTTCATTCCTTTTTTTGCCGGCCGACACCCTACTTGCTATTCCAACTTGCTCCATCCATCTGTTTCTTGATTCTGCTGTTTGTTTCGTCTGCTTCTGTTGTACCCATCATTCTTGGTGCAACCCTTGATCACACTCAGCAGCTACATTTAACAACATCTGCACCACCTCGCCACGCTTACCAACCATTCCCGTCGCTGTCTCGAAACTTTTTATATCGCCGTTCCTGCTTTTTCCCTATTCATGACAGTCCGCCTCTGACCCGTCTCGAACTACCATGTCCTCGCCCTTGCCACCGGATCCATATATCGCTCTGGGACTTACCAAGGATGCTACACCTGCGCAGATCAAGACCACGTACCGAAAGCTCGTGTTGAAATGCCATCCGGACAAGGTTACGGACGAATCCAAAAAGGCCGAGGCATCTGATCAGTTTCATCGCATCCAACAGGCATACGAGATTCTCAGCGATGAAGGTCGACGATCACGCTATGATGCCCAGATCAAGCTGGCAGAACTACGGAAGCAGAGTATGAACAACCGACCTCCTGTCGAGGTCAGAACCGCTGCATACGAAGTACCAACAGCTGGCCCTGGCCGAGCCACCTTCACCGCCAGAGGACCCGAAAGAGTATACGAAGAACGCCGACCTGAGAGATCCGACTCGGATGACTACTTCACCAGCGCACCACGAACGACGTCACGAAAACACGATGATTATGAACGACAACCCATGAGGAAAACGACTGTACCACCGAGAGATGACAAAGAACGTGCTAGAGTATTCGAGCGCGAGAGACGTGAGAGCGAACGAATATCACGAACGGATAAGAGGAGGACGCGTGACCAAGACCAGAGACGCGAACGCGACAGAAAGTACTCGGCGTATGATGATGACAGCGATACCGAGTTGAGACAGGATGCCGAACGACTACGCAGGAGAGCTACAGAGGAAGCGATCAAAGAGAAGGAGATGCGAGAAAGAGAGAGGGCCAGACTGGATCGAGAACGTGAAAGAGAACGAGCAGGGCGCAGAGAAGACGGCGGCCGCGAGAGGGATGACTACGAACGAGACCGGGAACGTTCATCACGTCGAGCATACGACTCGCAGCGGTACTCTCGCATGGAAGAAGAGGTCAACGCTTACATAGGGAGGGACAAACGGCCACAACTCTCACGCAGTGCCTCGACAGCTAAGACCGAGACATATGTTGACCGCTCAAGTCGATCCACACCCGCCTTCGTGCGCCGACATTCGGCCAAGCCTGCGTCTCCTCAGCCTCGTCGCGATCGCGATAGGAGACCGAGCGAGCCTGATATCATCGAGGTTGATGAGCGCCGTTCTGCACCTCGACCTCCACCGTTATATACCTCGACATCTTCGCCTTCTACCATCAAGGTCACTCGAGAACCGCCTCTTCGCAGTGCAAGCATGAAGGTCGAGGACCGCAACCCACCACCCACGCCCATCCGCCGCTCCGAAACCATGCCCAACATCTCTCCCAAGCGTGCCAAAGACTCGAAAGCTTCGACTCTGAGAGACACTGACTTTACGGGCGGCCTACCAACACCTTCTGCGAGCCCCGATTATGCCCCATCACCCACCTCCCACAAGACCACCTATCACTATCCCCGTAACGAGACCCCGACTTCCCGCGAGGATGACTATCGCCGCACTGCCGAGCGTGACTACGAACGTGAACACGACCGCTCTCGCGCGCGCCGTATGCACCGCTCTCCTGACCCTATACGTGAACCCATGCGATCTTCGAAGTCTTCTGCAACTCCTCGCGCTCCACAACCTCCACCGATCATGACGAACCCGAGCTATAGAGCCTATACGACCGAGTCACCGACTTCGTACACTGTACGTCCGTCACCTACACGCCGGGAGAGCCAGCGTGACTACGATTCGCTTCCTAGAGCCACAATGCCAAAGGCAAACTCAAGTGCCAAGTATGATTATTCCTTTGACAGCGTCCGCGATTATGAGAATGATCGCCGCAGAGGCAGTCCGACGGACGAATACATTGCCTATCACAGAGCTCCCACCTCTGCTACACGTCCACAATTGCGCCGCCAGCACACGAGCGATTATACTTCGTATGCCCCACGCACTCAGGTTGCCTAGTAGCTTCCTCTTCACCCCTTCTCTTTCGCCCGACCTTGCATCTCTGTTTTATGGTACGCCACGTTCTCAGGTTTCATGTTCAAAGGCGTATAAGTGGCATATGACGGCTTCCATCTTGCTTCATTGCATCTTCTCTTCTTTCAACCCACGATCAACTCATATATCGTTCGCACCACAGTCAGGGGAGCCAGCGACGGTTATGTTGATGTTTCATATTCGATTCTCTTCGGCATTGAATGTTCTGCAAGGACAAATTGGAGGTCATGATATCTCATTGTCCAGATGCATCCCTTTTGTTACTTCTCCTGGCTCTCTTCTTCACTCAACCTCATATAGCTTCTTTCACGATCTCCATTACAATCAGAACACACAGAACAGAATAACGAAACGAATTGATGACCAATATTACTACATTCCGTGTCACTTGCTTGGTCGTGATGAATGTTCCTTTTACATGGTTTCTCATTTCGCTTCATCATACGTACATAGAACATGATAAAATTTAACCAAAATCAGAAACAACAAGAACAAGAGACTATGAGACATTATCGTCAAAATCGACAGTGTGCAATGCATAATGATCCACCTCCATGCATCATTCCACCTTCTCCGACTTCCAGACCTTAGAGACTGAAGTGCTTGTATCCCTCAACCAGACCATCGCTGTTCTTGGTAACAGCACTCCACACAGGCATAAAGTGCTTGACCTCATCGAAAGCAGGCACATTGCCTACCTGGTTGGCATCACTCCAGACACACATGACTTTGCCCTCGACACCACCATATTGCTTCTCCACTTCGCGGTCAAAGGTGACGTTGACGCTCCATCTGGCGTCCCAATCTCTGCTGTACAGGTACACACGCGTTTCCTCGTCGTGGCGACCTGGTTTCACGACCTCGGCCTTGTCACCTGCATTGCTGATGCTCAGGTTTGCGAAGTGAGTCGAGAAGTACAAGCGGCAGGCGCGAGTGTTGGAGCCGCGTACATCAATCACATAATCGCGTCTGGTGGCGTTCTTTGATGAGGGGCGAGTGATGTTGAAGTCAAGCCAGGTGGCATATTTGTCGGCTTGAGCTTGTCTGCGAGCTAGTGTCAAAGAGACTGTGTCGTTGGGGTATGGCATGCCGGGCTGGTGTGGCTTGTATGCTTTAGGTACGACATTGGGAGCAGGGCCCGTCCAGGAGCAACTGTCAAGACCTGCTCTGAAGGCCCAGAATTTGTAGTCAGGGCCTGCACAGTGGTAGCCGTTTTCCGAGGCTGATGGCATTTGAGATACGATGGACTCGAGGTAAGGAGATAGACCGGTGAGCGCCACGGAGTTGTTGCCGTGGTCAAGATCGATCTGCTGAAGGAAGAAGACCTTGAGTCTGGAGGTGCGAGAGAAGGGGAAGGCTACGAGGTTGTAAATCAGAGTGCCGATGAAGACGAACATAAGGAAGGTGGGGATGTGGTAGGTTATGCGATGGATGAAAGGCGTCAGAGGGAGCAACAGCAGCACCGAAGTTGCAGCAATCAACAGGTAGACAAGCAGAACGGGACTACCATCAGCAGGCGTTTGGTGCAGAGCTGAGGTCATTAGCAGTCCCAATTGGCCGATCAAAATTACATTGATAGGAGCCAGGATAAGGAATTGGAGTAGCCATGCCCAACTTGGAAGACTAGCAGACCAAGCCTGCTCACCCTCGTATGCCTGGCTTGTGAGAGGCGAGTGCAATGAGGCTGCAACATCCTCATTGTCGTCAGGTCGACGGCTCTCACGCCCGTAGCGTGTAAAGGTCTGTCTCGAACCCAGCAGAGAGGTACGTTCATCTGCATCTTCGTTATCATTCGCATGCGTTACTCTGCCTCTAGGAGTATCCTCGTGGTCTGCAACGTTGTGAGAGACGAGACTGCCGCTACGTGCAGGGCTCGGGATAATACTTTGCGATGCATATGTAGCCTGCTCAACGTAGATACTCTTTTTGGGCAGCGCGAAGAATTCGAGGTAGGAGATGAGCAATGCCAAGAAGACGGCGGCGTTGTAGATGACCAAGAAGTAGGCAGATCCAAGATGGAATCGCTGCTCCCCGATGGTTGCAGCCACCAGGGCAATCCAGGAAAGAGCGTAAAGCCAAATCAACACATAAGCACGGGAAAGTGCGGATGGCCGAACTGCGTCTCCGAGGCGGAAGAGGAACCACGCAGTAGAAAGCCACGCGGTGAGCATCATGCTCCAAATGGCGTACTCGGAGCTGTAAACAATGTGTGGGTTGACCTTGGTGACAAGATACGCGAGCGCTACAACAATGCCACTTGCGACGGCAAAGATCAGAGGGAATCTAAAGAAGCCTCTCCACCCAAAGAACTTGATAGCCTCGTCATCATCAGACGAGTGGAGATATTTCTTTCTAGAGAACAAATACCACTTGTCGGTCTTGTGCAGAGTAACATCGAAGATGATCAAGAAAATTGGCCCTGCAACAAGCAATGTCACGGAAAGCGCGAACAGAGTGTGCAACTGGAAGACTGCAAATGCACGGCCAAACAAGTCAAACCAGACACCGGTACTGCCAGATGACTTGTCGGTCTTGCCATACCTCTCATGATCCGAAGGACGCTCGAATTCATCACTGGTATCGCTTGAAAGGCCCTGCACGGTGTTTAGAGCAGCAGAGAGCATATGCCACAAGCTCTCGACGCTGGTTTCTCTAGCATTGTCTTGATTAGTGTGGTATCTGGCACGAGGCTCCATGAAGGCTACGTCCAGGCCACGCATACCCAGGTCATCAACAAAGACACTGTAGTCTGTGCCGCTCTTCACCAGACCTCTTTTGAAGCCATCACCACTGATGACACTACCAAAGGGATGAGGGCTCTTGGAGTAGAATTTGGTTACCTCAGTATCAGTGCTTCTGAACAAGGTGGCTCTGCCTCCAGCACCAGCACCCTCAAGATTGAGGAAGGCACGAGGGAATTGGGCAAGAGGATGACGTGTGAAGGCCTTTGCGCCGTATAGACCATCCTCTTCGCCGTTGTTCAGAAGGAACAAAATACCACGATGAGGCTGATTCTCCTGCTTGGTGAAGTGTGAGAGTAGCTGCAGTACTGAAATGACACCAACACCGTCGTCTGTGGCACCAAAGCCAGTGCTGACAGAGTCAAAGTGGGCATTGACAAGGACGCCACCAGGACCAGTGTAAGTGGTCTTGTTGAGCCACCATTCGCCGTCGGGATCTTCAGCGCCTCTAACGTAGACCATGATATTGTTGCTCTCATAGTAGACAGTGTAGCCTCTTGAATCGGTGTATGTCACGTTGCTGACATCTCTGTCAAAGACGGTGACAGGCAGCGCAGCGTTGGTGTGTTGGGCGGCCTCTTTCCACTCAACCTCATTGGCGTCGAGTATGTCTCGCACGCGGGCGAGTAACCATTTGCGCACGGCAACATTTTCCCTGCTGTTGAAAGGATGATAAGCACTGCTCAGGTGCTCGAGATCATTCCAGGCCTGGGTTATGTTGACGCCTGGCCAGCTGTGCGGAGTGGGAGTGCTTGGAGCTGGCGGCAGGACATGATGGGTGACAACAAGGGCGGCGAACAGACCGGCATAGACGACGACGGTGAAGAAGGTGACGACCCAAGGTCCGAAGCCAAAGGGATTGCGCGATCTCGGAGCCATCGACTCGGCCTTGTCAAGAAGCTGCAAGTACCTAGGTCTCCTTGACCAGAGACGAATGGGTTGAGGAGGCACCACTTTAAGCTCGAGCATGAACGCTTCACCTGTTCACCGTATCCATCCAAAAGCTTGGACCACGCCCATTGCATCATCTGTATACCTAGGTATCTCTTTCGACACGAACATAATTCCATTACTCTAAACGCCTAACTTCCGAGGTATCTGCCTATTCGACTCATAATATGCTAGCAATACACGCGCTGGGGTATCTAACCTTGGCTGACCATCACGCCGACGTCTCTCTGTCTCTCTCAGACACACTTGAGTCATCTCTCTCTCTCAAATTCCTGTGTTTCGAAACCCTTGATCCATGAGTATTCCACCACCGAATATGTCGTTCTCACCACCAAACATGTCGTTCAGGTTGATGCTGGGAAAGGCCGTTCCCTGACCAATGCCTTGTTGCTGTCCTGGCCACCCACCACTTACTTGACGCATATTGGCCATCTGCTGTTGCTGTTGCATCATGCCCATGTCCCATCTACTTTGTTGTTGTTGTTGCTGCTGCTGCTGCTGCTGCTGCTGTTGTTGCGGTTGCTGCATCATGTACGGTGGCAGAGGATAGAACTGCGCTTCGAGGTTGTCCTCTGGTGCACTGCTCTGCCCTGACATCATGACCGGCATCTTTGAATCACTGAAATTGTCGAAAACGTTGGGATCTTTTGCAAATTGGTTGTTCTCAAAAGTCGTCAGAGGCTGGTTCGGATACGTGAAGGGTTCTGCAGATGGGAACATCATCGCCGACAGATCTGGTAGGTTCGGGTTCGTCATGTCCATGCCGAGATTGTATGGGAGCATGCCACTGGAAGGACTGCTGGTTTCTATCGGCCCCGTAACTAAAGTCTGGTTGAAGTTTGGGCTGGTTGGTGTGTATGTGCCACTACCTGAACTTATCGAGGACGCAGGGAAAGTCATTCGTTGATCGAAGGCGGACACAGTCGGGACGGTAGAATGGTTCGGGAAAGTGCTCGCTCGCTGCACGGAACCAGGCTGAGGAGGCGGTGGTTCTTTGGCAGTGACGGAAATGTCAGGATGGCTTCGCGCACCCAGTGGTTGGCTATGGTTCGAACTTTGACGTCGTTTGCGCGACGGAACAGCGTTCGCACGACCTTCACGTGCCCAAGCTGGAAGTGCTTTGAAGATACCTTCCAAGGTGGTAGCGCATCGATCTGCGGCCATGCTGCGTTTGGCCAAAGATGCCAGCACTTCCTTGCCCTGGAGAGCATCCTTTAGAACAGCCTCAGTTGTGATGTTTTGAGGGTTCTCTGCTGCAAAGTAAATCAAGGACACCACGGCAAAAAACGTCGTGTACATAACGAACCAGTGCGCGCCATTCAACAATCCTTTCTGCTTCATTTGTACGCACAAATGGATATGGTTTCGAGAAAGGTTGACATAGGAAGCCGCGCAGGTATATGCACGTTGGTCAATGTTACGCGATCTCTTGTCGGTCGCAACGAAATGTAAGAATGGCCTGTAGAGCAGTGCCTGAGCATGAGCGTATGCGATGCGAAGAAGTTGCTGGGCCCTGTACCGTGGTTAGTCCTAAAGACAGAATCAAAGGCGCGAATTGTTCTTACCTTGTGAGCGTAGGGTTCGAATTATTGCATGGATCCAGCCCTGCGGGAAGGTTGTTCTTCCAAGTTTCCAAATCCTTTTCGATGTCTCGGATGACCGAGAAGGGTACAGTGTAAGAACGGTCCATGGTGCTTTGAACGTTCTTTGCTCTGATGGGATACACGTTTCGCACAATCTTGATGAGGAGCTCCACCAGTCGGCTATGCGCATTGGCGGCTGTTGTTAGTGTGAGTGTGCCCTCTGGCATAGGGAGGATCCCATCTTCCGTGATGTATTCATCATCAACCTCAAGCGGATATTCTTGATCAATGTCTTCCGCACTAAGGGTTTGTGGCAACCCCAACATTGCACCAACATAGATGTCCATTTTGCGAATGGTCCAGAAGACACGTTTCCTGGTCTCGGCTTCGATGGGATTGAAGGTGCGGCTGAAGGCAGAGTTGTTCCTGTGCAGACCCATGCGCAAGGCGGAGCGCAGTGCTACACCTACATATGCGTAACATTGCGATAACTTGGCCGAGCACTGGAGGAATGTGATCATGTAGAGGACTGCCTGTATAGAAGTCAAGTCGCGGGCGTCTGCAATGTCCAGCAATTGACGTGCTGTCCTAAAGTATTTGAAACTGTTACAGTGTCAGTACTTAAAAGGCCTTGGACCTGGAAGCTTGCTTACCCTTGGTCAATGGCGGTCTCATAGCCAGCCTGGTTCAGAGGACTCTGTTCGTCGCTACCAAACAAGCAACCAACTGACATAGTACTGTACAATAAAGGAAGAAACTTGTGGTCCTGGTTCGTATAGTTCTCGTATGGTGTGTTATACATGCGATCAAAGGACGCCCAGAAGGATGGAACGTGGATGGCTCTCATGAGAACAGAAGCATCAGTAATGGCGGTTTCACACAAGTCTCGAGCGACATCTCTAGAAGGAAGATCAGTGCCAGGGACTGCACCATCTACAGACACACCAGGCGATTCTGGATTGAGAGATCTTGGAGAGTCAAAGACTTGTGACATTGGCCTCGACTTGACGAATGGCGTAGCCTTGGACTCGGGTCCAAGAAGGTCACCTAATTGTTCTCGCATGCGCCGCACGAAACTGAGGCCAGAAGAATGACCATGGTAATCCCAGTTTCCCTGTTCGTCAAGTTCGAGTTGGCCAATAGCACGGACCATAGATTCCAAGTTGGTGTCTTTCTGATCCCCATTTGGAGCAGATGTGAGGTTTGCCGGTGCAGAAGCAGCAGGTTTGGTTGACGGAGTGTCATTGTTGACGGGCTTGTTTGAGAAACCAGGAATGTATCCTTGAGCAACGGCGACGTCAATACTGGGATCGTTTAGATTGAGGTCAGGCATGAGCATTCGAAGTAGCGTCTCAGCGCGGTGGACTCGATGCTCCAGGCCCTCGATGTATTGAGGAGCGGGGTTGCGACGACGATTAGAAGGTTGATCATAGGTACATTCTATTCTAGGTCAGAGGCGACTTCTTCGCGACGGGCTACCACGATGCTTACCATAGCTATAGACTGTACAATGCGTGCAAGGCTGCTTGCCATCGCATTTGATCTTCTTCCTTCGGCACTCGTCGCATGCTCGAGTCACCCTTCGTCGCTTCTGCATGGGCAGTTGAGATTTTGATTGAGTCTGTGCCAACGAGCCCGAGGGCCCTGTGGGAGATGTCTGTGACTCATGCTTGATATCCTGCTCCCAATGCTCGCCCTCGCTGTTGTCGTCGTACATGTCAGGCGAAGTCGCCTCCATGACCATGGGGAAGCGGGGTTAGAATGTGGATGATGTGGTCTAGGATCAACCGAGCGTGGTGGGCAGGAGGAAATGCACTCTGTTAGGGGGTCCGGAGTTGCGATACGGTGCGGGATGATGCACTTTTGTCAAACGACAAAGAACGATGACCTAGCGAGTCGAACTGGATCCAATATGCCGCTAACTTAAGTCCGAATCTTTCGGCCGCGGCGGATAAAAAGACTAGAAGGGTCACAGCTGACGGCTCTTGAGCTGGATATTACGTATTTGAACTGTTTCGATCAGTTGCCAAGCGCAATATTTCTTTTCGTCCTCCCTTGGCCCCTCGACTGTCTGAGCGAGAGAGAAAGAGAGAAGGGAAGATGAATGTTCCGGGCGTAGGGCTCGTAAAAGGATTTCTCGCTCCTGAATTCCATAATCGACTGGCTGAAAACTCTCGCGACAAGAACGGATTGGCCCCAGCTTCTATTCTGAGGCCTTATTATTCCCACATGTTCCCGCTGGTCGTTCCTGACTCGGCTATCTCGACCTTGAACCTGCCTAATTTTGGAGACAATGTGGAGTTTGAGAAGTGGTGGATCTGCATGGCATCCTCGCCTCGAGGTCACCTCTCCGGTCAAGAACCAAGACGAATCGATCTTTGCACTTGTGTAACACCTTGCGATGAATTTCCAATCGCGTTCGCTACTGGGATTGGAGCCATTCGATGTAGCTTGATCTGCGCCCGGACATGTGGCGCAAAGCTTAGCATCGTCTGTCGCTCTTTAGATTTGACCGACCACCGAGGACAGGGCTTTGGATGCTTTTCCTGTCCCTCTGCCTTGAATTGCCTCGCCAGTCCAAAGTGTGATTGGACCACATTCCTTACTGTCGCTGTCGAAGTGTTATAAGGAGGGAAGCACTGCGCAGATATATACCTCACTAATTTCGGCCATACACATAGTTTATCTTCAAACATGATGACGAGTTCAGTTCTGGACTCGACGATAAAGAGCCACCGTGTCATGTGGGTTGTATGCACAAGTCAGAGGCCGCGTGGCCATACCTGACCAAACCCTGAGGCAAGTTTCCAAAAAGGATAGGTATTGTGTGACCCTGTAGCGCTTACTAGGTATGCTACGAGTATCTCTCTCCCGAAGATGGTATTCAGCGAGGCGGCGGCAGTCTCAAGTGGGAAGGTGAGTTTAGTGTTTCAAGTGACATGCCAACAGGAGAGCAGGAACAACATTTGCAACCCCTGTGGAGCACAACCGCTACACGTATAGGCAATACGATGCGTTTAGTACTACGATGAGCGGAGTGGCTCGAGAGAGTAGGTGGTGCCTTGGCGGGCATTAGCCACAGTTCGCGCGATTGACGTGGTATGTGCGGCGGCAGCCCCTCGTGCTCTGTCAGGGTGCGTCACAGAAACTTCGTACGGCGATCGCACATCGACAACCAACAGACCGCAGACACTGGTGTTTTGCAGGTCGCTCCAACCACCGTCAATCTGGCTGCGTCCTCGTTTGTCGACGTCTTGCAGGGCACTCCTGCCGAAATCTGGCAACGCGCTCATCTCTGGTTCAGCGAACAAGACAGCTCGGTACTTGCTGTAATCGCTCTTACTGCCATCGCCTTGATCATGTCGTGGTCATCTCGCTTCGGCTCCTGGTCTGGACGCTTCTCGCCCTTTGGTCGCTCTGGAGCTTCAGCACAGGTCAAGGACTCAGATTACAGCTACATTACCCAAGACGATCTGAGCAAAGCCGAGCAAACAGATGCCTCGCCCACCCCTTCCGGTCCACCTAGAGACACCGATGTCCTGGTTCTCAAGAGCAAGCGTATCAGCTATCCCGTCCACTTCCCTGCCTACTCGATCGAGAAGGGCGAGTTGAAAATCAAATCTGTCAGAGAGCAAGCCGCCAAAAAGACTGGCGCAGATGCGCGACACATCAAGCTCTTCTTCAGAGGCAAGAACATGAAGGAGGATGCCAACTCATGCCGCGCCGAAGGTCTCAGACACAACAGCGAGATCATGTGTGTCGTTGGAGACGCTGTCCCCGACTCCATGAGCTCAAGTGACTCGGAAGACGAAGAAGCAACTGCTGACGGTGCAGATGCGCCAAAGAGGAAGCGCGTCCGCCACAAGAACAAAAAGAAGAAGTCCAAGAAGTCAGCAACACCGCAGAACGATACTTCGAGAACACAATCACCACGTCCACCGCCTGCCCCGGTCACACCACTCGACAAATTGAACGCCGTCAACTCGACTCTTCAGGGCCTGCTACCTCAATGTGTTCAATTCCTGGCCAACCCTCCAGCTGACCAGGCAAAGAAGGACTTTGAGCATAAGCGTCTTAGTGAGACTATTCTCGCACAGGTTCTTCTCAAACTGGACGCTGTCGACCCCGAGGGAGACCCGGAAGCAAGAGCGAGAAGAAAGGAGCTAGTAAAGGAGGCCCAGAACGTTCTCAACAGTCTGGACGAGAAGATCAAGTCGTGATTCAACTATAGAAGATATGCAAAATTGTATTATACGGCCTCCATCCATCTATTTACGAGCGATTGTGTTCGGATGCAGCTGTCTTTTCACCCATGTGCACCAGTCAACGTCCCGCATACTCTCTAGAAACCAACAACAACGGCTGACGACCCCAAGGTTCTAGCCCAAATGCCATTCAATCCACTCCAAGAGCAACACCCAGATATCATGGCTATTCTTCTCCATGAAGAACATATGACCATTGCCATGCACGCCGGCATTGCCCAACTCCAAGTGATCTGTCCTGGAACAGCCAGCCTGACGCAGATATGAGACGGTACAATAGTCGTAGACTGCATGATAAGAGGCCTCGGCTGTCATAACAAGAATCGGCTTTGGGGCTAGATTGGTCAGATGCCTAGGAGCTGGTGAAGACGCTTGTAGAATGCAGCCATCGAGAATACCCGAGGACGCAGGCACCCCCTCTTTGATAAGGTCGGCAACTGGATCTGTGACAGGAGGTGAGTAGACAAGAGGTACCTCGGTGAGTCCCCAAGGGCGTGCACTGGCATTGTTGAACACCGCGCCACGAAAAGGTGGACCACCAGGCTCAAGCAGAACAATGGCTTCTGTCAGATTTGGCCGAGCATTTGCAACTAGAATCGCTATTGGACCAGCTTGACTGTGACCAATGACGATGACAGGTTTACCGATACGATCGAGAAGAGCAGCCCCAGCCGCCTGCACAGTCGCTTGCGAATAAGTGTCGTTATTGGAGAGCTGAACGTTGGAGCTGTAAAACGCGTCAAAGACCGAATCACCCATTCGTCCAGTACCAGGCCATTGCGTATGGTTGACTGCTTGCGGCCAGAGCATATAGTCCTGAGGTGCTGTAAAGCGCTGTTGAATCAACTCGGCAGAGAAGGTTTCTATTGCGGGCCCAGCCATTGGGTTCCATACAGATCGACCACGAGACGTTTGATCAACGATGTACACCTCAAATCCTTGCATGATGAAGAGCGAAGCCCAGCCTCTGCCACCATCCGGCTTGTTTAGAAAGTTCTGTTTGACGATCTCAGTATGATATGTGCAGATATGGGAAGGAAAGAGGTAGTCATACTGTTCCCGTTTGACCAGCTCCAGGTATAAACACGAGCGGTGTTTGTTTTCGTGAACTTCCAAGAGGTGAGAGCTTTTCCACATACATCTGATCTCGGAAGACATGCTCGCCAGATCCATCCGATGCGTACTTTCCACCAACGTAGAAGTAGTTGCGAATGTATGGTACTTCTTCAATAGAATCTGGCAAATTCCTATAATTGTACGTGCAAGAACCATAGGTGGCATAGATGACAGCTAATAGCAATGTGACAAGAAGATGACAAGAGGCCATGTTGATATCAATTCTGAATCAACGGCCTAAGCTGGTCGAGGGACACTGATAGAGAACTAGGTGAAGCACAGACTGAGGTCGTACCTACCTGCTGTTGTGAGGGGCAGCCGACCATCTGATAATACTGACTCATTGAGCTGCCTCACCGGTTTAACATGTCCTACTGAGGAAGGGGCACATGAGGGGTATATGCAGAATTAATGAGGATCATTTCTTGGCTGGCCAAGAGTCTCGAATGTCAATGTTGATCGATTTGCCTTTTTCACACTACCTCCGGTTGTTGAAGCAACATTCTGATTGTATTGATGCAAAAAGGACTTGATGTCTAAAGAGAATCGGCTGTTGACTGCATGGTGGTGTAGAAACCGTCCTCTCAAGATAATCTGCGAAGTGTGCAACATTCCACCTCGACTATCCTTTTGAACGTTCTCGCCGAGGTATCCGGTCCTGTTAAACAGAGAGAACTGTCACCAATCCAATGGTAACATGCTAGGTCATTTTCATGCGCCTTCCTCCTTCTGTTTTCTCTCTCCAGCCCAGAGTCTCAATCCTGCTTCATGCTTCTCCATGCTCGACTTGATCTCCTTTCCGACCCTCTCCGTAAGATGGTTCAAGGCCGGAACAACCTCAGTCAACAATCCCAGCATGAGTTGCTCCTTCTGTCCATATGCCTCGGCGTTGGTCTCTGGAAACTGAGGTGGCTGCAGCTGCTCTTCAACCACACGGCCAAGCTCGATGAACAATTGATTGTGGAGCAGGCGGAAGCGCTCAAGAGATGGAGTGTCGTGTTTGAACAGGATGAGTGAAGAAGCGTTGAGAGAAGCAGTTGGGGGAATAAAGAAGTTGTTGTCGGCTAGAGTAGCAAAAGTCTGATGTTCGCTCATGCCAGGGGCCAAGGTGCCTGTCGTGGTGTCTGCGGTGGTGGAGGTGCTTCTTGTGGTGGTATCTGCGGTGTGGCTTGCAGGGGTCGAACTGGTGTCAATCGTGATGATGGGAATGTTTTGCGAGACGTTGTCCATAGACTCTGGAAGCTGTGGTGGGAGTTCGACGCTCTCCAGAGCCGTAGCTCTCGCAGGAGGTAGGTTGTGGACATTGCGGATGGCAGAAGTTGGGCAGCTCTTAGTTGTCCACTCATCGGGCTCAATGGGAGGAGTCATGAGAGTAGCATCAATGCCTTGCACGCTTGCTCTGCGCTGAGCACACTCGAACACCTGAGTCGGCATGACAGAGATCGTGTCTTCCTCCAATCCTCTATCAATCTGGTTCTGTCGACGTTCTTGTACCCAAGTTCGTCTCTTGCTCTTCGTCTTGGATGTCGCCTTGGTGTTTTGTTGAATGTCAGACATGTCAGGCTGGTGGATAGTGTTCCTTGTATAGGCTGTGGCGTGGTGTCTAAGAATTGCTGAGGGGATATGTGTTGTAGAAGTTAAAAAGCAATCGATAGCAGCGTGTTGGTATGTATGTCTTAGCAAAATCAAAGGGATGTAGGTTTGCTCTCACTAGCAATCAAGACGATTCACAATCTTGAAAAACTGCAGCAAGAGGTGAATGGATTTTGCGTGCCACTTTCACTCTCCTACACACAACCACCAATGTTCAGCGCTTGTAGAAAGTCACAAAATATTCCGAGACTTGTTTATTTTCATTGGGAGCTGGAGATGTTCAGAAGCGCCCGCAGCTGTTCTCGGAGAACTGACTGGTGCTGTCTATAGTTGTGAGTGAACAATCAAATGCCTTGTTGTCTCTTACAGTAAAGCTTCGTCATTTCTGCCTGCTTGTCTTTATCGGCTCCATAATCGACCTTCGTCACTTCCCCTCAGCCATCTTAGCTTACTGACGATCAAGCTCAGGGTAGTGTCGGAAGACACCCATGGAATAAGGCTTTCTCCTCTTGCTATCCAGATACTTCTTCAACCAAGGCTCGCCCTTCAGACTTGGGTAGAAGTGATCGAACAACAATGGTGACTCCGAGCTTCTATGTTTCATCTCGTTGGGAAAAGCAAACTTGAGTCCATCAACGACTTGCCACAAAGCAAGATCCGCATATGTCAAAGACTCGCCCACGAGATGTTTGCCCTGTCCTGATGGTTTGTTGTGCTTGAGTACACGTTCAAAGTAGCTGAAGAACTTCGGCAAGCGATTCTCGCGGAAGTCGGTTGCTTTCTTGAGTGCTTCATCCTTTTGTTCTAGATTGCCGCGTCAATGAATGCAACAGTGAATGGTGTGAGCAATTATGGTTCCTACCTTCGTAGTACTTCGCAACGGCAACAGGATGGTGTGTATCGTGCGCTTCATTGTTGAGATCAAGTGCAGTCAAAGCAAGCTGGTTGACATAGTACTTCTCTGGTTCGTCCGAGCCAGCAAGCTTCAGAGGGCCACCGAGATACAACATGATGTTGGGTGTCTGATAGATCACGAGCGCTTTCCCATTCTTGCCGGTCTCGTGAACACGCAAAGCAGGTGGCGCGAAAGCAGGAGGGTTACCATCTTCATCTCCAGTGCTTTCGGGGCTTGTAATAGCTTGGACTAAGCCATATCCGTTGGCTCCAGAGTCGTCTGGTGGATTGTCGTTGGCGACGTCGGCATAGCTGACACCGGCAGCCTCAAACATCAAGCGAATGAACTCGCCTCTGCCAGGGATTACAGGATGATAGAGCAATTCATACTGGGGTTCGGTACGTTGGCGTTTGGCTTCGGCCATGATGGATGTTGTCAGTGAGAATGGTCGAGTGTTCCGAAAGTGTATCTGATGTGTATATTCGCAGGGCAGCCTAATGAAGGAGCGAGCAATGTTTCTACAGGTTGACTGAATGGCGGTCATAGAATAAAAGAGGAAGGAAGTCAAGAGCGACCGACTTCAGAATGACATGAGCATCTCCACACTGCATGACGTTGGGCGGGAGCTTTTCTCCACTCCGGTATGCAGCAACATCCATGCATCAATAACTATTTCCCCAATAATGGTATCCTCAATGGCCATTTGATCTATATTCATGTCATACTGGCCATATCTACTTCAGCTCCCATTGACCATCTTTCTCGATAATTTGTATCGCTCTGTTCTCATCCAAACTCCTTCTACCAGCTTCGAGAATGGCTCCAGTAGCAATAGTGTTCTTCAATGTCGGCAAACCACGCTTGTCGAGGTCGTCTAGAGACACTTTCCCATCCTTGAGTGCGGTAATAGCATCCACAAACTTTTCAAATGAGATATAACCATAGCCTCCTTGACCGGCGAAATCACCCGACTCGTCAGGAGCGTACTTCATGTAGAATCTAAACAAGTTTGTTAGCTGGCTGAGACAATCCGAGATATTCAAAAGCGACTTACGGGTTGTACCAGGTGAGGCCTGACTCGTCCTCGGTCACGTCGTAGCCTCTCTTGGCTTGGTTGACGCGGACCTCGCCCTTACTGGCCATGTAGTGGAAGTACTGGTTGCTATGGACACCTGCTTTTTGCGGTGCTGTCCAGCTTGCTGTGTAGACACCAGTAGCACGTCTTCCACTTCCGTCTTTCTTCTCCCAGTCTACGAGCAAGGTGATTGTATCCTCAGTCTCTTCAACGCAGCCTAGATCGGTAGCAATGCCTTTGCTGGCGCTACCAGTGACCTTTACCGGCTTGTAATCAGGGACCATGCTCTCATTGACGTCGATGTGGTGCTGGGAGTGTTAGTGTTGGGCTGTGTCCGTCTATCGGTTGAAACAGCTTACAGAGTTGAGATAGTAGGAAATATCAGATTCCTTGCCAGCCCATGCCTTGAAGGTCTCGAGTTGCGACTTGGGCTGTGACATGTAGCTGTAGAAATAATTGAATTCGCCCAAGGTTTTGAGAGCGCGATGGCGCGCATCTGCGTAGGCAGGATCGAAACGCTTGTGGTGCTCGATGTAGACAAAGACATTGTGCTTTCTGCTGGCCTCGAGCAGTTGTTGGTGCTCGGATAGCAATTTGACGGCGGGCTTGGTGATCATGACGTGGATGCCTCTCTCAATAGCGTACATGGCAATGGGAAAATGCGTCGGATCAGGAGTGAAGATGGTGATGGCATCGCCGGGTGAGAGAGCGTCGATGGCCTTCTTGTAGGCTTCAGGATCGCGTTGGTCATTGGCTGGGTACGATTCGAAAGATGTGTCCAGTCCGTTGTACACCTGGGAGATGTTCTTGTGCAAGTGCTCGCCTGCAGAAAATTAGCCTTGGATCCTTCAATACTGGCCACTCGACAGCAATGAGAACTTACGAATCGCAGAGAACTTGTTTCCAGAAGTCCCCACCATGCTCAAGTTGCCCACTTTGCCGCGTCGTCTCAAGTCGAAAAGTGTCAGACCAACGACACCAACCTTCTTGTCAGACCCAGAGGCACCACCACCAACGAAACCTGTCGTATACTCGCCAGTACCGACCATGCAAACATTCAGAGGGGCCATGATGTGTGATGAGCTCGTTCAGCAGCTATCTTCTATCCAATACAATAGTCGCGCGAATACAGGGAGCAGCAGAAAGAAGAGTGCAGGGAGAACAGGGAGAGGGCGCAGGTTAACCAAAGGGTAATTGCATCACTAGACCGGACAATTACTTGCGTGAAGCAGCATGGCGGGGTGTATTTTGTGGAGTTGTTCCATTGCCGACCAGGGCGCCAGTAATAAACACCTCATGCGATTGGTGGAAAGGTGTTTCTCCACCGCAAGCAAGCGCCTGTGCACCCATCTTCAATAGCCGACGTGGTCGGATCAGGACTGTTTTGGTGCATGCCGGGCCTGAGCTGCCCCACGCCCCGCTGCTCCTCCGTCCATGGCGGGGGGGTAAATATGGCGAGAGTATGGTACGTGGGCGGACGGACTCGATTTAACCGCCAGGATAAGTACAAGGTTTGGCCAGTAGCAATTTCCTCGTTCTCACTCTCTCCCTTTTTCTTGTTGTGCACATTGTCTTGTGAGACACTCACTCCATCTCAACATCTATACCATATCAAAATCTCGAGAGTTATCCATATTCACCAAGATGGCCGCCAACGGAGACCTGACTCCCCTTCGTCATGGCATCTACGCCCCTACCATGACCTTCTTCAACCCCGACACAGAAGACCTCGATATTCCTACAATCAAGAAGCACGCAGTCAGATTAGCCGAAGCCGGCCTTGTTGGTCTGGTATGCATGGGCAGCAACGGTGAAGCTGTTCACCTCACACGCGAAGAGAAGGTTGCCGTGACGAAAGCAACGAGGGAAGCTCTAGACGAGGCTGGTTATAAGAACGTCCCTGTGATTGTCGGTGCATCAGAAATGAGCATTCGCGGCACTCTCGAGCTCATAAATCAAGTTCACAAGGTTGGCGCCGAGTACGTCCTTCTGGTTCCTCCTTCATACTACCGTTACGCCATGGACGAAAAGGCCATCAAGGAGTACTACATCTCTGTCGCTGATGCAACACCTTGCCCTGTCATTCTCTACAACTACCCCGGTGCTGTTGCTGGCATCGATATGGACTCGGACTTCATGATCGAGCTGGCCAAGCACCCCAAGATCATCGGTGCCAAATTTACCTGTGGTCAGACCGGCAAATTGACTCGTGTTGCTCTCGAGACCAACGCTACCTCGACCAAGAGTCAAGGCAGTGGCTGGATGGCTTTCGGTGGTATCGCCGACTTCACTCTCCAGACCGCCGCTTCTGGTGGTAGTGGTATCATTGCTGGTGGTGCCAACGTTATGCCCAAGCTCTGTGTCAAGGTGTGGAACCTATGGACCGAGGGCAAGTACGACGAGGCCATGGAGCTGCAAAAGATTCTTTCCAAGGGTGACTGGGTGCTCACCAAGTCGGCCATTCCTGGCACCAAGGCAGCCATTGAGATGGAGTACGGCTACGGCGGTTTCCCTAGACGTCCTCTACAGAGACTAAGTGAGGAGGCCAGACAAAAGGTCAAACAAGGCATTGCCGAAGCCATGAAGATTGAGAAGAGTCTGTAGATGATACCATGCATGTTGGCGTCTGGATTGATGTATCTCTGAGCAAAATGACTTGCCTGTCTACCACCTAATTAGATTAGACGCACTTAACGAACTTCAAGCGCATTCTACATTACCGAGTCCGAGTCGAAGTCCCATTGATCGAGATGTGAAAACGAGAAGTGTACATAGGAAGACTCAAAGACGAGAATTGACAGACGATGATGAATGGAACATAACTCATGATTGACCCGATTAAAAGAAGATGAAGGGGTATAGCTGACGGTGTCAATGCGTGGTATTTGTCTACCTTAACAAAGCATTCCCGAACTTTCCCAGCGCCGGGCGCCCCCACGTGACAACACATTTTTGAAATGGAGAAGTTGAAAGAGACCAAGACTTTTTATGATTTGGACGCAAATCATCCCTCAGTTAGAATACATTTAGTACTCGGCGGCAGCGACGGGGAACTCGAAGTTAACACCCTTGCCGGTCAGTCTCTTGTAGACCTCGGAGTAGGTGTCGAGGCGGTAGTCAACACCACCACGCTCCTTCTCGTCAAGAACGATCTTGAGGACCTTGGTGCCGTCCTCCTTGGTGCGCATGCGCTTGCCGACAATCTCGACGGGGTAGACGAGGTCAGCAAGGATGGCGTCGTGGACAGCAGTCAGAGTGCGCGAACGAGGGCGCTTCTGGGTCTGGCTGGTGCGCGAGCGGTTGCTGCGCTTGGGGCGGGGCAAGATGCGGCGGGAAGCGACGATGAGGACGTGGCGGTCAGAGAACTTCTTCTCGAGCTCACGGGTCAGGCTGGGGGAGGCGTTAGTGGAGGATGTTGAGAGGTGGGTGTGTGTAGATGCTTACCGCTGCTGGACCTTGTGGAAGCCCTGGAGGAGAGGGACGGGGACGAAGATGACAATAGCCTTGCGGCCGTGACCAACCTCGATCTAAAGAATCCTGGTGTCAGCGAATGATTCGCCGCCCAGTGCCCACCGCCTCTTCGATTGATCAAGCCATTGGTCGGATGTGTGTATCTGCCCATGCCCATCTCTTCTGTATTGAGCCTTCTCATTTTGCTCCTGAAATTTTTTCACTTTTTCACAACCTTGGATGACCCAGCGTTGTCGTTCGTCGAAGCGATGGCAGCTGTATTCATGTAGTGCTGCTTCTTACCTCGCGGGCAGAGACGAACTGCAGGGGGCGCAGGGAGGCGCGCATGTCCTGGATGTTGTTCTCGAGCTCGTAGAGAGCATTGGCAATGCTGGTCTCGATCTCCGAGGGGTTCTGGCGCGAAGGCGAGTTGGGGGCGATCTTGTTGAGGTGAGACATGATTGCGGTTGTCGACGAGATTGAGGGACGTCCGGTCTGTAAAGTCGTTTGGCGGCGCGAGACGAATTCTTGAACACTTTGCGATCGAAGGTGCGAAGTCGAGCGTGCGCTAAGCGAGGCCTTGGCGCTTGTTCTATCCACGTGACCCGAGCTTTTCCTGCTCTTGCAACCCACAACCATTCGAATACTGTTACATGCCCTTCATCGATACTAGTGTTATATCTCTTGGTGTGATTCAAACATCAAGAAAGTATACAATAATGGTCCTCGGAAGGTTCTGTCGAATGCGAGGTAGAAAAGTAGGTATCCAACAACACAATGGGTGACCATACATCCGTGCCTGCCGAAGATCCATCGAACCTTCCGCTTCACTCACATCAATTGCCAACCAACAGCCGTTTGCATCTTTCATATCTTACGTTGTCATAATGAATTCTCAGTTATATCATCCCGCAACACTGTTGCAATATATCGCCATCCTCTCAGCAATATATGTATTCTTCAATGGCCCTTTTTCAGGCGTCTCACAAGATCAGTCCACATCCGAGGAGAGCTTTGATATGCCTTTATCCCAAGAAAAGGCAGAACAGCTCGTATATCCGGACTCGATTTTGCAGTGCGACTCCCACTCATATGGGGTCCATGTCTTTTCGAGAAGTCCGTTAATAATATACATACCTGATTTCCTTTCGAAAGCGGAGTCAAAGCATATGATAGAGATCAGGTAAATTGTTATACATCTGCCAGGTCAAGCTCTGAGTTCTTACCTTCTTGTCACAAACAGTGAAGACAAGTGGCAGCCCTCGACAATCTACAAAAACAATGTCGAAAGTTCAGATACCAGCGTCCGCAAGTCCGAAAAGGCCATGATCGAACGCGACAATACGGTCCAATGCATCGAACAACGCGCTCTAGACTTCCAAGGCTGGCCTGTTGACACCTTCATCGAACGCTTGTGGACACAAAGATACACGACATCTGGGCACTATTCTCACCACTACGACTGGGCTTTTGCATCAAAGACAGCACACCGTGTCAGTACATTCATGGTCTATATCGAAGCCAACTGCACTGGTGGAGGCACAAACTTCCCATTACTTCAGAGACCAAAAGATGAGCGCTGGTGTCAATTCATAGATTGCGAGGAACCAGAAGAGAATGGTGTCACCTTCTTGCCAAAAGCTGGCGCTGCTGTTTTCTGGGAAAACTTCGACGTTGACGGCAAGGGATGGAAGCAGGGTCTTCATGCTGGTATGCCTGTACATAGTGGAGTCAAGATTGGCTTGAACATCTGGAGCTGGTAAGTGAAATCGATCTGAACACCAGCAAGAAATTCTCACCAGCTAACTCGTCACAGGTACCAGAAAGGTCATCAGGAGGCTATCAAGAACCAAGCTGCCAGTAAAGATGAGCTTTAGAGCAGTATGCGAGCAGGTCATGGGATTCAACCAAAATTTTGCATAGTTCTATTACATCTAAATTACCTCTTTACCAACATCAATGTCTACACCTACAGATCTTCGGCCACGCTCCACAGTGCTGACATGGCCATTGTCTTTGGTTTCTCGCCTTCTGCTTGCTTCAAGCACAGGTCTAGGATTCTCCAAATGAGTCCTGCATTCAAGCCTCTAGGTACGCGTACGCCAGGCTCGCCAGCCTTCAACGGTGTCAGAATGGTACGACCGCATTGCGACGTCGTTCTCGCAATCTCGTCAACACCGTGTTCGCCGTCAATGACGACTTTGACATCAAATCTCTCTCCGCCCTTGTCGTCAAATAAATCGGGAAGGAAGGTCATCGCGACGGCCAGGGGATCGTGCAATGGAGGTCCCTCTGTCAAGCCGAATACGTCTGCGTATGTACTTGCGAAGAAGGTGAGGATTTGGTTGAACAGGACGCGGAGGACCGAGGCTTCAGTGCCATCCACTTCCTTGTCAAACCCATAGAGCAGTTCCTGACAGATCTCTGGCGTTGCTAGCTGTAACACTAGTTAATCCAACTCGATCATGGCATATCGAATACGCTTACCATTTGATGCGTCAAGTCCAATGGAGCGATTGTCGTCTTTGCTGCAAGGATGGGATTTCTGAAGACAGATTGCGCGGACTCAGGGTCGATGTAAATGTTGAACTCGGCCCAAGGGGTCCAGTTGCCAAATCGCTCTCCCTCGCCTTCGAGCGAGCCCATTGGTGCATTGGTAAAACCACCTCCGACAGCGCCGCCCATGATCGTAAGTCCGGCAATGTGGTCAACCACGTCAGGGAAAGTGTTAAACAGGAGAGCCGCATTTGTGAGACAACCTGTAAGCTATGAGCCAGATAAATCATGGCCAATCGTCAAAGAAAACTCACCAGTTGCAACAAGCCATGCCGTCTTCGGTGGCTCTGCTATCAAAGCCTTGTACATAGCCAACACTGCAGACATATCCGTACGTTCCGGTGCTCCAGGCTCAGGCAGGACAGTGGTACCATCTAGCACGATACACATCAGAAACCATAACAAGCCATAGACCCAATACCAACATACCCAATCCAGACTCGCCATGAATGTCAGGAGCAGAAGCCTCAGGCCGGCAAAAAGGTTTGCTAGCACCAGCATACACAGGAACATCCTCGCGGCCAATCGCTCTCAAGATAGACCTAGTGTTTTTCGTGGTCTTGACCAGAGGAGCATTACCATAGATAGTACTGATGCCCAACAATCTCAACGCCGGGCAGTGGGCAGATAGAAGAATTGCAAAAGCATCCTGTTATCATCGCGTTAACATTTCATTTAAACTTTTAGGGGCAAAGTAAAGACCGTACATCGTGACCAGTATCACAGTCTAGCCACAGAGCAGTAGGCTTGCCATTGCCGCTCCATCTGGCATATGCTTCTGCTGCTATTCCCGAGGTTTGGATAGTCATTGTTGGAGAACGATATGTTGAGGTAAAAAGTCAAGATGATCAAACAGTCATCGGTAACCTTGATACGGAGCGGAGGCTTGGCACGTACTTTGTGACATTACTAAAAAAGATACAAAGCAGCGATGTCGCCGCTTTGTATTCACATGGTCAACGGATCTTCTGACGCTGTCGTGATACCTCTCTAGTAGTGATGGTGATGACTTGTAATGACAAGCTTGACTCAGGCAATCAGGGATCCTTGGTGTTTGTGGATGCCTATGGGGTGACCCTGACACTATGACAACACATCTCTTCGAGCATGTTATGAAATAGAGAATATGTACTTACGCTTGCTATAGATACCAGCACGTCTAGTACTCTCACGGCAAGATTGCAAGGGGCTGAAATGTCACTGACGTACTTAGAAGTGAAGATGGAACGGATGATTGAACTGAAAAAGACTTGGACGGGCACGTTTGAACGACTTCGAGACCAGACCTTGTCATCTTCTCATTTTACCCATTCTGCCATGCACCAGCCCATTTCGATCCTTCCATCCATTTATGTCATGTCATCTGCTTCATCAATTGTTACTGACAGCTCGAGCTCCGAAGCGCGTACTCTCCAGTGAAGAATGGAGAGTATGGAAACGATCTTGAGCATCTTACAACGATTCCAACCATTTCTTGGCCTTCTTGCCCAACGACTCCACCTGCTTTGTCTGACGTAGGGTACCACTGTCTTCTACTGATGGTAACCAGAAGATAGACATCAGGCCAAAAAGATTGTTCTCACTGTCAGGAATGCTAGTGAACAGATGGAGCATCGTCTCGTGCAATTCGGCACTTTGTCTTTCCGCGATGAACCTGTCAGCTACGCCGCGGATGTCGAAGTTGGGATCAAACTCATTGTACTTGCTCTGGAGGTAGAGTGCATTTTCGGTAGCCGCTGGAAGACTCTGTTGGACAGTGACGATGTTCAGTTCTTTATGCGATGGCTCTTCACTGAAAGGTAAAGGCTTACCGACGAGATGCAGACTGCAGGAGATGTCTGCAAGAGGTACTTGAAATAGACGTCAAGGGGTATGCACTTTGCGAACACGAGGGTGCGTTCGTCAATGTGGCGTACAAAAGCCTCCGGATGATCGACAATTTGGCCACCGAGCTCGCTCAGCAAAAGATAGTCTGCGATGCAGAATTTCGGATCCTGGAAGTAGAGCACAGGAGTGCGAGTCTTTGTGCTCTGGTCTTGTTGCTTAACTGTTGCAAGATGTGCATTCAATATCAAATGTTCCTGTTGCAATCTGATGCTTGATACAGCTTACCGAGTTCAAAGATGGCTAGGATGAAGGCCATTTCATATTGCCAAAAGGTGTACTCGGTGGTACAGGCGAAGATACTGCCCGGACCAAGGACAACCATCTTCTCAATGCTGTTTTGTTCAAGAGCCTGGCGGACTTGGTTGCGAGCACCTCTCCACTCGGGTGAAGTCAGGCAGTCCCTTGTAGGTCTGTCAGCACAACAGTCGGGTCTAGGACACACCATGGGATACTCACTGTTTAAGAGCATTGAGGTGCTGCTTGAAGCTAGCGGTGACCTTGCCAGGGATCTTCTCACAGGATGGAAGCTTGTCGACTAATCTCACGTTAGTATATGTCAGATCGTCTTACAGACCAGAAAGTGTACCATTGATCTTCTTCTCCTCCAGAAACTCAGCGCTCTTCTTCTTGATCTTAGACATGTCGAAGTCGCCTGGAGAGGTATAGGGAGTCATGCCGAAGGATCTCAGCCATGCTTCTCTCTCAACGATGTCGTCAGCAAGAGAGTCCTGACGAATCTCCTCCCTACCGTCAGTCATCCTTGCATCGTTGATGGCTTGCCTGAGGGGGGCTCGCATGGCAGAATAGTTGTGAAAGGAGCGACAGTTGATGCGATGAGAACCTGATCGCGAAGTGATATTATCTTTCACAAGCTTGGCGAAGGTCTGCTGTTTGCGTTGCGTTTGCCGGGACTGATCGTCACGGCGACAAACAGTGCCTAGTAATGCAACCTAACATTTGCGCTTCTTCGTTTGCATCCATCAACAGAGACAGGCTTCAGCAGGTAGGTACGATGTACCGCCACGTTTGCGACTGCGATCCCATCAGCACAATTAGACACTGGTCAATGGGCCCGACCCGGGGAGAGAGACATGACTGCAGAGATACTGGTAGGACTGATTGCATTGAAATTACAAAACTAATCTGGGGACGATGGATATGTTCACTTCTCCACTCGACCCAGCCGCGGGCAAGCCACGACTGCGTATGAAGAATGGGCGAAGTACCCCGGATCATCTGAAGGGAATCCTCGGGGGGGTTTTGACTTCCTTTGATGTACGCTGAGTGTCCACACTTAGCCGACCTGGTTTGTTGGAGACGGCAAGCTCTAGCATATTGAACAGCGATGTGTTGGGTAGGGAAGAAAGGAAAAAGAAGAACTATGTACTTAGCCTGAGGCAAAATCTGCACTAGCAGCCGCTTTGACATGATTTGTCTTGCAGCATTGCTTTGACGAGGAGTTGCCGTCTGTCTACAAAAAGTGGTTTGTCGTGAGTGAAGTGGAAAAGTTTCAGCAGAAGCAGAAGTTTTGATGCATGGCGCACAGTCCATGTGCTCGACAAACAAAGCAAATTAATTGATTGACATCATCCAATTAATCGCGTCCTCCGCCTCGACCACTTTCGTCTTCTGGATCTTGTGCCGCAAAGAGTGGCCATCATAATCATGGTAAGTCTCACGACCGTAATACTACGCGCAATGACTGATGTTTGTTCCAGCCTCCGAAACGTGGAAAAGCAGCAGCCAGCAAAGCAGCGGCGGCAGCGGCAACAACACCAAAGAAACGCGCTTCGAAACTGGCCAAAGAAAACGACATCACTGCCGACCAAGAAAATGAGATTCTCGAAGCATTTGCCTTGTTCGCCGTGACAGACAATCCAGACTACTCAGATGAGAAGGAAGGAGTTCTACGTACAGAAGATGTGCGACGCTGTCTCATCGCTCTAAACACCCCACCCACCTCCGCCGCCGAACTGTCCGAGATCCTCGAGGCTGTAGACCCGGAAGAGAGTGGCTTCGTTACTTATGCACATTTTGTCGCTGTTGCTGCACTCAAACTCCACGCGAAACACAATGACCCTGAGCAACAAAACGAAGAAGTCGATGCTGCTTTCACTCTATTCACTCGAGGAGAAGGTGATTTCATCACATTAGCTCACCTGAGACGTGTCGCCCGCGAGCTCAGAGAAGACGTTCCCGACAAGATGTTACGAGATATGATCAAAGAAGCTACCAGTGGAGGTGGGCCTGTTGTTGGCAGAGAAGACTTTGAAAGCGTCATGAGAAGAGCTGGTGTATTCGGTTGATCGTCCATCCGACACCTTTGACAATGATATGGGTTGATTTTCTCTGCTTTACTATGCGCTTTCCATTGCAAAATACCCCCTTTGTGTTTTTTTTTTTTTGGCAGGAGTTCACGGTCTGCATTTATCCCATTTTTTTTTTCTCTGTATCTGCATCAATGTTCAGAGCATTGTGGACAATCATTCATCATGAATACCAAACCATGATACAATTGTCTATGATACCAGCATAGCGCGCATGCTCATACGTCCAATTCGCTGAATTAGTCCTGTCGAAGGACAACTCTCCCAATATCGTGATTGTCATTACTCGAAGGCACTTGCAAGGGCTGCACATTAAGCAGCACTGTGGCTATCCTGCATGACAGAAGGGTGAGCCATTGTGCTACTCTTTTCCTTGCTGTGGCTTCCTCCTTTCCAAGCAGCATCTGCATCTGTGATGTGTCAGTAATGCTTATGTAGTAATCCGAGGGTGCACGAACCTTGGTGGACAGAGGGCTCCTTGATGTACTCTCTAACCTGACGCTTGTGACGGTGGTCCTCTCCGAATCTTCTGTCCCTGTCTCCAACCTTCTGGTCGAAATCGAATTGGTTATAGTCGGTATAGCTGGTCATCAGCTGAGGTTCGCCGAGAGGAAGCTTGTGGCCCTTGTCCGTCTGCCAGAGGTGGTAGATCTTGCCGTACAAAGTGACGACCTCTTCCATCTCCTTGTTCTCGGCAACTTCCCAAACGGCTTCAGGAACACCAGTAGGACGAGGCATGAGGAGCATGCCAGACTTGACTTCAAAGACGTGCGAGTGCCAAAGTTTGCGCTCTTCGTGGTCCAAAGTTTCGTAGAGGCGAGCACTGATCATGTACTCGATACCAATGAGACGAGCATTTGACTCAGGCGAGTCGTAGAGCAGGCATTGTCGCACCTCTGCTTGGATCAGTAGAGTGTCGAGTAGCCAGAGACAGAAGGCGTACCGTCGTTCAGGTGAGCACAGTAGTGGTTGGTCTCAATACAACGAGATGGGTCATTGGCATATGCATGGAATGCGTTTAGATGAGCGCAGACACGCTTGGGTGGGGCGAAGTTCTGCGTAGCGGCTGCTCCGGTTTCGAGGATCTTGTTTGTCATCGACTCTGGGTTACCCTTGGTCTCGTTGGTGGTCGGAACGTTCTCCATGGTGGATGGACAACTGTGTGTTTGTTTCTTGTGGTATGTTTACTCGAGATGAACTTTAAGGAAAAGAGACGTGGCAGACAGATATACTTATGTCGAGGAAAGAGCTATTCAAAACACAGCGAGCGCATTATGACGTGCGTCAACTTTTGCTAATCGCCGACTTTCTTCAGCCGGAACCACGATCGCCGACATATCGAGGATCAGCCCTCAAGTGATTCTCAGGATCTGCTTTGTTCTCAGACTTCGGAATCAAGGGATGTAGCGGCATGCTCTTGACAAGACGCAGGAGTGTAAACAATGCTGGTGGAAGCAGAAGGAAGCTCAGAAGAAGCATGGAGCACGGACCGCAAAAGCACTTTGACCCGAGTCTGGCAAGCACTGGCGGCACGCGACAACCGACAGGGAAGCCGCGTTCTGGGGCAAAGGTTTCTTTGTTTGTCCAACCAACTTTCTCTACCACAGACAAACGCCCGCCTACCCCCTGAGTGCTGTCGGCAACAACATTCTTCCCTCTCCGCGCTCGCTGTATACTTTCTCCACTCTCTCGGACCCTCTCACCATGAACTTCTTCGGCACTGCGGCCCCCAAGAACAAGCCGGTCATCAAGACGAAAACCATTTCCGTCGCAGTACCTGTCAAGAAGATCGCAAAGCCCGTCGCGCCCTCGACAAGACCCTCGCCTCTCCCAAAACGTCCCTCGCAACAATCTCTTGCACGAGATCGTCCCTCAGCCCCGAGAGAGCCGAAAGAGAGGGTGAGAAGAGTGGTCAAACGCAAGGCCTCAACTCCGACACAACTCTTCAGCGACGACGATGACAGCGGCGTAGAGAGTAGTGCTTCTTCGCTCGACACAAGAAAGCGCATCAAGTCTCGTGCCACTTCCGAAGATCCAAATCGCAAGCTGGAAGATACAAGAGTGCGCAAGGATGAAGGCCGCTTCGACTACGTTTCCGGTGCCGCTCTGGTCGCTGGTGATGTCGGAAAATCGTACAAGTCTGTCTTTCCTGGAGACTCGCCCACAGTAGTCAAGCTACAATACCCTGGTCTGTCCATACCTGAAAAGTTTACCCTGGTCAAGAACAACGTTCAACAGGATTACCAACCTCTGGATGACATCAGGGAAACAGTCAAGTTTATCTGCCAGAACTATTTCCCCGAAGACTTGACTCAGAAGTACCTCGATGATGAGAACGGTTTCGAACGCCGCCTCATCCGCGCCGCCAGCAAGGGCTCAAAAGAGGACTACATCGGCACTATCCAGGACTTCAACACCATGATCATCAAGGCCAGAAGAGACGGAACAATCAGCAAGGAGCTGTCCTCAAAGCATAGTTTGACTCTTGAGTGGATCCAGCGCATCCTCGACCAGATCTACACCCGCACCGTCTCGCCTCAAGTCGACAGTCTCAAGGCATATCAGAACGGCACCGACAACGTCTACGGCGAGTTGCTGCCCCCACTTGTCTCCGAGATGCTGAGTATCGCCGAACTCAAGTCTGACCAAGTCTTTGTCGACTTGGGCTCTGGTGTCGGCAATGTCTGTCTGCAAGCCGCTCTCGAGATTGGGTGTGAAAGCTGGGGCTGCGAGGTTATGGACAACCCTTGCAAGCTTGCTGAACTACAAGCCAAAGAATTCCCTGCTCGCGCACGCATGTGGGGACTTTCGGTGGGCAAGGTACACCTGCTGAAAGGGGACTTCCTAGCGAACGAAAAGATCGGCCAGGCGCTCAAACGCGCTGATGTCGTCCTCGTCAACAACCAAGCCTTCAGCCCAGACCTCAACAGCAAGATCATGGACCGTTTTCTGGACCTCAAAGACGGATGCCGCATCATCAGTCTGAAACCTTTTAAGCAAGAAGGCTACGAGATCAGTGATCGCAACCAGTACGATCCTCGTCACCTGCTCGTTGACGAGCGGAAGTTGCCCTTCTACTCCAAGTGCGTGAGCTGGACCGACGCTCCTGGCGAGTACCACATCGTGCGCAAGTCGCCCGAACGCCTCCAGCAGTACATTGACGAAAACACCAAGAGACCTCGTAGGTGCTAGAGGCTCCGACCTGTGAGAAAAAGAAAAGTTTCCTTTGCAAAGTCACCACGGCGTTCTCAAGCAGCATAAAGATACCCCCTGAATGTTTTTTTTTTCTTGATTGGTTTAGTTTTTGTTCGCATGGTCTTTTATGCCGTGTCGAGCTCTGTTGGAAGCGGAGGCGCTGTCTTTTCTGGCTATGATAGACTTCTACTGCATGTAGTCATCTGTTTCGTCTGTCGTTACTGCTCTCTTGCATAGCGTCTGCGATCTCTATAGACTTTCGTTCTCCACTCTTCTAAGCTTTTGTGCCATATGTCGCTGCCAGACGTTCAAGCAAGTGATCTTTGGCCGTCAGCGTCTTTCCTCCTTTCTTCACTCCATCGATGCCGCCTTCGTACTGCTCGACACGCTTGCTCGGCACAGGGACTAACTCAGCATCGTCCAATGGATGACAGAAGTAAGCCATCGAGTACCTGTCTTCGCCACCCCTCCTCGCGTCTTTGGGGAAGATAACTCTGTGCACTGTACTCTTCAACAAGCCATTTGTCCAATAAGCCAGCAAATCACCGATGTTCACCAAGATGGGCAAAGGCTTTGAAAGGTCGCTGAGCAAGGTGCCATGAGGATCAACTGGCACACTCTCCCACTCACCAGAAGGAGTCTTGATTTCCAAGCCAGGTTGACCCGGTAGTTGAAATAGGAGAGTTAGAGTGCCGTAATCACTATGAGCCTGTCGTGTAACATTTTCAGCCGAAAGGTCGGAATGGTAAGGACAGAACAAGAACTCACGCCAGCGCGGATATCGTCTTCATCTGGAGCCAGAGTATCTGGAACAGAAGGATAGTAGAGCAAACGCATGATACTTCCTGATGGTCCTTTGGCTTGATCGTGTCGCGAGCTGAACCAGTCGGATGGTATCTCTAACGCTTCAGCAAAGAGCTGGAGAAGCTTGTTGCAGAGAGCATGGCAGGAGTGGCTGAAGTCTGCTACCGTGTTGACTTGAGTAGAGAAGGGCTCGGGAAGGGGTTGGTTGGGTTTGTTGCCATCGAATTCACCAAGGTTGAAGGCTCTAGAGGAGAATTAGGCTCGGGGTAAAGAATGGAACATGAATTTGTTGTACTCTTTGAAGTCGCCTCTCTGGGTTGTGTCAGCTTGGATCTACAATTTATAGTGGATATAGCTCTACCTTCTGATTACCAGGATCAAGTGTCTCTTGCTGCATAGACACCCACCCTCGGTTGTTCTGCGTGGGACAGTTTTGCTTATTCTCAATCGGACCTTGGAAGAACTTTGTGCTCTGATGTTTTCGTCAGATGACTGCCTATGGAATGTATTGGACTATCTTCTTTACCAGATCAAACATCTCTTTGACTTTGGCTGGTGGCATTCCCGCGGCTGCATTGTTCTCGACGAACACGAAGCCATTATTCGCCGCGGCATCGAGAAGCTGTGTCGCAGCGTTCGGGTTTGAGGGAGATATGTCAATCACAGGGATTTGAGCTGATGATCTCGACATGGCTGCTGAAGTACTGAGGTGGAAATGATGGAGAGACAGGTTGGTGTTGATATGACTCTTGCTCGTATCTCGTTTAGGCCAAGCCCGCTATCTTCGCGCTGGTCACCTTTCAACACAAACATAGATTGCGAACACTTTTCACAGTCAACAGGCGTGTGGTTCTGACAATTTGGACATTGACAGAAGAAACCGTCTTTGAGAATCACATGGCAACCGAACAAATTCAGATGATAAGATGTCGTGACTATGTCTAGCGAAGATACCATCATCCATCCACATTGCTTCCAGTAATGCTCGTCTGGAATCTAACAGCAGAACCTCCAATCCCTTCAGGGTTTCCAGAGCACGAAACCCTTGCGGGGACAAATATATGTCGTCGAGGAACGTCAACTCAAGATGGACTAAGTTTGACAGCGGTTTGAGAGATGCTAGGGCATCGTAATCAGAGTCCTCGATGATCAAGAACAATATAGATAGAGAGGGAGCAGCAGAAACCAAACGTGCGACGGATTTTGACTCTACTCTCATGTGAAGATTTTGAAGGTTGCTAAACGGGTGTGGGCTCATGCCTAGACCCATGTGTATTGCGTGGTCTTCTGCTAGAGAGCTGATATCGAGCTTTTCCAAACTCTCAAGACTAGCCAAGCCTGCCAATAGCACTAACGTGACGAGCCCGGCCCGGCCATAGCCAAAGTAAATGACCTCTATGGAGTTTTGGCTTATGAAGAACTCAAGAAGCTGGTCCTGACTAGAGTCATCTATCGGGCATTCGAGATTTAGGTCTTCAAGGTCAGGACAATTGGATGCTAGAGTCATAAGAGCATTCTCACAGACTCCACCTCCCCAGAAGTGGAATTCCGTTAGTTGCGCCTGCATGTATTGGGTGAGATATAGCTGTTCATGTTTTTTGAGCTTAAGTCTTGGGATGTGAACGATTTTCAAGCGTGGAAAACTCAAGTCCTTAAAGGTCGCATGATGCTTTGAATCGTCTTCTCCCTCAAAGAACATTTCGGATATCTTGTTCGCATAGTGCTGTCTTCGGTCTGGTGATACAGCAGCAAGTGCCGTTACCGGTGGACAATTCCACAATATGTAGGTGCCAGCTTCAGCCCATTCGCGGTTCACCAGTATAGCATTACGCAGCGAATTTTGTGCGGCACTGAATTTTTCGCCGTAATCAACCTGCTTCATCACAAGGAGCAGAAGGTCCGGTGGCAGTCGGAGATTAGCCATTGAAGTGCGAATGTTCGTCGCGTGGTTGCTGTGAAGCCGTATTGACGTCTGACAACACGGCAGTCTTGGGATTTGAAGCTGTCGGTTCGGTCCCGATAGCGCAAAGCTGAAAGGAAGGGCCGACTCTCGACGACTTGTTGGCAGCAAGCCACACGTTGAAACCAAGGATCGGCTGAATCGATCTAAAAGCGACCCGTTTCATGGGACAGCGTGCTTTAGCACACAACACTTTATTCAGAGCCTCTTGAAAGCAGTCGGCGGCTTCTGTCAATCTTCCATAGCTCTCAGCTGAGGAGCTCGGCAAATGCCTGAACCTAGGTGCCTAGGCGTTTACAGCAGATCTGATAACCGCGGGAACGAAAAGGGTCCGCATGATGACGATGGCCGAAAGGGCACGCACGCAATCAACGAGTTCAACAACAATTGGGAAATGGTTGACTGCCCGGAGTATAAAACACGGCTAAAACGATTGTCGAGCTCGGATTTAAGAGAAGCACAGGTCATGGTCAGCAGAAAAGCAGGCTTCAGCAGGGCTTCCTGAACTTCCAAGATGCACAATGCTGACGATAGCATACGCAAAGTGTGTAGATAGGACAGCGAGTCAAAAGACGAATCTGTTAATATTGATCGTAAAAAGGAGAAGCGCAGCATCAATAATGACGACGGTACTTGAGTATTTACAGTAGGGAGTTGATGGGATTTATCGGAACGGAGGTCCAAGCGTCATCGCGCAAAAAGTTCAGAGAGTGACTAGGTAGTTGAAGCTGCGCAGGTGCTTATCTTGTAAATATTGCTGAGACCTCACAACCTTCTCTCCACTCAATCACTCCCACCCCTCCCCTCCCACCCCCACCTCTCCCTCTGATGGCTGCCGCATCAGCTGTGAGGCCCGTAGTTGCCTCGATGCGCGCTGCAATTGGTGCTTCCAAGCGCACCTTTGCGACCACCAACAACCAGAGCTTCGCATCGCGTGTCCAGCCCTCGCCTCGCGCCACCTTGTCCCAGGCCCAGTTGCGCCAGTCTTTCAGACGCTCCTACGCCGATGCTGTCAAGCCCAAGAAGAGCGGCTTTCGCTTCTTCCGTTGGGCATGGAGAGCCACCTACCTGTCTGCCATTGCTGGCCTCATCTACACTGGCTACGGCATCTACGAGATGAAGAACCCTGGCGAGCAACCTGAGCCCGACCCGACCAAGAAGACTCTTGTCATCCTGGGTATGTGTTTCGAGCCTCTGTGAAAGAGCAGTCATGAGCTCTGAGCTGACAGCAGCACCCAGGTACCGGCTGGGGTGCCGTCTCCCTCCTCAAGAAGCTCGATACCGAAAACTACAACGTCATTGTCATCTCTCCTCGCAACTACTTCCTCTTTACACCTCTCCTGCCCTCTTGCACAACCGGTACAATCGAGCATCGCTCCATCATGGAGCCTGTTCGCAACTTCCTCCGTCACAAGAAAGCCGCCGTCAAGTTCTACGAAGCCGAAGCCACAAAGGTTGACTACGCCAAGAAGGTCGTTTACATCAATGATGACTCCGAGGTCAAGGGTGCCACTTCTTCGACCGAGGTTCCTTTCGATATGCTCGTCGTCGGTGTCGGCGCCGAGAACGCTACTTTTGGTAGGTTCAAAGTCCAGCACAAGATACAAGAGACGATGCTGACATGTCTTGATTAGGTATTCCTGGTGTGCGCGAGCACTCTTGCTTCTTGAAGGAGGTCAATGATGCTCAACGTATTCGCAAGCGTATTATGGACTGCTGTGAAACTGCCACTTTCAAGGACCAGAGCCCCGAGGAGCGCAAGCGTCTTTTGCACATGGTTGTTGTCGGTGGTGGCCCTACCGGTGTCGAGTTCGCTGGTGAGCTCCAGGACTTCTTCGAAAACGACCTCAAGACCTGGATGCCCGAAATTGCCGATGAGTTCAAGGTTACTCTCGTTGAAGCTCTTCCTAGCGTACGACGTTCCAGACTCGAGATATGGTGTTTGCTGAGATGGCTGACAATGTGTTCCAGGTTCTTCCCATGTTTTCCAAGCAATTGATCGACTACACCGAGCAGACCTTCAAGGAGGAGACCATCGAAATCCGTACCAAGACTATGGTCAAGAACGTCACCAAGGATTACATTGAGGCCGAGTACGCCGGTCCCGATGGCAAGAAGGTCATGGAGAAGATTCCTTACGGCCTGCTTGTTTGGGCCACCGGTAACGCTGTCCGTCCCGTTGTCAAGGATTTGATGTCGCAGATTCCCGCTCAGGCCGATGCCCGTCGTGGTTTGAACGTTAACGAGTACCTGGTTGTCAAGGGTACCGAGAACGTTTGGGCTGTTGGTGACTGTGCTGTTGCCAACTACGCTCCCACTGCCCAGGTCGCTGCTCAGGAGGGTGCTTTCCTTGCCCGCCTCTTCAACCAGATGGCCAAGTCCGAGGCAATTGAGACCGAACTCAAGAACTTGTCTGTCGCTCAAGAGACCGCCTCCAAGGACGCCCGTGACCAGATCTTTGCCAACATCAAGGATCTCCAGAAGCGTCTGCGTCGCACCAACCAGATGGGTCCTTTCGAGTACTCTCACCAGGGTTCGCTCGCATACATTGGTAGCGAGAAGGCCGTTGCCGATATCTCCTGGTTGACTGGTAACATTGCCACTGGTGGCACTGTCACATACTTCTTCTGGCGCAGCGCCTACCTCAGCATGTGCTTCAGCAGTAAGTTTTTCCCGCCCTGCTCAAGTTCCCGTGTCCAGATCCGTGGTCGCGTGGAAGGAGAGAAGAAACAAAAGGAAGAGAATCCAAAGCTAACAAAATCGAAAACAGCTCGCAACCGTGTCCTCGTCTTGCTCGACTGGATCAAGGCAAAGACCTTTGGCCGTGACGTCTCCCGCGAATAAGCGCCCAACAAGAACTTCTTCTCTCGACTCCATCTGCATCTCTCACACGACACTCACCTGATGCCCCACACTTTACCCACCGATGATCGACGGTGATGGGACAGCAGAAGAGGAGGTGCAAGAAGAACAACACAACCAAAAACCATTCTCATTTTTTTTTTCCCTTGTCATGCATCAAAAACTTCCGAATAGACATGGTGGGCGTGGTGGGTAGGAGCGCAAACAGGGTGGGTGACTTCCTTCCACAACAAGGCGTAATTCTTTCTTTCTTGTAGCAACATGATTCCAAATTTCAAAATTTTCACTTACCTGACTGCATCCTTCCCGTGCTGTTTGACAAGTCAATTGGAGAGTGTAAGAAGGAGAGGGAAGAAAGTATTTATTATCTAACTAGTCCATCAGTTTTGACATTTAGTTGTTGATGCCCGGATGACTTTCGCGGAATTTCGGAAGAAAGCAGACTGGATTGTGGAGCCGAGGGGATAGGTCAGCCGGTCCGCTCCGCCTAGGAAGCAAAGATAGACGACATGCCATGCCGTTCACTCAACTGTACGGCAGACGAACATAGTAATTGGACCTGGCAGACGGTCCCGGCACTTAAAGCTGGCAGGCAAGACACAGGAACACACATAGCAAGCACTCGAAACTTAAACAAAGACGTAACAGCCAAAAAGGTAAACGTGCGTGATTGCAATATCAACCCGAACCATTTCCTCCTTCTCTGGAATCCGTAGAGAAAAACAAGAAAAGCGGAAAAGAAAAAAGACAATAGAATACGAAATGGCGGGAACCAAGTCCTTGGTCTTCTGCGGACCTCTTGTCCCTCAAAACTGTTAGAAACCCCATAAGACAAGCCATAATGCGCCGGGAAGATGATGTGTGAAGTGTGGGAGGAATATGATGGGATTGGGGGGTTACATGACGGGGCATCTTGATGATGATGTTGTTTTTCTCCTCTTCGTGATCCATGTTCGTGACAGATCGTTGGAACTCCGGGGATGTGGTGGGTGTGGTGAAGGTGCTTGGTGTAAGGGGTTCCGTGATAATGCAAGCAATTGTGGTGGGGGGCACACTCGTAGAACGGAGTGTTGGCGATGGCTGTATGCCGAAGTATTGCAAGCTGTAGCTATAGCTGACTGTTGCAATGCATGGGTAGATATGCAGTGCGTTCCGCAGCAATGGCGTCTCTACTGAGGTTGGTTGCTTCTAGCAGAAGCTGCACCCAAGAACGGTGGAGCTTGTACTGCATTGACGACCTCAAGCCGGTAGCAAGCTGCATTCAGGATGTAAGGCAAGCTTACATATCCATCGAGTCACCGCCGTTGGCAAAGTTGAAGTTTTGCTGTTGCTGCTGAGCACCAAAGCCAAACTGACCATCTTGGCCGGCCTGAGGAGCGAGCTCGTTCATGTCACCCTCAGCCTCCTCGTCAGAGAAGTACTTCTCGATGATGTTGTATGCCTTCATGTAAATCTCCTCGTTGGCGTTGTTCTGGCAGTCGTGGATCTTCTCCATGCCACCGCACTCCTCGATGAAGAGAGCATAACGGTTGACAGGGGGCTCGTTGGTGCCCTCAGCAGCCTCCTTGTCCATGTCACCAACCTTGAGAATGTTCTCAAGGCCGTCAAGAGCGACCTGGATGATCTTGTTGTCAGGGCATGACAGCAAGTCACACAGAGGACGGATGGCACCCTGGTGGACAAGGTAGCGGATCTGGTCGGGCTTCTGAAGACCACCAGAAGTGGCGTTGGAGATGGCCCAGCAAGCCTCCTTGCGAGTCTTGAAGTCACCGTTGGAAAGAAGGTGGATGAGGGGTGCCATCAGGTTGGCGTCGATGACAGCCTGGATCTGAGTGGAGTTGCCAGCAGTGATGTTGCTGATGGTCCAGCAAGCCTCCTTGCGGATGCCATCCTTGGTGGAGCTCAAAAGAGAGAGCAGAGCGGGCAGAGCGCCGCAGTTGATGATGACCTGGGTCTGAACGTCGTCTCCGGTGACAATGTTGCCGACTGAACGGAGAGCAGGGGTCTGGACAGAGGTGGAGGCGTGCATCAGCAGTTCGACAAGACGACGGGGGATGTTGGCCTCGATGACAGCTTGGATCTTGTCGTTGGAACCGTCGGAGAGATATGAGATAGCCCAGCAGGCGTCAATGAGGACCTCATCGTCGAGGGAGTACACGAGCTTGGCAAGGACAGGCAGAGCAGGAGCGATCTATATGAGCACGTGGTCAGCACGAAGCGCAAATGGTCAAAGAAGTGCGGGAAAACATACAGTGTTCCAGTCAGGCTGAGGAGTCTTTCCACGGCAGAAGTTGCTCAAAGTCCAGGTGGCGTTGCGGAGCATGCTGAGCTTGCGGCTGTCACCAAGAAGGGCGACCAGAGGCTGGAGGGCGCCGCATTGCAGGACAAAGTCTCTGCATTGCGGGCTGTCACCAGCAATGTTACCGAGGGCCCAGACAGCCTGCTCGCGGACATCGGGCTCGGGGCTCTTGAGCAGCTCGACAAAGATGGGAACGGCGCCGGCGTTAATGACGACCTGTGTTTGCTGGGCAGAACCAGAGGCAATGTTGGTCAAAGCCCAGGCAGCCTCAAACTGGACGAGGGTGTGGGGAGAGCGGAGGAATTCGACAAAACGGCCAACGACGTTGGTCTCGATGACCTTCTCAATGGGAGGGTTACGCTCTTTTGAGAGCAGCTTGCGGAACTTTGTGGTGGCAGCGATCTGGTCCTCAATCTTGTCTGAGAAAACACCCTGGACCATCTGGGGGAGCTCTTCGTTCAACTGGGTACGTCATGTCAGCGAACGGTTTGGCGAGAAGTGAGTGGTCAAGGTTACCTGGCTCTCAATAGTTGTCGACTCATCATCACTGTCGGGAGCGGCGCCCAATGAGGCACCAAGAGTCTCGCCGCGGGTGATTCCTCTTCTCTTTGCAAGGTTCTCCTCACGCTTCTGCTTTCTGATCTCGACCTGCTGTTCCTCACGGCGGCGGCGAAGCTCATCGGGCTTGAGCAAGTTCTTTGCCTTGAAGGTGGTGCGGCGATGCTCGGGAATGTAGCGATCCGCCATGGTGACTAGACGTTGGCGTGGAGGAGCGGGGTGGGGGAGTGGTGAGAGGAGGGATGTTGGATGAGGAAAAGAAAAGCAGCAGCAGCAGCCAAAGCGATTTCTTTGATTACTGTGAGGGGTCCTCTTTTGCTTGGACGGGCAACAAAACAAATCCAGTGCCCAAAGCTCTGCGCAAAGAACCCACTCGTAAAGGACGACAACTCGTCAGAATTCTTGGCCAAAGCTCGTGTGCTCGTCAAGCAAATTTGGCCAACCACTTTCACTACCCAAGACTCGTTCCGAACGCGTCGCGTCTCCCCGTTCAAGCTCGAATCTACTCGACTGACTATCATCAAGCGAGCCAAGCATAATTATCATGTTGTCTTCTTTAGCACTGCACCAACCTGCCGGATGAATTCTTCTTTGTTCATTGCGTTGCTTAACCCACAATCACCATGGCTCAATCTCGTCCTAGCACGCTGACCAGCTTGGCTGATGCATACAAAGACTGCAAGTCTGCGAGTGCTGCGCCGATCATTAATCTCATGGGTATTGTCGTAGATGTGTTACTTCCATCGCCAAACAAGAAGACTGGAGGTGCGTCAAGTTGTCCTGTTTGAAACTGCCCTTTTCAGCAGCACTAATACCATAACCAGATTGGCAAATTACCTTTACACTCCAGGACTCGGACATGATTAAAATTCCTGTCTTTACCAAAGGTCTCAAAGCTCGCTTTTTCGCGAGAACCAAGGAAGAGCTTCCTCCGACTCCATCTTTAGGCGACATCGTTCTCATACGCAATTGCAAGGTAGGGAAGCCGAACTACAACTATAATGAACTTCATGCTCACGCATCTTTGACACTGTGCGTAGGTCATAGCAGTCTATAATGCACCATTAATAGTCGATGCGAGGAGACTGGCAAGCATAATTGTCTACCAAGCAGCTTCAATACCGGAGCAAGGTTTCATGCAATCTTTTCTTGGCGAAAAAGATATTCCATCTTTGCCTCAAGATCCGAACCCAAGACCTTCGAAGGCCGAGCAGATGTACGCTATCACTCTCAGGCAACTTGCGCCATCTGTTGTCAATACTGCTGGTCCTTCCGATGCTGCTTCAATCCCTACTCGACCTGCCGCTGATCGAGCTGGTGGGGCTCCACAGAACAATTTCAAGTTTCGCCTAATCACAAATGTCAACTACAATGACTATTGCGACCTTGCTGTTGAGGTCGTAAAAAGGTTCCCGAACTCAAATGGTAGTATGGAGCTATATGTCACTGACTACACAGCCAACGATTCCTTGTATGACTATCCTGCTCCGGATGATGCAGATGCGGATGATGACAGCAGGTATGGTAGAACCAGTTATCACAAAAATTTTCAGAATGACCATGAATTGAATAGGGATGGTGATTACTACGGCTACATCTCGAATGTCACAGGAAAGCGCAAAACCTGGCCCGGACCTTCTGGTCGTCGTACTCTGCAAGTTGAACTTCTTCCCCCTCATGCAGGATATGCTCGCGACAGAGTCAAGGAAGGTGATTTTGTCAAGCTTTCGAACGTTCGAATCAAGCAGAGCGGTGCGGGAAAGATGGAAGGCAATCTCTGGCCAGATAGACAGTTCCCGGACAAGATCTTGGTTCACCAATTGAAAGATGTGAAGCAATTAAAGACTCTTGTTGACCGCCGAGAAGGTTATTGGAGAGAGCACAACGCTCAGATTGAAGCCAAGCAGCAAAGCAAAGAAACCGAAGGGCAGGGAAAGAGACTGACCAAGAAACAGAAAAGGAAGGCCCGGAAGTTAGGTCTTAATAAGGATGAGACCGCTCCAACTTCGACTACTCTTGATAGCAATACGCACGGTGAGTCCACTCTGCGCGACTCGTTTAACCATTCGCTTATAAGCCCCTAGTCAGCTGTGTGAACTTCACCGGGGTAAAAGTGAGCACTATCAGAGATATACTGTCCAGAGATCATTCCTACACTGGTAGATCTGGAGTGAAGCTTGAACTGCCTTATCTCAATGTCAAGCATAAGGTCAAAGTCAGAGTCGTGGATTTTTGGCCACCAATACTGGAAGATTTCGCATCAACTGCACCAGTTACCGACGCTTGTGAAGAACATTCGGACGATGATATGGACACGACCAGCCCTCTCTCGAGTCAAAAATGGATATGGGACTTCTTTCTACTTTTGGAAGATGTCAAGCCTCATCAACCAAGCAGCGAGCCAGCACAGTTGTGGGTGCATGTGGACCACAGATACGCAGAGTTCCTCTTATGCATGGATGAGGACGCTACGGAGTAAGTCGGGTCCGTCTGAAATTGTTTAGCTGTATTGACCGTAATAGTCTGCGACGTGATACGCGAACACTTGCCAAGCTACGCGAGCAGATGGCAATTCTCTGGGGCAACTTGGAAGAACTCAAGACCGCTGCTCTGGCAAAGCAACAGCCATTTCCGGCACCCCAAGCCGCCGCAGCTGAGCGTACAAACCTGTCGAACCTGCCATTCTACTGTTTCATCGCAGAATATGGCCAAGAATTGGATCAAGATGACATCGAATCCGCGGACTCTTCAGGTTACACAACACTCTACGATATGTCCGGTGCTCGGATATTTCAGGAATAGACACGACAGATTCTGGGTTTCAAAGAAAAAGAGTGGAATAATGACAGTCATGATATCATCCAAACCCTCATCACTTATGTATAGTGGTGGCTCCAAAACATATTTTCAATGCGTCATATCAGCGTCTTCTGTGGATGGCGATTAAACTCAGGACTTGTTCTTCATCTCTCTCAAAGCAGCCATAACATCGACAGGACTGGTCTTGCCAGTGGCCTTCTGGACGACAGGATCCTATGAGACGTTAGTATGCTGGTTGGTATGTTTCGGCATCGGGTGGACTTACGTCGAGTCTCATAAAGACGTTGTGGAGCTGAAGGAGCAATCTTGTCAGGTACTGTATAGAAACGTGTGGAGCAAAAACGAACCTTCTCGTCACCAATGGTGAATTTGCCCTGAGTCTGCTTGTTGGCATTGGCGAAGGCCTCGAGTTTCTTGATGGGTTCGCTCTGCGAAACCTGGATGCCAAACTTGACGTTGCCCTTGGTGTACTCATGGCCAGGCTACAATGAACTTATCAGTAAAGATAGACATAGGTAACAATGGCCTTCTACTTACGTAGACCTTGGTGTCATCAGGCAGAGCAGCAAGAGTCTCGTTCAAAGCCTTGTGCATCTCCTCGGCAGTGCCTTCGAAGAATCTACCACAGCCTTCTCACATGTTAGCTCCTGCCTACTGAGATCTAACTTCTGTGAACTTGCCGCCAATGAAAAGAGTGTCTCCAGTGAAGACGGCCTTGTCGTTGCCGTCCTCAAATAAGTAGCAAATGCTGTCTTGGGTGTGGCATGGGGTGTGCAGAGCCTTGACCTTGATGTCGCCCACGTTGAAAGTCTCGCCATGGGCAGGTGTCTTTGTGACTTTGCTGCAGTCCTTTCCACCGATGATGGGGAGAGGGTATGTTTTCAGCTAGACTACGGTCAGTCTCGCAACTTTCGTCAATGATGGCCGCACAACGTACCATCTCAACGTTGCCGCCTGCATGGTCGTGGTGGCTGGTATGTATTAGTAACAGTTCTCCCGTCCTCGTAAGAGGTAGGTATGTGCTTACTGGTGGGTGTTGATGATGCTCTTGAGGTTAATAGCTCCACTGTCTACGTGCTTCTTGAGTTCGGGAAGCACCCTTACAGGTTAGTATGTTATAGCCGTCGGTGCAAGTGCTGACTTACTCTGGTGGGTTAGCGGGGTCAATGATGACAGCATCCTTGGACTTGTCGTCAACAACGAGATAAGCGTAGTTGTTACCACTACCCTCCCCTACATCGCATAAGCTTTGAAACATCAAGCACTGCCAAGTTGATACTCACACATGGGAATCGACTGGATATGCATGGCTCGAGAGGTGACAGGCTGAGGCGGGGTCAATCGAAGGTAGAACCAAATACAGGAAACAACGACACATACAAAAGCAGGTTTGAAGATGGGCTTGCAGATTGTTTGTCTGGCCAAATTAAACAGACTCATGTGGCAGGATGGTCTTTGGTTGTGATTTGGTGGTAGTGATGTCGGTGGTCTTCAAAAGTGGCTTGTCATTGGAGTTGTCCATGCTTCACCGGGACGGAGATAGTAGTGAACTCTCCGGGCTTCTTTACAGCGCAACCATGTCTTTAGCATACGATTGAATTGGAGAACACGAAGGCGACAACCAATGAAGACCACTCAGAGAACAGCACTACTCTACGCATGGTTCTAACCCAACGCTGAAATTCCATACTCCAAGAACAAGATCTTGATATGCTCATTTCTCCAACGTGCTATATGAGTTGGTAGTGCGTTCGTTACGAAAACCCATGCGCTCACAGAACCGTTTTGTGACGTCAAGCATAATTGTTGGAAGCTGCGAAATCTGGTGAAGTAAGGGCAAGTATCCGTCGCAAACCGAAAAACAAACACATCTGTCGTTCTTTCCTACTTGAGATCAATCTTCCATGCTTGAAAATTGACAAGCATCGACATCTGCAGGAATTTGGGGTTCGGACAGTGCTCAATCCGTTAAGCCTTCGTCCAACATGAACTTGAATTCTTCATTCACCCCACGCGAGCTGCCTGAGCGACAGAAGAAACTCCAGCCGATCCTTGGAATCCCTGTACCATATCTCTTTGCAGCAACATCTGTCGCTGCCGTCGCCTTGTTCAATTGGCCACTCAGATGGATCCTCTCGGGTGCTGCCATTTTGACATTCGTCATCCTCTCCGGCGCCGCTAATGGTCACCGAATTCTGCCCTTTTTCAACATCTGGTCTCTATTACTCTTGATCAATCTGTTCTATGGAGTTGCTGCTACCTCCTGGCTCTTACATGGCGCTTTTGTCGCAACATGCTATCCTGCGATCTTCTTGACATGCCTTTTCCAATTTGATCCCGTTGGAAGATTCGTCAGAAGACGCATCAGAAATGTGCTCAAGCAGCTTCAGTTCATTGATGATCAGATCGCCTTTTTCGACATACCAGCTCTGGAAATCGATGTCGACGTCAACGGTCTGATGAACATCCGTGGCATGACCTTCCGGCTCTCTTCACTGATGATCATTGCACATGGCGTGGAAGTCGGCATTAAATTCTCCGACGATATGGAAGTCGCCATTGCGGTGGACGAGGTCCGCATCTCTCTTTTCAGAAGAATCGACATCTCCGACGTATATGCAAATGTTAAGGGTGGTGAGCTTGAAATGACACTTAGGCAGTTGGCAGAGAATGGCAGAACACCTACCGACGATTCGTTCATGGTTTCTGAAACTCCTCTTCTTGCCACTGCGGCCAAGACTGGCGATACACGTGCTCCCATGGAGGCCATGAAGGAAAGGATGACAAATGGTTCTGCCCCCCAGCCTACTTCTACCGGTGTCGGCCTGAAGGGAGTCAAACAGCTCTCGCCTGACGATGATCACGCAAGGGAGACCTACAAGTCGATCCTCAACTACATTCAAGAAACCAGCATTATTACCGTCAGCCAGCAGGAGGTCGAAAAGAATGTGAAACAGAAACAAGTCGATGACGAAATTCTCGACAACAAGAAAGACCGTCGCTCTGCGATTTGCTCACAACTGCACAGCAAGCCCACTGTCCCTCACTGTAGCACGCGGTCCATTCGTGTCTCTACTCTGCAGCGGGATATGCCGATGCGAAAGTTCCTCCACAGACTTCCTTTCCTCCTCAGATGTCTTCTGAACCCAATCGCGTACTTCCATCCGGTCTACATCAAGTCTATCACTGCCGGAGGCTCAGGTGCCATGATCGAAACTATGCTTCACCAACAAATTTTCCAGGATCACCCAGAGCAAGCTTCCGATGTTAAGAATCTCAAGAAGCGCATTTCTGCCTGGCTAAAGGATGCCAACTTTGTTTTTGAAGCCGAGAAGATTACTGGCATGGCTTCTGTACCCATCAACCCAGTCTTCAACATCGTTTCTGATCTTCTGTTCGACGACATCATGATCTACAGAACTGTCAAGGAAGAGGTTGACTACAATCAAATCGTTCGTCTTGGAGGAGCGGATGCAAGGATTAGTGTGCCGTCATTCCTCTTGCCTCATCACGAACATATCTTGCCTCCGGTCCCAACCTCGGAGGATAAAGCTGCTCAGCAGGAAAAGATTGACAACGCCGACAGTCAGCCGAAGACTATCCAAGCCGAACAAGAAATGGCCCAGCTGCGCAAGGATGAAACTAACGTCAACATCTCCGCCCATGTGCGCCTACCTGCTTGTTTCGACCAAAATCTGCTCGACTTTATCGCAGCCTTGGTCAAGGCGACCAAGATCGTCGAGATGGACAGAGTTGAGAAGTCATTGGACAAAGAGATTCACGGCTTCAGAGAGTTTACAAAGGCAATCAAGACTGATCTCAATGACAAGATGAAGAAAGTCGCTATGGATGCTGCTGCCAACGATAGATGGATTGCAAAGTTGGTCGGAAAGGTAACCAAGAAACTTGAGACGATGCAGGGAGATATCGGTTACAGTGGTGACTTGCCGGTTCCTCTTGACATCTACCGCAAGAAGGCGGAACCTGCCAGCAAGCTTATGCCTTGATGAGAACAGAGAAATGAAAGAAACAAACGTATTACGCATAGATTAATTGTATCAGCATCGATCAAAATCAACGAAATGACCAAGAATAGACACAAGATTGCAGTAAGATCGTTATCGAAACTCCAACCTGACGGAAGCGAGAAAATTTCTTTAAGGTCTCCGTGTCAACTCCACCTTCTCAATTGAAGCTCCTTCCACGCCATTGCATCCTCGACCCCTCGTTCGTAAGCTTCCTTCTTTTCCAACTCCCTTCTCTTCTGTGCCGCCTCAACAGCTCTCCTAGTCGCTCCTTCCGCCTGTCTCAGTTCCATGTCATCCAGACGTTCATTCAAGCGTTCGAGCATCGAAGTGTTGTTCGGCTCCCAAGATTGTTGTGGTTGGTATCGTTGGGGCTGATAGGATGGATAGTTTGCTTTTGGTTCTGGGGGATCGGGAGCCGATGGTCTTGTATAGTTGTCTGGGCTATACATGCTAGAATCACGAGCGCTCGGAATGGTAGATGGAGCATGCTGTATATCAGAGATTCCATAGGTTTTGTCCTCAAAGCTGACGGTACGTCGAGTTGGGTGTTTGTAGTCGGTTTGACTTCTTTGAGGTAACTTGATGGGCTGCTCCTGTTGTCGATTCTGGTTCGGTCTGAGGAAACTATGTGCTGCAAGCCGTTGACCGAATTGCCCTGGTGCGAGGGCATCTCTGTTGTGATATTGGAATTGTGGCGCAGCGCCCTCCCCCGATACTGAAGTGGGAGGTGAGCTCTCCTCGAGAGATGCGAGGGTTGATGACTGATCATCTAGACTCGAAGACGATCGAGAATGGCTTAGCTGGGCTTGAGTTCTCCAGAAAAGCACGTCTTCTCGTCGCAGTCGTTCGGCACTGCGTTTTGCATGTCTCGTTTGCTGCTGGGATTGTGGCGATGGAACTGGCGATGGCTCCATCACAGGGTTATAATCAGGCCAGCCCGAATCAGTAGGAGCCTGATTCGTTGCGATTGGGGATGCTCTGGGGGCCTCTGAATCTGTGGCGCGATGTGAAGCAGCAATTGCGGGAGCATGGGTGTTTGTATGATAATACTGTCTAGCCATGCTTGGCTCCGCTGTGCCTCCATATGGGTTACTGGGCTGCTTCCCAAAGTAGTCTTGCTCGTGGTTTGTCGGCTGCAGTCCAAGATGTGGCGGAGTCCTTTGTGTCGTAGATCCTTCAAACTGCCGTTCAATGGGCATAGTTTGAGAGTCGTATCTGAAATTTGGTACTACGGGTGGAGACTGCTGTGGAGACCATGTTCCATGTAGAGCTGATTGCGCTTGTGCCTCTTGGTAGGCTTTGTCTCCCACCTGTGTGCGAGCATTGGAATTTACATTGGCCATATATGCAAGAGCATTCTGGACGTGATTGAGCTGCTGGTTGTTCTGAACTTCAGAACCCGGCTGTGGTTGCCATTGGTTCAGCTGATTTCGAAGCATGTTTTCATGCTCTATATTGGTTGACGGTGATTGCTGGGGTGGAGCTTGGTTGCTCCATGTTGGACTCGGACCTTGCAACCTAGCAGATGGCAATGCGCTTGCCATCGATGGCACGTCGATGACATGAGTATCGTCCGTACTTAAACCAGACATGATCTCGATCACGTTTTCGCTAATTAGCCTTTTGGTCTTAGCCTGTCCCTTGAACTCCCTTCCAGGCGGAGGAAGACGTTGGTCGAGTTTCGATTTCGTCCGCTTCAGCGGTGAGTCGGAGATATCGTTGAGGTCAGAGATGTTGCTTGCCACACTAGCGCTAGTCGTCTCATGGCCTGGTGTTGCCTTCTCGACTCTTCTTCTGTCATCCCTACTCAATATCACTCGAATGAAAGTGGTCTCTCTGATCCTAGTCCTGAGATTGTTGAGGACCTCACGGTGTATGGCTGCTATTTCCCAGCGAGCGTGTTTGTTCGTCTCATCTCGCCTTTGTTGCTGGAGAAGAACTTCGACTTGTTGACGCTGGTCCGCCGACATGGCTTCATACATCTCGATGAGCGATTTTGCCTTGAGCTGCTTCTTGACTTGAGATTCAAGTTCATCAGAAGGCAGTGTCATTTGTACCACTGCTGCTCGCTTCCAGCTTGGGGCACCATCCTTGGTTTTGGGAGCAGCCTTGGTAAGCTTCCAGCAATGGAACGTTGTGAGTATTGGAGCAGACTTGTTCTTGTGATGTTTGGTGCCTGTCTGCCTATTGAGTTGAGCGTCGTAATCAGAGTCAGAGCCTTCGACGATGTCTATCAGAAAATCGTCTGGAGTACACGAAGAGTCCGATGGCATAGCGTGATGTGAATATACATTAGCTGGAGGCACAGGTATTCTCTGAGTCATGGCTAGTAGGATTGACGCTTGCAGATTTTGTGACAAAGTGTGCTGATATTCAGCTTCGAATAGATAGCTAATGCTGTTAACTCCTCTTGATCCAGACTTGTCAGTAAATATCAGAGTCAAACTCACAATAAGATCGGGGGAGGACATGCTCACCCTTATAATCTTGTTCTTGCAAGTCACGTTTATCTTTGACCGTCCTTTCCCGCATCGCATGACTCCGTGCATGACATACACTACCTCGTAGAGAAACTCAATGCGAAGATAATAGGTGGGATGAACAGTTGTGTACAAGCTTGCCAGGGCTATCCAGGTACCCGCGACTAAAGACACGGCTCCTGGATTCCAGGACCAATCACTGCATGTGTGTTGTACCCCTTGACCACACCTACCATAAATATTGGTGTGCGCGTTATCGTGTCCAAGATCATGGCAACGCTGAAAGCTTGAGTCAATCTACCCAGAGCGGTACGCAGGTCTACGAGGATTCGTCTTACGACGACACCCACTTCACCCAAGCATGACCAAGCCTTCGGTGTAGGCATTGGTCGACCCAAGTTTTTGCCTTTCGCACCGAAACAAGAATCAGATGTAGGATTAGCTCTTTGGCGAAAAGAAGTGTGGTCACAAGTCAAGGGCCAGGAGGGGAGGCATGATCGAGCCGAGCAGATATTCAAGGCATGGCGAGATGCAGGCAGTAACATAAGGATTGCTCTTACCCAAGCCACCCGCAAGAGGTTCTCTGCTACCTTTCCCAGAATCCGGGATATTCGAGCTGTCCGGTTCACGTCCATATGGCTGACTTGCGGTGATTCGTCACTAAGAATGTCGTGCGCTCGAATGAGGTGTATTGCGTACAGCAAGATTCAAGTCGCAATCGTGTTTGAACAATGTCTAATCTTCCTGGTGTGTAACTTGTAGCTGTTCAATGCTGACAAGGTGCTAATGCACTCTGCGCTGGCGAAGGCTTGCAGCTCTCCAATGAGGAACGTCGAGTCAAGGCCCACCTGACAAAAGCCACACGATGATAACTTGCACAGCAGTCCTCCAAGCACGACTGAACATGGTCTTCGAGCGAAGTATGATGCACCCTTGAGTCCATGCTTGGAGACTTGATGCGAATCTGAATGACAATACGACTGAAGCGGATGAAATTCTGGAAGCCAAGCAGATAGAAAGAATACTGTTTTGCGAGATAGAAGTCGCGCTTCGCTTATGTATGTGTCGAGTGTCGCGGATGGAATAATTCGATGGGAGATCACCTCTGTGATTTCTTTTGCTTTAGCCGTGTCGGGGTCAAACTGTCAGCTAGAGTTTGTCATTAGGAGCAATCAAAGGACAGCAGTAAATGAGAGCAACGACACTACACGCAAGTAGGTGATTCTAAGGCAAGACAGGCGTCACGAGGGCACCAACAAATCGAAGGCTGAGGGAAGGAGCAAAATAAGTTGTTGCCATTGTTCGTGATGGTGGACGGAGATACGACCATCAACATCCCCAGACTCTTCGGAGTTTGGGGGGAAGGAGCGGCTTCGGGCACCGGCATCTCCTCGATCACCGGACGCCAACAAGACGCGGCCATGGAAACTTTTGGATGCTTCTCTGTCTTCATCTGGTCCGGAGCTGCATCCAGCTGGAAATCCTTCTCTTCATCTCCTCTCGGTCACAGTCTTCCAGGTACTGGTACAATCAATTGAGCATCTCGGCGCATCCATCAAGCCGACTCTTCTTCTCCACGCGGGAACGGCGATAAGGCTTATATTTCTAATCGTCACAACTTAGCCTGATTGCAATCCCATTGCATACCTTGGGTGTTTCTACTGCCTGCCCAGGAATGGACGACTACCGCTTCCAATTCAGCCCGCAAGACTCTGCCTCCCAATTCCACTCAATGTCGCCAAACCTGCTGAACGGTCCGTCAAGGCGGGACTCTTACCGTCGTCGCAACAGCCTGCCTACAGCCGTCGCTTCCAGTCCTTCGAACCAAGCCCTGGCTATCCCTACACCAGAAATCTCCTCACGGAATGGCCCTTCTGCCTCGGAATTATCTGCCGCCATCTCTGAGCTCTCCCGATCCGGCACCCCGTCCATGGTACAGCTGGCCGCCTTGACAAGTCCTTGCTTCTTCCACCGCCGCTTCGGTGATGCCGTCAACATTGAAAAAGTTCTGGAGGAGATAAAGGAGGATGATCAGCTGTCACACAGTCGTCTTATGCAGACCGCTGCCAGTGTTCGCGAGGTCTCACGACAACTACAAAGACGTTCCACCAAGCAAGCCGTACGCAACGTCATGATAGTCACAAAGGCCCGTGACAATGCCTTGGTTGATTTGACGCGCGAATTGGCTGAATGGCTACTCGTCAAGCCGCGATATGGTAGCGACGTCGGTGTCAATGTCTATGTCGACTCGAAGCTCCGCCGCTCTAAGCGCTTCGACGCAGATTCGTTGATTGCCAAAGACAGCCGCTTTGAGAGCATGCTTCGTTTCTGGACTCCTGCTCTCTGTTGGGCTTCTCCTGAATTATTCGATCTTGTCATAACTCTCGGAGGAGATGGCACTGTTCTCTTCACCTCATGGCTGTTTCAACGCATCGTTCCTCCCGTCATGTCCTTCTCGTTAGGGTCTCTGGGCTTCCTTACGAATTTCCAATTCAACCAATACAAACACCAACTAGACCGCATCATGGGCGATTCCGGTATGAGAGTGACCATGCGTATGCGATTCACCTGTACAGTCTATCGAGCGGCGGCGTCAAATTCCTCATCCTCCCTGCCTCCTCATAACTCCTCCGACCCCTCATATCCTGCGACAACGAATCCGACCAAAATCGAGGGCGAGACCCACGAAGTGCTCAACGAGCTAGTCATTGACCGAGGACCTTCGTCATACATTTCTTCACTGGATCTGTACGCCAATGATTCATTAGTCACACGCATTTCAGCCGATGGTGTCATTCTTAGTACCCCGACAGGGTCTACTGCGTATTCACTGTCAGCAGGTGGAAGTCTGGTACATCCAGAGATACCCGCTATACTACTCACACCTATCTGCCCACATACTCTATCTTTCCGTCCAATGATCTTGAATGACTCCATGGAATTGAAAGTCTCTGTTCCTAGTAAAGGCCGAGGCGGTGGCTTTGTCAGCTTCGATGGCAAAGGACGAATTGAGCTCGGTCTAGGCGACGAGGTCGTCGTTAGAGCCAGCAAGTATCCTTTCCCAACCGTCCTGAGTCAACCAATGGAATGGTTCGATGCCATCAGCCGCACGCTACGCTGGAATACCAGAGCTGCTGACCAGAAGGACTGGGCAGGAAGAGATGCGGACGAGAGAGACGACGAATTCGATGAGGACGGCGCCCCGAAGAGCAACAAAGAACCAGAGTTTGACATAGACTTCGAAGACGAGATGGATAGCGTTCGAGATTCTGGATACTCCGGGTCGAGTAGCACGGCATGAGCAACAATCTGCTATATTCCTCTTACATTCTCGTTTTCTTGAAAGACGCGACTAGTGCTTACGGACGTATAGAGATATTGTCGAGAAGACTAGTGGTGCTGCAACCCAAGGCATGCAAATGCTTACGAAATTTTGTCCTTGGACTACGGATCGATGCTGCATAGGCATAACGAGCGGAAGGAGCGGCTGTTTCTTGCTTTGATTGTTGTTTTCTCATGACTTGCATACACATCACGACTGAATCAAAGACGGAGGGACGGGGAAGGATTTAGAACCAAACGAATAATGCACGCATGTGACTCCTCCTATTTTTATGGTCCGCTCTTCATCTTGCAGTCGGATGTTCTTCCTCGCGGATCCTAGCTTGAATTCCCCGTTTGGGTCTTCCGAGCGAAAGAGACAAAGATCGCCAGCACGTTTTTCTGTGCCAAGGCTGATATCTTAACCCTCGGGCTCGGGTCTCCGAGCCCAGCCTTTCCGGCACACCAAGACTGTTTTCTTTGTTTTTGGAGGCTTCAAGGTGACGAGCAAGATATCCAGAAATCGGTTTGACCATGGGGAACCTATCGGCCCTTTCACAACCACGCAGACCGTAGTGGGCATCAGCTACGCCAAAATGGCGTACACGTACAACGTGCCGAGATATCAACGGTGGGACGTCGTTTGTTTGAAGAGGTTGAGTGCGGGATATGACGAAATTTGCATACGCGTGCTACCAAGTCACTCGCGCAAGGAGTGCAGTTTCGCTATTCTCGTGTTTGGAAGAACGGTCGTGTATGGTTGGAACATCGATGGCGATCGCAAGTCGTCCCAATAAGCTAGCAGCCTGCTGTTGGGCCCTGCATCTTTGCATAACCTTTATCGCGCCCTGACTCGATACTTTTACCGAGACCCAGCATCAGCCTCCTTGACGATCTGTCAAAATCCCCCTGTCGCAGCTCGTGCTCGCTCAATGTTCATTCTGTGGTGCCCTTCGTGGCCTGGAAATTGCCATCATGTATTGCAGTTTTTCCTCAGCGTGCGCGTCGTCGCTGTGGACAAATGGCATTCTTCGTCCCGGCATTCGTATCCGTGTAGTTGCGTGTTCGTGCCATTCGGATCCTCCCTCGCTCAGCAGACTCCATACTTCCAAGCAGTAACTGTGGGTCACTGATAACTGGTCTCGCCCCGTTTCGTCCATCTTACTGCCGCTCTTGATATGGAGAGTATGAGCGCCAGTGCTGAACCCAAATGCCATCATGGTCCCACTATCCCCTTGGGGCACAATCCTCAAGAGACACCGTGAGGCGGCTAGAACTACAAGTTCATCTAGGTGCCATCTCTCAGATTTTCCCTTCAAAGTGTCCTTTACCGACTACCGCCTGATTTTTTTACCCTTCAATCAAGCCCGCCCCTTTTTTCGAGAAGGCTATTACCTGTCTCTTATTATCACAATCTAGCATCGCATTGCGTGACTGAATCCGGTTTATTCCCGACCTGTATCGGTCCTTATTGCAGACATCTTCTGCTCAAATTCTGCACCCTAACGGCGGACCTCAACACCCCAGCTCAGTGGCAACCCCATATTATTTTCTCTTGATCTTTCATTTCTTATCCGGGGTTGAAAGTCGTATCGTGTCAGTCGTCGTTCGCGCTTTCCCTTGACTTCGACTTTTGTATCAAATCTTTCTTTGTTGGTTGCTTTCGTCAACTTCCAAGTTTGGAAAGGTGGGGCAAGCCGACCATCACGCATTCGGTCACGGTCTTTTCAAACATCAACTCGCAGGCTTGAGTATTCTTTGTTCCTAAACGAGCGAGGCATCAAGCCTTTGCTCGGTGAGTTCTATAAACGATGAGTTCAGCAAATACACCCCGGATCGAGCTCAATCCGTTCGAGGACCCTCCGGAGATATTGGACAATGGGCCCTATTTTAACTCGAACCAGTCAAGTGACTACCTGAGCAGCATGGAACCAAGTCGACCTGGTAGTGCCGGAGGGATCAGACCCAAAGACAAGAAGAAGGTCGGCTTCCACCCAGACGCAGAAGAACCACCACTGTTCAGGAAACATCGGCCCGCCAGTATCACGCTACCTACGAGGATTACTTTGACGCCGCCCAGTGGTTTAAGTCCTGGCTTCTCGACCTCCGAGAGTCCCTTTACTTCACATTCTCGAAACTCTAGTGGAACGAGTGAGGCATTGTTATCATCTTATCGTAGCCATGCTCCCGAAGTGTCTTCCGAAGACACGGAGCAGATCAAGGCTGCTTTCGCGTCTTCAGCCTTACCAAGTGCCTCGTCGCCCACCATGCCACGGATGCCTCCGCGGCCTGTCCTTCGCCGTGGGGACTCGGCATTCTCGACCGCCTCAGACGATGAACAAGAAAACACAGTCCAGAGTCGGCGGGCTCGTGAGGCCCACGAACGTGGAAAGAGATTGGAACTGGACGAGCGCATATCTTCAGCTCCAGCTTCACGAGCTGCCTCGCCCGCGCGCAAACTCGGCCTACCCAAGCTCAAGCTGAACCTTAGCGAGATTCCCCTGCAAGACTTCAGCAAAGTCGACTTCTCCGAAGAGCCCAACGAGCACGACCCCCTTCACCATCTCGGCGATGCAACAGATGACGACCTTCACGCATCGGCCCACAAACTTGTGCGTGCTCACGCCTCGATGGCTCAACAACTTCTCCACATCGATGCCTCGTCTGGCTTAGCATCTGCCGCAGCCACTCCCAATGAAGAGCGTGAAGCCTATCTGGATTATGTTCCCAAGCCTGAGCGTCACCGCGCTGGTGTCCTTGGCGCCTTGCTACGACTCTACAACCACGATGGTCCAGCTAGCTCAGGCCATGATCGCTCCTCCAGCCTGCCACGGCCTGCACACTTCCGCGATGGAAGCAGTGGCTTCAACACTCCACAGCATTCGCCTCCTTCCTCTGGATACAACACTCCTAGCGGTAGACCTCTCTCAGGTTATAGCACTCCCGGAGGCAAACAGTCAAAGCCATGGCATTCCAAAAGTTATAGCAATTCAACATCTTCTCTGGCCTACTTGGTTGGTTCTTCTGTGAGTGGAGGCACTCCGATCGCCGGCCTGCCGCTAGGAGAACAAGTTACGGAAAACTTACGCCAACGTCACGAAGCAGAGAAGAAGGCCAAAAAGTCTCGCAGCCACAATGTCCTGAGTCGTATGGGCCGTTCCCGCCTGGATGAAGAGATCAGGATCACGAAGCACATCAAGGAGAATTTGGCCCGACAAAAGTATCTCCTCAAGCTTTGCCGAGCTTTGATGACCTACGGTGCGCCAACCCATCGCCTGGAAACGTATATGCGTATGAGCGCCAGAGTCCTTGAGGTTGATGCCCAATTTCTTTACATGCCCGGTTGTATGATATGTTCATTCGACGACCTTTCGACACATACAACGGAAGTTAAGATGGTCCGCGCTGGTGAAGGCTTGAATCTTGGGAAACTAAGAGATTGTCACGAAGTCTACAAGGAAGTCCTTCACGATCGTCTAGGAGTCGACGATGCTACTGATCGTCTTAATGAGATCTTCAACAAGGAACCACATTTCAACAACTGGTGGATGGTGTTTGTGAGTGGCCTAGGCACAGCTTCTGTTGCACCCTTTGCATTCAACGCCGGTTACTTGGACTTGCCTATCTGCTACGTCCTTGGCTGCATTGTAGGATATCTTCAAGTGGTATCCTATCGCAACGAAGGCGTCCTAAACATGTTCGAAGTTCTTGCGACCATCATAACATCATTCTTGTCTCGAGCTTTCGCTTCTATAGGTCATGGTCGCTACTTTTGCTTCTCAGCTCTTGTCCAGTCTTCGATCTGTTTGATTCTGCCCGGCTGGATAGTACTTCGCGCCTCGCTGGAACTTCAATCGAAAAGTATGGTCTCTGGGAGTGTGAGAATGGTCTGGGCTATTATTTATTCACTCCTGCTCGGATTTGGAATCACGATTGGAACCGTTCTCTACGGTGCTATTGATAAGAATGCAGTGTCGACAACAACATGCTCAGCTGATCGCGAGATTGGGGCGCATATTCAACTGGTTTTTGCACTGATTTTCTCCTTTTCCCTATGCGTGCTGAATCAGGCCAAGTGGAGGCAAATGCCTGTCATGATCATCATTGCACTCATAGGACGTCTAGTCAGCGTTGGTCTTGGTACGAAGTTTAAGGGCAATGGCCAGATCAGTGCTACAATCGCTGCCCTTGCCATTGGTCTCGCTGCAAATTTGCATTCACGATTCGGAACCAAGATCGAGAACAAAGCTCTGGATGTTTGGGAAGCCTATCTGCGACCACACGTCAGAGCTTTCCACAAGCGAATTCGTGGCAAATCAACAGCTCTCCGCGACCGACGTACTAAGAAGATGATGGAGAGCATGGAGTCTGGAGAACTACACGACAGCGAAAGCATCTTTGTGCCACACATCAGACGTGTAGGCTATGGTCTCGCAGCGGCGGCCATGTTGCCCGCCATTCTTGTACAGGTGCCTAGCGGTCTCGCTGTTAATGGAAGTCTGCTCTCTGGTGTCCAAGCTGCCGATCAGATCGCGGGAAAGGGTCAGAATGGCAGTACGGTTACAGATGCCGCAACACTTCAGTCTGGTGGCAGCGTAAACTCTGTGGCCTTTAACGTCGGTTATTCCGTGGTGCAAATCGCAATCGGCATCACGGTGGGAATATTCGCGTCCACGTTGATAGTGTACCCATTCGGCAAGAGACGCAGTGGCCTGTTCAGTCTGTGAGCGAGGTATCCACTCGGCACTTTACTATACAGAAAATCTGTTTATTATAGTTACAGCAGGTGTCAAACCTTGTTGTGTCATTCTTGCGCCGGCATGCTCTCTCAGTGGTGCATGTTGGCAAGCGTATTCCGCGTTAGGATCTGCGCTGCCAGCAACCTTTTTTTGTCTCTTTCTTTTCTCATCTATTGTTAACTATCAAGCATGGCTCTGGAGTTTGTTATTTGTTGTTTCTTCTTTGTTCTTCATAATTGGCGGTAGTCGCTCATTAATGTTTTGTTTGTTTGTTTTCTTGGAAAGATTATTAGAGGCTTCCTCATGACTGATTACGACTTTTCATTAATCACGCTATAGACATAGACATGATGAATTTCCTATCGTTGCAGATCACAATCATTGTTCCTCGCCTTCCTCCTGAATCTGTGATGTTGTTCCCTCAGTTGCTGTTTCAACATCTCTGAGACGTTCAAAGGGCCTGTCAGGAGGGATAAGAGCGGGGCAAGAGCGACTCTGCATTCTACTGTCTAGATCAGATAAGCACTTGGACGGATTGTCAGCTCTGACGATCGCGACGAACATACGTATGTCATATTGGCTGCGCCATGTACAGACCACGCTTCGTAGGGCCTCCTGTGGGCTGGACCATGCAACTCGTGTAGCTGCAAGGCTGCAGCGTGGTCTGCAAAGGAGGAGTAGCTTCTTAAAAGACGATATGTCCTAGATTCTCTTTGGTTGCATCTTGGAGCTGATAGCATTTACGTCTGTCCATAGCTTACAGTTCGCAATTATCGTGATTCTCGCAGACATTTAGCACGTGGGGGAGATGGTATCATTCCATCAAGACGAGTAATGATACGAAGAGGTGTCAGATTGCATAGTGAGCAGCATTGAACCTGGCAATGAGCTCGTTTAGCGAAGCTCTCATCATATCCATCTCGTTTCTCTGTTGCTGGACTAGCTGTCGCAGCTCTTGAGCTTCGGTCCGTTGCTGGTCGGCCTGCTGCTTTAGACTAGTATTCTCAGCCTCGATGGCTTGAATGCGTGTAACGAGCGTAGTAACTCGTCTTGCAAGACCTTGACCATTCGCCGGTGGTTGAGAGTATGTTTCTGTGTCGGTGGGTGCACTTGAATCGTCTATATTTCTAGGAGGAGTAGGTGAACGGACGATAGGCCGGGATGGAGGGACGGGAGAATGCCTGCTGTCCGAAAAGGTCGTGGGAATTCTAGGAGCCTGGTGGACTGGTTGAGCTGCATTACTTGGTCGCTTTTTCCTCCATGCGGGTTCTCTGACCTGAGCAGCAGGCGGTGGTGGGCGTCTGGTTGGTTGTTGAGGTCTTGTGGCATTTTCCAAAGCCATGATTGCATCAACTTCCATGTCATTTTCGTCGTCTTGGGCATCTTCATCATCTTCATCGTCATCGTCGTCATCGTCATCATGGTCATCGTCGTCGTCAGATGATGTCTGAGTCACTTGGCCCGGGACGACAGGGTTTGCAGGTATGATAGTATCCTTCCTCTTGGACAAGCCCATCTCCTTGCGTAATTTGGCCAACTTACGAAATGAAACGACGAAGCCATCTCGTCTGAGAATTTTGGCCATCTGTTGATCGGTGTAATAGCGCTCTTGATAAAACAGATCGTATATTCTTTGCCTCATTTCAGGAGTCACTTTGATACGCGGACGAATAGAAAGACCCCAAGCATTCATGTTGCGTTTGAGGGTGTTTTCGGAGAGCGAGATGCCATGCTCGCTGGCCAATGTCTCCATGATACGGTTCATGGTCCATTTCTCCTGGTTCACCCACCAGGTGATGGCCTGGCGATGAGCGGAAATGTCGATGGGCTTCCTGGGCATTTTTGAGGAGTGTTTGTGATGGCTAGGTAGCTATCGGCGACAGAGGTTGAGAGCTTGTGAGAGATCCAGAGCGGTAGACAAAGCCGACAAGCAAAACGTCGGGGCTTGGCGGCTGCGATGCGGCTTTCACATGCTCCGACCGGTATGCGCGGATCTCGTGCCATCTTACGGAGGTCCTGATGACGATTTATGTACCTACCTAGTTGACAACTGCCCCGCGCGTGCCTCAGTATCCATGTTAAGTGCTCGTATGCCTGCATGACCTCGAAATACGACTTCTCCCCGCTCTTACGTCCTTGTCCTCGCTCCTTCTCTTTTTGAGATACCGATCCGTACAAGACGCATGCCTTGAACGCCGCCATGGCTCTTGACGCTGTCCCCGGCGCAATGCCATATTCACCACAACCCAAGTCGACCAATACTACAAACACAAATGGACTCAAGTCCGATAACGACCCTCTTCTATCGCCCAAGATGCATCCTCAGACCCACATCTATCCCCCGCCGCTGTCTCCACCGCCCGAAGACCCCATGCACAACATCTGCGACGACCTAATATTTTCTCAGGGCACAATAAAGTGGCCGCAAGAGAAGGATCGTATACTGCTGGCTCCCTATGATTATCTGGACGGTCATCCTGGCAAGGACATCCGCTCTCTCCTTATCGGTGCCTTCAACGCCTGGCTGCATGTGCCAAAGCCCAGTCTCGACATCATCACAAAAGTAGTCGGCATGCTGCACACTGCTTCGCTACTGATAGATGATGTCGAGGACTCGTCTGTACTGCGTCGAGGCGTACCCGTCGCACACAACATCTTTGGCACTGCCCAAACCATCAACTCGGCCAACTACGTCTACTTTTGCGCTTTGCGTGAGCTTATGAAGCTGAACAACCCTCAGGCCATCGAGATTTACAATGAAGAGCTGCTCAATCTACATAGAGGTCAAGGAATGGATCTGTTTTGGAGAGACTCGTTGACCTGCCCCTCTGAGCACGACTACCTCGAGATGGTCGGCAACAAGACTGGCGGCCTATTTCGTCTGGCCATTAAACTTATGCAAGCTGAGAGCAGCGTCTCAATCGACTGTGTCCCCTTGTGCAACACTATTGGTCTGCTTTATCAGATCCGAGACGACTACAAGAACCTCTCGGACACAATTTACACACAGAACAAGGGATTATGTGAAGATCTGACAGAGGGAAAGTTCTCCTTTCCTGTCATTCATAGTATCCGTTCAGATCCGCAAAACCTAGTTCTCATGAACATACTCAAACAAAAGCCGCAGGACGAAGAAATCAAAAGATATGCCGTCAAATATATGGAAAAGACGGGCAGTTTCTCATACTCGCGCAAAGTGTTGCGAGGCCTTGCAAAGAAGGCTCTTACGCTGGTTGATCAGCTCGACGAGGGTCGCAACGAAGGCGAGGCAATCCGGAAGATACTCGATAAGATGCAGGTCGATGAACCGGAAAGCATCTCTTCCTCGTCGTCGCCTTAGTAGGAGAAGGTGCATCTCATGGCGTTTCTAAGGGCATCTTGGTTTGGGGACTTTTCATGTTTCTTCGGTCGACCTTTCTAATAGGATTACCTGGCGACCTTTTCTTACTCTACGATTTTTGATACCTCTTGCCGATGAGCATACATATGACAGCTGGACTTTTCTTGTATCGCTTTCACTTATGACGACGTTATTCACGAAGTGTTGTTGCAATGTTTTGTTTTCATTTCATTTCAGATTCGTTTTTGAACGTACATAACATTCATCTGTTTGAAAGTGTATGTACCGGAAAGATCATCCTTCCAAACTCTTCAGTTGGACCATCTTCCCACTCCGCAGTAGTTTTGATGACGAGAAACAAACGAGGAACTGTGAAATAATGCCTTTTGTGGAACAAACCCAACACCTCTGAACGCCGCCGGTAACAACCTTTGCCCCCCATTTTTCATGCATCGACTTTGCGGAAGACAGAAACCACTTTCACCGTCCCGACAGCTCGATGGAAGGTTTACAAGCTCTGGCGACCCCCCAAAAGAAGGCGCAGAAGACGGAAGAACTTCCAATCGGCATACTTGATGATCAAGCAAAGGACGGGAGGTCAATTCAAGCGCTCCTTCTTGACCTTCTTGATCTTCTCGTGCTTGACTAGACGCGTCTCGGCATTCTAAACCTTGACGTGCTGGCCCTGCTTGACGACCAACTTGTTGAGCTCCTTGTAAGCCTCATCCCACTCGTCGTCCTTCTCCTCGCCCTTCTTGCCGGCAGTAGGGGTGACCATGACGACGGAAGTGGGGCGCTTGGTGCTGCCAGCGGCACCCAGCTCGGCGCGCGACGGAAGGAAGACGTAGGGGATGTTGTGGTCCTCGCAGAGAACGGGGATGTGGCTGATGACGTCCATGGGGCTGATGTCGGCGGCGAGGACGACAATGGCGGGAGCTGAGGCCTGGGCGGTGGCAGGGTCCGAGGGTGTGGTTTTGCGGACGGCCTTGACGACTTCTTTGACACCACGCTTAAGGCACTTTTGCTTTGCGGCTGTGATTGGATTCGTTAGTCGTCATTCTTGATTGATCGTGTTGCTGCAAAGCTCAAAGCTGCAAGCAAAAAGATGTCGAGACAGAACTCACCCTTCTTGACGGTCTTCAGGACCTTCTTGGTGGCCTTCTCGTCGCACAGGGGGTTGGCGAAAGGAACCAGAGCGCCGGCGGGAACAGCAGCAGACTCATCGGCAACAACGTCGGCATCAACGATAACATCACCATCGGCATCGACAGCGACGGCGCCAGGTGCAGCGTCCTCAATGGCGTTGAGCACAGCAGTTGCGTCGCTCTTGCGCTTCTCCTTCTTCTCCTTCTTGACACCGCTTGCGTCGACGCTCTTTCTCTTCTCCTTCTTCTCCTTCTTTTCGCTCCTGTCCTTGGCCATTTTGTGTGGTATGTGTGTGTGGTTGTGTGGTGGTTGGATGGAGGTCGGGTTACAATAACTTTTTTTTCTTTCTCGCGTTCTTCGAATCCCGCACAACTCAGAGCTTGCCCTTCACAATTGCTTCGCAGAGGTTTTGTGCCAAGAATTTTGCCGACGGACTTCTCCCGATTGGTTCTCCGAGTCGTTGATTCTGTTGCTACCACCCTGCTCTGAACATGAACAAGATAAAATTCTTACGCGATGAACATCTGGCACAAGGTCACGATTTTGAACAGTTTCTTATCACCTAAAGTCGATAGGTGACCCGTGTCTGTGAGACGAGATGCTACTGCCATGGGACATCAAGAGACCGTCAATCCCAGAATCCCGAATATCTTCACTATCCGAACAGCAGGACTCCATCAATAAAAAGAAAAAGTAATTCAATATGGATGCACTGAAGAGTTGTTTTACAGATCATTGCCATCCTCCAGATCCCCTTCCCCTTCACTGTCACTTTCCCTTGTCCCAGCTTCATCTTGCCCTTCTTCCGTCTTCATATTTTCCAAGTGTCTCAAAATTAAACCAACAGGTGATAATGCACCAAGAGCAAATAATGCTAGCCCACCGTTCACCAGCGACCGTACTGTCCTGAGTCCAGTGTCCCTGACGCGACTCTCAATGCTGTCTACGCGAGGTATCGAATCGTTAGCAACTGCGGTGTCGACAGGTTCGAAAACAGCCGAGTCACCAACAGACTGTTCTTCTCTTCCCTTGAATCCATCATCTTGTTCCCCGTCCTGCTTATTTGCGTCAGACTTCATCTCAGCCATATCTGTTGAACCATGTTCCCGAGGATCATCTCCCGCGACTTCTTCACCTTCGGCGTTGCTCTGTAGTTCAACTCCCATTTTTCTCGGCGCCTGCAGTGGCATCACCTTGTTGGCTTGCAGCAGATCCGGACTTTGGTGTAGCAGTACCTTTCCCTCTCGATTCCAGCTTGCGAGGCTTCTTCTTCTCGCCGGTCGTAGAATCAATCAACTTCTTGGGCTTTCCTCTAGGCTTAGGTGCAGCCTGGCCAGAAGACGATGCGGGAGCAGGAGTGACAGCAGACTCGGACTTCTCAGTTGCAGGCGTCTCGGGAAGCGGTGTGTTCTCTGCCTTTTTCTGCGCCTCGTCAGCCAGTTTCTTGGGCTTGCCCTTGAGCTGCTTCGGCGCGACAGGGGACAAGGCAGCTTCTGATTTCTCAGTCGCAGGCGTTTCGGGCAGTGGTACCTTTTCAGCCTTCTTCTGCTCTTCAGGCTTGTCGTTCTTTGCATTTCCCTTGAATTTTGGCGCAGGCGAAGAAGCAGCTTCTGACTTCTCAACGGCGGGAGTTTCGGGCAGAGGTGCCTTTTCTCCCTTCTTTGGTTCCTCTGGCTTCTCACTCTTCGTCTTGTCTTCAGGCTTAGTTTCGTCCTTTTTACCTAACTTGCGTGGCTTCTTCTTCTCGGCCTTTGGTTCAGCTTTCTTGACCTCTGCAGGTGCTTCCTCGTCTTCGGAGTCATCGGCGTGCTCAACCGAGAAATGGCCGTCCTTGGATTGGCCCTTGTTGATCTGTTGCACATCGTTGGGACACGCAGACATGACAACCACGACATCTCGTTCGGCTCTGAAGCGCACATAATCGCCCTCCTTGCAAGTGGGAGGTTCGAATGAGAGATCGCCCTTGTCGCCTTTCCATGGGATGTTCATGAAGAGGTTGAGTGGTGCTGGGACCGAGTTGACGGTGACTGAAGCACCAACACCCTTTGGTCCCTTGAGGCCAGCTCGGTCGTTAAGTTCTTTGAGTGCAAGAACAAGGTTCTCAGCACATGACCCATGCTGCTCCCAATCTTCAATTTGTAGAGCCTTGTAGCGTTGAGGATCGCAAGCAGGAATCAGAGTATCGTGAACGCCAGAGCTGGTGTCTTCGATGAGAGTCAACATGGGCTCTCTCAAGTTGGAGACGAGAACATCATTGACTCGCGGCACCATGTGGAGAGTCGAAGCGCGGGTATGCGGCATGCTGAGGTACTCCATCTGAGCGGTCTCGCCGTGCATGGCATTCCAAGCACTGTAGCCAGCATAAAGAGATGAAACGGATCCAGAACCCGTAAGAGCTATCGTATGTCAGTAAGTGTATCAGTAGAATGGATTTGAGGCTGACCTGATAGGGATGCGGCGCCTACAGGTGTTCGAGAAAAGTCGGCGAGTTGCTCAGCATACGACTTGGACGGATCGCGCGCATGCTGTTCGTCGGTCTGAGTTAGTCACCGATCAAAGAAAGACGTGGTCGACGGAGTGATTATAAAACATACACTCACCTGAGCGGCAAAGGCAGAAATGGCTCCCTTGGGTAGGTAACTCGTGACGCCCTGACCGTTGGGCAAATAGCTAGCCCATCTCCTCGAGTTCTCCTTGTCTTGCTTCTTGTCCGTCTCTTCTGTGGCGCCCTCATCTTTCTTGTCGTCTTTGGCGTTTCCATCGGTGACTTGCTTTCTTCCGCGCAAAGAAGGAAGGTAGGATGTCCAACCACCCTTGGTCGGGGTAGACTGTTGCTTGGCCTCTGCATCAGCCAACTGCTGTTGCTGAGAAGTAGCGGCTTCGGCTTCTTCTTGCGAAGGCAAGTCCAAACTTCCTCGCGACTTCCTCTTCTTCTTGCTAGCCTTGTCTTTTTCTTCTTGTTCCTTCCTCTGTTTCTCCTCCTCCTCTTGCTTCTTCTTTTCTTCCTCTTGCTTCTTCTTCTTCTCCTCTTCCTCGGCAAGCTTTAGCTTCTCCTTCTCATCCTGCTCTTGATAACTCTTGTCCTTGTCGTTTTGCGGTTCCTCTTGTGGCCCTTTCTTCTTGGGCGGAGTCGGCAAAGCAAACGCCCAGGTATCTATAACTTGAGTGCCAGAAGTGTTTACAATCTTGATCGTACTACCCTTGGGCACGAACGTGGCTGTACCATGGCGAGCAGGGATGGTTTGGAGGTCATCTGAAGACGACATATTCGTTCCGCTGTTATTTGATGAACCTGGTCGGAAACGATACGGGAAAGAACTAGAACAATGAATATGTCTCGGGTGTAAATCACGAGGGGAGATTAATGGAGATGCACTTGAAACAATGACTGGGTTTTTCAGAAGGCTTCGAGAAAGCTGTTTGTAGCTCAGCTACCATGTGGTCGAACCCTTCTAATTCACACTACGCAATCATGCATACAGCTTATGCAACATTCGCGGAGGATTTGCCGCCAGAAAAGGCGGCTTGCAGGGATGTTTCCTTGCTTGCGGGCGAACAGAAAGTGACACCACAGAGCTGACAAGATCTTGGATACGGCGATGCACGTTTTGATGACGTATCGCTCACCCGTGTGGAGACGATTGAGGGCTGGATAGCCCAGTCTGGATTCGATATTGTCACTCGTACAACACTGAGCAAAATATCATCGGATCAAATGTAAGAAAAATTAATAGTATGCTAAAGAAACCGAAACCGAAACCACTCCGGATGTCTATCAAGTCTGCACACTTTCATTACCCCTTGGCATTGTAACGGTCGTTGTACGCATTGACTGCCACCGCTACCTGTCGATACAGCCAGTTTCGACTTTGCTCATCTGCGACAGGAATGAATGGTCCGTTATGTCCTCCTTTGAGCACAATGCTCATGCCTGTACGTTCCTTGGTGATAGTCTGGATTTCCTTGAGTGGCACATCCCACTCCGTCACAAGTTTCTTGGTCTGCACCAACATGATGCCATTGTAGGTGAGCATGACCATGCGTGGACTTTCGGCGCTTGTCGTCTTGGTGCGTGCCTGAGTCGACTGAGATCCGCTTCCCGAAGACAATTCCATATGTGCGATGTAATCTTCATGGAAGTACTTGCCATTGTCCAAAGTCTTGAGCCAGAATTGACCCAAAGCTTCACGTTGACTGTAAGGACGAACAATGCCATCTTGTCCAATGAAGCGTGTCAAACGCACCCGGTCAAGACCTTCTTGATCGAATACTGTTGTAGTGTTACGAACACCCTCGGCCATATTAGATGCCAAGTCGAATGCTCCAATGGCGGGCTTGGTGGCTAGACCAAGGAAACCCTTTCCTACACCCTTGACGAACCCAAGAGCACCTTCCTTTTCGGCACCCTGCAATGGATGTCTAGCAAGACCGCCAATGCCACTTGCCATGCTGTTTGCGAAGGCATTACCTCCGGACGTGATGCCGTACAAGGCATGCTTTGGTCGATTACGAGAACGAGACATGCGGCGCTGGTCTTGGAACTCCTTGTCCATAGATGCGGCCGCAAGGCCCTTGCTGATGCTGCCTGTGAACTTGGCCATACTGTCCGAGAAGCCGAAAACACTCTTCTTGACAAAACTACTGGCTCCCTTCGCAATGCCAATACCAAGATCTTGAGGTCGATCGGTCATGACAAGGCCTTGGTACGGTTCGTAGAAGATGTCTGCAACTCCAGAACTGATGTTGTTGAAAAGACCAACCGGGTTACCCAAGAAGTCTGCTGAACCGAGAACAATGTGAACTTGACGGAGAGATTCCTGGACATAGTGGGCCTGGATTGCAGCGATCAGAGCACCAACAGATACTCGGGCGTTCTCAAGCATAAGTGCATTGTAACGAATGGGCGCATCGTTAACATTTCCAATGGACATAGTGAGAACATTGACAGCAAACATGAAGGGGTTGGATGATGAGCTTCCAGTGTCCTCTGCATTGATGCGCTCGGTTCTGACGAAGGACAGGTCGAACTGCATGGGCTGCAAATGCAACAGCTCAAAGTAGATATCTTGGCCACCCTCTTCTTGTTTGGGCTCAGGGATATCAAGATTTTCGTCACAAAGTTGACCCTCCTTCTCTTCGGACCAGGAAGCGCCTGGAATCTTTGTGAAATCGAGCATGGCAAAGATGAAGTCTTCGTCGATTTCTATGGTCATCTGCTGCATCAAGAATGTGAAGTACTTGATATAAAGCACACCATATGAGTCGTCCTTGACTCTTGTGATAGCGGCTTTGAAGATCGGGTGAGCCTCCATCTCCTTTCCAGTCTTTGGGACCACACTGGGATAGAATATCAAGGGGAAGATGCCTCCATAGAGTTGATTATCGACCTGAATCCATTTGATCGTGGAAGAAATGGTTTGATACAAGGGCGAGTCCTTGTAAGACAAGTCAATATCGCGTAAAGTGACATAGACAAGTTCCTTGAGCTGACGATTGATGAGCGAGATGCCCAAACCAGCAAATCTGATCTGAGCGCTCATGGTGACATGGTCGTCCAGGTCTTTGACCTCGAAACCAGTCGAATTTGACTGAGAAGCCGAGCCAGCCTTTTGCTTGTACAAACTCTTCGATGGCTTGTAATTTGACAAGACAAGAGTCTGAGTGGGCCCATCGGCAGCGACATTGAGATCGATAATCTTTTGTCGATTGGTACCTTCAGCTGCAGGCAGCCTCATTGGGATGAGGTTACCGATTTCTGCAAGCTTGACGTGTCTCTCTTTGCCCTTCGCGTTCAGAACAAGGTTCTTATTCTTGGAGGCAGGGTAATCCCAAGCGTATGGCATGATACTCCTGGGTGGCAATCTGTATCGGATGGGCTTCCAACCAGAGGCGCGTTCGTCCTCTTCTTCGTCAACGTTGGGGTTTGCCTGCCAGAAAATGAATTCGACATCGCTCTCGTTGCGAATAGAGAAGGGCCAGTGCTTAGTCTCGTGACTGATGTGCAGGAAAATCGTGGCATTCTCCATGAGAATCTCGACCCGAATGAGCTTTTGTCTTTCGCCTGCCTTGGCCAGTTTGACGTGGACACTGCCAACATTGGCAATGTTGAACGGAGATGACCAATTGTTGTTCACGCCGGGGAAGCAAAGGCACAACTGCTGCCCGCTCGATTGTCTTAAAAATCGCAAAGGATGGAGATCTTGTGGCTTCAAGGTCGTGACATCAGACGAGCCAGGCTCTCTAATGTTGAGATCTTCTCCGAGCTTGTTGCGGACCACGAATCGAGGAGCGATAGTGATAACCTTTGTCAACTTGTATTTGCCTTCACCTTCCTCGACCGTCAGACCAACATGCATCTCTGATCGACCAGATTCTGCAGCAACAGTGACATCTGTAGTTGACCCGATGGCCTCGAAACTGACTGGCTTGCTCCAACCAGAACCAGTAACCTTGATGAGAGCTCGGTTCTTCTGGTCGTCGGTAGGGTAAGAAAACATGAATGGAACGGCCTTTCGTGCTTCATCCGAATTGCTGAATGTAGTCTGTCCAGCTGCAGACTTGGCAGCACCGAAGTATGTCTTGCTTCTGATGTCAAGCTCCAAGCCTGTTCTGTTTAGAATGACATAGGGACTGTAGACAGTAATCTTGAAGGCACCGCCACTATCAGGAACGTTGTAGTAGTGCAACTTGAGTCGTAGAGTTAAATCCTGGTTGTCTTTTACGACAAGTGTCTTCTCACGACGGAAGTCATCACGGCCTGTAGAGTTGATGATGGCGAATTCACTTTGCTTGAATGGCGTGTCTTGCATGTCAACGCTCATCAAGAGTAGATGTGAGAGCTCAACAACATGTACAGGGCTGACACCTCCCTTGCGCAAGAAGTTTGTCCAATCCTTTTTGGTGTTCTTGTCATATATGCGATACTTGAAGTCGAACGGCAGCAAGTTTTGGATCTCGACAGGCGCAGAAAGGCGAATGCGCATGTAAGGATAGGTGGCCGAGATGGGATTGTTCTTGTCATATACAGCCTGCATCTGGAAGTAGAAGGGCGGAGATGAATCTTGCTGTTCTCCCTGACAAGTGATTGTACGCGTAGGACGCTTAAGCAAGTCTTTCCAGAACAAGCGCTCATTCGACCAAGTATATCCGAATCCTTGATCTGGACGAATGACCAGTGAATGCATGAACGCGGCACCTACAGGAGCTGATCGTGCATCGCCAGGTGCAACCTTCTCAATCTTGAGCAAGTGGCCCTCGTCTGGACTGTAGACACCAACTTCAATGGGGATTTGAGTGTGGTTCTCCACCAGCAGAGGTGAACGGAAGGTAATGTACTTGACGTTGTCTGCTCCGAGCTTGACATCGACCAGAATGCGGTGTTGTACCTTGTCTTTGCGTGGCTTGAGATTGTAAAGAGTCTCACCCTCACGATTGACAGGGATACGCTCGATACTATCGAATCCACTGCCTTCAAGCTTGATTCCGACAACACCGGTGGCACCTTCTGGTGACAGCGTCTCTCTGGTGGTACTTGGGTCCTCAAATCGCCAAGGAGCCTCCTCTCCATCGCTCAATTTTTCAGCGGCGCCTTCTTCGTTATTCTCTGTCTGAGCCCATACGTTGAGATCGAAGCCGGTCTGATTGCGAATGCGATAAGGAGCATCAGATCCACGTGGCTTCGAAAGGATGTCCTCGTCGTTAGACAAGAATTGGGCCGACTTGGATGCTAGTGCAATCGTGGAAGAAGTCATGGTAAGCTCCAATGATTTGCGCGAATAAAGTTCGACTGCGAGCTTGTCAGGATTGAGGCTCTTTGCCATGTGGAAGCCAAGCGACCATGGCTCAACAAGAGGCTCCCAGGCAGACTTTGAGAAGTTATACACGTTAAAGAAGGTCTCGATGCTAGTATCTGCAGTCATGGCGCCACTCCAGTCGCGAACCTCTACAGCAAAGTTCTTGACGCTCCAGTCGAGCATTGGCAGCTCATGAAGGTCACCAATGAGGACCACTCGGATGCCTTGAAGATTGACTTTCATCTCTTCCCGCTTTAGCATCGCTGAGCCTTGAGGTTCAGTTGATGCCTTGGGTGCAGTGGTGGCATGCGACTTCTTTGTGGCAATAGTATTGGCTCGAGGCTTTTGTGCCGAAGATGGCGCTCTACCAGACTTAGGCCTGTTGGATGGAGCTTTGAGCTGATCGATCTTGGATGGACCTTCCTTAGCAAGTTCCCGGTCGTCATCCGCAGACATCGCAGACGCCTTGTTGA